GGTCATGCCATATGACTGAATATTCGACATTTCCAATTTCTTGCCATATTTACTGGCATTCAATTTAGTCCCTTCAGGGTACTAATAGATTACTTATTCTGCGGGTCTTATTCCAGCAGGAATTTTGTTCGATCAGTGTATAGAATAAAAAGCATTTTGATACCATTTTTGGATATCATCACGGGCAATACATTTCAATGTTGGTTTATCCAACATACACCACCTGCAATGAATTCCAAAGATCCACTGCGCTCATCAATAAATGCCGAAATGGTGAAATTCCAACAGTAAATACACGACAAATCCAATCATGTACACTGATATATTTTTGACTCGACTCTAGTAGTTGTTTTGGCCACCAACATGTCGTTTATATATTTTTGATCTAGCAAGGTCAATTTGTTGTTTGCGCAAATACTTGGCACCAAAGGATGACCCACAAGGAATAATCTCGATATTCAATAGTAAACGAAGACGATTTAAGATTAATATCAATGAAGATAGACCCAAGTTGCCTACCCAATGGAGGTGAAGTAGTTGTAGAGGAAGTGAAACGATAGCGGAGTTGCTTATCGTCTCCGCTCTCGGGAAATCCTGAGCGCCGAGAGATTTTTTATTTTTGCTTCACCTCTTGACCAACACAGGGAACTGTTGCCCCCATTTGGGTATATTACTTTGTTTCTCGATTTTCTTGCCACTCTATGTTTGCTCACTTGGTCACTGCTGCCAAGGGTCTATTTACGCGACAGCCCGAAGAACAAGAGTTCCATTCCGCTGGCACCTCTGCCACCAATCCCAAGATGGTCACAGCTACTCGACGAGGAAACGTTGCGCCTGAAACTGCGAGCGGAAAGCGCAAGGCACAGTCAGCAAGCACCAGCAAGAATGAAGACCAGCAGACCAAGCGGAGAAGAAGAAGCGACCCGAAGGCTATTGGAACAGATCAAGATGCTACGAAACACACCCCAGCAGAGAAATCCAGCGTAGATGGAGAAAAAGCACCTGTGAACAAGAAGATTCGATTCGGTAGCGAAGAACCTGAACCAATCGAGACACAACCGGAAGAAATCTCGGAAACACCAACCCAGGATGACGACGACGAAGATGATAGTGACGATGATGCGCCAGAGACCATTGATAACTCTGCTCAGCAATTGAAAATGAAAGAGCAGGCCAAGAAGCAAGAAGCAGCGAAACAATTGTACGTATAACTTCTTACTTTTGCTGAAGTCAAATTTGACTAATGATTTTTACAGAGAAGAGCAACTGAAGAGAGAGAAGCGACGTAAACTTGATGAGCGTCGCAAGTTGCAAGCCAAATCCATTGTCAAGCCCAAGGAGGCCCCAACCGATGACATGCTTTCCGAAAGCACGGCAACTATCCAAGGCACAACTACTCAAGATGCACGACGAGCTGCTCTCCCTGCTTTGCTTCCCGATGACATCTTGAACGCCGAGTTCTCTATTCGCCCTCCTACACCCCCGGCTGAAGATCAATTCGCCATGCCGAAGAAGTCAAATAAGTTGCGATTCCTGGATAAGCAGGATAAGCTTCCCAAGGATATCAACATGGGGGATGTCTCTATTCGGGTGCTGGATGCGCCATCCTCAAAGAAGTCCTCAAAGCCCGCGTTGGCCCCCAAGATTTCCAAGGCTGGACGTAATCTCAAGAATAGCATGCTTCAGAAGACCCGTGCTACAGCCCAGGGCAATGGGCTCCGACAGAAGGCAGGCGGTCCTTCAGGATTTGTTCGCCGGTGAGATTGACCAACGCTGTACGGCCATCAAAAGCGAGTTTTGTTCAGTATCACATATCTCCAAACATAGCTGGAAATTACATCTACAACCTGCCAGTGTCAATGGGGGGAACATTCTCCCTCGCCTCGACTGATGTTCCTGTCGGGGGACTTCGATGCCCTATTGGCGCAAATCGAAAGTCGGTGTCGATTGGAAATGCAACTGACCCCGCGTCTACTGCATCCATTTTGTGATCAGTCATTGAAGTTAGGATTTTTGTCCGAGTGTTACTAGGGTTGCATGGTGTTGGGAGTAGAAACCTGGTTTGCAGTTCAACTTGGGGGAGTTATGTACATAGGATTCAGTCAATTATGTCCAATAATGTCTGGCAATAAATTCAAAAGCCCCGTCATCCTCTAAAATAATAAAATAAGCATCTAAATATCGAATGATCGAAACATTGAAATCGAACATATCAAAATATAAAAAGCGTCAAAAGTGAAAATCATACAAACGCGCCAAGGACCGGACCCGGCCAGGTTCCCAGATTATTAAGGCGGAACATGTGCGAAAGCTTTCAAGGCCAAGCTACCTCGACTTTTCTTCACCTCTTCGCCGTTTTTACCTTCAATCCCCTTCATGGCGCTTGTCGTCTAACTCTACACCTTTCATTCCTTTTTTGCCATGGCGCCTGCCGCAGAGAATTCTCCTCTGCTGCCGCAGCATCAGAACTCGGCCTCCAATACGTCACCACGGGCAAATCGGACGCCGCGGTCGGTCTCCTTCAATCCGCTCACACAAATTAGCACATATGGCAGCAATGAATCCACCTCCGATCCTACATTCCGACCCTTGCAAACAGACTCACCTCCCGTGCAGAATGTCAACGCCCAGGGAGGCCAGCCCCGTCCCGGTAGCCAGCCCATGCTCTCAGCATTGAACAGCAAGCTTCGTCGTCGCAATAGCCATGGAGCCCCCTTTAACCCCATATCGAATCCACCACATGCGGTATCCAAGATTGGACCGCAGCGAACAACCAAAAAAGCACAAAAGTTAAAGCTGCTGCCGGACCCTGTGACCGAAGAGGGAGAGGGGTCTGATGGAGATTTCCCTCGGGATGTCTATTCACAGATCACTCGTATCAAGGACCCCGCTGCACGAAGCCATGCTGCACGATTGGGTAAAGCGGACCGCGATCGTATACCCCGAGTGACAGCTTACTGCACGGCCAATTCGTATCGACTTGAGGGCGTCATCAAGTTCCTCAAGTCACGGAGCAAGACTCGTGGAGCCAACCCCAAGCTGTATGATGAATGCGTCTACTCTCCATTCGATTACCAGTACGAAGAAAAGCAGAACGCACGATTATTTCAAGATCCAAATTCCAATGGACACCATGAGAGACGACCCAGTGAAAGAAGATACTCGGATAGTGCGGTGGAGGTTGAAGACAATAAGAAGACCAGAAGAGAGGACTTGATTGACTTGCACGAGGAAGGCAGTCATTCAAATGATAACGAACAAGTCGTCAAAGACACTCCTGATATCGACACCACAATCCACACACCCGAGGTGTTCCTCTTCGATTACGGAACGGTCGTAATATGGGGGATGACGCCCGCACAAGAATCACGATTCTTGTCCGATATCTCCAAGTTCGCGACCTCCATACTTAGTCCTGATGACACGCAGGTTGAGAATTTCAATTTCTACTATGCGCGCGAGTATCAGGCCAGGATTTACAACGACTTCATCTCTCTTCGCGATCCGCGTAACAACATGGTCAAGCTGGCGATCTCTCATGCTCTGGCCCAATCGGTCAAGACCTCGCTTTTCGAAGATCTTGTGTCAGAAACAATCACAGATACCGCACCGCTACCTGCCCAGATCGCACAAACTGGTAGCGTCAATCTTACCCGCCGGCAAATCAATATGCAAATTGGAGAGCTTTTCATCCTCCGCATCAACATTCACTTGCAGGGGTCTGTGCTCGATAGCCCAGAACTGTTCTGGGCAGAACCGCAATTGGAACCTGTTTACCAGGCCGTTCGAAGCTACCTGGAGATGGACCAGCGTGTTGGTCTGCTGACGGAACGATTGGATGTCATTGCGGATCTTCTTGCAGTCCTAAAAGATCAATTGACACATCGCCATGGCGAGTATCTTGAATGGATCGGTAAGTCTCCTTTCAATTAAGATGTCTTACAACAACTCATCTAACGAATATCAGTCATTGTCTTGATCGCTGCCGAGATTCTTGTGGCTGCACTCAACATTGTTGTAGATCTCTACGCCGGAGTGGACTAGAGTTACAAAAAATGTGCTCATCAAGCAGTCCCTCGACTCGACCAACCAATTGTGCTGAAAATACTAGTCTTTCATGACATGTATTGCTGAAGTATGTCTTATGTGTCTTGTGATGCAATCATTTCTGATTCCACATCAACAAATGCAGGAGGAGCGCAAGCCTGCCGGGGACAAACACCTAATAGAACTCGCTTGATGACATCCCAACCTCATTGGGATTCGGAACTCACCTGCCGAGTCTAATACCCTTATCTGTATCATCTTTCCGACCTCGTTATGTCTTCAACTGTACATGACCGAAGACATTCATACCCAGATAGTCATATCCCATTCTTGTTTCTAATAGTTTATTGTCTTTCCTTATTGGTGTTGGAGTTGACGTGGGTTTTTTCACGGAAAAGCGGTGCTTGGGATCTGTACAGATGGTGTCAATCAAAATAAAATGCCATTGACCTCGCGGAATGACTGCAGGCACTTTCTATCAAGTTTAAGCAAGGTATTTGTAGTCTGTACGTCCTGTTCACACAAAACAGTGCCATGAGGCTGAAAATGTTATATAGAATACAAACTTACAGGACTGCACCTGTTACGATGTCACTACCTACTGCCCTTGACGAATAGTAACTACATCCATGTACAAGAGAGTCTAGATAAACGGCATCAATAAGCTACAAAGGAGGAGCCAATAACTTCAGCCATGCTTTCAGCATGTGGTTTCTCAGATAAATTCCATACCAGACATAGACGCCAGGAGACCGTAGAGTAGTGGAAAAGCCCAACCAAGGCCCACTAAATGTAACAAAAAAACATATGAGCAAAATAGCCAGCACCGCATCCGAACCTGATGCTCAAAACCCTCACACAAAATAACCCGAATAAACAGCAGAGAATCTCAGCCACGACTCTGCAGAGCCCAGAAAAGAAAGAAAAGAGAACGACTAAACACTAGCCAGTACCTAAGCCTGTTCAACCTTAGGCGCTTTAGCCTCCTCCTTATCCATATCCATCGGCGTAGTCCCAGACTCAGGACCAGGCTCAGCGGCAGCAGGAGTCTGATCAGCAGATCCACCACTACCTGTCTGCACACGGAAAGAGTGAGTAAGAGACTCTTGTGTAGGAGCTGGCGCAAGACGGGGCAGGGCTGCACCAGTGGGATCTGCAGGTTCGGGATGGCCATCATGAGCGGGCAGATCCTCATCCTGGCCATCGATACCAGCGGCGTTGGATTTGCGGGAGCGCTTAACGCGTAGGGGACGTTCCTCCGGCTACACCAAAAAAAAAAAAAAATTAGCTCGGGTTCAGCAGACAATCAAATTGAGAGAAAAGGTAGCAGAGTATAAGCAGGGCAGTAGGATTGAACAAGATGGGCAATTACGCAAATGACGTACCGTGCGCGGCTGCTCATCAGAGCTACCCTCGGTATCATCTTCCAGAAGTGCACCAACTCCACCCTGTGCACCAGTATTCATCATGGCAGCAGCGCGGGCACGTAGTTCCGGGTTTGCGGCTCCGGTCTTTGCCTCGTCGGCCATGCCGGTGACCTTTGTCAGACGCTCGAGGAGCATGCAGGTTTCCAGGCGCATTTTTTTGATGTATTGGGAGCCGCGGCGGTTGCGGGTGCGCATGATTTCATTTTCAGCTTCGACTTCTGCGAGGCGCTTCTTCAGCGCTATGCATTTGCGCTTGTAGGCGATTTCCACGCTGGGGGGATTGGCTGGTGGGATGGAGGAGGGTTGGCGGGAAGCTTCCATTTTGGTGAAGGGGGAGAATTAGGTCAATATTAGCGTGTGAGGGGACTGGATTGTGGACACGGCGAGATTTGGTTTGGAATCCTTTGTCGGAGCTCACTAGAAGCACGATGCGAAGGGGGTGATGTGAAATATAGAGGAAGAAGTAAAGGATCGGACAGGAGGCAGCGGAATGTGATATATTTAGCCTTTATTAGTCGTCGATTAGTCGTCGGTGAAGCGAGTGAGTCGATTGACTGAAATGGTGAACCTATCGCGGAAGTGCTAAACGTCGTCGGCAACAATGTGATGACCAGCAACATTATTCTGCCCCGATATCAAAGGCGGTCTACACAGTAACGTCTAACATCTTTAACAAATATTTATTCATTCAACTCCCTGCTATAAAAGATTGCTCCGGAAAAATCAAAACCCCTAAGAAACATAACTATTCAGTGACCTCCAGTGGTGGGAAGACCAAGGAACACCTTGAAAGAGTCATAACTGCAGAACGTTAGCGTCGCTGTACATGCAAATCAGGACGGAGCAACACTTACATGAGCCACTGGAAACCGGTCAAAGTGCCCAGCATCACAATACGGACAGGCAGACCATTCCATAAGCCAGAGAACCCGATGTTCCCGTAAATCCGTGACACAGCCGTCATTGCACCTTCACCGGCTACAAACGGGGTGTTAGTATGCACCAAGACTGCAGCTGAAAGAAAGAAAGAAAGAAAGAAAGAAAGAAACTCACCTTTACGATCAGCATTCAATTTGCTGACCATGACATCGGCTGGATGGCTAACAATAGCACAGAAGATTCCAGCAATATAACCACCCAAGAAGCTAACACCAGTCTGTGTCAATTGACCATATTCCTCCTTAGGTTTACCCATAGTGCGGTAGATGAGCTTGACGGTCTCCTCGAACGTGGCAAACTTTGTCATGGTATAAGGGATCTGTCGGGCCCACAGAGGGTACAATCCCTTATACAAACCACCAAAGCCCTCCTTAGCGACGATCTTGCCCCAGCCCTCGCGCATCGTGGAAGCATATGGCGGTAGCGTGGTCTGCATGCGGACCTTGATAGCCTCCATGGGACACAGTGCCATATCAGCAAAGAATTCAGCAGAAGCACTAGCACCAAGGAAGACCAAGGTGCGGTTGGATTCCGGGAACATCTGGTTTCCGTACAAGTGCTTGAAGTACTCGTACAGACCGTACTTTCCGGCACCCTGGAAGGAGTAGCCCAAGAAAGTAGGGGACCAACCGAAGAAGACGCCGCGGAGGCCTTCTTTGGAGAAAATTGTTCGCCATGCTTGGATGTTGGAAGTGTAGATCTTCGGATCAACCTGGCGACGGCATTTTACAAGGTCGAGAGGTGTGACAGCAGTGTGGGTCGGTCCTGTATGGCATCGAGTGTCAATTGTGTGAGTTGGTTATATATTGGAGAGTCGTTACATACCACAAGCTAGAGTCATATTGTTAGCGCGTGCGATGTGAGCTGGAGAGCTTGGACATACCGATGATTCCACCGAAACCACAGCTGAGGAAGTATTTGAGGGAGTTGGGCTCGATCTTCCCTAGAGGAAGTTTGCGCTCTTGTGTAGCCATTGTATCTTTGTATGTGAATGTGAATATGAAGGGAGGGAGAATAAGACCCAAAGCAAAAGTGTACCTTGGAAGAGTGGAGGAACTATGTCGTCAGTGATCGACCTCTTATCTCCGCACGTCCCGATATCTCACCTTTCTATCTTCCACTTTTTATAGATGTTTACACTGTTCAATTTGTTTACTTGAATATGATGCAGCTATGTACATTTATTATATATCTATCTATATAATCGGGGAGTAGTTGCCAAACCAGATATTCAAAAGGTTTCTAGTCCATATGACGTCAATCCGGCCCGGTGAATGAAGCCCCAAAGCCGAATTAGCCGGAGTTGCTGCATAAATACATAAATGGTATATGGCTTTAATGCAAATCAAATTACCTATCTGGGCAGAACATTTGGAGCTGGATATCGACGTCATTGTGGGAGTCGCTCAGATTGGATCAAGGGCAAGGCCTATCTAGCAACTTGATTATACAACTAGGGGTGTGCATACGTATCGATCTAGCATCCTACATTCTTCTGGATGTGCTCTAGTGATTGAGTGCGTAAGAAAACGCAAGCAAAAGGGTGAAGAAGAGTTAAAGAAGAGTCAAAGAAGGGACCTTCGCATCGAATTATGACATGTAACTCTGTCCGTATAATATAAATTGAAGGTTTCTGTAGGAGCGAAAGGCCTTCATTGGTACCACGCGAGATAGGGCTTCCTTTGGCTTCTGTAGTCAACAATCACTTGAGCCATAGACTCGACCATTCTTGTCGTGTACAATCTGTGTCTTTCCGTATCACTGTAGCTCTTTTTTGAACCAGAACGAATCATATGGGAAAGACTTTGCCGACGGTGCCTACGGCATTCTTTTCATTGGTGTATTCAATAATAAGTGTCGATTAACTACACAGGCCCAAATGATGCTCATAGCTGCCAGGTATGTGGGTGAGAAGCAACAGTCGTATTCCCACATACAAAATATTCTTTTCTCTCTATGTATTGCAATCATTGTTCCTCTCCGTCGGGTTATACGGCGCCCCGATCTCTTGTAGCAATGAATGCCAAATTTGGTTCAAATTGCGCGATCTTCCACATATATGACCGGGTTTCCGTTACTTGTATTTGAAATGAAAATGACAGTGCCTTGACCGGGGAGATTGCGGTTACCGGGGACATCGTAAGTGCGAACCGATGGTGTGTAGCCCAGTCCGCGAAAAGATTGTTGCATGATTTATGGCTTCCATAAACCGGGGACTAATAATGTGGAATATGCGCGAGAATTGCACCATATATTGACGCAATCACCACGACTGAACAAGATCCTAGATCCTTAGTGCCAATTGCGGATCTTTGTTGGAAGAAAACAAACTAAATCCCACCCATAGACACGACGACAACTCCTTTCGCCCGCTCCCGCTGCGCAAGAAGTCCAGGCGCAGGTGTGACCGACATGTTCTGGACACAGGGATTGTGAACAGAGAGATAAAGAAGGATCTATTCTTAGATCAAATGTGACAACTTTGACAGTATAGAGAAAGACAGAAAGGAAGGCAGTGTTGCCTTTCATCCCTATCCCTTACCCTTGGGCGTAGACGCCCACTTACATTAAAGGAATCCTGTTGAGGCCAGTAGAGGCTTGGTATATCACTCAAATTCCCTGACCTACCATGGGGCGATGTGGATATCGAAGTGCGATGGACTGGGCTGCATTGAACAATCATCAAGAGATTGTGGAGCTGCTGCAATCAGAGGCGAGAAGACGCCGTCTTTGATTAACAAGATGAAGGTTGGACACCCTTGAGGCGACGTTAAGTTGGTGAGACATATAGAGTATGTAGATACGGAGTATAACATGAAGAAAGCAAAGAGAAATTGAAATTAGTATTGTTGTATAGGCTTCCAGGGTGTGGTGAGAAAGACGGTAAGGCATTATCCAATGAGAGGGTTATGCCCCGCGTGGCATACTTAGTCGCTCGTAGTGAGGTCCACAGGGGACCAGCCTGTATCATTTAATCAGTCGTGGCAGAGGTCATGGATGGCCCCCCATGGCCCCGATGTCAGCAGCCTATACTATTCCATTGTACTTGCACAAATGCTTCGTCAGGCAGACTCCTCAAATTCACAAAAACCCCTACAATCAGCACCAACCTCGCCCAGAAGTACGTGATGGCAGGTACCAAAAACCAGAGGCATACCGGCCATCTTAACTTGTACCCACCTGCCGTATCCATTCCTAGGTTTTGGTATTTCTCCATACAACAGATTATCACTTCGGCACCACCATAGCCTGCAAGCAGAGCCCACATGACGCAGCAGTTAACCTGCCAAATGATAGCTTCAGCGTTGGTTGCGAAGGGAAAGTGCCAGTCGATAAAATGGATGGAGGCAAATGCCGCTGTGGCGACGCCTAGAGTAGCATGCTGGCGGAATCCGAGGATTTGTGGATCGCGGTCGTTTGGTATACGGTCCATATATTGCTTTTGTAGGCCCATGCGACAGATGAGAGAAAGGAGGCGGCCGGACCATTTATGGGATATGTAGGCTCGTGGCTCCGCTTGCTCTAGTGCAGCAACGTTGATATAGATCTCTGTGGCATTATCTATCACTGTCTCCCTAAGACTGGATGATGACCGACTCATCTTGATTATATACGGTTGCTGGACATCCATTGACTTTCGAAACCAGAATGAGAGAGTTGTGAGAGATGTTAGAGCAAGGGCAACACTGGCAAGCTCCAATGGTATCACTGGGAGGTTCTCAACCTTGCGGCAAACGAGCTTGACCAGGAACCATGTAGTTTGACAACAAGCCAAGGCCTTGGTACACCTATCAGCCTTGCTCTTATCACTGATATCTTTCTCTCTTATTTCTGGGAGCCTGATGTGTCCTGTCTCTATCAACCATGCTAGTTGCTTGGCTGATAGTGGAGCCAAGTCGCCGTTTGGGAGTTTGAGTATGATACCACCACTGTCGGCAAAAAAATGCATGAGACAGGGACCATTGGGTCTGATCAAAGCCCATCGCGCGCATCTGTGTCACGGAACGATGTGTAGAGGACCATTGGCCACAGGCAATGAGCATGGGAACTTCGGGAGCGAGGATGTCTAACAAAAGCCACCTTGCTTTCCGCCAAAATATTGTCCAGACACCATCGGTAGGTGCAGGCAAATTCAGGTGAAGCATTACCCACAGACAGAGAAAGATTGTGAAACTGCAGCTCCAAACGATGTCCAAGGTCCCGCGTCGGTTGGGGCCAGGCTGACAGCCATATGTGAGAGATAAAGACGCCATCGCCGCTGTCCATCAAAAAGCAGCAACTCGATTGTCTAGGCCGTGAGACAATATTGGTCAGATTCAGTATAAGGTCCTCGAATTTGTCAGCGGTCTTTTATGGTTGAGCGAGTCTTGCCGAAGGTGCTAAGGACTATCCCAAGGAAGACTACTCCATATAATAAGTTTCAATTCCATTGAATGACTAGCCCCAAGCCAGGATGATTCATACAAGTTGAAGTGACAAGTCACCAACCCCCATCACGTAACTAGCCAAATCATTTCCATAGGATCACAAAGCCTCCATAGATAAGTACTCCATGTACTCCGTAGGCGCTTACATGACTCAGTGTCCGATGGCTGTTACTAGAATTGGAATCCAGCACAGGCGACAAGACAGGGTTGGGATTGGTCAAATTAGGGCAGGAAGCAAGTCGAGCTTTTACAGCTAGGGGCCAAGCCAGTGGGATCTCCCACTTCGTGTTCTCCCTTTTCTGTTCCTCCACTGATAAATTTCTTCGCGGAATGAAATTCTTTGACCAAGACTGACTGGTCACATCTGGGACTGTAGAATATCCTAAGGAGTGCAGCTGATGTCGACGGTGATTGGGAAACGGATATCTAAGCTGGTCGGGAAGGCGTTTGTATTTTTTTCCCCAGCCAATCGCCCTGGACCCCATGAAACACCTACATATAGTTACATACGTAGGTAACAGATGTATAGATCGTATATCATTGTGGATGTAAAAATAAGAGGGTCTGCTCCGCCTGAACGGGTCTCGGCCCGGCCCTGGAGGGTTCTTCCCTCTCTTAATCAGCTGACACTTCGCCTAGTCCTTTCCTCTGCGATACACTCTCCGATAAAACAATCGTTGCAATCTACAAGATAGCTGGGCTCATGATTTGATCAATTCCTGAACCATTTCTTTGTCGCTCAATGCTTCTTCTTGTTATCATCGCGGTGTTGGGATATGTTGTACTCGTGGAGAAGTTGAGATTCCGACGGAGGAACTCTCTGGCCAGCAAATATTCCTATCACGATCGCCAATCCTTTGCCCGTATGAGCTTGGAGGATGCCTTCGAGATCCAGTTGCGTCTTGCTGAATTAGAGTTCCCTACCATATTCTCAATTTCCATCTTCTTTACCTTGTTCAAGGTTGGTTCCCACGCATTATCAAATATTCACTAAATAGTAACATGAAAATAGACTTATGGAATCCCGTCCATATCCAAGTTGCTGGTGGCGACAGGGGAACTCGCGAGCCCTACATTGTCATCCAAAAGAGCTGCTGACACGGGAGTCCTGATCACTGAGATTGTCCTGAACAAACCCAGATCAGGTCGAAACTTGGATGCTATCGCTCGTATGAACTGGCTGCATGACCGATATCGCAAAGCTGGGAAGATCAAAGACGAAGATATGCTCTACACGCTCAGCCTTTTCATCCTCGAGCCGGTGCGTTGGACGGAGCGGTTCGAATGGCGCGCCCTTTCGGATCTCGAGAGATGCGCTTTGGCTGTCTACTGGAAGAATCTTGGCGAAGTAATGGATATCCCGTACGACGCCTTGCCTTCAGCCAAGTCAGGTTGGCAAGATGGTCTCCACTGGCTGGACGAGCTCGAAGCCTGGAGCAAGGCATATGACGTTAAGAACACGGTTCCCGATGAGCACAATAGGACCTTGGCTTTTGCAACTCTCAAAGTAGGCTTGACTAATGTCCCTCGCATATTACACGGCATGGGTCTACAATTTGTCGCTGCTTTACTCGATCGACCTCTCAGGCGAGCTATGATGTAGGCGCCCTTCACATTTCATTACTGAGATTATATGCTGAACACGTTCACAGGTTAGAGGAGCCGGCTTGGCTGACCCAGACAGCTTTAGAAGCTGTTGTGACTGTCCGAAAGTTCTTGATCAGACACTTTTTCTTACCTCGACCTGACTTCCTTCGGTCACGGTGGTTCACGTCGGAGCCGGATCCCTCGACTGGACGTTACCATTTCATGCAGTACATTGGCCACCCGTGGTACATCAAACCTACGTTGATACAGAGGTGGGGACTCAAGTCATGGGTGTTGTGGTTCACTGGAGGCTACATACCGTCAAAATATCTACCTGAATACCGTCCCGAAGGCTACCGAATTGCAGATCTGGGTCCTGTGTCCTTGGAAGGCAAAGGTGCTGATGAGATGCGGGACGCGAAGCAGAGGGTTATGACTAGATTTCAAGGCTGTCCATTCTCATACATACAAGAGACAAAGACTCCCTACAAAACAAAGCGTCTATGACGTGGCAAGGCTACCGTCAACATAACTACATAAACTCACTCCATGTTACTTTTTAATGCCCAAGAGAAGCATCCAAGTTTCATCATACAATCTAAAGCTCGAGCCAGATTCAATTTATTGGAAACCTAGATTAAGGGCGAGACTACAGAGTATACCCCAAGTATATAATCTCCCGTTGAACCGATGTCACATTTATTTTTGACGTGTAGACGGGGGGGGCCACACGTACGAACGCCAAAAAAAAGTGTTTACTTCCGAAAGAAAGGCCTCAACTATTATTCTCCTGAAACATGCAGAAACCCATTTTGTGCATGGCTTTTCCGACGCAAATTTACAAGGCTTTGACAGTCCTTCAGGACATGGGCCAGAGAGATCGCTGAGTCCTATCTATCATCCTGCTTTCCTACAACACTCCGACTCTGACGATGACTATGACACGAATGATATTCCATACCGAAATGACGAAGAAAATGGGACTGTGCCGAAGCGTACGAAGCTTTCTGCCAGACAAGACCCCGGTCCATCAGTTCGACTCCGTACGCCCGCTGAATTCGAGGCTGCCATCCAAGCGCAATTCGAAGAAAGTAAGCGTTATACCCTTGTCTGCAGACATATTAATTCGCTGATACCATTAATCTTCAGTCTCCGTCTCGGGCTTAACGTCACTCCTCGGATCGATTGCTTCATACACAATTTGGTGGGAAGAAGCTAGGTGCCATCGGTAAGTCTGCGCAGTCCATTGAGAAGCGTCATGCGGGTGTAGCTCAGGTGAGAACTGAGCATGCAGACGAAAAGACACGCCTCAAGCGCCGCAGGTCCGAGGTTGGCCCCGCAACCCCCAGCGGGAGTGTCTCTCAGAGCGCCCCTGAGCTTAAGAATGGAGGCCTCCCATTCAGTAGCATCCGGTATACTTCTCCCCTCGAGGACCCGAGAGTGTACCATATGAAGGATAAGGCCTATACCATGGAGACATTCAATGACCTTGTAGACATTATCGCGCGGGCCAGAGAGGACCAACGCCGTATGAAGACGGCACTGATTAAGAACGGATTTTTGCCGGGATCAGACGAGGAGTCCGAGGAGGAGAATGTGTTCGTCGAGTAAACACATTTGAAGAGTAGTATTTTCATTGATTTCTAGATATCCACAGAATGACCTGAAGTCTACCCTTTCGTATTGTAGACAGTTCGGGTGCTGGTCTGGAGGCATTGTCTTCATCTAACATAGTCTTCAATGACCGAGACAGGTCCAAAGAACGTTGTATTACTTCTATCGTCTATCGTAAGTCTTGCCAGTGGTCCACCCGAGCCAATTCGTCAATTTTGCTTGTCAAGGTTGCACGCACCGCGTGGGTAGTCGCGACCATAAGTTTCGCCTTGCACCACATCTTGCTCTCTACGGATACGCTCCGCCTCCTGAGCAAGTACCAACGCCAATTTAATACCCAGCGTAGATCCGACTCGTGATAGCACAGTGCGGATCAGCTCCGCCTGCGCCGGAGTCGGCATACCAGAAGAGAGGGTGTACCAGAGAGGCCAGAGCAGACCGTAGCCCTGCGCAGCGCGCATTTGCCACGGGCTACCTGATTTATTTGGGCGGCCGAGGGAGTCGATGTCAGCCAGGGCGAAGGGGATGCTGCGGCAGATGTCTGTGGTCATTTCATGGATGATAGCTTGCAAAGCTGACTCGTCGAGAACGGACTCGGGCTCGGGTTTCAAACTGCTAGTATCCTTGGAATCGGAGAATTGCTTGTTGGCCGCTTTGATGGAGGTAAGTGTGCTGTTTAGTCTGAGGAGAAGGTGTTGTAGCATCACGCGCACGGCGCGGTAGTAGTTCCAGACTACAGCGTTGGTAATGCGGTTGTATGTCAGTAGGGGTTCGCCCTGTGCTGAATAGACGACTAACGGGAGCCACCGGTCTGGGAGGGTCTGAGTCCACTGAGAGAGTTCGATATCGCACTCGTTGCCTGCTGCGATCCATGATTCGACGGTTGCTCGGTCTGAGATTTTTGGTGATGATCTTATTTGTAGGAGTATCTGGCAAAGCTTTGATGCAGCGAGCATGAGCCGTTCGGTTGGTCTGTTGATATCTAGCATGCCGAGGACCCATTTCATGTCAAAGCGGGGCTTGTCCCCAAGTGCGAGGATTTCAACATGCTATACGACGGTCAGTCTCAGGCCAATCTTTAGTCATATATGCCAGATCCCAATGTCAAAGCCTTGCTTTCAACATACCGTGTGTGTATAAGCAAAATTAAGCATGGATCGACCACGCTGATGATACATCTGCGTGTCTCCACGAAGTTTCATCAAGAACTCAAACCCGGCCGTGTGCGAGCTGAGCAATCCATTCCGCTCACCCGAGATATCCTCATATAGCGAAAGTAGAACGACCGAAGCGAAAGTCTCATCTTTAACCGCATTATCCGGTGATGCTAGCGCCTCCTGCAATCCCCGCAAAGCCCGTCCATAGCCCTGCCGCGCCTTCTTCATGAGAGATGGTGCATTTTTAGCATTAGCAAGAGTCATCAACGCCGTGGCATCGACTGCCCATCGCAAACAAGAAGACGACGATTCGCCGCTCTGAGCAAGCTCGCGTGCATACAGCGGGGGGGCAGATATTCCAGATGCCCGCCGTCCTCGCAATCAGCTTTGATGATGTACTGATCGAAGAAGTAGCACAGTGCTCTTTGCTCCCACGTCGAGTCAGCGGGGGTGTATAGCGTCAGCGCAGCCTTGCCATGGAGTTTCTCTTGACAGCCTATTCGTGGGCGGCGAGAGACGGCTGATGTAGATGTGTCCGAGCTGCCCTGGCTGTCGGTGTTGCTGTGCGCATTAACGATGGCATTACTCTTCACCAGCCGCTCGACTTTCCTGGTCTCGTTCCTGAAGACACCATCTGGCCGGTAACCTGGACATGGTCGGCCATAGACAATGCAGTTCCGGCACTCCGGGTGGGCTTCATCGCACTTGAAGGCAGGATTTTAGCATTTGGCTTTTCAATGCAAAGCAAACTATATAGTACAGACACGATAAAATGCAATGGTGGGGTGAATCGCAAATATAATATTGAAGCTTGAGACATACCTTTATCTTCCGCTTGCGACACAGGTAACATCCAGTACTTGGTTTGCCCCCATAGACCATTGTTCACCCGCGGGCAGTCGTCCGAGGGATCTCTTAGACTTGCAGGTACTTCGACAGAAGCCGCAAAGATGGCTGCTAGCGACAGACGGGTCAGACTTGATATGGGTTCCACAAAGGTCCAGGACGGCCGTTTGTCATCGGCTATGACTGGATCAACTCGGCTGCCTAGTCGAAACAATGCATATGCACATCTTAAGGATGTGCGAAGGGCTTTTCTATAGCAAACTATTCGTGTATTTCAGCGATCAATGCTCACATTAAGTTCTGGGACGTCAAGTTTCATGTAGGACATTTCCCAGATCTCGGAACTCCGGAGTGACCCGCTTAGTCATTCTTCACATTGGTGTCCAGGTGGCCTGGCCAGGTGGGAGGCCCAGAGGACAGACAGTTGGGGAATGTAAATAGTATAGATTTCATCGGACTAGATGGTATATAAATCACATTACAAGTGTTTCCGGAAAAGGTATCATGTACTCAACCACAGAACACTCCGAAATGGCTGATATGAAATAAAAACAAGGTAAAAAAAGATCTCACAACTCCAGTATGGCATCACCAGTCAGGACAAGGACACCCAAGACACAGTAACCAAACAGATTTGCAACACCAAATACATATGCAACCGCTTGGTGCTCTAAAACATCCAGGGAGGAACGCCGGCAGCTCATTCTGAAGGTAAAGCACCCACTGTTGACAAAAACACACCGCGCTCAAAAAGATGGGGAAATAAATGTGACAAAACAAATGGATATGCGTAATCGTTAGACGGCAGGATATCAAATCAAACAGGTTGAATCGCTTCAGGTCTGATCAGACCAAGAGATGCTAAGAGATTAGGAGGAGGGCGCGTCTGGCATGAGTGCGTCGCTATCAGTGCCTGAGGGGATCGATGGAGGGGGGTCGGAGCAAAGGGTTCGACGTCGAGGCGAAACGGCCAACTCGCGGTCATCAGTAGAGCTTAAGCCTGGAGTGCTTAGAGCACTCTCAATGGCTGTATCGTCGAAGTCTTCAGGCGGTGGAGAGAAAGACCAGACCTGCGAGATGCATTAGAAACATATTTCCACAAGGACGGAACAACGCCACGTACCTCCATAACCGTGCGGCTAGATCGGCTCGCCATAATGACTGCCTTTTCGTCCTCAAAAGCAACCCTCCAAACCGCTTCAGCCGGAGTCGAAAGCTCCCGCAATAGCTGACCAGTCTGTAGGTTCCAAACCTTGACACGGCCATCGCTGCCACCACTGACGATACGGGTCTTATCAAACTGAAGACTGGTGACGCTGTTATCGTGGGCTGCAAGACGGTGGATTGGCGCCATCTTGGTCAGCGACCAGACACGAACAGAGCCGTCGGAGCCACCTGTCACCAACGTGTCGTCCCGCATTTGTAACTGACCAACCAAAGACGTATGGCCTTGTAATATGGCGTGGCACTGCCCAGAGTGTGGATCCCAGATACGGACGCTAGTATCCAAACTTCCAGTCGCGATCCGCCGGCCATCAAAGGCAATAGCGTAAATCTGACTGAAATGCCCTGAAAGAGTACGAAGACAGCGCCCTTGGGATATACTCCATATCCGCGCAGTAGTATCATAGCTGCCTGATACGACTAAATCACCATGGATGGCCAGACACCGCACGCTGGCTTGGTGTCCGACGAGAACGTTGCGACATGTACCTGTAGCCAGATCCCATATCCGAAGGGTGGTGTCTCTGGATCCTGAGATGGCTGTATTCCGATCCGACATCTTCAAACAACGAACTGTTGATGTATGGCCTCGAAGGAGATGGATCCCCGCGCTATCACGCATTAGTTTCCGTTTGTGTAAGTTGTGGGGGTTCTGTCCTACCCAGTAGCCATGTTCCATACTCGAACTTCGCGATCGCAGCCTCCGCTGACCAAAATGTCATCCCAAGGGACCATCGCCCATACCCCCATCACATGGCCTTGAAGCGTCTTCTGGTTGTCACCGTTGGTATCATAGACATGGATCCTCGCATTATCCAAAGCAACCACAATATACTTCGGGGTGAGGTGTAGACTTGTCACTACACCCTGGTCAGGAGTGATGTGGCGCTGGGTGCAGCGACCACCTTTATTCCACGCCGATTCAACCATGTATTTTTGCTTAAACTGTGAGCGGTAGGAGACAGGCCGAGTCCGACGTCTTCGGGAGAAGCTTGTCGGAGGGAGCCATTCTCCGGAGAGTGTGCGGGGAAGTTCCGGTGCGCTCTCGGTTGCCTGACCATTTGACGCGGTCAAGCGCCGCTGCAAGCCGCCGAAGATGCGTGCACCCGAAGCCGAGTCCACGGGATGGGCGTTGAAAGGGTCGACGCGGTCCCCTTCATCTTCCAACACTCGTGGCACCGAGTATGCATGTTTCTCACATAGGTTTTTCCAAGTAATATCATCGTGTAGTAATTCTTGCCAACGCCGTGATACTTGTGAAGCTCGGGCGAGAGTCTTGGGGTCGTCGATGAAGGAGAGGACCTAAGTTGACTCAGAATTAGTATTTAATAGTAAGAGACTCGACCAGGGGGCTCACTCTTAAGCATAGCTCATTAGGAAAAACCTGGAATGGGTCTTTCCTCAATCGAGGACCGACGTAACTCGAGACAAAGCTCAACTGCTGGCTGTCGCATACGTCCAGAAGACCCTCCAAGAGTTTCTGTTTTCGGGCGTTGGATAGAGTGCTGAAATGAATACGAAGGTTTAACAAAAAGCTGGCCTCTTCATCGTCGGTTGAGTGCCAAGTTGGTGGTCGCTGATGGGGGGTAGGGCTGGGCGCGGGTGTCGGGGGTGATGCGGGCGCTGAAGGAAGTAGGTTGGCGGGTAAAGGAGTAATTGTTTTCTTGGTGCTGAGTGATCTAGACGGGGTACTGGCGAAAGTACTGACAGGGTGGGACGTTTCATTATGAAGGCCCAACTGGTCAGATGTGTGCGCATTCGACCCATCTCCCATGTCGCTGAATGATGCCCGATGGGAATCCATGGCGACAGAACAGGGGGAGACCACCACAGTCGAGTATGATCCTCCCACTTGTTATAATATTATTGATATAACGCACTCTTAGCGTTCACGGTCGGCATAGAGTTATAAGGAAGCCGGGAGTCGGGAGTATGGGGTTCGGGGGTATGAGGAGAAGCTGGTGAACGGCCGAGGGATGGAGGGAGGTGAGACCAATATAATCCTCCGAAAGTATCGAGGCCACCAGTTTTTTCTTTTTTTTTCCAAAATAACTTTTTTTTCTGCTTCTTTTTCATTCAATCATAGTAAGAAATAAACTCCCAATGAAAAAAAGAGCGATGAGGAAAAGGGACATTTCAAGCGGAGGCGCCGGGGTGTCGTGATTCTGACAAAGCAAAGCCTCTCCGGACTAATCAGATGAGAATGATATGAATCTTATGCATATCCAGCACAGATGGTTTCTTTTCACTGCATCTTTTCTTTTTTGCCTTCTAGTTTGCCTGGTATTGCCTTTTGGAGGAATCATGGCAAAAGAGGCAGCGGGGAGGCGTCAAGAACGTGAACCCGAAGGATTGGCCCACCAAGTCATTGATCTACAGGGCTGGATATTGTGAACTGAAAAGGCAACCTGATATTCACGATATATTCACGATACTCACGAGAATATAGATCCAAGGCCTTGGATCAGCATGCGGCTATCGGAAATTGGACCATGGAACCTGTGAACAACGGGATGATTCAGACTGACGAGATTGACGAATCTTGTCATCACCCCCAGACATATTGAAAAGACTACCCCCTGGGGAAGTCAGAGATTGGGGGATCTGTCTTTAAATAGGGCAATAGTGACGCTACGTAGATGTGATCGTGAGATATCATGCAATTATGACCAACATAATACCAAAAAGCAGTTATACATCTATTCCAACATGTCCCCCCCCATAATCTCAATTTATCTCAGCTAGAACCCATTCCCAAACTATATCTTGCAATGGGTATAAGCCCTCCCAAAATCTAGTTGAAAAAGCAACAATGTAACAACATTATGACATATCCCCAAGGAATACATACGGTGTACTCAGTGAGCATGTCCAATCTGCAAGAATAGCGGCAAGATCATGCCCAAAACGGATGCAATCAAGTCTCTCATGGACTTGTCCGACCCATCCTGGTCTCGGTCACCATATCCGTTGATAGGAAGTTCGCGCGGGGATGAGCCCGGGCCGTTTTCTTGCATAGTGTGCATCGCAACATACCTACATAGGATTAATATAAGAGTTCGATATCTTGGGGGAACAGAAAACTCACAAAAAGGTACCCCCAGAGAAAAGTAGTAGCATTCCTGTGCGCCAGTGAGTGCCTGCCTCATCGGCACCGGAAGATCCCATCATCTGTACAAAGAGGAAAGTGGCCAAGGCACCGAAGGGAGCTGCAAGACTGAAGACCAGCAAATGTGCTCTCGCGGTGCGACTTGACAGCCCTTGCTTGAGCAAGATGGAAGTCAATCCAAAAGACGCTGGGGCTTTATGCACCATGATCGCCAAGAAGATAATGAAGCTGAGCCCGGCATCCGAGCTGGAAGCGCCTAGAGCAATACCATCCGCCGCGGCGTGGATCACTAAGCCAGTCGTGGTCGCAAAGCTGTGACTACGTCTGGACGCGTGGCTCGCATCAATTAGTCCATCGCGCGAAGGAGAAGAGCCCCGCCGCAGCCCCGATCCAAGGTTATCCAGCGAAATATGATAAGGGGTCCGTTCGTGTTTAGCCGGTGTTGCGAATTCGGGCAGCTTATCGACGAGGTACATCAAAATGAAACCACTGATGAGGGCAATTCCAACCCACGCATGCGGCGAACTTTCTTCCTCGCCGTGAATTGTGTCCTTGCCCGTTGTTTCGCCAGTCGAATCTTCCGTTCGGACATAGAGTGTTTGCGACTCGGAGACTTGGTCTCTTTCCAATAGGAGACCCGGGACAGGGGTATCAGCCGGTAGGTTTGAGCCACTGTCTCCGTCGGTGCCGAAAGTGGTCACGGCCGGGGCCTGGTGCTGCCATTCGATGGCGGTAGCTCGTGTGCTGTGTTGCTTGCGGGTGAGGGAGTTTGCGCTGTAGAGAGTTTCAATGCCCTCGGGGATAATCACGATCAACGATGTCCCCACCAAAACGCCCATGCCAATGGACGATATTAAGCGGAGTTGAGATGGGGATAGTGTAAAAGCGAGAGGTAATGAGCCGACGACAAAAGATCTGCCAATAACTCAGAGCATTAGCTTCCAACCTTAGGTTTCCAATGTTAGAACCTCACGTAATTGCCATCACAATGCTCAAAGCGAGCAGAGTGAATAGTCCCTCCATAATGATCTCCTTCACTCTATAGATTTTCTATCATGGTGGGAATTGAAGAGAGGATCCAAAGAGAGAGAGTCTGGAGAGTGTGGTTGCGTAAGAGGCCAAGGTGGTGGAAGGACCCACGTAGCCCTGGAATCAGGTACCGCTTTCAAAACATACCAGGGGGGAAATATGGAGCATGGGAGTTATTTGGAAGGGATTCTTAAGGGATTTCTTAGGGATTTCCTAGGGATTTTTCTAAAGGCCCTTGAAAGGCATATATGATTAAGTTGATTTAAAATCTTGTCACGATGTGCCACATCTGGCCTTACTGTTGCTCAGACTGAACAAGGCCAAGTGTAACCGCATCCTTGCTTAGATCCTCTTTTCCCTTTGCCTTTCTGTTGATATTATTTGTTTTTGGGAATGTCTATATTCAAGAATCATCGAGTCATAATTGAATTTGATTTTATCAAGGCACGTGCCAGACCAGCAAGTAGACATGGGCGTCCTTGTACACCATCAACCAAGAGCAATCCAGGACTTTCACCTTTCACCTTTCCAGTACGATGCAATGCGCACGAGGCGGATGTGACACATTCCTATCCAACCCAGTAAGAGTATGGATCCGTGTTTTGCCAATCATAAGCCACTGTCAGCCACATTTGCACATGGACCATATGCAAAGAACAAGGCAGACACATATGCTCCACTAGAATATGTAGGCAAAAATCATAGATCAAGGGTTTATCCACCCCACGATCCTTATCGCATCCGAACCCCCAAGTCACGGCTGCCATGCGCACCCTTTGGCAGTCGAAAGCCCAGGTACGGCAAATACTTCCCTGGGTGCCAATAGATGAAAAGGGCAACACACGGGTAGATGAACAGGGCGTCAAAGACATACTGAGGCCACTCATGAGTGCTCAAATAGCCCGTCGTGCCTTCGGTAAATTCCACAAGTCGGTAGACAGACCGAACCTGGTACAAGTCAGCGAGTGAACAGCATCTTTGATTGAAGAACTGACAAGAATCAATATCGTGGTGAGATTGACCACTCTCAGTAGAGCAGGCCAATGTTTGTTTTTCACAATCCCATCAATCCTGTAATTCTTCATTCCAACATTCTCATACCGTTCATCTAAAGACCCGGTGAAGCGCTTGGAAGTGAAGTTGAAACGGACGGCTGCGATAGCGAACAAACCAAAGGCGACCAGTTGGACAATAACACCTATCTGGGCAACATGTTTTCCAGTGTCGAGCTTGTTTTTCGCATCACGATCTGTGCCATCGACTGAAGTGATCATCACTGCACCGCCAAGCTGGAGCAACAGAGCAATGATATCAAACCCGACAAAGATAGGTGTAATGAATCGGGGAGGTACCCAGCATAGTCGAAATGTGCGTGCCTCTTGAGGGACGATAAGAAATAAGATACGACTGAAGATGACATAGCAGCAAGCTGCCATGAGAACGGGTGCAAGGATGATGAGGGCAAATTGGAGAACATAAACAGGTCTCTCTGATTGATTTTGGACCGAGACGCATCGGCCAATGTAGCCGATTGCTTCCACTGGGTCTTGAGTTAGCTTGGGTGGGTTACAGATCAAATGGGTACGTACTGGCTGCTGATAGTACCATGACGCTCCAGACCCAGGCCCTGTACCGGATCCATTGTATGAGCGTCAACAGAAAAGCAATGGTGTACAAGACAGCAGCAACAATTGCAACTGGTAGGGAGGGGTCATAATGGTAATAGGAGGTTCTTCTTTCGCTGTGCGTAGCACGTTCGATGAGAGACATTGTAGATGTTTGATGCAGATGTCCAGTTCTTTCTTTCTTCTCAGTAGTGTCCACTTTCTTCACTCCCTTCACTCGCAATTCTCAATAGAAGCTATCGAGATGTCTCATGCCTTCCGAAAATCTCCAGATATGCGCGCTCACCATGAAATTAAATGGCAATCGAGCAGTTAACTATATACACATGTTTGTTTTGATAAGCTAAATGATGAAACGCTTACCCAAATAGGAAAGGACGATGCCAAGTTAATTTTTAGTGGAAGCGGCAGTCTAAGCCCTAGTCATTAGGCCTCTCATCCATCCAATTCTCAGCTTTTTGCCTAAATCCAATATGATGAAGTATGGTAAACCACACTTGTATCTACTTCGAAAGAATATTAATGCCCTTCTACGATCGTTCAAGCAACAGTCCTCACACTGTGTGTAGCATGTTCATTAGAGGAACACCGTATGATCTTGTCGGAGTAAAATACAGCTACTTTACCACTAGACCACAACAAAAACCAAGGTTCCCATTTATAGCCTAGTGGGCTTATACTGCTGCTTTGTCAGATCTAGATAGCCACGGCTGGGATGATTGAAAGTAAACTGGAAGTTGGGCGGTTTTTCAATAGGGGAGCCCTGGCAAGTGCTAGACCTCTCAACTATAGACTCACCCCTTTCACTCTCTTCTCTGCCTTCAATCTCAAATCTCGGTGCAGACTAGAAGTCTCAAAAACATGCAGCAGTCTAAGCAGATTAGTACGTAAATATAGCTATCGATACAACGGAAATGATACCTTGGCCAGAGATTGTTTGATTGTATACGCAATTAATTTTGAGTAGAGCTAGTCTCTGCGAAGTAATGCGGTGGACAATAACTTACCTGACATTTTAGAAACGGCGCAGCTCCCTAACTTGCACACGCTCTAGCTTTCAGGGGACATAGCTTCCGGATGGTAGCCCGCACTGATGTTGGAAGAAAAAGAACAGCACCAAACGATGCCACAGCTGCTATGCGGATAAATAACGTCAATGATTGAACGCATCGAAATCATCCAATGCTCTACATCGAAAAGTCATTTCCCACAGTTCAACCCGTTTTTACCGCCTGTAGTCTATACTTTGCGGTTGATTAGTCTTCACCCTCTAATCACATCACTATAAAGGAAACAAATACCGATGAATGAAAAAAGTCAAGACATCTGAAATGACTACCAAGACAAAAAACAAAGATGATTGTAGTGTCATTCTCGGAGGCCGCAAGCGCTTATGCCTTTTGCTAGATATTATTCGGAAAATCTCCGGTGCTTCTTATAGAAAGATTGAAACAGTATTGCAGATCCTATCCACAAGTTTCTAAATTGAAACACATGTTTTAGATTAAGCGCGAAGTATGTGCTTTGATACAGATCTCGAGTCTATATCCAGTTCGTTCCTTTCTCTTGTCTTGTTATATTTGCATTCATTTCTGCTTCTCTTCTCTTCTCTTTCTCTTTGCAATGGTTGTCTTTCTTTCTTTCTTAATTCCTTTTTCCCCCTTGTAACATGTTTTGTGCACCCTGGTCTCCTTGTCTCCGATGGCGATATTTTTCGCACTTAGAGAAAGATCAAGACCAGCCAAGATCCATGGACTACATCTTGGAATACCCTGACCAGTCTCTCATTCTCTGATGCCAACTATATCCCTTCCCCGGTTGGTGTTGTCTATCGAAGTACCTGGGACAACCATACCGAGAACGCAGAGCTCCTCTGGCATGACGTCGCAGCAGCATTCAACCTAGGTCTACGATGGAAAATGTCTCAAAATACGAGCTTTGCTCATGCCGCCAGCAATAGCCTGCATGCATGGGCGACCACTCTAACCGCAATCTACGGTGGAGACGACAAATACCTCACAGCTGGGTTGCAGGGGTGCGAACTCGCCAATGCAGTCGAACTCCTTCGCGACTATGAGCCTTTCGTGGACAATGTCCTCCCAGCTGTTGTGGAAATGGCCAAAGATATCTTTATTTCGATGCACTACAAATGTTTGAACCATCAAGAGCCGTCGGAGCATAATGTTCTTCATTTCTTCGCAAACTGGGAGTTATGCAATATTGCTTCGGCGATGGCTATGGCTGTCATAACCGACAATCAAACAGTGTGGGATTTTGCCATGGATTACTTCAAAAATGGGGAAGGAACAGGCGCAATCAACAATTCTATCACTACTATCGTTGAAGAGCCTGGTACTGGAGCTTTACTCGGCCAAGGCCAAGAGTCAGGTCGTGATCAGGGCCACTCAGCATTAGACATACAACTTCTCGCTGTTATTGGGCAGCAGGCCTGGACCCAAGGAGAAGATTTGTTTGCCTATAATAATAGCCGGATTCTCCGTGGGTAAGTACCATCTAATCATTCCATGCTTTTTGTCTTGACAAATACTCATATATCACCTTAGCTCTGAGTACTTTGTGCGATACAATCTTGGAAATGACGTTCCCTTTCTCTATTACACGAACGGTATAGTCAGCCACTCAGAACTTAGTAGTGCCTCTCGTGGAGCCATTTGACTTACCGGGGAGCTTCTCTACAATCATTATGTTATGATCAAGGGAATGGACGCACCATGGACTACCATGTTTCTCAGCAACTCTCTTGACTTCTGTGGCGGCGCAGAGGGCGGTGCAGACTCCTGGGGAGAATGTTCTGGCCACTACGATGGGCTGGGCTGGGGAAAATTTCTCTATCACATGGATGACTCCGATGTGGGAGCTGCATTCTCTTCTAAATCCGCTTCATCTACGGCAAACCCTACCCCGAGGGCATCAACCACATCTTGCGCAACGACTACACCTCCTGACGTATCCCGCCACGATGCCCTTGCTTTGGATTCAATCGCCACCGAAATTGATGCTATATCTGCCACCTTGGACACCAACCTGTTAGTATCATCAACTATGGCAACCAGCACTTGGACTGCTCCATCTTCTACGAGCAGTACAACTTCAACAGCATATCGACAACTGTACCTACTGCACCAAGTGTTATTTTTCCTAAGTCTCATCACCATAATCATCATCATGTGGAGGAACAGACACAAAATGTTTGCCATATACAATACGTCGACGTTTGATGCCTCAAAAACGGCTTCTTCATCCGCTGACCCTGCCCGGGCTTTTTCTACCATGTGAACATCCTCATTCGGCTGTCCAATCCCTCATTTTATGTAACTAATTTCTTAATGCTTGTCACCCTAGTTTGGTATTGTGTTCGTTGGACCAATCTTCCCACAACTCCAGGAGTCGAAGTGCCGTCTGGAGAATTTCCAAGGTAAACTTATTTCGAATATTAGCCAAGTACCCATACATAATTTCAAATCGAAGCAAGATTAAAGTCAATGACCAAAATCCGATGTAGATGTCTGTTTTGGTCCAGACGATGAAACAGATACCCAATTAGGAAAGGCCAATGCCAAGCATCTACTAAACTTATAGTGGAGCCTCGGGAGGCCAAGCCCCATGTCATCGACTTAATATCCGATCCGCACGAATTCTTTGCCTATTTAGAATTGAATATGACATCCCCGCGTCCACTTGGAGACAATGCCTTTCTACGGTCGTCCAAGTAAGGGTTGCGGCAGCTGTCGGGAAAGACGGATCAAGGCAAGTAGCGCCTAACACCCAACCAATCATAGACTGACATGATCTAGTGTGACCGGCTTGATCCCGTGTGTTCCCAATGCAAAAGAGCTGGCAAACCATGTGGCGGGTATCGGGACGTGCCGTCGCTTATGTTCCGCGATGAGAATGAAAAGGCGGCTCGACGAAGTGCAGAAGCAAAGGCTAAAACCGAGGCCCGTCGACGATTGGAGGACAGTACTACTCTAGAATCCAATATATCCACCCCCGGCTCGCGAGCCGAGCGTTCGCCGTCTGGCGCATTAGTCTGCAGGAGCAGGGGCCAGTTGATCTTGATTCCGAAATTAACTGCCCCGCTGTCCACCCCATTGGAGGACCAGGGGTTGAGGTTCTTTGTCAACAGATTTGTGTCACGGATGGCCACCAGACCAGATGGCTCTCTAGAAGTAGGTAGATTGCCGCCATCTCCTCATTTCGGAGCAATTAATATCGATCGGTCGAGTCGAGATGCTGTCATCTCGGTTGGTCTTGCTGCCTTGTCCAATGTCAATAATGACAGAGCACTACGGATATTGTCTCGAGAGAAACATGCCATAGTCATCAAAGCTGTGCGGAAAGTAGTGGAGAATCCCTCTCAGGCCAATCCTCACAAAGCTTTTCACTTGATCGTAATGCTAAGTCTATACGAGGTACGTTCTCCAGGTTGACGATTTCTATTCGAACATTGATAATTGTAACAAACTAACCGGCGCAGATGGTCAACTGTGCGCCAAACCAGCTCGACTCTTGGATAGTGCATCTGGATGGTGCCGCGGCGTTACTAAAACAATCCACCTTCCACCTATCACTCATGACCCTGAATCACCGAGCCCACTTACAATTTTACTTCGTTTCAATTGTCAAGTATTTCGCCAAAAGGGTTGTCACCCCGGATCTACTGAACTGGTCTCCTGATGTCATACCCTATGCGCCACCGGATATCTCACCAGGCGTCGAACTTGTTGACATACTGATAAGATTCACAAAATTTGATGCACGTCTGCATCACGAAAATCCCGACGCCAAAGCAGCAGTTCGCTCGGCACTTTCGTTTGAAGATGAACTTCGCGAGTGGGGAACTCACCTCCCAACATACTGGTCCTTTACTGTGGAAGAATCCAGTACATTTGAGTACACCTTTTATGGCCAGTATCATGTCTACAAAAATATGTGGGTTGCAAAAATTCTCAATCACTACCGCTGGGCACGACTGCTGGTCAACGAGACCATCGTATCCCTAATCTCGAGAATGGCACGACCAACAGCAAATGAGGTGATTCAACGGCAGCGGGCATTGGACACAATTGCTAGTATGGCCATCGAAATATGCACCGGGGCTGCAAGTCAGGAAGCTACCTTCGAGAAAGGAGTTACCGAAGAGTCCCGTATACCACTGCTGAATGGTACCTTCATGCTGCTTTTCCCATTAGGTGTTGCCGGAGGTGCGGCGGGGACCCCCGATGAAGTCCATGAATGGGTTGTTGGAACGCTTGAGCGAATAAGTTGCACGATGGGGATACGACGAGCTTTGGAAATGATACCACAAGTGAAGAAATCAAACAGGAAATGGAAACTAGATCAGAAGCTGTGGAACAGCAGACATGAATATAATACAAGTTAGACATAAAGATATTAAGTCAGCCTACAAGATTCAAATCCAGCTCCCTCCCAAAGTTCCTTTTTTGTTGAAACTTTAGTACATGTAGCTTCCGCAACGGGAAATAGTATTGACTGACTTAATGTACTTTGTTCCTCAATTGTTTTCCTCACATTACTAACTTTGCCGTAAGCAGACCAGATAACTATCCGCGAAGTGATGTAGAAAAGCAGGAGCCAACTAAGTTAGTTCAGCTGCCTTCAGTTGACTTGTTGCTCAAATTCAAACGATGAAATTGCTCTAGCTGTTTCTCAACGAAGATAAGGTTGATGCTCCATAGATCAACGGGGTACATGACTTTTATATATGTCGTACTTGCACTATTTATAGTGCTATACCACTCTTACTAAAGCACCACAGTATTAGACCAAATGTCTAGTGCTACGTATTTTGAAGGCCTGATCCTATGGGGTGTACTCAACATATAAGGTGTGCTTGGGCGCTTGGCACAGTTGTAAGATGTGTTTTACTCCGTAGTATAGCGAGCCCTAGCGGGCCGTAGATCCAGATTAGGTAATGCTGATGCGCGCCGGGGCGCGTGTTCGCGTCTCTCTCTAGACCTCAGACCTTCCATTGTCTAATTTGACATTCAAATTTCACATATCCTGTCAAAATGGCAGAAGCTGGATGTAAGCATATAGCTTCCCACTACCTACTATCAAGATAAAAACTAATCGATACTTACTCTAGGGTCTTGCGACGCCAACGATGCGGTCCATGTTACTATCATTCAACCCGGCGAGAAGAAGCCGAAAACACTTTCCACGTTCCACCCCCAATTTACTTATCCTATCTTTGGCGACGATGAACAGATCTTCGGCTACAAAGGCTTAATTATCCGTTTGCGCTTTGCGGCCCATGACTTGCGCCCTCATGTTCATATTTCCTATGATGAGAAGTTTAAGCCGGTCGGTGACACAGCTGCTGTCGATCTTCTTGATACCCTGAAACCTTTTGTTCAGCAAGGTGAGCTCAAGCTTCGCGACAATATATGCAATATAAGCTAATCACCATTTTGCGCAGAGGCATTCGCCAATCTCCCAGACTATGAGAAGGCTGTTCAAAACGACCCGGAAGCGAAAGATTTCAAGCCCCCAGGCGAATTTGTCATTGGCTACGAGGTCGATGACAGAAAATATGAGGTCTGGGCTGGATCACTTGCCAATCCGCAAGTACGGAAAATTCTGGATCGCATGCAGGTTCTCGTTTCCCTCTTCATTGAGGCCGGAACTCCCCTAGATACAGATGATCCGGAGTGGACGCTGGACCGGTGGAGGGTATATTTCGTGTATGCTATTCTCTGAGCTGTTGTTGTTTGTGATCTGACACTAATCAAACTTGCAGATATGAGAAGGTGACTCCTCCAACACCAACAGCATCATCATATTCGATCGTTGGATATGCCACAACATACCGCTATTGGTATTACCAGCGGGATCAATCGCAAATCCCCGCTGTCAAGAACGACGAGTTCCCACCACCAGAAGTCAACATTGCAGAGCTCCCTGCACGAATTCGACTTGCCCAGTTCCTTATTCTCCCTCCACACCACCGCGCCGGCCACGGCACACACCTATATACCACAATTCACGCGGCCTGCATCGCAGACCCAACCATTCTAGAATTGACCATCGAAGACCCCAATGAACAATTCGATGCGCTGCGGGACACAGCCGATTACTGCCTGCTGCGACCAGAGTTCTTGAAGCACAACGTGAATCTCAACCCCGACCCCCTCGGAGTGTATTCTCAAAAGAAACGCCCTCGCAATGTGCCCACTTCCGCCCTAATCCCAACCAAACTTCTCCACGATATTCGGAAATCGTTCAAGATTGAACCCACGCAGTTTGCGCACGTTCTGGAAATGTACCTTCTTGGCCAGATTCCTCAAAGTCACCGCCTAGCTGGCGGTACAAATCTCGCTCGACTGTTGATCAAGAAGTTCAAGGCCGAAAACGAGGACGACCGACGCTACTACTGGTGGCGTATGCTAACCAAACAACGTCTCTATAAAAAGCACAAAGAACTTTTGAAAGAATTGGAGCTTCTAGACCGCGTGGAGAAACTTGATGCTACGGTCCAAAATGTGGAGGAAGGTTACGAGATAACATTGGATGCGGTCGAGGGCCGCTTGCCAGAAGGTGAATCAAATGAAGAGGCAGAGGCAGACGCGAAGGCTAGTAAGGCTCCTACCGGTAGCCGGGACCGGCGTATCAAGCGCAAGCACACGGTCATGGATGATGATGATGACGATGAGGACGAGACAGAGCTAGCTAAGCGACCACGTGCTTAAGCGCCTTGCCGTGGTCAGCTCTTTTATGTACTATGTAATGCATGCCCGTGGATGAGGGTATTATTTTTGAAGCATTTCACAATTTAGTCTTATACACCATTCTTCGACAGATTTGTAATTCTAGAAAGCTCAAGTCTAGTCGATACAAACTAATTTATCCTACCGAAAGCTCTCTAGTGCATAGTTAGGGATTTGATGTATTATTAGATATAGATTGAAGAAAATTGAAAGAAACATTTGGAGGTTCGAGAGTTCCTCGTATGTGTAGATGGTCACCCAAGCCACATTTGGGCTCGGCACTTCCCTTTTTCCGGCTTCCTCATCGCATCTCTTGGAGCTTGGATTGCTATTCTCAACAACCCCAGATAGATCAGCAGGCCCATTCATTAGCGTTTGATTTCGCTATTCAAAGCATAATTCGCAGACTTTGGACCTACACAGCAACCCGCGCTCTTCCAATTCTGTGCGCCAACTGACTCTCCCACCTTCACCCACCTCATCGATCGCATTCCAAAATGGTAAGCTCCAGCTTTATCTAAGCGCCCGTTCCAAGAGTTATACTAAGTCAATTTTTGCTTAGCTGCCTCTCGGTCTTCTCACGGCCGCACAAGGCCACCCCATGCTGGTAGAACTGAAGAACGGCGAAACTCTGAACGGCCACCTGGTTACCTGCGATAATTTCATGAACCTCATTCTGCGCGAGGTAGTGCAGACGAGCCCTGAGGGTGACCGCTTCTTCAGATTACCTGAAGTTTACATTCGGGGCAACAACGTAAGCCATCCGACGAGCAATCAACTCACAGCCCCGCTCTTTTGGCTATGTGCTGACAACCTCCAGATCAAATACCTACGAGTTCCCGAAGAGATCGTCGAAATTGTCAAAGAACAGCAACAGAACCAACCACAAGGCCGTCGCGGCGGGCGAGACGGTGATCGTGGCCGCGGTCGTGGTCGGGGTGGTGGTGGCCGGGGTGGACGTGGTCGGGGACGAGGCGGCCCCAATTAGACATATACTTGTTCTGCATCAATGATTTTAAGAATACGGCAAACGAGATACCCCCGGAGGAGACGGTGGTAAGGTCGCTCGGAAGGTCCGGTGGAACGGTTTGATCGAGCATGGCCGTGGCGTATCTGGCTCTGTATTTTCACGGCATCTGGGTCACTTGGTCGAGTTACAACTACCTCTAAATGTTATATTCCAAAAACCCAAACTATACTTATCTATTCACTGGTAAACCCCATGCAATCCAAGAAGTGAATATTCGGGTCTGTCACGTGATATCAAACTCCAGATGAAATCCGCGGAGGCTAAGTTTCCGATGAGTTAGCCATCAACGGATATGTCACGGCGGGCGTTGGTCCTCGATGGGCTTTGGTATTCTCTATGTCCGTCATTTACAGCTTTGAGCCTCACTCGATCAACGGCATTCCCCAAATCCAAGGGACGAAGCCCGAGACTATATCCACTACCTTCAATCTCTAGCCCCAGTGCGGGTTCGCGCCGATGCTACAACACCTCTGGCGGCGATAACTTCAGAGGCTCATATAATGCAACACATCATAATAATCGAATTGAACCACGCGAACCACGCGAAAATGAATACCGTGACGCTCGTCTATCTCGCGACCCAACCGCCAGGCCACCCATACAACCAAAACGTGGCCCGCTATACACACGAACGCATAGGGTGCAAGATGATCTACTAGAAAAAACGAACGAATGGTTAGAATCCCGATTGCAATATGCAATGGACAACAAGCCAAACATTCGACACATAACGCAGATCCTGCGACTGCTCGTTCGGGACCGTCATGTGCAGCCGAATGCTCGACACTACAAAGCGCTGATCCTTGCAAACACCGACAATGAGAGAGGCTCACCGGAGCTCGTGCGCGGCTTGCTAGAGGAGATGGAGAATAATGGCATTACCGCAGACTCGGGTACACTCCACGGTGCATTGCAGGTAGGTCATCCGATTGAACCGAGTTATACATGTAAAACGAGGCTCACAAATGTCTTCTTCTAGGTACTCGCTGTACATCCAGACTATCTCCTACGACAAGAAATCCTCAACAAGCTACGAGACCGGTGGCTCACGCTGAGCCCAGCCGGGTGGCATTTTGTGGCGGCTGGTCTTCTCCGCGAGAACCAGATTGAACTCGCGCTCGAGCATGTTGCATTAATGGAGCGCAAGGATATAGTTGTGGAAAACTGGCTACACAGTATTATTGTCTACACGCTTTGCGACCATGGGGAGTTGGACGAGGTGTACAATGTGATGCGTGCACGCGTCGACCAGGGCCACGACATGACCCAACGGCTTTGGATGCACGTGTTGACCGAGGCAGGAAAACAGGGCCATTACCCGATGGCACACTACGTGTGGCGACGGATGGTTGAATTGGGTTATATGCATCCGCTCGTTGAAGTCTGCAATGACGTATTGAAAATGGCTGCGAAGACTGGTGATACAGAGCTAGCGAGCTCTGTGTTCCGGTACCTCCGTGAGAGCGGGATCCCGCTCGAACGCACACAGTATGAAGGACTTGTTGCGACTCACGTGGCGGCAGGTGATTTGCCTGCTGCGTTTGAAGCGCTTTGTACCATGCACGAAGCTCAAATTCCTCTGGCGGATAGTTCGACAGAGCGTGTTCTCGCCCACATGATACAGAATAAAGTTGATCCCCGGGAGGCGTGGCAAATTCTAAAGCGGCTGAAGAATGAGAAACGAATTATTCCCATCGACTCTGTTCGTGTCATCGCGGATCTCTGTGAACATGATGCTCATGACGATCCATCTGTGGTGGATGACGGCGTTGGGTTCTACAAAGAACTCTATACGTTATGCCCCGAAGGTGCCGACGTCCGAGTGTACAACGCGTTGATTCGGATGTGCCGAACGGCCCGCAACCGCGAATCGGGCATGTTCCTGGTGAAAGAAATGGCGTCACTTGGGGTGGTACCGAACGGTGCTACTTTCGAGTCTATCATCCTGATGTGTTTAGATGCGGGAAATTTCCGGTCTGCTTTCATGTACTTCCAAGACCTGATAAAGCGGGACGCCAGACTCAGCCCTGAAACGCAGCAGGAAATCCGTGAGATCTGTGCCGGGTCTGTGGACGAGTTCGCAATGCGACTGCAGTATCACCCCTTCATTCGAGACGACGTGAGAAAGCTAGACGAGGAGCTACAGCAAAAACAGAAGGATAAAGAAGCCAATGAGAGAGCTGGCCGCCACCCTGTACCACCGGCAGTTCGTCGGCTGAACATGTCAGACGAACAGCGACGTGATTACAACAAAGAGCGTCGAAAGAGGAAACGACGTCGCCTTGCCATTGAACAAAACATGAGAGAGGAGGGTTGGGATGAATGGGAAGCTGGTGGCACCAACAATGGCTCTGCCAAGTCTGAATGAAACTAGTCGGGTTCTTTCGATGTTTGAGAACATGTTCCAATCTCGATCAGAATACGGAGTACTCCGTATTCATTTCCTGGACGGCATATTGCCTGCAATATGGAACTAAACTACGCGCCACATAAATTCTTTTCAGGAACAGAATACCAATTCCCCTTTCTGGGCATGTCACAACGTTCGACCTCGGACAACATATGTATATATCCTATCTTATAAGCGTTTGTATTACCCAAATATTTGCCCCAGCATAACAAAATCATCTCTCTGTTCCTTATACAAAAAAAAAAAAAAAGTAAAAGTAAAAAAAAGCAAACCTGGAGTCGATAGACCCTGTTCCCTGTGGATCCATGCATGTATACTATAAATAGTCGGACTAAAAGACCATAACATCGGTGGACTATTGGACATTATAACGTACCACCTTTATAAACAAAGATACTATGATTCAACGATGACTCGATGACTCGATCTAAGGGTGAACAATCAAAGCGAGTGTACTCCGTCATGGAATCTTGAAAGGCACATTCACATTCACATTCACCCCTGAAAGTGATCGGCGCTGGTTTCCGAGTGCCAAGAGCGCCCAGAGAGGGAAGTGCCGCCAACCGCCAGCCCGCCTACCAACTATATAATTCCCCAACCTCCCTTACCTCTCCTGATCATATCCAACTAATTCAATACTTCTCTAAAATAATCACATCCAAAAATGCAACTCACCTCACTCCTCCCAATCGCCCTAGCAGGCCTAGCCACTGCACTCCCTGCTGCCCTACAGGCCCAAACAATCACCGAAGACATCATCTGGGGCGTCTCCAACTTCACTGTCGGCTGTTCCCAAGGTGGCTGCGTCTTCAGATATGATATCGCTGGCAGTCCGAACTCAATGACTCCCAAGTTCCGCACGCACTGCAGCGGCCTTGCAGAGAAGGAAGTCCTCTGCGATGACAATAATATCAAGACCACTGTTGCTCCTGCCGGTTGGTCTGAAGATGGGAATCAGAAGTGGAATGTCGGTGTCACCCACACCTGGAATACCGTGCTCAGCGACAAGTCCCTCGCGACTTGGTTCCAGTACGGCGCGCAGAATGTTACTGTACCTTACCGCCAGCCGGTCAAGTTTGTGATTAAGCCTACTCAGGAGTACGGCATTGCTTAAATCGTCGCCTCTTTGAAGGAGGATTTGGCTCTTTACTTTGTAATGGAGGGTCTTAATGGGTCTGTTTGATGAGCACACGACATATGGCCCAATTGGAAATTTCAGGGATTTCGTGATGGGAATAATTGGATTGTATAGTGTGGAAATGTACAAAGGAATCGAATTTGCCATAGCATTCCAAGGTGATATACTACATATAGATCAGTATGTTGTACTCCGTGGGAAAATTCTCCGTATAGTAGAGAAAACAAGGGACCTGATGTGATGACATCATCCGCTGCGCCTCAAAAACAACTCCTTGTCAAATTGTATACATCTTGTTTTTTCCACATTCACATAATTTCGATAATTTTGATCATTCTGGTGGACATACCTTGTAGCACATACTCTGCAAATGGTACGTCAGCTTCATCGCAATAAGTTTCCACTGCTCACCTTGGAATATCCCAGTCATCAATTCTCCGCCAGATAGTCGCAGGTCCAAGACAACAACACCCAGAAGCAGGACTAGATCTCTGCTACGTGACAGACAATGGTACTATGCTCGCCAATGTACACCAAAACATCCCTTAACATAATTTACAGTCATCGCAACCTCCGGTCCATCAGCAACATACCCACAGCGCGCCTATCGCAACCCACTAGACGCACTCGTCAACTTCCTCGACACCAAACATGGCGCGAACTGGTGCATCTGGGAATTTCGCGCTGAAGGCACAGGATATCCAGACTCAGAAGTCTACGGACGCATCCACCACTTCCCCTGGCCCGACCACCACCCCCCGCCATTCGCACATATCCCCAACATCATGGGCAGCATGCGGAACTGGCTAAATCGTCTAGACGAAAAAGAATCACCCGACAAGGATACCGATAAAAAGGAACGCGTCGCCGTCGTCCACTGCAAAGCAGGCAAAGGGCGTAGCGGGACAATCGCGTGCGCATACCTGATCAGTCAGGAGGGGTGGAAGAAAGAAGATGCGCTACAGCGGTTTACGGACCGGCGCATGCGAGTCGGCTTCGGGGACGGCGTTAGCATCCCCAGCCAACTGCGATATGTCGGATATATAGATAAATGGGCGAATGAGATGGGGAAAAAATATGTCGAGCGACCGGTGGAGATTCTAGAGGTTCATATCTGGGGATTGAGGGATGGAGTTAAGGTTGCGGTCGAGGGCTATGTGGACGAAGGGAAGAAAATCAAGTGTTTCCATCTGTTCCATCGGGATGAGCGTACCATCGTTGAAGACGGGGGCTTAACGTCTGAGGAACAAGAGACTGGCAAGGGGAGCGACATCGCCAAGCCGAATCCCAACTCCAACCCCGACATCAAAAACCCACTCCCTTCGTCTGCGACCTGGTCTCCGGCGGTATCGGGATCTGACGTTTCCGCCTCATCGTCCGCGCCAGGCCACAGTGTCTCGGCAATGATCTTCAACCCCAAGAAACCAATCATTGTCCCCAGCTCGGATGTGAACATTGACTTTGAGCGCCGCAGCAAAGCATCCTACACAGGTTTTGCCATGGTAACATCCATCGCGCATGTATGGTTCAATCCCTACTTTGAAGGCGGAGCCGAGCACGACTCGGGCGTCTTCGAGACCGAATGGGACGCGATGGATGGGATCAAGGGAAGTGCGCGGAAGGGGATACGGGCGCTAGACAAGCTGAAGGTTGTATGGCGATATCCTACGACGGAGAACGTGGAAGCGAGTGCAGCTAGCAAGAGCGAAGGGAAAGAGAAGGAGAGCTTGGATAGCGCGCCGGCAGCGGGGAGACCGATCAGTGAGCCCCAGCCCGGTGATTCCATCCATGAAAGCGAACCGCCTGACTGGCGAGGACTGCCACAGGGAGATAAGAAGGAGAACCAGCGCCCTTCTGAGAGTTCGTCACACAAAAGTACTGCTGCGAGTATCTCAGACAAGACTAAGGAGCTGGGACATGCCGTAGAGAGGGAACTTGGACTACGGAAGCACACGGGTGATAGTCGGGGTGTTAGTCTTGCTGGGAGTGATGAGGAGACGACCACTACCGATGATGACGGCCGGGAGACCAAAGTTCAGAAGGTGCATAGTGAAGGGCTCGAGGGGGTGAAGACGAATTATAAGCAGACTGGGAGTGCAGAGTAACATCAGAGCTCTGATCAGTCGAGTGGGAAATAGTATGAGCCAAAGCTTGTACAAGTGTATAGCATAAGTAATACATAGCACATTTACGAATATACCATTGATGAATATTCTGTCTGCTTGATATTGTCACAGGTCATATACTCTGTATTATACATAAATGAAAACATCGCAGCTCGCTAGGAACGGTATGAGTGTGGAATCTAGATATGTCAGGTTGTATCTAACTCAAAAATAGGGAAATATTGAAAGAAAAAGGAAGCACGGGGGTATGCGTGGTAAACATGCCAGAAATATCAAAAAAACACCATCTGTATTCACGATGGCGGATGTAGTTTCAACCAGAACCAGGTTTGGTCCGGTGATAATTGGAGCAAAACAGCGCGGAATCATAGAGGCACAAAGCCTTCCATCTTTTTCCGATGCTCTGCCGCCTCTCTCTCTAGTCGATCGGTTTTTTTGCGCTCATAGACAGCGCGAACAACACGGCGAGTTTGCTCTTCGCCCTCGGAGAAGTTTGCCTTTGCAAGGCCAACGACAGAATCAACCTGCTCGGGCGTATAGATGAAGTTCCAAGTAGACAAGAAATCATCGACTGCAGGGTCGATCGAGTTGGGCTGTGGAGCGAGGGGTTGTTCCGGGTCTTTGGTCTGAGAGCTATCCTGTCGCATGGACTGAGCAGCTGCAAGCGGACGAGTTTTAGGCTTAGGAGGGATGTCGGGGGCAGAGGGATTGGGAATCAGAGGGAAGTAGATAACCGCGATACCGGCATCTGGGCGCATCAGGTGGAAATCTGATTCAGACTGGTCTTCGGCCTGGGAAGAATCAAAAAGGCGTTTGGATGGTGGAGGTTCGTCGTCCGACGTTCGCTCTTCCGTGGTGCCAACCCAAACGTTGCAATAGCCCAGGTCTGTGCTGGACTTTGGTTTTTGATCAGCGGGCTGGTTTTCAGCTTTTTTCTTGGCATCGGTGAGTTTCTTTGTTAATTGCTCCTCAGTGATGTGCTCTGGCTCGCGCAAGGCATCCGCGGTGTCCTTGAGGCTCGAATTTTTAGGCCACCCGGCGCCGACGGGCCAACCCTTGATACCACGTTGTCTGGCGTATCCATCGACCACAGAAAGCCAATTTTCCTGCTTGATATCTGCAGATGCATCAAATGCGACAATTACGTCGACATCGCGACCAGGTCGAATGAGTGGGTAGATTGGCAGGTTGTTGCTCATTCCCGCATCCATGAGACGCAGGTGAGGACTTTGGAAGATCGACTCTGGACAGGAGTCGGCCAGCTGATCTTTCATGCCCATGACGTAGTTGGGTATACCCGCAGGGTCAATGGGATGAACCTTGATCAAATCTTGGTTCTTTCCTTGGATGAGAGAATCGATTCCGCTAAATCCCGCCAGACCTCTGACTAGAGGCCGGATCTCCTTGTAATAGTGAGACAAGGTCGCACAGAAAGCACTACCCCAAACGCCCATGAGCCCCGGAACTCTCAGCTCTGGGATAGGGAGGTTGTCGGCAGAAACCTCGGAGCGGCCCGCGTTGAAATGACGTCCTAAAGCCCAGGTGGGAATACCGGCATTGAGTTCTTCACAAAAGAATTCATAGGGAGTGAACTCAAACCACTGGAACCATGCTTCACTTTGCGACACTTTCATCAGTTGCTCAGGCGTTGGCTGCTTCTTGCCCTGGTCGTTATGGTGTTCGAGAGCATCGACAGGAATCTCATGTCGCACCGCTGTGTAGATGGGAAGTGGATGAGCCCCATCTATCAAATTGGCTCGCTGGTTCGACAACTTGAAATCCATGTCAGAGACTCCCAGTTCTCCTCGTGGGACCAATAATCTCGCTGCGAGCAGCAATCCGTAAATATCTACCAATCCAAAGTCCGCTCCGGGGTCGCCTTTCAGCTTTTCTACAAAGCCACTGAGAAGGAACTTGTTTGTCGGGGCGGTGGTGAGGAGGTTGAGAGCTTCCGGTGGGAATGCAATGTGGACACCAAGACGATTCTTTAAATGGTCGACAAGCTTGTCGAAGTCTCGCTGCGCAATGGATGAATGATAAAGGGTCTGCAGCCAGCAACTGCCACTGACACCAGCTGTGTAAGTAATACAATCCCACAGGCCCGCTTCCTGTGCTGCCAGATACGATCCGGTGCCTGCCACTAGAGCGCGCAGACCACCTCCCGAACCACATATCGCAATGACCGGTACATCTTCAGGGTGGATGTCCCCCTCGGGTATGTTGAGGTAGGCTGACAATGCTTTGACAACCTTCCGTTGTCGCTGTTTTCTGAACGCCTGCTCTTCTTCGCAGAGATCCCCACTCACGCGTACCTCGGCGTCCCGGAGAATCTCGGGGTTGATGTCGGGATCGTGTGCTTCTTTCCAGATATCGTCTGCTAATGAGCCGGGCGACTGTGAGAGCTCTCGTTGGAGCTTTTGGGCAGTGGCTGGTAGGAACTTTGTCCAGTCCGGGATGATGTAGTCTGTGATGCTACCCACATCTGCCCACTCGGAGCTAACAGTTTGCTTAACTTCATCGAGCTTGTCCCAGATAGATTCATGGTCCTTGTGATCCCCATCAGAACCATTGGACTTATGAGACTCCGAGTTATTGCTGTTTTGTGTTCGAGAAGTAGTGAATTGAGCTCTTGATTGTCTGGGGTGGGAAAATTCCCCCGCAGTGTATGCAGCTAGGGCAGCCGGGGGTACTGTCCATTTCAGACGAGTGACCCTCGCAGCACACATCGTAGACAGGGAATTGAAGGCAAGACAAGGGACCTGCTGCATCTAGTAGGATCCATTAAAGGACTCCCAAAACCCTGCCTGCCTTTTCTTGCAAAGCCAACCCGTTTTGGAACAGTCCCAAAGTGCATGACGTAAGTTCACGTGAAATTATCACGTGATCACTCCAGATCAGTGTATCGCTACTTTGGGACTAGCGTGGCGGAGCTCCTTATCACTGGATGGAGCTCGGAGGGGACAATCAATCCATTCCATTTGCCCTCAAGGACATGAGGGGTCTTGCTGACATGTGATATGGTCTCTCTGGATTCTGCCTGAATTGCATCTCATAAGTAACCATGGTGGCGCCAAGGAATACCGCCTACGCCGAGGAAAGCGCGGAGGTCGAGGTCCTGTATGCCAACCTGGAGAAGCTCAACCGACTCACGAAGAAGATCCAAGGCTCAATGGTACGGCTGGAAACAGGAGGAAAAGTTGTCAAAGAAGCCATTGGACCCATCTATAGCAACACCCAATCCCTTCAAATCACCAACAGCAATATCGACAAGGTCAACGACGCCATCGATCGCCTGCGCCAGCCTCTCGATGCAAAGAACCGAGAAGATGGCATCATTCGCGCTGGGTATGTATCATGCTATTCTCCTAGACGTACAACCCCGAGACTAGGTTTTTGCTGACCGTCCTTCAGACCACAAAGCTCCGGCCTCACGCAGTATCTGTCGGCGGTGAAACGTGTTGAAAAGGCGCTGGTCGACCTCAACACAACAAATATGCGATCAAACCAGAATGCGATCGCCGATTTCAATTCTCTTCTGAACACCGGAAGCGCAAAACTTCAAGAACTGCTGCGCGGAGAATTAAGCCAGCATGCCACTCCTATTGAGCCCCTACACTATCTGACCAAAGGTACACATATAACCACCGAACGATCTAGATCAAAACTAATGCGCGGCGCTTCTAGATCTTTCCTTTCCATCTATACCCGAAGAAACTGTGTCCCATATGGCGCCCGTGTGCTCGGTAGTTGGCTCCGCATCCATCCATGGATCCCAGCGCGGCAAGGGGGATAATCCTGCGCTAAAGGTGTATGCGGAGGTACGAGGACCCTACATCACATCCAGCTTGCAGAATCTCGCCATTGCATCCCTTAATACTGTCAAGCGGCGACCCACCGATGGCCCCTACAAGCAGGGTACCAATGGTATTGGTATCTACTCCAATGCGTTGGAGGCTTTTATAACTACCGAGCACGGTATTATTACGCAGATGTTTACTGGAGATCAGCAGGGCCTGGCGCTACAGGCTACCTTCTACCAAGCCATGGGCGAATATTCCAAAACACTGCGTGAACTCAACCAGTATATAAAGGCCAATCTGATGACGGACTGCTTCTTGGCTTTTGAGATTATTGAGATTGTGACTGCGATGTCCTATCGGATTGACTCCAAGGCCGCGGAACTGAAGAGTCTCTTAATAGAGGCTCTTCGGCCTGTGCGGGAGACCGCAAAGTCGTCTCTTTCCGAATTGCTCGAGGAAACGAAGCGCAAAGCTGCTACCACGCCACTTCCACCGGATGGTGGGTCGGTTCCTCTTGTGGAGGAAGTGATGAGCTCATTAGCCACACTGACAGGATACTCGGGTCCTTTGGCTTCTATCCTGACATCTCTAGGAGATGGAAACTGGCGTGCTAAGTCTAGCATCGCCGGCTCTGCTCCTCTAGATGTAGGCCCAGACAGCAGCACCCTTCTGTCACATTTCATTCTAGATATGATTGAGGCTTTGATGACCTCCCTGGAAGCTCGAGGTCGGGCTTTCCATCGATCCAAGGCAGCCCTTGGTGTATTCTTATCCAATGTATTCTGCGTGGTCGACCGGTCGATCCGACAGAGCCCAGAGCTAGCACGTTATTTGGGCAGCCCGGATAGTATCGCCCGGATCGATACTTTCCGCAAGCGCGCGACGTCTACCTATCTTGATGCATGGAAAGAAACATCCCAGTACCTTCTTGATGTGCAGTATACCTCTCGTGGAGCGCAGCGCAATTCTAGTGGCAACGTGGATTCAGGTGCCATCGTCAAGTCCCTGTCGTCCAAGGATAAGGATGCGATCAAGGACAAATTCAAATCCTTCAACGCGAGCTTCGATGAAATGGTGTCTCGGCATAAAACCCTTCACATGGAGCGCGAGGTGCGCCTTTCTCTGACTCGTGAGCTGCAGACTGTACTCGAGCCCTTGTATGCGCGATTTTACGACCGATATGTGGAGATCGACAAAGGCCGCGGCAAATACATCAAGTATGACAAGGCAAGCCTATCGGTACAGCTGGCGCAATTGTCCTAGTTTCCCCGAGCGAACATCAAAATTACGCAGGATTGTCATTTATACGAGCTAATATCATAATATGCCCCCCAATCTGCTTTCTCTCATCATCAACCTGCCACTAGAAGAACGTACGGTGTCATGTGACATGTAGATCATAAGGTTTGCGATAACGTGACTGATAAGCCCCGCTAAAGTCGGACTGGAGCAAAATTCCTTGCACATTGTCTTGTCTCTGTCTTATCCTCCGTCCTGCTACTCAATTCTTCGTTTGAGTGTCTCAGACAACCCACCGACACAATGTCCGGAAGCAACGATGTCTACCAGACCCCCCTCAACTCGCGTTATGCGAGTAAGTTCGACCCCAACTGCCCCTCCATGGGAGGGACAACCCCCGGAAAATGTTTAGAACGTGATTAACCATACTCAATTGATCAGGCAATGAGATGAAGTACCTTTTCTCACCCCGCAAGCGCTTCTCCACATGGAGACAGCTTTGGACCTGGCTCGCGGAGGCTCAACAAGGTACGGGAGAGTCGAGCTTCGACCGACATCGGACATAGTTGAAGCAAGGCATCCAAATTGACTGAATCATGGCTACAGAGCTTGGACTTCCTATCACCGCCGAGGCCATTGAGCAGATGAAGGCCCACCAGGTTATCCAGGATGACGAGTTCGCCGTTGCCGCCGAGGAGGAGAAGCGCCGCAGACACGATGTCATGGCCCACGTCCACGCCTATGGCCTGGTTGCCCCCGCCGCCGCCGGTATCATCCACTGGGGTGCCACCTCATGCTACTGTACCGATAACGCCGATCTGATCCTGCTCCGCGACGGTCTTGACATCCTCATCCCCAAGCTGGCTGTTGTCGTCGATAAGCTGTCCCAGTTCGCTCAGCAGTACAAGGACCTTCCTTGTCTTGGATTCACTCACGGTCAGCCCGCCCAGCTGGTTACCGTCGGCAAGCGTGCTTGTCTCTGGATCCAGGATCTGCTGATGGATCTCCGCAACCTCGAGCGTGCCCGTGATGACCTGCGCTTCCGTGGTGTCAAGGGTACCACCGGTACTCAGGCATCTTTCCTGCAGATCTTCAACGGTGACCACGCCAAGGTCGAGAGCCTCGATGAGCTTGTTACCGAGAAGGCTGGCTTCAGCTCCGCCTTCATCATTTCCAGCCAAACATACTCGCGTAAGATCGATGTTGATGTCGCCAACGCTCTTGGCTCTTTCGGTTCTACCTGCGAGCGCATTGGCATTGACATCCGTCACCTTGCCATGCTCAAGGAGGTTGAGGAGCCTTTTGAGAAGGACCAGATTGGCAGCAGTGCCATGGTGAGTTTGCTGGTCCGTTGTGTCAATTGGGTATTCTTTCGCTAATAATTCGTAGGCCTACAAGCGCAACCCCATGCGCTCGGAACGTCTGTGCTCTCTCGGACGTCACCTGCAGAACCTCCCCAAGGACTGCTTAGATACTTACTCCGCTCAATGGTTCGAGCGATCTCTCGTGAGTTTACCCTGGATTTCATTTAGAACCTTCTATTAACTGGTAGCAGGATGACAGTGCCATTCGCCGTATCAGCATCCCCGAGCTGTACCTGACTGCTGACGCCTGTCTCATCCTCCTGAGTGGGTTTTTGAAAATTCCGATAAGACCAGAGTGTAGCTAATTCATACCAGACAACGTCTCCTCCGGCTTTGTTGTCTACCCCGAGGTCATCAAGCGCCACGTCAACGACGAGCTCCCCTTCATGGCCACGTGAGTCCACATCCACAAATCCAAATGGAAATCGCTAACACCATATCTCAGCGAGAACATCATCATGGCCTGTGTTGCCAAGGGTCTCTCCCGCCAGGACGCCCACGAGGAGATCCGTAAGTTTTTTTTCTCTATTTCAATCCGAACCAAAATTCTAATGTACCCAGGTGTTCTCTCCCACCAAGCTGCCGACAACGTCAAGAAGCAGGGCCAGAACAACGACCTGATTGAGCGTATCCGCCGCACCGCGTTCTTCGAACCCATCATCTCGCAGCTGGACACTCTCCTGGACGCCAGCACCTTTGTCGGCCGCGCCCCCGCAGCAGGTCGAGAAGTTCACCTCCACCGAGGTGGCGGCCGCCATCAAGCCCTACGCAAGCACCATTGCCAAGGGTGAGACCTCTTCCCTGTTTGTTTAAAGAGCAAAGTTACATAAAAAGAGAGAGATAGAGCAAGGACAAAAATACATGCAAAACATCTTCCACATGGAACTTTTCCCCCCCCACTTTCCTGCTTCCCCGAATGCCCCGCGTCAATCTTTTTGGAGGGGCAATTTCGGGCAATCTGGCAAACACTCAACTTCTCGAGGGAAATGATCATATTCCGCTGTATAATGCAAAAGACTCTGACTCTGAATCTCAGAGTCACCAAATAAAATCACACAATTGAACCGCCCAGACAAAAGAGAGATGGCTCAGGCTATTAACCCGGCACATGTGGTAATCATATATGCAATCAAACGCTATGAACATGCAATCGTAAACAAAAAAAAAAAAAAAAGTGTCATGCAAATAGAAAAGAAGAGAAGAGAGAAGAAAAAGGCTGTTGGGGTCAATTGAGTGTCGAACAGGTATAGTCCGTAAAGAGAAGGCAGTCAAGTCAGAAAGAACCCGAGCGATCTAGCAAAGTAGCATCCACCAAACCACATTGATAGTCGAATCTCCATCCCCGAACTGCCCAACAGCCATGCTAGTACATCGGGGAATTTCCGGAACCACCAAACAGCGTAATGCAACGGCTATTGCAACGAATCAAGCGAAGCCGTGTGGATGTGGCTCGTGAATCGCAATCTCTCGGGGGGCCCTCACGGGGGCCTCACTGGGCCCAAGAGGGAAAAAAAGGGCTCATTCGAGCGCAATGCATCTCTGCCCAAGACCAACTCAGAACCCAAATATCCACAAGAGCCAAAAAGCCTCGCGCAATCCTGTCATAGGTGAAAAACCCCCACTCCCGGGAAAGGAGTCATCCAGTCCCAATCCGACATGGGATCCTTCCCACAAACCCCACACACACAGCCCAAAGAAGCGCCTTTTTATTTTTGGTCGGGTTGCGGAGGGGTTTCGGAGTCGGAAGTGAAGGGTAAGAAGAGGTCACGGACTAGCCAGACGATATAGAGGACGGCCAGGACCCAGAGGGTCGCCATGAGCTTGTAGGTTGAGGAGCGCCATGTGACACGACGGATGAGACGACGGCCATTGGGACCTTCGATAGGACCTCGACGAGGGGGTTGGCCGTTTAATTGACCGTTGGAATGGCCGGATTGCATGAAGGGATATGCGAGTGCCTCATTCATCTCGCTGTGCGATATTCGACGACGAGACATTGTAGATTTCCGGAGGATATATATATATGTCGGAGGTGCTTTTTGATTTTCCCTATGTATATCCCGAGGAAAGGGTTAAGTATAGAACGCACAAAGAGAAGGAATTTGAGGATATGGAGGATTTGAGGTTTTTGGTTTTAGGGCAGAATTGATTGTTTTTTTTTTTTTTTTTTTTTTTTCCCTTCAGTGTTATATTTTGCCAACGCACACAAAAAAGGAGGAGGGGCCAAATAATAGCCAGTTAGAAACAATAATTGATGAACCGCAAGAGCTCGAAAAGGGAATCTTGAGTCTCCAGAAAGCGGATCTGTTGGCTGGGCGAATGGGCAGCGGTGGGAACGTGGCCCGTTGCATCTTATGCCCTTTTCTCTTCTCTTCTCTTTCTTTCTCTATGTAAAAGGATTAGGAATATGAATATCTGAAAAGGATGCAAACGAATCTCCTGAGCAGTCCAATTAAGAACATAGAGAGAGTGCGCCAGGAAATGCGAGATAGCCGCGAGGCTCGACAAGTGTCATTTTCTTAGCGATGTCGATTGGAAGGCTAAAGGGGGTTCAATGGGAGAAACAAAAGTACCAAACGTTAGATTGTGCAGGGATGCACGGTCCTATGGACTGACTCATATAGGTAGGTGCATAGTTATAGTTATATATCTATCAAAGAGAGCGAGATGTATATATATACTTCATACTTCCCCGGAACGGAAAGGGACCATTGTTCGACCTATCCAATCTATCGTAAGCTCGAAATCTATTTAGAGTATACACTATATGTTATACATATGAGCCTAAATTATCCCTCTTGTCCCGAAGTCATGCTGACTCACCCGAGTTGATATACTTCATTTCAATCTCTCGTCACCGCTATTTGAACTTCAGCTTTGACCATGTTACATTTAATTTACTCTTTTTTCTCGGCTATTGGATACACCAATACTTCTCGCTTCGAGACTTCACAGAATATTGTTGCCGGGTGAACTATAACTCTAACGACCCAAGAAAAACACAAATCAACATAGTCTTGTTATGTGACATTGACCAAGCTTGCTGCGGATCAGCTCAGTACAAGGGGGGGCAACTCTATATCGAAACCTTACTGCCTATGTCTTGGGATCATAAGGTTGATACGGAGTAACATATATGCATGTTGGAGTGATGGTAAGTAGGGCATCTTGCTTCGAACACAAGAGTTCTCACTAATATCTTGGAGTATACCCAACCTGGGACCTTTTCCGAAGACATTTCTTCTACAATAAAGATTCAAATATACATAACGCGAATGCTAGTCAACTCGCCAAGATGATGGCACTTCTGAGACCATCGCCAAGAGAGATGCTCTAGGGGACTATGCCACGGAGTTACGCTTTGATAGTGTAGGGATGTACCCTCACCTCATACCCTAATATTGACCAAGAGGATCGAGATCAGCGAAAAGAAGACGCTCTGATCCCCTCCGTCATCAGCCTTGGGGAAATTAGGTTCATCCTAAACGACTGCTCCAAGGGCATTGCAAGGTACTATTCTATAATAGGTTGAAGATGCTTATATTCTAGAGCACTAAATAGGATGATCATTTGGTCCAGTCCCATTTCCCCAACCTGTGCACAATCCATAGAGCCTCGGGCTATACCCCGACATCTTGATATCTCACATGTGAGTCATGCCTCAGGCCATATTACGTCATTGGGACGGGTGAACGGATTAAGATTTCGTACCTTAGGGCTTCATACACACTCCTAGGCTATCAGCCTTGGATATTATTATTTTTTTCTTTGGCTTGTGAAAGAAGATATAGACAAAACACAAGCAATTCATCGTAAGTTGCTTATTTCCCCATTTTCATGTCGTGTGATCTTCCCTCCGATCCCCGGAGAGCGCAAGCGGAGAACCCGGGGACCGCTTGACCTCGGCAGTTCAAAACGTTCCGATGACTCGCATTACTCACACTTTCTCAACTCTTCTCTCTCCTAACACTTTCTAGACACAATCCCTTAGGCCATCCGGCCTATACACGCCACTATGTGGAAGCCTTCAGAAAGGCTGATGGAAACCATCAGACACTATGCCAGCTTCCCCGCAACCGGTGTCTCTCTGAGGCAGATGGTCCAATTTGGTGACCGGCCCTCAACAGGTAAGAAATGGTCTGACATTGTTCCCAGTCACATCTTTAACTCTTATCTAGGTACTCTATTCCGTGCCTCTCAATTTCTGTCTGAGGAGCTCCCTATTCGCCTCGCACATCGTGTGCAGGATCTGGGTGAGCTGCCAGATGGACTCAGTGAAATGCCATCGATCAAAAAAGTTCAGGACTGGTATGCGCAGTCGTTCGAGGTATGTGGATCGCCCATTAAAAATTCAACGTGCGGTCATAGGTTAACTCAAGAAACCAGGAAATCATCGCTCTTCCTCGCCCCACCCTGACTCAAGAAGTGAAAGCACGCCTATTACGACCAGGCCGGATGAACGGCGGCCCTTCGAAAATTCTCTCGGAAACAACCCAAAACCCCAGCGTACGTGAAGGACAATATCGGTCATCCGTGACTGTATGCAATGGAAATGGCGTGGGAAAATCACACGCGGCAGGCCGACGGTACTTCTTCCCCGCGGATGACCACGGAGACTGGCCCCCGGAACTCAACGACTACAACCAACGATTCGCCAAGACCCTTCAACAGATCAAGCGACGCCACGATGGGGTCGTGACCACTGTCGCACAAGGTATCCTAGAATGGAAACGTGCGCGACAGCGCATGCAGATCGACTCCACGATTCAGTCCTTCCTCGACCGGTTTTACATGTCCAGAATTGGTATACGAATGCTCATCGGCCAACACATCGCTCTCACGGAACAAACGCACATCAAACACCCCAACTATGTCGGAATAATTTGTACCAAGACCAACGTTCGCGATATCGCGCTCGAGGCCATTGAAAATGCCCGCTTCGTCTGCGAGGATTACTATGGTCTTTTCGAGTCGCCCAAGGTGCAGCTGGTCTGTAAAGAGGACTTGAACTTCATGTATGTTCCCGGACACCTATCGCACATGCTCTTCGAAACCCTCAAGAACTCGCTTCGGGCGGTCGTCGAACAACATGGTGCCGATAAGGATGAGTTCCCCGTGACCAAGGTGATAGTGGCCGAAGGTAAAGAAGACATCACGATCAAGATCTCTGATGAGGGCGGTGGTATCCCCCGGTCATCGATTCCTCTCGTATGGACCTACATGTACACGACAGTGGAGCAAACGCCCAACCTGGACCCTGATTTCGACAAGAACGACTTCAAGGCACCAATGGCTGGATTTGGATATGGCCTACCAATAAGCCGACTATACGCACGGTACTTTGGCGGTGATTTGAAATTGATCAGTATGGAGGGGTATGTTTTCTCTTCACTTGCACTTCTATAAAGCCTTGCTAACCCATCATCACAGCTACGGAACCGACGTCTACCTTCATCTTAACCGCCTATCTTCAAGCTCGGAGCCCCTGCAATGACAATCACCCGTCATGAGAGACGGTCGGATCCGGATCACCACTTCGCACCGCCTGCACCACCCAATTTACAATGACCCGGAATGCAAACCGCCGCCTCGAGGACTGACACTGATGAATGCCCAGGCCCACTACGCTCGCACGCTCAGCCGGGAAATTTCGGAGCGTAAGCAAGTCGGAGACATGGAGAGTCTGCTCCACTCGGAGAAGCGGAGAGGAGACGAGAAAGAGATGTAAGACGTGCGCTTGGGCCTTGGCTTTGGTCTTGGCTCCTCCGCTCTCTCTTCTGATTGGTTTCTCTCTCTCTCTCTCTCTCTCTCTTGTCTCTTGCTTCGATCTTTTCCTCCGATTTGAATGGCTGAATCTGTGACCAGCTGTTCAACCCAGAATGCAAAGATCAGTTCGCAAGTCACACTACAGTACCACCGCATTGCCTCAGTCTTTCGGGTAATATCCCAAAGATGGGAAGAGGAAGAGAACAAACCCCAAAAAAAAACAAAACAAAACAAAACAAAACAAAGACCAGAGAAGCTATTCTCTTTTCTGGATCCTCTCGATGATACCCATTTTCTCTTTCTTTGGTTCTCTTCCTCTTCATCTCTGGGCTGGTGACCCTGTCGTTGATTGACGTCTCTGTATAGTACTTTCTTTTTACTCCGTTTTAGCGAATATAAACATTATCGTATCATATCTATTCTTCATAACGGCTGCTCTGTAGTCAAGTATCCAATTTCATATTCAAAGAGCCCTCGACAGACCACACAAAAGACACCACGCTAATAATAACAAACATCACTTCATAACTCATAGCTCCTCATCCTCATCCTCCACATCTTGACCCCGACCTCGACTCCCAACCAACGAAGTCCCACCCTCCCCAACTCTTGGTGAATTCGCCCCCGAAAAAGACCCAGCCGAAACAGACCGCGACCCACCCTTCGCCTTCTTCGCATCCAAAGCCCTCAAATGCGCAGGCTTATGCCAATTATGATGATTAATATCCCCAATGACCTCCCGATACCGACCACGAATGAGCGATCCTTCACCGCCCTTCCCATCAGGCGCGATATAGAACCGCGGGTCATAGAGTTCTTCGGCTTTTTCCGGGTCATTGGGAGCGAGGTATTTTGCCAGGAAGCGGCGACGGGTTTGGGGGATTGTCTTGGTTTGTTAGTTGATTGTGACTGGGCTTAAGACTGGAGTTGGGAATGGCGCTTTATTCAGGGAAGGACAGGACAGGGTATTCCATGGTAGTAACGTACTTCTCGCGAGGCAAGCGCATATGTAACTAATAACTCACTGTCCATGAGGACAGCCAGAGCGGCGTGTTTTTCGTCGCGGATATGCGAGCGTGTGTGCGCATCTTTTTCGAAGGCGGTTTCTGGTTCTGTAATGCCATCCGGACCGGCGCGGTTGTAGGATGTTGTGAAGGGATTCTGGGCACGGCCGGAGAATCTTCCTTTTTGGTGTGTTAGTCTCTAGACTGTTACTGGATCGGGTGGACTCGGTATTGGGGTGTGCTCTGAGCAAGAAAGCTGTGCGTAACCCAACGCTGTAGTTCATCCAGTGATATACCGACGGTGGAGGTGGAGAGCTGCTGGACTTGACAAAGGAAGATAGGATGACATACCCGAGTCTGATCCATTTGAACTATTTCCGTTTACGCCCCACACATCATCATCTGACGAAGGGCGGTACATCGCTTCACCATCCACGTTTGGAATGTCTCCGTCAAGGGGGAAACCATCGCTGTCGTACATTGGTAGACCGTCGACGCGGTCTAGGTCTAGGTCGTCGAGTTGCATGCCGCCATCAGATTCAGATTCGGAGTCTGTGTCTGAGGCTATGCGTGGGTCATAGCCGGACATTTTGAAGATATCGAGATGAGGTAATGTCAGAGACAAGTGAAAAGCAGATAAAGACGGTGTCTTGAGTCGAGATGTGGTGGTGCGAAGTCGGAGATTGGAAGGCGAGTGCAACCAATGACTAGTGAGAATGGAAGTGATGAGAGGTCTCTGTGGGGGAATTTGCTTCACATGTATGATTGACAGAGAATTTCATGTATATCTTATTGTATGACCCCGGGATTGATCTATAGTCACTGTCAGTGGATGAGAAACAGATATGGGTGGTCAGTGACGACAGGCTGACCGACCCTAGGAGGGGGGTTTGATAGGGAAGAGAATTTTTCTCGATAAGGAGGCTCAAACATACAGGCTCACGGCACTTTAGCTAGAAGTCGAGATATTGACGACTCAGCGTGTTGACGAGATAACCTTGTGCCCTCTTGGCGTGGGTCCCTGTACTGTGGCCAGATCGAGCAGGCGGTGAGGTCATGCCTTGATCAAACTATTAGAGTTGAACCCCCAAATTGGGCTTAGTGGATATCAAGTATATCATTGCGTTGGAATCCCAAATTGGTCCTAAACTGTGAGACACTAATCTTTTTAGTGTAGTGTAGTTTGGGCAAGATATTGGATAGGATTTACAAGGAAACAACGAGAAGAACCGAACGGTTTTATTGAATCGATGATGATGGAAACAAATATGATATGATGCCCAAGACCCAACGCCAGAAAACAATGCCGCTAGAACGACAGATAGTTTAGGATAGAAAGAAAGAACGACGATATTTAATTAGCCGGACAGTTGTGCATGTATGAGTTTTTAGGCCAACGATACCCAGCCTCGTCCCTACAGTTCAATTATTAGTAAAGCGCCGAGAACACAAAACCAGCGAGATAAACATACCAAGTCGTGAAGTTCGCATTATCATATGCTTTGCGATGTTTTTCAATATACTTAGTCGTTTCATAGCCAGGTGGATCACAAGTGACGCTCTCCTCGTCGGGATCCTGGTAGATTCGCACGTAGTCGAAGTGCAGGATAGCAGGCATATAATCGATGATGCTCTTATTCTGGGGCGCGAAGTTGTCCGCCATACCCATATTCATGATCAGCGACATTGGCTCGAGTGGGATCATGCGTTGTCCGACATTTCCATTCGGTCCGATGGCGCGGGCGTCTAATGTCCAGGTCTTTTCGGCGCCGACGAACCAGGTTACATCGCCTTCTGCGCCGGGTGTGTACTCGAAGGAGTAAATTTGATATTCGGTGCCGTTGTACCAGCGGGTGTTCAGGTTGGTCAGGCCAGACATAGCCTGTTGGTAGACGCCACCTCGATAGGCGTTGATTTTGGTGACGCGTGGGTCGTATACGGCGGCGAAGTCTGGTGTTTCTTTTGTTAGCAATGTCTTACACAGTCAGAAGAATCGAAATATACTCACCATAGTCGGGTAGATACCACAAATCAAATGGTGCAGTCTGCAGACTCTGCGATGCACTACCGACGAAGGGACCGCTGTCACCATATAACGGAGCAGTGCTGCCTTCAATCACATCGATTTCAGGAGCACTGCGTGCAATACCAGGAGTCGGGTGATCGGAGCCGGGGCAGGCACATCCGGGCAACCGCATACCGGGCAACCAGTTGATACCATCGGGAGAACTCTGGTTCGGAGTGATACCCGCATCGCAGCCATCATGGTAGCTGTATGGCCACATGCCATCTGTGGTAGCAGCATAACCAGCACGAGCCAGATTTCCCATTGCCCAGAAGCCAGGCCAGAAACCTTGAATATGTCCATCGCCCGGGAGAGACATACTAGCTTCGAGACGGCCACCCTTGAAGCAGAGCTTGTTCCAGCTCTGTACCATACCGGATCTGTATTCGAGATTGTGATTTTTGAAGTGGTCGAATCGAAGCTGGAGGGTGCCATCCGCCGTGGTTACTGCGTCCGGGTCATACCACTAGGAAGTGTCAGTGCTGGGGTGGTGGTTTTCGACACAGTTTATACTAACCTCTTTGTCCGCTGTTACTCCGTACCATATATCGACTGCTTCGAAGAAAGGATCATCGTCCTTGAAAAACGTTCGACCGGGCATGTTGAACTCGTCGGAGAACTGTAATGAAATGTCAGTCGCTTGCCATTGTTAGAGATCTATCAAACTCACCACTAGCTTCATCTCTTTTCCATTGTGATCTTTCTTAGTGTGTGCCTCTTTCGGCGTGTCTGGGTCAATCAAGCCTATGCGCAGGTTTTCCAACAATGGCCGCTCCCCAACTTCCAAACACAACGTGTCTGCGGGGTGGCATATACCATCATGGTGTTTCGTGAAGCCCGACAACCAAGTTCTGCAACTGCTCGTTAGCTAGGGAGACAAACAGTCAAATGAGCCAACAGATCCTTACATGAGAGGGTAACCGATGAAGAGCACCAGAAGACCTATTGTGAAAATCGCCAGACCACCAACATTCACAATACCCCGTCGATTCCAGATATCACAATCTCGATCCTTGTCTGCAGGGTCCGGGTTATGCAAGTAGTCATCCTTCTCCACATCCTCAGGGAACAACAACAAGCCATCAGTGGGCATAATATTGTACTTTCCCGATACAGTCTGCGTGTTGACATCATACTCCTCACTGCCAGCGTGCGAAGGCGCCTTCGAATCCTGAAACGGATCGAAGGGGAAGGTACTCTCACGACTGATGGAGCTGATACTCGAGCGAGCTGCAGACCATCGGTCCGGAGATCGAGGCCGGTCAGTTCCTCTTACACCTTGTCCCTGTGTAGGCCTCAATCTCGGGGGTAATAGAAATTCCGAGGACTCAGGAACACTTGATGCGCCGTATGGTGACATTGACATCCCTCGAGCGCGTACCGGCGTGGGTGTTTCAAGACCCTGTGGTGTCAAAGGTCGGGGAAATGTGCGCGACGTGAGAGGTGCGTAGCCGCCATTCGTTTCGAGGAAAGGATCCTGTCGCCCCGAGTTAAGTCGGATGTGAGGCGTTGCCTTGCCCTCTGAGGCATCAGAGCCGTGGTCCGACATTTGCGTCGATTTCGAACTTCTGGTTAGAAGACTCCGAGACGCAGCCTTGCTCTTCACTGGTGAGGCCTTGCTATCTTTAATTGCCGCCGTAATAGGAGCCCTCTCGCATCAGTCTTGGTGGAATCTGTGGAGTAGGTTGGTATGACGATGTGGTGTGTTCCTTCTTCTTTCTCCTGATTCGTCACGCAATGATTTCGCTATATATCTGAACGGTAAGGACTGAAGACCTGAGTCGGTATACTGCACAGGCGAAGAGTGCGACGTTTTAGCGAAAGAACGGACACGGCTGATCGATTATCATCGAATGTACCCGGCGATACGATAAAAGAGACAGAGTCTAAACGGAGGAAAAAAGCCAAAGCCGCAGAACAAAAGAAGAGCCTAGATGGCCCGAAGGGTCTTGTTTGTGTGCAAGAGGAGACAGGAATGACAGAGACCCAAGGGGGGCAACCAGCGGTATGTGTATACCTCTCTCTTCTTGGCCCTTTGTAGACTTTAGATGGTAGTATAGTGAGGTTTCAAGTCCTGCTATGAACTAAACCCATCTTTTGTATATCACTAACAGTCTGTTGCGATCAATTGAAGTAATCTGGTGGGGTTGACGCCCTATACAGGCTCTCACGCCCTGGGTAGGGCTATTCTAGGGTGCGGCATTTCGTTGCTCCCCAGTCCCCGAAGAATGGCCCGCAGTGAATGCTGGCGGAATTCAAGGATTTTCATGGCCAGAACCCTGAGAATAATCGTATGCAGTGATAATAGCAGTTCGAAAGTTGCTCCGTATAGATGCACGAGGGGTTGTTGAAGCGAAGAGCGAATCCGCCGGAAGATCAAAAACATGGCCCGAATCCCCAGTCTACCACCTCAAACAGATGTGCACCTAGTTTTCATTATGAATACATGCAGCTACGAGTATTATTACCAAGGAAATTTGCTTGCCACAGCTTTATTCCGTCAAGGCTAATTGACCAATTCAAACCTGTTTCACAGAGTCATTGACACGCGTCCTGCCAATCCCCAACTCTCAAGGCTTAAGAATGCGACCAATATCGAACAGCCTTGGAAGAAGCTGTCAGGACCATTTTACACGGAGTACAAAGTATGATGAAGCCCCTGGTTATCCATTCCGTACTAATATTATCAACATCAAAGAACAAGGCAGCAATAAATCCATACAACCAATACAGCTCGATGCTATCGCATATAATATCAAAATAGCATTTCGATAGAATAAACAGCTACTTCTCAAATAGCAAAACGCAAGTTATGTGATACACAAACTCCCAAACCCCTCTCCATTATGAAACAAGCAGCTTCGACACCTAGGACTCAACAGCCTTAGTGCGCAAACCAACTAGACGGCTCTCAGGCGCATGCAATGCCAGAACCCAGTACTCGATCTTGGTACTAGTTTGTTCAACACGGTAGACCTTCAACTCAACAGCAGACTGGTCGGCACCAGAGTCTTTCTCAACAGCTGCGGCGCGGACAGCATCCAGGGCGGCAGTGTACTGATTCTTCGGGTCGAAGGAGGAGGGGGATAGAATGGAGATGGACTGGGATAGATCGGTATCTGGGGAGATCAGGGAGGAGAGCTGGTCTGCAATGAGGGAGGGATGTTAGCAGGGCTGTTCCAGGGTATTTGTCTTGGGGATTTCAAGGGAGCAAGTTGACAAAGAAGGATGCGGGATAGGAGGAAGGAACTAAAAGAAGGAAAAGGACCAGCACATACCAGCACTAGGCCACGATCCCTTGGCAGCGCCATCCCACTTTAGTGCGACAGGCTCGAAGGGTTCGTCTGTATCGGAGATGTAGTATGCGTCGACGGACTGCAGCGGCTTTGGAACTGAGAGGGAGCTGTGCACGGTCTCGGTTTTGACGGTGCCGGCCCCTTGCTGCGGGGCTTGGCTGCCGCTCGAATCTGCGTTGGCTTTGTTCAGGAAAGACATGTAGGCGTCGTCGGAAGACATGATTTTGGTGGAGGTTGAGAAGGAGGACTTCGTGGGGAGGGAAATGCTGGTTTGTGATTGCGGTCTTGAGGTTGCGGGGAAGATGTGGGTTTGGTTCTCTCTGTTTGGGATGCGAGTTCTTTGGTCTCTTTGGTGGTACAGACTGTGTAGGAGACGGTATGGAGCTTTAGGATGTTTGAGTTGGGAGGTTGATCGTAGGGTGTAGGAGAAGATTGGCAAAGTCCGTTTTCCTGCTGAAGCTGGCAGGGAAAAGTGTGGGATGACGCAATGGATCTTTGGCTGGCGCATGTTGTTCCACCACTGGCTTTTCAAGTTGGGTTTTGATAAACTTGCACGAGTAGAGGTTGAAGGTATCTAGAAAGCACGATGAGATATATGGAGGAATTAATATGGCGGGTTTAGGGATGACAATAGAAAGTAGCCCAATTCGGTTGCGTTCAGACTCCGAACCAGATATATATATCACAGTTATCACAGTGATGGGAAGTGCATCTGACAATTTCAAAGATATATGTTGGGTAGATTTTATAGAAAATGTTCCGATATGTACGGTGTAGATTGGATAGAATTATAAATTTACATAGACAGTGTGTACAGCTACATGCAAATCGTGAAGGATATTCGCTTTTTTATTGAATATGAAACGTTGCACTACCGCCAACCATAGGCTTAAACATCTTAAACAGTCTCCACAAGGTCCTTCTTGAGGGTACCCATGAAGGCCTTCTTCTCCTCGAAGGTCTGGAAAGCACCGTGACCGAACTTGGAAGAGGTATCGATCCACTTGAGCTCGACCTTCTCGGTGGCCCTGCGGGAAGTCTGGGGGTACAGAGTCTTGCGCAGAGTCATAACACGCTTCTTGACACCGGGGACGGAACCCTTGACCATGACGAAGTCGTTCTTGACCTCACCGTAGTGGACGAAGCCACCCATGCTAAAAAAAGTTAGAATTGATACACCACGGGAAAACTGTCAGGGAGGAACATACGGGGTGATCTGCTTCTTGGAGATGTCGAACTCGGTGGAGGCGTTACCCTCATCAGAGCCCTTTCCGATGCGGAAGATCTTGTGGTTGCAAGAGGTACGGTGGTGGTATCCGTCCTGACCGGCACGGGCAACAGTCCACTGGACGTGGTTAGGGTGCCAAGCACCAATACAGGCGACCTTACGCAGACCCTTGTGAGTCTTGCGGGGCAGCTTGGTGGTACCCCAACGGGAAGTGACACCGGAGAAACCGTGACCCTTGGTGACGGCGATGACATCAATCATCTCGTCCTTCTCGAAGATGGAATCAATATCGATGGTCTTCTCGAAGAGGTTGCGGGCGAAGTCGACCTTGTCGGAGACGGAGCCACCGTTGACCTGGATCTCCATAAGGTGGGCCTTCTTCTGCTTGATGGGAGTCTGGCGGATCTGGGTGTGGGCGAGCACACGGACGACAGTGCAGTACTTCTGGATGCGCTCAAGCTCGCGGGTGATGGAGGCACCGGAGCTCTCGGCGTGGGACTTGGCGTACTTGGTGAAGGCCTTCTTCTTGGACTTGTACCAGTTCTTGTAGAAGCGACGCTTGACCTCATCGCTCAGGTGCTCAGCCCAGACGGTGGTGAGAGAGCGGAGGCCACGGGGAGTCTCGATGTAACCGACGACACCAACGGCAACGAGCTAGGAAAAAAAAAGAATGTTAGGGCCTGGTCACTTTTTCTTCCCTTCACTTTCGCACACAACGGGAAAAACGTACAGGAGGGGTCTCGATGACGGTGACGGCCTCGACAATCTCCTTCTTGTGCATCTTGGCACCGGGACGGTCAAGGTCACGGACGACGGTGGTCATACCGGCCTTGTAGCCCATGGAGGCAGTAAGGTGGACGGGCTTCTTGGCGTCATCCTTGGGGAAGCTGTCGCAAAAAGTCTCAGCGCACAAATCCACAAATCACCAACTCATTTAGAAAGTACTGACCTCTTGACCTTACCACGGTGACGGGCAGCGCGCTTGCGCGGGAGGTAGGCAAGGGAGCCTGGAGATATAATCAGTATACTGCACACACATAGGTCGTATTTCGCTTTTTCGAAATTTCGATATCGAGGAAAAAAAGGTGATCACGAACCGTGACGAGGCGCTTCGAACTTCCGGTGACTCCTGAATAGCGAAAGCTGGTCAGCAATTGTATTCAATGGCGATTGTACATAATTCTTCAATCGGGATGGACTCACATCTTGACCCTGTTATCGTTAGTCGTCGAGGTGGTGGGAGGACGATCTGGAAATGTCGAAGTTGATTTTGCACGCTTGGTGTGTGGGCTAACCTAAGCGAGACTCTTGGCGCGTTTGAGCCTGAGGCACCCCACAATAACCCAAATTATCTAATCCAGCCCTGGAAGAGTATCACGTGCCGTCCAGATTTTCCGGCCCCTGGGACACTTTTATGGGTCTTTCTGCTGCCAAGGCAAACGGCCAGCAATATGGTTTTTTAGGACATCCACATTGTGGGCTGGAGTGAAATGTCGGAAATACGTAATATTTAGGACGGTAATATAACTCCAGTAAAAAAAATAGGAGGCGTTGCAAGATTTACTCTACCAAATTCAAGAGTATCAAACAAATGATTTGCTTCAAGGATGCCTAATGCATCATAAAAAAAAAGATTCACAGAGAAAAGAGACTAAGAAATCATAAAAAAGAAGAGAACGAACAGACATGACGAGTATTCAGCGCACGCGCTTGAAACTAGGTAGTCATCGTAACTCGCACATTCATACCGTACATCACACACTGAAAGAGGAAGGACAGGGAGGAGCAAGGAAGCGAGAGATTTGGGCTTTGCCAGGTTTAACCAGACTACACTAGTCTGGTTGGAAGGGAGAACACTTTTTATGCCGTGGGCTCGGCCTTAGATGGAGTACTGGCACGGGCATTACCGGCCCCATTAGCGGGGTTGCCAGCAGCGCTGCCATTGGGGCTGCCTTTGGAAGCAGCAGCAGCTTTCTTCTCTTCCTCGACTTCGTCATCATAGTCTTCATCGACGTCCATCTTGCGCGCAGGGGGCTCGTGGGCAGGGAGAGCCTCGGGGCGAGGAGCTTCTTCTTTGACCGGGGTGTTGGCGGAAGGAGGTGCAGAGGGGGGAGCGTTGGATGGAGGAGGAGGAACAGAGCCCTCAGCCATCGGAGCAAGACTTGGGCCAGCAGAAGGGCGGGGAGGCATGTCCTGAATTGAGGGCAGAGTAGGAGGGTGGTGAGCAGCCTCTGAGGGGTGGTAGTTCTCATTGGCACGACGGGCGTCCTCGCGGCGGGCCTCCGAGGAGCTTCGTCGTTGCATCTCACCAGGAGAAGGCAAACGAGCGGGTGGGCTCGGGCGGCGGCTGTTCTGGTCATCCAGACGAGCACGGCTTTCTTGAGTCTCATGCTTCTTGACTGGACCGGCATCAGCCTCCCATTCGCGACCACGCTTCATTGCAGATGGGGGGCGATCTTCGCGATCACGTGCGGCAGCCTCAGCGGCAGTAGCCGCCGAAGGAGGTGCCGGGGCGCCAGACGCGATTGAGTTACCGCCTGGAACTTGTGGGGGGAGGGTAGGACCGGGGTGGAATTGTTGGAGGGGGTATCCTGAGCCTGGCGAGGAAGGGCGCTCATCGCGAATGGGGCGAATTTCAGGAGCTGGACTGAAAGGACGATTCTGGTAAGAAGGAGCACCGCCGTTGGGTCCAGGAGGTCCAGGGGGCCAGGAGGAGCGACAGGCAAACCACCCGGCATAGAACCTCGTGGGGCACCAAAGGCATTGCCCCCACTAGGGGGCGCGTTCGTGGCCTGGACCAGGCGCATTTCCAAGCTGGGGTAGGGTGTGAGGCGGCGGGTACGCATTGGGATCGCCCATCTTTGGCGAGCGAGGTGTACCACGAGGGTCCGGGAAGGTCCGGCCAGGCTCCTGTCGAGGACTTTGAGTGGGAGCACCAGGGATCCGAGCATCGCGCTGGTCAAGGCCGTTGGCTGGGGGACCTTGGCTCTGAGACTGAAGTTCGTTGATGCCACGGTTCCAGTCAGGAATTTGTCTTGGGGGAGCAGGAGCTTGTGGAGGGGGACCGATGGGGGCTGGGGCACCCCATTGAGGCGCTGGCGGTGCACCAACGCCAGGTGCCTGGTAAGCCTGAGGGTGAACATCCTGTGGCTGAGGTGCGGGGGCAGTGGGCGGCTGCTGTCCGGCCGTGCCAGCAGTCAATTGACTTTGGAGTAGCTGCAGGCGAGCCTTGATGTGGACGTTGCTCGGATCAAGATCTGCGGCGCGTCCATATGCATCCAGGGCATCGGTGATCTGATTGTTGCATGATTCGTACAAAGTGCCCAGGTCGTACCAAACTTCGGAAATGTAAGGGTTCAGGCGGATCGCACGAGAGTAGGCATCGAGAGCGTCGCGATATTGGTTGATCTGGTAGTAAAGCACACCAATAGAGCACCAGAAGGTCGGGTTGCGCCCATCGCGATAGACTGCTTGCTGGTAGGCTTCATACGCCTTGGGGTATTTCGCCATGGACATGTAGCAACGACCGAGGAGATACCAACTTTGAGCGTCATTGTTATCTGGTGGAACGATTTATTAGTTTCAATGTGTACAATTGAAATTGAGGATGGGAAGTGTACTCACCAGCATTGACTGACTTCTCCAAAAACTGAATGGCCTTCTCCTGGCTTTGGAAGGCATTACTCTGCTGGTGGTAGAGCCATCCAAGCTGCTGGAGAACCTTGGCGTGATTTGGATCCCGCTCAAGGACACGCTGGTAGGCGGATTGAGCAGACTCAAACTAAGGATTTCATGAGTACGAGGCAAGAATCGAGAGTGGGAGAAAGTATAACTTACGTCTTTCTGTTGCTCGTGAACATGGCCAATCTGGAACCAGATGTCTTCTTCGGTCAGCGGGCGTGGGGGGTCGCTAACGATGTATTTAAAGCACTGTGATGGATTAGTCGCAGGTTAAGACTCATACCAAGAGATTTTACATACCTCCAAACTCTGGTTGAACTTCTGCTGCTGCTTGTATATGATTCCCAGGCGGAAGTAGATCTCATTGGCCTTCTCGAAATCGGGGGCCATCCGCATCACCTGCGAGAAAGCCTCTTCGGCATGATCCAGAGAACCATAGCGATCATACAAGATACCGATTCCATACCACAGCTTGGGTTCCTAATGAGGGGGATCGGAGTTAGCGGCTAATATGTCAGCTATAGTGGGAGCGGAAAACAGCTTACCTTGGGGTCCCGCAAGTGGTAAAGGGCTTGCTGGTAAGAGGTGTATGCCTCTTGCAGGTTATCCATCATAAGATGGCAGTGGCCCAAGCTGCCCCAAGTCTCTCCATTGCTCGGGTCCAACTTCAAAATATTTTGCAAGTACTCAATTGCTTTAGGGAACTGCTCTTTTGTCCGTAGGATGCATGAAATGGCATTCATGGCTGAAATAGACCACTGGTTGTGACGCAGGGCCTGCTCATAGGCATTCATCGCACCCTCCAGATCGCCCATCAATTCGGTCAAGCTTCCTACAGACCCGACTGTCAGCATTCGCCATTTTCAAGTCTACCGCCGATTATCCTTACCTATTTGGAGCCAGACTTGTTCATTGAGTGTCGCTATCTTTTGTGCGGTTGTGAGAGAAGGGACTCCCTTCTGGCCTTGCACCGGAATTGCTGACATATGACCATTGGCTTGTGCCTGCGCTTGCGCATGTGCTGCGAGATGCGCTGCCGCATGGTGAGGAGCTACCCCCGCGGTGGGTGATGGTTGAGTATGAGACATGGTTTCCGAGGATCGTGAAATATGGTTTGAGTTAGACCGTGTCGCGACCGAACTCTCAAAGTGAGCTTGCGACACGACGATGCAATCCAAGTTGACACCACTATTGGAGACTGATCAAGTGTGCTCTTGATGTTGCACGCTAATCCTGAGGCGCAATTTCCGATCGCCTGGGCAAATAGCAAAGGGGAAAAAAAACGAGGGACGAGTCGCGAAAGAAGTAAAAGTTCCTCACGCGACACTATCCAGTAGTGTAGGGTGGCAGTTTTTCCAAAATCGACTAGATTTCGCTTTTTCCCGAAGATAAACGAGTGGCGCGAGATGGGCAGTGACACAATCTCGGACAGGTGAGGTCACAGCTAGAGCTAGATGCGCGAAGGAAAAAAAGAAGATAAGATGAAGAAAGAGGCGAAGATACACGGCGATACGGTGGGGAAAGGGGAAGTCAGAATTGAAGATGCGGAAGCCTAAGGGGGAAGAGAGAGGGAAGAGTCGAGGGGCTGGCAGGAAAGGTGAAATTCGCCAAGACACGCTAGTGGTTGCGTAGCTCCCGGCCGTCACAAGTGATTATCTAATCCAAGCTGACGCTCAGGAACGGCTTAGCGTTGTGGAGAAAGATCTGGAGGCGGTTATGCTCGTTTTTTTTTTTTGGGATTTTCTTTTTTATTTTCCGTGTCATTTTTTTTCCTTTTTCCTTTTTTCCCCCTCCCCCCCCTGTCCATCTTTAATTAAGCCCGTAATTAAATGATGAAATGAATGAAGTTGATCAAAAATCTTCGAATGATTTCTCCTTATAACTATAAATATAAGGTAATTTCCATCTGTTCCTGACAACACACGAACCTCCGGGAAAAGACGAGTGGAGACTACCCCCGTGCCCTTAGGGTGCGTTAGTGCGACTGTGCTCCGTGTAGCCCACAGGGCCGTGCAGCCGCATTGGCTTTCTCAAGAGATCCCTGTTTCCCCCCTTTTGCCCAGCACTTTAGTACCCGTACTCCGTACTCCGTACTTAATCCTCCGTATGAGATCCGAGACCGGGAATGATTTCTTTCTCTTTGTCTGCATATTGGACTCATCATTCCGGACCTAGGTACCTAGTACTCCGTACTCCGTACAAGCTAATTTTATTTAGGCCGCACCAGCACAGACCAAACCCGGAGTTGTGCATGCAGCTGTCGAGTGACCCAATGTCCTTTGATTTGATTTTTATCATTTTTCTTCGGAACAATTCCAAACCCCCTTCTTGGAAAGTCCATGAATTTTGTCAAAGTACCATGCAGGGTACCTTGACTTGCATACTCCCCCTTCCGTCATTATTGTTCCCGCCGTAACCGGCTTAGCGTGTCCACAGGTGATTTCATTTCATTTCAGCCACAGCGGTGCTTGTGGCTTGTGGCTAGTGAATACCTGTGGATGCGATGAGCTTGACATGTTCAGTGGAGACTCCCGACTGCCTTCGAATTTCCTAAGGACTCCGAACGGAATACTCCTCCACTTACCCAGAGTACTTGTCAACTGTATCCAATTCCATATCAAGTACTCCATACATATCCAAGTTCAACAACATACATATCATAGAACATGTGTACCTTATACTCTCTCCCAACTGCAGTGCGCCTCATATTCCAGGGTTTACTAGCCGAGCCGTTTTGTCTCTGCCGTTGGTGAAACGGAGAGGGGTTTCCCAACAGCCAACTGTCTTATATAAATATACGTATGCCCAGGTACTCCATACTCTCTTTACTCCGTACTCCGTAGCGAAATCTGGATTGCTACTATTTTAAATTGCCGACCGAGTCAAAAAATCCCTCCCCCCCTCATTTGATTGAGAGGTTTTTTACCCTTCGTTCCTTTTTCTTTTTCTTTCCCTTTGAATCTCTGCCTAATTACTCAACGCAGGATATATCAAAAAATAAAACAAAATAAAACAAAAAATACCATAGCTGCAACTGCAAATCTCGGAAGCATGTCAACAGCCAAAGCTCCTCGGAAATCACGGCAATGGCCCGACTAGAGACAGATCAGCCGCGCGCATGCCACATTGCACTGCCGTCCCATCCTTGTGTCCACTGTGGAGACGCCTTTGATTGATCCTGAGACCATAGATAAATAGTAAGAATTGACACCCCTGCGACGGGATTTTGCAGACGCCATGCTCCGACGGGGGTATGACCGTGCGACACGATTCCAGAGTTAGAATCGAGGCAGGGGGTGTGGGTCACGAAACAAGGCTAGACTTGATGTTGCAGGAATCACTGGCGCTTCTGAGTTGACCAGTGGAATAGACCAGTGGAGTTCGGAGTACGGAGTACAGAGAAAGACGTCCTTGCCTTATATATATATATCCTACTCCGTAATTCATGTCAAATTGAATTCTCCTCGCGCATGGCTGATCTGCACGGTCAACGGGACTCCGTACAACATACGGAGTAGATCCCCTCCACTATTTGCTCGTCAATAGAGTACACCTCAATATCGTGTAGTCAGATCATAAAAAAATTTTCAAGCAAGGCAACTCAAAACTAACAAGCAGAAAAAGAAAACATAAAGGTTTCAAGTGTCTTGCCAAGACTTGATAGTGCAAAGCGCAGGGATTGAAGACCGGTCTAGTTGGGTCGCAGATATTCCATTTTGTGCGACCTCGACAATCAAAAGCCAAGCTAGATGCGTCCATTCTAATCCCCCCGATCACTGATAAGATGAAAATCGTGGGGAGATTGACATCAGAGCGTGCCATTTCCAACCAGACTCGGGTGCAGATGCATGGTTCAAGGACGTTGGGGGGGGGGGACACACGGATGCTTTCTTGTGTGAGGTACTTTCTGTTGGGTAACATGTCTGTGCTGTGTCGGTGATAGGGCATAAGAGATATAAGTCTGGTCATATTTGGTGTCTAGATGCCGGTACTTATCATTTGTTGTTAGGTGGTTCTAGGCGATTAGGAGGGTCTGATGGTCTCATGGTTGCATGGTTACCCCAGGCGGGCTCAAGCATTCCAACGCGGGTCCTTTTCAAGTACTAGACCAATAATACCGAGCAGTTATTGATGTGGGCTGAGCCGGCTAGTTAACTTCCAAATCTAGCTCATCACATCTTGACCACCTGTGGCTGCAAGCCCCCGTCAGCCACAAATTGGGGAACTTGGATTTTGGGATCTGTCGATGATAAGCATTGAGGGATTATAAGCTGAACTATTTGAGTGATCTACTTTCCATGTTGAGATTTTTTTTCTTTTTGAATCGCTGATTGCCTTTGAAGCATCAGCTCAGCATTATATATGTCTCTACATTGCATTTTCAAATCAGTGATTGATTGATTTTTTTTTAACACGGCTCTAGACACAGCATTATCGCACGAGACTACACTAAACAACAAAGACAAAGCATTTAAATGCCCAAATCTTGTTTTCTCGCAACTTTGCTGCCCAAAAGCTACCCTTCCCAATCGACACGTGACGTGTGATTTGCATGCCTGCAGCGGAAAACTTAATTTGCGGCTTGTTTTGATATACATAGGTATATCAAGAAAATGGCATGGAATCTAGATCTAATCAAGTGTTGTTAAATATAAAATCTGCACTACAAGGTACTGGGAGAAAAACGGTTCTACGACACCAAGAGCGCTCAGAGCCGACCATGAAGATCTAGAAAGCCAAGCTTCCCAGTCCGTTTTTTCCCAGATTGAGACTGAGTGTCAATCGGAATACTATAGGAAGTATGACAAAGAGAGATACTCTGCGAGCTAAACCGGTGTAGAATTGTGAGCACCATGTTGGAGTTATCAATACGAGGATCGAGGATCGAGCCCATAAGCACGCGCAAGACACATACGAGATGTCAAAATTGCCGAATATCAGCGAACTGACCCCGTGAGTCTCAGTAGCAGCCTGGATAGGGTTTCGCAGGGGTTTGTATTTTCTTCAATTAATCATGCCATTCGATAGGGCTGGAGGTTCCTTGTTGGTTGCAATGTACTTATGGTCAAAACATCATGTGCTGGAAACGATATTAAAAAATACCGTATATTGATATAGGATAAGCTCTGGAAGAAGATTTTGATATGTGCGTCGTAAGGGGGCAGTTGGTGCCGTGCTGAAGAGTTGGGAAAAAGAGCTGCTCGGATGGGATTTTGACGTGAGACACAAACCACAGTTTTGCGGGTAGTCAGGGGGGGAAAAGGTGCCTTCGTATATCAACTTGTATTTGTCATTACCTCGGGGAATATGCGAGAAATTGCAGACAGGTCGGTCCTAGATGACAGGTGGATTAAATTGTCGATCGGATAGCTGTGAGACTTGTGAGATATGGAAGCGTCGATCACTCTTTGAGAGCAATACATAGCCAGCGCATGAGTAGGCCGGCTGCGGCATGTTGGGTGGCTGGCTTAGAACAGCGCCCAAGTTTGGGGAATGATTGATCTACACTCGCCACCTGTCATTGTCATGCCATGCCATTGCGCGCTTGGCTAATACCAGTTGTACCAGTTGACTGGTTGATTGCGAGCTCAGTTTGAGGAAAAGCACATGATTATTCGTGTGATTTGTGCAAATACCGACAGCCAAGGGCAGTTATGAACAGCGTGTAGCCGTAGATAAAGGGAAAACAGCAGACTGGACTGGGAGCTCGGCAACGGTGCCGGTGCCGAGCACAGAACACGCAATCAGTCGCTCTTGACCGCTCAGCCAAGCAGAGAATACGGGATTGTATACAATGCCCAGGAATTGAGACAGAAAAAAATCCCTCCAAGCCAAGAGCTGAGATCCCGTTGAGGAGAAAGAAAATCCAGGAAAGCGGATGTCGGGGGCGTTGATTCGCCTAGATAATCGAATTTGTCGCAGCGGGACAGTGGAATGAAAGAGCCAGAAAGTCAATACTTCCAAGACTTTCGGGGTGGGATATCTGGCAAGAGGGTTGAGAGAGGTATTTATTTTGGCTAATCCTATGCATCTGGGGTGGACTATTGACAAAACTTAGGTAAAAGATATTGAACAACCTGAGAATTATTTGTCCGGAGTCGAATGCCAACACCCGCCAACCTCTCGGCGCCTAGGCACCTGACCCTTGACCCTTGGGGGGTAACTGCCCCTGATTTGGGGCGTAGGCATCTATGGATAAATGTTGTAGTCGCTTTATGAAGTTCCGTGGGGGCTCTATGAGTATCGAATCATCAAAAAATTCAAATGCATATAGCTTATTGATGTAACTTTCCAAGATTAGAAGATTTCAAGATTATATAGAATTGGGCAATAGGAGCAATACGTGCCATCACGTGCGTACACCTGTTACCGCCAAGACTCCAGGCTTCGTCTCAACGCGGATCATCTCATCGAACTCGACCAATCAAAGCCCGGCAATTGTTTACTTATCATCCCCGATGGCTGCTTGGCGTCTTGGCGGGTGGTAAAGTCTCGTAATTCATATGGACTTTTGACCCCCTAGGCCACTTAGCATCGTTGTCTAATGGTAGGACGACTTACATCTTGTCCAACACAGCCCTACCCTGTTATCTAGTACGCTCTAGATGACTTTAACTGATATCTGAGATAACAGGATCGGCAGGATACCCACATATGATTCTTGTACCCCGTACAAGGCTCGACTCAATGCCAAGGGCTCGGCATCTGGGCGTCTTGGCGAGAGGGATTGCAAACAGCAGGAAATGCTCCTCCGCTGTCTTGCACGGCCTTTTCTGGGCTTTCCTGCCTTTTCCGCTCTTTCCAGCTGCGGTTCTCCGTGGCCTCTTATAAGTCTCTCTTCCGCCCTCTCTGCCCGCCCCCTTCCACCTCCGACTTGTCACCAGAGAGCCCCCTATGCCAGAAAGATTACGATTGCGGGAACCATGTGGTGAATTCTACATGCAATAGTCGCCCTCTGTGCGTCTACCTTGTACGACTCTTGCTTCGTCTTTACCTCCTGATTTTATTTTCCTCGCCGGCCATGCGGTCCCCGGAGATGTCACATAGCCCCGCCTATTATCAGAATCCAGGACCTTTTGGAACGACACATCCTCGCTCGATCGTCACCCCTCCACCGGCTGCTCGTCGATCTCAAGAACAATCCTCTGTATTGGGGCACCCCATAGGTGGATCCCGATCCTCGTCTCCTCTACCGAGCCGCGACGCCAGTCCGCGCTCATCCGTCTCACGGGCACAACGTGTATACCATAACCAGACACTGGGTGGATCTTCCTGGCCCGGTTCAGACCCTCAAGAGACCGATACCGTTCCGGCTGGCTCGACATCAAGTGGTGCATACAAAGAAGAGCGAGCCCAGAGCAGCTGGGCAGATCGACCGTCATTAATGCCAGGGGAACATTCCAACCCCAGCATAATTCGTGTCCGAAAACGAGCCATTCCAGATGACGAATTAGTCACCAATGAGGGTCATGATGCTCTCCTGATGCTGGTAAGTTCGCAGTATGGTATTCCAATTATTTCATGTATTAATAAAACCCTACAGTTCCGTCTCACAATCATCCCATTCTACTCGTTCGGCGCTTCTCTATATACCATCTTCGCACTCTTTTTCGCCGTCTTTGTGTCACCTTTCCGTCTCTGCTCATTCTCCCCTTACCTTCGCGCAACAACATTCACATCCCAAGTTTGTGACCTTCTTTCTCCTGTCCTCCACATCCATGAACGGCTCGTTTGCTTGCAGCCACCATCAGTGGAAGACCGATCATCCTCGACGCAGTCGACCCAATGGATCCGCTCAGAGCCAGATTCGGACCAACAGTCAGTCCTGTCGGAGCCGAGCGAGGTTTATACTGTGATTGGTTCATTTTTCGTTCTGGTCCTATCCCCATTATTCAGCATTGTTATTCTCCTTTTCGCATGGACAGCCGCATTTTTTTGGGTTTTCTCCATGGTCCTGGGCAACCCGGATGGCACCGAGCGCAAGGATGACGGCCGCACCGCCGTTCTTGGAGTCTGCAAATGGTGGCGGACATGGCTTTGCAAAGCACGGAAATCATAATAATCCTTAATCATGGCCTGCTAGAACTCAGCAGGCCAATGAGTGATACATCTCACCGCCAGCTTCACAAAAGCTGCATCTCCCCCTTCCCCTTACCTTGAAATATTGTCCCACACTGCATGATACCCCCCCCCTCTCGGTACATAGGCGTACACCGGGAATACGTGGAACGACCTAACTTTACTTTTACCCTTCAAATGCTGATATTACCTCCGTCCTGGGTGGCTATGACTATACACATTTTACATCATTGATGCATACGGCGTCTTCAATTGGCTTTTATTTTTACACGGCGTCTGGGCGGGCGTACAGTGACCTTGAATTTATTTGGACGTGTATCCTTTTTGTTATTTTGTCTTGCAGATTATCTGGGTCTGTTTGAGGACCCTCCTGCTCGACTTGAGACGTTGTCTTGTCTGGTGAATTGGTGGAGATTTTTGACCTCTTGGAGCTGTACTTGTATGTAAGAAACTTGTATGTGAGAGGAGGTCGTATTCTAGCACTGCTCTCTCGAGTGCGAATTTGATACCCAAGTTTATTGGTCTTGATTAATGGTGTTTGCTGGAAGTAAACAATGTAGAGCTGGCCACTTTGTCTTTTGACGACCTAGAAGTTCAATCATCCGATCCAGTTGACCTAGGATGATATCAGCGACGTTATGTTTGAGGTCCTACTTTGATGCCTTTACGCCTTCTTAGCTTCTAGGCTTATGACAACATTGGAGGTCGTCGTCTTCTCCTTTGCCCTGCCAGATGGGGACTAGCGTAAAATGGAAAGAAAACGTCCCCAAGTGACTGATATGGTTGTGTCTCTGGCAAGTGAAGTCGAGATCGAGTTGGCAAAAGCGAACGGTATATGGACTAATCAATTTGCTTTGAAATACACTTCCACACAATTACTGTGTACTCCGTACTGGAATGTGAACGTTGGGAATTTCCCTTCCCTATGCCCGCTTGCCTTTGAACTACTCCCGTCTACATAGCACTAGGACTATCCCTGTAGGCATATCCCCACACTTTGCAATTCTTTATTGTGGCCGCTAACAGCCTGATTTGGCTAACACCTCGGCCCCCCTGCTCACTGAGTTATGTAAGAAACTCGTTAACTAAATTTCTTTTCAAAGAACTTCCCCTCAGGGGCCATCTTCAACGGCTATGGAGCCATGCATCCCATCCAGACAACTGGAGGTCCTAGCCTCAATATATCCATTGCAGCGCCTCCAATATGGACATATGTCGCAGGGGACACCATAATCGGCAGCGTGAACCGACACTCGCACATCGTGACCCCAGACGCCAAGATCTCACTTAAATTAATTGGACGCTCAAAAGCCCGTCTAATAACAGATGGCTACCCGTCAAAAACCACATACTACGGCGACTGGAGGTTCTTCAAGCTGCCATCCCAAACCTTGTTACACGGACCTATGCACATACCCTCACCCAGCACCCCAACCGACTGGATCAACATCCCCTTCTCAATCGATATCCCCGAAGCAGCTTCGCTGTCAGCAGTGCGCGACCACGCACAAGTAGAGAGCTTCATTCCTTTAGAGGCGAACACCATCGAACAGCACCCATTACCGGGAACATTCTCAAGCGAATGGAGCGGAGCCAAAGTCTGCATCGAATACTACCTCCAGGCGCAGCTACGATATATGCGCAATGGTTCATGGCAGGTCGAACGCGCGACAGCCCCCATCACGCTAGGCTACCCGACAGTAGATGCGGACGAGATCCGGTTTGCGTTGCAGCGATGCAGCATCGTGAGCCGGGTGCGTAGCCAGCGATTGCTTCCATCGATGCGGGATGTGGATTTATCCTTGACGCAGAAGACACAGAAGATTCTTGGGTTAGCTTCTGTTCCTGGATTTAGCTTCAAGATTGTGATGAGTGTGCCGGTCGCTATTCAACTTGATAATCCATCGCCGATTCCGGTTATTATCAGGGTTATACCGCAGCGGGACGGGAGTAGTAGTGCTATTTGGGATGTTGTGCAACGGGTTGAGGTTACTGCGATCAACATGAGTATTCTTTCGAAGGTGGAGATTGTTCTCAAGCCAAGCAAGGAGAGCCTTTATAGGAACCCCAAGGATGAGAATGTCTTTGTTCAGCATTTGGGTCTGGAGAAGGCGTTTGAGCAGCGCAATGATCCTATTGTAACTTTTGCTGGAGCAAGTGATGCACCGGTCGATATTGGGAGGTTGCTTCGGCTTGTTCTTAGACACGATGGTCTGATGAGTGATGGGAAGAGACTTGGTCTTTTGGCTAGCATCCAGCCTAGCTTTGTTACTTTCAATACCAGGCTGAGTCACTCGATAATGTGGCAGCCCTCTCTTAGTATCGCTGGAGAGACACGAACTGTGTCGATGATGACAGTGGCCACTGTGTATAACAGTGCCTCCAGGTTGTGAGGTTGTAGATAAGGCCATCTGGCGTCGACGTTGGGGACATAATTCACTTCTTGTCATATTGCATTGCAGGGGCACGTCGATTATCTAAGACAACGATAGCAGCGAATAGTTCAATGATTGCACGGCTGAACACTTGTAATTGAAGTATCATATAATATCAGAATTAACAGATAATTACCTGCATAAAGATATTACATGTTTAGACATGGGGATATCAAAAGAATGAAGCTGCGGCCGCTTCAATAGTCACCTGTTCAAGTTCGACATCACCACCATCATGGTTGACAAAAGAATAATCGGGGTCATTAGCATCATCAGACAGGTCAATGGCATGAACATCCAAATCAGCAACACCACGAGACAACATCTGGACCTTTATCTCCATATCATGTTTTCTCTTTTGCTCCCTCGCCTCTTCCTCCGTCGTCCTCTTCAACTCCCTCTCGTACACGCGCACCTCCTCTTGATCACGGGCGTTATCCGCCCATACCTTCAGGTGCTCCGGGTATCTCAGACACCAGATCACAATATCCCGCGTTGCATGTGCATCCTCTAGCGCACTGTGCCCCTGTTTCCCGACTTGAATATCATAATTGACCAATTCATTGGTAAGAGTCTTCAGACTCCATGTGCGGTTGAGGGCTTCACGGGCGTGTACAGTGTAAAACACCGCTTCGCTGGTAATAATGGAGGAGTCGACAATGTTCCAGTGAATGATACCCAAGACGTCAAGATCATTGTTGAGAGAGTGGCCAACGAGAACAGTCTCACTATCCATGAACTCCCATAATTTCGAGCGCGCCCCCTCCCAGCCATTCAACGCTGTCCCTTTCTTGACAGCTTTGTTCATGGCACCAGGAGTCACCCCGCTGAAGCGAGAATCCCAATTCACTACTTTCGTTTTCGGCTGCACATAATTGTCGATGAGAACCTCGCCAGTCAAAAAGTCAATCGCGCTTAAAAATGCAAGCTCCCGACGCCCTGCCTCAACTTGCACCATCTCACAGTCAAGCACAATTGCTCTCCTCTTCGGCAAGCCGTCCGAAGAGCGAGGAACTTGGCGGAAGTGTCCTGTCTTTGGAGGAGGTTTCTTCGACGGGCGTCTGCTGACGTCTGCCAGGCCAGCCCGAAATGTGAAGCCTCTTGTGGCCAGGCGGGTTTCCGAGTGACATCGTGCCGACAAGTAGCGAAAGATCAAATTTTGTTCGAGCGGCTCCAGAACAGCATGATAATTTGCGTTTTGGGTGGCAGGCGACGAGGAATCCGGGAGTCCAGTTTCAGAGGTCTTGTTCCATAAATCTTCATAAGCCTCTACCCTCACCGGAGCACGTACCGGTGCCTGGTTTGATGTGCGCTTTTGAGCTGGTTTTGCAGCCTTGGGAGGCAAGATATCGGAGCGATCCGAGGACTTCTCAAGCTTCGCTTTCTTTGAGGCGGACTTCACAGGTTTGGCAGACAAAGCCTCAATAAGATCCTGGGACATCTCAAGCTTTGTCTTCTTTGCAGCAGATTTCGCAATGTTGACAGACAAGGGCTCGGGAAGATCCTGAGGCTTATCGAGCTTCGTCTTCTTTGAAGTGGGCTTCGCGACATTGACGGACGAGGGCTCAGAACTATCCTGCGACTTTTCATGCTTCGTAGTTTTTGGGGATGGCTTTGCAGCCTTGACAAAAGACTCAGATAGATCCGGGTATTTGTCATATTTCATAGACTTTGGGGCTGATTTTGCGGGTTTCGCAGGCAAGATTTCAGAAATATCCTGGAAATTCTGTTGCTTTGTGCTCTTTGGCGCTGGTTTTGCTGACTTGAGAGGCTTGGGGTCGAGACCATCTAGTGGCTTTTCATGCTTCTGCGAGTGCTTGAGCAAGGCCGTTACATTTCCAAAAGATCTGTCGCATGGACCGCAAGCAAGTTTGTGGCCTTTGGACTCAAAATGAGCCTTGACGGCGCCAATGCTTTTGAAGCCACCCCTCTGACATCCAGGACAGAAAAATAACTTGTCAACGACTGTGGGTGAAGCCATGATAAGGAATATTGACTTGCTCCCAAAATATTTCTTTTGTGTAGAGCTAATATAGAAGGCGCAATGTGTATGTCTTGCCTAATTGAGCCCAAACGTGGCAGACAGGGACTGACGTTACACACCGGTGACTGCGGGAGACTATATAGATCAACCGGCCAACGATATAAAGTCGATGAGATAGTCTTAAGTGTCAAGATTATCTTGCTCAACTTGCATAGGTCAGACAAGAACGTAGAGTGAATTGATAATTACGATCTCAAGAGGGATGAAATTGGCCAAGCCGAGATTCTGCCGAATTCTACCGGATTGGGTGCCTGAAATATCAGGCCTGAACCGGCCTTCGGATGTCACCACCAATCATAGCGCACGAGAAGAGTCTTTCCGATAACAAAGCTCAAGGCATATATTTTTGATCTGAAGACTATGTCATTCATTTGGACTGTACATCACACCCAAGAGATCTTGCTCAAAAAAAACCGATTCATAGAAAATAGAACAATGGTAATAACGACATGACAACACAGATAAAGCAAGTCAAGAGGACGCCTATGTTTGGTGTATGTAATTCCACACGGCGTTTGCTCCTTTGCCAGCGAACAATAACAAAGAAAAGATCGCATATGCCAAACTCCGGCCAGAGTGGATCCACAAACTGAATATCAGTATCCCGATGGCATTGCCAGAGTAGAAAATCACTCATTCGATGGACTCCCGATGTCCGAACAAGAATATCCACTGGAGGATCATCGACTGCATACATTCGACGTGCCAGTGACTGGGCAGTGATATCTGAGGGAGAAATCTTTCCCCGACAACATTCTTCTGCTGACACTCGCACTGCACGAGCAATTTCATTACGCGAAGTATATGCCAGGTACACGTTTAGAAATCTCGTTGTTTGGCGGCAAGATCTTTTCACGACAATGTCGATTGTTTCCTTTATATCGTCGCCAAGCAAGTCCAATCGACCTAGCACCTTGATCGAGCATTGATATCGCTCTAATAGCCCCCCTGGCTGAGCATACTCGATGAATAAATCTTTAAGTACCTCCATAACCGGTTCGATTTGCTCCTTTGGTCGTTTGAAGTTTTCAATGCTGAATGTATAGACTGTGACGACTGGTATACCTAACATAAAACAGCCTTCCACGGTCTGTTCATGTCAATATTGACAATTGATTATGATGATATTGACATAAGCCATACCTTTGTCATGGCTTGAGACCCCCGAAATAGTCCTTCTGCAATTGTCATGCCATGAATCTTTGAATAGCGTCGGTTGCCATCCATGATGAATGCAACATGGTTGGGTATGGCACCAGCCTGTAGGGTGTTGATGAGGACATTTCGGACACAATTTGACGCCATAATTTCCTTCTTCTAATTGAAGGGGGGAGAAGATGGCGCCTTTATTCTTCGGCTTAGGGTGACCTAATATATACAACCGCCAAGGACGGAAATGAGACTAAAAAGAGTCGAATACGAAGTGTTCCGTGCCTATGTGGATGGGTCCTAGCTTGCTTTGTGGTGATTGGCGCGGTCAATAATATCCAGGGAAACCTTTTCAGGATGTCGGATTGTCAGATGAGAAACTAGTAGCTTTAGCTTGTAGTGAGTGCTATTTTTACTGCAATTACTGCTCGTGTGGTATTAAGGACTACTGATCATCGGGCTATCACTGAAACTCATCTAATACTGACTCATAGGGTTAGATAGGCGTAGATCTTCTGACGAACTCTGAGGCTTTCGTTACAAGCACAAAACTAAAACTTAGATCATATAAAATTCTAAAATGCTAGCAGTATGCAGAAACCAACAATCTCGCTAGATCAGCAAAAAAAGTCAAACCGTTGACATTTGGGGTAATGCTTATATTCCCTATCTCTAACACACCTTACCTACTCATGCGCCGTCTTATATAAGTATCTAGAGTTCCTCTTCCCTTAAAAGCTCTGGGTCTATAGGAATTTCCTCTTCATCAGAAATATCTTCCATACCAATATCTTCCACAGCAACATCTTGCTCCATCAATCTCAGTCCTAGGATAGCCTCTTGCCCCTGAACACGCAACCTCCTTGGATCTGGTAAGTTTGGGTACTCTGGCATCTCCCCAAATGCTAGCCTCTTTCGGGGTGGAATTTCATCACCATCATCATAATCATCATCGTATGTGGTATCCAAACCTCGTTTGCGTCGTGATACTGATGCCAGTGCTGATCTCCGTGCGGGCAATGACTCTGATTCTGGTGCTGATTCTGTTGTTGGCTCTGTTATTGATTCCGGTGTTGCAGTTGGTTCTGGTGTTGATTCTGGTGACGCCTTCTTCCTTGCCGTCTTCCTTTCCGTCTTCCCTGCCGTTTTCCCTGCCGGAGTTGCTGCAGTACTTGTCACTTTATTTGCTGCCGTCTTTGCTGGTGCCACTGCTGGTGCCACTGTTGGTGCCGGTGGTTGCCAATTGGGGTCACTTGGTGGATCGAGTCCCCAATTAGTCGGATCATGATGTCGGTAATACTGACAAAGATCTAGTAGAGCGTCAGCAATCTCTTGATGATCAAGGCCTTGAATTGACGCTGGTAGATTGGGTATTTCCGCGATGAACCCATCACGTATTATTTCTCTAGAGATGCTCGACGAAAAAGGCGAATGGGAAGTCCACCTCTACCAGTAAAGGCATTGTACTCGTTATCGTGAACTCTTCGAATGGCGTTCATTACCATAGTTTGGGATTCGGGGTTCGACCAGAGACCAAGTCGTTCCCAAAGACGTTGCTTGGGGCGTGTACCCACACCTAGTCTGTGCTTGCCCAGCACCATTTTATAACAGAAAATGATAAATGTAAAGTTGGATGCTGGCTGTGAAGATGGAATGAGAGTCGAGATGGAATCCAGCGTCCATTAAATAATTGATGCGCTCTTTGTGAACGAGGTAGAGTCAATTGAGGCATGGATCTAACATATTCGAGAATACATTGTGTATCTTCGGAATTGAGGAAGGAAACAAAGGATATGACCAAGAACGTTTCCGAGGCGCTCTTTGTGAGCGACACAGGCTTGAATTGGAACAAAGCTTCGTCGAGCATGCATTGTCTATCAACAAGGACATCAAAGAAAAAAAACGATGTATATAGCCCAGCAGGCTTACAAGCCCCCCTTTTGACTCGCAATATGATAAACAAAGCGAAAATTCTCCAGTCACTTCCTAAATACAATGGTCCAGCAACACTGTGAAACGCGATATGGCATTATCTTCTAACCTGCTTTGGCGTTGAGGCACTACGTGGAACTACGACTCTGTGATCATCAAGTCTAAGTTGGTTTTCACATAATGTCAATCGAACAATTAGGAGAGAAGATCAAACGGCAGAACTGGTCTCGTTCAGAAAATGGTCCTATGAGCGATGGATGAACTTGACCCAATTTTGATGGAACTAAACTACCCCTATAAGATTAAAAGGAGTGCCATAATGGGAACTATCTATTTTCGGAATAAAAAGTACTGCCTGACCTCTTGCAGGGCTATAAATACTCCATACTGTCATCATAATGGCAACCAGCCAAGGGAGCCGCTTTATTAGCAGCTGAGATTGTCTCCATCACCTCATCAAAATGACGTATCGGCTCTAGCAACCCTACTAGAGGAATGATAACTTCACTACCTGAATCCTCTCCGGTTCGATCGCGTCTCCTTTCTAATTTATCTGGAATATACACTGGCACAATGACTGTGGGCGCCTCACATAGATCCGTATACTGTTTATATGTGAGATTTGCCCTCAGTATATCGAGCAAAACTGGGCAGAATGATGAGGTGTGATACAGGTAGCACTCACGTGTGGAGGAAGCAAGAAGAGGCTGATGGGAATATTCAGAACCAAGGCCCTCGAAGGCGCAAAGAGAGTTCCAGCAGCCCGTTCGAACGAAAAATGCCTTTTTGCAGCAAGACAGGGACTGGTGCTATAACATGTGACGACCTGACGGCAGCCCATAGTGTAGATAGCTAGTACTCGAGAACTAATTTCATTCCAAGTGTAGCTCATGCCCTTTCTCTTCACATGATTCCTTGCGTTGGACGATTAATTACCATCAAAATCGCTGGGCCGTGAGTTCCTGTGAGGTTCTTATTCTATTCTAGAAGTATTGGTTGTCTATTTTGGGCTGTATGTTAGGGCACGTCGATGCTATGATATCTTCAATGAAAACAAGCTACAAGAAGGCCACACAAAGTTTTAACATGCCACTAGAGTGAAAAATCTTACACTGCATTCGATACTAGTTGAGATTCAGCGCAATTTGATTCAAGAAAGCCGCCTCCCAGTGAAAAATATCCAAAATGAAAGTGGTCCACATATTCTGTCGACCCAAACAATTGTCTTGAAGAGCCTTTCGCAACCATATAACTAGATGAAGTGACCAACAGTCATCGAGTCTATATAGATCAGGACCATCACACAGTCGGGATAAACTCAGCATCACTTTTCTCCCAAGGATGTTGTTTACCGAGTTCTCGGATGAGTTGTTCGTGCATTGCGCTTCGCGGCCGGATCGACAACTTGAACGGAGCTGGATGGCTGATGACACCCGGGAGAAACTTGAGTGGAATATCCTGAGGGACTCCGTTTTCTATCGGTTTTGAGATGCTGAAAACAGTCAGAGCCTGCGAGACTGTGAGGAAAACATTGGCGTCTGCTAGTGTGCGCCCGGGACATGCGCGACGACCGAACCCGAATACGAGCATGTGCGGATCGCGCTCTGGGACTTTGCGGTCGGGGGTGGTCAAAAAGCGCTCCGGCTTGAAGCTCATCGGGTCATGATAGACGGTTGGATCATGCGTATATGCCCTGGGATATCCAAGACTGCATTAGAAATGATTGTCTGCTAGAATGGACAAGAGAGACTCACCAGACATTTGTAAGAATCGAAGATCCCTTGGGGATGAAGTAACCCTCGCATGTATCGTCCTGTGTTGACGTGTGTGCCACACTCATAGGTACAACTGGATGCCATCGGAGAACCTCCTTGACTAGTGCATTGATATATGGAAGGTCGTCTCGATCTTGGAATTGGGGTAGTCGATTACTCCCAAGCACTGTGTCGATTTCCTCCTGAGCCTTGCGTTGTGCCTCAGGAAAAAGGGCCATGGCGAGGAAGAAGCTCGCAATTGAGGAGACAGTCTACTGTTTGTTAGTCCAATAGAATGCGCATAGCTCAGATTTGCTCTCACTGTATCGGCGCCTCCGGCATATAAAGAGCCAGCTGACCACTTAATGACCATTTCTTCTTCAGTCCCCGGCTCCACAGGATTTTGTTGAAGAAGATTGGACAGGAAGGACGGCACAAATTGACCCTTAGCCATTTGCTGCTTGGTAAATGCGTACGGCACACCACTGAATGCCTCTGATCTGGACTTATAGTTTTGCGCAATCTTCACGAATCCTGCCCCAGGGAACCAGGCCGGGAGATATCTCACTGGCCAGAGAGTCAGACAGGGTTCCATGATTCAGTGGGTTGGAATAATCCCCCAGTCATTACTTACTTATTGGGATAAACTCCACCGCCCATGTTGCTGGAAGCAACGCATAGGAAAAGTCCTCCATCCCCTTGTCGGCTAGATCCACAAGAGGGTCACGAGCATGTGGTTCAATAGTATATCCATAGCCAATTTTCAAGACAATTGCTCCAGCTTCTCTGTTCCCAATTAGCTATTGCATACAAAAATATCGTTCTATCGAGTAGATGTATGGACTCACTTCCGTATGTGGTGCTGGAGGTTGTCTGGCTGATCCAATACCCGCACTAAGAAGCGAGCGACCTCTGCTACCTGAGTATCGTTGAAGCGAGCAACCGAATTCTTTGAACCCATCTCTTGATACAGGTGTTTTCGTGTCTTTCTAACATGGTCTGGGTTTATGAGTGCCCCAAGGACTAAATCCCACCCCGACCTGGTGATATCAGTTACCATGCTGTCATCTTCTTGATGCCTTCACTTACATTTCAGTAAACGCATTTTTTGGACGCGAGGAGTGTATAGCTGAGCGCTTCTCTAGTAGCTGCACGGCCAATTTGGCGTCGTTGAGGATGATAATATGTCTTCCCAGTACTGTGAGTGAGCTGATTGGTCCTAATTGGAAATAGTTAACATCCCGATATTTTGTGCTCTCCAGGTCCTCTCTATTACCATATAGTTCCTTATGTCTTAGCCAGTGCATCCAATCTTGTTGGTCTGGGGTTGGTAGATCCTTCAGATTTCCAATTATGGGTTGCTGTTTAGGACCTGGAGGAAGGGACAGCGGATATCTTTTCCGACCGCGAAGAGTGGTGACAATAAAAAAGCCGAAGGCAATGAGAAGACTCAGCCACAACGTCGACAACATGATGATGTTGATACAATATCAAAAGATGCTAAGAGTCGATAGTATTTTTGCTTATGCTGGATTTGACTGCTTTTAAAAGTCTCGAAGAGGGGTTTGCAGGATAGATGCATTCGATGTAACATCCGCGCTTACCATTATAGTACGATAAGCCGGCCATCTGTTCGTCAGGAGGCGGGATGTAGGTGCATAATGTTGTAGTCACTTTTTGACCAGGACATATGAAAGTGCGTCTTTGTGGCCTTCTATACACTAACCCTTTTATTGGTAGCTAATATCCTGATTTTTGATGCATTGGCACATTTCTTGCCACTTGTAACCTTGTTGTATTATCTTTCTACTATTAAAATGTTGACAAGCCAGGTGTTTATACCCTGTTAGGACAGCCTAGGCGAGAGGGTCCCCCAATGCAGTGAATGTGCATGCATGCTGCCGATATAAATTACCGTATTCTTTCAAATGCATACAGTCGATCGAATGGGAAATAAGGTGACGGGTACATATTACCCAACTATGTACTCCGTAGTTTGCTGAATCTTCATTATTGGTATTGTAATTACTGACAAAAAAAACGCAAAGTGACGTGTATGCATGTGCATTGCATTAGGGGACTTTCTCGGGCTGCTGGGGCAGGTACTCGTCACATAAGACACAGTACCTTAAGTACATATGATTATAACATAGATGCTGACTGCGCAAAATGGTTATCTTAGACGTTAAATCCACCTAGATAGCTCATTCGATCGAATACTGATGTTAAATATAGATCATGGAGGTTCATAGTTAACATGTCAGAATCTTTGCAGCTTGATGAAGAGGGATCAAAACAGAGACGGGCCCACAAAAAGGAGCGAATCGCCTAGATACAGAGCGCCACTGCAGGCATTGTTCACTTCATCTTTAGATTAACTCTTTAATTGGGTGGATAGCCACCGTACTGTGCTTCACTGGTAGTAGATAGATGGTTTTAAAACCTCAGACCCCACCCCCTCTACTTTGAGAGTGATATGCCGCCCGCTTGCCTCTCCCAGCCAAGCTCGTTCACCCAGGGCCATCACCTCCGCTTTCTCGCCAACCCGCCACCAGGGCACCATCAGACCCTCTTTTATTCCAAACCAATACCGATGCCTACCTCAAAAAGGGTTGTTATACCTCTTTCGTTTGCTAGGTGGAACATGGAGCTTGGTAGGGTGTTCAGGGTCTAATAGGGCGAAAAAGCGATCGTCGGACCCACCCGACTCGCGATTGAAGAATAAAGCCTCGGCGCTTCCCGCCTCCGCCGATATCTAGGCGCAGCAGTTTAGGGCCTGACGTCGTGATGTTGTCGCGAATGAAGTCACTGCGACGCTAGCTGGTACCGAGATTGAATACTGTTGGTTGAGCAAAAAGTGCATTGGCTTATGGTTGGCACTGCCGTGAGATTGTCGGTGGCTGGCTGAGATTGAGGGAGAACTTGGACGGTGTGATTGCTAGCGTGGCAGTGGTTGATGGGGGAGAATTCATTTTGGGTCTTAACTGCAAATGATATGGAATAGAACATATCGAGTGAACGTGAGAATGTATTTGTCTATTTGCTTGCTGAGGTCAAAGTTCATAGGAATCTTTGACAACAATCTGACACCACGGAATTTGATGGGTATTTCGGTAGCCTTTACTAGACAGAATCCCTGTAACCGACGTCACCGTTGTCTGAAGGCTTTCCGCTTACTGAAAGCTGACGCGAGGCTGCAGTTTAATGTATCTCGTTGCTGAGCCTATCATATTAGGGGACCTAACCCGAAAGGCCATGAGCAAAACAGGCATTCAAAATAAGAAGAATCAATGTCAATTGAGGTCAAATACAAACCTGGACATGGGATAACTAAACGGCAAAGTGCGCTGCGCCAGGGAGAAGAGCTAGCCCTGGACAAATGGCGACACTGGGGTAGTGTCCCTGACAGCAAAGATGACAATGCGTCAACTCCTACGAGAATCCACCTGTATGTGATCGACTGAGTCCATCTTGCCTTAAGAGATTCCCGCACACAATGGGCTACGACTTAAGAAGAACTGGTACATATCAAAGGCCGACAAAGGGCAGAGGAGCTGTAGCAGAATCACACGCCATTCCCATTCATATCTCGGCTCAGAAACGATAGCCCACTATAGCCCCTAGAGATCGCTTATAACTGTTCTGGCAGCCTCTGTTTTGGCTATCACGCTGGACCACAAGACGGGCTGGACCCTCCAGAAGCGCACGAGTCAAGTATATCTTTCGAGTTCAAGATGACAGTTTGTGTCCGGTGCTCTAATTAAGACGAGAATTGATAGAAAGTCTTTTATAGGAGTTACCCTGATAGCCCCAAGGATTTCATGACAAGCTTCCACGTTCATGTTCTTATAACCTTGTCTCGAGACCTCGCTCAGCAAAAGGGGGCGTTCCCAATGTGAACCTGTGGGCCTTGGAAGGACTACCTACCCAGGTAAATAAGGCCGAAAATAGGCTAAAGGGAGTTGCCTATGTGGATTTCACTTGGGTTTTCCAGTCAGCGCGCCAATCCATGAATGCAATCTTCCAAGATTATGCCCAAGTGAATCCCAAGATTGGTGGGTTTGTTCAAGAATGATGGATCATGCCTAAAATACTTGACAGGGCTATGCGGACTTGAGCATATACCTGGTAGCAAGCTAAAATCCATCTCCGCCTAATAGCTACCTAAGCTAGACATTAGGGGATGTCCCCAATCTCTGGGGGCTAAACATAGTACGATTCCCAGTCATCCCAATCTCCCATTCAATGGAACCCTGGCAGCTCTACCCAATGCCGGCTCATTTTCATCCAACCCACATCGTTCTAGGTACATCCTTCAATAGGCTTCTCTGACTCAACACATCACCATTCGCAATGACTTCTTCTTCTTCTTTAGGTATCTCTGCTTCCCATTCAGCATAAACCACACGAACAAATGTGTCTTCATCTTCACCTTCCGCTGCGCTCAGAACCGAATCCACAGCTTCCCGATCCACCAAAAAGAAAAGTCGGTAGCAGCCGGTACATGCTCGGTAGTCTTCAGCAACAACCTGTTCCTCTTTTAAACAAGTTTTAACCCACCGATTGAAGTGCTCGTGTAGAGTGGTGATTGCCAGGCCCTCAAAGGAGGTGAAAAAAATGTTGCTATATACTTCAAGATCAGATATATGTCTTCGATCTGTACCAGAGTATGTAGTATATAAGTTCTTTAGGTAGCACGTTTCCTCGTGTCTACAAATGTGATTTGTATATCTTAGTGTCAAACAACTACAAAGTGATTAAAATACTAAAATTTTAGCGCGGTAAAGGCGAGAGACAGGACGTATAGTAATTAAAAAGTCACATTTTGTTTGGAATGTTTGTATTGTTTGGTACATTTCGGGCCCTAAATGGCCCCCAACAAGGGCTTAGTAGGCTTTCACCCCGGGCCCACAGCCCACCGGGGCCCCAAGGACTGAGCCCAAAATTTGACCGGGTATCTAGTTGGTTTGATAGCGACGGAGATTTCATTGGAGCTCCTGTGAAACGAGAGATTTTCCTCTACGCGTACCTACATATCCATGATCCGACGGAATCTGCATTGGTCGCAAAGTCAAATTACTGAGAGGCTTTATACCTCGCTCCGGGCGTAACTTTGCTAAGCTAAAGCGACAGATAGACTGAGCTTGGTGTATGGACCGGCACAGGGTATGCTGTACAGCATAGGCTTATCATGAGCACATGATGTTGAAATCGGCCAATGATATCAACATCTAGGCTTTACGCTTTATTAACTGGAAGACAGCCTCTCTTGCCCGAGGATCTCAAATCTTTGCAGTACCCGTTGATTGTCGAGTCATGCTGCGGCGAAGCGGCCGGGGACATGAAGAGTACAACATGCGTCGAAGGGTTTTACTAGATGAAGACGATGTGAAAGAGCACGGCATCTACGTTGTTTGAGCTGTACAATGATATTATAGATGGAAATCGGCTTCGTGCTCTGGGACGGTAAGATTTTTCCCCCTCGAAGTGACCTACCAGTACTTTGATAACCGAAAGTGGATAGATATCACGCAATACCACATCTTGCTGACGCGAACGCACCAACAGGGGCTTCTTCCGGAGCTGTAAGCACCTCGATGCACACATGTAACGATTTGATACGATTAGTATTAGATGGGAGTAGTCCGGACGTAGGTATAAGGGAAGGCCTGTCAGACCACATGGACATTTCTAGGCTCTAACCTGAATGAAGCTCAATGTTTTCCGAGTGTTGTTGTTGGTGAATTTAATACCCATGGAGACATGGGCAAAAAAAAAAAAGAAAAAAAGGAAATAATCGGCCCGAGCCCGGGATTGAACCGGGGACCTCGCGCAATAATGCTTTGGGTGAACCCTAAGCGCGAATCATACCACTAGACCACCCGGGCGATTGATGTTAATCTCCAGAGTAAATGTATATATAACTGTACAATAAATCACCTAGTTACTAAGATTTCCAAATTGGATTTAGCTTCAACAAGGTACAGGTTACGGAGTAGCAGTACGGAGTAGCACCTACTCCGAGTGATAAGACTCAGATCACCTGACACAATGTCAGTGCTGTTGCCTTCGACGGTCCAAAGGATATCCCTCTTCTTCCCCCTCTTCCTCTTTTCCCGAAGCCGAACAGCGGAGACACGACTTGTTGCGGCAACCAAATAAGCTTGCTTTGAAATCAACTTGTTTGAGCGTCTACAATGCCATTCGCCACTGGAGAAGAGAATTTGCTCCATTTAAATCAAGAAATCTTTGACTTCAATATCCAATTTGAGCAGTTGTTCTTCTCCATCATTCCGTCCGCTTTGTTCATCGTAACATCACTATGGCGCACAATGTCCCAGGCACGAAAGCCCACCGTGGTGAATGCTCCAATTTTCCAGTTGATAAAATTGGTAGGCCCCATTTTTCGGTAGACAGCTGTGGAGCCATAGGGTGCTGATTGATCTGCTGCAGGGTGCTATCTCAACCTATGTTGGACTTGAACTTTCACTACTCATATTAGTTGGGGCTGGGTCCTTCGATGTGACCGCGATGTTTATTGCATCATCGGTCCTCAACCTTGTCTCAGCGCTACTCATGATCATGCTGAGTGTGGTTGATCACAGCAAAAGCCCGAGGCCATCTATACTGCTAAGCAGCTACTTGTTCCTGACCCTTTTCCTGGATGTGGCGCAGGCAAGAACACTGTTTTTGTCATCGGATGACAGGTCGGAACTCACTTATAGTAGCATCTTCGTAGCTGCTATAGCGCTGAAGACCGGAATATTGTTACTAGAAGCCCAGCAAAAGTCCAGATGGGTGGGCTGGGACAAGAAGGAGCATAGTCCAGAAGAGACGAGTGGTATCTTCTCGTTAGGTGTCTTCTTTTGGCTGAACAAGATCTTTTTGGCTGGCTACAACAAGGTCCTGACTATTGGAGATCTTTACCCTCTGGATAGCTCCTTTACCGCCAGTTCGCTTCACGACGAGTTCTCGGAGAATGTGAATTACTCTGAATTCAAGGGCGACAGATTTGGGTTGGTGAAGGTGCTTATTCGCACATTAAAGGTTCCTCTTCTACTTCCTATACCTCCGCGGTTGGCACTTCTTTGTTTCACATTCTGTCAACCGCTTTTCCTTGAAAAGCTATTGAATCATTTATCCCAGTCTGAACTCGATGCGAACATGGGATACGGGTTTATTGGTGCTAGCTTACTTATATACTCGGGACTTGCTATATCTACGGGCTTCTACTGGTATAAGAACATCTGTTAATTGGATACTTTCAAGGTTCGCTGCTGATATATGAGAACAGGTATTTCCACCATCGAATGCGCACTATGGCTAGGTCAATACTAATTACGGAAATTTTCCTCAAAGCCACGAAAGCCCGTATCGGGACTGGAGATGACAGCGCCGCTCTGACTTTGATGAGCACAGACTTGGAGCGAATTCAGATAGGCTTCAGAAGTCTCCATGAGATTTGGGCGTGCATAATTCAAGCAGGTCTTGCCGGATGGATGTTGTACAACAGAATTGGTGTAGTGTTCGTCGCACCAATGGGAGTTGTCATAGTCTGCTTCATCTGCTTGGGGATCCTCATAAATTTCACCGGGGATTCGCAGCGGTCGTGGATGGCAGGCGTACAAAAGCGGGTAGGCTTAACGGCCACAGTCATTGCCAGCATGAAGAATTTGAAACTCTCTGGCCTATCTGCTGCTATTGGCAACTTCGTGCAGAGACTTCGCGTGGAAGAGCTAGCGACTGGAAGCCGATTCCGCAAAATTGGCATAATTGCGGCGGTTTTAGGCTTTCTCCCGGTGCTACTAGGCCCGCCATTAGCATTCGCATTTACTCAAACAAACTTCGATGCCTCAAGGATATTCACTAGTCTCTCTTTTTTAACGCTGTTGACAAATCCGTTGTCACAGGTCTTTCAGTCTATCCCCGCAATTGTCTCTGGATTGGCTTGCTTGGGTCGAATCCAGGCTTTCTTGGAGTGCGAGACTCGGCATGACTTCCGCCAAGTTCTTGGTGATATAAGACAGAATGTTGAGAAGGCTGGAGCTGCGAACGAAACTTTGTCTGACCCCAAATTGGACTTAAAGCACCCTGTCGTGATCACGAGTGGAAACTTTGGTTGGGAGGCAGATAAGTTCGTGCTGAAGAATGTTAATACTCGAGTACCTAAATCATCACTCACTATTGTTGTTGGACCTGTTGGATCTGGGAAGACCACGCTATGCAAGGCGCTACTTGGAGAAATACCTTTTAGCGAGGGAAGCGTGGTTTTGGGAAATAGCTTTCCTCACGTTGGATTTTGCGACCAAACAGCATTCCTCTCGAACGGATCAATTAGGGACAACATCATAGGGTTCTCTCCACCCAATGAGAGGAAGTATACCGAAGTTATTGAGGCTACCTCTCTGAGCTTCGACTTTGCCACACTACCGCAGGGAGACCGAACAAATGTCGGTTCCGATGGAATTGTCTTATCCGGGGGCCAGAAACAACGTGTTTCTGTTGCTCGAGCTCTATACCTACAATCTGATCTTCTAGTGCTAGACGATGTCTTCAGTGGTCTGGATGCAGACACCGAGGAGCAGGTCTTCCAGCAAGTCTTCGGACTAGATGGATTACTCAAGCGGCGAGGCACTACAGTCGTTTTATGTACCCACAGTATTGGGCACCTCCCTGCGGCAGATCATATAATAGCACTCGAAAACGGCACCATTGTCGAGCAAGGTACCTTTCAAACACTGATGACTAGTCAGGGATATGTTGCACGGCTGGGGTTGAAAGGCTCTTCTGATAGCGCTGCTCCTACCGAGCAAAAATATTCAGAGAAGAGAGCTCAGAAATCAAAGCCACAAGTAATACATACGACGATAGCGAATATATCATCCTCCGCACCAGATACGGAAACGGATACGTCCCGGCAGTTTGGCGATAAAACGGTATACAAGCATTATTTTAGGAGCATGGGACTATTTCTAGCAGCATGCAGTCTATTCCTTAGTGTCCTTTGGGGGTTCTTCACAAACTTTCCAACAATTTGTGAGTCGTCTTTGCCTTCAGACAGTCTCGTCCTTTCGATCAAGCGAGATGCAGCCTATCCCAGAATTTGAGATGGCTTGGACTGATGCTAATTATTGCAGGGCTTACATACTGGACTGACGATATCTCCTCGGAACATCAAGTGCACTCTTATGCTTACTACGCTGGGATATACGCTTTGCTTCAAATCTGTGGCTTGATCTCGCTATTTGCTCTCGGCATCTCGATCTTCGTCGTTTCTGTGAAAAGAGCAGGTGCTAGTCTCCACCAGGATGCCTTACGAACACTTATTCACGCACCGCTAAGCTTCCTCACCAGGACGGATACTGGTGTCGTCACAAATCTCTTCTCGCAGGACCTAAATCTTATAGACACAGAGCTGCCAGATGCAACTTTGAACACACTTTTTGCGTATGTTTATAAGTTCAATGCCAATGAAGCTCTGCAATGACTGCTACTCGCCTTCAGAGCCCCCAGATTTTGCCCAATTATCTGACAAAGATTGCAGGTCTTCCAAGCTCTCGGACAAGCCGCCGTTATGCTTACATCGTCTGTCTACTTGGCTATAAGCTACCCATTTCTCATCGCCCTACTGTATGTCTTGCAGAGGTTCTATCTTCGGACATCCAGACAGCTTAGGTTGCTAGACCTCGAGACTAAAAGTCCCTTATAGTAAGGCTCTCAATACCGAAGACCATATACTAACCAAGTGAGATACTGTGAACTAATCGAATTTGATTCAGCACACATTTCCTCGATACTGTTAAAGGAATTATAACCCTAAGGGCTTTCGGTGAGTGGATTATGACTTGAAAGATACCCAGAAGCCAAGTCTCACACCACTTAACAAAATCCCGCGTCACAAATTGGCTTTTTTTAACACTAAAAATAAATAGGTTTCCTCCCCAACGACGTCGAAAAGAATAATCGCCTAATCGATGACAGCCAACGACCCGCATATCTTCTCCTCATGATCCAACAGTGGCTCAACCTTGTTCTTGACCTTGTAGTCATGATAATAGCAGTGGTGATAACAGCTCTTGCCGTTCAGCTTCACTCTAAATCTGGCTTTGCCGGTGCCTCCTTGTTCTCCCTCATGAGCTTTGGAGAAAACATATCGGGCATTGTCACATATTACACCAAGCTAGAGACATCTATTGGAGCGATCGCTCGTCTCAAGATGTTTAGTGAAGATGTGAAGCCTGAAGATCGAGACGAGGAGGATATTGTTCCACCAGCACTTTGGCCTCAAAACGGTGTGGTGGAATTGATAGGTGTATCTGCAACTTACAGGTAAGAGAAAGCTATTTCTATAGATTTTACTCTAACTACACAGCGTGCTAATCTTTCAATTAGCTCAGGAGATCAGCTTGACAGCACGTCCAACTTAGCCCTCCGCAACATCCACCTCACTATCAACACAGGTGAGAAGATCGCTATTTGCGGTCGTACCGGAAGCGGCAAGTCCAGCCTCATCGCCCTGCTCCTTAAGCTCCTCGATCCTATCCCCGAGACAGCTGGGAACGCAGCTATTGATAAAACGCCGCTCCACCGTATAAACCGAGCTACACTCCGCGACCGCATAATCGCCGTACCCCAAGAAGCTGTTTTCCTGCCTGATGGGTCAACATTCAGAGCGAATCTAGATCCGTCCAATATCTCAACACCTGAGGAGTGCCAAGCTGTGCTCGTCGCCGTGAACCTGTGGAAGTTTGTCCAGGAGCGTGGTGGTCAGGAAGCAGGTATGAGCGCGGGGACACTCAGCGCCGGACAACGGCAACTTATGTCGCTTGGGCGTGCGCTATTGAGACGTTTTCTTCGTGCGCGAAATGGCTCGGATCGCGGTATATTACTGTTGGATGAGGTGAGCTCGAGTGTTGACCGTGAAACGGAACGCGTGATGCAAGACATCATCAGGGTAGAGTTTAAGGACTATACGGTTATCGCGGTCAGCCATCGGCTAGATATGATTATGGACTTTGACAGGGTTGTTGTTATGGATAAGGGGGAGATTGTGGAAGTTGGGAATCCTCTGGTGCTGGCCGCACAGGCGGAGACGTGGTTTGGGGATCTGGTTAGGGCTGGGGCTCAATAGAAAAGGGAAGTGAGCTTGATGAGGTATCACGGGAAGATTGTTGCATCGGATGGTGTACATTCTGTATATTTTCTTGATCTAATCGGTGATGACTTTGTGCATTAGGATTTATGCGGATTGTGCTCGTTGCGGAAGCCCTCCCCAGCGGCTGCTGAGCTAGTTGACGCTATCCGGTGAATATTTGTACGAAGAGTAGCTTGGATCTTGAGAAGAGGCACTATGGTTTGGAATACATTCAAAGGTCTTCGAAGGAAACAATAATTGAACCTGGCTATATATACACGCACATTTCGAGGTAGAATAGGCAAATGCCTGTACAGACTATCGAATAGAACGAAGAGAAAGCAATAAATTCAGTTGATGGACTTTGACTGCTGAAGACTATGCCATGCATAGAGAGAGAGTGCGCTGAACTCGATATCAGTCCACAACCAGATGATAAATAAATACTTTGAAAGCCAGGCATTTGTTGAATGCGAGTCCAGGCCCTACCTCCATGTTATACCACAAGTTATGGAGGCTCTATATTTTCTCATCTGTCATCAGGAGTGTGGGCACCAATATCTGGTAAATGGTCGCATTTGAAAAACGGAGTAGTCAAGAATTATCTTCTGAATCGCTTCTTGTAGGGCTATAAATGCGTCTCGTTGTGACTAAAGTCACTAGGAACGGCGGGAGACAGTCAGCTGAGGAGCACCTATCATGGCCTTAGTCGGGTTGTTCATAGGCTGTAGGCTAGTTCTGGAAAAGACACTTACTTTGGTTCAGCATGTAGCTTAACCAGATCTCATCTTCTTCCCTAATCATCAGCAAATGCCACCTATCTATCGACAACGAGGAGGCAGGCCTCTGGAGGAAGGCAATCGCAGATTATACGCATTGATATATAATTTTCTGAAAACCTAGAAGTCAGCCTAGTGCGAATGGTTCAATTTATATACACCAAACCAGAAGTGAGGATTAAAATATGAGGCAAGGTTGATGGCAGAGCAAACAATTGTGCACTATGTGGACTACGGTGGAAAAAAAAAGAAGAACAAAGAACAATCCAACTGCTGGTAGAATCATGCTGACGACGGAAAGTTTGAAGGCTGCTTTACTAGAACCATGATATGACTATTCAAGTCAAAAATTGGTGAAGTGCCATGCGTTTATTTCTTCGCACCAAGTCCAAAGCCGGCCGCCATATTATCCCATACACTTTGAAGGTTCTGGATATTCTTGTCTGCCTTAGAGAGGCGCGCCACTTGATTCTCGAGCGCCGCACGCTGATAAAAGAGGTCATTTTCAATGACATTGCGTTCGAGGATCATCGTCTGAATCACTTCTTGTAGCGCTACTAGTGCGTCCCGTTGGTGTTGGGCTCGCTCTCGCTCCGAAGGGCTGGGATCAGCCGGCCCAGGAACCGTCGTGGCTTTCGGGCCATTCGCGACTGAATCGCGAATAAGATCTTGAGAAGACATTGCTCTATACGGATTACCCACGTTTCATAACTGACTTGGGTCTGAATTTAGCATATCTCACCGAGTTGATAGGGTTTAGAATTGAGTAGGACTTCGTAGAAGCGACAGAGTAGATGAAGGCATAAAGGGAAAGTAAGAGGTGAGATGGAAGAGAGGAGAGTAGTAGGATAGTGAAGCGATATGTGAAAATGAAAGAAATATGAAGAGAGAAAATTTGAGACAGGTCATCAGGCAATGTACAGAGAGCAGTTCGGATGGAGTCCTTGTTGAGCCATGCTACTACATAGAGACCTACTTCGACCGAACAGACGGGAATCCAATCACCAGTCATATGCGTGGCTTGACCAATGAGTTGGCTCTTAGCTTCGTGTGAATTTTGCCGTACGGATGTGGCTCGTGGAAATATGTGCTACGATCGAGGCTGAAGGGCAAAGGCGTGCAATATTCTAGCTAAAACCACACAGCTTCCAGGAACCAACCTAGTGCTCCCTGTTTCATACGGGAATCAATATAATAACATTTTGAGGGTTTGATGGTGTGGGAAGGGTCATGAAACGTTGTAATAGAGCCATACAGGGCACACTTGTCGACGAAAAATGTGGGCGGGGATTCGCAAAGGGGGCCAATTGAAGGATAAAGAGTGCCTATTGTGTTGACGGTCTCTTCATGGTGGGCTATCGTGGAAATTGCTAGATAAAAAATTGAGAAGAGAGTGTGAATGGCAAACTTACATGACAGTTAGACGCCTGGAAAGCGTGACTGGCCACGGTTTGTTACCAGTGCTGTATTTCATTGGTTAGCTTGCCAATTCTGAAAGAGCCAGTGTAGCCATTGGTGTACTACTCGGAGAGGAGTTGTCGAGGGGGAGGGGGATGGGTCAAACGCAGGAGTCGGTTCTAAAATTGACCGGCAAAAACAAACCAAATCCCAAGTTCCAAAAGGATGGAGTAGAAAGAGATGGGGAGAAGTGGGGCGACGAGGAGAGAATAAGCAAGAGGTGTGGTTACAATGGTCTGCGGGACAGAATACTGCTTTTTCGTACAAGAGCCACTTCAGGTGGCTCATGTATTGTTGTTGCTATTCACTGGTTATCGGTCTCCGATCCTGCATTCGTTCCTTATCATGTCAATTCAGTGTGTTCGAGGCAATCGATGCGTGCAAGGCGTGCTTCGGGACTCTTCTCTCTCCATCAAAATCGTGATCGTTGGAACGACAAAAGGGCATTCATGATTGAATAGATTCGCGAGACCATCCATGGCCAACCTAGTTGTTGCGTCTCAACCCCAATTTGGTAGCCATGCTGTCCCAAATTAGCTGAAGGTTGTCGATGCGCAAGTCGGTTTCTTCAAGGAGGTCAAGCTGGTCATCCAGTACCGCGCGCTGTTGAACAATCTGTGCGCGAATTTGACATCGCTCCAAGAACAATTCCCTGATCACCTTATCGAGGCTGACCAGTGCGTTTTTGATGGTTGTGAATCCGCTCTCTTGGGTTTCAGTTCGCTGAAAAAGATCAGGATCAACCGCATCAAAACCTGCTCTGGCTCCGGGCTCATTGGTGGCAGGGTCAGGGGGTCTTGGGAGGACATGTCTGCACAATAGTCAGTTGATTTAGCCCTGAATTTCATCGCGCCCAATTCAATGGGTGGTCGTACCGGGACGTCTGGCCTGGAATAGGCTTTGATTGGATATCAAGATATGGATACGAGGAGATCGGGTGAAGAATAGATGGAAGAAAGGGGATGGTCGCAAGAACGTCGAGGATTGTTAGTGACGGGCCAAACGAAAAAGACGAAGGTGCGATGGTCTTGCCCTTCGTTCCTTTCATATCAGTTCTACCTCATTTGGTCTTTTGTCTTCATTACTCTTTCCCTCAATTCTATGTACCCTCTTCATTTCCTGAATAACACTTCAAGGTGGTCGATATGCAAGAGGCCTCAGTGAACGGATTCCAGTCCGCAGTAAGATTGTAATAGTATAATTTACCTCTTCTAGGTTTTCAAAAAGGCATACCGCCTCGGGCCCTAGGGTTGAGTATAAATGGGCTAAGAGCAAGGCGGTGAAATAGGCGTCAACAGATTATATGACTTGGCGCGATGGCGGTTTAAGACCTGTCTTAATTACCCATTGTGTCACTTGTTTCACATGTGGCAATGTCGGAGTAAAGGCTTCGTCTTTTTATGCATAATAACAAGCTATTTTGATATATTTGGTGGGCATTTTGTTGGAATTGTAATCAGAAAAAATTGTCCCATACTAACGACGTTTGGCTCATTCCGTGATAAAGCCAAGCAGATCTTTATTGACTTCGTCAGAATTAATGTTGTGAATAGCGTGGGATCCCCCTTTGTAAACCTTCAGCCTGCCTTGAGGCAGAATCTTTGCAGACTTCAGTCCAGATGCCTCAATGGGAACGATTTGGTCATCATCCCCATGAAGGACTAATACAGGGATATTGATCTTCTTCAGATCTTCCGTGAAATCTGTTTCCGAGAAATCCCTGATCGAGTCGTACGCTGACTTGAAACTGGTGTTCATACCCTGCTGCCACCAACTACGAATCTGTCCTTCGCTCTTCCGTGCACCAGATCGGTTAAAACCAAAGAATGGTCCGCTGGGGACATCCAGGAAGAATTGTGCGCGGTCATTCCGCATCGCTTCTCGGAATGAATCGAAAACTGACTTGTCTGTCCCCTCGGCGTTGACACTAGTCTTCACCATCAGAGGAGGCACAGCGCCGACAAGCACGGCTTTCTTGAAACGACTTGTGCCATGCTTTCCGAGGTAATGAGTGACCTCTCCTCCTCCGTGGGAATGCCCAACCATTACTGCGTTGTCCACCTTTAGGTGGGCGAATAGCTCCTCGAGATCGTCGACAAAGCTGTCCATGTTGTTTCCGTCCCAGGTTTGAGTAGATCGCCCATGGCCACGCCGGTCGTGTGCGATGACACGGTAGCCTTCATCAGCCAAATACATCATCTGGTTTTCCCAATTGTCGCTGGTCAAGGGCCAGCCGTGGGAGAAAGTAACAATAGCGCCGTGGGGATTGCCCCAGTCCTTGTAGAAGAGCTCGGCTCCATCTCGAAGCGTCAGGTGTGGCATGGTTTGTAGGAAAGGTGCTCAGATGTGAAATTTCTAGTCTCAAGGTCTCCACGGACTTGACCCGATTGCAACTTGAATGTTATATATATATAGCTATAGCTACCCACCGCGGTGTCGGGACACGTCTGAGCTTACCTAAGCTAGTAGTCTTTACGTTGTCTTGACGTTGTCGTGACGTCTCGTATCGTAATCCTTCCACTGCAATGTCCACGGATTTGGCCATCTGCTCATGGCGAGGTGTACGGGGTAAGCGTCTTTCACTTGTTCTGTATTTGTGGGTTCCCTCTTCGTACGGAGTACTCAAGGGGTTCTCAAGTTCAGTGTCAGCCACCATTGAGATAAGCCGAGCATGCGGACTGAGGTATTTGGCAGTCTATTATTCGGGACTTTGAAAGATTGACCGATAGATTGTAGGATGAGAGCAAGTTCCCCCAAACCGTTCGTTTTGCTGTCGACCAAAATATACCATCGCTCGAACTAGGGAGTCCACTGGGTAAACCTTCCAAGGAAAGGGTTAAGATGAATAATCAGCGCAAGAGGAATAATAAAAGTCCGATCACCGCTTACAGCGCACTAGAACTCGGGTGATGGTCACAAAAATGTCAACAGCTATGTTGCAAATAAATAGGCATACTGGGTAAGGATCTGCAGTGTCTTGGAGATTCTAAGTGATGGTGGACATGGCCATACGTAGCCGGCCCCGCTTATCTAACGCGTGGCCTGCCTCCAAGGCACCGAATTTTGTTGGATAGTTCTTTCTATCTTGATCACTTCTCATTGTCATTTTAATTCGCTTGGAATTTGTCTGTCTCTCCATCTTTTACTTCCTTCACTTGTTCAACCCGACGTGATATGTGTTTTGTCGTTGCTTGGCGCAGACCCACAGCTTATCAATTAGACATCATTGTCTAAGATGCGCGAAGATTATGCTCACAATGACCCCGGTCGCTTTCAATCCAGTCATCTATTGCAGAACAAACCACCAGAGACGACTGAGTACCCGCCTGCTTATGAAGCGTGGAGTGAAGACGGCACAGATGAATACTCTAGATGGGACCCGCGGGGATGGTCCTTGAAAAACAAGATTTTCCTAGCGATTGGTGTTGTCGTGGTGATTGTAGGTGTTGTTGTTGGTGCTGTTCTAGGAGTGCGATACAACCGGTATCCCGATTACTCTAAATTGAACTATACCCTGAAAGACAATTATTCGGGATCCTCGTTTTTCGACAACTTTGAATATTTTACTGAAGCCGACCCAACCCATGGATTTGTCCAGTACGGCTCCTACATCTGAAAGGCAAGCTGAAAGACTGAACTAATTTATGATCCAGATATATCGACCGCGCTGCATCCGAATGGCTGAATCTAACATCCGCCACGGACACTTCTGCAGTGCTCAAGGTGGACACGAAATATAAAGGATCAGAAGCTGCTCACGGTCGCCAATCCGTGCGAGTCACATCCAACAAGACCTATGCCGACGGGCTCTTCATCTTCGATGTCATTCACACCCCGTACGGGTGTGGCACATGGCCGGCCCTGTGGTTGACAGACCCTAACAACTGGCCAGAACACGGTGAAATCGATGTCGTGGAAGCTACCAACGCTGGGACCTTTGGAACCCAGTCGACTCTTCACACATCGAAAGGCTGCTCTATGGGTGTTAAACGGAAAGAAAGTGGCACGGTGGATCACGAGAACTGTTACTACGAGGCAAATGGGGGTACGGGCTGTGGTGTGAAGGGCACTGGCAGTACTTACGGCCCTGATTTCAACAGCAAGGGTGGCGGTGTGAGTAATGATCATAGCCATCGATGCCGTGAAACCACTATGCTAATAACCACAGGTCTACGCGATGGAACTCCGTGACGCCGGTATTCGTGTATGGCAATGGGTCCGATCCAACATCCCGTCCGATATCACCTCTGGAAATCCCGACCCGTCCACATGGGGCCAGGCATTTGCAGACTTTCCCAGCACGGATTGCGACATTGGTTCTCATTTCAAGAACCAGAGTATCATCATCAATATCTCTTTGTGCGGTGACTGGGCAGGTGCGAACAAGTACTACAAGACGCAAAGTAGTTGTCCTAGTAACTGCAAGGCATTTGTGCGGGACAATGCGGCTAGTTTCGACACTGCATATTGGGAATTCGGAGGCTTCAAGGTCTACCAGGCCTCCTGATCTGTTCAAATGCCAGGTGCTCTCATTTTCACGTTTTGCTAGATTGATGCATTAGAGATCGCGATCATTGCCGAGGCGTTTGAGTGGTGATTTTGTTTTGACTAAGGTGTGTCAGGATTCGTTGTGCAATCGCAGATAATCATGTATCTTTATATATATGAAGAAACCAAACTTTCATTACACGGGCTTCGATTATATGCAATAGAGGAATATCTGACTGCAAGACCGATATGCTATAACTTTATGTGTTTGAAGACACCAGGATATCCACAAATTGAATGAACGACTATTGGACCTTGCCTCTCGAGTCGACAGGCCATATCTCCTCAATGACACCCCGCCGATGGGCGTAATAGAAATCATGCAAGTTGACCGTAGGGTCAATGTGACTCGGTACCATCTCAACACGATCCCCGACCGCAAGCGCTGGGGTACCCTCCTCCCAACTGAGTGAACCATGCTCGTCACCAAGAACACCATAAGTGTACCTTGGATCCTTACACTCTGCCAAACCACTATCCGTAGTCAACGATTTCAAGCCACTGTCGATTGTGACCGACCGAGGACCTTGTTTGCTCAGAACAGTTGACAGAATAGTAAGACTATTGGAATAGAACGTGCCCACGGCATTTCTGTAGTCCGTATCCATGAAAATAAATGACCCAGGCTGTAGCTCAGTGACACCCGGTACTGTGGCGCAGAACTCAGCTGTTCCCGTTCCTCCTGTAGTGACCACCTCGATGTTGAAGCCGGCCTTCCGTAACACGTCCGCAGTATTCGTGAGAATCCCCATCGACTGCAGACATTGACTCTTACGATCTTCCTTATCATGCAAATGCTGCAAATGCCCCTCATAGCCATGGAGTCCAATCAGTTTCAAATGTTTCAAACCCTGCACATGTTGTGCCAGGGTCATAGCTGGTTCGCCCGGCAGAACACCGGTGCGATGAAGCCCAACATCGAGGTCAATCAAAACCGAAATCGGTTCGTCGATGCCGGCTGCATCCAAAGCCTTATCTATGGCCGTTGCGCCAATCTCGCTGTCAACCACGATCCTGATCTTGCGGTGATTGCGGTACAGCTCCACTAGTCTTTGAACTTTTGCGGGGCCGATGATCTCGCATGTGATAAATAGGTCATCAAAGCCCGCTGCGGCGATGACTTCAGCCTCGCTGACTTTGGCCACGCAGCCTCCCTGTGCGCCTGCTTTCACCATCTTAGCGGCTAATATCGCGCTCTTTGTCGTTTTCAGATGGGGACGGATGTCCAGGCCGGTTGGTAACAGCTTGTCCATGAGCTTCTTGATGTTAGTCTCGACAAGATCGAGATCTGCGATCATGGATGGTGTGTCGAGGGCATCGACTCTGTCGCCGACTTTGGGGGAATACATGGTGTTGAAGTTGCTGTTCCGAGTGAAGTTCAAAAGACAATGCTATGCTATTGATGATCAACGTTTATGACTGAATATTGAGAGAGGAAGGGGTGCATTTTATAGAAAGGGGCAAACATGTGCCCCGCTATACAACCCCCACTATGTTCTCCGCGTGGGGGTTTGGGGATGTTGCATTCCGAAAACACGCAGTGTGGGAATGACAGTCGGATTCAGGATAGTATATCTGAGTAGCGGTCAGGTAATTTGATGTATGCTTCTCGACCACATCACTAGATGCTCTATGAATTTTCGAAAGGCTGGTCATTATACAGAATTGCAAAACATGCATTGAAATGCCATTATACATTGTTAGATGTCTTGTATACCCACGCGGGATCCTTCCATGCGCTCTTACCTCCTTGTTCCTCTGAAAACATGGAACTTGAAACTGCCGCCCTCGCGGTAGGTTTGAGAAGAATCGGGAGACTTAGAAGAGTATCTATACTGGGCATATCTGGACTGAATGAACTACCCCTAATCGTTACCTCTTGACATCGAGCCAGCTCAAAAAGTCGTGAAGCTTTTTGCATTCCAAACTAAGATTGCTAGGATCCTCCACCTCCATCGATATATTTGCCGCCAGATTCCATCATAAATATCACTCTTTTTCTCGGGCCCCCATAAATCTACACTCGGCCAGCTCACACCAGCGTCCAACAAAATGAATATCTGTCAGAAGTCTATAAGCCATGTAAATCAAACGAACGGCTTTTCCAGCCGTATGCACGGTTCAGCCAGACCGATGTATAAAGCTTTTCACAACCGAACTCCACGCTCTTCATATAAAAAGTCATCCCAGGAGACTTCTCCCGGTCGTGCAGCGTTTGCGAGGCAGTAAACTATTGTCATAAACCCTTTCAGAACATGTCTCTCAACTTTGATAATTGGCTTCGTTTTGGCTTGGAAGCCAGGAAATGAAGTACCTTGCTGGTGCAATTCCAACGACTCTTACGCCATCCAGCTTATCCCCTGCATTCTGCCAATGCAAAGGGCTATACGATACATGCCGTGAGCGATGGCCTGTATAATCTTCATCCGCCTTCTGTCTGTCAAAGCCTTTAACTTCTGATGCACATACCAGCGTAATCATCGGGATCCTCACGGAGTGGGAGCCATTATCAAAGCCCCCCTTTGTAGACCTCAATTATGCAAGATTTAAAACCTCATATGCATTCAATATAATTATAAGGACGAAGAAGAAGTTTGGAAAAGGGAGAAATATTCGTCTCTCGCGATGGAGAAGACAGTATGTCTAACAAAGAGGTCATGGAGAAAAAGAGGGAGTATTCTCCAGCCTCAGGCCCCCAGGCTTACGGGCGACCAGGTTGCTAGGCCACCAACACAACCTTCAATTTCCAGCTCATCGCGTGAGATAGAAGAAATGAAAGCTGCATTGCAATAACACAATCTCACACAACGAGAGGCCCTAGTAGAGAACACAACACACATTATCCTATTTGCAAGAGTTGGATCCAGTCTGTCGTCTTGATTGTGACTCAACAAGCCAATGGTTTCAACGATGGAGGGTCAAACTCAGTAGCGTTTACTGCGAAGGTCAGCATAAATCAATCTTTCATCACCAATGAAGTCATTACTGACCAATCGATATCATGACAAACCCAAACTCATCAGCTTCTTCTAACCACTTTTCCGCCCGTGGATCCATAACGACGCCTGGTTTGATTTTCCCGAATTCGGCTTGCAGGTACCCCCGCCCACTCCAGCGCGACAGCCAATGAATATATAGAGTGTTCCATTCTTCTTCCGTGTGCGCCTGCCAAAGCACCTTTGCTGCTGGCGCAGGCATGAATCCCAGATCTCTGCAGTCAAAGCATGGCACTTTATGCAACACCGAGTATGCCCAATGGAGGAGATATAAAGCAAGTACCGCTCGGCGCTTGGACGTTACGTACACCCAGGCCTCCCAAGATGGTCTCATTTGTGTTCTTTCTTCCTGCAGGAACAGACCAGCGTGGACAACGTGATAGACCAAGAGCTCCACTTTGCGAAAGATGATGGTGTGATCAATCAGAGGGTGCGGTGACTTCACGGTTGGAGAGATCAAAATGATGGTGTATATGACCACTGCTTGCAGAGCCGCCAGCAGGGTTGTCTCCTCAAGTCGCTCAGACTAGCACCCAAATTGGAGTCAGTCAGAACGACAGGAAAAAAGAGCAAAAACTGACCTTATCTACGATGCTGTCTAGTTCTTTGAGAATTGTTTTCCGCACCAAATCTTCCGCACCTTCGCATTGCCCATGCCACATTTTGGTCAAGGTTATGCAGTTCGCTAGTGGTGATGGTAGTGTTTTATTTGGTGCAATATGAGTTAAGTGGAACAAAGGAGGAATTTGGAACTCTTCGGCGAGCATTTTCGGCCAAGTTCGAAGAACTCGGAAGATAAGTTCCATGCTATGATTTGCCAGAGCAATCGAATTTGTATCCACCGATGAGCTCGACTGAGGAGCCGGAGGATTGATGGCTCGGATAAGCTTTGGCGTGTCGCATCCACTGCTGGTGTTCAAAGAAAAGAGATCTGGGCTAGCTGCCTGTGGGGAACGTAAAGCAAGACTCGCAGGCTGTATTAGATCCCACGGACCTAGACCCGAGAAAAATGAATCAAATAAATTAGGATCGAAGACTGATTGCAGCTCTTGTGGCTGGGCCATCAATGAGTTGTCTGGTAAAGGAGCACTTGTGGTGTCAATGTCAATTGTGAGCTCAGTATTCTCAACTTCTGCTGTTTCGGTTGCATCCACGCTAGTATATTGACAAGATACGGTTCGCAGAGAACACCGAGAACAACTCGGACGCTTTAAGTTGCATCTGGCTTTATCCGCGGCACACTGGTGGCAGGATTTGCGTCTCAGTGTATGCGGCTGAGATTTATTACAGTTGTTCTTTAGATGGCGGATAAGCGAGGATCCTGAAGTGGCATTAGTACCAGGCCCAGATGAGAAATGATTCAAACGAACGATGGCTGAAATGAGTGGCGCAGAAGGGACAGTCGGCACTTTTCTCGGTGGATCTCATTTTCGTTGTGGAGTTTGGTTGTTGGAAAGAAGAGTGTTGGATGAAATACTGTTCAATTCAACTCGGAGTTCCGAGTTGCCTTAGTGGGGTCCGAGGGAAGGGAGTATATAAGCCCGTGTACCGAGGCGAGCGGACGGTGAATTTACGGTCAATTCTGAAACAACGCTGAAATGACAGTCAATCATATTTTCTTCTGGGCCTCCGCTGCCAAGTTCAATTCCCTACGGTCGTTCTATCGTAGGATCCTGCAGCCGATCGGGTACAGCGAGATGATCCGTGTAAACAATGACGCTCTCATCGGCTATGGCAGTGACTATCCTTACTTCTGGCTTAAGCAGCTGTCCGATGATAAAGAACCCCTGCCAACTCACATCGCGCTTGATGCACCAAGTGAGTGTCTCCAGTATAAAAGTTTCGAAAGTTGCTAATATAGGCAAATCAGGCCGCGAAGCTGTGGATCAATTCTACCAGCTAGCATTGTAAGTTGGGCCTTGTCATCTGGATACAACACCTTACTAGCGTTTTTTATGAGTGGTAGCTGATGCTTTCTTAGACAACATGGCGGACGAGACAATGGAGGCCCAGGCATCAGGAAAGAGATGAGTCGGCAGCCGTACTATTCAGCTTTTATATTTGATTTGGATGGGAACAATGTGGAGGCTGTGTATCTTCCAAAATAGATGCGAGTGACTTGATGTAGCAGAGTACAATATCTGTTGATTTTTTTTCCATGCTAGTCCATTATACCGGTTTGATGTGTTGAGATGCAGGACATCGTTAGCCATGTGCGATACATTACGACGCCTAAATCGAATGCCATAATCATCACGTTGTCAAGTCGATTTAATTCGTGGTCTAACAACAAATCTTTGCTCGATGTCATCATCTAATTCTTCCTAGAATTATTTACTCATGTTTCGGGTTGGATAATTGCTCCACATTTTCTAGCTCTGGATTTAGAGATCTTGAACTTTGCATCCTTCTTCCCGGTACAATTCATTGCACAGAATTTGTCATGACTGTGGCTAAGCTTTCTGCTTCATAGTATATATAATTGTATCAAAGCACGGCGTCTGCAATCCAATTAACGGAACAGCATTAAGATTGCTTTGAAGACCTTTCTTCGAGGCGCAGGTACTGCGAAAGAAGCTGCCTCACCGTCTCCTCAAACCCGGTAAACTGCCAACCAAATGTTTCCTCTGTATGTCGGGCATTCAGCCTCCATTTTATTGCCGTCAAAGACCCTTCAAGCGGCAGTCGTTTATTGACCACCGCTTCTGGAAAGAATTTCCTGCAGCAACATTGGACATCCCTGTCCCATACTACCCCATCAGGTGTATCAGAAGAAAGGATATATTCAGAATTTCCAGGAACCAAACCAGCGTCTACTGAATCGACATGTGCACGCGCGACATCAGCAACATTGACCGGCGTTCCAACATATGGAAACGAGGAGTTGAGAGAGGCTGTCAGGGCGGGTGCTAGAACCGCTGCCCGCGTGCCTCGAAGAAGGCTTTCGGCCTTTGCCGTTGGGTCTGCGTCCAGGCGATCATCAGGGCCGATAACCACGGAGGGTAGGAGGTTGATGAAATCGTATTTTGGACGCGCATGATTGACAAATGCTTTGGTCGCGAGTCTTGCGAGCGCTTTGGATGCCCAATACGCTTCCATTGCAGTCGAGAAAGGGCCAGTAACGCTGTTATTTACATCATCCACTGACAATAAAAATAAATCATTAGCTGGCACGCTACTATGAATCAATTGGGTGGATGGCTGACCTGTATATAGTCGTTGGCTGTCCGGATTGATATTCCATTCAAATGGAATAAGAGTCACGCCTGCAGTGGGAGTCAGCTTCCTTAGTCAAAATAAGAGTGAACAATCTCATACATGGGGATGTCAAGATTACGCGACGGATTGATGTGACGCGATTCGCTGCTTCTAGAACAGTTGTCACCATCGATATAGCGGGTTTCACGATCCCAACATCATAATCATCGGTCTGCAGGAAAACATGTAAGCCATGAGAAACAACCGTTTTATTTAGTTATATTACCTCAATCGCTAACGGCGATGCAAGGTGAATTATGACAGTAATCCCTTCAAGGACCTTGAAAATTGCATCCGATTCGAGAAAGTTTGGAATAACGACAAATTGAAGTTGTTCTTGGTCAAGACTCTGTGCAATTCGTGTACTTCTATTTCTCAAATCATTGATATCGCGCTCGCTTCGGACGACAGCCCGAACACGGTATGCTCGTTCAAGGGCAATTGTGAGCGTCTTGAATCCAATGTAGCCAGTAACCCCTGTGATCTTTTTCTCAATATATAAGAGTCTGCTCCTCTTGGTATGATACAACAAGGGTTTGCTCACCAACAGATGCTCAAGGCTGATATCATGGGCTTTGTGTGACATGATGGAGATTCTAGAATTTGATTTTTTTTTCGCTCAAAGTAATAATCTGCAAGCTTTAATTCTATATAAATAGTCCTGAAATAGGTAGTAACATTTGAACCGAGCCCCCACTGTGTGCTTACCGGCACCCGGAGTTCCGGGTTGCAAGGGATAGCTAGGCTCAGGGGTAGCGCTCCGACATTATACAAGAAAACGCGTTAATTAAGAATAATTTAAAGAACAAGTATTTATTCAGAAGTGGTGGTACTCCCACAATAATCTAATATGTACATCTAGTATAAAAATATCAATATTGAGTATTTCTTTCGCGACATCTCGACCTCTACTGGTCAAACTTTTCTTGACATTGATTTATAGACTGAAATAGCTATTTAAGCTTATATAGTGTATTTTAGACTCTAAAGAATTGGTAGGAGGTTAGGATACAGCGAAGGTCGACGGTTTAGAAGCGCCAAGACCCCCCTAACGGGCTATGATGGGGTTTCTATGGGGGCTCATAGTAGCCCATCATAGCCCCTAGCCCGCTGCGGGTTGGGCCATGTGCCCCCATTTATGGGCTTTGCGAAGCGTTACTCGGGGGCGAGATATAATGCCAAAGTAAAAGTCTAGCCACCTTAGGTGATAGATAGACGCTTGGCGTTTTCGACTGTTTAATATTTGCAAAATTTATGACTTTGAAAATATGCATGTTAGTATAGATAGTGAACGTTTATGAAAAACGGTAGCATTGCTCATCTATGTGGGCTAGTCATGAACTTTGAACAGAAACCAAAGTCTCATTGGCGAGGGAGATAGACATATAAAGCACAAACAAAAAGACGGTCAGCAACTCTGAATATTCCTCCTTTACAACAACTCAACTTCAATCTTGATACCTGAATCTTTCAGCCGATCAACGTATTCCATACCCAAAAATGACGGTGTGACCACTCCGCCATGTCCACGAGTACTATTTCCCGCCCTATCGGCACCAATCCTTTGATCAAGCAATACCTTTGCCCCGATGCAGGTGACAAGTGCAGTGAGCTCGTACAGCGCCCCCTCGCGAACAAATGATGCCATGATCCGAGGTGCAGTGCCTCCATTACCGTTCCCAACAGCACGATACTCCGCCCTCTCCGTATGTCTTAGCAGGCTCAAATCCGGAGCAGAATCCATACGTGTCCCGAGCATTCGCACGAGGCCACGCACAAATGAAATGGATAAAAGTACAAGCAGCACTTTGGTGAAGATATGCACAAAAATAGCGCTCAATACTCCATTCGCTGGGAGATACTCCTCGAAGTGAAAGTCAGGTCCATAAAGATCAGGACTCTGGGAGGCGCTGCGGTAAATAACGGCTTGACTCCCTGAGCCTGTGAAGGACGTTGCCAGAGAGCCCAGCTCTTGCGTGTATCGATAACCGAAGGCACGCGCGATCCAGGGCGCCTTTGTCTCTTTCCGAAATGGTGCAGAGAGGATAGACGAGTCGCCATATAGGTACCAGCCAGAACCATATGTCTCAAACGTGTTAAGTACCGTGTTCAGAGAGCCAGTGCTCATTGCCTTGATACTGGAAAGGTTGAATTAGCCAATACCTCGAAATGACTGCGCGATGACCGTACTCAAGCTTTCCAGAACTCACTATCTCAGCTGTGTTGGTAGAGTATACCTCTTGCATTTTGTTTACAATCAGCCAGGCGATGATATCTGAAGGGGTCGATGTTGACAGGCCGGGGAGAAGCTGTGTGATATCAGCCCCAAGCTGTTCTTGCTCTATTAATGTCCTTTCTACTAACCAGTGAACCGCTCTGCCGAGCAATCTCGGCATAATTCTCAATGACTTCTCGAATCCAGGGAACTTCGGTGGTACTGAAACTGATAAGCTTGATGAATTGTCCAACACTCAGAAAGACGACTCACAAGTCAACATAGTGCGTACCAAGCGTGGCACATGCTGCCACGATTGGGGTCGAGAATCGATGGAATGGTCCGATCCCATTGATTACAACCCGTGTTTGTTCCACTAGAGGCTTAAGGCTTGATGGTTGGAGCTCCGTGACTTCGATATCTTTGTGGATGTCAGATCCAACTTTGATAATCACAATCAAAGGTGGGTCATACATACCTGGAGACATTCGATCTGGGAAGAGTTGCTTCAATTCCTCCGCCAAGGCCTCCAGACGACCCAGTGATCTACCTGCAATGCACCATTTGGTGGTCAATGGGTAGTTCTGCGCGATGAAATGTGCACAGAGTTTCCCGGTAAATCCTGTCGCCCCGAAAAGAATGATGTCGTACATGACTTTGCTTGATTGTATGCTGAGCTAGACTATGTTTTTAATAGATATATATATCTACTCTTTTGAATGCTCATGTTTTGTGCTAGTTGAAAGATCTTGAAAAACCGGAGTTCCGAGTTGAGCCACAACTCCTAGTTTTACCCCGGCCCCCGGGGTTTCTTGCACAGTTTCGACACCAGCGCTCTTTTTGATTTGGGAGTACACTTTTCTCCTTATATAGTTCAGAACTGTGACTGGTTTCGCGAGTCAGAAAAATAATTGCAGCAGAAGAAACTGCATGTGCCAGTAATATTGGACACTCACGCATTTTTCGAATTTACAAGACCAACATCAGACAACTTAGATACGTACGGATTTATGTAGGTAATGAGGATCGGCGATAAGTGACTACCATACTCCGTAGTTATATGATCTTCACTCCTAGTACGTGATACCTGAAGGCTCATTTCTGACATGAATTATGTTGCAATACCTAGTCGGTACATGGTATTTATACCCAAAGATACAATAATTGGTCTGGGTGATTTCGGTGATGTATATCTTAGAAGAGGAAAATGATGGTTGAAATGCATTTCTGAAATTGAATGAAAAACGAACTGGACATTTTGATAATCACCGGTAATTTTACATACAACGCAAAACACTGGATGCTGCACCATTCTGGATATTATCCGTGGAGCCCCTGTGAGAATGTGTACTGATACCGGTATTCAATACACTCATCCACAAAAATCAGAGTTTGAAAGTTATGACACGCAAAGCCTTCACGCCGTTCAATCCCACCTCCAAGGTGTGAACCCAGATCAAAAGGACGATGGGGGATCGAAGTAATTTTCACGAGTTGTCCACTGAGCCGTATGGGATTTTCTGGCAAGAAGACTTCATCGATGCCGAACACGAGCAACGACTCATCTCAGTCTTTTGCAACGAACTAGAATGGCCCGACCGCTCTGGCCGGATATCACTGCACTACGGCTACAGCTTTGATTATAAAACGTTCGGGATAGACCCCGATATCCCATACAAGGAATTCCCAGAATGGCTCCAACCTCTCATCCCGACAACCGAGGATCGACCTCCAGACCAGGTCTGTCTGCAGTACTATCCTCCAGGAGCGGGCATCCCACCCCATGTAGATGCACACAAGCCATATGACCAGCTCTACGCATTATCTCTTGGTGCGCCGGCGACGATGATATTCCGCCGGGGCGAGGAACGTATCGAGGTTGACTTGACCCCGCGGAGCATGATGCAAATGAGCGGCGACTCGAGACTTCATTGGACGCATGGTATTAGGAAGCGGAAAAATGATACACTTCCGGATGGGACGGTGAGGCCACGCGGGAAGCGGTGGAGTATTACTTATCGCTGGCTCCGGGACGGGGAATGCGAATGTGGGAATCTTGAGCTATGTGACACAGCCCAGCGGAGGAATGGCATCGAAAAAGAAAAGAGGTCGTTGAAGGCATTGGCGGAGCAGGCTGCCCTTCAGAAACAGACTGCACCTCAGGAACAGGTTGTATAGATTGGGCTGAGATGGTTTGACGACTTGTACTGTTGTGTACAGTGTTATTAGGTAGCCTACAGGAAAAGACGGAAAAGGCACACTTTGTGCAAGCAACCTTTTAATGTTAAACTTCTGATTTTTAAATGTTACGTACCCTTCAGTATAGATTAACTATAAGAGCCAGAGGTTACCTTTATGTAAAGCCTGAGTATAGGTATTAAACATAGCGTGATTTCAAAGCCAGGTTTTTGGCTATTTTGCACTTTTTACAATCCCAGAGAGTCCCGCCCACCTGGGCAGGAAGATATTTGGCGGCTCTGCCATGTCAAATCCGAATTGGGCTTAGTTGCTTGTCTTTGAATTCAGCTTGGCACCTTCCAACTATCAGTTTGTCACCTTGCTTCACGTTTCCTTCATCGCTTTTCATCACTGGCATCAAGGCTATCTTATATTTCATCCAGCTGAACCACTGGCATTGCTTTTCTCCCAACACTTCAACAGCCTGTCACCTCCTCTTTTGTCCAGTTTGATCAGCCCTTAGCTTTCTTGACTGTATCGTACCTCCAACATGTCAAACCTTAACAAGCCTGCGAAGTCCCAAAATGACCGACTCATGCAAATTAGGCATCACACTGGCAGACAATATCGAGCTATTTTTCGATTAAGGTATCATCGCGATCGTACCTATGCCCGGCCCAATGGAAGGTCCGACTGAATGGATGTGCGTTCTCTTGGACAAATCAAAGAAGGAAAACATCATGGGTACCTTAAAGGGGTCCTATATGAAGCTGAAGGTCAGTATTGCAAAAGCTAGACCTGAGTATTATGTTAATGATATAATAGGAGAGTACCTTAATCGGTCAACACTGGTCACATTAGCCCGTTATGTTTCAGGATCGGAGCTCCTTGAATCCCTTACTCAAGGCAGTAAGTTTGACCCCGGTGATACCTCCACTCGTGACACTAGCGCTGGAGCTATGCTTGGAGCTGATGTCCATGACGGAATTGCCATGGAGAGTCTCTAAATCATTGCTGTGCTGCAGCTCTGGAGGACAAGCCACGGATGAGCCAATCTTACTTTTCGTTTTTTTTTATTTTCGCTTTAGCTGGTGTTCAGCAGCGACTAGGATTATTGTATTCATTCTCCATGAATGCATATTTTTGCTCACTGTCAACGATTACTTCTAGAAATCTCGTTTTCGCCGTGTAGCCTTTTTGTAGCCTGTATTAACATCATTCTCAATTCATACTAGACAATATAGTCATTACCACAGCAAACCCCCCGCCCTGATTGATCCAGCTGATAAATCCAGCTAGTTCCAGCGACTGAAATGGCGATTAAATCAATAGCAAGTACCAAAACGGCCAGAATTTCCCCAATCACACGGAGGAAATTACAAAGAGCTCAGCTTAGCCCCGCAGTATGGTCTCATATGAGTGAACCGGGCAAACAGGGGGACCTTAATTCAGCCGAAAGGGAGACATTTTCGGCCTCAATCCCACGAGTCCTCATATTCTATTTGTAAATCAATAAGAATTGAATACCCCCCGGGGTCGCATCAAAGCTGATACAGAGTGTGATGGCGCCAGGCGAAAGTAAACGCACTTGGAATCCCTGTCTCTGTCATGGTTTCAATGGTTTTCATGTTCTTGGGTTCAAAATACCTTTCCAGGCCACGCGAAAGTGAGGCGTTCCCCGTCCTAATTTCCCAGCCAGGCTCAGACATGACCATCCAAAGTTTCATGAACATATTTGCACAGGCACCACAGCAGAGGTATTGTGTATTGCAATCTCGAAGGCATCATGGGGCAGAGGACGCCGCAAGCAAGGTCGATAATGGATAACGTACTACACAGTTATATTCCCACACAAGAATTTGTTTTTTCTAATCAGATTCGAGAGTAGGAAGCGGTCGTTTGGGTGGATGTGTAAGTACAAGAAAATAGTATAATCGTAGAAATATCGTCTAATTCGATTGGAACATCTGGATAGCCTGCATAAGAACCTGCAAAAGAGCCATGAGTGACCCAAAGGCCCCGAATGATATCACTGCCCAAAAGGTCATCCAATGTGCCGAGTCCCTTTTATCTCGCCATAGCTGAAGCCAAGTGCGTGGTGCTGATGCAGACAAGTGTCTTTGGAGAACGACGAGACGATATCGCAAGATAGGGAAATCGCGCGGGAGGTAGTATGTATCCTTTTGGGTCAACTCCCAGTTCTGTCGCAAGTCAAGCAATAAGACATCCCAGGATCGCGTCCCACATAAACTAGATAGGAGTGGATCTTTCAAGTTGCGATTTGCTTCCTTCAATCGAAGAAAGGGGTCGATAGATCGAAAGAGCCTTCGGGATCTCTTGGTTTGGCCAAATAACAATCTGTATGAGAGAAGGACCTCGACGAGGAACTGGTTAACTTCTGCCTCTGTGGCCCATTGACATCGGAGGCGACTAGTAGTTGAACAAGCATGTAGTACACCTCTCCCCTTTCCCTGGCTGAATTCAGCTAGTGAAAATTGACAGAAAGATGGAAACCGGAAAAGTGATAACTCCTTCGTGACAGTGTTGAACTCCAGATGGCATGACAGTGAGTCGGTCCACCTTACTTTAATACCACCAACATGGTGCAGGGCGTATGCATTGAATTGCTTTGTGTCAACCTCCACTTGCTGATGGAAGGATTGGTTCATATGTTGTTCATCGTCAAGACATAGGTTTTTGGATGGCAAAAGTACACCAAAGCCCATTAGTAGCTCACTCAGGGTTTCTCTAGCGCATTCTTCAATGTCCTGTGTATGGGATGCATGAGTAAACATACAGCACCCGGTGTGTTCAAGGATACGTAGTTGGCGAGGCACTACCAAAGTAGGGCCTAGCGGTGATGGGGAGTAAAGCATAGTTTGGTAGCTCAGGATAGCGAAGATAAAGTACCGAGCATAGTTGAGATTATCTGCCGATGTCCTTGGGGCAAGAATACCTCCATCAAGTAAGTCGCCAATGATCTTATCAATTGTCATAGTCCTATCGTGGGTGACGGACTCTGCCACTTGTATAAAGATCCGAGCAAATAGATCCCAATGAGATTCTCGCGTACAGAGGTCATGGTTCGAGTGAAAGATATCGAATGTGTGTGGTGGAAACGTCGCTGATTGAGCAAGGAGCCAAGTTGTGTACCAGATCGGGGTCTCGTTTTTTAGATCGATTCCAAGCCCATTTGGGAGAAGACGGACTCCAGTGGAAGGGATCGACGGGGTATATATAGATGATAGTTTGCTGTCTGATTCATGTACAGCGATTAAAATGTTGTTCCTGTTTTCCCTGACTGGAAGGGATTTGACCCACCCGAAGAGTAGAGGCGCTGTATGGAGGGTGACTGGATGTGTTGTGACAGGCCCATAATTGCAGGTCACTTTTCTATATATACCGAATTAGGAGCAAATGCGGAGTATATCAAGTTATAATAAATGGGTAAATGTTGTGTGCCAAAATATCAAAGAAAGATGGGCAGATATTGCTGCGATATATAACCCAGAGTGGTATGCATGCTTGTCAAAAGGGCGGAGCAGACTGTGTAAAATAGGACATGAACCCTGATAACAAGGATCTATGTGGCATGCAGTGTTTCATCCAAGAATACATTTCGTATGCCCCTGACTTATCATTTCTTTCGGCGGCTACTGCACGCACATTGGATGGACAGTTTGCACTGTGGCGCAAGCTAGCGCCGGCGGTAAAAAGGGGCGATAGCTATTCTTGGTCCTCCAGATTTTCAACTTACAATATTGCTATGGGGAACGAGGACCATAAGCTGCATATCTATAATTGGGTCCAACCTTGGTCCGGATTGCTTGTTTTGAAATCCTTGCTATATTCAAAAATATCTCCCGCGATTTAGGAAAGTAATATTTGACACGTATAGTATGCTGGGGATCAAATCATATGCGCATCACCACAGCATCCACGGAACCAGATCATCAAAATCAGCATCAGCACCATTCACAAGTACGTAATCCCCGTCCAATTTCCTGAGCTCGTCTCTTATATTCACCGCCTTCTCAAGATGCATCGTACTCTCTTTATGTTTCCCGAGGTCATGTAGGACCTGTGACATCTTGTAGTTTGCCCGTGCGAGATGTCCTACGCCCTCAGCTTGTGGGAGTGCTTCGGATATCTTGATGCATTCTTCGAGTAGTTGGCTGATTGATGTTAATATCTATAGGCACTTGGTGTCGATCAAGCTGCTACTTACTGTGCTAGTCCTAGGTTTCCTCCTTCGTGAAGAAGTACTGATACCTGATAAAGAGAGTCACAAACCTTGAGCCGTTGGCTTAAGCATTCCTTTCGAAAACTTAGGGCCTTAGAGGCGAATCTTAGTGCCTCATCGCTCAGCCCTTGGGCAACCCTGATCCTGCTTAGCAGTACCATATCGCTATAGAATGTCAGTTGAAAGAAGACTTTTCTGATGTTAGAAGGGAAACTGACCCAGAGAATCTAGGGTTCCCAGTCTTCAGGAATGTCTCATCTGAGAAGTCTTTCAGGGATGGACAGCTCTTGAGCATGGCTTCAGCATCATCAGGTTTCCCCATCTTCAGCAACAGACTGGCCATGTTGCTGTATGAATTACCAATCCTATCACTCTTGTGCAAGAGTCGGATATCAATTGACTGTTGGAGGTATTCATAGGCTTTATCAAGCTGCCCCATTTCGGTAAATGCAAGACCCAGGTTGACCTGGTTGGCGGCCAAGAATGGGTCATTACTTGAAAGAATCGCGGTACGAAGTGCGTAGGCTTGCTCGAAGGCTTCTAGTGCAACGGCTGGGTGACACATATCAAGCTCGATCAAGCCGCGAAGATCAACCGCACTCGCATACGCGAGAGAGTCATTGATTACAAACTTTTTCACAGCGACATCCACGTATGATCGGGCAAGAGTGTAGTTTTCTCTCTCGTAAAGATACCTAGTCATGGTTAGGAAAGCTTTAGGTGATAATCCATTTTTCAAACGTACCAGGAGCAGCGAAGTAGAAGCTCTGCAAAGGCTTGATTTCCCTTTTCAAATAACTTAAACTGCGCACCTTTGCTCACAACGCTCTCTATGTGTGGTAGGCTTCTCTCACAGAGGGCCCAGGAGGCAGCCTGATGACCAACATCGGCGCTGTAAGTGTCTGGGAAATTTGCGGCAAGAATAGTTACTGCTAGCGAAAATATTCTCTCGCGCTCTTGTACACTCATTCGACGAATGACGGCACGCTGAACAAGTCGGTGCATGGAGATAATTCCACTTTCAATAGACTTGTCAATCAGGGCCCCCTGAATAAGCACCTCTTGGGCATCTAAGAAACTAGAACAACATTAGTAAAGTGATCGAGTAGACACAAATGGAATGATCATAATACTCTATCTCATCCGTAACAAACTCCAAATCTGAGTCATTTGTTTCAACGGCGCCGTCCACTAGGAGTGCTTCATGTATGTAGTCTGGGTCTAGGAACGACAAAATCATGTGAAGAATATTTGCGTTACCCGAAAGCTGGCTGAGCGACATCTCCCATACGGTCGCTAGCGTGTGACTGTAGTCCATACTCTTCAGACCTTTTGCATCAACGCTAGCTGAATTACGGTTATATAGGGCGAGAAAGTTCTTGAGTGGAATCTTCCTTTGCATAATGAATCCGCCGATCTGGTTTAGGGCTAGGGGAAGACCCCCGAGTGTGGACGTGATTGCCTTTGCTTCTGTTAGGTGAGAAGGAGACTCGGGATCCAATCCAATGATACTGAGCAATGCTGCAGATCCGTTTTCTGTGTCAAAGGGGGTGACTTGGCATCCCGAGGAGGCGATACTAAAGGCCGCGGTCGAGTCTCGGCTAGTTATTAGCACAGATCCAACAGATCCTGTTGGCCAGGCATGTTTGATGACGGTGAGGTCATCTGCATTGTCGTATATAAGAAGCCAACGGGTATCTAATTTGGGTCATAAGTCTCCATATGGCTTGCCCTCCGGAGCCGCACTTCGAAGACTTACTCGTGGATGATAACCATTGCTTCACCTTGAGCATAACCGTATGATCATCGGTTTCTGTATCCACTTGGATCAATTTAAGGGTTCTTGCAATCTCCCGAAAGCTTTGCCCAATTGTCACCAAATTATCGGCTGAGACCCAGAAGATAGCATCGAATTTCTCACGAGATGAATTAGCGTATCTGAGGGCGATCTGAGTCTTTCCAGCACCTCCCATACCATATAAAGCGAATGATCGAAGGGAGGAGGCTGAAGAGGGTGCGAATAAAACTTCATCGATACGGTTAAGGAAATCATCCCGACCCCAGAAGCGGGAGCACTCGGCAAATGGAAGGTAGTGGGAAACCTTATGAGTAGGCTCTAGGCGTTGGGGTTGGAAGTTTGCCATCAAATCAAGTACCTCGTGATATTTCTGATTGTCAATTCGCATTCGAGTCAACTCAACCTCGCTCTCGATATTGTTAGACAGACGCTTTATTCGCTTAATGGTTCGCTGAAAGTCACCGCGGAGGTCGGACCACGAGCTGCGTAATAAAAATGCTAGGGATCATGAATTGTGAACATCGGATATGTCTTGTGTCCGAGACGGTGTCCATGATGTGCTTACAATGTTTGTTGGTGCGGAAAAAATGTATCGCCCGGGCATAAAAACAAATCACCTCTTGGTAGACAGTCAATAATGATGTCTCCATCTCGGTGTCCATCGATACGGTCTTCTCATAGAACTTGAGTCGCGGGAGTGTTAAGGTCAATTCTTCTAGCATATCCGACACCTCCTGTAGAACATTGTCTGCCGTGGATGCTAACTACATTTTGGTCAATATCCCATCAAGTTGGTTCTCCTCGACCATAGTGGAAAACTCACGGTTAAAATCATGCGTATACTTCCCCACACCAGTGCTGTCACTGCCGTGCCTGCACCTAAGGACATTGCTAGTACCACCGAGAAATCATTGAGCAATTTGAATGTTGGTCTAAGTCGCGTCATGGTATCCAGTGCTTGTCTGCCTTGTGACCCAAGCGGCTGTAGAACCTGGTCGTCCGCAAGAAGCTCTTCAAGGCTACCCGTCTCGAGTATTTTTCGAAAGTCCTCATCCCCAGCAAGATCTTCATGATAAGTCTCTAAAGCCCTTTCCCACAAGGGAGAAAGCTTCACTGAAGCTGTCTTTCCGCCCATGTTGAAGTTCTAAGAATATGGTAAAGAGAGGAAGGACAAATATGTGAGCGGGGTAGGATGATGTGGAGACATCGGCGAATCAAAAGCGACGAGAGAGCCCAGATAAGAGCCGTCTCGACAATGTCTGACCCTATCAGATATCAATCCTTCTTCGCAGAGGGAACTCAGGCCTAGCAGAGTACGTAGGAGTCCAATTCACACCAAGTACTTATAAATATCAGAATTATATTTACTTGAACAGAAAACAAGATACCCGAGGCACTTTTGCAAGCCGAAGGCATACTCACAGGTTCAAGAGGACCCCGGAACGACACAAAGAAAGTACGATGTATCTTGAGAGTGCAGACAATGTTTGGCAACACTGAGCGTTCGTCCTAACTCACACTACTCGCCGCTTGTTGGCAGCTGAGCTAGGACTGAGCACGCCCGAAGTGGTTAGTGATCGATTGCTGGTACAGTTCATTCATCAGTGAACAATCTTGATAGTCTGGAGATTATTTTATATTTGCGATCATGTTTATGTGATATCAAAAATGTCATCTAAGGGCTCCAATAAACCAGCCTCATGTTTAAGGGCCGCCAGCCATGCTGGAACTTCCGCGAATGTTTGATTCCAAGGATCATCACTTCCATATATTACCCAGTGAGCTCTACTCTGGATCATCTCGTCTGATGGATGGACTCCGATCAACATTTGATCACGTATATACGCAACCAAGCTGTTGTGAAGAATCGAGTAGAGATCGACACCTTTGGGGAAGTCCGCGTTTGCAGAAAATGATGCATCTCCTTCGTCTTCGACCTGTGGCACATTTGATGACTTCATCGGGTCTACAGTGCGGCGCTCTATCCAAAGTAGATAAGGGGGCATGGCATTTCCCACCTGGCGCTCAACTTCGGGATCGAAACCCCAGTCCCCAGTCCATCGGCTCGTATCGACGCCTTCTTTGAAGTGTTCGGCGACATGATCTACTCTCTCCTCCCATGTTTCAAAATTAGAGTTACAAAACCCACATCTTGAGCGGAAGGAAGTTGTGGATTCACACCATTTGTCCAAAGAAGAGTGGTATTTCACATTATGTACCGATCGGAGATGCTGCCGAAGATGGTCCTTTCGTGTAAATACCCGGAGTTCAGGAGGTTTCTCTCGACATCGGAGGTAAATATGCGTTTCGAGATGGCCATCGTCAATATTTCGAGTATGACAATAAGCGCAGACGTTGACTCCATCTATTTCAACCATTCCGCCGTTTGGCGCACATCGCCAGCGTTCAATCGAAATATGGCGGCTTTTTCCATGCCTTACCCAATCATACTTATTTCGAAACGAGTCACAACAAAATGTACACTGGTACGTGCGCGAACTAGGCACCGCCGCCATGTCACGTCGACTCCGGAACGACGGAGCCTTTGGGTGCCGACGGCGGGGTTTCATGCTGGGAATGGGCGTAGGCGGTCTTTGGAATTGCGAAGTTGGCGGATAATTTTGAGAGTCACCGAAAGGCCCGCCAGATGAGTCGCTGTGTTCAAAAGAGCTCATCGAGAGGTTACTCAATAGAAGAGAGCTGCCAGAGCTGTCTCCTGACCGTGGCCCAGGATCACTATAGTATAGCGGACTCGGATTGGGGCAAGGGGATACAGCTTTTAAAGCTCGCATGATATCGGATGTGGCAGCTGGTTCAGTTTCAGGTGGCGAATGTTGCCAGCGCTCCATGGGAGACATGAACGAAACGGCTCTCGTATTTGCCTCAGCAATTGGCATGGAGATATGCTTCAAATGTTTTCGCTTTCGTCGCCGAGCATTGAAAAACCAGTTTAGAATTTGATTCTTGTCTAGTCCAGTCTGCTGCTCAAGTTCCTGTCGTTCCTTATGCGTCGGATAAGGATATTCTTGGTGTTGATGAAGCCATAGCCTAAGAAGCTTCACGGCCTCCGATGGCAACCGACGATATGATATACTTCCCGGTATTTGGTCGGAAGTAGACTGGCGTTTTGAACCCCAGCCATTGGCTAAACCGTGTTCAGAAGACCCGACTGGCAGGGACTGAGCGAGACTCACACCCAAGTCTTCGGTATCTTCGCGGCCATCTAAAGATCGTGTGGCAGTATAGAGACATGCTCCAGCTGTGCTGCTGGATCTTGGAAGGGACGAAGCCTCAGATCCAAACTGCGATATGTCGTCATAATTTGCCCATTGGCCGCCTTGGGGAACTCCCTGACTGCCTCCAGTGTCCAAGTTGTTGCATTGCGGATGCTCGTCATAAGTCAGCAATTGAATCAAGAGGTCTTCTTCTGCGGGATCGTTGATATCCATACGAGCAAGTCTCAAAGCCGGGTGGGGAAGCTGGAGGGAATGATGATGGTGGACACCCAGGCGGGCCGAATACAACTAATGACGGGGGGCAAAATCATAGGTCTTTCACCACAAGTAGACCTAGATTAAAGATACAGGATGAATCAAGGAACTATTCTCAACACTTACTTCTACTGTAGTATCAAATTCAACACATTCGGCAGAAACTTATTGGCTGGGAAACGTTATTTATATAATTCATTATATGTCAAAAGTGAGGTTGGCCTTCTGCAACATACATTTTCGCGTTCTGTGGAACTCTGGCCAGCAACTGCTTATTTAGGAAGCTCCAAAGATTTTCATGCCCCAACCACAAGATATAACTCACCAACTCCCATTCCCATTGCCCCCTTCCTACTTCATACAGATTCCTTGAGCGATCTTGAGCGATTTTGACCATGCTAGACCTTCAAAATTTGACGATTATCAGCATAGTTATGATGATTATGCTCGTATTATATACTCTGATCCGTAGCCCAAGCAATGAGCCTCCCTCGATTTCGAGCAGGATTCCATTTGTGGGCCATCTGATAGGCCTCATTCAATATGGCCCAGAGTATTTTGGCATTCTATGGCAAGTATCTCGATCTACTCTTCATACAACCTGGACTCACGCAAAATACCCGGTAGCGAGAAACACCACCAGCACTCGATCTTCGCAGTCAACATATTTTCCTTGAAGGTTTTTGTGACCTCCTCGCCTGCCATAATGAGGGCTGCTCAGAAGCGCCCGACCGTAATTACACTGGAACCTTTGTTAAGCCTAATACAAAAGCGTTTATGTCAAACTCCCCGCCATAAGCTGTCCAGTTTGTGCGATCAGGGGGATGGTCCGAGCCTGATTTCCAAAATCGTGCACGATAAAACCCACGCTCTTGCTGGAAGACATCTTGACAGAATGAACGAGATAATGCTTCAGCGGCTACTGCCAATGATTGATGACATGGCCAATGGTGAGACGGTTGATTTGAGCAAATGGCTTCGACAAGTCATTACCCTCATCAGTACGGATTCTATATACGGCAGGTTGAACCCATTCAAAAATCCACAGATTGAAAACACATTCTGGTGAGTTTATATGACCATTCATCGCCTGAAATATCCCTCAACTATTAGCATAGGGAATTCGAACGGAATGTGGTACTACTCCTGGTCAACATTATGCCACGGTTCATTGCACCCAAGGCTTGGAGAGCACGGAGAGCTCTGTGCGCAGCGTTCAAAAAATATTTCGACCTCGGGGGTCATGAAGACGGATCAGAATTGCTAGCCATGCGATATAGATCTTTCGTCAGGGCTGGGCTTACGCACGGAGAGATAGCATATTCGGAAATGCCCCTACTTTTGGGATTACTGGCAAATACTGTACCTGCTGCATTTTGGGCTCACTTTGATATTTTCTCCCGACCACAGCTGCTTGAAGATATACGCGAAGAGCTAGAGAAGAATGCCCTCAAAATTGCGCCTGATGGCACGCATGTTATTGATCTGGGGCTGCTTCGTGATAATTGCCCACTTCTTCTATCCACGTACCAAGAAGTCCTACGGAAGAGAACAACAATGGTGACGATCCGGTTTGTCACACAGGATGTCGTTCTGGCGGATAAATACTTCCTCGGATCCGGAACCATGCTCTTAATGCCGGCTAGGCAATTAGGCCGAGACCAAAACGCTTGGGGAGCTTCGGCCGATGATTTCGACGAGCGAAGATTCATGAATTCTGCTATAACACCCGAAAATCAGAGCGATAAGAAAATTTATCCCCGGCGTACTGGTGGGTTCATGACATTTGGTGTCTCTCCAGCCATCTGCCCCGGTCGCCACTTTTCAACTAGTGAGATATTGGCGCTGGTAGCCATTATTGCTTTGAGATATGACATGACTCCAGTCAACCATCTCTGGAATGAACCACCAAGAAGGAATTCAGCGACCACATCCAACATGTGTCCAGTTGAGGGTCCATTCTCTGTGACTGTGAAAAAGAGACAAAAGTACAAAGAGCAGACGTGGCGGTTTAAGATTACCGAGGGAAAAGGGCAGTTTGGGTTAGCTGTGGGTTAGATTTGGGAGGAGGACCATGATTGACTCCGAAGAAGACTGATGAGACTGCTTCATGGTGGAGCATATCAATATCAGGTAAGGCATGTTTGGAAGACCAGCGCTGTAAGGAGTGTGGAGGCGACATATTGACTATATTGGCTTTGGATTGTACGTTCAGTGGAGAGATGCGAGTATGTTACATGACGGTCATGTCGAGAGCACATTGAGGGATAGCACAAGGGCCTCATTCTAATTTCTTACTTTTTGGTTGTAGTGCTACCTCCGGCTTTAGATGCTCAAGTCGATAAGAAGCCATCAAATTAGTGCAACCTATGGTAAAAAGACGGGCTATGAGATCGGCCAATTTCAGAGATAAACTTCCATGATACAGGGCTCAAAGAACTCTCTTGTTGCATTGGTGCGGTGAGTAGGTACACGACCCGTCACAAAAGATAATTAGGTATAACCATTTCATAAAGATGTCTTACATCTCTTTCCCTTCCATCAAATGATATTATACACCAGTGTTTACAAGAAGGCTGCAATGACACAGCCAACCAAAGCAACAGACACAAGTCCACTACCCGTATTAATCGAAGCGCCACCAGAATAGAGGGGAGACGAGGAAGGAGTGCTAGCAGTCTACAGAAAGTAAGCCATGAGTCCAATAGTGATGAGAGGAGAAACCGACCAAGCTTGCAGTAGGCGTTGCCGAAGGAATCAGTGACGCCGGGTGAGAAGAACCAGAAACATGATGGGGGCTCACGGAAGTTGAGGCGATCGTGGTATGAGCCAAAGTACCAGTAGAGGTGGTTGCCACTTCTGTAGTCACAGCAGAATCATGGGACTCCTCATGTGCAGACTTGGTAGTAGTCGCTCCGACAGAGGTGGTAGCGGAAGATGTTTCGACCGAGGTGGACGATGAATCGACCGGGGTGGCATCCAATCCACAGCCAGCAGCAGCCTTGGACACAGAATCGCCATAGTATTTCCAAATCTCAAACTCAACAGCACAGTTCAAACAATCGGTCAGCTGCGACTTGAAATCGGCGGCGTCACAGTATCCGTCACTACGGCCGGCGAGAATTACGCCGCCTAATCTGTCAGGTTGGATCATAATTCGTAGGATTAGAGGTCATAAAACATACCGCAGTCGGCGTGACAATCGTACGCAGCTGTTCCGGGTTCCTGGCGTTTGTGCAGAGGAACAAAGTCAGGGAATTCGAATGCGCTGGCACTGATTACAGCGCAGGCAAAAGCGGCAACGTTGACAATATGCATGGTGGTACTAGCAAGTGGTGGAATGAGGGACAGATTTGGGATATACATTTGTAAAGACTGATAATAGCACAAAATTGACGGCAGTTCAGTCCCTTCTTATTCACCCGAGGATGCTCCTCAAAAGACTACAATGTCTTGGCTGAATGGTCATTTCGGAGCGAGGACCATCGGAGGTGGTATGAGGGCTTCTGGAATTGGGAATTTTCCGGGTAAGATTACCTATTACGGGCATGTCTCAGAGGGAAAATGTGGAAGCGACCTCGGGAGCCGACTAAAAGCGACTAAAACGGTCTCCCGAGACCCACCCATCTTATCTGATTGATCTAATCAGATCCAGATCAAGGTTTTCCCCCTCTACAATCTCTGTCTGCGGGTTATTCCGACTTCAATAGATTAATTTCCTGATATTGGCAAGCCATTGAACCATAATATGTATCTTGGCTTGTGACTCATGACTCAACCTCGGTGGCTCGCTAACAGTGGTTCAACACCGGTGAGGGGATTCCCGGCAATAGCATACAGAAAACTCTGGTCACAGCAACCTTGGCAGTCAAGTCGGATCCGACCGAGACACATTCATTCCAGAAAGGCTCAGACATCGGTCGCAGTTTTCAACCGACTTCGGCAGTCGCTGCAAGGTTATAAACGGCCATGTCCCGGTTTTGCATTTTCGTCTTCACGTCGTTTCAAGTCCTCGTTGCACTATCATACATTTCGGTAGATCAAATCTCTTAATACAATCATGAAAGGTTACATCGCACTACTTGCACTTTCTGCCATCGGAGCATATGCCCATGGCGAAGAAGCGAGCACAGAGATGGGCCCTGCTGCCTTTATGTGGCCACCCGATCGTCTCTGGGGAGCAGCATATGACAACAACGCACCTTGTGGCTCATCAACCGGGGCCGTGAACCGAACAGACTTTCCACTGAGTAAGAGCATATTCACCTCAAAGCCTGACGGAGACACCATATTGACAAGGCTCTCTAGTCAACGGCAAGCTTGCGCTTGTAATTCAAGACGAGTCATGGAACGTACAAGTTGCGGTTTCTCACAAAACCAGTAAGCTACCTCAAGCAATGCAATTCACTTGGCCTGATCCTTTCTTTCTCAGACCCAACTACCAATGACGATTTCGAGGCCTTCGTGGACGGCTCGAGTCTTTCCGACGTCGAGCCAGGGCACGAATGCTACTCCGTCCCCAACCCATCTTCTGACATAGAAGCTGGAATGAACGCCACTTTCCAGATTAAATATACATCGGATTTTGACACCGACAAAAACGAAACGTACTACGCGTGCGCAGACGTCACTTACATCCCGGCGAGCAAATTCACTTACCAAGTCCCTTGTTTCAATGTGACATCGGATGAGTTCACTGAGGTAACTACAACAGCCGCCGCTGGATCTACTGCTACTTCAAAGTCGGATACAACAAAGAACACGGGAACCACGAGCACCACGAGCGAAAAGGACTCTGGTCTTTCAGGTGGCGCTATTGCGGGTATTGTGATTGGATCAGTGGCTGGATTGGCTATCGGAGTGGCATTATTGTTCTTTTATAGGAGACTTCTGCAGAAGTATCGCTTCTTCCGGCAGCGGGCATCCACCCGGAATGTGAATTGGAATGAGGAGGCGGCTCAACATAAAGTCGAGGATGAGACTCCTATTGGGCTTCGCAAGATAAGGTGATCTGGGTCGGAATCACCGACCTGTTGTAGGTTGGACAAGGGATGTGTATAGCGGCTCCAGTATCGGTACCGTTAATGATTGATGTTCTTGTGTTTTCATGGCTTTGGATGTTTTTGGAATTCAATTCTATATTTTTGATATAATCAATTCAGCTTACAGATAGTTACGTTTCTCCATGCGTGTGGGTTGATCTAGCTGAAAGGGGGGTCATGATTTCAAATCGGCGACGGGTCAAGCAGAGACATTCCACCTTATGCACAGCACCATATACAGACGGAATAGATAAAATCCAAACAAACATGAACTTGAATTATGAGGAAGCAACGTCGGGTAGGAACGAAAATTACAAATATGTCTAGCCTAAGATATCGTCATAAACAGGCTCCAGTCTCGCAAGCGACGTCTTGTACAGCCTCGGTATCCCGGTATCCTCAAATTCAACCGAGCTCTGGGCCATATCTGCAACAGCCTTGCCAGACAAGAATGCGACAGGCATACCATGACCATTGAACCCAGCCGCGATGAACTGGCCAGGCTTACCGGGAATGCTACCAACATGAGGCAACGAATCTGCACTGTATCCCATGACTAAACCCCAGAAATAGAGTTAGTAGAGGGAAAATATACCAGCAAATTTAAGAGATCGGGTAGAAAGGAATGACACATACCACCAGCCCAGATATGTTTGATTTCAGCCTCACTATCCTCCCACCCAAGGAACGTCCGTTGCATATAGCCATCAAGATAGTCCGCAGCAACTTTAATCAATTTCCCATCATCAGGATTATTATACCACTCTTCCCGATCATCCCTGAAAAGATGCGATGCTCCACCCACAATAAGCGACCCGTCATTCCGGGAAATTTGATAAATATACGCCCCCGGGCTGAATCGGATTGCATAAGTACCAGGCAGATCCCGATGGGGTGCACCAGGTGCCGCAGCTATCTGGCTACAGATGCCCTTGCAGGGAATAATAGCTTTGGAATATTGCGGGGCTAGCGCGCTGGTGAATGCGTTGGTCGCGAGGATAATCTTGCGCGCATGAATAACACCACGACTAGTAGTCACCGGCCAGAATCCATCTGCGTTCGGACTTTCCGCGATTTCAGATACTGGAGTGTTGGTCTGCAAGTTCAGGCCGTGGGAAACGGCCACGCGGATGAGATGAGCGATTAGTTTGTAAGGCCAGAGATGGCCTGTTGAAAAGCTGAAGCCTCCTTTAGCGTCTCGAACATGCGCCATCTTGATACAAATGTTGTCAGAGATCATTTTGAGACTAGAAACACTATCCCTAAAAATGATTGGCACTTACGTCTTGGGTCTCAGCGTGAGACATGTATTCAACATCGTCCATAAAATCCAGTTTCTGGTCAACCAAAGAGTCGTAGAAGGCTTTGGCCTTGTTGAGCTGATCTTCATTCAAATACATATCATAAGAACGTGTGAAAGTAAGATCACAATCAATGTTCTCTTTACGGACCAGCTCTTCAATGATCTTCAAGTGCGAGATTTCGAACCGGACGATCTCTGCCGCTGCTTCGATGCCATACCGTTCAGTGAACAAAGCTGTTGCCGAATAGATATCTGGTCTCAAATGACCACCTTTTAAACAGAACAAATAAGCTGACCTTGTATACTTATATTGGAGGTCGTGTGTGGGGCTTACCGTTGCGCCCGGTAGCACCGGAGCACAGCTCCCGGGCCTCAACTAACACCACCCGGGGGCTTGGATTTTGAGGATTCTCTGCAAGCAGCCGATAAGCAGCTGAGGCTCCGACATAGCCGCCGCCAATGATTAGTATATCGGCTTCCTGTGGTAGTTCTGGTGTAGATTGATGGTTATCGAGGGGATCTGGCTGTGTGCGCCAAAATGATTGGGTGGACGCCGCTGTTGGGCGAGGGAAGGATTTTGTGTGGGAGTTGGACATGATGAATGATCGGATAATAGGTTAGGATGCGATTTTTGCTATAGAAATACGCAAATGCAATACTTGTACAATATGAAAAAAGAGAAAAGACACCAAAGATGTTATAGGCAACCTTCCAAGGATCGGAGTCAGCATGTTGTAGCCTATCGCCGAACCGAGAACTATGCGGGGCCAAAAAAATGCAACAAATTGTACCGTATCTATATTCTTGAACTTCATCATGCTGCTAATGTTTCACTATGTTCATTGCTACGAACTTGCTTGTTCCAGATCCGTTGAGCTAGTGTTCCTAGACTGTCGTTGTTGGGCTTCAAATTCCTCAATGACATCGGGGCAGCTTGATTGGGCCTTGGCTGATTGTCTAGCCAGATATTCAGACTCTGTCAATCGGGCTTTTACAAGCTGCTTCCGAGTCTTAGAATGCATAGCCGAATGCAAGCTTTTAGCCAAGCCCTGCCCCGGATAGGCTACCAAACCCAAGGCACCTGGAGGTAATACATTAGCATCATCGGCTAGTCGCCTAAGGGGAATATACGTCACGAACCTGATGCAGCTTTGGTACCCATGCCAATGGGTCCTTTCACAAATCCTTTGATCGCACCCCTAATTCCGTCTTTCTGGGCACCCTCATAGGGTTGCCGGAAGATATCGGTCAGTCCGTGTGAGAAGCCATGCGTAAAATTTTCTGAAGCCGCAGAAACTCCAGATTTGAAGTCCTTGATGTTATCGTAGTCTTTCACTTCCTCGCCATAGAGTCTAGGAACAGCTCTCAGACCTTCGTTTACTGCTCCGGGTATGTCTACCAAAACTCCCTTGTAGTAGTAGGCTATGATCCTGCCCACGCTTTTAGCAGATCCCCCCACTGCCTTTCCCATAACTCTGCGCTCTTCATCGGTCAGGTTGCTTCCGGATGTGCGTGAGAGGCCGTTTGATGGCCTTCGCTCAGATTGGGGATTGGTAGACTCGATGACTACAAGCTCTGGCTCGCTCTGTTGACGGGCGCGACTGAGCTCTTTGTAGGGCCGAATGACAACGTCGCTTGATGCTGTAAGGATGTCCTTGTACATGCCTAGTAAAGACGATGTGCCGCCCGTGATAGGATCCCATCGCCGAGTTTGGATGAAGATCGATTTGCTCTCGTATCTATTTCGAAATGTGTAAGCCTAGATGCAAAATGTGATGGCTAGAACATATGCTCTCACGCTTTCAAATCTTTTATATCAATCCGAGAATTTTCAAGCAGGATGCCAGCTGCCATTTTGGACAAAGTCACAGGGGACTTAGCGTTTTGCTTGAGCTGCCATGCAGCAGGCTCAGAATCCAAAAACTGGCATTTCATTCTATCGATCGGTAAATTGCGGTGGAAAGACGCGACAGCGGCAGAAACTCCAGCTTCCTTGCTCATTTCGCGAGCGAGATCACCTGCTGCTGCTAGGGTATCAGTATGCATGCAAAATCGGATAGCGTCCGCCAGATTCTCTGCGTTCAACGACCGGTGAGGAATGGGCATTGGTCCAACTCCGCGAGATGCAACCATGTTTCCCCAGAATAGCTGACTGTGAAAAGTTAGTAACGACATAGGAAAGACGTGGAGGAAATATCATAGGAAATCTCATACTCTCCAAAGAATGGTACAACAAGAGAAGGTCTTCCAAATCGCAAACCACATGCTGTAGTTCCTGCTCCTCCATGATGTACCACTGCGGCAACCTTCTGAAACAGCCATTCATGAGGACATTCTCCAAGATAAAATATCTGATCGTCTGATTGTGCTTCGCCTAGATTACTCCAGCCGCGGGATATAATTGCACGACCACCCCAGGACCTTACTGCATTAACAAGTGTAGCAGTCATGGCTGGGGGATCTTCAATAACAATGCTCCCGAAACCGATGTACACCGGTGGAGACCCGTTTTCAAGAAATGCGGCAAGGTCTGGAGGTGGTGTGAAGTCCGGAGGAGAGCGGAAGAAGAAACCACAGACGTCAAGATGTGCGGGCCAGTCCGCTGGTTTAGGCATTAATGTAGGCGACCAGCAATATGTGAAGGGTATCTTCAAAGTCTCTGCTAAACGTGGACCTTCCGTGGCTGATATAGGCTCCAGGTCGATTGTTTTTCGCCAATCATTGATAACACCGCCGAGGCTATTGGGGGATCAGCCTGTTGTATCAGGAATGAGCAGGGGTATACGGGTATTACCCTTGCCATGTCAGCCATTCCACAATCCCGTAAGAAAGGTAATTGGCCATTTTCGGCTCTGTGGTTGAATATTTCAAGTTTGCTAAGGGATGCGGAAATGATCTTGTGCTGGTCCACGGCATGGTAAACATCATATGTAGAGGGATGCCAAGCGCCTGTGCACAGTGGATATGGGCGAAACTTGGCGGGTTCGCGATGATAGCATCAGCCACAAATGGCGTCTTCGTGACGGAGTCATCCTCAATACAGGAGTTCCAGCATCCCTTCAGTATCTGGTCTACCATAACACGCTTCCGTTGAATATCACCGTCTTGGATAGATTTCATCTGCGGTATCAGCCCTGGATTCTTCACCATATATGCCATCAACTCCGAGGGGTCTCCCCCGATACAGAAAAATTCTAGGCCAGAGTCACGCACGAAGCTTTCAAATACCCCATGGGTGGCTAGTCGCACGCGGTGTCCGTGGCGTTGAAGCTCGTTGCCAAGTGCGACAAATGGCTGTACATCGCCTCGACTGCCAACAACTTGGATCACAATGTTGAGCTCCAGACCACATTCAGCATTCCCTGAAGGCCCTGGTTGCGGTTGAATTTGCTCTTCCGTATGGAGAAATGGTATCAATTTTGACACCTCCCTGCCCACTTTGGAGTCCAGGTCGATCTCAATCCGACCATCATCTTCGAGAGGTTAGCACGCTATTCTCGCAAAGGAGCCAGTAATCTGAAGCTACCTTGAACGCTGGTTCCATCCTGAGTAAATCGGTTGCGTTCAAGCGTAGAAGGCCGTTGTGGTGGTTCTTCCATCATTGCCAGATGACATCACACGTGGGGAGAACGAAGATCTTTCGGATATAGAATTTTTGTCGGACAGTTGGGGTGAGTGAGATATTTTTCAAGTCCCCACGAAACATCTAATCTCGAAAAAAAAAAAAGAAGTAGTATATCAAGTGAAGTTGCAAAACATGGAGACCATGGTAGCTCCGATGCTTCTGGACCTGGGACGGGTGGGTCTCCGGGGTCGAGCCACGTGATAGCCTATCTGAGCCAATCAGATATCATCGTAGAAAAGCCATATGACGACATTTTTAGGGGTCTACTGGAGCAGTTAAGGCTTCACTGGCAGCTAACAACCTAGATCCGACTCGGAGATATTGATATATCTGATCTTAGTATAAGAAGTTCTCTAAAATGGGCAAAGACTAAAAATAATTTGGCTCGAGCATTAATTTTGTTGTGGATGGCTATGCTCGAATGTGTCTAGAATATATAGTTGGAGAGCAAGCCACACCTAATCGTTTTCCCCGTCCTCATTTCTTCTCCATGCTCATCTTCGCTTTTGAAAAGGGCATTTTGCAACACATCGCGATGGCCTCCTGGGTTGGTATTGAGAGGTTGCAAAAAGCTACTAATAAAACTAGCAGGCGATCAAACCAACTAGACTGGTTGGGTCATTGTATTACACTAACAATTCAATTGTATTTGTGTAAAGCCTAACTATCTGTCTTGACTTAGTCGGGGTTTTCCCATGTTTCCCATTGGACCACTCGCATCGAAGTGTGGATATGACTGGAATGGTAAGTCAGGAATGGAGGGCTAAGAAGTCAGGATCATTGTTGAGCACATCCCATACCGGCCCATCCAGAGCCAAATTAACATCAACAGCACAAGGGAGATAGGCACCAGCCAAAAGGCGTCCATTCAAGTGACGTCGAGGTAACTGCTCCTCGGTGGACAGGATAATTGCATAACCATCTGTCCGATGGCTTTCAGTGAAAGCAGGTGATACCAGATCGGGAGCAATACGCCTCCCATTAGCGGCGACTTCAAAATCAACACCGACATATGTCTTACCCCTGGTCCACTGTGTAGCGAGAAAGCCACCACTTGGAACTACGTCCTTGGACTTGATATGACTTTTGTCGGGCTGTGCGGCGATCCATTCAAACTGCTGCTTGACCTCGTCCATGTCTACCGAGTGAATTGCATCATGGACAATTTGTACAACCTGCCAGGAGTCGCCTTTTTCAAGTAATTCGTGTGAGGTGGAAGTTGAGAGGCAGTGGACGGCGTTCGGGAAGTAGCGCGCAGGGAGCTTCAGACGGGTGGAGTCACGCATGTCCATGGTTGTCCAAAACTCGCGAAGTGACTGTAGCAAGTCTAGATCTGGTGTAATCCCCCTGTCACGGAGAACCTTGACTCTGGCTTGATAGATCTTTTGATAGAGATAGGCCGAGACGAGCTCGAATGTGGTGAAACAGGTTTGTTCTTGGGCGCGAGGGTCGAATGCAGCATTGCTGAGAGATATCAGATCTTGGCCTTGAAAGCGCAGAGGGCAAGCGATGACAGTGGGAGAGATTGATGGTCCTGGCATATCCGTGTTATTTGTGTCGAGGTCAAACTTCGGAGGGTTGAACGCAAGAGCTCTCTCTTTCTGGCTGGCCGAAGGGCTATTGGTTCCTCGAAAGTGTGAGATAATATGAGGGGGAGAGATGAGTGTGGGCGGAGAAGAGTCACGCAGTTGCTTGTAGATATCAGCCAGATCACGGACGAGCTGCATAAACCCAGTGGCATCACAGACTAGATGATGAACTCGAATGCCTAGTGCGACACCCCCACAACCGAATCGCGTGTGCTGCATGGCGAAGATAGGATCGTGGGAGACAGCTCCCATTGTCGCATGGAAAATTGGTAGAAGTGCATTCCCAGAGTCTGGCAGTTTGATCACCAAGATACGACCGGAGAGGGCAGACGCGACGATGTTTCTAAGTTTTCTGGCGCACTTTGCCTCCCAAATCTCAGCCCCAGTGCCCAAACTACCAATTTCTGGAGCTTGGCTCACTGGATTCTGCTGCAGACGGCCAGTTAAATGTGGATAATAGTCAAGGAGGTGTGATGCGGCCACCTTCAACCGTTCAATAGGAAAGAAGTCGTCTTCCGGCAGCGTTGTTGGTTTCTTCCAGACAAAGATGGCTTCGATAGTCAGCATTTTGGGCACAATATGGTCCATTGGCCCTAGGCTGAAAGGGGATTCGATTGTGGCGATTGTCGCTTCATTGGCGCACTTAAGCGTGTGCCGCGTAGAGACGCAGACCTGGTCGAGTACCATCACTGCGATTGGACAAAGCACAGGCAAAGATCACGGGATAATCAAGATGGATAAACACGTAGATAGACTGACCAGATTGACAGATGATGAGGATGAGAGATCATGGAGATAAAAGATGGAGATGAAAGAGGGGAAGTTCGTGTTGCTCAAAAGCGTTTGGAGAAATGTCGCTTCATCCCATGCTTACCTGTGTCGTTTGGATGAGCATGGTTGACACCTTCAAATCACAGTATTGGATTACAAGAGGATTTACAGAGCACCTGACAACATATAATTTGGCTACACATACTCCCTACTGTCAAAGAGGTGGATGAAAGAGAATCCAAAGGAATTTGACTCGTTGTAGTTTCAACACACTCCGAACAAAGAAGCCAATCTAACTTGCACGGGACCATTTACCACCTTTATAAAGACACAGCAACTCAATGGTTCCTTTGAGTCTCAATTCAATCATGAGATCCTCCAGAGCATGGCCTAGATAACACTTGCACATTCCTTTTTTTGTTTTGATACACGGGCCTCAGTGAAGAAGGGTCTATTTTCATAAGGGAGGGTATCACCTCCAGGTGTCCGTACTTTCCGTTTGAAGGCTGCTTTTACCAAGATCTCCTTGTCATCTTCGATCACCAGAATCTCAATATCTGCTTTTCATTTCTTGCTTCTCTTCTTCCTCAACATTCCTGGCCTCGTGGTTCCTGTTGAGGGTTTAATATTTCCACTAGTGAGTCAGCTTCAAAGTCATGTCCAGCATATATTCACCGTAGCTGAATGAGAGAATTGCCCCCTAATGACTTTGGCGGCTCTCCGCAGGTGGCCCAGACTAGGCTGCAAATGGCACGAAGCAGGTACATCTGCCACGATTCGGGTACCTTGAGCACTTTTGTAATACCCACTGAGAGTAAAAGCCATAAGTGCCTGGGTACTCCAAATGCCTGCAAGGAGATGAACCGCCCTCAGAGAGGGCTCTGCTCTCATCTCCTTGTGCCAAAGTTTTGGAACCTTTCGACATAGATAGTTTTCTGTTGTCCAAATAGTTTCCGAGGACAATGATTTTCTTAGGAGTCCCTTGCCCTAGATCTTCCTGACCTATTGTCCTCTTCGCGTGTTATTCAACCCTGTCTATCGTTGACATGGACCTGTCTAGATGGAGACGATATCTGGAGTGCAAAGAGAGTGTTGAATGGGTGGGAGATTGTATATGTTGGAAATAAACATGTCAGAAGCATATTGATAACTAGGAACTCCTCTTAATGCTACCATAGTCATAGTTGCGGAAGAATTCATCTACTGCATTGTCCAAAAGAGGACATGTTCTGTCATACTTTCTCGATCATCATCATAACCCCATCCCGCTGAGTAGAGTGTAGCTTTAGTCTCTAGCCCAGGCTTGGAATGCAGGCATCGGCTCCACGCCAGTACTCAGAAGCCTTCTTTCACCACGCAATGGTAAAAAGCATTAGCATCCACATGAGGCATAAGTCAATTGTTATGACCGATGGTAGGTCACATAAGCTTCGCGCGGGCAATGTCACAATTTTCCCTGTAGAGCCTCCCAAATAAATACTGAAGGAACTATAGATATCATGTATTCATACCTAGTACATACGAATCTACATTCGATGGAAGAGAGTGGCTTGTGTGGCATAACCAATCAGCGACCATGAGTGGCGTATGCGGCGGCTCCGACCTTTTGAAGATCCACTTTGGTGCGGTTCCGATGTGGAGACATAGCCACCAAATTCTTAGATATCCAGATACTCCGTGCATGTATAAAGACTTCATGACCTATGTCACTCTCAACTTTCCCAACTACAGCTTTCTCACTTTAAGTTCCTCTTCTACGTTAACCCGACTCCATTATGACCAATCCATCAATTGTCATTGTCCCAGGCGCATGGCACCGACCTGCACATTTCCAAAGCCTCATCGATAAGCTCGCCGAGGCCAACTATGATGCAGAGGCTGTGACCATGCCTGCAGTGGACTCCAACCCGCCACTCGCCAGCTGGGACCAGGACGCACAGGCCGTCCGACAAGTGATCATGAAGAAACTGGATGCCGGAAAGGACGTCGTCGTGCTCGGACATTCATTTGGCGGCGTCGCCATGTCTGAGGGAGCCAAGGGTCTAGGGAAGACAGAGCGGGATTCACAGGGGTTGAGAGGAGGAATCATCAAGTTGGTCTACATGTGCGCGATGGCGTTGCCAGAAGGCCAGAGCCACATCGGCCAGTTGGTCCCACAGACGCCTGAGGAGGAAGAGCTTGAGCGCCAGCGCAAGGAGTTAGAGGCTGAGCTTGGGGGGCTACAGGTGACTGCGGTATGTACACAACTTCTTACCTTTATATCTTCAATGCTAACACTCACCAGGATGGAGCAATCGTGCTCCCAAAGGACCATGTCCACCTCGTGTTCTATAACCGCTGCGACCAGAAGGATATTGATAGAGCCGTGGAGTTGTTGGGCACATTCCCCATTGGCCCATTATCCGTTCCTGTTACGTACACTGCCTATCGTGAGATCCCGAGCACGTATATTGTCTGCAAGAATGACCTGGCATTGCGAGAACCATTCCAAAGGAGGATGATCGCGCAGGGAGAGGGTTGTTTTGATGTGGAAGAATGTGACGAGGGCCATTCCCCGTTCATGAGTAACCCGGGGTTTATCGTCGATTGTATTCGGAGGGCAGCCGGAGAGAAGGTTTGACATGGGATGATATGGACATATATTTGTGTGCCTAGAGGCTTCCAGTAAAATCACTGGGTCTGGGCAGTGTATGATATTTGTATGATGATGATTTAGGACGATTCTCCTCTCTTTCCGAATGTGCATCTTGGCATTTATTAAGGCAGCAATTGTTGCACGGAACGGAGAAACAATCCAGCCGTGTGAGGAATAACCTCGATGCAGGTGGACGCTACCTCGGCTTGTAATTAACATGTAGACACGGAATGCCGGGAGACCTCACTTCTCCAGCTGCGTTTGAATCTCCCGCTAACCTGCCGCGGCGCCAAAACACCAGTTGTGATCCATGCAGGCGTGCTAAACGACGCTGTGTTGTGCAACCTAGTCTGGATGGAATTCCCGATGGGATCTGCGCAAATTGCAAGCGTCTGAGACGCCAGTGTACATTCGAATTTGCTATAGCTCAATCCAATTCCTTTACCCGTAAGCGACCGAAGCGCAATTACGGGGAAAGCATTGGATCAGCAACACGCAACGAATCGAATGACTTCGATACAACGATCGAGGATGTGGCTAGGAGTCCAAGCAATCAATTCGATGCCACCTTTGTTGCTAACCAAGTTGTTCTGGCGACTTGGCTGAATCTCGATTACGATGAGATCGACGCGGATAGCGTCGCCGCGTTTTCAACCAATATCGAGCCTTCCAACTCGTTATCTGCGCTTTGTTCTGGTCATTTGGCGCCAACAGAGGCCCAACGTGAGGGTCAGTGTCAACTGACCGCTGCGTGTTCTCAAATTAGCCGCTTGCACGAAGGCCAAAATATCGGATCAAATCATCACCGACCAACTGTTGGCCTTTCATTTAGCAGTCCCATCCACTTGCTAAATTCGGGAATAGACGCAAAGATCTTTGGTGACCGTCTTGTCCGGATATATGAAGCAATTGCAACAGCCAGTGCGTCGAGGTTCTTAGACTATGACTGTAATCTCTATGCGACTGGGAGTCGCTACCGGCTGGGAGACGGTGACTCAGGGAGCTCGAATGGATCGGCACCCGCCAGGTCAACCGTGAATCCAACCGCTATTCATCCCCGGTATCCTCTTCCAGTATCGTCCCAAGAAATTCCCTATGAAATTTCGTTGGTGGGAAGCGTACGGTTTCTTGATCATTTGGGCGACCTCTATGGCAATCGACTAAACTCGGCTGCACGGAAGAAATCAGATGAGACTTTCAAAGCAGTTCTTCGTGCATTCTCGATGCAATGGTTGCCGAGCTCGCCTTCCTTCGAACTGAACTCAGCTTATGATCATTTTCCCGGGGATTCAGACTCCGGAGAAGCAAGAGATGAGTCTTCTTTGAACGCCTTCATTGATGTTTGGGTACGGGCCAGATCACTTCTCAATGATGCGTACGATATTCGATCGTTTCGAGTTGTATTGGCTGCCCTGATGTTTGTTGGGATTGTTACACCAACTAAAATAACCGACGGAGAGGATCTCATACCAAGCCGCTTCCTTGACGCGGCTTTGCAAAAGCTATCCTACTTAGATGGACTGGTCACGCAATACTGTGCTAACCTAGGACCATCATCTACGTATGGCCCTCTTGCCGAAGCAAGTTTGAGCATTGTCCGGTGGACTGCATATATTCGCGACACGGGAGCAGCGTTGGCGATGGATCGTCAATGCAAGCTTCCAGACCTATGGGGCACTACGAAAGGTCAGTGTTCCGGCATAGGCATCTTCATTTCATGACAGGAATCTAAGATTGTACAGTTCTTTCAAATAAGGAGGCCGTAGCAGCATTGGCAGTCTCTGGAAATATCCTCGAGTTGGATATCAATGTCCAGCCCATCTGCCGGAAAGCCAGCGCAGAAACATTCTGTCTCTGGAGGAAGATTATAAACATCAAAACCGTTGCTTCTCAGGTGCATGGCACTATTGATGAACGATTTTCTTCAATTATTGAAGCAATAAAGTTGAGTGTGGCGGCTGTCCGTGACTTCAACCAATCATTTCAACCTTTCATCTTGCATTGCATCAACAATTTCCATTGCCTGTCCACCTGTCCTAAAATATCCCTTGGTATGTTGCGATTGCGCCCTTATTGTTTTGCCAAATCGTCTCTTCTCACGCGGTCCTGTGACTGGTAGCTTGCTGACAAGTTCTGCCTTAGTTTCTCTCGTGATGTTTTGGAACCTTGGCATTTTCCATTTCGTCCAGGTCTTCGAAAAAGTGACTGGAGATCTTGGCCCCTCTGACCGTCAACAGGTAGGGTCAGCCGTCCGGGGATATCAGCGGGATGCAGCCTCGTGTGTGACACGGGTTATTGGATGTGTACTCAACCTACCCGCCGAGGAAACCTTCAACCTCCAAAATGGACTAGGTGGCGAAGTTCCGCTCACGGCCTATCATGTCACTCCCAGTTTGGCTGTCTCAGCCCTTCAGAGGGCCATTGAGAGTGTGATAGACCTGCAGCTATACTCCAATTGTGATGCTAGGTCGTTGGAGGACAACGCACAGCTTTTGATACCAGACGGGATCTGGGATCAGCAAATTGACATTCTCATGAAAGGTCTGATGTCGCTTGACGTTACTATTGGCGGGTCACAGACCAGTGGCGTGGCCCTCAAAGAGCTGATGCATAACTACGGGGATATAATATCTGATTGCTGGACATCGGGGTTTGACTCGTGACATAGGAGGCAGACACGGCCGATGAGCCAAAGATGTCTGGATTGAGGAGATTGGATATACGAGTGTTGATCGATGGCAAAACCAAGTAGGTATCCTTGAGTTTCCTTAGGCGAAGGGGCATCGTAAAAGGATAATAAATTTGGCGTGGTGTTCCCATCGGTCCTCTCATTGGTGCTCATTTTAACGAGCTTCACACCATCGCACTCCGCGTTGCACCATGGCACGTGCTTTGGACCACATTCGGTCTGCCCGCAGTCAATCTTAGTGTCGGCTGTTTTCCCCTCAGTCACGGATTTATGCACACAGACATGCTGGGCTTTTTCCAAGCCACGGTGATTGACTGGTGGTGATCTCAATCGTACTATCACAATATGACTCGTTTATAATCAAAGCCATTCCGGCCAAGAATGGCCGTGACTCGAGATCCGAACCTATTTACTGGCCCCAAAAAATAGCATGCAAAGGACGCCCCAAGTTGTCACTATAAGCTCGGCACTTTATCTCATCTCAGCTTTGCAGGGTGAAGATTCACCGGAGACTAGGTTCACTGCAAAACTCGGCAAAGCGAAAGGTAAGCATCTAGGCTCTTCCGTGCACGTACCGCTGTCAGTCTTAGCAATTGTACCCCGCTACAAAGCCTTACGACGAACATATTGAACCCAATGCACAGGTATAAAAGAAGGTGATGAAACAAAGGTACCAGCAGTAGCGGCTACATAAGTGTCGCAGATCAGTGTTGGATGTATCCTTCGCTTAGCATACTCATTGCGGATTGTGTTAGACCATACAGCATGACTAGTTGACGACAAAATCAAGTTTCAAGCCCGCCTTTGCAGTCTGAGACTTAACTAGGTACATGAGATTCCATTTACCTGCAATGATCGACTAACTGGTATTTCATGGAACACGCCAGCTCGCGTAAACACCTTCCCTCTCGTGCCGCAGATGGCTCCGGCACATTTCCATTTTGGGAATTGCAGATCTGCTAATATCCATCCACATCTATCAAGGTCGGTCGCTGAAGCGAATTAGCACTGAGACTAAGTTTCAACTAATGCAAGCCGGGAAATTCCAAAAATGATCTTTGCAGAATTATGGAGTACCACCACAGGACCAGACGGCCCGCCGATGCGCTAATTTCCGGACATGGTGTGGGCCTCGACCCGCAATCCTACATGTTCCTATCATCCTTTGTTATGGTTCATATTCTAACTTCACGCTAGATGAAATTGTTCGAACGCGAGTCATGTCCCTTGACGGACTGTTTTGGTTTGCCCGTATCCAAATGGATGTACTTTTCCAGAGTCAAGTGTTTGCAACGAGCACACCTATTATAAATCGACGGACACTGCGGCTTGAACACATGTGATGAAAATACGATTGTGAGCGAATAGATTTAGCCCGCTGGCAAGGATAGCAGGCTGTACACCATAGCCCTTTCTACCAGGTCCCCGGGGAAGTATCTGTATAGCTGAAATACAAATAGCGAGACAATCCAGGTCCTCATGCATACAATTTTCAAGGTGCCTCATTTGCCATAAACTGCCGTAGCTATGGTAACAGTATCTCTCGACCGCTTGCAGATTCCCTTCTATGGCCTTGTGGCCGGCGCTTTTCTGACCATTTGGTTGTTTGTCAAAAGCATCCAAGGTTTTCGAAGTATGTAACTCTTCCTCGTCAGTTTTAACCAACCCCAAGACTAAATAGTCATCCAGGATGGAGCCACGCTCGTGCGAACGGTTGCCAACCCCCTGCACACTCGGTATGCCATAGCATATTTGGGATTGGCATGATCATAGAGCTAGCCAAAGCTGGCCCCGAGCACAGGTTTCTTGAACTTATTCGCGGCTGGCATCAAAGCTACGGTCCTACATTCAAAGCGAGGATCGCCCATCGAAGGGTCATTTTCACTTCCGAACCACAGAACATTCAAGCGATGCTTGCCCTAAAATTCGAAGACTTCTCAGTGGGTTCAACTCGTCGGCATGCCTTACGTGCATTCCTAGGGGAAGGCATCTTCGGCGTAGACGGTAGCGCGTGGGAACATTCGCGAGCCATCCTCCGCCCTAGTTTTTCACGCACTCAGATCAACGACACTGAATTATATGAGAGTCACGTTGTCAGTCTCATTGAGCAAATTCCGCGAGACGGTTCAACCGTCGATTTGTTGCCGCTGTTCTTGAAAAGCGTACGTTGGCAGTTCCTGGCATCTTTCAACATATGTGACTGACCAAAAGTAGACAATTGACACGGCTACCGAGTTCTTGTTCGGAGAATCTACGCACACGCTACGCAAAGAAGGGTCTTCCAGAGGTGCAGAATTTACGAAGGCTTTCGATACAATTCAAGATGTGATTTCCCTGCGCTTCCGCGTTGGGGGTATGGCGAATTTGTACCGCAGGAAAGCATTCTACAAAGCAGTAGCCATTGTCCGTGCATATGTCGATAAGTTTGTACAGAAAGCGATCGATTACCGTGTCGCAGTTGACAGCGGGCGCAAGGTTGATCAAGATATTAAGCAGTTGACTGACAGTCGATATGTGCTTTCCTATGAGCTTTCAAAGGAGACACTTGACAAGACCATCATGACAGACCAGCTGTTGAGTATTATGTTTGCTGGCCGCGATACCACTGCCAGTTTACTTAGTGTTGTGTTCTGGATTTTGGCCAGAAGGCCCGATGTGTGGGACAGACTTCGAAAAGAAGTCCTTGCTTTAAACGGAGAAAAGCCACCATTTGAAGTCCTCAAATCGATGACTTACCTGACCTGGGTCCTCAATGAGAGTAAGCAACACTTCTTCCAGATCTTTCTTTGCTGTCTGCTAAATAACCCCTAGCTCTACGTCTGTACCCCACCGCCCCTTTTAATCTACGAGAAGCAACGAAAGACACATATCTTCCCGTCGGCGGTGGTTTGGATGGAAAGTCTCCCATTCACATACCCAAGGGTCACGAGATTATCTTCTCTGTATACACAATGCACCGCGAAAATGAGATATATGGACCCGATCCGGATGAATTCCGGCCTGAGAGATGGGAGCATCTCAGACCCGGTTGGGCGTACCTCCCTTTCAATGGAGGTCCTCGGACCTGCATAGGCCAGCAGTTCGCATTGACAGAGACCGGATACACTATTGTTCGCATTATGCAACAGTTTGAGTCAATTGAAACTCGGGATCCGGATCCCTGGGTAGAACATCTAGGATTGACATTGGCAAACGCTAATGGAACGAAGGTCTCTTTTACGCCTGTGAAGAATTGACCTGGAGACATGGGGTTGGCCTCAATTGCTCGATGGGTGGATGTCTTTTTTTTGCAGCTTCCTCAAATCCTTTTAAAAAACTATTTTACAGTGTTATCAGAGTCGACAATGTATAACTACCAAGTAGGCAAGCGGCATATTAGGTCTAATTGAAAAGTAGACATCCGCAAAGCCCACAAAGCCCGTAGCCCCACCCAGCCCAAGCCGCAAATGGGCTGGGCTTTGGGCCCGGGTCGGGGCCCATCAAGCCTATAATAGGGGCGCCATTAAACCAATTAGCACCAAACAATACAAATATTCTGAAAAATTAAGTACCCTATGTTTAAACCCCGTAAGTAGTCTTTATATCGTGGTAATATTTTAATATCTTAATTAATAAGTCATTGATGCTAAGCTATATAATCTATCACGCTTAACTGTACGAGAAACCGCGTTGTTTAGATGATTTTTCAATTATAGATATTCACCTAGAAAGTGGTCGCGCTCCCGCATAATCATGTCTAGCATGTGTTGTCCAAACATCAATATCGAGCATTTTTCATGATATCTTGACCAATGCTAGTTCAATCTCATTCAAATCTTAGTTACAAATTTATATAGCTATTTTAAAATTAATCTTCGAGTTGAAACCTCTATAGGATCAGTAGAATGCCAGGAAACAGCCATTCCAAGTCGTCGGTTTATTAGTATCAAGACCCCCTTAATAGGCTATGATGGGCTATTTTGGGCCCCCATAGATAGCCCACCACATCCCATAGCCCACTTTTGGTTATACCTTAGGCCCAAATTTATGGGCTTTGCGGAGGCATAGTGAAAACCCCTATCCCAGCAGATGTATAGGAGACGGACAGAAAAGCCGCTGAATGTGCGTTAATTCTTACTAAATCATGAGCATCATACCTACAAAGTTCCAACATAAATAGAAATACAGAACATGCAGCAAAGTGTACGATTCACGGACAGGTACACGGAGCAAAGCTCACACGGGAATACTCGAGTCCGGAAACGTGAGATATGTCGCCTGCACCGGCGCAACCACACTGTCATGGAATTGCCGTCGAAATTGAGAGAAACTGAAGTCGTTGTGGTGATTCGGCCCCTGAAATGCAAATTTCACACACCTTTCCGCTGCGTATCCATAAGAGTCTCCGGCAAGACTGTATACCTCATCCAGCTTGCTCAGCGCAGTCTGATAATCATCGAGCAGCGAGGCTGGCGTCACGTTCTCGTCAGTCTGGCGGTTTATCGTAAATGACTCGTGAATGCAGAGTTCGATGAGGAGAATACCGAGTGCGAAGACAGTTTTGTTAGGAATGAGGTAGTTGAAGTCATTTTTGAGCGGCTGGTCCGGGCTGATTGGCGGTAGAAATATATATGACGCACACGGGTACCGGGAGAGAATCTCTCGACCGCCTTGGTTTCTCTCAAGAAAAATGTTGGCTTGCTTTTCGGCCCAGTGGTCGCCAAGCCAGGGACTGCCACTCAGGTGCAAGACTGACCAGGCGGCGGATGCAGCGATACCGTACCTCTGTTTTGCAGAAAGTGAAATATAAGGGTTCAACTGCCGATCTGACTGTTTGTGGGATGAGAGTAGAGACTTGAGAGGAACTGCTTTGATGATCCCTGACAAATCTGATTGGCTGTAGTCGAAGGAGAATCTTCGACCGTTGTCCTCGTCTGGGTCTTTCAAAAAGCCTGCAAGAGTACATCGCTTACATTGGTTACAGTCTGTGTTTATTGCACGACAGAGGCTGGTTATTTCCGCTTTCGGGGTGATTGGTATAGCTGTTGGTGCCATTGATAAAACTGGCGGAGTTGGTGGCGGTGGGGGTGTCCGGGGCAGTGAGCGGAATTTTGAGTGCCACATCCTCGGCCGACGGGAAGAAGATGTAGGAGAGGATCTAGTGGGAGTGGGCTGTGGTGTTTGTAAACTAGGAACCAAGCTAGCTGTCTTGTTGGGAGCATGTGGCGTAACATGAAACTTTCGCCATAAATGAGGCAGATTGGGGGTTTGTGAATTTGGTCCGTACGAGAGGGCAACTTTGAGTGATTTAGCTGTCTGAGATTCAATTGCCTCCCAGTCAAGATCAATGGCAGCTTGGTGAGGTGGTGAGCAGGCACAACGAAATCCAACTTCGAGAGCTCGGTGAAGAGAGCTTAAGCATTGACGGATGGAATTGCAACGCTCAATATTAAAACGGCGTTTGAGATTTTGAACTTTGCCAGTATCATCTTCCGCGGGCAGTTCGGGTTTCTCAACAGACCTTCTTAAGTCTTCATTCCAATGCCTAAGTTCCTCGACCACTTTGTTCCGCTTTTTTGTGCCAAGGCTATGTTTCACTCGATGCCATTCCCATTGAGCCCTATATTGAAGGACATTCGACTAATAATATATTCGCACGTTAGCTCAGCTTTGATATTCAGAAACAGCAAGTGATACCTTTTCATTGATGTCGATATCTAGGCTCTTCAAGAGCGCAGCGGTGACATCGTCCATACGTTGCACGATATATATCAGTTCGCGAGATATACTCGGGAACTTAGTGTCGAAGCATTGGCGTAGCTCTTCCCTCGATGGGTCGTTATCAAGTCCAAGGTTGCAAAGAGTGGTCTGTAGTTGTCGATTTTGGAAGATTAGGGCGGTCCGGAAAGTCTCTATTGAGATGCGGTAATTGTGAAAAGCCTCAAAAGGCTCCACATACTTCTCAAGAGCCCAAATTGCGATTGGTATACCACCCAAAACAAGGCCAGCTATGTCAGCCATAGCTGTCCCACGTAAATTATAGTCAGCTACATATCGGTCGCGTGGACTATCTCACTCACCTGCAGTTCTAGAGAATTACCCCAATAGTAATAAATAACATCTCATTGAACTTGCCTACAAGCTCCAGGATACTTCGTATACCTATCGATACAACGATTTGTTGTAAAATCTGGCGGGAGACGGGGTTGAGCGAGGGGTTCAATCTGCTGTAGCACGACGTAATATGGCCCTCTTGGCGTCAATGCGAGGGGTGGTGCTGGGATCCTTCATGTTGCGCGTGGCAGGATTTAATTTGGCCAGCCAGTGTAGGCCTGGACGCGCAAATGCAGAAGTAGACCGCCATGTGGTGCCCATTGGCTCAAGATTCCTGTGGTATCGCGACATCTCTGACCATTCCCCCACCTTGCCGACGGCGAGAGAAACCTGTCAATATCATGGTAAGCATCCCAAATCAGCGCACTTCACGACCGCAAGACGCTTGAATATCTTACCGCGAAGCGATATTGAGGCACTGGTAATCAGAACCTCCCTTTGCTCGCCATGATGCTGGCCCTCTCAACTGCGGTGTCTGGTTCATCTCTTTCGGAGTTATACATAGAGTGCATGCAGTCATTTGGAGAATTCCTTCTCGCCCTTAGCAATAGGGAATGCCGTGTTATCCGTCTTGGGCAGGTTCAGCTTTCGGAAATTCTGGAAGAGTACGGAAGGACCAAGGTTTGGGGCAATCAGACTAATGCAGAATTACCGGCAAGAGCGCGTGGGTCTTTGGATGACACCCTCCGCCACGATGATGAGCTCAAAGATTTGGTGCAGGCCATTCTCATGCGACTAAGAGTACTCCTCAACCAAGGCAAGTCGTGCAGGTTAGGTACTTGAGACCCAATCTAACCTTACTTTTAGCGACATGTATCGCTAGAAGAAAGTACAATCCCGTTCTTGGATCAGATCATGACTCGATTAGCAGTGTCAGCGCCGACTCAGCTTCTGATTCAGACGGCGAGGGCGAGCGCCAAAGCCATAGGATGCCGAAGGTTCGTCTGCTTGTCCAGCAGACGCTGGAGCAGATCCGATCGCTTTACGACATGTCTGCTTTGCTACGGCGCCCTACGATCGCCGACAAATATATCCGCTCTGTGAACTCAAGATTGAATATAGCCACGCCGAGCAATGCTGGCTACTTACCAATGAGTATCGGGCTCAGCAGATTTGATGAAGCCCACATAGTAGAAAAGATGTTGCAATGGCGTGGCTTAACTAAGAGCGCGCGGCGTATTGATTTTGAGGTTGAGGGCGTTGCTCCGATAGGGCAAGGCCTGAAAAAGTATTTAATTGATGACATTATGTGGTTTTGCCAACGGCTTGCAGTAGCGAACACAAGGCGACGTGAACAGTTTCAATACTGGGCTGATCATCCGTATGACCCCAGGCACGACACTACTACCAACGAAGCCCAACTTGCAACACGAAGTCTAGCCCAGTCTCACACTGAGGAATCTGAAAATAATCTGGAACCAGAAAGCCGAGCGCCAACTCTTGAGCCTTCCATTCATGTCCCGCGAGAAGGGCCCAAGTCAGCTCTATCGAAGCAAAGCTTCTCTACTGCTGCCGTCTCAGACATCTACGATACGAAGACCAACGTACGACCGCGGACTGTCTACGCGCCCACAGTCGCTGGTCAAGGCCGTTCCAATTCTGTACCGGATCCCCCAAAGATAGAAATCGGTACCACCTTTTCATGTCCGTACTGTGGGACGACTCTCGAGTCTAGCGAGATGCAGAACAGGCAGTCATGGAAGTGAGTCGCCCATCTACTGCTGCAACTTCCGATCGGTCTAACCAGATAATTCATAGGCGTCATGTGTTTCGTGATCTCCGTCCCTACGTCTGCACATTCGAGGACTGCCAGAACGGTGGGAAGTTGTACATAAGCCGTCATGACTGGATGCATCATGAGCTTCAAATTCACCGTCGTAATTACGTCTGCAAATTATGTCAGAATATGTATTCCAGCAGAAAAGAAATGTCAGCGCATCTTCGAGAACATTACGATGAATCAGTTTCGCCTGGTCAGTTGGGCGTCATACTGGATCTCTGCAATTTCCAGGTTGATATATCAGAATACAGAAGATATCCATGCCTCCTCTGTGGAGAAGAACTGCTATTGTGGGCATTGCAGGGACATCTAGCCGTTCACATGGAGGACATCGCCCTCTTCGTATTACCCAATACCAATGGAGAGGAGCAGGTTGAGGATTCAAAGGCCTCGGTGGATGTGGCAAAGCAAAACTCTGAAGGCAAAATCACTGGCACAGAGTCAGAGCCAAGCAGTCTTGGCTATTCTGTAGCCGGCGATGATAAGCAAATTCCAACCGATTTCGCAAAACTTCTCATCAGCGAGGAAGAGAGATATACTTCAAAATTTCTGTCTTGGAGAACAGACGATGATCGAGAATCTTCACCAATGAAGTGTTTGACAGAGACGAACAACACGAACCTCGGCGGGGATCATCCCGATACAACAGCGCTTTTGGTCGACCTAGCGTCGGCATGTTATGGGCAGGTCCACATCGAAGCGGCCGAGCGGCTCCACATTCAGCTAGAAGAGACGAGCGGAGTACTCGACGAGGACCATCCCGACCCGCGAGTGAGCATAGCTAGCCTGTTGTGGACGTACAAAAGTCAGGGCCGCTGGGAAGAGGTCGAGCGGCTCCAGATACAAGTGGTAGAGACGGTTGAACCAATACTCGGCGAAGACCATCCCGACACACTCGCTATTATTGCCGACCTAGCTTTGACGTACACAAATCAGCGCCGTTGGGCAGAGGCCGAGCGGCTTCAGGTACAGGTGATAAAGACAAGGAAAAGATTACTCGGCGAGGACCACCCCGACACAGTCGCTAGTATGGCCGATCTAGCGTTGACGTACACAAACCAGGGCCGCTGGGAAGAGGCTGAGCGGCTTCAGGTACAAGTGGTAGAGATAAGGCAACAAATACTCAGCGAGGACCATCCCGACACACTCGCTAGTATGGTCGACCTAGCGTTGACGTACACAAGCCAGGGCCGCTGGGAAGAGGCCGAGCGGCTACAGGTCCGGGTGGTAGAGACAAGGAAACAAGTACTCAGCGAGGACCATCCCGACACAGTCGCTAGTATGGCCGACCTAGCGTGGACGTACACCAACCAGGGCCGCTGGGAAGAGGCTGAGCGACTTCAGGTCCAGGTGGTAGAGACGTTTAGAGAAAAGCTCGGCGAGAACCACCCCTACACGTCAAGGAGCATAGCTAGCCTAGCGCGGATATACATAAAGCAGGGTCGGTTGGAGGAGGCCGAGCGGCTCTAGGTATAGGTGGCGGCGATACAAATAGCCGCTCCAATGAACATTGCAATAGGCTAGCTAGTATAGCCGATCTAGCGTCAATATACATGGACCAGGGCTGCGGAAGAGGATACTCGGCGAGGACCATACCGACACGCTGACCAGTGTAGCTACTCTTGCTACCACCTGGAAAATTTCAGGTTAAGAGGCCAAAGCCACCAATGTTTTTACGAGATTGCTTAAACAAGCAGAAGCAAAGGGTCGGCCTAGACCATCCGAGTACATATATCATTTCATTCTGAAATATTGCTGAGATGGAAAACAGGGAAGAGAGTCTGAATACAAAAACTTCATACAATTTAGATGATTTAATCTCCCGATTTCAAATATCAATTTCTGCTTTGCGTTAACTTCCCAAACAATATTTCTCATGGCAGATTGAACTTGTGCTGGCTCATGAGAAGAGATCAATGTCAAATACCAAGTGACGATACTCGGTCCTCATACCACATGCGCACTAGTTGCGAAGCCTGGCCTGGAGGCTTTCTGTCCGGTGTCGGTGGCTGGCGAAACTAGTCGTTCAGAGTTTTCAGGCTAGAGCCAAAATGTGGGAAACAAATCTATTGCTCAACCATTAGGGTGTACAAGAGAGATTGACCAGAGCAGAATTTTTTTTGCCACGGCCCACAATCTGCCTGAGCGCTACCCAATTACGAACACAGACAATCGATAAGAATAACCGGCTTTCAGAGGCGATTTTGAACTTTCAAAGTCTTGTTCGAGTCCTGTGGGGTGTCTTCTCACATATCTTTTCTTATATCCCACTCTTCTCAGTATCATAGCTAAGAAATAACACCCACTCGTAGCAAAATATACAAATTATTGACAGAAGGTTGTAAATCATGCATTGGCCACATGTGGTGATATTGCTGCGTCTGCGCTAGCGAGAACCACAAAAAAGGCCACTACGCTACGGGCCTCTCCGGGTTGAGTGTGGAGACCTCAATTCGCAAAATTCGCAAAATGATACCGAATGGACAAAGCGCAGCCATGAAAAATCAGAGTCCTAACTCATTACTATGTCCCTAGCGTTTAGAGCTTAGAAAAGGATAGGGCGGACATTTATATGAGTCAAGAATGAATACTTTCACCATCTGTCAAGCTTTTGAGCTTCATAGCTACGGAAAACTTGGAAGCTTATAAATGAAGCCAAGCTCCCCGAAAGCGTCTTTGGGGAAGAGGAAGGCTTTCAAGGTACATCTGATAAATATTATCTGATCGTAACTTATCTGATCGATTATCTGATCACGCCACACGGTTGGAAACCTTGGAACCCCACCCGAGTGCTTCTGTGGGTACTAGTAGGATATCCAGGTAACCTCGGGAATCCGTCGGAGGAATCTTTTGCATTGCACTAAGCATCTTATTTTTACCCCTTTTTCTTAACATCTGTAGTGAGAACTGCTACAGGCACCCGTCTTTTACACAGGTCTAGAACTTCATATATCCCCACGAGAGAGAGCTTAAAAGCCGTTTTCGCCCTTCGCCCATTTCTGTGATTTTACGATCCCGCAGTCTTCCGCAACCCACGCGGTGCTTTCAGACTCCATGGACCCAGAGACGATGTCCACCACCAAAGGGGCCACCACAGAGCGCCCGCAGCCATTGAATACAGACGAGCCAGAGCCCCCAGCTTACGAGGTTCAGCAAGATGGTGTTCAAATTGCCGAAGCAGTCACAACTACATGGACTCGCCAGCATCTGATTGTTGCTTATGCCAGGTGAGCAACGTTAACGAACACCGTGCTCCTAAAGGTCAGATTTAATGCGAACATAGCATGTGGATGGTGTATTTCGTCAACAATCTCAACAGCAGTCTCACTGCAAATCTTTCCGCTTACATTACGAGTGAATTTTCGGAACACTCGCTGTTGACCGTGATTTCAGTGGTGACCAGTGTTATGGGTGCTGCATGTTTGATGCCCATCGCCAAAGTGTTGAACCTTTTCGATCGAACCGTTGGGTTCGTGATCATGATTTTAATCGCAATCATGGGCTTGATCATGATGGCTGCTTGTAACAATATTGCGACATACTGTGCTGCACAGGTATGTTTGTATCATACCCTCGACGAGTCCGACGTCAAGATCGCTAATTGATCAACAGTCATTTTATACGGTTGGACTTACCGGCGCTATTTTCTGCATTGACGTGATAACTTCGGACACCTCATCGCTTCGCGATCGAGGTCTTGCTTTTGCTCTCACCTCTTCTCCTAGTATGATCACGGCCTTTTCCGGCTCTCCTCTGTCCAATCAATTCCACGAAACCAATTGGCGATGGGCATACGGAACAATTTGCATCATTCTCCCTATCGCGGCATCTCCTTTAATTATCACCTGGGAACTGGCCAAACGAAAGGCCGACAAGCAAGGTCAATTACAATACCAGCAAAGGGTAACGCGATCCGTGCATGAAAGCATTTGGTACTACGTCATGGAATTTGATGGTGAGTTAACGTCTCCAGTCGGTTTCTTAGTTCTTCCAATACTCACCACTCCTTGTCATCCACAGTCGTCGGAATTTTCTTAATGATAGGCGGCACGATTCTTTTCCTGACGTCTTTCAACATCGCCGGCAACACCGAAGGTCAATGGGAATCACCCAAGATTATTGCTATGATGGTTGTGGGATTCTGTGTCCTCGTGGCATTCGTCGCTTACGAGCGATGGCTGGCACCGAAGCCTTTCATTCCATTCAATCTTATCACCGATCGCACTGTCATCGGCGCATGTCTACTGGATATTACCTACCAGGTCTCTTATTATTGCTGGGCCAGCTATTTTACCTCCTACCTCCAAGTCGTCTACAACACCAGCCTGACGCAGGCCGGTTACATCAGCGCCATTTTTGATTTCATGGACCCGATCTGGCTTATCGGCTGTGGCTTCCTCATCAGGGTAACTGGTCGCTTCAAGTGGCTTCTGTGCTGTGCCCTACCTCTGTACCTGCTGGCAAGTGGTCTGATGATCTACTTCCGCGAACCAGGTCACAACGTAGGATATATGTGCATGTGTCAGATTTTCCTCGCGGTAGGCGGCGGAACATTTATCTTGATTGAGCAGGTTGCTGTTCTTGCTGCGGCTTCGCATGAAGACTATGCCGCCATGTTGGCACTTCTCAGCACGTTCGGAAACATCGGCGGTGCGGTTGGCAGCAGTGTTTCTGGCGCTATCTGGACAAACACGCTCCCTGTCAAGCTCCGCGAGTACCTCCCAGCGGAGTTGAAAGATCAGTGGTCTGATATATACGAGGATCTGGAGAAACAACTCAGTTATCCGGTTGGATCGCCTGCTCGCACTGCTATTCAGAATGCGTATGCATTCAGCCAGCGATACATGATGATCGCCGGTACAGCGTTAATGGGACTTTCCATTGCCTGGGTACTTATGATGAGGAACATCAAAGTTCAGTCTAACAAGGATGTTTCAAAGGTCCTTTTCTAAGTGGATGACTAAATACCAGGGTGCCACTTGGTTCTGATAGATACGTGGGATCGAGCATTGGGATGGTGTGGATGGGAATTCAGATTGACAGGATGAGAGGGAAAATATTCCAGCTTATAGCAATGACGAATCAGAGCAGGGAATAAATGTATATAACATCCCAACTAAAGGTACATGTGATACCTGGATACTTTTTTGTTGAAAGGGCGTCAATTAGAAGAGGCTCTGCATAGCCGGCGTGCTAGTCGGCAATCCTAAGTGGTGGTATCTAATATGAAGATCAGAATAGAAGAGAGGTTCTCTAGAGGCAGGCTCAATCACCAAACGAGGGCGAAGACTTTTGTATTGTAACACAAACTGAGAAACAAGCATAACTTTTTGATACCATACACCATAGACCATATACACCATAGCTCCAGCCATAACACCGATAGTCATTGCTGAATGCCAAGACCAGTTTGAAGGACAATTTAAATGTTTGCGCGATGAACGTTGCGGATGTGCGCAGTCAGATTATCTTTTCGGTTGAACGACTTCCGACAGTCTCCCTCGGGACATTCATATAAACCCGGGGAGATGTGCTTTGTTTTGATATGGCGTAGCAGGGCCCCCATTTGAGAAAATCCACCTGAGTATTCGCAGTGCTTCCAATTGCACTTGAGGGGACTGCCACGGCTTGATCTGTACCATGCGAATGTTAGAACCCATGGATGAACAGGATACTCCAGGAACAGGAATTATCTCCAAAAAAACGTACTTCACAGTCATCGAGACTTTGCCATAAGATGTAGGCTTCTGCAGGCTATCCTCAGGGCCAGTTATAGGTCCTCGGTCTTCGTCCACAGTGGAGATGATTGTGGATGTGATATCAGACATCCCGTCGTGAAGGTCAAGGCCCGGGGTATCCGCTGCCACGGCACCCTCCTCAACTGTCGAGCCCTGCTCACACTGTTCATCGATGATATTATACAGAGCGCCGAGAGAAGTAGAAGTCGCAGGGTCAGGGTCAGGGTCGGGGGTGGGGGGAGCGGAGGGGGATTCGAGAACAGGGTTGTAAGAAAAATCATTAACAGGAGGGGACCAGAGGTCATCAAAAATGTAGGAGAACGGCGGATCATTCTCATTCCACTGATCTCCCCCTGTTGGTCGAGGTATGACAAGTCATGCTCGAATTGTCCTGTCATGGTGTAGATCGTAGTTCGCAGGAGCGGAAGGTAGCAAGCTTAACGAATTTCATGTAGAACGAGAATAATGAGAGCGACCTACATATAAATGCGGGGAAAGACCTGGGGTATCTACGGCTTATATACTGTGCCTTGGGAGGTTCGCGATGACCTACCTGGGTGCCTTGTGAGGTATTTTGGCAGAGTTTTCATCACCCCAGCGCCACACGTCACCACGATTGGCGATCTTAGCAAGGACTTTAAGAGGGGGCAGCCCAGGGAGTGGCGCAGGCACGACATGAACAAATTTCATTATCAAGTCATAACTGGAAGGGCACCTTCAAGGCTTGTTCAGGTGCCTTGGACATGGCTTACGTGAAAGAGCCCCAACTGCCTCCAATTGGTCTAAAAAAATCGAGGTGTGGCTGTGATTTCCATTAGTTGGGAAAATCGACGACTGACCAAAGAGAATATCTTTCTCAGGGCCCAAGCGTTTCTTTTGTTTTTCTATCGCACCCCGCGCCTCGATGATTTTGCACCCCTGCCATCATCCAGGCGCAGTTTGATAAGACCTTGTTTGGCCAACCAGTCTGCTGATTTATTGGGAATGGCTTTAAATGATAACGAAACAGTAAGCATGACTTACTGGGGAATGAAGACAGCAAGGTATCAAGCAGACTCGAGGAGATGTCCAAGGAAAGGGGGCCTAACCACTTTAGGCAGCAATATGGCCTCAGGCCAATACTCCGATGATCAGTCACAATGTTGAAACCCCTCTGATAGATTATTTTCGCTGTGGTCGAGGGACTGGACTATATTCGAACCTACTTGGCATGAGAAGCCATCGAAAATCACATTTGTACGACAGCAAATTCGTACTCAACTAGATCTTATTTTCGTCGTACGAAATTATGTATCGTTCAACTAGTGACAGGAAAATGCCATTCTATGTGCGTGCTATTGGAGCATTAACATTCCATCAGTCCATTGAAAAGCCAAGCGAATTACTATATTATGTAACTAAAGTCTCCCGTCTGATTTTTGAGAGACCGTCAAAGACGTCAACAAGAGCCCCGTATGAGCATGTCTAGTTCGTGTACTTCTCCAAAGCTTCCTCGAGGATCTGATCCAGGGAATCCTTGTTGCTGATAGCATCTTGGACGCAGTTTGGGACGGCATCAATGATCTTAAAAGCAAGAATGTCGGAAACGTCCTCCAGATTGTGGAGAAGGGCAGACATTGGGTCCTCAAATCGAGTCAGACTCAGGAGACCGTGCTTGTCAACGATTGTCTTCAGGAGTTTCTGCGACCCTTGGGAGTACTATCATAGGTCAGTACCGATGATACATGCATGAGGTGAATCAGATCAGCTTACGCCTCGGAAAGCGGTGCAGAGACCTTGCTGCTCGGCATCGCTGTATGCGGGATCCTGGCGTCTCTTCTTGCCAACGATCTCGTTGGGATCTTCCCCGGTATTCTTGAGATCCTCCATACACTTCTGAACATCCTCCATGCTTGCGCATTGTTGGCGAGCTTGCATGCTACGCTTATTGGTAGTCATGGCAGAAATGTCATCATGGGCCTGGGCGACGATATCCCGGAGGCCAGTGAGAACTTGCTGCAACCTATATCAGTACCAATATTCCGAGACTCACAGCTTTTCAGGGATTTTATTATTCACATACAGGGGTCTTTGCGAACAAAGAGACGACAGAAATCTTTTCGGCAAGGTCATTGGTGTCCACCGATTTCTGAGTGAGGGCATCGACGTTGGTCGTGACCTGGTCAGCGCTGAGTGCGGCGTTGGCACCTGCAGCTAGGGCTAGAGCTGAGGCAATAATGGTGAAACGCATATTTGAGCAGTATATCGATGGGAAGGTGGAAGTTGTTGAAATGTACTTTTGATGGAGTTCTTGAGATTGGAATGACATGAATAAAGCGAGAGTGGCGGACTTTATATAGCTTTTCTAGGACTTGGGCTTTCGCTTTTATTGCCTCGTTTCTAGATAGTCCAATGGCTGTAATACCCTTGGAACTTTCTCTTTTCGCCACTACGGTTCCATACTATTGCCCGCACTACTGCCAACTCTTCACTAACTCGCGTTGTGTGTGGGCCAACGTCCCATTACAGCGAGCCTATATGGTGATCCTTACAGTGATATTTCAAAACAACATATTTGATTGAGCCGTGTTCTAGCTATGAGAGGATCCGGTTTTATAGTGGGGTAAATCAGGGCCATATAGGAGAAACAATCTCGGCTAGGCGAGGACTATGTAACGTCTATTCTTCATCAAACATAGAGGAAGATCCATGAGGTTATTACAGCAGATACATTGGGTGGAGAAGAGTCAGGAGATCGATGTAGTCTTATTCGAGATGGCGGGTCGACCTTCCTCAGCATTTACCCGAGCAATCCCAGCCCATATATTCATTCAAAAGAACAAAGGCTAGTTTTAACAAGGGAGGAACACATTCAAAATATCATTCAATGGAGATGGATGCCGTCTCATAGCTTTGTAGATTACAGTCTTGTATTATTCAGGTACTATTTATATTCATGCTTTGCATAGGTTCTTCTGAACTTTGCGATGTGTGTAGATCAGTCATGGTGGATATCATTTTACTTCTATTGCTGATAGCATCGCCGATCAATGCTGTCTCGGCCCCTATGACGTTAGTACCCGTTGATCAGCATGTCATAATGCCAATCATTGCTTCTTTGCTCGTGAAGGCTCCATCTGCAAAGCTGCTAGTTTATCAAACTTTGAAGGCTCGTTCCATAATAGGCTTTTTATCGTTCCTGTGGGACAATATACCTATACATACTATGTTGCCTTACTAATCCCATCAACATGAAATATTAGAAAGGTCAGGAACTATGTGGGAGCAAACAAAACATTGGTGGCTTTGCTTGAAGTTCGTAATCTTATCAGTAGGTGCGATATCATAATGCGGTTTTGGTCGTTCCCTTTTCGGAGTATATAAACCCTGACGCGGACTGATATCCTATTAAGGTGCAAGTTACAAAAACCCAAAGCGAAAACACTGTCACTCTAATCCAACGGGCCGTAAAAACGGCCGCAGAGAATTTGATGTTGACCTCATATTCCTGCCAATGAATGTTAGAACGCTCTAGTCCAGTTCTCGCTGCAGGTTCCCGCCAGAGTGGTCTGTCCGTGTTAGGGCGCCGGGGCTGTACCATGAACCTTTTACTATCAACCCCTGATGCTCTTTTTCCAGTGGTGCTATCTGAATTCTCTTGTATAATGCTCAGCAAAGCCCATAAATCCTACAACCCAACCCACCCCGGAAATAGGCCGGGCGTTGGGCCCGGGGTAAGAGCGCACTGGGCCCTTGATGGGGGCCCTTTATGACCCTAAAGGCACTAAACGATACAAATACTTAAAGGGGGAAAATGTGGCTTTTCTACTTGATATTTATAGACTCGTTTCCTTTATTTTATCATTCAAAATCATATATAGTAATTAATTACTTAGATAGATGGATCACGTTCAAGAACGCGAGAAAACGCGCGTTCTAGAGAAATTATAAATTATAGAGGTTCACCAAGAAAGTGTTATGTACTTCTGCAAACTGTCAAAGTATATATCTACATTCATCCTAACATTTTCAATATCTCGACTTATATCGACAGGACTTAATTCAAAACTCTATTTGACATTAACATAAATTCCAGATATAAACTCTACACACTCAGTAGAAGTGTCAGAGTACAGATGCAGCGTAAATCAGTATCGTAGATATTCTGCTAAAAAAAAACCTTGGACCCAACCTTCTAATCACTCTCATACCCCATATCCTCCAAGGACCACAACAAATGGGCGTTGTTATCGGGGTCTTGAACATCTTGAGCATTGGGAATCTCTTCATCGATTCCCTCGATTTCTTTCAGTTGGGAAGACCCAGACTTGTATAATCCCATCAAAGCATCCATCTGGTCATCGTGCTCCTTGTTTTCGCCCTTCTGGTATCCCCGAACACACAAGTACTCAAGTCCAACTGGTAAACATTCTACCAGATCCAACTTTCCCCTTCTCTTGTATGGTTCTCCGCTAACTCCAGCCGCAAAATATAATAGAAAGTTTATCCCCAGGCTCAACCGTTTCAAGGCCACAAATTCTTTCAGTGACCCAGCGTTTGTCCAAATTGATTTGTACAACTCAGACGCTTCATCACTAATATCAGATTCATTGGGGCTGCCGTACTCATTGAACTGGATGTCCCTCTCTTCCTCGTCTGCAATTTTGAAAATAGAAATTTGATTATCAACATCGAGATTGAGGATTTCCAGTGTTTCCCTATGTGGGCAAAGTGCTTTGATGAACGCTTTGGAGTTGAATGTAAAATGTCCTCCATCAGAGCTCGCTCTACCTCCGATGGAATATTCAAATTCCCTGAGGACCTTGCACGACGATATCAGATTCACGAGATAGAGTGAACTAACCGATGAATGATGAATGGAGATCTTGCTGATGTTCGAAGATTTTTCTCTGATTTCTGGGGTTTCGTTCTCATCCTCCTCCATTATATCAACGCGGACAGATTCAATTGACAGAAGATTGTTAAACAGCGTCAGGCAGCCAGAAAGGTTCATTTCGAGATAGAAACGATCATCATCCCAGGACCTGTCGCGTCTATTTATGAGGTAAACGCTGCGGAGGTTTCGAAGATATGGCTTGTCATCAGGACTAGTATTAGCTTGACGAAGAAGCTCGGCAAGCGGGAAGTCGGATTCGTGCTTGGAGATCATGCCAGATGGATTTGTCATAGCCATCGACACAATGTTCGGGGATACCACAATCAGAATAGCAGTCAGTGCTTGGGTGATGAATGTGGCAAGACTCTCGCGATATCTGTCTACCGGGTCAAACGATTATTCTGAGACCAATATCAAACGAGGTTCTCACCGATAGGCAAATGTTGCCGTTTTGTCCATCCTCTGCATGAGTATATTGACCAGTCGGTCCTGTTGGGCCGCGAAACCACCTCTTCTCACTGCATTTCGCACAAGATTCAATTCCTCGTCGCTCAAGTCTCGTTGAGACTTGGCTTCACTGTAATCCATGTGCTCGGATGTTGGGTTGCGGCATTCAACATGACGCACGTAATTGCCCAAGCTAGGTCGTTTCAAAATATCCATCAGCAAGGCGAAGGCATTGTCGACATCTTCTTCACATGAGGAGACAATAATTCGGTGATATTTCCTGCGCGTTGCCATATCGCACATAGAGTTGAGGGTTCGACATTGTGCTGAGAGGGCAGCCACATCACGGTTGGAAAGAAGGCATGAGATGATCCGCTGATGAATCTCGAGGGGTAGGCTAAGTAACGACATAGCTTCTACGCATTCACTGTCAATGTGAATGTGGAAACGAAGATTTATTTGAAATATAGCACTTTCGCTCTCGAAAAGGACTAGCCTAGGCATCCCCACTGGTGCCTGAAATATAGTCTTGGCGTTTTGAGGCTTTTATCTGGCCAAGTGTCAAAGATCAAATCCTAATACTCGTACTTAGAATCCTACTGGACCAGATGAGCGAGCGGCCCTATATAGAATTGTAGATACTATGTAGTTCACCTACATCAATCAGCTAATACGTAGATTGCGACGTAGTAGCTCCTGAACAAGCCAAATTTTGTTCGACTTGATGGCATCAATCATCACTACTGACATTAAACTAGTGTCCCTGGCATCAGAGAGTGCGGTTTTGAGGGGTTTTCAAAACTGGTGGTCTTCGCCGAATTCTTCCAAGTAGAAATCAAGAAAAGGAACTGTATTGATACTGCTCCGTAATGGAGGCCCCACCTAAGGATGTGTTCAACTGGCATGGTACCTCAGAGGATAAGAAGTAAGAAGAATGATAGGCCATCGATAAGCTGAGAAAGACCTTCCGAGGTCGGGAGGTCGGGAGCTCCGCCGGGATTGCCAGTTGGTACATGTGACTAGGGCTAGTGCTCCTGCGAAGTGACAAGGATGTTTGGCATCACGTGAGTATATTAATACACCAAATTTTGCACAATTTTACACTTGAGGCAGCAACGCGGATTTCAACATGACCAGTAACATGAGCAGCTTTGAGCCGCCTGCGATAGAAGATGTCTCATCATCCTCTGGAACCGTCGTGATCGGGTCCCGTAGATCGGATCTTGCACTCACTCAATGTCGGTGGATCATATCCATGCTCAACCAAACTCTCGATACTCCCACCAACTTCGAGATCGCCACAGGCAGTGTTGTTGGTGATGCAGATAAGCAGACTCCTTTTGCTCTCCTCTCTAAGCAGACCGGTGGATCAGATATTGGAAAAAGCTTGTGGACCAATGGTCTTGAATCAAGCCTAGTGGCTGGCAAGGTTCAATTTCTTGTCCACTGTCTAAAGGATATGCCCACAACGCTGCCGCCGAAATGTCTTCTTGGGGCAATCCCCGAGCGTGAGGACTGTTCTGATGCCGTCATCATGAGATCTGACTCTGATTTCACCTCTATCGACCAATTGCCACCTGGCTCTGTAGTCGGATCCAGTTCTTCAAGGAGAAGAGCCCTAGTTCGGCGAAATTGGCCTCATTTAGAGGTTGAAGAATGTCGGGGGAATATGTAAGTATTGATTTACTTCCACTCAAGCGGCTGATCTAATGAGTATCTTATATATTAGAGATACTCGTCTTGCCAAGCTTGACGCACCTTCCTCGCCGTTTTCATGTATTCTCTTGGCGACTGCAGGACTGTCACGTCTAGGACTTGAACATCGAATCACGCAACGACTTGATCCCAAGGTGTTCCCTTATGCGGTTGGACAGGGCGCACTCGGTGTCGAACTTAGCACAGACCGTCCAGATATTCTACAGCTCGTTCAACATGTCGACCATAAGCCATCCAGATGGCGTGGTATGGCAGAGAGGGCGATGCTTCGAACTCTTCAAGGAGGATGCTCCACTCCAATTGGCGTTCGCTCCTCTTTTGAGCCTGTGGAAGAAAAGGCATCTGCAGACAAAGAACAACGGGGCGATAGCGGCACCCTTCGCCTTCAAGCCACAGTCATCGATATTGAAGGAAAATCCGATATATATGCTGAGGATGTGAGAACTGTCGCGAGCGACGACGAAGCAGAGCAGCTTGGCGTCTCGGTCGCGAATATGCTTATTGAAAAGGGGGCACGAGATCTATTGCCAAAACAATCGTGAACCGAACTTTGAATTTGTATATTTATAAGAGGAAGCAATACAATATAGGCAGTCATTGATGTCATGTATTTATTTGTTAGCATGAAGGTAGACTTTATACCAAGGAACGATTCAAACTGACCATCGGTCATCCTCAATTCAAAGCGATGCCTTGCTCTTCCTGCGAGTGGCTTGACGAGAATTTATAACGTACCATTCAAGCTACTGCCACTTTTCCTTGCTTCGATAATCTCTCAACATCCGCCCCGACCTCGCTACAAGGCTTCAATGAGTATCTAGAAGAGATCAGTTCACGTCTCATCATGCGACAGCCATATCGGGGATAACTCACAAAAAGTCCTTTGGCTCTGGAAGAAGAGAGCTAGGGCATGCGCTATAGGTGTCCGGGTCAGTATCGATAAAGCCGGGCGCCTGAATCTTCCATCCAAGAATGAGGCGGCCCAGCGTATATTTCGCGAGTCTTGCTATCCAATCCTTCCAATACCGCTTCATGTGTCAAAGGGAGCAACGACCGCCGAGGTGATCTTCATGACTAATTGGTGGTCTTGAAGTTCGAATACACCTCTCAAGATAGATTATGCCTCAAAAAGCTCCTTGCAACTCTTCTCAAGTCTAGCTTGGTCGATTCCCCCGAAAATCTTAAGTAAAATGACCAGCCCACCCTCCATTTCCTGAGCCTACTAGAGCGACCCATGCTTGGAAGTCGGTTGATACCCAAGTGACTGTATCATTGGAGCCAGCTTTGGCAGGGGAATTCTCATGTAATCCATCCATGTAATCCATCCCTCATTCCAAGATGTGTCATCCTCAATGCTCGTGTCTGTTGCAATTGCACAGTGTGACATGTCCTCTAGATTTGGTTGGCTAAGGATTTGTTGCGCAGTCAACTGGAGATTTTTATCCCCAACTGCTAAAACAAGCTTGATCGCTGCCAGTAAATCGCCTCCTAGAGAAATAAAGTCCTAACCCCTTCCCACAATGTCAAGATCTTGGCGAAAAAGCGTCGCCCACAGATCAGCCAGTACACGCTCTTTCTCATTTTCAGAAGAGATTGAGCCCTCACTGCGGTTATCTCCCTGCAAAAACAACAGTAGCTTCTTGCCGCCCAATTCGCTCCTTTCTGTCCGGAACTTTTTACGATCTATCTTATAGGTTCCTGGATTTGATGGACGATAACGCAGACTCTGGGGATCATGTGCCGGGGCAATAGAGTCTGTGAAGTGCGTAGAACAATGAGTGTATTCCACGGAGTAGTAGACTCAACGCTACCCCCTCTAGATCCACTTTCGATACCAAGTCACAGTACGGAGTGTTCGGTTCAATACCGGGTAACTCACCAGCTCCATCGGACCAGACAACCGTGAGGTCGCGCATAAACTTGAGTACTCCGTACAATGATTGATCGGCCGTTTGTCCCTTTTAAGTACGTGGTTTTGGTCGAACCTGTCTACCAGAGAGTTGAATATTGATTATGTACACAGTACCTTTGTCATAGGGATTTATGGCCCCGAGGGCCCACAGTGGGGAAACCATTGCTATGTACTCCGTACGGAGTAGCCTCTCCGGATTGGCCAAACAATCTAAAATACTCGACCTAAACAGCTCGGAAGAACTCCCGCTTTTGCGGAATCACGCAGTCCTACACATATGACCGATCAGACGCAGAGACTCGTTACATTAAAATGAAATTTACCATATTACATGAAAGAATCTTGAAAAATACCGTATTCCCTGTGCGGGTGATCCGCACTAATCGCGGGATTGGTTTCCGATGCTTACCTAGACGGTAAGCCCTGACCCACACGGCAGGCCTAATTTGACCTAATGCTTTTAGCCTCAATCCTCACTTCACCTCCTGAAAGACCTCCCAATGACGGATAGATTTTATTTCATAGTCTCCGTCGCTGATTGCGTGATCCTCCAAGTGGATCGACCTGTGACGGTAACGTTTTGGTGTCTTACACTACTCTGCGTACAATGCCTCGCTTAATGGAACAAGACACGATGATTTTGACTATTTAATACTACAGCTGAGAGCTCCAGGGATGCCTTAGTCCCCCGAGCTAATTGTCTCGAAATATCACTTTAAAATCTTTTGACAAATTATCTCTGGTGAGAATGTGAAAAATGCCATTGGAACCATACCTAGGTACCTTAATCAAGACAAGAAAACAAACGAGGATCGGACGCACAGACGTTTAGAGTGTATATTTTGTGAGGACAGAACATCGCATGGTTGCATCTGGGCACCAACAGACGGTCGGTGATAATTTGTTATTAATCAGACGCAAGTCTGCTGGCTTATGCGTGCTAGAACATATCAATCTATGGGAAGCACATCCAGAATGTGATAATTAGCGTTCGAGTCGCTTTAAGATCCAACTGAACAATGATACCTTCTTTCCTTGATTCTTTCTCCCCTTATCGAACTATAAAAATAGCGTAACTACTTCGCACTACTTTGTTGGTAGTCCGATGAGTCCGTCTGTCTAGCCCTAAGTCCGGCCCTTAGTCCGGCCCTTAGTCCGATACTTAGTCCGAGATGAGATCCTACTCCGACGGGGACTCATTCGCACGGTGTGGGAAAAGGGAAAGATAGGCAAAGAGTGAAAATAGTAGATAAATAGGTGCTATGTTGAGGTCGCTATGCCCTGAGCATGGCTCACATACGTGACTCCATGATTTCCATATCTCGTTTTCCTAACGATCTTCGGTCCTCAAGAGATTCCCTATTTTCTCTCCCGCATTCGCAATCGCTTCCTATTCCACTATTTGGAATTTGAGATCGACATTTCTTTCCTGGGATTCGAATTGATATAGAATCCAAAATGACGATTCAGAATCAGGAGGCGGCGGAGGAAGGACAAAGTGCTTCTCAAGACGAGCGCAAGACTGAATATCGTATGGACGGAGGACTTCAAGCTTGGTTGCAGGTGCTAGGCAGTTGGATCCTCTTTGCTAACACCTGGTTCGTCATCCATTCACTCAGAACTTTGGACTGCTAGACTCGCTGAAAGATGGCAATTACTAATGCTGGGTACAGGGGTCTAACGAATTCTTTTGGTGTGTTTGAAACATTCTACACCGAAAGCTTGCTGGAAACCTCGTCAGCTTCGGCCATCTCATGGATTGGTTCCATCCAGCTTTTCCTTACGATGGTCATCGGGGTCTTTGCGGGCTGGTTCCTCGATGCCGGACATCTACAGCCCTTGCTCATCATTGGCACCTTTCTTGAGATTTTCGGAATGTTCATGACCTCTCTCTGCACTGAGTACTGGCAAATTCTATTGGCGCAGGGAATCTGCGTTGGTCTGGGCAGTGGCCTGTTGGGGTTGACTTCCGTGGCTGTGATTCCGTTGTATTTTTCAGAGAAGAGGATGATTGCCTTAGGAATCGCAGCTACAGGAAGCAGTCTAGGTGAGTCATGATCTAATGACAGTGATTCAAATCTCATCATTGCGGTCAGCTGATTGGGCCGGTAGCTGGAATTATATACCCTATCATGATGCGCAGACTCTTTGTGAGTGCGGGTTTTCCATGGGCAGTACGTGCGCTCGCCTTTCTCATGCTGGGATGTCTGGTCGTTTGTTGTGCAATTATGAGACTTCGCCCACGCCCTCCTCAGTCGACATCACTGGTTGATTTTAAACATATCCGGGATCCGTCATACATGGCTTTTGTCGCAGGTAAGTCTCTTGCTCTTCCCTCATTATGAACTTGTCAGTAGGAATCTGTTGGACTAATCAACCATCCACCCTCAAATAGCATTTACTTTAATGATGGCATCCGTCTACGTTCCTTTCTTTTATATTCAGAAATACGCTCTGCAATTCAACATTGATGATGATATGGCTTTTTACCTTCTAAGCATGATGAATGCTTCAAGTTTGATTGGACGTATTGGACCAAATTTGCTTGCAGATTAGTGAGAAGCCTTCCTTTACAACGAGCTATTCGAACTCTCATTTCCTCGGCTAACCTTTTTTGCTTTCTTTATAGCATTGGTGGCTTGAATGTAATGGCTCCAGCTTGCTTCTTATCGGCAGTCGTTCTATTTGTCTTCCGGTTCGCCGTTGATTTACCTGGCTTGATTGTGATAGCGCTATTCTATGGCCTAATCTCCGGAGGCATGGTGTCTCTCCCAGCAGCCATAATCGCAAATCTCACCAGCAAACCGTCGGAGCTAGGCTCACGCATAGGTTTGGCCTACACAATCGCTGCATTTGGTGCATTGATTGGAAATCCTATTGCTGGTGCTTGTCTGCGGCCGTCCGGGACATCCAGCTCTGATGTTCAAAGAGAGTACCAGGGAGTTTGGATTTTCGGGGGTGCTTTTATGTTACTCTCAACTGGCTGTGTGATTTTGACTCGATACCTTAATTCTAAAACTTTCACGGGGAACAAAATGTAATATTTTGATAGAGGATTGGTGGGATCAATTGAATATTTTCCCTATTTATGACTGCAAATTCCATGAGCCTACAGCCGACTCTATCAACCTTGCTACTTCCTGTAGATTTATCACATGCAGTCAGCTCTCTGAATAAATCCATCTTTGCATCATTCTGTTCGATATCAGGTAAAATGATACTATAACATTCTACAGACAAAAGCGCGACACCCACCACTCCACCACCCCGCCAACTGCCGGAGAAGAATAGCTGAACCAGCCAGGCGCTAGTCTTAATCTCATGACCATGTATTCGACAGGGCTTTCCCTTGCTGGTCCTCTTTAATGCAGTCTCGGATCGTCCGAGGAACAACACCAACGCAGTCCGCTGGGTACGAGAGTTATCCACCATGATGCCGGCGTTTTGGTCGGGTAGAAAAACCAAGAATAAGAGATGTGAAAACTTCAAAGTTTCATTGAAGCACAATGGTGTCACTTCTCAAACGGTCCAAGATGGCTTATCTAGAAGAGAGTTGAAGACCCTTGATTCCATGGTACCTTTGTCATAGAGCCGGATTTGTGCTAATTCTTGAACTTACTGCTTTGTACTGTAGTCTCGATAAGGTCTGGACTTATATTGCACGTGGCTACAACCTAAATAGGTGGACCGAAGGGTGTTGACTAAGACCCGAGATGAGCCGTTGCCCTATATTTCAGTCTGTATTGTTGGTCATACTTCTACTTTTCCCGCTAAAAAGAATAGAAGAAATAAAAAAAACTATAGCGAACAACAAATTATGGTCTGTGACGGCCTCCAAATTATGCAATTTACTCCACAAATTCTCTCCGCGGAATCACTTTCCTATTCTGGTGCGCGGGGATATATATTAGACAGCTTCGTGTTTGTCTGACTTGACACATCTCCAACCTCAATTTCAAAGATGACCCAGATATTTCTGTAATCAGTTCCCTTTCTTTGGTGTGTTATTCGTTAGTTGCTAACTCGTGACTGAAAGTACCGGTGCCACGGGCTACATTGGGGGTGAAGTCCTCCACGCTTTGCAGCATGCGCATCCTGACTACGAGGTTGCTGCCTTGATCAGAGATAATGAAAAGGCCAAGAAGGTTATTGCTGCATTTCCCAAGGTCCGCGTGGTCCTTGCGGATTTGGACAATGTTGAAATCATTGAGAAAGAATCCCGCAAAGCCGACATCGTTATCCGTGAGTCCAATTACGTGTGGTAGCAGAGCCTATCATTAATTTTCTCCAATTAGATGCTGCTAGTAACAAGCATCTCGGAAGCGTGAAAGCGATCTCAAATGGCCTGGCGGGACGTCAGAATGGTAGGCCATCTACTGCTGCAGTGTCGTATTTCCTGTTTGGTCGCTAATCGAAGTCAAACTCCAGCTTATTACCTTCAAGTCACCGGGGCTAGTGTTTTGGCAGGTCCTGAAATTGATAACAGCTCGTATGGCGAGCCCTCAGATCAAATTTTTGACGATTTGGATAACGTTGCTGATCTCCGAGACATAATCCGGGCATACAAGAATCGTCGAGTGGTGGATAACTACATCCTTGACTTAGGCTCCGGTGGCCCAAAGACTGCCATTATCTTCCCTCCTATCATATTTGGCACCGGTAAAGGTCCCGCGAATCAGCGCAGCGTGCAGGTTCCCTCATTGGCCCGGGCCGCTCTACTGCAACGTGTTGGTCTCTACCTTGGCAGGGGACTAAGTCGATGGGGTATTGTTCATGTCTCTGACTTGGCCAATCTCTTTGTCAAATTGGTAGAGCATGCTGTCAACGCCACCCCCGCCCCTATCTGGAATGAGAACGGCCTTTTCTTTGCGGAAAATGGTTTCGAGGTTGGTTCATGGCATAACGAGCCCCGAATTATGCATACTAACCTTTTTTTCCTCTTACAGAGCTTCAAGGATGTCGCTTTGGTGATTGCCAAAGAGGCACATAGCCTTGGTTACATCGATTCCCCTGACTCGGTGCAATCCATGAATATTGATGAGGCCAACGTTGTGATACCCAATGGAGTTGTGTTTCTCGGTACCAATGGTCAAGGTCGAGCTTTGCGGGCAAGAACATTATTAGGATGGCAACCCAATGGCGAGAGCTTCCAAAAGGCCGTGCGGGAGACAATCATTGCTGAAGCGGCACAGCTGTGACCATTTTCAAGGAACATTTGTTGCAAGCAAGTTAAAATGCTGCAATTGATATTCGCTTGGTCCAGGCATATTCCTACAATCTATTACGTTTTATGTATTGCACATTCTTTCACGCATGTGGTGGCTCCTTGCGGGCATTTTGTAGTTTCAGAGCTTGTGCCCACGGGACTAAATATCTGAGATGAGAACATTCCATGCGTTTAGAAGCTTGACAGAAAGAATTAGAATGACCGATACAATTCTCGAGCTGTCTGCTCGAGTGCTGATATTTGGACCTTATTAGACCTAGCTGCGATAAAGATTGGCGAGCTTAGGAAAATCGTACTAGCAAGCGACTGGTTCAATGAAAAAAACCAGAGGCTATCACAAACCAAATGCTATGTGTGTAGGAGTTTCCTCTCCTGGTTGCAGATAATTTACAAGAAGGCACATCTTGCGTAGTCTGATCATCAAAAGTGAAGGTAATCCTCTTGGAGATGACCTCGAGAATGTAAAACAGTCTTAGTCATCGCACGCCCGCCGCCTTTTTTGACCGCCTCCAAATTTGCCGGACTTTACTTTTTTTCCTTTACGATTTTTATCACCGCCAAACAGCCCTCTTTCTCATCCCAATACATTGCTTTCTTTAACTCTTCTCCACCTCGTCGTCCGCAATCATCATGGCGACTCTGGCGGAGAAGCTTGAGAAGATCAAGTCCCCCAAGTTGCAGAACCAGCATCACGTAAGTTTTCCCGCTACATACCCGGTGAATTTGTGAATTGACTAACATATTGATCCGTGCACAGACTGCTGTGGTGCTCTCTGCAGTTGAGGATACTCTCCGTGATCAAAAGGCAGATTTCTCACCTACCGCATATTTTGCCGCTCTTCTTGCACTGCTCTCACAGTCTCTGTCCGCATCCCAAGGCATTGTCAACAAAGATCTAGCGACATCCGTTGTCTACCTTCTCGACATCACAACTGCCTACGTCCCCGCCCCAATTCTTTGCGCCAAATTTTCTCAGATCCTCGAAGGCCTTGCACCCGCACTTTCTCTCCCCGAGGTCGAAGCCCCGCTCCTACGTCCTTCAATTGGTTGTCTCGAGTCTCTGCTCATTGCCCAGGATACTGCATCATGGAACCTCCCACACACACAGGTCGGCCCGCGACGTGCAATGGCAGGTCTGCTGAGTCTCTCGGTCGACCACCGGCCCAAGGTGCGGAAACGTGCCCAGGAGGCTCTTGTCAAGGTTCTCAAGGCGCCCCCACCGAGCCCTTCTCTGGACCACCCAGGTGCGGACATGTGTGCTCAGTCTGCGATGAAGACTCTGGGTGACAGCATTTCAGCTGCTCACAAGCAAAAGAAGGGTCGTCATGATGCTCAGGTCAACAACCACGAGCCCCTTATCATTCACTCGTTGCAGCTGATCAAGACCATTGCCTCGGCGTCAGGTGGCTGGCCCAGCAAGAAGATTGAGCCGCTTAGCGAACTTCTGATGAATGCTTCCCGCTCTAGCAACGAGTACATCACCATGGGCGCCTTTGAAGTATTTGAGGTCATTTTCGAAGGAATGGCTGACGAGTTCTCGTCTTCTAAGCTGCCCCGTCTTTTGGATGCTATCTCCGAACTCAAGCCTGCGCAGAATGACTCCCAGCTTCTCCCACCTTGGATTGCAGTGCTCTCGCGCGGTTATGATGTGGCCGCACAGATCACTCCCGAGGATACTTTCGAGAAGTTGCCGGATCTGTTCACCTTGATTTCTGGATTCATGGCTTCGCCTTCCAGCAACATCCGTGTTTCCGCATCTGAGTGTCTGATCTCATTCCTGCACAACTGCATCCCTAACTCTGTCATTGTGGACCCATCTGTGTATGATGAGAAGACCCTAGAGAAATTGTCTCGTGCAGCCGTCGACCTTCTGTCGGTGAAGTACCAGGCTGCCTGGAAAGAGGTGTTCAATGTTTGCTCTGCCTTGTTCGATTGCTTCAAGTGGCGATCAAGCCCGTATCTTGTCAAAATTGTCTCCACGATCGGTGAGCTGCGCAGCAATGGCGGCTTCCACGGTAAGAAAGAGGCCGATGCCGTTCTTGGTAGTGCTATCGAGGCGATGGGTCCCGAAGCAGTATTGGAGATTCTTCCCCTCAACATCATCGAGCAGAAGGCTGGCCAGCCCGGCCGTGTTTGGATGCTGCCCATTATGCGTGACAGCGTGACCAACACGAACCTACGCCACTTCCGTACCGAACTGGTTCCCCTGAGTGAGGCTCTTTACCAGAAGGTGGTGAACTTCGGCGCCGCTGAGAAGTCCGTGGAAGTGAAGATCTTCGAAACTCTTGTCCAGCAGACTTGGGGTACCCTTCCCGGCTACTGCGAGCTGCCACTTGATCTTGTGGATGCATTTGACCAGTCATTCGCTGAGCTTCTGTCTAACGTTCTGTACAAGCAGACCGAATTGCGTGTCGATGTCTGCCGTGCCTTGCAGAACCTGGTTGAGTCTAACCAGGCTATATTGGAGGTTGAGAACGATGAGGATGATCTGATCTTGCAACGGCGAATCACCAAGGCCGCTGCAAAGAAGAACCTCGCTCACCTTAGCACTCTTGCAAGCAACTTGCTGGCTGTGTTGTTCAATGTCTACAGTCAGACCCTTCCCCACTACCGCGGCTACATCCTACAGTGTATCAATGCCTACTTGAGCATTACCCCTGAAAATGTAAGTTCCCCTTCAGTTTTACATGCAAATCATCACGGACTAACATTCTTAATAGGAACTGAACGACACTTTCAACCGCGTTACTTCCATGCTTGAATCTTCTTTGGCTACCGAGCAAGAGGCAGCAACCAAGCAGAGTGCCCAGTCTCAGGGCTCATCTGACAAGATGCCACCGACCTCCCACACCCTGATTGACCTTGTTATTGCCATGTCAATCTACCTCCCTCGCTCCAGTTTCAGTGGCTTGTTTGCCATGGCGGCAGCTATCCTCAACAGCTCATCCCCCAACCCGGATCAGCAACTTATCAAGAAGGCATACAAGTTGATTCCCCGACTTGGAACAACCGAGACCGGCCGCGCCGCCCTCCAGGAGCGCAGTGGAGAGTTGCAGGCCCTCATGCTTGCCACCACTGATTCCACCCCTGCGTCTGGCCGCCGCGACCGTATGCTCGCTATCACCGAGATTATCAACCACCTGCCCACCTCAGATCTCCACTTCATCCCAGCAATCTTGTCCGAAGTGGTTCTGGGCTGCAAGGAGAGCAATGAGAAGGCACGCACAGCAGCCTTTGACTTGCTGATTCTCCTGGCCAAGCGCACAATCGACCCAGAGCGTAACCCTCCTGGCACTGTCATTCGCAGATCTCTTGTGCCAGGCGTTGCGGATGATTCCCCGGATGCCCCCGCTACCCTCGAGGAGTTCTTCACAATGGTCTCAGCCGGTTTGGCCGGTTCTGCTCCTCACATGGTGGGTGCCACCGTCACCGCGCTTTCCCGTCTGTTCTTCGACTTCCAGACACAGCTTCAGCCTGAGATGCTCAAGGAACTCGTTGAGACCGTCGAGCTCTTCCTTACCTCCAACAACCGCGAGATTGTCCGCTCTGTCCTTGGCTTCGTCAAGGTAGCAGTCGTCGTTCTCCCCGACGAGGCTCTGCGCCCCCGTCTTAACACCATGGTTCCCAGCCTCATGGCCTGGAACAAGGAGCACAAGGGTCGTCTCCGTAGCAAGGTGAAGGGCATCATCGACCGACTTGTGCGCCGATTCGGCGCTCCTCTCCTTGAGGCTATCGTCGGCGAGGAAGACCGCAAACTCATTGTCAATATCCGCAAAGCACGTGAGCGCAGCAAGCGCAAGAAGAAGGAGGGTGCCGAAGGCGACGACGAAGACGAAGAGGAGAAGGCCTCCAGGCCCCAATCCGGTAACGCCTTCGACAAGGCCGTTTACGGTTCTGACTCCGACTCCTCTGACAACTCAGACGACGGCGACAGCGATGTCGACGTCGACAACGTCGCTCAGATCAAGGGCCGCGCCTCCAAGAAGAGAGCAGGCCAAAGCACCCAGTACATTCGCGAGATGTCCCCCGAAGACAATCCCCTCGATCTGCTCGGTTCCAACGCTCTGGCCAGCATCTCCACCACCAAGCCCAGCCAGCGCTTCCTCAACACAGGCCCCGGCTCGAAGAAGAAGCGCGCCGCCAAGGTCGACGCTGATGGCCGTCTTGTTCTCGGCGATGATGGCGATGTCGTCGCTGAAGATGTCGAGATGTCCGGTGCTGGCGACGGTGGCGTTAACGCCTACCTCGCTGCTGTCAGCGGACCCGACGCCGTCCGCCGTGGTCAGAGAGGTAAGGTGAAGATGGGCCAGTCGTCGAAGAAGAATGCTGGCGATAGCATGGATGTCGATGAGGATGACCTGAAGAAGGATTTGCGCGCTTCTGGTGCCGGTCAGGGCCCTGGCCGTCGTGGTCTGGGCGCGCCTAAGACCTCTGGTGCGCCTGGCGGTGGTCGCATCGAAAAGCGTCGCAATACTGGCAATGCTCCTAGAGGTGGTGGCCGCACGGGATGGGGTAAGAAGAGATAAACTATTTACTTCAGAGTAAATCGTACTCTCTTTTTCACCTCTGTAGAGCTTGGGGGCTGGGGAGAAAACGGTGGCATCTAGCAGATCCCGGAGTTAACGTTATGAGTTCACTGTTTCTTGATTTCTTTTGTTTCCGCCATCTGGTCTTCGGTTCATGTCGTGCTTGGTTAGTGTTGACGTTCTCATAATACCCTCCGCTGGTGATTCCGTTGACTCTGGGCTTTTTTGCTTCTGTTTCGATGCAGAGTTATTCGACTCCGTTCTTTTCATGATATGATTACGATTCTGTTCAAAAGTTTCTTTTAGGTCAATGGACATAGATATTTCACTTTTGTCGTGTAAGATGTACATAGTAGTCTAGAAGCTGTGATATCCAGCCTTTCGTATTTGACACTGGTCTTGCTGTTGCCCAATGACCGAATTAATTCCCAGATTGATATCCCACGCTGATGAAATCCCAGTGGTCAAGTCCACTCAACTACATTCAAAAACCCAGGACCTCAAATACATCATGACTTTTATCATATTCTCATTTGCAAAGCAGCTTATCATGCAAAAAAAAAAATGTGTATCGAACATATCAATCAGAACTTCATGAACGCGAGCCAGCCAACCAGGCAGCTCAGCAGCATTTCCCACGGCCCCCCATCACTCGCCCAGAAGCAGACAGAGCGTGTGACGCAAAAGGGACAACACAAAGCTGACAGACGACATCGCATCCATCAAAGCCAAAGCGTCAACGGCTTCCTCACAGTATACAGCAGACACAGTAGTCCACCGCTCGAGCATCCGACTCCAGCCAAAACTCCATCGCCGATGCAATTCAATCACAATCCACCACGGCGCAGAAATCAAACTGTCGCTCATCAGGTCATCGACCGGTTATACTGGCGCCCTCTTCGGTTCCTTTGAACAATCGGTCTTTCAATACAGGTATCGAATATCAAATACCCGACCCAGGAAATAGAGCGGTAAGTCGACAGGGTACATAGACCAGACAAATAATCTGATCTGGCATACACTAACCCCAACAGACCAAACACAGACAAGTCGGTGGTGATAATAACTAGAACAGAATTTCCCCGCTATGCTCTGGCTCGAAACCGAGTGCTTGCAGCTCATCGTAGCGCTTCTTATCTCCTGTTTTTCGCTTCGCGTCTTCTTTCTTCTTCAGCGCGAAGACTTCTTCGCATGGGGCTTTTGTCAGTGTGGGCGGGATATCGTCTTCACGGTCGAGGTCCTATATCATTCAATCGAGTCAGTGTGGTTTCTTACTGAGATCTCTTCAAACTCCCATTAAACCTTGCGGTTATGAATTGAGAAATGAGGAATTGATCATACCACTTCGCCTAGCAGGAGCACATTTTCTCCACGAACGATAAAGATGCCCCGCGGGACATCAGCGTACAACTGTCCGGCGTAAACCCGTTCTACGGTATCCTGGAAAACAAGGTTGGCTGCGAGGATAAGTCAGATTAAGGCCGAGAGATTTGGGAGTGTGCGACTGGCATACCGAACTGGTCCCAGCTTCGGAGGACACCGATGAGTTTACGGCCGTCGCGGAGGATGATGACGAGTTTCTCTGCAATTGCGTTAGCTCTGCTCGTGAGACTGAGTCGCTGTAACTCTTCTGCGCACATACTATCTGTTAGGTCAAGCAGCTGTGCGGCGGTCGTGAACATCTGCGGGGGTAATTGCGGTGGGCCGCCAATAGGTCCTGCTGGGCCGAGGGCATTCTGGGCGAATTGGTTTTGCTGCGGGGTTCGAGGAGCCGGGGCAGGGCTTTCGTTCAGAGAGAGGCGCTCCATTGCGTGTTAGGAGAGAAAATCGAAAAGCGGGAGATGAGAGATTCAGGACTTCGGTGTGGATGTTCTCATTCTGCGTTGGATCGCGATGGAGGTCGCAAAGGCCGTCATCAAGGGCGGTGAGTTTGTCTTGTTTGCTCGGGATCTATATATTCGAGCGTTTGAGATTCTTCTTTCAAAGACATATATACTCTAAGGGAACTAAATACATTTGCAATTCTAAAGGGCTCAAGAAATGTACATGCTATACAGAAGCGAAAGGGGGAATATCCAAAACTAAAACCCAAAAAAACCCTCAACCCAAAAAGCCAACAGAAGGTATCTATATCTACAAAACCCCGGCACCTCTCTGCTGTCCTCTCATCCTCTCCTCTCGCCGTTTACTATATGGCGCACAGTACGGCTCATCTGCAGAGCCAATACTCGCCCTGACACCATCCTGCGAGCGATGATAAGCCGGACTCGACGGCGCGGGCGGCAACTGCATAGCCTTAAACTGCGCATCGGTGATAACCCGCATTCCATAAAGATACCGCATAAGCTCAAAGTCCGGCCGACTACCAGCCAGCGTCTGACCAAGAGAGTAGTGGTCCACATCGACATGGTCGAGCATACGATCCCACGCAGAAGGCAAGTCTGTCAGCGGTTCTTGAACAATCCCATCGATAGAGTGGGGCGACTCGACATCTTCACGAACCGGCGATGAAACGGGGTGCGAGATGCCGTCGACAAACTTGGTATTCGGACACAGCGGACACCGCGCTGACGGCGGGGTCGGGTGGGAACGAAAATGGCTCAAGACATGGGTGCGCCATTCCGCACCGTCGTCAAAGGACTCATGGCAGTCCAGCATATGGAAGAGACATGCGTATGTGCGCTGCTCTGTGCTGGCTGTTAGAGATACCGGTATTGACGGGGTGGCGGATGATGTAGAGGCTGCAGCGGTTGTATCCCAGGATGAGAGTGATGCGCGCGATAGAGCGGGCTCTGGGGGGCTGTCGGTGGTGATTAATGGGATCATGCCACTGAGAACGTAGATTCGATCTGTGCTGCTATCACCATGTAGGGATTCCACACCAGTTCCGGGTCTGGTATCCACTGATGATATTGACGGGGACTGCGATGCGCTAGACAAGGTCGACATTGTGGGTGATGAAATGGGGTTGACAAGGACGCTGGGTTGCTTTTGCTTTTTGGGTTGCGACAAGGCGGGGGTCCTACTTGACGCCGTGCTGGCGGTCGAACTCACGATACTGACACTGCGGGTAGAAGAAGATCGGTCTCTATTCGAGCGTGAAATGATAGGATCGAAGTCTCGAGGATCCTTGGGTTTGGGCTTGCGCTCCGACATTGCGAAAGATGGATGCGGATGGATACGGGCTGGATCGCGTCAGAGTCGGGGTTACCGGTTACATAGTAAGCACATAAGAGAGAGGTAGAAAGGAAAGTCATAGGGGGAACGGGAAAGGAACACACCCGATATCAGATCAACAAAATTTCAGATCTTCCAACATGCATGACATCCGTTTCTGCGCATTAGGTATAGGCTGAAGTGGGGGACTTTTGTTCTACTTTTTTTTTTATATGGCGGGGCTTTTGGGGTTGGGTTATATATAAGGGAATTTGTATATGCAATATACAATAGAGTATAGTATAGACTAGGTTACATCTCATGTTTCTTTCTGAAGATTCTCTTTGATGCCAGGTCTGGGAGACAATGCAGGGATCATACGGTTGTTGAGGCCGTTTGACTGCATTGGATGTGCAGGAATTGTATATGAAACAAGTTCGTCCGACCTTGGAGTTCGAATCAAGACACTAACATAGCGTAAAATAGGTATTGCAGGGTTCTACCTTACATTCTTCACACATATCTTGTACAAAGTAAACTACAGGGACCGATTGTTCCCAACGGTACTATTGGACATGTGAATGTTCTTCTATTCCTGGATAGAATAAAGTAGAATAGAGGTACAATGCTGCTGCAGAGACAAGGTACTGGATATCTTGTTCGGAGTACTCCGTATACGTATGCTAGATGCACCGGGTCAACTATACCGCGTCACCAAGGCCACGGAGATTGCGGGGGGGGATATCACATGCAAATCAGGCCTAATATAGAAAAAATAGGTGGGAAATTTCTTCATTTTGCTCACAGGGTGAGGAATTAAGTAAGAGAAGAGAAAGAAGGATTGATCAGAAGTGAGACCACAGGCCTCGTGAGAGGAGAATGACATAGAAAAAAAAAAGGTAGCAGGTCTTTCGGAATTTTGAAAAAGAAAAGTCTCCAGACAGGAGTGAACAGCCAAAGGTAAAACAAATCCCAATCCGTCTATTTGGTAGCGCCAGAGATAAGAAAAATCAAAACCAATCCGACACCGTTGATGCCCGCAAGCCAGAGTAAAAATGCACAAGTCTATATCGTTTCGTGGCGCGCATAACATAAGTTTTCAAGGCATAAAAGTTGTGAGTTAGAACCGGTCGGCCAAGTCCCCGCCAGCAACGGAATTGCTAGCTGACGAGTTCATGGAGGAAAACCCGGCCGCGGGGTTGAGCATGTCCTGCACCGCAACCTTGGGAATCTGGGGCACAGGCAACTTGCGCTGCGTGCCGTCGGGTTTTGACATGATATCGGAAATGGTGGGGCCCATATGACCCTGGGTCGGGCTGTAATAGTTGGGACCTTCCGGTTGGGGCTCCATAGGCGCCAAGGCGGGAGTGTGCTGAAGGGACAGGTGACGAATGGAAGGCAGATGCAACTCGCTGGCACCGAGAGGGCGCAGACGGGGCGAGTGTGCCGGGGTAGCCAAGGGAGTGTGATCGGGAGTGGGAGAAAGAGAATCGTGAGAGAAAGTAGGAGAAGAAGGAGCGGTGGAGTTGGGGGAGTTGGGACGAGAGCGCTTGACACGGTGGCCATAGCCGTCATCATCATCGTTGGAATGCGAACGGGTCATGCTCTGTGAAATCGCATACGCGGAAAGTGAAGGAAGACCACGGCTAGTGCCGTGATGACGGGAGCCAAACATTTGGTGTCCTCGAGAGCCGTGGAAGCCCATGTGATCATCACGCTCTACTTGCGAAGCAGCAGTAGCCAGAAGGTTGATGTCCATTCCGGAAGAGGCGCGTTCAGCGGTGCGAGAGTAAGGACCCAAATTTGAGCGCATGTGATTGGCGTAGTTGGAGAAGGAGTGGGGAGGCGAAACATCCGGAGATCCGACCTGCGAGACTGGAGCGGAGCGAGTGATGGGCTTGCTCGGAGGGGGCATCATGTTGGCAGCGTTGACCATTCCAGTATCCTGGCCTGCAGCGGCTGCGGCAGCTGCCAAGTGCTGAGCCTTGTTACTACGGCGCGAGTTGGGATTGTTGTGAATGCGCGAGTGGCGAGTGAGTTCGTCGGAGCGACTGAAGCGCTTCGTACAACCGGGGAACTGGCAGGCGTGTGGCTTCTCACCAGTGTGGGTGCGGATGTGCCTCGTCTGGTGCTCTAGGCGGTGGAAGGCACGGTCGCAAAGAGGACACTTGTACGGCCGAGGTAGGTCTTGGCGAACCTCCTCATTTGCAGGACGTGCACCCTTCATGAGGGGCGGTAACAAGCTAACTGAAGAAGCCATTGAAGAGTCTCCTGGAGTCGATGGTGTCGAGTCGGGAGAGGATTCGTGAGGATTTAGTAGATTTGAAAACCCCACTGAAGTAGCCGGTGGTGGCATGTGAATTCCCCCAGAACGAATTTGGATTCTGAAGGGGTCGATTTTCTCGCAGGGGTCTCAAGCTAAGGTCGATCAAACACCCGGTTGGGAATAAACGGTCGATCGGGATCGGGAGATGCAGACAAAATCCTAATAGCTTAGGAAGTTGACAATAGTGGGGAGATATAAAGCAAGAGGAAAAGAAGAGGAAAAAAGAGAACCTGGAGACGACGATCTGGGGAGTCACAAATAATATATGGAATGGAGGGGGAAGGGAGAAATCGGGGAGAAGGGGCAGTGTCGGAATCGGACTTGGAGAAAAGAAAATTCTGAAAAATTCACCAAAAAGCAAAAATTTGAAATTGAAAATTGAAAATTAAAAAAAAAAATTGAAAATTGAAAAAAGAAAATTGAAAATCGAAGAGATCAGGAAAACTAAGTGTGGGGGAGAGAAGAAGGGGGCAAAAGAGGAAAAGTGGGAAATTTTGGAATTGAAAAATTCATGAAAAATTACCAAAGGGGAAATTTACAGAAAATTCAAATATTTTTCAAAACAAAAAAAAAGAGACCTTTAGTCAAGTAGAAGTACGATTATCCTCCAAGGTAGAACTTAACCATGAAGCTATTAGTCCTAATATGTGTCATTATCCTAATACCGTCCCATATACCCCAAAAATGTAGGGGAAAAAAAAGAACCAAACTACGTAACCGCATCAAGCAAAAATGTGGGGACTCGCATTTTTCCTGAAGAACCGTGTGGCGTGAGGTGCGTGTCCCTATCCGGCTATCGCGCCTCTGGAGAATTTCTTATCAGAACATGGGGGATTTACCAATTTCTACTGGCTCCTACTATGGCCTATCTTTGGAGAGAATAGATGATATAAAAATGATGGCATGCGGAGAGCGGATGACGAGCAGAATCTGGGGAATCCCCAATGCTCCAGATTATAAAATCATATGTACTCCATACTCCGTACTTCGGACTACAGTATAAAATCCTGAGATACTCTGCAAAAAAAACAAGGACTCGGAAGTCTGGGGGTTGCTGTCATTTCAGGTCGGACCAGTCCAGACCCATGTACAATGGAGATCCTGCGGACCATCTGATCCTGTCACGGAGTGACGATAACGAGGATCATCGATGATGTCGATATCTGAGGTGCAACTATTCGTTCAATCTGATTGTAATCATTTAGTCACGCGTAAACAACACAACAAATCAACAGGTCATTCTGTGCAACTTCTGCGGCTTCATCATCCGGAGGAATCATCTCCCCGAACCCTACAATGGCGTATAGAACCCTGCAATCATCCACTCAGGTTCGCCGACAATCCCCCGGATTCCGGGGGTAAAGATATCATTTTCTATTCTGGTTTGTTTTTGTTCTTGTTTTAGGTTCATCTTATTAACACACCTCCTTAATTGATTATCATACGATAGAGCGAAGGAATAGCTCTGATAGGCGCGGATCACTCGAATTATTGATAGCCCTGATGCAGCTACCATGCAGCCGCAAAGCCGCGTATCTTGACAAAGGGACCAAAGATGCCAGTGTCAGCCCCTGCACAATGAACACTTGGCTGCATTCCTTGCGCAAGAAGACAGTATCCCCGGCCCCGCCAAGGCGCCCAAGTATAGCAAGTGACCAGGGGGCGTAGATTTCCTTTTCTTGGCCGGCTGAATCTCAAATCGAGGGTAATAACCGGGGGTCTGGGGCCCCGGTTCTTAAAAAAAAAAAAAAAAAAAAAAGATAAATCAAAATATGTATGTTCTCCGTCCGTGTTTGCTATTCTTCTTTCTGTGGCACAGGTGCACGCTTCTCTACTCCGTATCTGATACGGAGTACACAGGCTATTTTCACCCGAAATTCCCCGGAAGATGCCCACCAAAGGGCCGAGGCGCGGGATGAACGGGATAAAGAAAGAGACGCCCACTCGGCAAGGCCGTCCCACCGTCCGGTTGCCTTTTTCCGTTATCTTTGGGGTCCGGGGTGAAGGGCTCCGAGGTATCTCGAGGGACCTCGGGAATATTATGTCACAGCAAAATATATACACGTACGGAGTACTGCCTAAGCACCTTTACCCTATTGTATACTGTAAGATTGATGCCACATATCCACTCCGTATGTTTTATATTGTACATCCTCAAGTCCAGTGCAGGGACCCTTAGTGGCAGATCTTAGGATTTTTACCCTCGGGAAAATTCAACCGATCCCCACAGTTCCCTGGGGATATTGACTTAGGTCCCCTTGGCAAATCAGGACCAATTTAACAGACAAAAACCGCAGACAAAAGATAACGGAGCTTAGTCAATGCCCAGATTGCTATGCCGGCCCGACTACCGAGTTCGTACTTTTGAGGACGGGGATCTCGAAGAAATCGCACAAATCCCTGTTCCCCTGAATTTTGGGGAATAAAATGAGCTGACAGATATACCCGATGGCAGTCTGTCGTAACCTGGAGTTCTCCATTTTGCTCCACGGGGAATATGGCACCATGCTGGAGAATGTCCGGACTCGGTGTGGCAATCTGCAGTAGATAGCCTGATCTTTTTATTATTATTTTCTAATTTTATTATTTTATCCAAGAAGCAGGTACCACGCCTATAAGCAATTACCCGCTTTTTGCCGATATTTGCGACGTGTACAGGGTCAATAGTACGTACTCCGTACATTTGGTAGTTAAATCATGAAACTCCCTAGGATGTGAGGTGCTTATGTTTCAGGTGACGAGTTCCCTGCGATATATTACATGAGCTCCGTACGGAGTACACTTGATATAGAAATCGAGATATATCTACTCCGTACCGAACAGCAGACAGATCGGATTCAAAGTCGCGACGCATTGCCACCCCCCGAACTCGTCTCACTTGCCTAGTCAGGTCTCTACAATCGAAAGATCCGCAAAGCTACGAGCTACTCCGTACTTCCTTTCTAGGTGCATAGATAGTCAAGGGTGGGGGGGGAAAGCCCCAAACCGGTAGTTCCGATTGCCGCCCCAAAAACGCAATATCGCCACGATAGAACCTCATCGCACAAAACGATATGATCTTTTTTTTCGAATGAGTTGATTAAGCCAGTCCAATACCCGGTGATCACCATTGTCCAACAGATAAGTACTCCGTATCTCCCTACCCCGCAATCATGAAAGGCGTATCGCTTTGGGAGAAACCCGAAACCGACAGGAAACGATCTGCAACTGACATCTCAATCTTGCTGCCAAATCTGCCTTGATCGTCACGATCGCCCGTAGGATTGGATTCTCCGATATCGCTGTCGTCATGGAGGCGTCTCCCCACAGGTCGATCTATCACGCCATCCGGGGAAAGCTGGCAATCTAGTACATATGTATCCCGTATCACGGAGTATACGAGGGTACTTCCTTATAGCTTTGGGAGCATGCGCACTTGAATGTACCGTACTCATATGGAAATTGGATTCAAATCCATGATACTCTCAGCATTCCTCCCACTTTTCTTCCCGATAATGCTGATCAATCCCATTATCCTGGCATGCAGACCCGCGCACAGGGCGGGTACGTCGATCCTGGATGGGGAAAAGAAAAAAGCAAAAATCAGTCCTACAGACAAAAAGCAATGACTAAGAGAAGAAAATGCGAAACAGAAAAGACAAAAAGCAAGGGAAAGAAATAAAAAAAAAGTCAAATGCGAGACAGAACAGAACAAAAATGCTCAATTAGGAGCGTGGAGATCCCCCCGGACTCTCTCCGTTATCAGTCCGGAGCCTCGCTGTGCTCCGTGTGGAACTCCTTTTCCATCCGAGCTCTTTCAGATTTGGGATTCAACCCTTGAAGGTGCCTATATTCTTAGTCAAGATGTCACTAACGACCAGTGATATCTATTTCTAGTACCTAACAGTTCGCTATCAATACCCCCGCATACCCCCAGATCGTCATGATAGCATTGGGGGCTCGAGAGGCAATCACTTTCATAATTCTCTATTATTCACACCTGGAACACGGGATTAATCCTGGATATTATTAACCCTATGCTGTGAAGTTTTCCAAGCGCCGAGGCAGGGTATGAGTTGGAGTCTGGCCGCGACCGTCCCTTTCAGCCCATACCCCCTTGCTACATGAGACTTCACACAGTTCCGGTACTCGCGACTCGCTACTGGCTGTACCACATCCAACACGGTGTGAGTCATGACGTGCTCACGTCTCAGCTCGAGGAATATTCAAGGTGAAAGCGCCTAACGGAAAATCCCAAAAAAAGGAAAGAGTGACAGGTCAACTAATCACCGGGGATCGACTCATCTTTCGCGCTCCGTTTCCAATCGTCCTGGCGCCGGGGTTTTGTCTCCTGTCTTGCTGCCTGGAGACTGAAACCCCTTCCAATCCGAGGCGCCACCCGTCAGCAAGACAAAGACGTAATTTACCCAATGCAAAAAGCGGGAACAGTGAAATGATTTCAGGGGATAATGGGGTATGGTTGTACTCCGTGGTATATTCCGGAGTAGAGTTCCATCCAGTCTCAAAGGTGACATTCGGTTATTCTTGGCAGGTCTCGATGCGGGGAGTAGTTTAAGGGAGAATCCGGGGTAGGGTTGATTGTGAAGCAACATTCCACAGAAAGGGTAGAGGCCACCTTTCGGATCCAATTACTTGATACAGCATGGGGGCGTATTCAACCTTTTTGTAAAAAGACACCTATGCTTTGAGGAATTCACAATGCAACCCACCCAGGCGTTTTCCATGAGATTACATAATGCATTTCCTAATCCAGCCACCCTTCTACCTAGGTAGGAAACCCTTTATACACACTCACTTTCCTTATTGCCCTCTCCTTTGCCAAGGCGAGTGATCAGCGATCCACACCTTCTGGAACAAACTCAGCCCCGGCACCCAATAAGCGACGGAAATGGCCTCACACTGATATCACCATCTGCGGGGCCGTCATTCCGGAGTCCGCGATTAGGCCATTGGTGGAATTCTTACATTTGTCCGGGAGATTACACCCTATCTACACATTATCTGGAGAACATGTGATAGTCTGGGGAATACAAGATAGGGTCAAAAAAAAAAAAGGGGAGAAGGGGGGAATAGTGTCCGTTACCGTGTCTAGTTCCCGGTGAAGCCCCTAATTCCACTTAGCCACCTAGGCGTTTACAGTGGAAAAAAAAATTCTCTCTGTTCAACTCCACTGAGCGATTTATGCTACCCCATATTTGAATACCATAATACAACCCACCAGCAGCCGAGATCAACTCTCGGAACACTATGCCCCCTGTCGCTCATAAGATCCACATTATCACAGTTCCTATAGTCTTGGACGCTATATCCAGGTACCATATGCAGTAGATCACTTAGTTCGAGATGAAATCTCTCGTCCGTTTCCAATGAAATAACCCTAGCCCGGTGAAGAAACAGGGGTAAATAAACAAAAGAAAAGACACTATAGATTAAAAACCCTCTTCTACCCTCTTTCAATCACACAGTAGGATCCGGGGCCAGCAATTTCGCCCCAAACACACACCATAACGGGCGAATCCCCGAGATCGAACTAGGCGGGAGTCCGCTCCGAACCAGCTGCGCTCTCGCTAGCACGTGTATACTCCGTACATAAAAGGGGGGGTGAGAATTTGCATTATTGCATTATAAATCTGAATTATTGGAAATCACACAAATCATACGTACGGGAACTCCGGATTCTTTATTCCCAATTGGGATATCATGAAGCGGGGGCCCAGATCTCCACGGGCATAGTGGAATGGGTTTCACATGTTCTATGTATATGTCACATGCGGGAAACGCGTTTATCTTTTTAACTTCATCCAGGCTGGAATAGGGGAGGTTTTGATAAGAGTGAACTGGAATGCGCCCGTGGCTGCCTCGGTTTCTCCGTGCGGCATACCTTGCATGGTGTGCAATGCGCGTGTACGGAGTACCCTTGGGAAATGGCGAAATGGCGTCATTGGATGGGGGCCATGTGTTTTCTCCAGATTTGTCCACATTGATAAGAGATTGAGATGTCCACAGGTAGACACCCGTGGACGTCTTTCCGAGATCATCTTACCTAAGGGCGGTTATGTTATATGACGACACAGCTCATAACCTAGACCATTCTTCTGCAGGTACCAGACCATGGGAATCAGCCCATAGGGCTGGAGAAATGACAACCCTCGGGTGATGTCGGACGGGACATTCTCAGGCATTTTCCCAGTTGCGGGGCTTAGTGCCGATACGGGTGTCTATCGAAACTCCACGATGATCAGGGGGCGTTTTTTTTATTTTATGGGAAGTTAGGAAGAGGAAGGTGTGCCAGGTCTTGGCTATCCGTTTTCGACGGTGTAGTATAGACGGGTCTAAACGGAGTGGTTTTGCACACTATAAAGGGACTACTTGATGGCAAATTCAAGGAAGGAGAGATTTTTCACGGAGCAAACACTCAGTCTAGTAATAGTAATTCAAAAAGGGGCTCGGTGAGAAGAAAAAAAAATTTTGCTCTTCCCCTGTGTCAGTTCCCGTCTCTGGAGCCTCCCGATTTGCGCAACTCGGGCGAAATTTCTCGGCATTCCCGTGCCGAATCGGCTTGTTTGTCTCTTTGCGTGTCGCCGTGCCGGGTTCTATTTTGTCCCAATACTTGTATGTTGTATTAATTTGGTACTCTCCACACTGCCCGCACCTATTATTATCATTCCATACTGTATATGTTGTATGGTTGGTTTTTTTTTTTTTTTTTTTCCAAGAAAAAAAAACCCTCCTTACTACCGTGCCACCCCGAGATTCTTCCGAGGTTCGGAAGTTGGGGGGAGCCGTGGGATGATCTGGATGCGCCGGACGTACTACCCATGCAGGTAATCCCTAGGCCCTTCCCGTCTCATAGCGCTGTAGAGAATGCTTGTCCTAAATTCTATTATTGCGTATTGTCAGCCTCGGGATGAATGGAAGAGCCTCGGGATAACGGAAGTTCCTCGGATATAGCCGTTAGGTAATTCTTGGGGCATCTCCTGTCTCTTGGATTTTGTGTGTCCAGTCTACTCCGCACATAGCGGTGAGGCTGTGTGGAGTTTCTGAAGTCTGTGTCAAGTTGTGGAGATCTGATAAAATTTACCGTCCGGGTCTGGCGTGATTTTACCCATCTTATTCCAAACCCTAGATTTGCCTCTTCAGCAAAACAAATCTCCAAATCTCCAATGGGATTTCAAAGGTTAAAACAAAGATGTGAGATCAGTAGCTATTCGAATCGAATCATATTGTGTCAAGAGAGAACGCTGAACTATCTCAGCCAACGCTATACATTCTTGAACCTCTCAATGCTCTCTTCAACATGGACAGTCAAAGAAGCCCACCCGACAATCAAATTGCATGCAATAGTTATCAATTTTTTCACGAACTCAAACACAGATCACACATGCTTACTTTGATCTGACAAAAAGATCCCGGAAAGCCGAGGAATCTCGTGATCGTTCACCTCTATAGAAACTACATGACTACATAGATCAAACACCTACCGAGTAAAGGAAACAGACCAATTGGTTTTAAGGTCCCTGTCCGGATTATATGGAGATTCGGACGCATTAACAGTATGACACGCCCATTGGTAAGTTTCCGCTACATATACCTATCTCCAAATGTTGTTCCTGTGAGTGCCGCTTTTGTCCTTCCCTCAGCCCTCGGCCGATACATGACGGTCTTCTCTATTCCCGCTCACCCCGTCTCTTCTGCCATGTCCCCCAAGCTACGCTAGTCGATCTTCCTGAATACCGCAAAGAGGACTGTGAATATCATACAGCAATCTCTCGCACGGATCGTAGGAAAGGAGATCAAAGCCTTCGGCTAGATGGTACATAGATATCTCGAATTGATGTATACCCCCTCCAGCTAGATGCCTAATAAGATTCCCCGCCTTATAAAGAAAGGTACGCGAGGTCACTGTAGTGACACAGCCTAGGAAATAGCACTTCATGTAAATATAGCCACAGCTCCTTCCCTCTATTTGTTCAAATATAATAACACGAATAGCATGAAGCCGCATTCTTAGAAAGCACCCCTCCACAACCCCGGATATATAGTAAATCGATGATGGGTTCGCAAAGAATCTCTACAAACCCCAGAGGCATAGACTTGAGGGACCACTACTATCTCTCTTCTCCAACACCGATCTAGGAACCTGGAGGCAAGTTACCAACTCACACCCCGCGCCAAGTACGAGTAAGTGGGGGTCTTTGGGGGCTCCCATACTCCTCCTTGTAAAGATGGTTCAGTTTGCCAACTATCCACCCAATGATAGCAATCGCGGGCTGCGATGATACCATTTGACTGGAGGCATTGACCCCCTTTTGGATCTGCATACAAGATCGTTGTGGCACATGCAACGACCCGTTTCCAGCGTCTAGGGGGGCAGATAACGTTGTATGGACCACATGGACGGAAGAGGTAGGATGAGCGGGGGAAATATCATATTGTTCTGTATCGGCCGAGAGCCCGAAGAGAGGAGGAGGAAAGAAAGAGAGGCGAGACCGAGCCTCGAGGGAATCGACGTTATAATCCCATTCTGGTTTGGGCAGGTACGATCAAGGCAAGAACGACCTCGGTGTCTGTGGTCATACCGACAAGTATTGTTATCTTGCATGAGAGACGTGCTTGCACAAGACATGGGTACAAACAATTCTACGAATGTTTAAGGCCAACAGCAAATCATGGGCTAGCAGGAGGTTACAATTGCCAAAGCAGCAGTATAGTCACACATTTGTGTGAAAAGTATCACACAAACAAGGTCAGGTGAGAACTCTGGATCTTCAGACTGTAGCGTCTCTAGGACTTGAGGGACCTCATTGAAAATCAATAACTTTGAGACACGGTTGTAATTATATACTGTAGATTGGACATACGGAGGTCTATATCATCTCCCTTGACATAGCAGAATAAGTGAGTTAGGTCCCTGGTATGTCCTTAATATATATGACCTCACTAAAGCCATTGATCATGTTTGGGGATTTATAAATTAGCCTTATCACCCCCGGTGCATTTTATCCTGGTTAGCCTTGCATCGTCACGATGCTTACCTGTCGCGGTGTCCTTGAGACAGGTCTCATTCCATAAAGAGCAGATCTGTCCGCCATATTTGGTAGCAGCCGCACTAGAGATACCACATCCGACGCAATTCGTCTGCGCGTCGTCGAACTCACTCTACAGACATGCTCTGCCTATTCAGGCAGCCACTGAGGCTGACAATCAAACTATGTTTAGGCACCTGCTTTTCAATTCTAGGTATCTCCCTAACAATCTTTTCGCGCAGCTCGAATGGTTAGTCTCCCACCGCTGGCGCATATCATAGCCTGTCACAATTTAACCAATTCCGGTGTATAGAAATGTCTAGCACATCGAGCAACATTACGGATGAATTTTTTATGCTGTTGTTACACCTGCGGGAAGTAGTACCTATTTAGGAAATACTCTCCGTCATTACGGAGTACTCCTATCTCTGATTTTCACCTCAGGCACACTGGAGGCAGAAATGACGTTTCTGCCACACCCGGCCGCCCGGGGAAATGAGAATCTCAAGTGTCAAGTCCAGTCTAAGAGCACCTTCCACCCAATCTACTTTATACAGCGAGTCTCTGTATGATTTGATCCTATCAGCAACCCCTCAATCCAAATCCTAGACATTGAACAACACCCCCATTCCAATATCCCTCCAGCCTCGAGCTCCGGGACGCAATGGCACCCCCGCGCCAGCGCACTACAGCTATCGTGGATGACTCGAGGTCCGAAGCCTCGAGCGGCACAAGAGAATACCAAAAAGGCACCAAGTCCCGCAGACCAGCTGCTGCAAAAGAGAAAGCCGCAGTTACCAGCGCACCCGTTGTGGACAACCAGCACGTCGAAGAACAGCCCCGAGTATGTTTCATCCCAAGTGAAAGATATTGATCAATCGCAACTCTACAACACAACAGACTTCACAGACCATAAACTGATCTCATTTTTCTATCCTTAGCTCCCATGGACAGACCTCCCCCTCGAAATCCTCCACTCCTACCGTCACGTTCACAAACTCCCCACGCCCTCCGCCTTTTCGAGCGACTACTCCCGCATGATCCTCTCGCAAGGCGTCGGTCTTCGCTCGCCAACTGCCCTCGCCGCCCGCCGCGCCCAATCCACCTCATCTCAGATCCACTCCAATTCTCACTCCCACCGAACCCATACTTCGTCGGACTCCCTCTCTGACTCAAACTCAATGCTGCGCCGCACTGTCGGCCAGGACCGCGTGAGCAAAGATCAGTTCGCGCTTGTTGTCCGGAAGCACTTCAACAGCGCTGGTCTCTCAGAGCAAGAAACTATTGCGCGGTTTTTGTATACTGTGCGTGAGGACAGGAGAGGGAGGCAGTTTCGATTGCGGTTTCAGCCGTAAGGTGAGGGGTGAGTGTCCTGCTTCGGTCTCTGGTCCTTTTTTTTTCTCCTTAGCAATAAGGAGATTGGGCTTATGTGTCCCTGAAATTGAGCTGGGGCTGTTCTACTTCTTATTCCGCCGTTCTGGTGTTGACCTGTCCTGGTTGACGGTGCACTCGGTGCGGTACGGTGAACATACATTGCGTGTGTGGTTTGTTGGATTACCTTGCTTCGAGGATCAGGCGGCCTGTTCTCTTTGATATTAAGATACCCATTGGCGTTCAGTGTGTTGATCTTGGTTGTTTTATCTTGATTTCTGGGTTTGCGAGTCGGTGACTCCTTTCTTCTACTATTTATACATTGCATATTTCTATAACCGACATTATCATATATTGTGGTCATTCCTATCACGTAGAATGTTTTGGTATGCAGTCGTGTTGGTGGAAAGATATATATGGACTTGTCTTTCCGGTAGCACACACATCAACACCAATTATATATATAAAGTTAAAGTTGCTCAAGAAAGCATCCATCGAATGACCACATGAAGTAGCCATCAACGCACCTAAATGTTGGATGATCCCATCTCTCATTGCTTGCCTGCTGGCAGACTGAGCCTGTGCTTGATAGATGCCCTTTCTATAGATTGAATGATTGGGATTGCGTCATTCTCTTGCTTTTCAGCCGTAGAATGTAACAGTAGCTAGGTAGGTTTACATCATTGTCGAGAAGATGCAGGGCAACGTGCTGAAGAAGCCTCAACTGAGAACGCGGGATACTAAGTGCCGGTATACGTATAATCCATTTATCATGTACATAAGAGCATGCATCCTCTCCAATAAGCAAAGATGGCAGAAAGAACCGATGGAATCAAAAAGAACATGAGAACAGGACACAGGCCACCCTGCAAACGAAGCGGTTCAGACAACATAATAAAGACTTGTGAAATAGCAAAAAAATAAATCGAGGGCGACCTCGAAGAAAAGTATATGCCTCCTTTCCAGCTGCTCTTTTCAGTACATGTTCTGTGTCCCATTTTGTGAACTAGATCCAATCAAACCTCACCCAGGCTACCCTGCCATGTCGCTAGTATGTATGGGAAGTCGGGTTTATTTCCAGGCGTTGAGACCAGCCCATGGATTGGCGGAAGAATTAGACTGTGACTGTGGCTGCGACTGCGAAGGGGTTTTGTGATGTCCGTACTGTCTGCTCTGTGCATAACCACCAGGACCAGAGGGGTATGTACCACCTGCTGTAGGAGGGTACACTGTCTCCTTGGGGAGCGGTGGAGGTGGAGGCGGGATGTAGCCCTGGGGAGCCATATAGTGCGATGCTTGAGGGCCAGCACCAGGAGCCGGCGTGCCAGAATTAGAGTAGCCACCGTATGGGGTCGGGGTCTGAGAAAAGAATTGCTGGTTCGGAGGTGGGGACACGGGAGTCTGGTAAGGATATGCCATGGGGTTGTAGCCCTCGGATAAGGGAGCTGCAGCGCCTTGCTGGAAATGCTGGGCTTGGTAAGCTCCTGGACCACTTCCTATGTACTGCCCGTAGGGCGCTGGGGAGTGCGAGGGGGGTACGCCGGGCATTGTAGGCGGGTAGCGGGGTGACGGCTTTGGGGATGGACCAGTGGTTCCATACGCCGGCGTCTGAACGGGCGGAGGTGGTGACTTGACTTTCGAGGGCGGTTTTGCTGACCCCGTGGAGAGTAAATTCGAGGAGCTCTTAGGCTCCGTTGAGAGACGCTCCATCAGTTGACGCAACTTCTCTCGCTCGCGATCTTCTTGTTCTGAAACACCGCTGGATTTGTCGCGATTGTTGGAAATTTCAGAAGTCTTGCGGAAACTCTCGAAATTTTGGGCCATTCCCTTCTCGCGCTCAATCTGACTAAGAAGCTGTGCACCTTCTGATCGGCGATTGTCGATGAAGGTTTCGACATTCTTGCGAAGACTATCGATGTTTTCGCCCATGTCCTTGTAGAAAGTTCGTGCTTGCTTGATGCCGGACGAGAGGCCATGGAATGCCTCGTAGACCTTCTTGTATCGAGCTAGGACGGAATTGCGTTGTCTCATGATAGACTCGTACTTTGAATTCTCAGACTGAACTCTTTTGTCTTGACGAAGCTTATCATACGCCCTTTTGAGATCTTTCATTAAGGTGTTTTGTATCTCCTCCACCTGCAGAAGTCTTTTTTGATACGGTTCGAACTTTTCCAACTTAGTTTTGAAAAAGTCAGATTCTCGGCCGACAATTGTCTTCTGATTTAGAAGACATTCTTTCGTGATATCATGTTCGTGGACCTGAAGCACGGATAGTCAGAATGTTGTCGCCGATAGATACAATAGGATGCTCACTTCTTTTTTGAGATTTGAGAGACAAGTGGACCTCTCCACCTGTACGGATTCCAGTTTCTTTAAGAACCAACCCACCTGGGCAATCTGCTCTGCAACAGAGTCGCTGCCGTCATCATAGACATCATCTAGAAGATTACCTGCGGGCGGACTGGTAACACCGTTTTTGCTCTTACCCTGCTTCGAACGGGCTTTGTTCAAGGCTCGCTGGAAGAGAACGTCGGCCTCATCTGTTTCTCCGGCAGATCGCATCTCATCAAAATCGCTCTCATACTGCCGAAGCGTGGAAGACAACTGAGAATCACTCGCGCTGGCTTCATTGATAGTATCTCGATATGATCGGACATCCCCTCGGAGCGTAGTATTGAGTCGAGAGCTTGGTTGCTGGCTCCAATCCGCTCCATACTTTGAGCGCATCTTCTCACATACGCTCTCTTCCAGATCCAGCTGCTTCGAGCACTGATCTAATTGGGATAGCACTTCTGCTTTGCGATCCTGCAATTCGCTGAAGGCCCTCTGGAAGGAGTTGTGACCAGCAAGTTCTGAACACCAGCGACGGAAATCCTGGTCCACTGACATCTCTTGGTTCAAGCCTCCCTTCCAGATTTCGAGAATGCCTGGCAGTTTGAGGTCATCCAAGTAAGTGAGCATCACAGCCTTGACCTCCTCCGCCTTATTATCCTCAACTCTAAGCAACTTGGCCTTCTCTTCGTCGTAAAGGCTGACGGTCTTGGTTACACTTTCAGGCACCAGGCCATCGAAGATATCTGGCCCAATGATTTGCTCAATATCTTGTCCCTGGTACAATTCGCTAACCGAAATCGCCTTGGCAGCAGTGACCCTGGCAACTGGTGACAGGCCAGCCTCATTGGGCACTGGTTGGTGATAGATGAAGTCATTGTCTTTGACCATGGTGGTAAGTAGAGCTTGCACATTTGCTTGATTATGCTTGATAAGGTCCAAGAGATTAGAGCCCGAATCTGCTGTCAGGCTGGTGTTCGTTGGAGGAGATGAGGGGAATGACTTTGCCCAGCTTAGAGCAGTGGCCGACTGCTTATCAGCCATCTGTAAACGAGCAATGGCAACCCCATAGGATCCGCTCTCACTGTCTGTAATTGCTTGATAATAGGATGCTACTGACCCCATATATGCTGCCTTGGCCTGTATAAGAATCGTCCAGACCTTGTCAAACACATTCTTGTCGACCGAGTTTTGCATTTCCCCAATAGCCTGTGAGTAGAGGTACGATGCCTGTGCAGCCAGCTTGGCCAAGAGCCCAGACTTCCTCTGATCCGCCACTTGTTTCTCTAAAAAGACCTCTTGGGCCTGGGCTAGTGTGAGGTGTACTAGTATCGTGATAGTGTTCCTGTTCAGGTCGGTTGATGGCGCATGGTCGAAATGGCTATTGATATATGTAAACATCCCGGCGGATGCCTGGAAAGAGTGGTATGCAGTCTTCAGACCGGTATCGTCAGCGCGGCTCTGGTTGGCAGCATGGCAAGATAGGAGGGCGGCGATGTTAAAGATCATGGATGCCTTTTCGAAGGCTCGGGAGAATTGAGAGGTGGGTGTATGAGTAAAAGCATCGTACCTAGAGGACAAATACATAAGCACAAGTAGAGTACACATATGAAGAAATGCCCCTACCATGTGAATGAGACGTTGTTTTCATCGATAGGAAATCTGAGATCTAGATTCTCCAGTTGACCGTAGTATCGATACAACACGTCACGGCTGATAGCGGTGTCTTTCCCTACGTCCCTCATATCTTGGCGAAGCCGGTTGAGAGTCGTACATGCTTGAGTGTATTGCTCGGGATCCTTGCGATGGACTTGTCGAATGTAATCCTTTAGGGGCTTGATCCAATCAATCTCGTTGGTCTGCTTCAGCGGACACGAGAGCATCGGCGACTGAGCCATTGTCGGATGGTTGCAAGGGGTTATACGCGCCCATCTAACGACACGAGAACTGCTCAAGAGAAAAATGCAAACCGCGGAGCAGGGATGGTCGGTGCTCCGTGTCTGAGGGAATCGGAGTCAAGGGCTGTGTGTGGGTGTGGGGTAAGGGAGGCGGAACGTCAGCGCCTGATGGTCCCTACTGTGTCAATGACGTCGGCCGATTAGGTGTTCTCCGACGCAAGCAGCTTAGAAGATAGCAAGGTAATGCGAGAATTCTGAGAAAAGAACAGAGTTGCCTAGAGTATCCTAAAGTACTGAAGTTTGTGTAAGAGGGAGACGTCGGAAGTGATGTCTGTGACCGTGCTTCAATGGGCGGCAAACCCCCAAACAACCGGCTAAAATATAAGAGTACACAGTCATTGAAGAACAAACATTCGAGTTTCAAGTAATATGAGATAATTAATGAATGAGAATGATCATAGTACAGTCAGAAGTGGAGAGCTTCTTGGACATCTATCACTCGATAATAGTAATACAGTATTCTGCCCCCCAAGACCTGGGCAGAACAGGTCCCCAATATCGCCGGCGCTATGACATGGGTGAGGTAAATACAAACGGATATAAAGTACATGCGGATTTACATTTTTTCAACTCGACTTCTTCGAGCCATCCTTGCTAGCATCGCTGCCAGCATCCTTGTCTTCCGTGTCCTTGGTGGAGTCTTTCTTGTCAGTCTGCGATGGTTTGGAAGAATCACCATGTTTCTCTGTGAGTCGATGCCAGACAGACTTCAGGAAGCCTTCGTTTTTGGCCGCGTCGTCGGCGCTATCAGAAGCAGAGGAGGGGCTGTGAGTGTGACTAAATTAGTACGAGAGTCGACATTGACCATGAACAGTGTATCTTACCTATCCTTGTGGAAGTTCATTGTCCGCTTCGCTGTCTTGTCGTTCATCTCATCCGCGAGGACTTCCAAAATGGTGCGCTGGTTGCCTGTCAAGTACTTGGGCATGGCAACCTTAAATTCGACCTTAAGATCGCCATTGGGGGTGAACCCGCGACTACGGCCACTAAGCTTCTTCATGCCCATTCCTGACAAAGTGATTCGGTCACCGGTACCCGTACCGGTGGCAACCTTGACCTTCACTTGATTGTCGAGAGTGGGGATGGTCACCTCACCACCAAGAATAGCAGTGGTGAGGGGAATTGAGGCAGTATAGAGAATATCGGAGCCGGAACGGCTGAAGCGATGGTCGGGGGCAACTCGAATGGAGACGTAAAGATCACCGGGTTGGGTGCGAGCACCAGGGGGGGACAGCTGTTCCAGTTGGCGGGGAGTCACCCTCGCCGGTCACCCGCAGACGCATGCCATCTTCGACACCGCCGGGGATGTCTACCTTGATAGTCTTGCGCTCTCGGGTCACGCCACTTCCATTGCAAGGGCTGCACTCTGACCCGCGTGGAACAGACATACCGGCACCTCCACATGCGTCACATGTGGCGGCGACTTGGAAGCCTCCCTGCATGAGATGAACGCGAGTACCGGTCCCGTTGCACTGACGGCATTGGGACCGCTTAGCACCAGATTTCAATCCGTCACCTTTGCAGGTTCCGCACTTAGTCAACGGGGTGATGACGATGTCCTGAGAGGTGCCCTTCGCAGCATCCATAAACGAGATGTTTGTTTGCACCTCAATGTCTTCACCGACCAAAATCTGCTCCTGGAAAGGGTTGCGTCCTCCCCGGGGTCCACGGCGCGCTCCTCCGGTAAAGGCTCCAAAGAGATCCTCAAAATTGATGTCGCCAGAGAAGCCTCCGCCAAAGCCACCACCACCGCCGCCGAAACCGCCGCCAAAGCCGTGGAATCCTCCTGCACCAGAGAATGGGCTGCCGCCAGCGTTTGGGTTGAACCCGCCATTCTGATCGAAAGCGGCAGAACCATACCGGTCGTAGTTCTCTCGCTTCTGGGCGTCGGATAACAATTCGTAGGCTGTCTGGGCCTCGGCAAACTTGTCTTTGGCCTTAGCGTCCTTGTTAGTATCGGGGTGGTACTTCTTGGCTAGGCCATAGTAGGCCTTCTTGATGTCGCCGGCGGATGCTTTCTTATCCACGCCTAAGACCTTGTAAGGGTCGGGAACAGCCGCAAGAGGAGAGGTAGTGTGAAAAGCCTGTCAATGAAGAAACATATGTTATTTAGCGAATCCGAAGCCTGAAAGCCCATACAGACGACATACCCTAGCCGATATCACAAAAGATTCGTTTCTCTTGCAAGCGCCCTCCCGGAGACGCCTAGCCGGAGAAGAAGAGGCAGTTGCATGATAGTTTCTTTGGGTGGACGAGTGGCCATTATTGCTGGAAGTCTGCTTAGAACATTGTCGCTGGGTTCGCAACAGACGCGCGGGGAGAGCCGCGGCCTTCGGAAATGCCGTGGACGGATTCATGGATAGTAATAGCCGAACAATGGTTGGACGGCAGTTGTGGTTGCCAGGATAAAGGGGGGATATGCGAGGGAAAATGATTAAGAAAAAAGAATGACAATTTGAACAGAAAGAATGGTTTCAAGAGCACCAATGACGTTTCGATCCAAGTTAAGCTCTTCTCCGGATCACAGAAGCTTCGAGTTCTTTTGGCAGCGAGAAGTTCATCGGAAAAACGTGTGACCGGACGATGATGAAAGAGTTGCTTACCGAAGCAATGGTGCTCCGACTACGGAATTCCAGCTTCCACTCTACCTGGTTGTATCTGATTACTTATTGCTGTCTTTTTACAGCTGTGCCTCGGGTTATCACGGTTCTTGACTGTATCTTTCTTATTTCCCTCACTTCATTACCCGGGCGTCCACCTCATACCTAAGGAGCATGCTCCGCGGCCAGACCCTCCCCTGGCGAGCTGTGCTCCATCAAACGCCACGACCTCTCCTCCTCCGCCCGTTTCTTGCTTCGCCAAGGTATAATGCAACTTTTCGATCAACATTAAGCTCAGCCCGCCTTGGTGATTCTCTTCCCTCGTCTTCCCGCGCCTTCTCTGCGAGCTCCATTCGGCGGAGAGAGAAACCCCCACCAGACGACCCTAAAGACAAATTGGAAGAGAAGGAAGGACAAGAAACCAGTCAGGATAATAAGCAAACGGAGCGAGTCCCTGAATCGCGGAGGAAGGGTACAGACTCGGGGAAGAATGTTCCTTCTGCAGATCAGACAGCTCCCGCGCGGAGAAAGGACCGGTCATCCGATAAAGAGCGCGGAGTAGAAGAAGAAGCCAAGAAAGAAGCCAACGCATCAGATGGAAAAGGAAACTCAAATGACACACCATCGCCCATCCCACCAAGTGATGGCCCGGCCGACTCCAAACCCAGCGGCGCAAGCAGCGGTGGTAGTAGTGGCAATGACGATAGTGGGAAGAAAGGCAAGAAGGCCTCCGGAGAGAAGGCTTTACAAAAACCAGCAGTTCCAGACGTTTACCCGCAGGTGATGGCAATTCCCATCGCGAAACGCCCGTTATTCCCTGGTTTCTACAAAGCGATCACTATTCGCGACCCGAATGTGGCCGTTGCCATTCAGGATATGATGAAACGGGGTCAGCCATATGTTGGAGCGTTCTTGTTCAAGGATGACAACGCCGATGGTGATGTGATTGAGAAACTGGACGACGTTTACGACACTGGAGTTTTCGCTCAGATTACCGCTGCATACCCTCTCCGTGGGGAGGCTAGCGGTGTGACAGCGGTTCTCTACCCTCACCGGCGTATCAAGATCTCGTCGCTACTTCCCCCTGGAGAGAACACCAAGGCCGCTACACCTCCACCGGCACCTATCTCAGAAGATAAAACGACTGAGAAGCGCGGTGATGTCGTGGCCAGCTTCGAAGAAAGCGCACCTGAGCCAGCCCCCAAAGATCATTACGAGCCCACATCCTTCTTGAAGAAATACCCTGTCAGCCTTGTCAACGTGGAGAACTTGATTGAAGAGCCGTTTGACAAGAAAAACCCAATTATCCGCGCGGTAACCAGTGAGATTGTTAATGTATGCAAAGAGATCGCGACCTTGAATCCTTTGTTCCGTGACCAAATCTCGGCATTTTACACCGATCAATTCCCAGGAAACCTCAGCGACGAGCCAGCCAAACTGGCTGATTTCGCTGCCGCTGTATCAGCCGGTGAGCTCCACGAGATGCAAGAAGTTCTTGAGACAATGAACATCGAAGAGCGTCTCCCTAAAGCACTTGTCGTTCTCAAGAAGGAATTGATGAACGCCCAACTGCAATCCAAGATTACCAAAGATGTCGAGGCCAAGATCCAGAAACGCCAGCGCGAGTACTGGTTGATGGAGCAAATGAAGGGCATCAAGAGAGAACTTGGCATTGAATCTGACGGAAAAGACAAGCTTGTCGAGAAGTTTAAGGAGAAGGCTGAAAAGCTTGCCATGCCCGAGGTTGTCAAAAAGGTCTTCGACGAGGAGATCAACAAGCTGGCACACCTCGAACCCGCTGCATCCGAATTTAATGTCACTCGTAACTACCTAGACTGGCTGACTCAAATTCCCTGGGGTCAGAAGAGCGTGGAAAATTTTGGCGTCAAGAACGCAGTCGGTGTACTCGATGAAGACCATTACGGCTTGAAGGATGTCAAGGATCGTATCCTTGAATTCATTGCTGTCGGTAAGCTTCGTGGAACCGTCGAAGGAAAGATTCTTTGTCTTGTTGGCCCACCCGGTGTTGGAAAGACCAGTATCGGCAAGTCGATAGCTCGGGCTCTGAACAGACAATACTACCGATTCTCCGTCGGTGGCTTGACCGATGTGGCAGAGATCAAAGGCCATCGACGGACTTATGTGGGTGCTCTGCCTGGACGAATTATCCAGGCTCTCAAGAAGTGTCAGACCGAAAACCCTCTAATCTTGATCGATGAAATTGACAAGATTGGGCGTGGCCACCAAGGCGATCCGTCCTCTGCTTTGCTTGAGCTTCTTGACCCCGAACAGAATAACTCGTTCCTAGACCACTACATGGATGTCCCTGTGGATCTTTCCAAGGTCCTCTTCGTCTGCACAGCCAACGTGACCGACACTATCCCTCGGCCACTGTTGGATCGTATGGAACTCATCGAATTGTCCGGCTACGTCGCAGACGAGAAGATGGCGATTGCTGAAAGATACCTCGCCCCGGCCGCTCGTGAACTGACTGGTCTGAAGGATGTGGATGTGAAACTTGAACGGGATGCCATCGAGGAGCTTATCAAGTCGTACTGTCGTGAGAGCGGTGTCCGTAACCTGAAGAAGCAAATCGAAAAGGTATATCGGAAAGCTGCATTCAAGATTGTCCAAGACCTAGGCGAGGATGTGATGTCCGAAGAAGTGGCACTGACCGAAGCGGGAAAGGCTGCTCAGGAAGAGTCGAAGGAGCATGAGCCAGCGGATCCTGCGCAAGTTCCGATTGAGCCCGAGAAGTCGACCACAGAGATTCCTCGACTGGCCCTCAAGGTTCCCGACACTGTCCATCTCAGCATTGGTAAGGGAACTTTGAAGGATTACGTTGGACCTCCTGTCTTTACCGCCGACCGCTTGTACGATCAGTTCCCCCCCGGTGTCACCATGGGCCTCGCATGGACTAGCATGGGTGGAGCGGCTTTGTACGTTGAATGTATTCTGGAGAACGCATTGAATCACAACTCGCGCCCAGGGCTCGAAATTACCGGCAACCTGCAAAACGTCATGAAAGAGTCTACTCATATTGCGTATTCCTTTGCCAAGTCTGTTATGGCGCGGCAATTCCCCGAGAACCAGTTCTTCGAAAAAGCGAAGGTCCATTTGCACTGCCCTGAGGGCGCTGTTCCGAAAGATGGTATGTGAAATTTACATGTGTGGCATAATCTTTTACCAAATCGGCGGCTAACCATCCAAATAGGACCCTCTGCTGGTATCACCATGGCTAGCGCTTTGTTGTCTTTGGCTCTTAACCACTCCCTTGAACCAACCGTTGCCATGACCGGAGAGTTGACTGTGACTGGTAAAGTTCTTCGCATCGGAGGCTTGAGGGAGAAGACTGTAGCTGCTCGACGGGCTGGTGCAACAAAGATTCTCTTCCCTGCGGATAACACATCTGACTGGCTTGAGCTACCTGAGGTGGGTTATAAATCTATCTATTGCTAGTGACCTTAGCTGACTGTTTTATCTAGAACATCAAGGAGGGTATTGAAGGCCACCCGGTGAACTGGTACTCAGAAGTGTTTGACCTTCTTTTCCCCAATCTCAACCAGGAGGCTGCTCGAACTGTCTGGCAAAAAGCCTTGGCCAAGCCTCAGAAGGGTAGTCCCGAGGCTGACGAAGAGTAGCACGTTGATACCTTTTTGGTTTGGGTTCCCTTTGAGTAATGTCGTATATACCTGTGTTTTACGTTGTATAGCTTTGTGATTTATTATGTACATGGCGTCTTTGTCTTCCGACACGGAATGCATGGTTGGAGTTGAAGGACTGACAGTAGACCTTTTGTTCCCATGTGAGATGTATGGACTAGAGAGCCAAAAAAAAGATCCCTCCACTCCAAACAGTGTTCTAGCAAGCTATATGTATATCATATACTTCGTATGATATAGTGATATTGCCATAATGCAAAGATGATGCAAATATGCGTATATCAAGTAATATAAATCCAGATTTAGTGCTGTCATATAGAGAAATAACAGGGCGTGAACGAAGCCCCCAATCAGGCATAAGGGTCAGGCCGCAACGCATTCTCGAATTTTGATCTGTGCGCCGTTCGATGAATCATAACGTTATTCTAATTTTTTTTTCTCCCTCACCCTTGTGTCCCTTAGAAGGGCTTCTGATTGATCTCCTGCAAGGTCCTTTTGCCTCTAGACATTTGAAGCCTTGCAGCGGAAGCATCTCACCACCGCTATCAAACGGCTGCAGGCGATTCCTTAGAAAAAAAAATTATTAGAGGAAAAAAAACCACTTATACCTAAGAAACATCAGCTTGACCGACACATCTCTCTCCCCCTTTTGCGCCCGCCCTTTCACTTTATATGAGCTTGTGCTGGGCCGGTCTCCCAGCCTCGCCCATTGCAACCCGACGTTGTGCGACACTTGGACGTTGAACCTCGACGTGAATCTTCCAACTCCTGAAACTCGAAAAGAAACTGCTTGGAACTGGTGGGACGAAAACCGTATCAGTGTGTCAGTGCGACGCTAAATTTCCCTGCCCCCTTGACTCTGTCTCAATTCTTATGGCCAGCGGGGTGTTCGAGTCGTTCCTTGCACGACAGAGCGGCTTGCCGTATGGCCATCTCTGTTCCCGACTCCTTTAGCCCGACGCGGTTGGCCTTTCTGGACGACAAAGGCGGAAACCCGCCAAAGCAGAGCATGTGGCACCGGTTGGGTTTGCGAAAATTATGGCAGGGTCGCGACGATCATCGAGAGACATCTGCTGGGGAGAGTCAGGACGAGATTTCTCCCCGCCCTTCGTCTGACAACTCCCGCACCAAACAGGACAACTTGACACGTCGACTTTCGCGAAAAGTTGTCGGTTTACCACGAACCACGCCTTTCAAGCGACAAAGCTCCGATCTCGAGCGACTGGCTCCTCGGGAACCTGATCACCGCCGTGCTCTCTCCGCCGACCGCCGCCCCTTGAGTTCCCAGAGAAGCAGGTCTCCACCGCCAACCGTGGGCCCCAGACAGTCCGCGCCCGAGGTTCAGTGGCTCGGCCCGTCACCCACAACCACGGTCGACGACGGCCCCGAACCAGAAACCGAAACGAACGATGTCCACGAGAGCAACGATATCTTCGAATCTTCGAACCCCTATCCGGAAATGACGACGGATGATTTTGACACACCAGGAGAGGAAGAAGAGGATCGTCTCACAGTTGATTTGGATATGGAACTGGAACAACGGTGGATTTTGAACTTGAGCATGCACTTCCGAGATGGGTCAGAGCGAGAAAAGTTCTTCGTGACGTACGCGGAGACCCCGAATCGATGGCGCCGAGTCACGATCTCCTGCGATTACCACGATGCACCCCCTTATTCACTGGAGCGGGAATTGAAGGGACTACGGTATCAGCGTGACAAGTGTGCGCGCATTTACGAATCCATTCGCGAGTCCCTTCTCGCGATCCAATTCTATGAAGGCGTCACGAATCTCAGGCTCGAGACGAGCGATGGCCGCTTACACGTCCATGTGACAGAGGACGTAAACGAAACAATCCCGTACCCGCCCATCTCCAGTGTCAGGCATTTGGTCAACGCTCCTATCATCCCCGAAGACTCGTTGCATTTCGAATCCCATCTATCCGGCTTTGTCTACAAGATAAACCTGGACGGGCGGTTTTATATTAAGAAGGAAATACCCGGCCCTGATACTGTGGACGAGTTTCTCTACGAGATCAACGCCTTGCATGCACTGAAAGACCGCCCAAGTGTGATCCAAGTGGAAGGAATCGTGATCGATGAGTGGCGAGGTGTCGTGAAGGGCTTGCTAATTAGCTATGCAGAAAAGGGCGCACTGGTTGACATTCTGTACGAGCAACGCGGGCGAACGAGCTTCTCACGACGTGAGCGATGGGCAAAGCAGATTGTCCAGGGCCTCTGTGAGATCCACGAGTCGGGCTACGTGCAAGGCGATTTCACACTCGCGAACATTGTGGTGGATGCAGACGACAATGCAAAAATTATTGACATCAACCGTAGGGGATGTCCAGTAGGGTGGGAGCCCCCTGAAATTGCCGCTAAGATCGAGAGCAACCAGCGCATCTCTATGTATATTGGGGTCAAGACCGATCTCTTCCAACTGGGTATGACGCTGTGGGCATTAGCAATGGAGGAGGATGAACCTGAACGACAACCACGACCCCTTCGACTGGGCGATGACGCGAAGATCCCTGACTATTACCGACGGATAGTGGACATCTGTTTAAGCCCGACTCCGCGACACAGGCTCTCCGCGAAGGAACTTCTCTCTATGTTCCCCATACTACCGGAAGCACGGGTATCAACGCCCGTCCGGCTATTGGAGACCCTTATAGACGACTCCGGGCACTTGCCAATTCGGAGCAACAACTGGGCTCAGCCTCAGCCTCAGCCTGCTGGGCTCGCGCTGTCATTGCCAGGGGGCATGATACAGCAAAACGACCAGTATTGCCCCCAAAAGGAGTTTTCCGAAGACTCCTATGGTGATCTGCATCACCCCATCTTCTCTGGAAACCACGACCTCGTCAAGCGATCAACAATAACTCTTGCAGAATCCAATGAAGACATGGACTTTTCATCTAAGCCATCTTCCTCCTCCACTCTGAATCACCACGAACCTCAGAGTCATGACGGGTACACTGACATATCTGGCCATTTTAATAATGGCCCATTACCCTACCTACCCTTCAACAGTGAGAGCCTAGAAGCTACTCCAGTTTCCCAGACAAGGTCAATGGACAATGGTTTCTACGGCCACCCAATGGAATCACAAGCCTTACCAGATGAATCTGTCTGTCTCGAAAGTTCCTGCATGAACAATCAGCTAAAAACATCCGATGGGGCGACCCACAAAAGTCCTCGGGCTTCCCTTGACTCTGCAATCACCGCACCTCCACACCCGCCTCCAGTCAGTGAATCTCTTGTTGAGTCGCAGCAACGGGAGGTCCTGAAACTACCAAGCCCAGAAGCTGCTAATGACGAGGGTGACCTTGAAACCTCAGCTTTGCCTATTAACCCTACGTTACGTGATTGCGATACATCAAGCGACAGTCAGACCGTACCTTTTTCAATAACTCCATCTTCAATCAATCATGCAAGTCAGGACAATCTGGATCAGCGGTGTGCAAAGCCCACCAATGACAACGATAACCTTGAATCCTCAGTTTTGCCCATCAGCCCTACTTTCCGTGACTCTCAAGGTTCTATCGGCCTTCAGAGCATCCCACGATCGGTGAAAGCACCTTATACCGAGCCGCCAGACCAGAGTTATGTGAATTTACCATGCGCAAACATCGAAACCAAGGCCAAATTTACTGAACCATCGCCCTCGTCGTCATATCTCTCTCTCTCGGAACTACCCATCAGTCCTGCTTTCCGTTCTTCTGGAACTTCTATCGACGCTCTGCCGACCGCTTCATCGCTGAACTCTTTGTCTCTCAAAACGCCAAGGCAGGATAACCTGGATCAATCACACGCAAAACATATTACCCATATTAAGAACGTAGCCACAACGCCATCAGACCCTACATCTTCACAACCTCGCCCGACCTCGCCTATCAATCCTACTCTAGCTTGCTCTAAGCCTTCAGTCGAGCCTACGAGCGCCCCTCCACCGGTGAACTCTTCTTCTATTGAATTAGAGCAGACACATGCGAGTTCACTATGCGCAAACGCCGATATCAAACCCAAATTTACTGAACCTTCGCCCTCAACATCAATCCTGGCCCGCTCAGAACTACCGATCAGCCCAGCCTTTCGTTCTTCCAAGACTTCTATCGACACTTTCAGCGGCCCATTATCACAGGGCCCTTCTCCCATTAAAACGCTAAACCCGGACCATTCGATTGTACCACGTGAGGACGATAAGGCATCCATATCACCGTCAACACAATCCCGATTCTCTTCAATGCACATATCCAGCCTCCGTCATACTGGGGCTTCCATTGGCTCGCTGGGGACACCATTCGCATCAAGTCCATCTGTCGTCGGAATTGGCCTTCTCAGACGGCCATGGGAAAAGCCACCTGCAAATAATCCAGATTTCAACCCTGCGTCGACATTTCAATCAGGGTCCGCCGCATCTCCGTGGGACTCTCGGACTCTGAGAAAGCCAGAGAGCACTATGCTACCGGCCAAATCATATCCTTCCGAACCGCAGAGGGATGAACAGTTGGGCCAATCCAGCCCAAAGACAGCCGATATCAAGGCACAAACAGATCAATCGAACTCCAACTCTTATCTGCTTGGTTCGAAGTTACCCATTAGTCCTGCTCATCCAAATTCAACGCCAAGTCCTACTTATGCCGAGGTCGAGATGGCACGTGCTGTTCATGGGTCACCTTCAAGTCAAGCCAACCAGAGCATTTCGGGCCAGGCGTGTTCTTCCTCGAGTCGATTCTAGCCACCAATACATCCTCCATGAACAACTTTGTGGAGCCTTCCTCCATGGGAAATTCTACACCTCAAAGCAACGCAAGGTCCCTAATATTCTTACAAAACAATCTTGCTACATCGGCCGACCACCCACGACGCCACGACCCATCTCTCCGAACGAGCCCCATATTCGGGGCCGAGCACTCGATACCCTTTTGATTTGCTCTGCTTGTACAGTTTATGCCTCGTCGTTTGCCTCGTGTTGTTTAGCTTTTGGAAGCATTTGCACCGATGGCGGGCGAACCCCTGGAGTCCTAAAAAGTCTTTTGTGTTTTCTTTTCCTTTGCATTTTGGCGGATTTTAATTGGTTTTTGTTCTGGTAGCTCTTATTTTGTTTTCTGTGTCTCCTTTGTGCTGTCTTTTTCCTCTTTCCTTGCTGTTTATTCTATGGTTTATCTGTTTTCTCTTCAGCGGAGGCCCTCGTTCTGCGTTCTGGTGTTTTCACCTGGAAGTCGATGTATATTGATGGGATTTTTTTTATACCTCTTCTTGTCTGACAGGGCTGTATTATTTCTTTTTTCCGTTATCTGGCAATGCAATCATTGGCTAGGACTGGTTTCGCATTCTGACCGTAGATAGCACTGCTGTCTCCTCCCATGGAGTAATGATTTTTTGCTTGATCATAGACAAATTATTCTCTTCATTTTGCAACCAAACAAGACTCAAAGCTCTCCTGCCAAGGCCCTACACTTGACCCTAGTCCTCGTCCAATGAGGACAATCTTGCATTGAAGTGGTTTGGACTGATCCTGGGTGACTATGGGCTCCGCATCTCGAATCTCAAATACATCCCGCACAGCTTGGATGATTCTGCTTGTCCCATCATCCAGAATAAGTATCCCCTTTAACCGATGAACCTCGAAGTCCACGGGGTATGGCTCAGATGAGACCGAGTCTGCAGGCACAGGGAATGTTGTATCCCACAAAACAGAGCGCAGCCATGCATCCACGCAGTTGACCTTATCTGCTGGAATTGGAGGCGTAACAATTGCAGTGGTAGAAATTGCCTATATATAGTTAGAATCACGAGAAGCCCCCCGGGTTTCAATAGGTAGAAGACGGAAGACAATAGAAACATACCGGGTCCATATGGCTATGTCCCTTCTTGCTGAAATCCAAGTCTGCCAAATGATCATAAGCATGTAAATCCAGGACAACACCCTCAATCTGTGGGGTCCGGCTATGATCCGTCACATGAATCTTCGCCACACTGTTGATAGAGGCAACACGATCTCTTACAGCCTCCAGCTCTTGATCTGTGACCAGATCCGTTTTGTTGAGGATCACCACATCCGCATGCGAGATCTGCATATGAGCCATAGATAGAACAGGGCCAGAACCGTGGTCGTGGTGCACGTCATGCGATTCGGCCTTCTCTTCAGGCGCCGGCTCGTCCAGCAAGCGCATGATATTCTTTGCGTCGACGAGGGTGACAATGCCATCTAAGTAAATTGAGCTGCCAAGTCCTTCGTCCATCCAGAAAATCGGGGCAATGTTGCCCGGGTCGGCGAGACCGGTTGTCTCTAGGAGGATGTAATCGAAGGTGCCGCGGCGTTCCATCAATGACTCGATGGCCATTACGCCTGAGTCTTTTACAGAGCAACATATGCAGCCATTCCCGACTTCCATCCATTCAGTGACTTCTTGCCCCCCTGATTTACTGTCATTGGTTTTTCAATGTCCATTGCTTTGTGATAATATAATGTCAGAATGTGAATTCTTGGGCTTTTTGATTGAACCTCTTACAGTCACCGAATTCTGTAATAGCATTAGCAAATTATTTCATATCTGATGGCTAGGCATAACAGACGAACCGTTCATGATCACAGCAATTTTCTTGCCATGTTTCTCTGTCAGGATATAGTTCAATAGGGTTGTTTTTCCCGCTCCCAGGTAGCCTGGTCATTATGTTAGCCTCATTTGATAACTTTGGTCAATATGTATTCTATCCAGTCATACCGGTGACCAGCGTGATGGGCACTCGAGCTGTTGGTTCTTCATCTACCGATGTTTGGCCTGCTGGCATTGCAGACACATCGATAAGCTCCGGAGGAGCATCCTCATCTTCAGATTTGGCAGACATGATGCTCTAGTCTTTAGATGTTAGGTAAATATATAGAAGAACGCAGAGCCTGAAGAAAGAGAAAGCTCGTAGATGCGGCGGATGACGTTGTTGCCTAAAATGGACGTTAGGGCACAGGGCTTGGGCGGTCAGCCGTTGTTATGTTGATGGCTTGTTATCTTCAGCGCTTGCGTCTATGCTCTCAATACTCGACCTTTGCTTTCATTAATATTGTGTACCACAGCGTCTAGCGAACATTTCATTCTTTTGTTTGTTCTTTCCGGTTTCTCTCGTTTCATCTAGCGCCTTCGTTACACTACCATCATGACTGCTGGGGGAGTCTCTCCTTCAAGCTCCCCGCGGCTTCCCAGTCCTCCTCCATTTACTGAGGTTCAAATTGGGCCTCAGTCGCCGTCAGTTGGCGAGCCATTTGGCAAAGACGCAGACCTTCTTGGTGTTGCTATGGGGGGAAATGACGGTTCGACGCGCAGAATCCGGTCAGGGACCAAGTCTGCCAACATGGCATCTGGCCCCCCAGTGATACCCCTTTCGCAGGTTAGTCACTCTTCACCACCTAGCTATTCTAGAGGTTGCTAATAAATGCAGATTAATTCTCCATTCCCGCTCCAGGAACACCTGAAATCTCATTACTACAAGCTTGCGGCCCTGTATCCTAAACTTATGGAGAAGTACGATGTGCTTATGAAGGAGTACGACCAGCAGAAAGGCAAAGCAATCGACAAGGTGGACCCGAACTACAATGCACTTATGGAGGAGTACAATGTGCTTATGGAAGAGTACGATGAGCGAAAGAGCCAAGAGTCTGACAAAGTGGAGAGCGATGTTGCTAAAGAGCCGACGAAACCGGAGAGCATTGCAGAAAAGCTGACAGAACCCCCAAATGGGGTTGATGAGACACATTGGATATACGAGCTGTGCCGCTTCTTCACTATGGAAGTTAATCGTCTGATCCAGGGCTTTCTCGACGAGAGCCCGCCCTGCTCGGCGCAAACTTGCCCGGAGATGCGAGTAGTCGAGTGGCAATATATTTGCGCATTGCACCCCACACAAGCTTGCTGCGCGATTGACTATTGCTGCCACACTCTAGATTGGGCCATGGACACTCTCACATCCAAGACTTTGTTCTCCAGCGGAGCTAAGAAGATAGAATCTAAAGGTGCCAGACTCTTGCCAGATATCTTCCGCCGTCTTTATCGCATCTTCGCACACGCATGGTTCCGGCATCCTGGTGTTTTTTCGAAGGTAGAAAAGCAAGGCGGCCTGTACGTCTTTTTCAAGACCGTTTGTGTTCACTACAATCTTGTAGGGGACTACACAATTCCTCTTACAGCCGGAGGACCCGATGAAGTCGCAGCAGCCCAGAAAAGAAAAGAGACTGAAGAAAAAAAGAAGGAAGCTGAGAAAAAAGTGACCAAAGAAAGGGAAGCGGAGGAAAAAACTGTTAATAGCAGCAATCGCTTCACTATTCTGCGCAAAGACGGTGAAAGCTCATTTGATACCACTGTGGAGAGTCAGGACCCAGCGCTCGTCACTAGCGCCACCACCCGTCGTCACAAACACAGTCCTTCAACGGGCTCGCGTGTTACAACCATTGCGGAGGATGCGGAGGATTCGGAAGAGATTACGCCATCCCTGCTGCGTGAGCCCCCCAAGCGATCGCCCGAACCCCGGCCCGTTTCTGTTTTGGGAATACAAACTAGAGGGGAAGATACTGCCACTGATGAGCAACCTACTGATGTGGAAAAACACACCGAAGAGCCAGTTGAGGAACCCCAGGAACAGCCACTACAGGCACCCTATGAGCAGCTGTCTGAAACACCTGAAGAACAGGGGAAAACTGAGCAGGCTGAGCAGAACGAGCACACTACAGAGCTCGTCTCTGAAGAGTCTGCTACGAACACAGAATTGCCTGTCGAAAAGTGTGTTACGGAAGGCGATGAGAATAAGGCTTGCTGCGAAGAGACTACTTCAGCTGAAGAGCCCGAAGCGAAGATGGAGGCGGCGCAAGAGCCGCCCGTTGCCCCTGAGACTAAATACGAGCCGGAGAAAGACAAATCTTGATATTGACACCCTCTCAAACCTTTCACGTTAATCTCGCATTGATGATAATTCACTTTTTGTATGTTTCATTCTTCATGTTTCCCCATTTTGTTTGTTACCCTTGGGATCAGCGATAAGTCGCAATTCTTCCCAAGGTAAGCTACTGCATACTCATTTTGTAATATAGTTTAGGATGCTGTTTATGGCCAATGTCAATGATACCCATTCTGCTTTGCTTGCTCATTATATTCATGGATAAACATAATGAATGTGTGTATGTCGGTAGTTCGTAGATCTTTCAACCTTGGAAGTTGATATCGCGATAAGCGCTTATCAACATTTCGCCCGACGTCACGGACAGAAACTAACATAACAACCTTCCCAAGTTCAGCTCAACATCCTATACTCAACTCTGAAATGTCAGCTCTCAAAGGTGCCACTGCACCAATCTACTTCGGTCCATTCATTGTCACACCACAGGTAAATCGACCCTTGACCGAGACAATCCCCAATAACCTCAAAACAACACCAACTACACCGGATCAACGTATATTAACTCAACGCATTTGCCTGACTAACGACTCATTCCACCCCCAGGTCTTCCACACAACCCCTTTAACCTTTGCCCTGGTAAACCTGAAACCAATTCTCCCAGGCCACGTCCTAGTCTCCCCACGGCGCGTCGTCCCCCGCGTCGCAGACCTCACCCCCGCCGAAACAAGCGACCTCTTTTTAACGGTGAGGCGAGTGGGTCGCATGGTCGAGCGTGTATACAGCGCTACAAGCTTGAACATCGCCGTTCAGGACGGCGCGCACGCCGGCCAGAGCGTGCCGCATGTGCATGCGCATATTATTCCCCGCAAGGCAGCAGATTTGGATCACGCCGGCGGCACGGATGCGGTTTATGACTTGCTTGATGGGGATGAGGGAGACTTAGGGAAGGCCTTCAAGAATGCCGTTCCTACGGAAGGGGGGTGTCAGTCAAATGGGGCTGTGAACTCGGGGAGGAGGTCTAGGTTCCCGGTTGTGGATAATGACGCGCGCAAGCCCCGTGAGGAAGAGGATATGAGGGCTGAAGCGGACATGTTGGCGCGGGAGATGGAGAATGAGCCTCTTGATTAATTGGGTCCATGCACTTGAGGTGAAGTTCCATGGACTGGCTATGGTTCTAATAGAAATAGACATGACATTTCACTAGCAAGTGAGCCGCTCAAAGAAGTTCTAAATGGGCCCACTGCTGAGGTCGTTGGTGACCTATTGATAGAGTATTGGGAGATCAGGAAGGAAAAATTGTCTCACGCCACGGAAATGATCCGAAGTTCATGCATAGCTGGGAATGCGCTTCCAATTGTCATCCATGACTTTGACGGTCTTATTCTTGATCACCAGTGTTGCTCGTTCTTCAATTCTTAGTAGAGAGGAGGTCTGCGAGCAACGATGTAGCCGTCTCGTCACCGACAAAAAGAAAGATAGGCAAATTGGAATATCACAGCATGGATGAAAGCTAGTACCTAACATTTATTACACTTAACTCTTCGTGAAATCATGTATTCTCATAACCCGTCCTCTATGGTATCTAAAATACATACCCGAAAAAGAAACGCAAAGATGAAAATGAAGAAACAAACGCCAAAATGCAATGGGCTTCTGGAACGATAAGCTCAGGGCATGCCATACTCCCCCATCACCCAATCCCTGCAACTGCGCGCAAACCGCATGCAGATTTATGCTTTCATTGGTCTCTCCTGAATGACCTCCGCGGCCCAGGCCTGAATCTCTGGCAACCGAATGCGCGAGGCGACGTGGGTGAACTCGGTGAGATCAACCTCATTCGAGCGCTCATACTCAACCATCTGCAACAGCAGCTCCATCTTATCGATATCATGCACAAAGTGGGCCTCGAGAGTCTCGTCCTTCTCGTATTCCTCGAACACTTTCTTGATTTCCTCGCCCGACAGAATGCCTCCAGGGACTTTGCCGAGGAGTGTTGTGGTGATGTAGTCCATAACGGAGGCCTCGCGACGGGCCTTCTCAGCCTTAGTGATGTGGTAATCGACCGGAGTGATGTCACCGACAAGCGCCTCGGCCATGTCGTGGACCAGAGCCATCTTCGTGCAGTGCGGAATGTTGATCTTGGCTGCCAGGGACGGCGGGGCCATCATCGTCATGATCGACATGCGGTACATATGGTCAGAGATGGACTCTCCATTGATGCCAAAGCGGCGCCATCCCTCGCGCTTGGTGGTCTTGAGGCGCTCAATCAAGTGGAAGAAGGGGACGGGTGACGTAGTATTCTCCGCTGGACGGTGGGGGAGCGTAGAGAGCACTACGCATGTCAGCTTTGCGGGGTCTATGAAGAGGATTTAGAGACTTACCAGTCTCAGGTGTCCAGGTGGAGTTGTCGGATGCCATGGCTGATATGACTGAAGAGAGCGGAATCTGAGACCCCGAGAAGAAGAAATCAAGACGATCAAAGAGGATAATTGAAGAGAGGAAAAACGGAGAAAGAGAAACAACGAACGCGGGACTGATAGGCGTTGCAAACAGTGCAAACGTTGGTTATCTATGTTTACTCTCAGCCGCCTGTTTACTGGAGTTCCTTTCGACACAGAATGGCTACAACAAGGTCTATTCGGCCGAAACCCCTGGATTGGCCGAGTCCATCGCATTTAGATGTGTTCATTCGCAATTTGAATCTATTGCGCTTAGATCAACGCGAGGATTGGCCTGGCGTATCTCTCCGCACCCTGACCCCGACATCACAGAACCAACGACACAGAACCCGACTGATAGAATGGTCCCTTTACCACCTCTTTACCATTTGGGATCCTGAGGTTTCTCAAAATGTACCGTCACTTGATGTTATCTTACAAGAGTGGACTTTGCTGACGTTCGCCCGCAGAAACTCCGACCCTTCTTCCCCCGTTAGAACCCCTACAGTCTGTCAACCTCCGCGCAGCCTTATTCCGGTGTCTAGGGGAATTAAAGAAGAATGGCGATCTGGGAAGGGAGATTGTTCTTCGAAAAACCATGCTGGATGATTGCAAGGGCGATAAATTCGAGGAGCTGCTCGCTGGCTTCTCCACCGCCGTTCTCCGTAAAGTTGTAGCGGTGTCCGGGGACAAAATGCTTTACAGTTCTGCCATGAAGCTATCCACTGCTACGGCCATAGCCCCAGCCGACTATCAGAATCTTCTGCCGCTTATTCTTGCCCATCAAGTATCTCTCGATTCTGCAGGAGAGCGCCATGCCCGAGTTCGAGATGCTTATCATCGGTTCTCACAGCTGCTAGACGATAAAAAAGACGAGCTTACCGAACGTGCGAATCATGGACCAGGTGGCTGCATGGTTGGTATGCAGAGCGATCCGGAGGGCATGGTGCGTGAGTTACAAACAAACTGGCTGGGCAGCGAGGAATGGGCCACTGCACTGCTCGAAGGCGGATCACAAAGTAGCACGGACGCTTTTCTAGAACATCCTTTTTCAACAGCATGGATGCGGGCAACGGACTCGAATGCCGCCAGGCTCAGCCGTGGGTTGAAGCAGGACCTGGTCCTTGATTTGGAGGCTCGTGTTCTACTCCAACGAAGTCGACTACGCAAGTGGCATGAATACAACAATTCTCTCTCAAAGGAAAGAAGCACCGACGAACTGACCACAGCCTCACCTAAAGAACCACGTGTGCTATTCCGGGATCACCAGTCACTCACAGTTGCTAGTATATCCAAAGCTGTTCGTCAGCCCGGGGATCGCCAGCGAACATTGAAAGGGCCAGAGAAATATCTCTTATCCTCTGTAAATGAAGCCATTTCCCGTATCAACGGAAAATCCCGCGTCAAGCCTGCGGACTACATACCGGAGGTGAAAATAAGCAGCAAATCACAATTCAGAAGCCCATTTGAGATCGTCAGCTCGCCATCGAGAGTGGCAGGGGAGCACCATGCCCCAATTCATCCACCAGACCTGGAAACCTCAGAGCTATACCAAGAGCCCGAGCCCGAGTTCAAACCCAAACCACATTCAGAGTCAAAGCAGATCCAACCCTCCCCTCAAATCGTCCGGCTCTCTCCAGACCTCCCGTCGTCAGGCGAGGAATCAGCCCCAGAACCAATGAAACGCACTTACACCTTGGCCGAGCGCACGCGCAGATCAATGTCTCTCCTTCCACCTGTGGCCCACGAAGCGCCACGGCCACGCCGCAGACCCCGCCCGTCTTTCCCAGTCAACCAGTTCCTGACTCCGCGGAAAACTTCTGCCCACTCGACTCATTCGAGAGATGAAATCTCACGTGCTTCAACGCCGCAGGATCAGCTCTTTGAAGAAGATGCCGAGTACGCGAGCGTCTTCAAGTCGCGGCCGCGCGTGGCGCTTAGTCCTATCTCGTCGCCAGCTGTACATGTCAGTCCCTGCTTTGAGGATGAGAGCTTTGAATTGGATTACGAGGATGGCGATGAGAGTGAGGGTTGTGAGTGGGGAGATGTGGACTCGCCTTTGTCTGCTCCGCGGTTGAGGGGCTAGGTTGTCCATTTATACATACTGCACATACTGCACATACCCAGCTATTCAGTGGAGCTTCGGAAATAAATCGTCCCCAGAGCACCTTGTATTAATGATGTAATTCCAGGCGGAGGTGAGATTGAAGCACGAAGGCATAACCCTAACTATCCAAATATCGGTCCCTCTTTACGGTAGGCAACATAGTGCTATTCAATTCAGTGTGGCATTCTGTAAGATACTAGATACGGCGAAACATGTAAAATCATCTGGAAACAAATATCAATAGACTGTAACAGCTGAAGTGACACCGTGTGAGGTATTAGTATTTTACCAAATTCTGTCTCCGGGGGAAATTTTAAGGCTTTGGTTCAATTGACAAGCTATGAAATCGACAAAATACCCCAAGCTATATAAACCAGAGCATTAACCTCTCTTACCACTTTATTATGACTCAAGACCGGCTGGCCGACTCCTTTTGAACAAGAGTGCTAAAGTTGGCAAACATGCGGCAACAACCCCGACAGAGATCTCAATGAACGACCAAATCCCGGTAAAAACGATATTCCCTACCAACATATTAGATGCCCTTTTCTAAGATCTATGCATAATAATAGGAGAATTCTCACAACTAGTATCCCCAGATTTTGTCTTGGAGATCACGACGCACCGAACAATACCGAAAATGCAAACACTGCGGGTGTCAGTGACCACATACGAGTGCTGATACAGTCTGTATAGTACTTACATTCCTCCTAGGAAGAAGATTCCCATGATTTGGACTTTGCGCTGTGTTTCCATTTGCAATCGCATCACTGGTCGCACTGGCAGAGCCAAGATAGCAACATCTGTTATCACATTGACAATACTGTGGACCAATACACGTTAGCACAAATGGCTGATCTGGTATGCGGCCTTGACTCACGCCAGAAGCTTGAATGGGGTCTCCTTGTCAATACATCTTCCCGGTGTGCCTGTCCAGGTTGAGGATAGGGGGATGCATTGCAAAGAAATCACGAGAATGACCGCCAAATTGTATGCAATGACTATAAGTCCTAGCACACAAGACACTATTCGCAGCCATACTAGCTCAAATATTCGACAATAGAAGAGGAGAATAGAGATTTTCGTTAGCATCACAGTGATTGAGTAGCAAATTACGGAGCCAATATATTCCTATTTCTCGCTAATTAACAAAAGATCAATTCAAATCTATGTCACGTTATATTCACCTGGATAAAGCTCTTCAGGCTCTTGAGAAAAATGATATGTCGGCCCTCGCCATTATCGATTGCCAGTGCCACGATAGCCACATAGGCGATCATACACAGCTATCTCATAGTCAGTGGGCTCTAAGTATGAAAATCCATGACACAAACTGTGGCTAAAAATATCGTCCAGTCGTCAAGGCCGAGCTTTGTTCTCGACCGCAGTCGGCATATAAGACGTGCAATCACAGCACTTAGTGCCAGACTCAACCCACACGTGTACGCAGCGATCTCGTTGGGTCTTCTATCATCTTGAATACTGTAGCTCATGAGGTGTCGATGAACTATACTATTGTAAACTCGAGTAATAAAACAAAAGCATCATATAGCATGGCTGAGTGAAGATATAAGCCCCTAATATCCAAAGGCCAAATGAATGGAGTCTTGTAACTTAGCAGGGGCTACGGAACAAATTTAAAAGCTGAACCTCCGATTTACCTCCGATGATGTGCAGGGCTCACCTTGTAAACTCCCGGCCTGTGTTACACTTTTCTAGTAGACTTCATCGCAGAAATCTCAGTCATGGGAAGAAAGTCTGTCTCAATGGTTATTGATATCACTCTTGCATCTGACAGAATCAGGATATGCACACTATTGGTACCACAAAATCATTTTACCAGGAATCCCTCTGTGGTACTGTGAGATTCTTCTCCGGACTACATCACTATAGAGCATCACGATATGGACCCCAGAGCGGCAAGGAGCTTGTGAATAAATTCATGCATGTGCTACCAATCTAGTATTACTCGGCTTATAAGAACTTGGACGCTGACAATATCATCTATGCCCCACCATTGAAGGTTTTTCCTCTCTCTTTGTATTTCCTGGCAACGCACAATCTACGGCTGTTTTGCCCTTTTTCTTCAAGACTAGCATTAGCTAGCATCTCTAGCCCAAAGGGAAGAATATTTGCTGTGTACGACTACTCTAGTGTATCTACTGTACACAATAGATAACCTGGCGGAATTGTATGAGAGATCCAGTATGAGAAACAGGTTATTAGAAGATAAGGACAGCGAACCTTTGAAGTCTACCCCAAGTCATATAATCAATCAATCCATCCATAACAGATTCAAATGTGAGCTTTTGATGGTTTTCCATCCCGATTCTTAATCGGCATTGTTCAGGACATCAATCTTTGTCAATAAAATAAAGACAACCGAGACACTTTATACCAAACCCAACAGGATTACAGCTCCCTGCGCTATTTCTTGTGAATTGAAGAATGTTTCTGGTCAAAGCGATACAGCCATGATGCGAAGTAGTCGAATCCAGCATCAAGTAGAAGTTGCACTATCTTATATCCCTGGATAAAGCAGCTTCCAGAGTCTTCCCATCTCCAGTACGACCATGAATTTGGCTTTGGGATTGAATTTTATCCGAACCATCTCGGCGTTCATATTATGTTATCGTATAATTCGTTTCTCTAGATACTGATATTGACACCGGTATGGGTGACATATTGTTGCTATTTGTATCAAGGATGTCGTAATGTGTTTACGGTGCTTTCTATTCCTCCCTTTTTTTGTCAACAGAGGTCTGACCATATGAACAATGCATGGTATTCTCAGTGGTAAGCAACAATCTAACTAATACAAAATGATAGAAACAGGAATTTCAATGAACAATGCGACCGGTCAATGAGTGCGCTCTGGTGTGGGATTTTTCAATTCCACGATCATAATACTCCGGAGAAATTACCTTCTGTCAGGTCGAGTATTGCGGTATTGCGACGCGGTGCGTGAGAATCTGCTCCGGCTCTCAGCCATTGGTCTTTGCGCAATAGAATCTCGACACATTCCACGTGTCTGTGGCTTGCTGCTTCTTCTAGTGACAGTATGTCACACTTGTCAAGGCTACTGGGGTTATTCCAGTCACCCCCAATTGTTCCTGATTATCAACCTTTTTGTTTGCCGCACTCCGGTAGGATATGTGCGAATAATCCCTTTTGCCTCTCCTTTTTTTCTGTTAAGTGGTCCAGCTTTGTATTTGCTGTATGCAATAACAAAGCTTGATTCTATCAAGGTCGACTTTTAACCCCAGGCTTCAAAGTATTTCAGTCCAAATTGACCGTACTGCCCTGTCTATGCAGAATGCATACATTTTTAATGAATATTTAAACCAGTGGAACTATCACAGTAAGCTAATCTTCAAATAACAAGGCTACATTCCCAAAAACAAAACGAACTCATGGGAGATATCATCAAAGGGGCTGTGGTGAAGAAAGTTGGAAGCCGTGGATGGGACCGTGAAATACGTTACCACTGCCGAAGGAGTTATGCTGAACACCTGAACTAGTGTTCGTGGTTAAATTCCCACTTCCATAGTTGTGAAATATGTGCGGCGAGCTTTCCACCGTCGAATCTCTCTTTTCATCTGTTCCAATAGCGGACTGGCCCGGATCAACACTTAGGCATATTAGTGAGTTCGTTTAGAAAACTACACCTCGCTTTGCGTCATACCTAATCTCACTCGTCCATCTTTGAAGTTCACCGAGTACACTTTTGTATCCGTTGGCTTCCTTGGAGGCAAATTTTACCATGTCACTATGATTGGCGTGGATACTGATGGAGTTATATCCATCTAGTGTCGCCGATTGCTTGGGCACCACTTTCCCCACCTTATTCATAGGCAGCTCCTCGTAAAAGCATGTCACTTTGAGATATTTGTTTTCACGCAACATGCCCATAAATTCAAGCTGAACAGACTCGAGGAATTGATCCTTAGTCTGCAGCACCTTCATCAATCCCGTATTGGTAGACTTCACACTCCCGAGAATTTCAATGCTAACGTTGGACCAATCAGCCAGCCACGAGCCCTTATGAGGCGTTCCCATGAATATGATACCCTTTGTGGAAGTAAACAATTCTCGAAGATGGGTATCCGGGTGAGTGCGAGAGAGCAATATTGCCGTCTTGCAGACAAGACCGCCTAGGCTATGTGCGACAAAAATCAAAGGTCTTGATGATGCGTTACAGGAAGCTCTATCTGTCGTCAAGTTATTCAGGAGATTTGTGGCATGGTCCCTCAGCCAATTCGATGATGACACGGATTTTCGCAAAACATATGCATCATAGCCGTACGTCAATATACGAGCTCGAGTGACGAGATCGGCAGGAAGGAATTCTCGCGGCCACGGTGCTGGCTGTTTGCTTGCAGCCCAGGTAGTTCTTGGGGCAGTCCAAGTAGTCCGTCGATCTCCGGTCAATCCATGAATAAAACAAATATCAAAGGCTGCGTCGGGGCAATCGTATAACACTTCAACTCCATCTGGAAACAAGGGGACTGACGGGGCGCTTTGCGACCCTACACTAGTTGCGGTTTCATGTTCGTATTCGGATATTGCGTGGTCGCTGCTTGTTGGCTCAACCTGGGGGTGTTTGGGGCGTTTTGGCCAGGACCAGTCAAATCTGGGCATACTGGAATGCGAAAAGTTGAGCCAGTTTGAAAAGTTCGGATCGCGCGATGTTTGGGTAGGCTAAAATAAGATCTCCAGATTCCCGCCAATTTCTCAAAATTTAACGCAAAAAGTAAGTGTGACTCTTTTATGTTTGCCTGGACCGAATTAAAATGGTATTAACGAGAGGGGAATCCTGGGACACATGTGAATGAACAATTCAATAGATTATTTGCCATGTCATACTTGCATATTGGTTTGACTCGATTGGTCAAAGTATTTACTTCCAATATTTGCACGAAAATGCACGAAAATGCACGAAAATGCACGAAAATGCACGAAGATGCAAAATTTCATGGCCTTTTGTGATAATAGCATCGGGCATCCATGAACTCTGTGTAGGCGACCTCCATGGAGCTTAGCGGTGGGGTGCCTATACCTTGAGAATGATGGAGTTCCTTATGCATCAAGTACTTCTACGGGGCACAGATAGACATCCTATCCTCCAGCCATCTCGAGTCCATCCACTACACACTACCTATTCTGGAACCTTTCATCATGCCATACGCCGCCGCCCTTACAGACAGTCACATCTTGGGTGACATCATCAACGCTCATGAAAGTGCAGAGGAAAAGAATTATGATCAAAATAGAGAAGTCACCCCCGCTCTTTCTCGCGAAACAGCCAAACACATCCGACCCCTCCTAGGCTACTTCAAAAATTGCAAGCAACATGTTGACGCGACTATGATGACGGATGACTTCCCTCAACCAACAATCGATTATATAAAGACATGCGAGGGAAACGCTACCCGGGTGAATGAGATCTTCTCAGGTGTTGTCGGAAGTTCAAATGCAATGGAACAGTACCGCAGAGTTGCACGAGGATACCTATTGGAAGACCTAATGAAGAAGATGCTCGAGAATGTGATTGCAATGTCGAATGCCACACAACTTGCCGTCTTAAGTGGCGCGGAACTTCAGGAGCTCAACGAATCTTTAGGGCAGCTTCAAGCAATGCCTGCATCGTTGCCGGAATCCAAGTCGCAGTATTCTTTCTCCAACCACGGATCTGGGAATCAGAATATCAACACTAGCACGGGGCACCAATACAACAACACCGGCTCCGGAAATGTGTTCACTGGTACAATTCATGGCTTCTCAATGACCAGATGATACATGGGAACCAACAATGTCGTTCAGTTATGGTAAGCCTTGTACGTAACGGACACATACATAGCGAACACGTATAATCTTTCAAGCAACATACTGGAGCAATCACAACTATTTTTTCATATCCCCAGTCAAACTCAGCTGGACTTGATCATTTGAAAAAAAAAAAAAAAAAAACTGGTAGTCGGTCAAGTCCCCCCTCCCCTGAGAGAAGCTGAGTCTGTATATTACTAATTTACAAGAATCTCCAGTTGAGTAGACACATATAGATTCTTTCTTTATGTACTTTGTCATTTTTTAAACGCTTCATTCAATGGCTCTATAATCTAGAATCATCGATTTATACCTATATCATTTACAAAATCGTAGTTTATAACGTGTTCGTATGTACTCCGTACATACACTTGATTTAGTGTATATTGCTGATCTGGATAAGACCCACAAGGTTAAGGTGCTATTTCAACCATGGGACGAACATGCATGGATCGCAGGTAATTCCAAGGTTCCATGGCACATCCACACGGCATCAAATTAACCTCAGGGCATCCACACATCCAAGTCACATTCCTCCTCTTCCACATCCGTACATACATGTCTACCACATGTGTTGATATGTCTTTCTGTAGAGCCCTATTCAACTGTTATATGATCCACCGATTGGCTATGAATATGTCCGGGAACTCTTCAGTCCTTGTCCACGTGCACAAGACTTATTATTGTGTTGTCTCAAGGCTTTCAAGGTTACCCAAAGTCTTCATAAGATTTGACCGAAGCTTCTCTTGAATTTCAATACACTCTATATGCACTTCAGGTAATTATTGGAGAAGAATTCCGATGTCAATTCTTGAGCGAATTGAACAGAAAACACACACAATGTGGGACACACAAAACGTGGTATAAGGTTCGAGGGAATTCAACTCACGTAGTAGAAGATTTGAGACAGGAGGTCAACATAAGAATCTCAAATAGAGGCAGAACAGTAAAGAGACACAGGCGGATAACTTCATTAAATTACAAGCCTTGCAAACTCTATAAGGATGACAAGATAATAAAAAAATAGACGGTGAATGATGACCCGCACGTGCCGCACACAGTAAGATCAAAGTGGGGAGTAGGTATGATGCGATGGCTGTTTTAGTCTTAAAACATGAAACGCAGACGTTAGAGATAAATTGGGAATTTCAGTTTCGAGACCGCAAATGTCAAACCTCTGCAACTGTACGCACTATAGTCACATGTAATTGAAGCGAATTTTGAGTTAAACAAGCGCATATCTAGGTAATGGTACTATTGAATCTGAGATCAGAGAAAAAGTAATCTGCAACGGCTATAATCAAGATCAAGATTCAACAACTCTGCCACGTTTCGGCCATGTGACAGAGATCAATTCTCCATAGGCCCTTGCTTGAAATATGGCAATCTTACTCTTTGTAGTGTGCAAAAGCTGTAATTCTCCTCGGGCATTGGCCTTGAGATAATTGCCCCCGCCCTTGTGTGGTACTTAGGCCCCAATATTTTCATGTCTGATCGTGCATATTTGCAGTTGTCCTAGAATTAAAAGCAGGATCCTTCTTTCTGTGGAGGCTCTTCGGCATAAACTTCACCATCATGGCGCCTCCCTTGGCCACACTCAGTCACTCCCTTAGTCATAATACCTTGGGGAAGACAGATATTGCTGTGCAGTCGGTCCTTTTGGCTATTGTTTTTGTTTCGGTCACTTTGCGACTATGGTCGCGACGACTGGAGAGAGTTTCGTTGAAGTTGGATGATTTGTTGATTATAATTGCGACAGTATGGTTGTCAATCTTATTGCTGATTTTCGATATGTGGCGTTGATGGTTGTCCGCAATCTCTCGGCGGAGCTGACTATAAAGATATAGTTTCTAATGGCCGGTCGCTATGCCGTGGAGATCATCATGGTCGTACTGTGCGGAATGGGCCTACATGCTACCGAAGTCGCCGATATGGGAGGGGCCGAGGTCTCTATCCAATTCAATGAGGTAAGTCTCAATGAGATGGATCCATTTGATTCAAGTTGGATTATGTTGTTCAAACTACTAACTAAACCACAGCTTACATATGCGGGCGAGCTTCTCTGGGTCACTGTGGTTGCCTTGGTTCAGTTGTCGATTCTCAACTATTATGTGCACAACTTTGGTGAGCGCTATATCACCTTATTATCATATGCCATCATGGGTCTATGTTCGGCTCTCTGGGTTGCAGCCTTCTTTGCAACTGCGTTTTTCTGTACTCCACCGAAGAGAATATGGCTCGTCGACACCCCAGGTCATTGTGGTGATCGCAAAATGCTGCATACTGGTGTGCACGCGAGTGAAACAATTCTCAGCTTCTTTATTGTCATCATTTCTATTCCTTTGGTATGGGGTAACCCGTTGTCAAAGACCAGGAAGACTGTACTAGTTTGTATCCAATTTCTAGGGCTAGCGTGAGTAGTCATCCTATGGTCGTCTGCGAACAAACATATTGACTAACCAATGCTCCAGCATTATTTCCATTATTGCTGTCCGCACGAAACTCGAGTTCGACCTCAATCCTGGAGACCCAGCATATGGATCTATCAGGAAGTCAATGCTTTCATGCGTCGCGGCTCTTCTAGGAATTATTGCTGCCTGTCTACCAACACTGGAGCCAGTCATTCGAAAGATCTTCGGAATATCGGCGTCTCCATCTCCAGTCCATACCTCGATATATGATCCCACCTTTGCAAGATACTGGACGAGTGTGTTTTCGGGTGGGCGGTTGGAGGAACCAGAGATGCCCCTGGTCACTGTTACTCAGCCTTTCATGGCCAAGATGAGCCATCTTGCTCCCGGACATATTCAAGTCACTTCACATTGGGAGATTCATTCGGCGCGGGGCTCGGCGCGACTCGATAGGTCACCCGTGCGGCAGCCCTAATTGGTTTTAGGTTAAGAAATCGGGAATTATATAAATCGAATTATAGACACCGGGTCTGGTACCTGGAATAGATTAAGGTATTTCTAGATTTTTTCTTATCTACTACCCAAGGTATATATACCTACCTGCTACCTTCAAATATCTCATATGACTCTTTGTAGGCTCCTTTGCCTTCCTTTTCAGTATGGAGTTTGGAAGTGTTGAATGAATCAATTAGGTGGAACGTGAGAATGAAACATAGAAAATTGAGACGAAGTCATGTGCTTCGATATGTATATATCTCAAGTATAAAGACACTCCAATGCACTCGGTTTTCCTTTTTCCCCCTTCATAATCACGCCATACACCAAATCTAGGTGAGACAAATATCTGTGATCATCTTTGCTGGTCTACTCAATCTGGGAAAGTGTAAGCAAGGCGAACCACTTGCGGACATGATCTGGTACTTGGCCTCAATCTGGAAGATAGGCTTGTGCTTTATATACGCCGTCCGCTAGTCTCTTTCATCCCAACTCATTCTGGTTGGCCAATTGGCCTAGTGGTAAGGCATCCGTTTCCGGTGCGGGAGATCGTAGGTTCGAATCCTGCATTGGTCGTCAACTTTTTGCTTCGCTGCCATCCACCTTGCAAGTAGAGAGATATTTTTGCTAAATGAAGTGAACTGATTGTTTTGAAGTGGTGGCGATTGGCCGAGATATGGGTGGAAGGTATAGAAAAGGAACCTTGCGCAGTTGATTAGGGCGTGTGAACCGATCTATCAAGATATATATAGCTAAGCAGATAGAGAGATGGTATGGGTGAGAACAAGAATATGGACTGGCATGTATTGGACAAAGAAAAAGTTCATATGATCAAAATAGGTTTTTTTTACTAAGGCGATGCTTGAAACCTACATATAGTTATTTACTTGGTTGCAACCATCCACATTGACACAACATATATATCACGCTAATAAATCTGTCACTTCCCGGAGTGAATGTGTATAAGATGCTCCATATCTCACAAATGACATATACCAATCACATGCCCACTGAAATCCATTATTTATTTAATGAACGGTTAGGATATAAAAGTGCACAGATAGTAGAGTAGGATAGATAGTGTATATAGCCCACTCACCATTGCCTCTCTTCTCCCCCTTTCGTTCCTTGCCAAATGGGGACGAAAAGAAACAAACATACACCGAACCAAATAATATATATAGGTAAAAAAAAAAAAAAAAAAAAAACAATGCAAGCTCGATGAATATGGCAAAAAAACAAAAAGATAACGACCAATGCAGGATTCGAACCTACGATCTCCCGCACCGGAAACGGATGCCTTACCACTAGGCCAATTGGCCGCCTTGTGTATTATCTTCAGTAATATTTGCATCTATGAGGGAACAAATTACTACAGCTTATATAGCAGCAGACATGTCCTCTACCTACCTAGGTAATCATGAAGTGCTGCTGACTACAGGTATGAATCTAGTGCGCCTAAACCTGAAGCCAACCCCTCAAGTGTGATAGCTCCGCTGCGGGTCCTCCAGAACCTGCGTCTGATGGTGATCCTCAATCTGGCCCTGGCCTTGCTGCCGAGAAGGGTTCTAGGGCTGCTCATGGGTAAGCTATACATGGCAGAATTGCGTTATGTTTAAGCTATTTCTATCAGTCGAGCATACAGTGATGAGATTTTTCAAGTTAGACTAGCCGACCAGGATTGGGGCGGAATCAGCTATATTTTCAAGCTGTTGAGTTGTGACTTTTTCTTCCAAAGAATGTCAAATGCTTTCCTTGATTTAATGATAAACCGATGCTTCAGTGCATAAATCACAGGCAATTTTGAAGATTGGACACAAAAACCCGCAGGAAAACCCTGCTATGTAATGAGACAGACAGAAGAAGCTGGAAGGAGCGCACGCAAAGAACCGAAGCATAAAAATCGTAAATCGTTATCAAATCAAAACCGGGGTTTCCGGTCCGGACCACCCAGTTAAAGAGCGGCCGTGGGGGTATCAGGTCGTTACACGCGATGAAAACAAATACAGTCATACCACTTGAGACGGAAGATGCTCCGAAAGGCAAAGACCAGCCTAATCGGAATCATACATGTCCACATCGTCCACTACCACCGTCGTCCCCAACGCCTCCTTACCTTCCCGGATCATCGCTTGCAGCTGCTTATTCAATCGCTGGATACTGGCATCTTCTTCTCGTTCCTTTCGGCGCATTTTAGCAGCCTGTCGCTGGATATCAGCAGACGCAGGGGTATCTCTCAATCGAGGGGATGGAAGGCCCGCCTGCCCCTTAGTAGGCGAGTGGGGTCCGGTGGAAGAATAAGCGACTCGTTTAGCAAGCCGGGGCATCACAGCGGATTTGCGGCGAGGACTTGATGCCTGGAAAGTGCGTCGTGCGCGGAGTGACGGGCTAGAAAGCTCACTGCCGCCCACGAATGAATCCAAGCTCTCGGGTACCACGACCCAGCTTCGGTCGACCTCCTCGTCTGGATATTGGCCAGGTACGGGCGTTGAGCAATACGTGCTCGGGCTGTACATGTCTTTCTCGGTGGACGGGCTGGTTGAGGGCTGCCAGCTGGATTCGAGGGTTGTTGCTGGCCCGGATATGTCATAGCCCTGTCCTCCTCCTGCGTAGAACCCTCGGAAGGCGCCAGCCCAGCATAAATCGAGGACTTTGCTAACGGCTTTGATCACAGTCTGGCCCCAGCCTGTGGTGGTTGTGGTATTTGTCTTGGAGCCATCAGGGCTTGCGGATATGATGCAAGAGTCGCGGCGGCTGCGCTTGCGACTGCCGTTGTAGTTCGCTAGGTTTGTTGACTCGTCACCGGAATCGAAGCAGGGTGGGAGGAAGGATTCGCGGTATCGGTTCGGACGGTAATCTAGCTCGGCAGAAGCGTGGAAATCGTTGCCTCCGCTTACGCTTACTGAGCGGTAGTTGGAGTGGATCATCGATGAGCCAGTGAAAGAGTCAAAATGCGACGAAAGTTTCTCTGTGTTACGACGTGGTCGCTTGCGACTAACTGAAAGAGAATAGAGCGATGTGGACGCCGTGGAGGCTGGTACTTGGAATAACTGAGAAGGCGCATTTGAGAGGTCAAGTTTAGGTGGTGACGCTGAGTTGAAGATGGCGTGCATGTCGGGCATTTTTAAAAGAAAAGAAAGACAAAGACGATCAAAGATCAAAAGATCAGAATCGGAGAAGAAAAGAGAACTGAAGAAAAAAAGAAGAAAAAAAGAGAGAGGTTGGATATTGACCGTGTCGGGATTAGTGTTCCTCTTCTTTGTCTCACACTATTTAAATCCCCCCTACATGACATTTCAGGACATTTCAGGGCATTTTCATAGACATATCCCGATTGAATTACAATCTTTGGCTGGTCCACTGGACTCCAGCTGCCTCTAATCCTTCATCACCATCCACTAACACACACCATCCTTCGCTGCCTTGTCCGCCATCTCCCGCGATCACCGCCTCAAAGTGACCATGAGCGTATTCCAGTACTTGATTGTCAAAGGTCCCAGGCTGTAACCAGACTGCAGGGATCCCTACCGAGTGTGCTTCCTCCAGGATCTTGAGGGTCACAGCCGGAGGAGTCACCACTGACAGGGAAGTCTGCGTCGGCGATGGCAAACTGGCCGGCGAGGGGACAGTATCGTAAGCACGCGAGGGGAAGGTGATCTGCGCTGCTCGGGGGTTGAGCGGTGTCACGGGGAGGGAGTGTTGATGATACCAGGCGAGGACTGCAATGATTTAGTCTATACAATTTCGAACAGAGTGAGGATTTCCTTACTCTTGTATCCGAACTTGTGAGTGTCATTGCTGGCCCCCGCCACCGCAAAGCGGGGAGAAGAGAAGAATCGCTTGACTGCTGCCATGATAAATTGGATTATGTTCGCAATAGAGTAAAGATGAGTATAAATGATAGAACAGAGTTGTAAGTTACAAGGTTGTAAAATTGGATAAGTTGTCAAGTTACAAAGTTGCAAGTCGCAAAGAAAATCAATTGAGACGCAACCTCGGCCGATGCCTCTCCCTTCTTCCTCCCGACATTCGGCGATCCAACTTCATTACTTCACGTCACATCATTTCGCATGCCACCCTTCGTCCCCCGCAAGCGCGTTTCCTCCGAGGACCCGCCCCCGGCCAAGCGCCAGGCCCGGCCCGATAATTCTCAAGCTCCCCAAGCTCCAGCTCCCCGTGCTCCGTTCCACCTCTCCGACTCCGACTCCGATTCCAACTCATCTTTGAGTGATGCACCCGAAGATCTCAAGGACAATGCACCTGAGGAATCTGAAGATGAAGAAGAGGATATTGATTGGGAGGACGCGATAGACACAAAGACTAGCGCCACTACACCTACCGTCGCAGCTCCGGAGCTACAGGACCTAGAATTGACCCTAGATCAAAACGAGACACACGTGTCCGATCTCCTGGATGGCAAGAAAGGGCCTAGTAAAATCGAGCGCCAAATCAGGATTCAGACACACTGTATGCATGTCCAATGCTTGCTTTTCCACAACGCCATTCGCAATGCCTGGAGCAACGATTCCAAGGTCCATGAGATCTTACGCAAAAAGCTACCGGAAGGGATCCACAAGGAGGTCAAAAAATGGCGCATAGCATCAGGGTTAGAACTCCCAGAACCAAAACCCGAACCGCCTAAGAGCAAGAAGAAGGGCAAAAAGGCCAAGAAGAATAAAGACTGGAGTGATGAGTCAGAGCGGCTGGAACCAGGTCAGCCGGATATGAGCCGAGGCGATCCAATAATTACCTTGATAAAGGTGCTGGTTGCATACTGGAGGAAGCAGTTTCGTATCACGGCGCCAGGACTACGAAAGTATGGATACCGGCCAGTTGCGGCTCTTGAAACTGCAATCACCGACTTTCGCGAGGAAGAACATGATCCGGAGCGCCACGGTGAGCGCATCGCCAACCTCGACGAGTTCCGCGCTATCGCTGAGCGTATGCAGGGCTCACGAGACGTTGGAGCACAGCTCTTCACAGCTCTCGTCCGCGCTTTAGGTATCGAGGCCAGACTTGTGGGTAGTCTACAGCCGCTGGGCTTTGGTTGGACTAAGGGAGAGACCTATACACCCGTCACACCTTCTGAAGACCCCGAAAAAGAAGAGGAACCGGAAACGACCGAGCCCGAGACTGACGGAGCTGAGAATAAAGCGCCAGCGAAGAATAAGCGCAAACCGTTCGACAGTGATCTGCCATTCCCTATCTACTGGACCGAAGTCGCCTCACCCGTTACGAACGAGATCATATCTGTCGACCCCCTTGTACTTTCCAACCCCGTGGCGCCATTTACAGATACTGATCTACAAGCAAATTTCGAGCCGCGTGGTGCAAAGGCAGACCGCGCAAAACAAGTCATATGCTACGTCGTTGCCCACTCATCGGATGGTACGGCCAAAGAGGTCACGACAAGATATCTTCGACGGCGAACCTGGCCCGGCAAAACGAAAGGCTTCCGGATGCCCTTAGAAAAAGTCCCCGTAGGTCCACGCGGGAATTACATAGCCTTCGACTGGTTCGGAATGGTAATGCGCGGGTACCAGCGAGCCCGCAAGAGCAAAACAGCAGTCGACAAACTCGAAGAATCACGAGATCTACAACCCAACCAACCCGAAAAGAAGAAAACTACCCAAACCGCCGACACCCTTCAAAGCCTCCGAACATCCACCGAGTTCGTTCTAGAGCGCTTCCTCCGCCGCGAAGAAGCTCTCCGACCCGGCGCTGAACCTGTACGAACTTTCATCGCTGGAAAAGGCGCCCGGGCCAAAGAAGAACCCGTCTTCCGACGAGCAGACGTGCTAAAATGTCTCTCCGCCGAAAGCTGGCATAAAGAGGGCCGCCAGACAAAACCGGGCGCCGTAGCCCTTAAGCGCGTGCCTATCCGCGCCGTGACCCTCATACGCAAACGCGAAGTCGATGAAATGCAGCGCCAGACCGGCGAGAAACCACTACAGGGTTTGTACTCGCGAGACCAGACAGAATATATTATCCCGCCGCCTATTCAGGACGGTCGTATCCCCAAGAATGAATATGGCAATATCGACTGTTTCGTGCCGAGTATGGTCCCTGCGGGAGCGACACATGTCCCTTTACCTGGTACCGTGCGGGTGTGCAAGAAACTTGGCATCGACTATGCGGAGGCAGTGACGGGATTCGAGTTTGGGTCGAAGATGGCAGTGCCGGTTATTCAAGGCGTTGTTGTTGCAGCCGAGAATGAGGGTTTGCTTAGGGATGCTTGGAAGGTTGATGCTGAAGAGAAGAGGAAGAGAGAAGAGCTTAAGGCCGAGAAAAAGATTCTGCAGACGTGGAGGAAGTTCTTATTTGGGTTACGGATCATGGAGCGAGTAAGGGATGAGTATGGGGGTGGGGATCCGGATGCTGATCGAGAGCGCGATTCGCATAATCCTTTCGCTGTACAGAAGAAGAAGAAGCGGGAGGAGGAACCAGGTGATGATGGTGCTGATGAAGAAATGCTTGACCAAGAGTCGTCATATAACGCGTTTGATCACGGCGGTGGCTTTCTTCTTCCTGGTCAAGATGACGATGCGGACGATGGGTTGGTGGTTGAGAATCATGATCAGCAGCGGAGTCGGAAAGGTCCGTCTCAGGCTGATGTCGATGACGCGGATGACAGCAAGTCATTCGAATCTGGAGGTCCTTCTGTAGACTCTCCGCCGTTGTCTATCCCCTCGGGCTCAGATGAAGAGGATGATGGTAAAGACGAAGACTCAGAACCTGAATATGCACCCCGTCCGACACGACGAACGCGAGGTCGTTGATGGAAGGAGTTTATGTATCATCTATATGACTGCTGGAAGAGGGCTGTGTACATGCATTTCACTATGTAGTATTACGGATCAAAGATATCACCACGCTGTGCACATTGGGAAGCGATCTCTTGTCTCTTTGTAAAATTGTTAGCAAATTAATATCGGATAGAAAGCACATTTGGAAAAACTTCGTCGTCGATCACGATGACTATCTACACACAACGCTTGTAAATTTGTTAACCATATATACTCTTGGGGTAGAATTGGGTGTTAGCCCTCATTTCCTATTCTTGCAAGCCATCTTAATTCGAATCTATCGTGCAAATAGCTTGCAAAAGCTCCGATGGACATGGTGTTGAAATACTATGTACTAGGTAAGTCCGGTCTTCAACCAGAAATGGTCTCTTATGCAATGGCACACAGACACCAACCATTTTAAACAAACAAAGAACAAGCTTACTGCGAAGAGTGAGCTCATCTCGAAAATAATTTATGGCCGTTAGGACTTAAAATATGAGTAGCTTCTTTCCAATAAAGTCCATGAAATTGTAACTGCAAGCTTGGTGGGAAGAGGCAAAGGCCACCGAAAACACTTTGAACCATTGCAACATCGAAGACAAAACAGCTAATAGAGGACAAGCAATTGAATCTTCACAGGACCTACCCATTTACTGTAATTGACAGACAAGCCCACACCGTCTCATTTAGACAGACCGAGTGGCTGAGGCAGTCGGGAAACCGCTTGGAGGACCACCGGGGCCACCGGAACCACCACCACCACCACCAGCATTCTCATTCTCAACACCACCATTCTCAGTATAGTAGGCCGCAGGGGTAACAGTCGTGTCCTGAGTAGGGTCAAGACCAAGCGAGATCCAAGCGAAGATTCCATCGGAAACATCATCGCCCAGGTAGACATATTCCATGAATGGGTCAATAGTATCGAGCTCTTCGCCGAGAATACCGTCTTCAGCATTGGTTGTCAGGGTCTGAGTGTTGGTCGAGTACGGAGTGACCTCCTCAACGGCAGAAATGAGGTCCTGGTCGAAGAAGATTTGTCCAACGTGCGACGAGTGCGTGGTATACAGACCGGAGATTGTTCCGTTTGCGAGGAGCTTGGTCTCATTGGCCGGGTGGGTGAGAACTATTGATACAGTTAGTGAATATTGCAATGTATCTTAACTAGGAACATGTGGGAAAGCGTAGAGAAAAGACATAGCCATGAAGGGAGATTCTCGTAGCTGGATATCATACCATGGATGTGAGTCGCACGGCCAGTGTAATGGCCTGGGAAGGTTGTTTGAAACTGGACGACACCATCCTCGGTACTCTTCTGAACACCTCGGTTGAATGTTGAGTCAAGGTTGGTTTCATCACCCGAGTTGCCGTTTCCATTCGCGACGACTCCGGAATAGACACCCTATAATGATCGATGTGAGTGAAAGGGTCCGTATTGTGATGCAGTGAGTGGAGAGTTAACTTACAGTCGAGTTGCAGTGCCAGATGTCCGTGTAGATCTCCGGAATAGGTTCGCAGGTGTTGGTGTTGATCAGCTGGATGTCCATGTAGAGAGGAACACCACCCTGGGACTCGGCGATGTTCTTACGAACCAGTTCACCCGTGACATCTAAGCTGCATCAGTAATCCAAATCATGAAACAAGGCCTTGGAAGCTGACAGTAAGGTCCCTGAGTAACCTCAGGTCCGAGAATGCAGGTTGCATCAGTGCCAAACAGCACCTCGGGGTCGGTGGAATAATCCACTCCTGTGAGGTTGGAGTGATGCGAAATATCCAGGCCATTATCAGCGCTACGTGCTTTAAGATAGTGGTCGGCTAACAGCTTGTTAGAATGTTATATCAATTGGACTTGGCTTCAAAACATACTACGCTGAATCCCAAGGTGGCGACGAATGTTCTTCACAGCAGTATGGCGACGAGCAACGTTTCGGCTTTGATGGCCTCGACGCTGAAGACGAGAGGCACACTGCGCAAGACTGCGCGAGTGAACAGGGGCGCTTTGCAAGATTGCAGCTCGCTCGGCAGCTTCGGCTCTGACATCGTGCCCTGGGTGAGCGGACGCAATGCCAGTCAGAGCACTCAGGCCGATGGCAACGACAGATGCAAGATGAACCATCGTCGAAATATCAACCAAACAACGGGCTTTTGAATGACGGAGGGAAAAGAGTTCAAAGTAAGGTTGTTAGAGCTGACTGAATGTGAATGAGGAAGTTGGGAATATCACAGCTGGGTTTCTGGGGGTGTTTTATACCTTCCTGTTGTCTGTCCAAATAAGACCCGAGGCGGAGCATGACTCGATGCAGAATAGTCTCGCTTGAGATTAAAGGCATTGCCATGAAGCTGACGAGGAATATGGCGTTGCATTGACAAATGAAACGCGGAATATTTCTCAGCCAGAAAGACATCCTGGTAGCTGCAGGCCCCCGCAGCGGAGCTTCAAGCATCCATCAATGAAACCACGAGATTCTAGGGCAAAGTGCTGCAATTGCCTGCATCTGATAGGACACCGGTAGATTGTGCAAGATGCAGAGGTTTGGTTCAGCAGCAACTCTAACCAACTCTGATGAAACCACTGTCGATCATTCCGACACTAGTGTCCTGCCAAGGACAGACGAGCCATTGGCGCTTTCGCAATCTTCCATGCGGGGACTTAAGGACGAAGTTAAAGTATGATATTCATAGAACAAATCTTCCTCTGGGTGGAACTGGACCGAGTGATCGACCAAGATGACGAGGCTCAATTACTCCAATCCATACCTGATCCACCCAGGATCTGTAGATATGAAAGCAATACATGCACTGCACACAGAGACATAATCATAGATAACAAGCGAGCAGTCATCTCCGACGGGGACCGCGCAAGGCCGTGGCAGGGTAGCGCATGCAATCCCCGACTCATGACGAATAAGTTCAGTGCCAGGTGACAAAATAGACTCCCTGTAATCCCCCGCCAATCAATTTCCTTCAAAGCTCAGTCGATTGAAACTGCGATGTAACGGCCAGACGGGATGCCTGGGGGAGTCTTCCCAACGTGCGTGGTGGTATACGTATTCGGGTCTTGGCGGTCCCGTCCCCTGACAACAGTCAGCGGAGAATGGAGCCCCGAGAGCTCTGGCTGCGTATTTATGTCAACAATCAACAATGAATCTGTTGCACTCCGAGAATATCATCGGTAAGCCGAATATTCTGATCCATGCCATTCAAACATGTGAATGGCTTCATTTTGTCAAGGATGCATTTCCCGTCCAATATATCCTTGAGCCCTCCCAAAAGCTGCTTGGACCTCTGATTTCCAAGGTTTGCCAAGGCGCTGACATAACCATAGGAAGTGCTTGGCAATTGCTTGCTGTGAGAAGATCTTTTAATGTCTGAGAAATTGACAAATGTCCGTGTTAATATGGTGAATGTGGGGTTCGGCCTTATGCGAGAGAGAACGTTTCATCAGTTATACCTCCAGGGTATTTTCGATCTTTATATGATATCTACACAGTTAAATGGAGCCTTTTTCAAGAATTAAGAGGAAGAGAGAGTCAAAAGCAATAAATTATGTTGATTATGGTACATGCATATTCGTGGATATCGGGGGCAATGTCGCATGAAACCGTTAACGCATGATAGAGGCAAAATTAGAACATAGACCCGTTGAGAGTGGACCAGAACTTCGTCAAGGGGCCAGAGAATAAGCGAACCACCGTGCCAGAGCTAGGCAATTAGATTAGACCTCCTGCTGAGTCACACTGGGCAAATGAGCAGCCTTCTCATCCATTCCAATCTCGGCAGCAAAGGTGGTGGAAGGCTTCCACTTGGCGGAAGTGCGAGGGGTGCTCTCTTCCATCATCTTGTCAACCTGCTCCAGAGTCAAACCCTTGGTCTCGGGAATGAGGAAGTAGGTGTAGACAAAGGCGCAGGAGCACAGCGAGCCCCAGATGAAGAACACCTTGGCGCCAAGGTTACCCTTATCGGCATCCGTCATGTAAGGAGTGATGACTGCGATGATGCAGTTCCAGAGCCAGTTGGAAGCGGTGGAGAGGGCAACACCGCGGGACCGAATGGGCAGAGGGTAGATTTCACCGATGACGACCCAAGCGCCGGGGCCCCAGGTGCTGGCGAAGAAGAAGATGTAGATGCAAATGAAAGCGATCATTGCACTGACAGCCTTGCTGTTTTGGCCATCGGTGACACCAATGATGGCGACAATGAACTGGCAGATAACCATACCTAGGGCACCCCAAAGAAGCAAAGGACGACGTCCGAATTTCTCAATGGTGTAGAAGGAGATGGGGGTGGAGAAGACATTGACGATGGTGGTGATCATGCTGATCAGGAAGGGATCATCAATTGTGCCAAGCTGTGTGAAGAAAGTGGTTCCGAAGTAGAAAATGAAGTTAACACCAGTCCACCTATGGCTCATTAGTTTCAATTCAAGAGTAGGGGGAGGAGATGTGAGACATACTGTTGCATCATCTGCAGAGAGGTACCCAGGATAGTACGGCGAATGTTGCTGTTGGGGTGCCAAAGGCTTCCAGTAAAGCAGCTGAGCCAGGTGCTGAAGTAACCACCCTGAGGGATCGCCATCAGTTCGTACTGGTTGTTGGCGTCAATCTCATTCAGCTCGCTCTCAACAAAGTCGGAATTCTCGGGCTGGCCGCGAATACGGGCCAACACAGTGCGAGCCTTATCCTTTTGACCCTTACGGATGTAGAATCGAGGGGACTCGGGCAGCAGGCACAGTCCAAGGCCCAGAATGAGAGCCCAGAGCATCTGGAGGGCAATGGGAATGCGGTACGACCCACTGTCGGTACGGTTCTGAGTGCCATAGTTCACGCACGACGCCAGCATCAAACCAATGGTGACGCAGAACTGGTAACTCGAGACGAGTGCACCACGGATCTTGCGGGGTGCGATCTCGGACATGTAGAGAATGATGATAGCGGAGACGAAACCGATACCGAAACCAGAAATGACACGACCGGCAGCGAGAAGTCCAATGCTGGTAGAGGCAGTCTGCAAGACGACACCGACGATGAAAATGGCGCAACCAGCGATGATAGTAATCCGACGACCAAACCAATCAGCCAGATCACCGGCGATGATGGCACCGAAGAAAGTACCAGCCGAGAGAATAGAAACGATGAGGGACTTCCGGGAAGAGGGGATGACGAACTGGTCATCAGGGGTAGTAGCGCGATCCTAGGTGCGGTTAGTGGGATTCTAGGAAGCATGGGAAGATGTTGACACTCACAAGACCTTCGAATTCATGAATGAAGTACTCCATACCGAGAACACCGTTGATGTAACCGGAATCATAACCAAAGAAGATACCACCAAAGGCGGCAAAGGCACACATCAAGTAGGCCTTGAATGTGACCGGAGCCTCGACGCGCGAGTCGTCGACTGGCTCGGAGATGACTGCTCCACCAGGCATGGTAGCGAGTCAATGACAATAGATACTTTGTTTAGAGATTCAGAAAGAGGAGGGAGATATCTCAAAGGTAGTGTGAGATGAGAGACGAGGATGAAGGAAGAGAAGAGGAAGGTACTGGGGGAGTAGGAGAGGATTTATATTCTGGGGGAATCAGCCACTTTTGAGTTTTATCCCCAGACCTTCCCCCATGGAAAGAAAAAAGCAAATACTACAGGGAAAAAACAAACCAAAAAAAAACAAAAACCAATCTAAACCATATTTGGCTTGATTACTGTTCGGCGACAAATACAAGAAATCTAGAAGTCGGCTGGAATAATTTGTGTAGCCAAGTCGGCTCTAAAAAAAATTTGATGTAGAAACGGCAAGTATAGGTAAACCGGGGAAGTGCTGCACGGCCCAAGCCGGTAAGCCTCTCCAAGGGTAAAGGATCTGATTGGTTGAGAACCCCAGAATTGATCCGTCGATCCATATCTTACCCAGTACAGAAGGGATAAATTGAAAAAAACCCCATAAAAACAGCACCTTGAAATGTCCAGAACCAAACAGAGCCTCGGGTTGAGAAAAACCGGAGACGTTCCACTTTGGGCTAGACGGTCCGTGGGGGAATCGAAATTAATTGGCTGATTTCCATGGGACTGTGCGCCACGTGCCCTATGTCTTTTTTGTTTTTTTGTTCTTGTTTTTTTTTTTTATATTTACGTGTGACTACCTCTAGAGCTATACATAGTAACTACATCGTAAACTCTTCCCCAGCTTAGTTGTATTTTTTAAACCTTTAGCTCATTCGGCAATGAAAGGAGAAAAAAAAAGTGGCTTAGGAGTCTGCTGATCGGAAGGGACTGCAGTTCACAGTTTTCACACACTTTGGAACTAAAACCTATATTCACATCGATGTTACCTTGAGGGCAAGCCGTCCAAAAGCACAGACCTTAGGGGCGCCACAAAATCACACTCTGCCCTTTACAATAAGGGAAAGCACGAGTCTTGGCGTAAGGTAGGCTGACTACATATTAGGGACAGGGTAAGAAGAATCACGGGAAATTTGTTTCATGTATTATATTGACACCACGAAGTATACAAAAGTGTGCATATTCCTCTAACCATGTGTAGTCCAAAAAGTGAATGATAGACAAGACTGAAACCAAGGACCAACACGAAACAAGATCAACAGTGTTGAAGTGGCCCTCACAGCTCGGGCATAGCCGAGCCACTCGGTGGGTCTATCAGAACACAAGATTTCCGATGGCAGAGATGGGCTTGTTGAGGCTTTCTCCCACGGGGAAATCAACCACTTACATCCAGCAACCTAAACCTGTCTCAGCGTTTCATCTCCGCATTTCATCTTGGCGATCACGTGAAGTCGAGTTTTTCCAGTTTGTCCCGTGCCGAAGAATCGCCACAAGATGATTGACGGGCTATTGTCGGCAGGATTCTGAGCCTTTGTCTTGGCTGCTTTGCGCTGGCTCGACGGCGCGCTTGAGCGTGGCATGCTATTCGATCCTCGCAAGGGTGACTTTTGCCTAAACTTCCGAATCCTCCCTGTCACCCAACTCTAGAGCGCCCAAATACAGCGAATGCTACCCCGTGTTTCCGCGGTCGGCTTACGGAGTACGGACCCGGTAGAGAACTTGCCATGTTCTCGGCTAGAATGGTGCCACAAGTGACCCACAATAGCCATGGGTACATGACGGAGACCGAAGTCGAGGAGCTTGGGAGCGAGGCCCCCGACCGAAAAATATGGAAAACGTAAGCCGAAGAACTTATTTCCGAGGCCGGTGAACACTTTCCGTTAGTATCAACATCTGTATCGTTCCTCTTTTGAGGGGAAAATCTCCATTGGTGTACGGGAGCGGTCTCGGTTGGGTCCGAGTCAGATGTACTTATGCACTCCATACTACTTAGACCTTTAGAACATGGAGAAGTCTCCGGATTTCACGGGTTTGGGCTGCCTTTTCTGGGGCAAAATACTACCCCGGGACTTCTTCCAGACACTGATCGTGGTCACCGGCTAGTTACCGGTACAGACTTTTTATATTTTTATTTACATATGATCAATTTCCCCATTTGGACTTCAATACATGGCCGTGACTATGATTCGTGGCAGCCCGTTTTTTTCTTTTTTTTTCTTCGCTTCAACTGACACGGTCACTTTGGCACTTTTTTCTAGTCTATAGGGAATTGGATTTTGATTGTCCCACGTTGGACGGAGTACGTTGTGCAGGGGTCTCGAGTCCAGGAACCTGAGTGTTCGGTTGCATTCGCATAAAGACCCGCCTCTCTAATTTGTAGAACAATAGGAAGTACCCCGTAGAAATTTCATTTCCCATTAATGAAAAAAAAAAAAAATAAAATAAAAAATAAACAAACTATTCAACGCAAAGCTGTGAGAATATGATTCCGAAAACTACGCTTCATGTCGGAGCTGGATGTCAAGTCCAGCCAACCCGCCCGTCTGTCGCCAACCCTCAATCTCTTTCACATAACTCTTGATTCCCTCTCCCCATACGCTGAACTGTGCTGCTTGCAAGGCTTCATGGTCCTTAAATTGGAGTCCTTCCCGATTGTAGTACGACGGAGTACAATTTAGGACACCTCCCAGTGCTTGCGCTCTCATCAAAACCTTGGTAGTCCATTCTTCTTCGGCGAGAGAGCTAGGCTCAATAGTAAACCCGGGAATGGTAACATTCGGGTTTTCCTCCGATGTCAACTTGCCGGCTTCGGAGATGATATGGGCAACATGAACAGCAAGTTGATCAAGGACATAGACCTGGTTTGCCGATGCTCCAGTTTGATATGGACCCGGAAAGAATAGATTAGGAAAACCATTGGTCATTATCCCGTGAAGGGAAGTCAGCCCCTTCTGCCGTTTCTCTTGAAGGACCCGGTTGTCACGGCCGGTCACAGTCAAATCCCCAATATCGGCACTCCCTCCAAGACTGTAGCCGGTCCCGAAAATTATGGCATCCAAATCATACTCTTGGCCATTTGCCGAGATTCCTTGATTTGTCACAGTGTGGATCCCTTTCCCGTTAGTGTCTACCAGGGACACATTAGACTGGTTGAATGTCGTGAGAAAGTTATCGCTGAAGCACGGCCGTTTGCACCATCCGGGATACCACGGCTTTAAAGCCCGAGCAGTCACTTGATCGGTGACAGTGGTTTCCACGCGATTGCGGATCGCCTCTTGGCGATGTAAGTCTAATTGGTGCATCCACGTCAGATAATCTGGCTCAAGACCAGAGGGACTGCCAATCAATACACTGAAAGATTGCATCTTGGTCCAACCATCGTCGACAAGGTCTACATCTGGGAGGGGATTCTCGTTCGAAGGAAAGGCGTTGAAATTCTCCATGCGCTCTCGTTGCCATCCAGAGCCTCCTTCTTCGACCATTTTGGTCCACCAGGTACGATCGGTGGAGTGATTGTGACGCCAATCTACAGAGGACGGTGTGCGCTGGAACACAACCACTTTCTTTGCCCATTGAGCAAGGTGTGGGATTGCTTGGATAGCAGATGCACCAGTTCCAACAAATCCAACTGTTTTGTCTTGCAGTCCATGCATTTCTGGGCTACTGGGACTTCCTCCAGTGTACTCATAATCCCAGCGAGAAGTGTGGAACACCTTCCCCTTGTAGGTCTTCAGGCCATCCAATTTTGGTAGTTTTGGGGAATTCAGCAGCCCGGTAGCCAGGATGACAAAATCAGATTGTATTGCAGTGGGTGACATGCCATGTGGTGTGATATGGACTGTCCATTGACTATCCTGGTCATTCCAAGCCAAATTATTGACCTTGGTGTAGAACAGCCCCCGTTCACTGAGATTCCATTGACCGGCAATACGGTTCGCGTGTTCTCTCAACTCCGGCCCGGAAACATACTTCTGTGTAGGCATATACTTTGTTTCCTCTAGCAAGGGCATGTAAGTGTAACTTTCGACATCGCAGGCCAAACCAGGATATTTGTTCCACCACCACGTTCCTCCAAAGCCACCTGCTATATCCACGAAGAGGATCTCGTTTGCAGAAAGAAATCCCGACTGGAGCAGTCGCACTGCGAAGAGCAGTCCTCCAAATCCAGCACCGACAATGAGCATTCGGACCTTTTTCTGCTCGAGCAGATTGTTGTCGATCGCGATATCTTCATTTGCATAAAAACTCTTAGGGGATTCACCGGTCACGCCCACATATTGGGTCGGTCCATCCGGACGCAGGCGTTTCTTGCGTTCCGCATCATACACATCTTGTATCGCCTGCAGATCATGCTCGGTCGTCTTGGCTATATTGGTGGTAGGTTGGTCGAGGACAGGAGCCTGTGGGCCAGCGATATCTCTTTCTAGTAGCATGGTGAATTGGCAGTGGAAGATTTCCTGGATGCAATGAGCAAGACGAACATGGGCTTATAAATGTCATGGTGATTTGTGTGTCAGCTGCAATGACATGCATGGCGTTGGGAGAATCGTTTGTGTTTTGTGTGGCATTTCTCCGCATTTCAATCAAACTGCAAATGAAGAGTGATTGGAAAAACAAAGCAAACGAATTAAAGGAAGTGGTTTTATGCAGGGGTGAAGTGCATATGAGGTGTAGAGAATCTGATCCTAAGAGGCTACACTAAGCCCTCGTGCGTACTAGAATGGGCTAATTGCGCTATTGGCTTCGCCGTAATAGGCTGCATACATAAACAGGTTCTTAGGTCGCGACGAGGACCAACAGAATCTGTTTGAGCTTGGCTGCCATACTATGTAGCTTGGCATTTTCTAGGCAGTCCACACGGGGGAAGATTAGACGAGAAGATGAATCTGACCCCATAATAAGTAAGAGAGGAGATCGCTCATCCCAAAATCTCTTGGATCTCATTGGATCTGCTCGAGCCCCATGTCAGCACTAATATCCAGGGCGGACCTTGAAGCTCCAACCTTATGGTGTTCTTCTACCTTAAATACAAGTATGGAGCTCTTCTCGAAGACTATTTTGAAAGTAAAATTCTTGACTGTGTCAAAACACCTGATATGGGTCTTCTACCCCGGGCATTGTTAGCTCTGGCAGCCCTTTATTCTCTTTCGGTCGCCAAGAAAGTCGGTAATTTCGACTCATCCTCCTGTGCTGACGCCAAAGGCTTTGAATCATGCTATAAGAATGTCGATACCAACTACGTGAACTGCGTAAACAACAATTGCGCCGGGGGAAGTCAATCTTGCTACAATTCATGTGGTGGAAGCACATCCTGCATGAACGAAATGTCCTGGCCTGGGAATCGACTGCATCACTGCTTGTGAATGTGAAAGGTCTGCCCTCCAAATCGATTGCGCAGGTCAGAGTTGTTGGAACCAGGTAAGGAAATCTTCGCAGTCCGTTTATCTTGAAAATCTGACACAATTGTCTTAGGTCTACTCTTGCGAGTACCAATCTACCGTTTTGGAATTCATCAACATCTGCCCTAGTCCCAACCGGGAGGGTTTACCATATTGGCCAACACCCGATGATGCCCCCGATTCCTGTTCCTGCAACATAGGCAAAATCGACCTCAAAGAATATCTGATCGTCAATCAGCTCACCGAATGCGCGAATAACAGTACAAATCTTGATAAGATATCTGGTATTGACGCATTAAAGGAATACGGCCAAGCGTGCTTGTGTTGTGAATACAGCGCTATCATCTCCGCGTACGATTTCATTCCAGAGCTTCAATGAATTCCTGATGGCGTTTCTGTTGCTAATCATCTTTTCAGTATCTGGGACACCTGCCCTGGCACAAAGCCCTCCCTACTGAGTGCAGATGAATGGTTTAACTCTATTCTCAACCCTGGCCATTGGGAAGAATGCGGGCCATACCTCAAAGCATATGATTGTGCCGGCGACTTGGGCTATGGGCGTGCGGATGCCGGTGGAAATAGTAAATTCTACCATCCCAGCAGCATGCCGAGCAATGGAACGAAGACCCTTTCTAATGTAGGCGGCACTGTCTCCGCCCCGGTCAGTGGTAATACTTTCACATGGACGTTTGGCTCAACTGACAACTTCGTGGTGCACACTGTCACTGTGTCCTCGGCAGATGTTACTGCTACCGATTCAAAGACTGGTAGTGGTGAGAGTGATGTCACTGCAACAAGTAGTACGACCGAGACAGCAGAGAGCGAGGCAAAACCTGGGATGGGGTCTTCTTTGACTGTTTCCTCTTGGGCTATTGCTGGAAGTATTGGTGCCTTGATAGTCTCAGCTCTGTGATAATTCAGTATGTTGATGATACGCGGAGATATCTAGAGCATGTGAGATGATGGAATACTTCTGGATGCTCCGTTATAAGCCAATAGTCATAGATTGCTGCAATTCAAAATAGAAATGTAGATATAGTAGCCCCAAAGATAACCTTCAAATGGCATGCGTCATGAAACCCAATATTCCCTGGCTCTTGTAGTCCGTGCCCTTGCCTCTGCATACATTCCTCCCTGCTCTAGATACCCGGGTAGATACCGGTAATTGGTAACCCGCTCACTGGATAGCAATGTCTGCACAGGAGAGGTAGATCTGGCCGGTCTGGAAAGAGTTCCATTTCCAGGAGAGCAGAGTGTGGTTCGAAACGTAGTCAGGGATCTTGACCTGCTTCGAGACAGTGTAACCGCCAGCGATTGTTGTCTTGCAGGAATTAAGCTCAGCATTGTCGACACCTTGGCACTTGGTGTCATCAAAGCCGTTGCACGTAAACCAGTCATTGCGGTGACAAGCCTCGCCCTCATTACAATCGGCACTGTAGCCGCATTCCTGTCCATCCACACCGGTGCATTCAAGAAGACCTTCGTCGAAGCAGGCCTCGGCTGCCTGCTTCTCCTCTTCAGTTGGCAGGTAATCCGGGTCCAGGAACTTGTCGACGATGTCCTGATCCTGGCAGATACGGTAGGCGAACATGCCACCGTGATCACCGTTGTGGTCAATGCACCACACGACATCAATGACGTCGCCAGCTTTGTAAGTCTTGACCACATCTTTGCCCCAATCTGCGCCGGGCTGGTTGTAGTCGACGCTCACACGGGCATTGTATCCGCAGGGGCCGCTACGGCCAACTGGGGCGGCGTCGAGATCGGGCCAAGACTCAACGGGCTCGAGGATGGTGCACTCAGGGCACGTATCAGTTCCAGCCTAGAGAATGTCAGTCAAAGGAATATCTTTGGTGCTTAGTTGAATCAGAAGTCTCACCTCGAATCCGAGCTTGGTTCGACTGTCGGGCGTGACAAGGTAGCCGTGTCCAGCGACCATGGTGGACAACGAGCCCAGTAGGATAACAGCAGCAGACTTCATGATGTCAGGTAAAGATGTGGTTTATTGGAAGCCAAGTGAGTGAGTGGAATGGGATACAGACCAAACCAAGTGTTGGGGATAGGTCCTTTTATATCATTGTGCCTCGTTGCTTTGTACATCAAGTCCTATAATCGTTATGTAACTGGTATTCTTGTACATAGGACAAGATCCGATCCTGCATTTTCTACAGGGTACGGACACGAAAGCCAATCATGGAGAGTTGTTTTATTGGGTAGAATAAACATTTTGTGAAGAAGCTGTCTCAACTAGGCCTTCGTAACGATGATCAGCAACAACGCTGCCAAGTGTAGGAGGGCATGACACGGCTTACACAGGGCATGTTTGGGCTATCCATCACAATGAAATTTGATATTGTTATGCAGGGGTCAAGACGCCGCAACGCCGTTGAGGAAATCCAAGGCTTGGCAGTGGCTGTCGTTGGCTGTTGTTGGCTGTTGCTGGCTGTTGCTTGGCAGAAGGATGCGACGCCCGATATATTTCCGCCAATTAACATATTGTAGGCCGGCAAGATTAGATCGATGTGCAGCACAAATGCAGAATGCATAGTTAGAGATATGCTACGAATCCCAGTTCGTCTATGCCATTCCGGATAGTTTTCCCTTACCTTTTGCTTCACTGAAGCTCGTCTTGGGAGAACTACTTGCTGCCATATTTTCCGCGCAGAGCATACTCTCTTCATCTAATTGAAACCCTTAGCTTGGCCATGGAAATGGTGGCTGCGGGGTATTTCAGCCTTTCAACGCCATGGCGCTCGGAACAGAAAGATCGACATCGTCTCGGCTTTACGGGGGTTTCCCGACTATTGCCCGACCACTCATCGTGTGTATTTTTGGCAAACCCAGCGTATACCCCTGGAGTGTTGCAAGTGTGCCTCCCGGGGGGTATTAACCCGGAAATTTTTACTTGGGAAGTTTGTCTGCGGCCCTTATCCGGGCATCCCTCGGTCTACAGTCTCGGGGGTTACTCCCTTTTTGGCGACAAGGGTGTATGACTGGGCCCTATATTCAAAGTATAAAAAGTATAATAGTGGAAGAGATCAGCATTTATACTGCGGCATTTTCCATTCTGTAGGATGCAACACGTGCTTGCTGGATGCCCAAGCTAGCACTGTGCCATTGGCAAGGATGGAAAATCGATGTGACTATGAGCTTTAGAGAACGCCGATTCAAACCACGGGGAAGAGGCTCCACGATAGCAAAAGACATATTGAGGTACAGGCCGGGGCAACAGGTCTACCGACCATCTAGCAGTTTTATTCCAGGCTCCGAGGGTTGATTCTAGAGCCTGACGTATCTTCCGGCTTTCATCTGCCGCTTCTCGGCTTTCCCCTTCTGTTTTTGCGCTTAAGTCTGCCACTTTCTGAGTACTCATGTATGAAGTACACCGTATATGAGGAAGAGATAGAAATCAATAATAATAAAATGCAAGGTCTCGAATATTGAAACTATGGACTTGAGGGGAATCCTGTAGAGCATGGATGACGAGAGACACATCTAAAGCAGGATAATAAAGGGGCCCAAGGCAGTTTCCAAGGTTGTTTGGTCAGGTAGCGCTAATTTGGTTCAGGCTGTTTGCACTGACGCAGCTCAAGGCACTCGGCTCTCTGCTTCCCAACAACATATAGTTGTGGTAACATGCATATCGCCCAGGGGATAGGGTAAACAAAGCTGTCTATACTACAAAGGCCAAGCAAGGACAAGAAAGGAATCAGGTTCTTGGAATTAGGCAGTGCAGAGCGCGACAAGAAGGATTTTGGATGTTCTCGTTCATGATCATCGAAAATATACACAGAAAAATCATCTGTACGGCTGTAAATAATGATCGGATATTTTTAATGAGTCAGAAATTCCAGCTTTGGATATATTATGACCAGGGAAAGTGGCTCATATTGTACAAGAATGGGGTTTGCCGAGGTCAAGGCGCACAGGGGACTTGTATTAGCAACCTCGTCTATGGGATAGAGTGCTGTAAAGTGAGATAAACTATATCAAGTCTAAATTATAGACATATTATGTGACGGCTCACGTCCTTTCAACTAGCCCCGACCAGCAATCTTCTTTTCTTCAATATTGGGTTCGACCTCTCTCGTAGGCACAGTGTCCAATGCATCGATGGTGATGTCAACGCGAGGACCGGTGAAATTCTTCCTTCCGTCCACGAACCACTGGAAGACGGAGATACTAATGATAACAGCAAATGCTGCAATGCAGTAATCTGAAGAGGATTAGTCAACAAACTATCATAGTTAAAGCCTTAGGTGAACTCACTCATACTACTTCCAGTGACCGTGCTTGACGGAGGGAAGACAAAAAGGACAGTAGTCAAGGCGATATATGATAAAGCAACCTGTTTATAATCAGTGGTGTTTTATTTGATCGAATCTCGTTCATGATCGTAACATACCAAATCGACAAACCACCCAACTGCACTGGGCAATTTCCACTTCCTTTCGGGGAGGCATCTGCGCCCCTGAAGACAGTTGATGGCAATGGGGATTCCATAGGACAGATCAAGGGCCACGACCGAGGCAGAGATGATTGCATTGAACGCACTAAAGTTGGTTAGTTAATATCTGTTTTATTTGCCCATGGATGGTGATTAATTACCTTGTAGAGCCTAGGAAGATACATCCGAATGCAATCACCACAACAACACTAAGGATGAGTGCATTGAGGGGTAACTTGAGTGTTGGGTGGACTTTTGCGAGGAACCGGGAAGCAGGAAGACCCCCATCTCTGCGAGGAGTAAGCAAATGTGTTGCATGTCGGAAAAAATCTCACGTACCTCGCAAAAGCAAAGATCATTCGGCTACTAGTGGTCATGACGCTCACTATAGCAAAGACCAAACAGACCAGAGGCAACCTAGGGCCTGGTGTCAGAGCAGGCGCACAGGAGGGGAAAGTCTCGACACATACATCAAAAGGCAAATACCTCCTACATTGCTCTTGGTTGCATCGATCAGGATCTGTAGAAGAGGACCGGCTGCGGAGGTTGTGACCGTTTCCATATTTCCTGCGACGAATAGCAGGACTATTAAAAAGATGGAACCGGTGAACACTCCGATGCCCACGCAGGTGACCATAATTTTCGGGCCCTCAATGTCAGCATTGGGAACCTCTGGAAGAGCAATGTGTCAGTACTTTTCTCTATCTCCTCAAAGTCATTGTAAGCTTTTACCTTCGATCATATGTGCTACCGCATCCTAGATAAAGTTAGATAGATTGATTTTGGTATCGAGATAACCATGAGGACTTACAAAGGCAGTCACGCCAAGCCCTCCTTGGAGCAACTGGAATATCTGTCAGTATTGCTGTTGTATCGCGGCGGGTGGAACCAAACATACGCCTAGCATCCATGCGACCCCATCAGGCCCTAAGCTGAATTAGTACTCTAATCATAATGCGGATATCGGGGAGCCTTACAGCCTGTTGTATTCACAAAGTCACAAAACACGAAGCTGTGGACGTCAGTTGTTGGCATAACTTGATAACACCACGGGAGTTCATACTAAGCCGAGTTGTAGTTGGGGGCAGCGCATGCGAGACACGTAATTGACACAATCACAAAACCTCCGATCGACCACATAACTGGATATAATTAGAGAGATAGCGAGTCAAACTGGCTGAGGGTAACCTACAAGCACCACGGTAAATGACCGGCAAGATGGAGTTCATGAAAGCATTGATGATGAACGAGCCAACAGTCAGCCCAATATAGATGAGGAATTGATGCCAGCGTTGCGGGACATAGTTCTGCACACGTTAGGGCTGCGGTAAGAGTACAGAGTGAGTTTTCTCACCTCGTGAAAGACGGAAATACAGCCCACAATAAGCTGACTAGAAAGAAGTGAGTTCGTCGCAACGAGGGCAACCTGGGTATCTGTTAGGTGGGAAACTGCGTTAGATAAATGCATTGCTTACCCAGCCTGCCACATTGATCCATCCTGTAACCCATGATAGAATTGGCACTGAGCTTGGCCACGCAACTTTTCATTCGTTAGTATGAACCTCAGGAGGTACCAGAGAACAACATACTGGCTATGATTCAAAATTAGCGTCAGTCCCAGTCATAGAGTGTTTGTAGGCACGGAGCAATTTACCTGCAACCCAATGATATTGTCCACCGGCTCTATAGAGAAAGTCAGTATGGCGTAAAGACCAAAAGAACTGGGGGACATGTCGGTGCTTACGTCGGATATGCTGAGAGGAATTCAGCCAGCGAGCATGCGATACAAAGATTGCAGAAACCTGCAGTGACCAGTCCTAGAATTTTGGGGTCAGAGATGTATTCGAAACGAAGTAATCCTCAATCAACCTACCCCAGATAACACTTGTGCTTCCACCGGACGTAAGACTGATGGACAAACTGGCCGAAAGTGCAGTCCACGACTAGTCTCGTTAGCTGAATACATACCCCGGTCGCAATCCCTGTCTGACCTACATTAAGAACCGCGAAGGCTAAACCAAGCATTGACCTACAGCATGCAAACAGTCGTCAGTACCAGGCCTTGCATATGCTAGCGTATCCAGCTTACCATGTGGAATGAGTACGTTGGAGCTCAGGCCGATGGCCCATAGCCGCCAAGCGGGCATCGTCGTCTTGGAGTGGACCGTCTTTCATAGTTAGGATTCAAAGATGTGGAGAGTATTTACAAATCCAAGAGCCGGGGGAGATGATGAATCTAAGTATGTCTCCCATTCTAACGTATCAGGAAGGCATTGCCAGACGAGTTATCTTTGTTTCTGACAGGGGCTATTCCGTATGCGGGGAAGCTGTGTAGTCACTTATCTTGAGTGCTCGCGCTAAGGAGCTCGGGTGGTCGGATGGACTTGCCCAAGATCGTATAGTTCTGTCAACAATCAAAATATGGTGGAATGGGGCGAGGAAATTAAATGTTCCAATCGACCGAATTCTCAAGTAGAATGTAATCTCCAGAGATCGACGTTGAGTTATTTACAGAGTATCTTGCACTTTATCTCTGCACTGTGGATTTGTCACGCGTATTACTCTGGAGAGATAGTATGTTGTACTTTAGTAACAATGTTTTAGATGTATAGACATGGAGGGGATATATATACTATGGCCAACTCTTTCCCAGTCTTTTCCCTAACTACAGAACGATTCATCCTACAGGTATCAAAGCCCTTAATCAATACTAAAGGAGAGTTTGAAACAAAGGTAATGTACATTATACATTTTGAACAATATTTGGTGACTGTAAGATTGCTTCAATTCAGACTTATCAATTTCCGTGATGAAGCTGAGACAGCATTAACTCCCCAATATATGCCCATTCTCAACGCATGTGATGCCTTGGAATGCACCAAAGCCCAAAATCCTAAAGCCCAACCCCTCGAAACTCCGGCCAAACGCAAATCGCAAAGCAAAAACAAATTCCATCCTCCACTTCAAGACTACCAGCATCTTGAAGTATGAGTCGGATGTTTATCGAACGTTGTACATGTCAAGTGCATGTTGGACATCATGCAGACTATTCTTGTCGCCATATGCATCCATCAATTGTTGGTTTCGCGCCAGGCGTTCCTGTTCCTCCAGCATAGATTGTTCCTGCCGCGACTTGGCCGCGACGTAATAGTTGTATGCGCCGAAACCTGGGGCGAGTCAGTATGAACCACTACACCATCAACGGAATACGCATAGATTCGACCTACCCAGTCCTATTGTGGCCATCAGAGGAATGAGCCTAAAATCGAACAAAGTCAGTTGAATAGTCCGAAAAAAAGGGGGCGGCTCAACTTACAGCCGGCCATTCCGAAGCTTGAGGCTAGGAGTCGGGGGAGTTCCATATGATTTGTTGGCACCCGGGAGAGCAAATTGAGACATGTTAGATACGATTTGTAGAATGTTCCTATGAATCTTGAGGAGGTTGAAATGAAGAATCCAAGTTAAATGAATTCAAGCCACGGAAGAGGCGGAATGCGGGGGAATCGTGACGTGAAAGTCCGAGGATCGCTTCCGAGGATCGCTCCCGAGGTCTTATAGGCTGGCTGGACGATCATGCCACATTTCCAAGGCCTCATCATACAATTCATATAAAATTGCGTGTACGTTACGTTCCAATGATATCATGAAATCGTGTGATTCGCATGAAATGATTGAATCTCAGTCTTTATACTCGATATTTATATCGTTTCAAAAATGGCATTTCCCAGTATCATATGAGAGCTAGAACTTGCTGATGGTGCAAGTAAATTAATTGCCGTTGTTTTGAGGCGCAGGGGTGGCCGGACCCTCCGGTGTAACATAAGCCTGGCATAGTTCGTTAGCGCAATCCGGGGAAAACCACCCTACACATCACGCTTACCTTGGTCATTCCACCATCGACCACAAAATCCGTTCCATTCACAAAGCTACTTTCATCGCTAGCCAGGAAAACCACAGCATGAGCTTGTTCAATAGGTTCACCGAATCGGCCAGTAGGGAAGTGCACCTCCCGACGGAAACGCTTGGCCTGATCATCACCCAGCCAGTCCTGCAGAAGAGGGGTACTGTACCTTCGTGAGCTAATGTGAAAAGAAAAAAAATGGTTGTAAATGGAACTTACTTCAGGGGAGCGGGGCACAGAGCGTTGAAACGGAATCCCTCCCGGGCATGAACGATAGCCAACTCCCGAGTCATTGCCAGGACTGCACCCTTGCTCGCTGTGTACGCGAGCTGGGGAGTGGCAGCGCCAACCAAAGCAACCACACTAGCTGTGTTAATGATACTGCCACGGGACTTCTTGTGACGACGCAGACTGAGGACAGCGTGCTTGCTGCCGAACCAGACACCCTTAACATTGATGTTATGTGTGAGATCCCAGATCTTCTCAGGTGTATCGATAGCATCTGCGTCGTTCGCGTGCATAATTCCAGCATTATTGAAGATCACGTCGGTACCTCCCCAGCTATCCTGGGACTCAACCATTGCCTGTACGTCCGACTCCTTGGACACATCACATCGGATCGACTCAACTCGACCAGCGCCGGGAACTACCTCCTTTACTTTGGCCAATGCCTTGGCGAGAGCGGGCTCGGAGACGTCGGCCATGAGGACATTGGCACCTTCGCGGGCGAAGAGGATACTGGTTTCGAGACCGATGCCACTATTCAAGTTCAGAATCAGTTCATGCTGCTTTTTGTGTCCGTCTGGGATCAAACATGATACATACCCTCCAGCACCTGTGATGATGGCATTTTTGCCTTGAAGACGTCCTTGGGGAGTGGTGGCAGCCATTATGACCTTATCTTGGAGCTTTGTTTGTCTTGTGGACAGTCTAGGTTAGCAGTGGCTCAACTACCAAGACTACAGCAGTGTAGCGTCTCTAGAGGATACGGTATAGAGGGGGCTACTTACATCGACTGAGAATAGAAATAATATGGGAGTTGTCAATAATATCGAGTGTGTTGTACGGAAGGTATACGCGGGGCAGGGGCCCCTGGAGGTGTGGATCCCATTAAGTAAGCGGTGACGATGTTGGCCCGAAGCGGTAAGGCGTCACCGATATCTCGCTGATAAGCTTCCAAGCTGTCCAGGTGCGTTGGTCACTAGCCACTGGCTTGGAGTCTCTGAACTTGATTTACCTGATTTGGGGGCTGACTTGGAACGTGCCTTTTCTCTTTTTATCACTTTTCCCACTCAACCTTACCCTAGTTCTGTTCAATACTTTGGATCCTTGTACTTCTTATCTCTCACCCCTTAGACCCGATACATCATGTCGAGCCCCGCCGACCCCGAGGTCACAGCCGAGAACATCGCCGAAATCCTCAAGAATGACACGAAAGTGAAGGTGGCAGGAGTGGATGTGGATGGTATGCTGCGCGGCAAACTCATGAAGAAAGACAAGTTCTTATCCATCGTCACCGAGGGCTTCGGCTTCTGCTCCGTCATCTTCGGCTGGGATCAACATGATGCGACGTATTATAAGGAGCTGGCCATCAGTAATAAGGAGAACGGATATCGCGACCTTGTCGCAGTCCCAGATCTACGCAGTTTCCGTCGCATTCCTTGGGAGAACAATGTACCCTTTTTCCTTATCAGCTTCTTGGATCCAGACACACGGGAGCCGGTGTGCGCCTGCCCAAGAGGATTGATGAAGACTGCAGCCGCCAAAGCCGAAGCAGCAGGGTATCGGGCAATGGCAGGAGGTATGTCCGACCGCAAACTAGGTTGTGTGCAATTCAATAGCTGATCGGTCTGATTCTACCCAGCTGAATATGAATTCTACCAATTTCGCACGCCGGGTAACCATGCCAGCCCCGAACAGGGCGCATCTGCAACGGCAGCCTTCCTCCAGTCAAACCCAGTCGATTCATTGCCGTCGTTGACAGAAGGCATGTTTGGTTATTCAATCACTCGGCCGCTCCACAATCAAGATTACTACTATGGCATCTTTGACGCCTGCGAGAAGTTCCGATGTGATATTGAGGGGTGGCATACTGAAAGTGGACCTGGAGTCTATGAAGCTGTTAGTGACATGAGAGAGTGAGCGGGTCGCATTGGGACTAAACATCGTGATAGGCACTACAATTCGGCGAAGCGAAAGACATGGCCGACAAGGCGGGGTTGTTCAAGTATGAGTGTTCCTTTGCCAGCATTTCGTGTGCTTATATCATGGGTCCATTGCTAACCAGGATGTCCGCATAGATACGTCGTCAAAGCATTCGGAATCAAGCATGGCATCACCCCATGCTTCATGGCCAAGCCCCGACAAGGCCTGCCAGGAAACAGCGGACATATGCACATTTCGCTCGTCACGGCAGACGGAAAGAATGCCTTCATTCGGGATACCCCCGATGCTTCCCCGCTATACCCCGATATCGCTCATTTGTCCGACTTGGGTCGACACTTCCTGGCCGGCCTTCTCGTCGGTCTTCCGGACATTATGCCGATCCTGGCCCCGACGATCAATTCCTACAAACGCCTAGTGGAGAACTTTTGGGCACCGGTTACAGTCTCCTGGGGACTGGAGCATCGGGCTGCGTCAATCCGTCTGATTACCCCACCGACAGCCAGTCCAAAGGCAACCCGGTTCGAAGTGCGCGTACCAGGTGCGGATACCAATCCGCATCTCGTCCTAGCGGCGATCCTGGCATTAGGATGGCGGGGAGTCGAGAAGAAACTCGAGATCCCCGTGCCCCCTCTTGCCCGCGGCGAGGAGATGGGCGGAGCCAGTGATCAGGGTGTACGTCTGGCCAAATCCTTGAAGGAGGCGATCGTCACATTTACACGGCCGGAGAGTGTCGCACGGGAAGTCTTTGGCGATTCATTTGTCGAACACTTTGCCGGAACTCGAGAACACGAGGTGCGATTGTTTGAAGAGGCGGTGACTGATTGGTACGTAATATCATACACAGTGATGTCTACTTGGAGGCTGACTTGACATTTTCACAGGGAGATGAAGCGGTATATCGAGACCGTGTAAATGCCGCGTTTCCTTTGGTCGCTTTTCGGGTTAGGAGACGCGGGAGATGTCGGGGAAGAATTGTACATAGTCGCATTGGCCTAGAAATGGGCATGTAAGGGCGCGTAAGGGCACGGTGGCATACCTCAGATATATACCAAAATGACTTGATTGGATCGGAGGTTTTAAAGTTACAGTACCTAGGTGTCCCGGATTTTCGCCGGGGTCTATCTCCGCTTGTCTGAGGATCGGACAAGCTCGCCGTATCGGGACCTCATCCGGGCACCTGGGCATCCGCGTGGGCTTAGTAAGCCGGAGAACTGGGGACCTTCCAAATTCACAGACCCATGGCTCCCTGGGATTAGCCGCACAGGGTTGTTGACCCTATGTTGATCGTATTGCTCCCCTTCTCAATTGGTTGAATGGCTATGATATTGACATGTTTTCCTTTAGGGAGGGAGCTAGCTATCAGTACGGACGTACGGAGTACTAGATTCTCTATGTTGATCTTCACGTCATCGCCTATCAAAGATCTTCGCGATCAGCTTTCTACTGTACATCGACCGTCACATCGAACGAGGTAGACGGACGGTCAGAAGGTAGTGGAAGAACCTGGGCATATTTACAAGTCCTCAGGGTATACACTGATACAGGCTAGAGGTAGGAGGTCGCTGGCCACTTGTAGGATCGACTCCAATGGAGAATGGAGCTGCCAAATTAGTCTCACCTAGTGAAATTGTCCGTTTCCTTCATTAATCTGCTCGAGATTGCAACATGGCTGGTACAGTTAGAGTTCTCCGAATCGAAAAAAGACAGCTCAGATTATTCTGGAAAAGGATATTTGATTGCTAAGAGGAGACATCCCATTCATTTGGATTGTGAGGTATCATAGATACAAAGTTCATTTATACATTCAAGATATCTGATATGCCATGGCTTTGACGACTACGTTTGTTTCTCTTCTCAAACCCGAGTTCACGCCTTTGAAAATGCCAGAAGCTATCGTAGGTACGGCCGCCAGGGCCTTGTGAGAACCGCCTATAAAGGATCATGTTAGTGTGGTAGATCAATATCAAAGTCCTCAGATCGCTCTCAATGACTCAGTGAGCGATCTCTACAATAAGGTGGACCTCGGCCCGGGGGACCTCCACCTCCACCTCCAGGGCCGCTTCACCTGGCTTATGTAATTATCAGGTGATCGCACTTGGGGCATGCTCGGTCTTGCTCGGTGATCAAAAGGCAAGGCGGTGGGCACCGAACCCGAACAGGCGAACTTGCACGGCGTGAAAGTCGGGGTATTTGTAGAGTTAAGACATAATTTCGCTCCCGAGCGACATCACATGCGCTCACATGCCGACGAACACTGGGTGAGACAGAATACCGCCGGGACAAGTCGGATTCGGATATGACTCTTTTTTGAACCTTGCAAGATATGGTTGATCAGAGTGAGCCGCGGCTGATTGGAGATTCCGGGGCATGCGGAGAGTATTCTGCAGCCACTTTTTCGGGTGTAGCAGGGGTGGGTAACTTGGGATTGAGAAATCGTTCAAGGTTTTGCATATTAGATTGGAGAATTGGTCACTATCATTTAATACGAGGCAAGCTATATAACTTGTCAGGTCTTCCCAAAGATGACCAAAGTGAATTTGATAAGACTGCGCGGCGTACGCCGCTTTGATTGGGGGTGAGCGTGTTGAAGCTCCAAAAGACGGGGAGCGGGAAAAGTCGGCCGAGAGGAAGAAGTTTTCCGTGGGAAACTTCTAAGACCTTGTCGCCTTTACTATGGAAGACAAGAAACGGTCAAATGGGATTTCGGCTTATCATTGGGCGGGTCCAGAACAACCGCGGCAACTTCAGGTGGCTCTGACGTATTTGATCCCCTCGGGCAGATGGCTATATAGAAATATAGTCTCTTCCTTTTTCTTTTCAAATTGATTTTTATTTGTTCTGTACATGGACTCCTAGTCTGAATATCTATACACATATATACATCATGTCTCACGTTGAAACACAGCTCAAGGATGTCGCCATCCTGGGCGCTATCAATAACGATACTCGCAAGATCCTAACCAAGGACGCATGTGCCTTTTTGGCTCTGTTGCACCGCACTTTCAATCCCACCCGCAAAGCTCTTCTCCAGCGCCGCATCGATCGCCAAGCCGAGATTGATAAGGGCCACCTCCTCGACTTCCTCCCCGAGACTAAGCACATCCGTGAGAATGACGCCTGGAAGGGTGCTCCTCCCGCTCCTGGCCTCGTAGACCGCCGTGTCGAGATCACTGGCCCTACTGACCGGAAGATGGTGGTGAACGCATTGAACTCCGATGTCTGGACTTACATGGCTGATTTCGAGGATTCGAGCGCCCCCACTTGGGACAACATGGTGAACGGTCAGGTCAATCTGTACGATGCTATCCGCCGACAGGTCGACTTCAAGCAGGGTGAGAAGGAATACAAGCTCCGGACCGATCGCAAACTGCCCACTTTGATTGCCCGTGCTCGTGGCTGGCACCTGGATGAGAAGCACTTCACCGTCAATGGCGAGCCCATCTCCGGTGGTCTGTTCGATTTCGGTCTCTACTTCTTCCACAACGCCAAGGAGCTCGTCGCCCGCGGCGCCGGTCCTTACTTCTACCTCCCCAAGATGGAGTCGCACTTGGAGGCCCGTCTCTGGAACGACGTCTTCAACCTGTCCCAGGACTACATTGGTCTGCCCCGCGGAACTATCCGTGGTACTGTCCTGATTGAGACCATCACTGCTGCATTCGAGATGGACGAGATCATCTACGAGCTCCGCGAGCACAGCTCCGGACTGAACTGCGGCCGCTGGGATTACATTTTCTCCTTCATCAAGAAGTTCCGCCAGCACCCCAACTTTGTCCTCCCCGATCGCTCAGATGTCACCATGACCGTGCCTTTCATGGATTCTTACGTCAAGCTTCTCATCAAGACTTGCCACCGTCGTGGCGTTCACGCCATGGGTGGTATGGCCGCACAGATTCCTATCAAGAACGACCCCGCCGCCAACGACAAGGCCATGGAGAGTGTTCGCGCCGATAAGCTGCGCGAAGTGCGCGCCGGCCACGACGGCACCTGGGTTGCGCACCCTGCTCTGGCTTCTATTGCCTCTGACGTCTTCAACACATACATGCCCACCCCTAACCAGCTCTTCGTCCGCCGCGAGGAAGTGAACATCACCGCCAACGACCTCCTCAACACCAACGTCCCCGGCAAGATCACCGAGGAAGGCATCCGCAAGAACCTGAACATCGGCCTCAGCTACATGGAAGGCTGGCTCCGTGGTGTCGGCTGTGTCCCCATCAACTTCCTCATGGAGGACGCCGCCACAGCCGAGGTTTCCCGCAGTCAGCTGTGGCAGTGGACCCGACACAACGTCACCACCGCCGAGGGCAAGCGCATGGATAAGGCGTTTGCGCTTCGTCTGCTCCAGGAGCAGGCTGATAGTCTGGCGGCTAAGGGTGGCAAGGGCAACAAGTTCCAGCTTGCTGCTCGGTACTTTGCTGGCCAGGTCACTGGTGAGGACTACGCTGATTTCCTGACCAGCCTGCTGTACAATGAGATCTCTTCTGCCGGCAGTGCTGCTAAGCTTTGAGTGTGGCTGTGATTTTTATGATGATGAATACCCTTTGTTTCTTTTTGCCCGGTCTCACTTGAACATGACCTCTACCATTTGCCATCTGGAGTTAGCATAGTTGTATAAAATTATTTTACTTCGATCAATTTTTACCAGTGTAGCGTAGTGCATTGCTTGCTTTGTCTAGTTGAAAAACTTTTAATGTACAACTGCTCATTACTGTAGATGCTCATTATTGTAGTAAGATAACCACGAGAGGATTAGCCACCATCTCAGAGATCTGCTAAGCCATGAGCCTCACTTGATCAAAAATCCCTACGAGCTAGCATGGAGAATGCGCCCAATATCAGTGGTCCCACCTTATATAATACAGTTGCCAGCTATACCCTTGATATTGTCATAGTGGCGGAAATGCTGGTTGATAAACCCAGCCATCCCAAATGCCTATAGGACCTCGGAGACTACCCAATGGCAGTCGAAGAGAGTGCACTTTAGGATATCAGTGTCTTCTGAGCTTGGGCCCTGGATCGATGTAAAGTACTTGACATTAGCTAGGTGGTCGGAGCGTACTTGACGGCTTCATATAGTAGGAAGGGTATTATTTCACAAACATAAGTCTTGTCTTTGAAGGCTGATAATGAAATCTTCTATTAGCGGCATCGTTCTTTCCTACCCCGGGGCGTATATTTGCGCTGTATGGAGTCCTATAGATGATAAGAGAGGAGAGGTAGATGTAACTTTGAAAAACACACCTTGCCTTTGTTGTAAAAAGAAAAGAAAATAGTAGTAATTTTGATATCAATTAGTGTTTCTAAGGGTAAGAGCCTCATCAGTCGTTCGCATCTAGGCAGCAACTATATTTCTTGTCGCCAAAAGCGCTCCCAGTGCCTCTCTTTGCTACCAGATGCATGCACGCATGTATGTATAGAAAATCACTCACTGTGATCTGACTTGAATGGTTACAGTTTTGTTCAACCGGTCCTGCGAGGCAGGAATAGGTGCCTAATATTGTAAGGGACAAGCAGGAGTAGCTCATGATGGCAACACTAGACGCGAATGACCGGGTAAAGTTGCCTTTTGGTCAGGGATTACTGCAGGCAGGTCAGATGGCTTGTCTGTGTACTTGATCTGAATAGCATAAAAGGATCATGATGTCCTGTGTGTGCTTCTGTAGCTCAGACGATTCCCTCATTCCAGAAATAGCAAGGTAAGCCAACCACCTCCTTAGGACTCTTCAGCACGCCAGTTTCGTTGGTTTCATGTGAGAAGTCTATTAGAAACTAATGCGTTGTGTGTCAATGGTCCTCTATTTTTGACATTGTTTGACTTGCTACTAGGTATGCAATAGAAGATCTATATCACAAAACCTGTGGCATATACATGGCGCAGGGGCCAAGTGATAGATGACTAATTGACTAATGCGCCTCAAAAGGACCCCTCATCAGTCACGAGTTCGATATGCAATCCATCCTGACTCTTGTGTACTTGATGTGCTACTTGACCACGATGGTTGAAGGACTTACTCGTTACCATAACACGCCTCCGAGCGACGCGATCATCGTCCATGATAGACAATCGCTGAACGATCTGGTCAAGGTCAACCCGGAAACAATTCTCCATGCCGAGAACGGAGGATACTACCTCAAGGACATGGAAGAAGCGGTCGTTGCCATTACTGCTGACGACCTATGCAAAGAGCTTGACGTTGCCTTTGCGAGCATTGATGCCGGGGACATTGGCGAGGACTCTGAACCCGAGAACCGAGAATCCGAGTCTCTCGGAGGGGCAGATACCACGAAGAGGTCCGCTTCTTATTCTCACGATAAGCGTAACAAGTGCTCCCATCCTCGTTGCTTCAACTCTGCAACCTGTTTGACCTACTCAAATTGCCATGTGTGCTCCACGAGCACCCGGAAGGTTTGTATATAGAATGTGATGACGCATGGTTCTGAGACGAGGGAGACTTAAGAAGGCGCGGCCAGGGCAGATGAGGCCAGAAAGAAAAACCCCCCAAAAAACATGACTGAGAATACCAGCTATTTCAACAAGCTGAGTTTCTCCGTGATTTATTAGCTGAAGGGACTCCTGTGCCAATATGTGAGCGTTAATTGATATCGTTCTTTGGCTTACTGAAACCGCGTTATGTTGATTATATTCTACTGCGTGATGTTGTGGTATCTAGAAAAAAAACAAAAAGAGGCGTTCTGCTCGCCAAGCCACCGGGTCGTCGTAAGTACCAGTACGGAGTACAATATAAGCATTTACTAGTAATGACTAGTAGATCATAGCGTCACGTACTACATCTAACTTCCAGGGCTGGTGGCCTGCTGAGGTCAACGCCTCTCCTGCCATTTTTTCCCTATCGTCGAACAAGAGTGACATATTCGACTCTGAAATTCCGTTTGATTGGCTCTACTATCATTCGAATGGATAAAACGTGGGCTGTGCTCTGTTTCAATCACCGTAACATCTTGGTCACGGGATTTGCTTATTTTCAGTTCGACCATGGATCATCTTAACGTTGTGGGCTTGAAGACCGTGGTGTCTTTCAATCAAAGTTGATTCAGACACCAGTTTGCCCAGAAGATCCAAAACTGGTGCCGAGGAGAGATACCGAAACAAATACAACATCAACGATAGAAATATAGAGATATCCAACTGCATTCTCAATATCTTTCTCAGGGCCACACCTTAGCAGTCATACTATACATCCAAAATACCAAAATCCGGACTCAAACTCTTTAGATGTATTCCCAAGCGACGGGAGTGGTGGTGTTGACAGCAACAGCCAGAGCATCGAAACCGAGGCAGTCACTAGTCTTGCCAGTGGGGACAGTGGCATTCTTCAAAGCAGCAAAGACCTGCCACTTGGGGGCGGCAGCAGCGCCCCGACGAGAACGGCGGTAGGTAGCGGTATTGTTGCTAGTAGGGCAAGCCATGAAGCCGGATGCACCCTGGCCGTTGTAGCTCCAGTGACCGAAAGACGAACCGGGAGTGTAGACGAAAGGACCATCGGAGGAGCCAGCAGGCTCGTAGGCGGAGTGGGGAGAGGTAAAGCGCAGAGCACCCTTGTTATCGACGTAGATGGCCTGGCCACCGGGGACCTCGACATCCTAGATAAAAAGTCAGCGAACAGGAACACTGGAACGACAAATGGGTGAGCCACTAACCAAGAAGTGGCTGTTGGCAATCACAGTCTGATTGGTGTCGGGAATTCCGGGGATGGGAGAATAAGTTTGGGCGTGACCACCGAGCCAGAAGTAGGTGCCGGCGGCATTGAGAGGCAGCAAGTGGACGGGAGAAGCGGAGCGAGCAGAAATGACGCTGAAGGCAGCGTCAGAGCTCTTGGGCTCCTTGGAGCCGGGGATGGCTGCCACAAGAGGGGCGAGAGCGAGAATAGCGGAGAACTTCATTGTGAGGAAGAAAGGTATAGATTGGATATTGAATAAGAGAGATAGAAAACTAGGAAGAGACTTGAGCGGATCTACCAGGGTCATATATAGGATGGGCACAGAAAGGGACGTGCTTGAGTAACTCCATAAGCGAATTCATCGGAGAAAACTTCTGATCGACATAGGATTCTGGTGGAGTCGAAACGAAGAAACAAGAAACAGAGAGAAATGAGTGATCTACACTATAAGCCCAGGATGATATGGAGCCACGAGGCCCAAAATGGGAAGAAAGCCGAGTCAGCGAGTGGTAGCAAACAACTCGAATACAATCTAGGTATAACGCAACATAATGTCTCTACCCACTGTACACTTAGTCCATTAATGGTTTCGCATTCAGGAACATGATAGGATCCAATTGATTGCAGAATCTCCACTGAACATCGGATCAAATGGGATCCCGCACATGATTTTTCTATCTCGATTGTTTACACCGTCATCTTCCTCCATCTTGTGCTAATTAACACCCAAGCAGACAGAATTACCAGATGGCACCCCAATTGATTCGAAACATACACGGTTGAAACACGAAGATCCCAATAGAAGAGCGTAAAGAGCTGTTTCAGAGAAGTCATAAAAGTTCGACAGCGAGTAGGGATCGACAGGACTTATCGGAACTCCGACAGATTTTGCCTAATAAGAAGAAGAAAACGGCAACCTCTAAGCTGCGCCATATGGGATCCACGATACCCACATTGTCTCAGGGCACATCGTGCTTGACATTATTGGTTTGTGCCCTTAGTTGGCGTGATCTAGGGGTGATACCTGTCCGATATTGTGCATATATACATCATGAGTCGTGATATTGCAATCTTTGATCTAGAAGTTCTTGAAATAGTCTCGATTTAATATATTAATCTAAATCATATAACTGTGACAGTCAATCTGACGCCACCAACTTTAATAATTCTTATGTACATCAATCTATGGCGCTATATAATTCTATCAAGGACTTCGAGCTATACATAATTGAACATGATTAGACCTAATATAGCCACCCCTCTTACCAGCACTACCATGTGGAGTTGTGAGGTGAAATCATGATAATAATAGAACTGCGCTATCAGAGTGGTCAATACCGCAAAGTGAAACATAGACATTACATTATTCTCTATTGCGGAAGAAGGATTACAACATAGGTTGCATGATAATCTCATACCTCGATGTTGACAAAAAGGGGCATACCACGTTGGATATAACATGATGTCAGGTGACCCACCATTTTCTCCGTGACGCGTTGGAGATAGGACAAGACTCAATCTACTCCTGGCCAAACTTGTCCTCGATAATTTCCAGATACAGTCTGCAAAATCATGGGCATCAAAGATTGAATGGCTTCCCCACGTGCCAAGGCCGATGCCTCGCGCTCTGTCAAATCCTCTCACCCTCCTACGCGTCGCGGCTATACGTCACTACAGAATCCACCGGTCGAACACTCAACATCAGAGAGTAGTTCTGGACAAAATGATGGCCTGGATACTCCTTCGAGTGGGGATGAGTCCTCTGAGCGGTCCTACATAAAACTTCGATCTATGAAACACGGCAGAGCTCGAGATGCACGACCCTCGAGCTCCAAAACAAATGGCTCGAACCCCGCTCCCATCGATATCCCTAGCGACAAGCGTGACGTTTCAAAGCGCATAAACGATCTTCTCGAGGCGGATCGAACCGCGTTGTCGCATTCATTCGCTACAGATTTGGAGGAAGGGCACTCGGACAGAGACTCTCTGCTTTTCAGTGATCGATACAGTGACGACTATGGCAACCCACCTGATAAGAGCTTGCTCTTGAAAGACAAAAAGAGTGAAGATGGACACAAAGGATCTGACTGGAGGTCATTATTCCGTCTGCATTCTTGGTGGAATGTTACCGGCATGTTGATAGTCGCGGTACTGGTAGTATGGTTTTCGATCAGAGGTTTACCCTGGTCATCTACCAGAGCTGTCAGTGACGAATTCGTAGGTTCTCGCTCTTCAATCGGTCGTTTGAAAATCTGGACCTAATAATGGTAGAAAACGGTCCCCTGGTACCCGACTCCCCTCGGCGGAACAAGTGAGCAATGGAAGGAAAGTTACGGCAAGGCACAAGAAATGGTGAGGAGAATGACCCTCGCCGAAAAAGTGAACGTTACAACTGGAACAGGTTGGCAAATGGGACTTTGTGTTGGCAATACCGGTAAGCGCTTGATTTACTATCAATACTGTGGCTGTGCGTACGCTTACACGAAAATTGCGTTATCTAGGACCCGCCGAGCTCGTCAAATTCCCTTCTCTTTGCCTCCAAGACGGCCCACTCGGCCTCCGATTTGCGCAAAACATTTCAGCCTTTCCCGCAGGGATCACCACCGGTGCGACATGGAACCGCGAACTCATGAAAATGCGGGGCCTAGCTCTAGGGAATGAAGCGCGGCTGAAAGGCGTTAATATAATCCTTGGTCCATCCATGGGGCCGCTCGGCATGATGCCTGCCGGCGGTCGTAATTGGGAGGCATTTGGCTCAGATCCAGTTTTACAAGGCGTGGCTGCAGCAGAGACAATTCGCGGTATCCAACAGAACGGAGTTATGGCCACCGCAAAGCACTTTATTGGCAATGAACAAGAACACTTCCGTCAGGCATTTGAATGGGGTACACCAACTGCACTTTCATCTAATATCGATGATCGTGCATTGCATGAGGTATTTGCCTGGCCCTTTGCCGAGAGTGTACGTGCCGACGTGGCTAGCGTCATGTGTTCCTATCAAATGGTCAACAGCAGTTATGCTTGTGAGAACAGTAAACTCATCAATGGGATCCTGAAAGATGAGCTGGGGTTCCAAGGGTTTGTGCAGTCAGACTGGCTGGCTCAGCGTTCAGGCGTGCACAGCGCCATTGCGGGCCTAGATATGAGCATGCCCGGTGACGGTCTTAGTTGGGCCGACGGGATCCCGCTCTGGGGGAGTGAATTGACTCGGGCGGCATTGAATACATCTGTTCCTATGGAGCGTTTGAACGATATGGTTACTCGCATCGTGGCCGCCTGGTACCATCTCGGACAGGACTCATGGGAACCTCCTGCACCTGAGGGCGACGGCGGCCCGAACTTCTCCTCCTGGACAAAGGAGCGGGTTGGACATTTGCACGAAGGCTCACCGGATAATGAGGCAACTGGCGTAGTCAACAAATTTGTCGACGCACAAGGAAAAGGCGATCACGCTCATTCTATCGTTGCTCGCCAGATCGCTGCGGAAGGCACTGTGCTTTTGAAAAACATCAATAATACCCTTCCACTCTCGCGGGAAAAGTCTACACCCAATGGCAAATACCGGGTCGGTGTATATGGCGAAGACGCTGGTCCCGGCCAAGGACCAAACTCCTGCGTTGACCGAGGATGTAATCAAGGAACCTTGGCATCTGGTTGGGGTAGCGGAGCTGTAGACTTTCCATACTTGGTCAGCCCATGGGAAGCACTGCAGCATGCGTGGTCGAAAGACTCTGTCGATGCCAAAGCTTATTTGACGAACAATGTTGCGCCCCAAGACCTCACAGAGCAGGATCTCTGTTTGGTCTTTGTGAATGCAGATGCCGGCGAAGGGTTTATTCGCAGTGGTGGGATTGATGCAGACCGAAATGACCTGTTCCTACAAAAGAACGGCACTCAACTAGTGGAGGGCGTAGCCAAGCACTGCGGAGGTGGCCAAGGTAAAACAGTGGTAATTGTACACTCCGTTGGCCCCGTTGTGATGGAGTCATGGATTGACCTTCCTGGGATACACGGTGTGTTGTACGCCAATCTGCCCGGGCAAGAAAGCGGGAATGCGTTGGTGGACGTATTATTTGGGGATGTTGACGCCAGTGGACGGTTGCCATACACCATCGGACGAAGTCTAGAAGACTACGGTCCAGGGGCACAAGTACTTTATGAGCACCCAGACTCATCCATTCCCCAAGTCAACCTCGATCAAGGCCTGTATATTGATTACCGTTATTTCGACAAGTTCAACATCACTCCCCGGTTTGAGTTTGGCTTCGGCCTGTCCTACACAACCTTCGACTATACTGCACTGAGCATTGAAAAATTGCAGAAGAAGTCTCAATGGCCTTCGAAACGGCCCGCAGACGAAGTTGAACCTCCCTCATACGACAACAAACTGGAGAACCCCACTAGCAATCTATTTCCTCCAGGTTTCCGCGCACTCCGCAAATACATTTATCCTTACCTGGCCACCCTAGAAGGGACCGAGCCCGGCCCATACCCATACCCGGAAGGATACAGCAAATCCCAGAACCCATCCGCTGCAGGCGGCGGACCAGGAGGGAATCCATCGCTCTACGAGCCCATGCTCGAAGTCACTATTGAAGTGACAAATACCGGCCCCCGCGCAGGACAAGATGTGATACAGGTGTATGTTTCCTTCCCCGAGGATGTCGCCGAGCATCGTGGACTGGGCTGGTCCCGTGAATCGATTGAATTTCCTGTGCGTGTTCTACGGAATTTTTCGAAAGTACTCCTTCAACCAGGCGAGACTAGAAATGTCAAAATGACGTTGACCCGGAAGGATCTCAGCTATTGGAGCGTTCGCGCGCAGAACTGGGTGCTGCCTATAGAAGGCAAATTCCGTATTTGGGCGGGGCGAAGCTCTAGAGACTTACCCCTCGTGGTCGAATTCTGATCCTTTGCTGGTCTTGAAATACTATTAATATTGTGAACGGCAGACCTGTGCATTGTCTTTGTGGGTTAGCACCCCAACACGGCGTCACGTCCTTCGATGCCCTCCCTCACTTATAGCTCACGATTTCCGTGGATCAGAGCAGAGAAGATATAACTGAATAGAAGTAGCTCAGTCTATTAGAACCTATACTGATCAACCCCCTGTTAACGGTAAAAAGGCAAGCGGAGAAGAGAGTATCTAGCCTTAGTAGGACTTCTACTGGCTTTACTTCTTTCGGCCTCAGAGCTGTACTAATTTCACACACAAGTACTAAGATCATCGATAAACAACATCAAAGTGACACATATATACTCTCCCCCTTCTCATCATACCTGACCCCAGACCATGTACCCCGGGATCTGGCTGGACTGGCCAATCGGCTCCCTCGGCTGATCTTTTGAGGAAACGCTGCTCTCGGACGCCTTCAGCGATCTGGGAAAAATATCTCAATACTACATTGCCACTCAAATAATGATTCTTTTGTGCGCTAAAAATAAGGGAAGCTTCTCTTTTGTCGACCTTGTATTTATGATTAAATCCAGACTCTCTTCAATTCTCTAAGTCAGTCTTATGATAGATAATATCTGCAGGACCAGGAACGGAATTATTCCGCTGTGATTGAACCGTTCTCTATAAACCACGATGGCCCTTTCGGCACAGCATCCATCCATCCTTGCTCTTTTCTTATCATGATCTATTTCGCTCGCAACTATTTGACGCCAGGAGTGTGTCTAGTGCCAGGTCCTTCTTGGCAAAGATCTTCAACCTTTAGAGATTCTTAGACGTTGCGAATGGAAGGAGTAAACACTATACAAACTACACCGGAGACATAGGGATTATGTACGACTCATCCTTCCAAGTATTTCTTTCCAGCTCTGTATGGATCATCCCTCCTGTGTACTGTATAGTTGGTTTGTAGCATGTTTTGGTTCAATTTATTGCCTATCAACTATATGAAAGTTTCATTCGATCTTCTCGTTCACCAGAATAGAGGAGTTCTTTCATCGTCCACTTCTATAGACAGAAAAGAAGTTCACAGAAAGAGAATTATCAAAACTTACCCGGACATTTTGACTATCTGAGCAAATGATGAACCACCGTATGTATGGTCTTCTCTCTCACCTAGTAGAGTTGAATCAAATGGGTTCTCTCTCCTCAAGGCATGCTGGAGCCAAATTTCGCTCCTTCATGACCACATCGGCCCATTCCCTTACCTCCGGCAAACAAATGTCATCAAGTACATGATAGAACTCCGAAAGATCCCGCCCAAGACTCCTCTCATATTCAATAGTCTGCAGTACCATCTCCAACTTATCAATATCATGCACAAACCTAGCTTCAAGCGTACGGTTCTCCTCGTACTCCTGGAACAGCCCTAACACTCGCTCAGACGCATTTGCACATCCTGGCGCAGAGCCTAGCAAAGACTGACCTATATACTCCATTGTTGCTGTCTCTCTCCGCGATTTCTCCTGTTTAGTGATATGCGTATGCAGCGGGGTAATATCCCCGACGAGACACTCGGCCATGTCGTGCACGAGACTCATTTCGATACATCGGGCGATACAGAGTTGAGATGCTAGCGGGGGTGGGCAGAACATCGTCATGATGGCCATACGGTACATATGTTCCGCGATGGATTCACCATGCTTGATGCCGGCTTGTTGCCAGCCTTCTCTTTTCGTAGTTTTGAGGAAGGCTAGGAGATGGAAGAAGGGAATTGGAGAAGTGGTGCCCTCTGGAAAGGTGGAGGGAAGTGTAGATACAACTATACAAATTTAAGCCAAGTATCATTGTTGTTGAGTAGGGGTATAGCTATTTACCGGATCTTGGGTCCCATTCCAGTGGATCAGGATCAATTGATCCCATCTTCGTTTTTTCAGACTGGTAGAGAGTTGAAGACGTGGATGAATCGTAACGCCTAGGGTAAACAATGGAGAGGATAAGAGCTACAGCAGGTAGCCTCAGATTGAGTATAGTAGCGGCGAAGTGGCTACGTGGAAGACTAGGGCTTGCTTTGATTCTATTACCTTAATATATACATCAACATGGTTGAATATAACAGCATGGCATTGCTACAATGTGACAATCATTTCCAGTTACGTCGGATGTCGATTTGATGATTGACATAGGGCACGGTGGGTCGAGAGGCGATGACACCATCCATAGTTTACGCGTGGAACTCCTTGCTGAAAGAGCCTTGTTTGACTTGCTTTTTGTGGTTACCTACATTTAGGCATATACCAAACTATCGAATGAGATGAGTTTCTATCAAAGTCAGGCATTCTCCAGTTACATCATTTACTACAGGAAATACGAAGCATGCTACATTCGGCCAAGATTGCTGTTATGTTTTCAGCTTCTAGTATGGAGAACTGCACATAACTTCTTGATCACTATACCATCCAAGACGTCATTTATTTGCTTGGATCCGAGTACCGTAACAGGAGGTCAGATGCTCCGTTGAGAGCCTTTCTTTAATGGAAGTCATTGATCTTTGCGAAGATACTTATAAAACGCAAGCATGGCTTTATAAGAGCCATTGAGAGCCCTGCAACGCAATGATCTCATTGAACTAGATGCAGCAATAGCGGTCAGATTTAGGACAACGATGGATGCGTTTTCATGAGGCAACAGCGGTGAGAAGACTCGATCAAATGATTCTATCACCTAGTATATCGTGTCTATACGTTGCAGAAGGCTCGCATATGTGTTTCATATTCTGCTAGGGTTGCAGGTGGTGAGCAAATTGAAGTGGAAATTCCGGTCCTGATTTGATGGGCAGAATGTGTTACGTTATGGCTTAGGTAGCCAGGCATAGAATCCAATATTTGCCATATTATCATAGTATAGAACTATATATGTATACTACAATCCTCTCTTTATCTCTACTATCTACGAGCAGAAATCATACCATCATCACATTCTACAATGACGATCACTGCAGAGGAACTTTTTGATGAACTTGGCCAGAAGTATGAGGATATCTACGTCGATAATCCTGGCCTCGAAGACATAGTCCAACTTGCCTTAGCAGAGCTCAAGCCGAACAGTCAAGTTCTTGATGTTGGTTGTGGCACTGGAAAGCCGGTAGCAAACCTCATTGCCAGCGCTGGTCACGATGTCCATGGCATCGATGTCTCACAGCAAATGATCAACATCGCCAAAAAGCAGATCCCCGGTCGATTTGAGAAAAAAGACATGTTGACTTTTGAGCCGGAGACCAAGTTCTCTGCCATCTTTGCTATTTTCTCCTTGTTCCAACTCTCGCATAGCGAAACCTATGCCATGATGTTCAAGTTTTCCGACTGGCTGAGAACAGGTGGTCTTCTTGTTCTGGGAACTATACCCAGCACAAGCCTCGTTAAAGACCAGAGTCTTTATGATCCTACAGGGCAGGTCGTTCGACATGCGGAGATTCTGTTCATGGAACGGAAGTACTTTGGAACTTTGTACTCCCAGAAGGGATGGCAGAATCTGTTCCAAAAAGCTGGCTTTGAGATACAAGTCGAGAAGTTCTACTCCTTTACTGATCACCAGCCGTATAAGAATGAGATTCAGGAACACTACCTTATCATCGCAAAGAAAACTGTGGATCATGCACTTATGGGGCCTTACCCTCTTCCGACCTCGTATCGCGGGCCACATCCGCTCAGTGAAGGTGCCTGGGCTCCTTTTGCGAACAGACTAGTTCGAGATGAATTCGATGCCGTACTGGACCTGTTGAAAGATAATCAGAATATTCTCGATGTTGGCAGCGGCTACGGAAGTGAGTTATACACACACCATTTTGCTTTTAGAAGAGCTTTGACACTTAGTTTCACTCACAGAGCTTCCTATCGCCATCGCTGAACGAGGAGGCAACGCCTTTTCAGTTGAACCAAATGCTGAACGAAACTCTCTCCAAGTGAAAAATGCACACGGCGTTGAAATTCGTGCTGGATCAGCTGAGAACATTCCATTCCCAGATGCAAAATTCGATGCCGTCGTCGCCATGTGGGTACTGCATTATGTGGATGATTTGGAAAAGTCACTTCGAGAGATGGTACGAGTCGCGGATCGTTCCAACCCCAATGCTCGAATCATCATCGTACAGGGAGCACCGGATAATCAGCTCGTGAACCTGTTGAATGACGTTTGTGGTCCCCTCAGTGCTGAAAACACTCGCGTTGATCACCAGGGGTATCTTCTACATGTTGCCGCCAAGGTCTTTGCTGAACATGGGTTTGGCAAAATCGAAACTTCCCGTGTTAATGCTTTCTGCGCCTTTCCTGAGGAAGATCTGGCGGAGAGATGCCAAAAGGCAGCCGAGGTACTTGCCGGCTTCTGGTTCAAGGAAGACCCGAATTATGAGCAAATGGAGAAAGCGCTGATTCCCCATCTTGAGCTACATTTCAGAGACCGTGAACACGCTGTTGGAGATGAGGTTGCGATTCTAGTGGCAAAGCCCCTTCCAAACTGAGACTCAATATGACTGCCTGGAGATATGGCTGGGAATCATTTCGGGAATCCTTATTTTAAAGTGAAGATAAGCCCGTCGGGCAATATAATGAGAGACCAGATTTTTGACAGAAACGTACTACCTCTGGATAACCCGGGAGCGAATTTTAGTTTGGATGCTAATACAGGCAACTCGAGACTACCGCATGTTTAACCAGCAGGTGGAAGGTAGGCAAAGGGACAAAAGTAGATTGCATTCATAAATCTATATAAACCCAAAAATGCTATTAACCACGCTGGGCAAATCTACTTCGCCTCCGCAACTCCGGCCCAAGCCAGTACAACAAAAACATGCCTCCCACACAGCCCACGGTAAGACCCGCCAACACGGTCGCCCCCTGGCTATACCTAGATGATCATACATAGGTCCGGACACAAGAATCGCCCCAAATGCGAGATATGCACGACACATATCATTGATCGCAAACAGACTGGCACTATAGGTGACATAAGCCACGGCAATGTAGCTGAATATACACTGAAGAACAAGCGCCATGCCTGCTACCTCCAGGACCATACCCACCGTCGGGACTATCCAGTGGATGGATTCACGCGAGGTCCACGCAAAAATAAACAAGCCAATAGGTACAAGGATACTTCCAAAAAGCGCGGGAATGAGTCTTTTTTCTGGCTGGGGAACTTGACCCCGACGAAAGTCCCCGTTCAGGGAGTAGTGGGTGAACCAGAAGTAGTATGGGATGACTACGACGGTACCCACGATTGCGGCCAGGAAGATCAGACCAAGCTGCCCAAGGGTCATATGGTAAATTCCAATGTATACGAGCGGCAGGACCTCGAAGTACGAGTAGAAGATGGCGTAGACAAGCCCGATATAGATCGTGCTGAAGAGAATGGCAGGGTCCAGCGCATTGATCTTCCAAGGAATGACCAAGGCCTGGTAAAGAGTTTGCATAGTCGAAGTGTTTTTGACCTCAATCTCGGACTGGGATTGGAAGGCCGGGTTGCCTGTAAGAGCTCGGAGCCTTTTTGCGCGCAGATGTAGAATGGCTGGACCGGAGGTCTCGGGCAGGAAGATGAGAAATACAAAACAGATGCCTGCGGCCCAGAGAACTTCCCACATAGACCAGTGCCAGCCCTTCACGGGGACACTAAAGCCTGCAATAACTGGGGCGACGGCCGGACCTGCGACGGAGCAAGTCCCCCAGATGTAGAGGCCATACGGAAGATTCGCAAGGTCAGTAACGTCGGCGATGGATGCGCCGCCGGTAGCCAGCCCGGGGGAACCAAAGAAGCCCTGCAGAAACCGCAAAATCAAAAAACCCGGGACATTATTAACGAGCGCAGTCGGAATACTGAGTAGTAAAAAGACTGTGACAGAAATCCCATAAGGCGGATTGCGACCTATTGATGGGATTTCTGAAAGGGGACTGAAAATCATAGGCCCTGTACCATACCCCAGCACAGACAGTGCCATCCCCATGGCGCTCACAGAGCGATTTACGCCGAACAGTGTCATGAATTCTCCCTCTGCAGGCGAGAAGATGGCGACTGACATGTAGACCATGAATGTGAAGAGGTTGACCGAAATACACACCAGGAGCTTTGCGGCGATTGACCAGTTATGCGGATTGTCAGGGTCCTGATCGGAATACCAGTCGACTCTAATTGACCCATCGGACATAATTGTGGGTTCGTTCCATAAGGGTTGTTGCTGCTCTTGTTGCTGTTGCTGTATCACGGATGGGCTCTGTGCCTTGACCTGAGTGCCTGTTCTTGCTATCAACGATGGTGTTCCTCATGAGCGGGTTGAGACCCTCCAACGTACTGCCTTCGGACACTGATTCATTTCCGATGTGGGTCCCCTTCTCACCCTCTAGTGTGCTCGACTGGTCATGAGGGATATTGCTGCCAGCTGCAGCAAGTTGATATGCCCGGGGTAACTTAAACTCTGGCCTCTCCTCAGTGGGCTTAAACAGACAACCCCTCGAGAGCCAGCGGCAGATCAAGCCAACTGGAGAGTTAGTGAGGATGTGAGCCATGAGGCTTCGTGGAGGGAATTGGAGGGGAGAATAGATGGATGAATTTTGGTGTTTGTCTGCTTTGGGAAAAAAACCACGAAGCCAGGCATATGGTACGATTTCACACCAATGCCCTTTTAGCTAGACATTGGAAAGATCCTACCCCTAGAGGGTCATCGTACATGACCCTGCATGACCCGCCAAGGAACCTTTACATAACAACGCCAAATGGGGTATATGAATATGAGAATCTATCCCATGTGATGTTTTCTCGCCGGTATTGTTCCCATTGTTCTTTGGGAACTCGTGGGTCACCCAGGGATCTATCCCATGTACAAACAACCCCGCGAGATGCAAGGGGGTGGTTCTCACAGCCAGCCATTGGCCTTATGGTCACTGTGGAAACCTCGGACACAGGAATGTTCGCGTTTGAGGTTGCATTGCCTAAAGAAATCGAGAAAATTATAGAAGTCGACATCTACCGGCATCCTAAGGTTCAATGAAAACAGGAATAAGGTTGCTTCCGGAAGGCTATCGGCCCGCTGGGACCCACAGGTTAACGAAACATGGAAAACATCTCGATATACAAAGGGTATACTTACCTACATACATCCAGTAGGATTTTATATTACCTTACGATGAAGGTCCAGACCCGATCGTATACCACTCTACAGAGTTTGATTGACCAGACGTTCGTTAGCATCGAATCGGTACGGTGTAGTTTAGCCTCTTGCAAAGTAATCCAATTGGGAATCACCATGGGGCTGAAAATCGTGACGTAGAGGTTATTCTTCTGCCTAGCTGAGTTTCATCATCAAGTATGATCGAATATCAGGTAGGCGGCACGACTTTTAGATGACATGCTTTTACTTCCAGGGGAATTCTTTGAGGCCTATTATCCCCAGCAATAAAGATTCACAAACTTCATGACAGTCTATCACTACAATGTAAGCGAGAGATGACCTAAGAGCTCTTTAATTACGGATCATGTACTCTGTATCCTAAGAATGAATTATACACATACGTGAGTGGGGACGGGAGGGTGATATTCCTTAGGCGATCCTAGGCGATCCCTTGGCGATCCCTTAGTGTTACCTCCTTACTTCCCTACTATGTACAACACCACCAAAAACTGTGCTAGATGCGAAAGAGCTTGTGTTCATCACAAATCTCACTTGCCACAATGCTGCTTACCTCCAATCCGTGGCGAGACAAAAATCAGGTTGGCATGGGTCGCTCTTTGAGATAGATACAAGCTGCCAATGGGCTTCAAATTGCCATCATCTTGAATCCGAGCCTCTCTAGACTTAGGGATTCTACTTTCAGTCCCAGAATAAAGTAGTGAACATAAGAGTATGTGCTTGTTCTGATTTGGATAGACTGTGAATTTTGTGCTTCAAATTTAGAAGTACATAAGTGTCTTCCATGAATTCAGCGCTCCGCAGAGCCCACAAAGCTCAAAGCCCAGCCCGCTCAAATCCGCTAATGGGCTGGGCCTTAATGGGGACCTATTAAGGCCTGAAAATACCAAACAAGACAATATTGCGAAAAACGCGACTTTTTTTGATTACTCTGTGTCTAGACCCCTTTTCTCGCCTTCATCTAGATTGATATACTTTATATATTATATATTAATACTAAAGTATATTGATTACATTTCGAAACGCGAAAAAAGGCGTAGTTTTTGTAGAAGTTCACCAAGAAAGTAATAGCGTTTCTACTTAGATCGAGAATATATATCTGATGTTGGAACATATATTGATAAAATTTTCGACTTCCATTGTTGAGATTTATTGATAGATATATAGTGATATTATACATTCTAAATCAAAAATCTTTCTGATCAGTAGAAGGGTCAGAATACGGTGACGAAAAGTCCCTAGTTAACCCCCCTACTCAATAGGCTGTAATGGGGACCTGATACGCCGGCTGCCGGTGGGGTTGAGCTTCGAAGGTTGAGCCCATAACCCACTACTGGTTGGGCTATGGGCTATGGGCCCGGGCCCATTTGTGGGCTTTGCGGAGCGCTACCTCGGTCTCGTTTCAGTCGCAAGCGGAACGAGGGATGAGTGTTGAACTAAATTGACCGTAGTATGTCTATTCTACCAAGCAAAGCCATATTGAGACCAGAGAAATGATACCGAATGAATAACGTAGAAACTTTTGCTTTGACATGGCAGACACTGAGGTATCTACCCGAAACATGTACAGTACTGGAAAGGGCATATAACAAAATCTATGCCGGGAAAATCAAAATAACAAAACGCCGAAACACCGTCTATCAGATCCAATGCGGACCAAAACATTAACATGGCGCTCATGATGCGAGGATATAATCGAAATCATTCTCTTCGCGATAACGAATCATAATGTTGAAGCAGGCGGAAGCACGTTTATTCGTCGTCGGAGTCGACGGGCTTGGGAGTACCCTTTGGGGGAGTTCAACTAGAAGACAAGTTAGCATACTGTGATGAGTAGACACGAACGAGAAAAACTCACCCATTCAATGTAGCGCAGACGACGGCGAATCTCACGCTCCTTCTGCTGAGCACGGGTCATCTTCTTCTTCTTCTTGGCGCGGAACTTGAGATCGCCTTCATCACCAGAGTTGACGGCAGATGGGGCGGCACTGGTAACGGCAGAGCCAGTGGCGGGGGTGCCAGGACCGGAAGGCGAGTTGGTAGCGCTGTCCTCGAAGCGGTCGAGGCTGACGGCGTTGTTGGTACGGCTGACAACACGGCCATCGGCAATGTGCAGTTGCTCGGGGCAGAGAGCACCCACGAACTCCTCGTTGTGAGAAATCATAACAACACCACCCTTGAAGTCACGGATGGCAACAGCCAGACCACCGAGGGAATCACGATCCAAGAAGTTAGTAGGCTCGTCCAGGACCAGCAGATGGGGATTGTTCCACATGGCACCAGCAAGGACGACCTTGACCTTCTGACCACCGGAAAGACCGGAGATCTCGTTGTGGTTGGCGATCTCGGGATCCATACCAATATCCTCGAAGTGCTTAGTGATGGTCTTGGGGTCAAGGACACGGAAACCCAGACCTTCACGGGAAGCCTCGTGATCGTCGAACTCCTGGATCAGCTTGAAGAAACCCAGCTCGAGCAGGGTCTCGCGAGAGATCATGGTGTTGTGCTTGGGGAGAAGGCCAACCCACTTGACCTCATACTGGAAGGACTTCTTCCACTTCTGACGACCAATCAAGGTCTCAATGCGACGGGCACCACGACCATCCCCTAGGTCAACCGGCTTCTCCAGCTGTGCCTTGTCCTCATCAGTCAGGATACGGGTCTGCTTCATGAAGACTTCACGATCATCACCGTTGGCGTAACGCCACTGGAGGTACTGGCTGGGAGTCTTCTCCAAATGCATCTCCACGTGCTCCAGAGCGTGCTGCTTGATGTAACCAATACGCAGGTTGGGGTGCTTCTCAACCTTTCCACTCTGGGGAATGGTCTCACCAGTCAGAATCTTGATGAAAGTGGACTTGCCAGCACCGTTTCCACCAATGATAGCAACACGGGAGGAGAGCGTAAGCGAGAGCGAGGCATCGTGCAGCGAGGGCTTGGGAGCGCCGGGGTAGGTATAGGAGACGTTGGACATGCGCATGATAGCACGAGTCTGGGACTTGATACCAGACAAGATGCCGGGAGGAGGGAACTTGAACTGCACATTGGATGCAGACAAAGTGTAATAACTCTTGCCCTCGGGTTTTTGCTTGACAAATTCGGCAAGGTTACCCTTGTAGCAGACAAGTTTCTTGCCCTCGTAGTGGTAGATGTCCGTGCAGACTTCATCGAGGAAGCCGGAATCGTGACTGACAATCAAACTGGTGATCTCGGTGTGCGACTTCAGGTACTCCTGCAGCCACTTGACGTTTGCCACATCCAAGTGATTAGTAGGTTCGTCAAGAAGGAGCACATCAGCCTTCTGGAGCATGGCACGGGCCAGAGCCAGCTTCATCTTCCAACCACCGGACAAGGAGCCCACGGGCTGGGACTGGCGGCCCTCGGGGCCATCAGTGAAGCCGAACTCAAGGAGAACATCGCGAATGTGGTCCATGCCCTGAGCAACAATCTTAGGGTCCTTGGCCACGTATTCAAGAATGGTCAGGTTGGCGTCTTCACCCTGGTTGTGCTCCACAAAGCAAGTGCGAACTTCATCCTGGGGAGGGAAGCCTTCCAGCTTCTCATTGGCGATACTGCGCATCAGGGTAGACTTGCCGGCACCGTTGCGACCGCAGAGGCCGTAACGGTGGCCCTTGAGGAGACGCAGGTTGGTGTGGGACAGCAGGAGCATACCTCCGTAAGCAAGAGAGAAGTCGGCGTTGACAATCTCAACATCATTGGGGTCTTCTGGGGCAGGCTTGCCGTACTTGATCTCATCCTCTGCAATGTAGTGGGACTGAACAGCAGTGGCAACAGCCTCAGTGTTGTTATCCGCGAGCAGACCGCGAAGGTATGGGTCAATGCGGTCGGGAATACGGTCGTGCATGCGGCAGTTGACATCCTCGCGGACCATGCTGGCAATGAAGTTCTTGGCCAAATCTTGCAGTTTGGAGTCACCAAATCCACCCAGACCACCGTGCTCCTGAATCTTTGCATTCAGCACGGACAGGACCTCCTCAGAGGTGGTCTTAGAGACGGAGCCAGAGGCGAGATGATCATCTCTCATGGCAGTCTCAATAACATCGAGAGCACGTGTGGCGAGCTCACGAACCTCAGGCAGGGAAGCGGTCTCCTTGACGGACTTAACACCGGGCTGAAGCTTGGGGAGGAAAGTACGAGCCTCGGCGGGATCGTGAACCAGCTTAGTCAAGTTCTCCACAACAACGACAGTTTGACGAAGAGTTTCTTGGGGAGTGGCCGGGGTATTGAGGGATCGGGCGAGGAGGGGAGTGAGCATGGCCAACACGGGGGATGTGACGATGGCGACGAAAGTAGTCTGGGACAAAGCGTGAATCGCCTTCTGGAGAGTCTGAGCGGAGGGGTTCTCCATAGTCTTGATCAGAAGAGGAATTCGGGGGGCAACATCGTCGTTGGAGAGGAGAGTGGTGAGGGCAGTCATGGTCTTGCAAGACTGCTTGCTGACTTCACTCTTCAGGTCGTGCATGCCAGACTCAACAATGGGAATAAGCTCCTTCAGGGTCTTGCCCATCGCATCGCGCAGCAAGTCCTTCTGGCGCTCCTCTTCCTTGGTACCCTTGCCCAACTGCGCCTTGACCGCCATCTTTTCGATAAGCAAGTAGGCACCGACAAAGCCTTGCCACTTGCCAGAACCTTTGGCCAAGTAGCGCTCGAGGGCAGGGATCAGGCCGTTGACCATGGCCTCGGGGCTAAGACAACCGAAGAGCGCATCGATGGCGTACTGGGCAGCATCACGCACAACGGCACCCTTGTCAGAGAGAGCATCCAGAACAATATCAAAGATACCTCCGTCGTGCAAGAGGAAAACGGCTTCACTGAGAGGGAACTCCCGGGGGAAGCGCTCGAACAGAGCACCAATAATGAGCATGGCACTCTCACGCTTGGCGCCGTTCTTCTTATCGGAAGCGGCCTTGCGGGCAGTGGCGAGAACATTGTAGTCCAGCAGGCCTGCGCAGCCGGCGCCCTGCATGAGCAAGTTGGTCAAGGCATATGCACCATCAAGGGACTGCTGGGAGGATTCGGATGTGAAGATAGTATCGAGAAGCGAGGAAATCTCTTCGGAGGTGGGGGGCACGCCGGAGGGGCCCTTTGCGACAATGGTCGGCATGGCGGGAGTCTCAGAGGGGGAGAGAGTGTGTGGCATTTTCCAGAGAATCAGAGACTCTTAGGTCGAGTGTCGATATCGACGAGAGATATCGGCAAAAAATGAGGGAAATATAAAGCCCTTGGGGAGAGAGGGGCAATTCGACCTAACGGAAGATAAAGAAACTGTCCACAGCGCAACTCGCGCAGATAAACAGACAAGTTAGGATCGGGTTGAATCGTCGAATATGTACACGATTCGTAACAACCCAGAAGACCCTGAAACGAAAAAAGAAACACAAAGAGGGGAGAGTGGTCTAAAAAGAAGGTAAAAACACAATCTTCGCCATCACCGATTGCTGACCCACCGGGACCGAAATTTTTTTTTTTGCTTACTCATCCAATCAGCGGGCCCTGCGACGCCATGGGGCGAAAAAAGCGACTAACCGGATTTGTCTGATTGGATCAGTGACATTTGTGCCTTGGTGCCGTGGTGCCTGAAGTCTAATTCTATTCCTGCCTGAGGCATCAGCGGCTCCGTGTACGATCTGCCTGAGGCATTATCGTCCTTCGAGTGTACGTCACGATAATTTCAGACACCGACACTTGGACGGGTAAATGGATGTGCCTCTTTTCAGTCTAAGCCCCCGAGGTCGATTCGGGAATAGGAGTTCCCCTGACCTTAGCTCCATCAATCCGAAAGGCCAGCCTTTACCAAGTATGTGAGATATTATATGTGCCACAAGATATAAGTGATCCTTCGTGACTCTGTAGAGACTTGGTCTTGAAGTCACACAGGTGTTCAATACTGACAATACATTTCATTCCTATTCAAGCTGAGCCGACATGGCGGCGCATGGCCCCGGGCCTCGGTAGACAACCCCCCCTTGTGCCCCGCGTCCAACCGACCTGCATTAGGCCAAGTCGATCATTCTCACCATTTTTCTCTTTCTTTCCTGTACCTTTATCATCTGGGTCAATTCCACCGAGATTCACTGTCAATTGTTGTTTTGTTCAGATTGTTCCTCTTCCCTTTCTATCCCCGCAATTCAACTCCGCCCCCGCAAATCCACCCCCGGACTCCATCCACAACACAAAATGGCCCTTAGCTGGAGATCAACCCGTCATGTCTCTAAGCTTGCTCAGGTGAGTCTAAAGATCGATTTGGGATAATATCTGGATTGTCAGCATCCCTAACCCTTTATAGACAGCACGACCTGTTCTCTCGGCGCGTCACTATGCGACCGCCGAGCCCGACCTGAAGACCACCTTGAAGGAGGTTATCCCGGCTAAACGGGAGCTTCTTAAGAAGGTCAAGGCTCAGGGTGAGGATGTAATTGGTGATGTGAAGGTCGGCAATGTCATTGGCGGTATGCGTGGCCTCAAGGCCATGCTCTGGGAGGGATCCGTCCTGGACGCAGATGAGGGAATCCGCTTCCACGGCAAGACGATCAAGGACTGCCAGAAGGAGCTGCCCAAGGGCACAACGGGCACAGAAATGCTGCCCGAGGCCATGTTCTGGTTGTTGCTGACGGGCCAGGTGCCCTCCACAGGGCAAGTTCGTGCCTTTTCGCGCGAGCTGGCCGAGAAGTCCGAACTTCCCTCTTACATTCTAGACCTGATCAAGTCTTTCCCCGCCTCCATGCACCCTATGACCCAGTTGTCAATTGCGGTGGCAGCCCTCAACACCGAATCCAAGTTTGCCAAGGCCTACGAGAATGGCATCAACAAGGCCGACTACTGGGAGCCCACCTTTGACGACAGTATCTCCCTCCTTGCCAAAATCCCTCGCGTGGCAGCGCTTGTCTTCCGTCCTAATGACATTGATCTTGTCGGCACCCAGAAGCTGGACGTCGCGCAGGATTGGTCACACAACTTCGCGGAGCTGCTCGGCAAGGGTGGCTCAGAGCATGCTGACTTCCACGACCTGCTCCGTCTTTACCTAGCTCTACACGGTGACCATGAAGGTGGTAACGTGTCGGCCCATACTACCCACCTCGTCGGAAGCGCCCTTAGCGATCCGTTCTTGAGCTACAGCGCTGGTCTCCTAGGCCTGGCTGGCCCCCTTCACGGCCTCGCAGCCCAGGAGGTTCTCCGCTGGGTCAATGCCATGCAGGACAAAATCGGAACCAAGTTCACAGACGAGGATGTCCGCACCTACCTCTGGGATACTCTCAAGTCGGGTCGTGTGGTCCCTGGATATGGTCATGGTGTTCTGCGCAAACCCGACCCTCGTTTCGAGGCTCTGATGGACTTTGCCGCGACCCGGCCCGATGTTCTTGCCAACCCGGTGTTCCAGTTAGTCAAGAAGAACTCGGAGATTGCTCCCGGTGTGCTTACTGAGCACGGAAAGGTATGTTGATCAATACCTAACACTACAAATCTTTCACTCGAACTAATGACTCTTCCCTTTCCTACAGACCAAAAACCCATACCCCAACGTCGATGCCGCCAGCGGTGTCCTCTTCCACCACTTCGGCTTCCAGCAGCCTCTCTACTATACCGTCGCCTTTGGTGTCAGCCGTGCTCTTGGCCCTCTGGCCCAGCTGATCTGGGATCGTGTTCTTGGCATGCCCATTGAGCGCCCCAAGAGCATCAACCTCTTGGGTCTCGTCAAGAAATAAATGCCAATATAGTTGCCTGGTGCGACTCAAAATCCTTGGCCTCGACGGTTCAAATGATGAATTTGATTTGAAGCGAGCTTTTCTGCTTTTTATTTTCGTTCGCTTCTTAAGGAAGAACCTGTTTTCACTTTTGCTCTCCTGTTCATCTCATCCGATTAGACAGAATCACCTTCATAGACCAGTTGCTTTTGCGAAAGTCTGATCGATTATACATCAATTATGAGCCAGTCTTCACGTGGCCTTTTGTAATATCAACACTTCCAGATCGCTTTGCACCTTCAAAGGTAATGGTATGAACAAGGAAGGGCAAATAGAAACTTAAGCTGTGTATTATCGCGCTAGCTGATCAGATTTGATAGGAATTGGTGTTCTTAATATATAGGAAAGATGTATTGTCAAAATTCGTATAATAACGCAACTCACAACCGAACACTCCCGACTGACAATTGTTCCCACTCTTTCTGTCCATACGGTGAATAACTCTCATCACCAGGTGCGATCCACAAAAAGCGGTCATTTTTCCCCTCCGGAGCTTTAGTCCCAATCAAAGCAGTATCCACACCCTCATCCCGAAGCGGCACCTTGTTCTGCTTATGGTTGTGAATATGAGTGGGATTCTCAACGATGCGAAGGAACAACGGAACCGCATATTTGGGCAGTTTAGACCGCACGAATCCTGCAAGCGCTGTGTAATCAAACGTCTGACGAGTATCTGGACTAATCTGAATCGCTGCACATCCAGCACGGCCCTCGTGATTGGGAAGACGGACGCCGTAGACGTTAGCTTCGGTGATGCCGGGGAATTGGCCCAGAACCTCTGAAACCTCGGCGGTTGCTCTGTTGAGTTGACACCATGATTAGTTTTGTTCCAAATTTCCAGAATCTTTCACGGTGCTATGCAACTTACACGTTCTCGCTCTTCCAACGGAAAGTATCCCCAAGTCGATCAAGGAAATACCAACGCCCATCGCTCTGCCGACGCAAAGCATCCCCAGATCGATAATAAAGATCCCCCTTCTTGAAGACATCGCGCAAGAATTTCTTATTGGTCGCCTCATCATTACGCCAATACCCCTGGAAAGCCTCTTCACCAGGGACATTGACGATAATCTCACCTCCCTGGTCATAAGGCGAGCGAACCGCAAATCCAGTCTTTGAATCCCGCAGAATATCTCCAGTCTCCGGGTCAATAGCAACAGGAACGAAGACATTATGCAATAACCCACGCATAATCAAACCATGATGACCAACACTTCCAGCCGTGAAAGGACCGCAGTTATAGTTAAAGAGACCAAACACACCTTCTGTGCTATTAAAGAATTCTCCAACTTCAGCGACTCCAAATCGCTCTCGGAACCGCTCCCATATATCCGGTCGGAGACCGTTTCCGTACATGCAGCGCACTTTGTGGTTTCGATCCTGTGGCGATGGAGGCGGCGCAAGCAAATACCGTGCAGTTTCTCCGACGTAGACGAAAATCGTCGCCTCCGAGTCGCGGATATCTGTCCAGAATTTACTAACGCTGAACTTTGGTGCAATGGCGATGCTCACACCCCCAACCAGACACGATATCATGGCGATAGCTGCTGTGCCGTGGTAAAGGGGCATACAGCTGTACCAGCGATCACCGTCTGGGCCAGCGCTGTCTCCCATCAGACCCCGGCGGATGAAGAGATTGTTATAAAGTCTGGACATGGTGAACGCACAGCCCTTGGGCATACCCGTTGTACCAGAGGTGTATAGAAGGATTGCAGGGAAGTCCCCGGGGATATGCTTGCTCAGTTCCTTGGGTGGGAGTGCTGTTGGGAAAGCACTGATATGTTCTTTCAGCGATGTATCCAGTGTCATCAGCTTCATTCCCAGGTTTGTTGTGATGGCGCCTTGGCTTTCTTCCACGCGTGCACGACAGCCGGCGTCTTCGTCGACGAGGAGAATATTCGCACCGCTGATCTTCAGACAATGCAGCAGTGCGTCGCCGGTAAGATTGTAGTTGATTGCGGCGGGGGCACAGCCAATTCCCCAAAGAGCGATCCAAGCGACGATATACTCGCTGCTATTCTGGAGGTAGAGAGCCACGAGGTCGCCTTTCTTCACGCCTTGTGATAGGAAGAAATGGGCATATTGACAGGCCTGGTCTTTAATTTGTCGGTATGTATATGATCTCTCGCGAGTCCAGAGGCAGATCATGCCGGGGTATTGCTTCGCAGTCTGTAGTAGAACGAACCATGGGCTTCCTTTGTTTTGACTGACTATAGGCTGATCAGTATGTGTTCTGCAATTGGGGGAACAGCATGATCATACTAGCATTGGCATATTGTCGCTCTGCATGCTTCATTGTGAGCAACGATGACACATCCTTCTGGATGTGAAACTTGGCATTCAGATATCCTGCGACTGTAGCTCCTGCGAAGAGAGCGGCGGCGGCGGTTCCTATTATTTGTCAGTAAGATCGATTGGTCATTAAGTATTTCGCTTACCTATATCCATCTTCCCAATCTAGCAATCTAGTCTAGTTTGATCTATAGGGAACAGTTCATGTAAGTATATAAGTATAAAAATGAGGGGATCTTGATTGCCGCTGACCTCGGTACATTCTTGGCTCTAGCAAAATGCGGGGAAGACTAATCCCTCGGTCGCGTATTTGCATTAATCTATTGATTTTATAGCAGTATAGTAGTATAGTAGAACATTGGTGGTTGACGGAGTAAATTTCCTGATTTGCTGTGTTGAGGGATCAGATATCCCAACATAGATCCACTTACGCGTGGGTAAATATGTTGAACTTGGATTGAATTCAACACTCAATTCACTATAGATTTGATAATTCTCAATGCCTTGTGTGTATACTGTAGAGCTAAGAAACAGGCAGTGCTGATGTGTTATTCTGATTTCTAATTTTGACCTGTCACATCGATGGGATAACATACTGCACTTTGCAACACGGAGGGGTCTGTACGGGGTGCTTAAAGCTCCTTTTTTTTTTTTTTTCACGTCGGTTCCTGACAATGATTGTGCATGAAAATTCAGTCGTATATCAAAGGCAACTTATAACTAGTTATCTTGTGGTTTGCTTCTAAGGTTGCATCTAGCAAAAACCACCGAAACAAAGCGCAGCCCCTTCGGCTAGTGCAGTTCCGCCGTTAAGCGCCGTATACATCGTGGATGTGGCTATGCTTCTAGCTGTCGCTTCACAGGAAGACGTCCAGAAATGGAAATTTATTGACAATATAAAAGGCTGCTCCGTTATGAGACTTGAGTTGTTCCTAGAATCTCTCGGGGCATATCGTCGAGTGTAGTGAATCGAATTAAACTAGTAGTCTCAACTATGAGGAACCAACAATCCAGCATGGTCGAATGGAAGATGGTGGAGCTAACAGGCATACTGTGACCCAGCCCACTATTCTCAACTTGACACATACTACATACTATAGAAAGTCGCAAGTCCGTGTGTACTCAAACCGACATCTTTTGAGGGATATGCACCTATCACATTCTCCTTCGGGTTGAACCTACAATGCAGGATCATGATTTGCAGCCTATTCTAAAACCAATTCAGTCAAATCGAGTCTGCGACAGCGTAGGGGAATATAAACAAGGGTTCAATGGTTTGCTCCGAGCTTGAATTCGGTGTTCGGTGGTTATTCTCGGATATGCCGAGTGGAAACTTTCTACAGGAATTTCCTTTCTGTCGACTATTTTACTCGGCCGAGATTTGAATTGTAACATGTTAGATTGTGATGAGTTTATAGGCTAGTCCTCGAGGATTGGATGGTGATATCTGTCAATGATTGCTTCAATGTGTTGAGCTTGGAATGGTGTCCAAGATTATTTCAATGGTTAATCCCCGAGATATTATTGGTTGGAGAATGTGGATATGGACACGAATAGCTCAAAGGGATTTTGTAAACAGGAAAGAAGGAACTATGTATGGGAATTTGAAAATATGGAGAAATCTTCAAGTTGAGAATAACACGTTGATATAGAATCTATAGAATCGATAGAAAAGAAGAGTGAAGTCAACCGTGGACATCACATGGTTGGGATGACTCAACATTCAACGGGGACCGGATGACGTGAAGAAACGAAAAAGGGCCGAGTCAACATTTTAACTTCCACCCCTGGTGACTTCAAGGCCAATGAGAGTCGACGACATTTCCAATGCTCCACCCCCGGTGAATCACCCCTCTTGACCTCGGGACTTTATAGCTTTGGATCTTACTCTCCTCTTCTCACCATATCATCATGTCGCTTCCCATCCGATTGACTCGAACGTTGGTGCGGGCCTACGGCACTGTCCAGGGTTCCCCCAGTGCTGCCTCATTGTCCAGCATTCCCATCACTTTAACTGATGCTACGGGTGCTACGGCGCCCCGGACCACCTGGACTCGAGATGAAGTCAAGCAGATCTATGAAACCCCATTGAGCCAACTCACATACGCGGCAGTAAGTGGAAATCTATATATGACCTAATTCCGACATTCAGTGAAGCTGACCTCCCAGGCTGCTGTCCACCGCCGTTTTCATGACCCCGCAGCTATCCAGATGTGCACCTTGATGAACATCAAGACCGGTGGATGTAGTGAAGATTGTTCATACTGTGCCCAGTCATCCAAGCACAACACGGGTCTCAAGGCCACCAAGATGAGTCCCGTCGACGAGGTCCTCACCAAGGCCCGCAATGCCAAGGCCAATGGTAGCACTCGATTCTGCATGGGCGCCGCGTGGCGCGACATGCGTGGCCGCAAGACCAGTCTCAAGAACGTAAAGCAGATGATTACCGGAATCCGCGAGATGAACATGGAGGTCTGTGTGACCCTAGGCATGATCGACGAACACCAGGCCAAGGAGCTGAAGGAGGCCGGCCTGACCGCATACAACCACAACCTCGATACCTCACGTGAATTCTACCCTACCATCATCACCACCCGTTCCTACGATGAGCGTCTGAAGACGCTCTCGCACGTGCGTGATGCCGGCATCAACGTCTGCTCCGGCGGTATCCTTGGTCTGGGTGAGAGCGATGCCGACCGTATTGGTCTCCTGCACACAGTTTCCAGCCTGCCTGCCCACCCCGAATCTTTCCCCGTCAATGCTCTCGTCCCCATCCCCGGTACTCCTCTTGGTGATCGCAAGATGATCCCCTTCGATCGCTTGCTGCGCACTGTCGCCACTGCCCGTATTGTCATGCCTAGTACCATCGTCCGCTTGGCTGCCGGTCGCATTGCGCTCACAGAGGAGCAACAGGTTGCCTGTTTCCAAGCCGGCGCTAATGCTATCTTCACCGGCGAGAAGATGCTCACCACTGACTGCAATGGCTGGGATGAGGATCGCGCCATGTTCGATCGCTGGGGATACTACCCCATGAAGAGTTTCGAGAAGCCTGCTCCCAAAGCTGATGCCCCTGTTGCTACTCCGCCTCATGTGAACCCCGAGGCTACTTCTGCGCCGGTCGCAGCGAACGTTTAGATTTGTAGTCAGACATGCCTCTATATAACTGCGTCAATACAAAATGCAATTCCCAACGAAGGTTATACCTACACTCCTATAAACATTTCCAATGTCCAAGCCACGGCAATATGATAACAACCCAGGCCAACAGCCCTGCCCCCTATGAGGTGGAGCAGATATTGATTGGGAGGTTGCGATGTTCGCACAATTGCAGGGGCATTTTGTACGTAGCCATCTACTGCTCATTTACATCTTGAAAACTTTTGAACGCACATTTGAAAGCCTCCGCACGTTAAGATGATGAGAGGCACAAACCAATCCAAAGCGATCAACTTGAGATCAACGTTGTTATACCGAGGCTAGAGACAAGCGCACGGTGTCGGCTCTTGGCCCACGTCTTTCTCGCCTACCATTGGGTAGAGATCCTTCTTCAAACATCAGATCGCAATGGTTCCCCTTTTGGTTCAATGATAGACCTCCTATACCCCATTTTAATATCCCGACGAGGTTTAGTCTCTCAACGCCAACTTTGTGGAGAATTCACATGCAGACGATCCTCGCCAGGTCAACATAGTCCATCTACCATTCCTGTTTCTTGAAGCATACGTTGGGGTAAAATGATCCATATAGGGAAGTTCGCACCTGGCTATTCACATGGTTTCTAAAACCGACATCTTCATAGGAAGGATATAAATGGTACCACCACCACTAAAGACGGCCACAGAATTCAACTCGAGCATTCATCATGGATTCCAAACCACTATCCAAAGATTCTATGCAATCAACATGGCGCACAGCCCCTCGCAGCGAATGGAACATCAGTCATTACCTGCTCGACGTGCTTAACGCCCACCCCATCGACCTAAACAAGGAGATCCCAGTACACAACAAAGACGAAAAAGTGCCATACATGCCTCAGTGGTCTCTCCATCGCTGGGTTCTCTTCTACTCCGCCCTCCCCCTCCTCCTCCACGAGACCTACATGTCATTCACCGGCCGCACCATAGGCCCAATTACCGCCTTCAACTTCTACTTCTTCGCCTTCAACGCAACAGTAATCTACCAAGTCCACATCCTCCGCCGTCTAGGCCACAAACACGGCTTTCTAGACGGCGACAAGCACGAACGCGACGGCGTCCCCGACGTCGGCGTGACCAAAGTAGTATCTTCTTTATACAAAACAACCGGATCCCGACTGATCCTCTCAATCTTCCTCTCCTATACCCAAACCCAAAAGCCCTCACAGATGTCCTGGGCTTGGCTCCCCCTTGAAATAGGATTGTACGGCATCGTGCTCGACTTCTGGTTCTACTGGTACCATCGACTAATGCACGACGTGAGCTATCTATGGAAATACCACCGAACCCACCACCTCACTAAACACCCGAACCCGCTCCTCGCCGCATATGCAGACCACGAGCAGGAATTCTTCGATATGGTCGGCGTACCGGTGATGACGTACTTTAGTTTGAAATCAGTCGGTCTACCGATGGGGTTCTATGAGTGGTGGATTTGTCATGAATATGTCGCGTTTGCGGAAGTTTTCGGACATAGTGGACTGCGGGTTCATTCGACTGTGCCGTCGACGTTGAGTTGGTTATTGCAGATGTTCGATACGGAGATTGTGATTGAGGATCATGATTTGCATCATCGGAAGGGTTGGAGGAAGAGTTATAATTATGGTAAGCAGACGAGATTGTGGGATCGGATCTTTGGGACTTGTATGGAGCGTATTGAGTCTGTGAAGGGGAATGTGGATTATGAAAATACGGCCAGGATGCCTTTGTTTTAGGGTGAGGTTGTTGTCAAGATGCTTGTGTTTTGATTTGAAGTATATCGTGTATATAGCTCGCTCTTTTATGAATTATGGTAAGTTGATGATAACTGTTATGTCTATTATCTAGCAATACATCAAGGATGGAAGAAAGCATAGGCTGTCTATTGAATCTCCTACGGCTTTGTGTTTTTCCTCTATTTGCCTTTCCTTTCCACGCCATTTTGTCCTGTGCGTCTACTTCTAGTATCAGCAGAATGCCCTCACAGAGGTCATATTCCATTATACCAATCTAGAGAGCCGCCATGTTGGCAAGTATCTCCTGACTCAGATTTCTAATATATTCCCACATTCAGCTGTTCTTGCTACACTTTAGCTGGCTGGCCTCACTGGTTCAACACTGGGGTCGAATTACATTCAGTGCATGTAGGGGATCGAACATGACCGATATGATTGACCCACCGGCCTCGCACTACAGTCCCACTTCATTTAGCCGATCCGAATATAGACCGCTAATTATACCGGCTATCAACAAAGACGGGGAGATGAAATCTTAGGTATATTACCGAGTACCAGGGTTTTGGGACCAATATTTTCTTTTGTCCTATAGGACTAATAGGACCAGCATATAGGACCAAAAATTTGCGAGTCCCATAGAACTTATTGAGATCTAATCCTAGCACTACTAAAGATATATTAGCTTATCATCTCTACCTCCGGGTCGCTTTATATTATTATATTTTGGAGCTTATGCTTTCGATCTTGGAACTTCCCAAACCTCACACTTTGAATATGATCTGGTCAATAGCTTTTTTCAGTTGCTCCGCTTCATAGACCACCTATGATACTACATCACCTGTTGCCCCTCCTATGGGAAAATCTTGGTGAATCAACCCGATTCTGGTCCCAGGGTAATTTTGTCCATGCTGCACGAGATTTTTGATAGAAAGCAGGCTCAAACTTTTTCCAAATGGCGAGCATGTCCTCCAACCCTGGTATATATTTATCGGCATATCCAATCTCTTTTTGCGCGACCGCCCGTGCCTCATTCAAATGAGGGCGAAGCTCGGGATAGTTCAAATAATTATAGACACCAATTGTCTGCTTGCGCCTATTAGCTCGTAATGCTCAGAAACGGTTTTGTCACTCAACTCAATGTACCTACTTTCTGTAAAACGCCCAAAAGCTTCTTAGCGGCGTGCTCGGGACTTTTCGAGGTGGCGCCAGCTTTAGTTTTAGGATGATCGTTGAATACGCCGATTGCCGTAGGTTCTTTATCCATCCAAAGAGTCATCGTGATAATCTTCATCTCAGCTTCGTGGAAAGACATTCGCGTGCGATAGACGTAGGAGCCTAAAATCTCAAAGACACGATCATTTGAAGTTATTGGGGCAGCCCAACCCTCGACATCAGTGATAGACTTTCCTGCCAGCGGTAGAGATACATCATATACTTTGTTCCATCCAGCCAAAACGCTCGCTGGATCTATATTTGCGGCTTTCATTATATTCCCGTTTGGCAAAACTCTCGACAAAGTCGTTACCAGGAACTTTGAGATCATATTCAGCTGGATCGTCTAGTCAGCCAATGCTTCAAAACCAGGAGGATGCGACAGAGTAGTGATACTCACCTCCATCATGTGCTCCGCGTGAGAGCCCTTTTTTGGAGGATCGGCATACTTGGTGAGTTGAACAGCAGTGGGCGAAGAGACATCTTGCAACATGCTAAGGTGTCTGGTCAGCTGGGTTGATCCCATTCCGGAATTCAACAAAAGTGACGCGCGCCTGAAGCCTGCAGCGAGACCCAAAGTGGACGGTCCGTCTCCTTTGAATATCTTGAGCCCCGAAACAAGGGGATCGATTAGTGAGACTAATTTGCATACTAAGCTAAGTGACTTTGGTAGGCAACACACGGATTCAGGTATGTTTGTGATGGTGTATGCTAATATGAACAATGACTCTAATTATAAACAATTCAATTAAATGACTTCGATCTAACACCCAAATCAGAAGTCACCTATATACCTCTTCGGAGGCTGCCCAGCATCTGATATAACCGAAATCTCTACCTGTTTTGTAATACCAGGGGCACAGGAAGTAAGAGAATCAGACGCACCTCCTATAGATGTACCAGTGTGCGTACTCCGATTCTGATCCAGAATGCGATCGATGCTGTTATTCTCAATATCAGACCCGAGCCCGCGCGCGGCGCGACTGGTTTGTCTCGTTTGGAGCACCATATTTGCGCCCAGTGAAGGGCATGCTGAGTTCGTAAGAACGGGAGTTCTTGCCGCTGGAGATCTTGCGCACGGAGGAGATGACTAAGGGGCGGATGCAAGGGATCGAGGAGGTGATGATAATGATAACGTTTTCGATGTAACCCCAGCGAACTAGTTCGATACCCCCTCTGGCTCCGGTATTGGTGATACTAGGAACGGCGCCCAGTTTTGTTGTTTTGATGATGGATGCGATCATTGCACTGTAGTCATAATGTTAGTTGTGTTGTGGCTATGTGTTGAATAGGGGTATAGACACTTACACAATACCCAAGCTGAGAAGAACAATCAAACTGATCTTGATGCGCAGTTTCAGATTCAAGTTCCAGAATACGATCGTTGGGAAGACGGCCAAAAATAGATCTGTGGCTGAATTGAATGAATTGGAATAGTAGGCGAATCTGATGACTGCTCTCGAGTCGCCACATGTCGTCGCGGCTGCGGCTGCTGCGTCCCATAGAGCGGTCACGTTCCGACATATGCTAATCGGTAGCACGGCAGATGTGGTGTTCCCGGCGAGTTGTATCGCCAGAAAGGTCCATAGCGCAGCCTGGTAGTACTTGTTTGTTTCGATAAGAGGGATGAGGTAAAGGATGAATGCGCAGCGGGCAAAAGTGGTGCTGAAAGTGATGATGGGTACTTGGACTGCGATATTTCTCAAGACTGCTTGCTTGTCGCCTGATGGTACGGTGTTGAGATTCTTGCCGAACCCATGCTTAACCGACAAGGTCAAGAATACTGTCGATACGATTTCCAAAATCTAAAGATCATATGAGTCAGTGTCTGAAATTGATTCATGAACTAGTTAGGAAGATCTACCTCAGCAAGGATCATGAGGCCATCGTCGATGCCAAACCGTTTGATCTTGATTTTGGCAATGACTCTTAGAATGACGATCACCGCAGCAATGCTCACGGCTACCCATAACACTCTCTCTAGGGCTGGGCCATGATCGCTTTGTGACATGGCACGAACATCAATGGGGTGTATTGACAGCCTTGTTCACCAGGCTTCCGCCATATAAATGAATTTGGAGTTGGAGTTATCCACCCCAGAGGTTTAGGAGAATGAAAAGCCAACGGATCATCTCGATGATCAACCCCGGATGGACAAGGTGATTCATGACCAATAGCGGGTACCTTGGCACTGTGCACTGAAGAGTCCTAAGAATGATCTGTGGCTGCACCATAAATCAGCTGAAGCATAACCGTGGATGCACAAAACTTTATCTTGCCTTTCTGGCGATCATTTCTGATTAAGTCGTTTTAGTAGATCTAGTTCCAAGGTTCGCGAGTTTCAATTTTGCATTTATCCTTTTACCTCCAATTGTGACCCAAGATTAATCTTCATCAGCAAATGAGATCAGAGACTCCAAGTACTGGAAATGGCTTCTCCTAGCTTCCAATTAACATCCACACCGTACAATGCTATGATATCCTCTAAGGTTCACTGTCCAGATCAGCCATCACTTATATCTATACAAACACTTCCATGTACATATGTAAACGAAATTCTAAGATGTTTGAAGCTTCAAGCCACCAAAGCATAAAATATGAAGGTGCACCCGTGGACGACAATATCTCTTGAAGTGGGGCTTAGGGGATTCATTTCAAATAGTTCATTGGATGGATTTCATCTGTGTTACACTGAAAAACTGGATCCGATCTCGGCTTTTCCTAGCCTGTCCGCTTCCGAGCCCGGGAGAGACCAAGAACGTTGGTCATAGACAAAAGAATCATGTTGTGTACTAGAATTTTGAAATACTGCCCATCCGAAGTCCGGCTGTTAATCCCAACTACATTCAGTCGCAGGCGCATGAGAACCATGTGGCTTAGTGTTTCGGTTCAACCCCGATGGAATCCTCATATCCACAATGGATCGGACTAGTCCCACTAGGGAACATCTCCGAACTGGGCCCAAAGTCAACATTCATGTTCGATCGGGGAATGCCAAAACCACATTTTGTATAAATCAAACAAGGTGATCGACATTCGTGCCTCCATTTCTCGACAACCTTATCCCTTTCATCTCCCCCACCATGAAGTGGACATTGGCTTCACTCGTGGCTCTTTCCGTGCCGGTCATTGCATCGGATTGTCACTGTTTACCGGGTGATACTTGCTGGCCTGCTCCATCAGCTTGGGCCTCACTGAATTATACAGTTGGTGGTCGTCTGATTGCGACCGTGCCAATTGGAACTCCCTGCCATGCACCAAACTACGATGCTGCCGCCTGTGCAGCGCTCAAGGCAAATTGGACAAAGCCGGAGCCCCAGTGAGTGGTGCTATTCAGGGGAAACCAACGCCGCTAATCGTCACTAGCCTTGAATCCTCTTCGTCGGTGATGCAGACGTACTTTGCTAACCAGACGTGCGATCCATTCACCGCCAAGTCCAAGCCATGCCTCCTCGGCAACTATGTGAACTACGCTGTGAACGTCTCTTCCAGTGACCATGTCGTTGAGGCTGTGAATTTTGCCCGCGAGAACAACATTCGATTCGTTATTCGTAACACCGGCCATGAGTAAGTCGCCTAACCGCCTGGGTCTTCATACTGGTCTATGCTGATCGGATATAGTTATCTTGGTCGTTCAACCGGTGCCGGTGCCCTCTCTGTATGGACTCACCACTTGAATGATATCGAGTACAAGGACTGGTCGAGTCCGACCTACCAGGGTCCCGCCTTCAAGGTTGCTGCCGGTGTGGTTGGTTACCAGATCCTCGAGGCCGCATCTGCCAAAGGCTTCGTCGTTGTCACTGGCGAATGCCCTACCGTCGGTCTCGCCGGAGGCTATACACAAGGCGGCGGTCACTCTGCCCTCAGCACCAAGTTTGGCCTCGGAGCTGATAACGCCCTGGAGTTCGAGGTTGTCACCGCTGCGGGTAAGCTGGTCAAGGCCTCGCGATCTGAGAATGTCGATCTTTTCTGGGCACTGAGCGGCGGTGGCGCCGGCAACTACGGTGTTGTTATGTCCATTGTTGTCAAAGCATATAAAGATGCGCCCATTGCCGGTGCTACTCTTCAGTTTACCGCAGCAAATATCTCCACCGACACCTTCTACGAGGCCGTTTCGCAGTTCCACTCTCTTTTGCCTGCCATGATCGACCAGGGCGTTACTGTCATTTACCAGATGACCTCGAGTGCTTTCATCATCAACCCCATTACAGCCTACAACCAGACCACTGATGACGTGAAAGCCATTCTCAAGCCATTCGCCTCGAAGCTTGCCAGGCTCAACATCAAATACAAAGCCAGTTTCACCAAGTCCGACTCGTACTACGACCACTACAACAAGTACATGGGCCCACTTCCCTGGGGTAACCTAGCGGTAGCCAACTTCCAATACGGCGGACGTCTAATTCCCCGCAAGACCCTCGAGCAGAACCCCCACGGGATGGGCTCAGCACTGCGCAACTTGACCCAAGCAGGCGTGATCGCCGTCGGAGTCGGGATGAACGTCTCTGCCCCGGTCAACGTCTCGAACGCAGTATTCCCAGCCCTGCGCAACGCAGCAGTAACGATGCAAATCGGCACACTGTGGAATGAGACCGCGCCATGGTCCCAGATGATCGCAGACCAATACAAGATGACGACTGAATACGTGCCTCAACTCGAGGCCGTCACGCCGGACAGCGGCTGTTACCAAAATGAAGCGAATTTCCGCCAGCCGAACTGGAAGCATACTTTCTTCGGAAACAATTATCCCCGTCTGCTCGCTATCAAGCGCAAGTGGGATCCTTCGTCGTTTTTCTATGCCCTCAAGGCTGTTGGTAGTGATGTCTGGTCCGTGTCTGACTCCGGGCGGATGTGTCGGGTTTAGGAATTCTCTAGGGGCAGTCTAAATTTCACGACAGGTGCAAAATAGCGTTGCGCCGTTTCTGGTTTAGACATTGACGGGATATATGTTTGTCGTATAGTAAGTAGATCATGAGCGTGTCTTGGATAATGACTTTTCTCCATGCAATCTTTCAACCAAACTCAACGAAATCTCTCAACGTTTTGGAGATACAAACTCTCGACCTCCACCGATGTACCTAGATACTCGACTTGCGCTTTAACTTATCTTTCGGATCTTGTTCGGACCGCCAATCGAGTTTTTGCCAGGCAGAAAATCAGTAACAAATCCATGATCCCGCATATATACCTATACAAATCCTTGAATCCAGTCATTTATCAACTTTGAATCTGCTTACGGTACGGGTAGATAGTTGTATGCCATTTAAGTAAAGAATTGGAAAAACAACCCAATTTGTATGGAGGTGAAGAACTTCATTTTTGGATTAAGTTACAGCCACCTAGGAATATGGAGATATCGCAATTTGGAAAGAGGCTAAAAGCTTTGTTTGTGGACTGCGTATTGAATAACTCTTAAACACTGAATAAAGCGATGTAAGAAGCGACTCAGGTACTCTGGCACCAACAATGCCCCAAAAGATGAGATTTGAAGCCCGAAAGAAGGACTAAATGCATACATGCTCAAAGCCCAATAGCTAGGGCGCAGTAGTCGTCAGGTCGTCAGTTTGTCGGGTTATCAGGTGAGTTTTACATACTAGTAGCTCCTAGCCTATTAGCAAATAACTCACGCTTACTAGTAGACTTTACCTGACAACATGACAGCTTTTAGGGCTGTAATCTATTTTATAAACCCTATATTAGTTGCGACTAGTAGCTCCGACCTTCTACTAGTAGCAATCACCTTACTAGGAGCTACTAGTATGTAAAACTCACCTGACAACCTGACGAACCCCCCTTCTCCATCCCTAATAGCTATACCCAGCGCTCCGCAAAACCCAACCCCCCATTACAGCCGATCTTAACGCGGACAAATCAATCTCCGTAATCGCTGTATTATAGCCCTCCGCTATTCATACCAAGTTCTTGGAAAAATAGGCCTACAATAGTCATATAAGCATACATATCAATTATAAAGAATACCAACCAACCATTGTCGGGGTATGGCGGAAACATATATTTTGACATTTAGAATTTTTGAATTAACGCGTTTTCTTATTGTTTAAAACGTGAATCAGGGAGAGGCTTAGTACTTAAATCTAAATAACCTTAAGTGATCAAACAATTACCCCAAGGATGAGGCCCGGAAATGGGAGTGAAACGAAGGATAATTCTAACCCCCTTTTAGGGGGCTCAACTTTCATGTACAGGGAACATATAGATTTAAAACTCCTATCTTTCTTTGATCCTTACGTTTTGATCAGGTGCACGAAATCCTAAATTAGCATAAGGATGACATTCCACACTTTCCTATCCTATTATTCGAATGTAAGATATCATTCTTGTCATAGCACAGTAATTAAATCAGCATACATGAAAGTGTGAAAGACAATGTGAGCTGATACTCCTTTCGTAGGCAATTAATCATAGTAAGGTAAGGTCCTAAAGGATGCAATGTGTTTATGTAAATTGAAGTGACTTGAATTCAGATACATAGTCCCATATCTCGAAATTAGGTCAGGAACAGCAAGTTCTCAATACAAGAGCAGGATTGCATTTTTGGACCAATGCCTAATCAATCTGGTCCCAGACCCCGTTTGCCATTTTGAGTGCAATCTCACTGAACTGGTCGGGCGTCAGTTCGTGTGCTAGGGTGACCCGAATCGAATATGTTGTCGCAATGACGGAATCCAACTCCAGCTTTTTCTCTCCAACCACCTTCATGATATGACACAGGAGAGTCTCCATAGGAAATGACCGTGATGCACGGTAGATGCACTTGACGGTGTCAATATGCTGACTCCGAACGATGATATCGACCGCGGGTGGGCCCATATACTCCTGATAATCGCCTTCGGATGCAAGCTTGATCTCGCCGGTAGCGCGATCGCAGTACTTGCCATCCACAACTGGCGTTCGTTCCTCGTCGTGCCACCCAGGGGCGTGGAACTCCAAAGGATGCATCGATGACATGATAGAGAAGTGAAATCAAGTGTCTTGATTATTGAATTTCAATGTATTTTTGATTTGGCAGTATACTCTTTTGATGGATTTGTCTTATGTTGGGGAGATGTGGATGGAAAGTCTGAAATGTGCGACAAGGATGCTTTTATATGCGATAGGGTGAGTGGCAATAGTTGGTTACATGCAGGAAATATGATTCATACCATCATCCAAGCCGGGAAGGGGTAGCATTCTGAAAGGGCTGGGGGCGGCAGAAAAGCCGGCTTCCTGGCAGGCAGCATCATAATCGCACATAGCCACTCACGTCCTTCACATGGGTGATCAGCTTCTACGTGGAGGCTCTTTGTTCGCTATGGTACATATACGGAGTATCATCTATTGGCGTAAATTACGAAGATCACAATCTGAATTATACATAGGACTCAATTTATCATTTCACGATGGCCAATCGTGTGTATTGTAAAGACTGTCTGATTGTGTTTGTCAAACTAGTAGTCACTTGCAAGTGAAGATAGACACCCATTCCCCATTTCACTTCCATCCGGTGGCAGAGCTACATGATTTCGCATTCTCTAAGGACCCCAAGTTAGTGTTTCCATCTCAATGAGTATTCTACACAGAAACAATACTCACTACGACGCGTGGCAACCACACTTGGCACACTGGCCGCCGCTCTTCGCAAGAGATGAAGGGTCACAAAGGTAAGTTCCCTTGCTGTCACAGCGACAGCCATCCTTCTTCTTCCCGTTGGTGCAACGAGAGTCGGCGTGCTGACCCCCATCGCACTTAATGGTATACTTGGCGCGGGGAGCCACGTCGACCGGGTTCGGCTCAGGGGCGGCAACAGGGTTGGCCATGGCAGCGGTGCCAAGGACACCAATGATGAGGGCTGCAAGCTGAGTGGGCTTCATGTTGAGGAATTTGGTAGTGTTTGGAGGAAACGATGTTGTCGATGTCCAGGTGTATGGGAGCGTCCTCCTGCGACTTATATAGAAACAGGACCGGAAACACCTTTCTACTTTTGTACGATACGGCCACCACGGCAGAGAGTATGAGAATACCTACATGGGCAAGTTTGGAGTGCATAATGCATGTAAGATGCGAGACGGAATGACACGCCCATGGGTATGCTGGCGTAGCGACGATCCATCACCATGACATCTCAATTGGATAGGAGCATACTGTGGTCGCCTGGCAAGCTCTAGGATGTAGCCCTTGCTTTGCTCCTGGCTATGTATTATGCTGTCATCCAATCACTCCGTGGTCTGACTCGGTTTTGATATCAAAGAGATTCCATAATTATTTCTCCCTATCTGCTAAGGCCTCTACTGATATCGATCTCCCGTGTCAAGCTATTTTCCATACAAGCGCAAAGACCATAAAGGGATGGTATGTGACATGAGTTCCGTGATTGTCACGGATCAGATAAGATGACTGTCTTCAAGGATTCCACGGCCTGTGAGCATGAAGTTGACATTAGAATCCACAAGGCAAACAACGCGATCCACAAGGCAAACAACACGAGCTAGGAACCAATAAGGCCGGTAGCTTCCGTGGATCTACAGGTGAATATCATGCCTCCGAGGATCCGTACGCCTTCGCGGGAGCCGCCCCACTGCCCAAGACTGCATACTACACAGTGCATGCAGAAATCCAGGTGCTACCCCACAAATACTAGACATGCACATATGGGGCACAGCAGCCCCCATAGTGTGGGATCAACCGTCACCCGAGCCCCATTACGCACCCCCGAAGCGGGGTCCAGCAACTCCTCTCGAATAGCTGGAGGCGCAAACCCGTTGGGCAATGACTCGGATGGCAAGAAAAGGCCAGACTGGACATATCTAGAACGATGGATGCGGGCTAGATGGAAAAAGGATATAAAGGATACGATCAACGGAAAGGAGACTAACCACAGGGTATCGTCAACCAAATAATCGTATACGAAAGACGTCCCCGTTGGCCATGGCGCCAATGGGCTATGACAAATGCATCAGACGCATTTTTGAGATAAGTGCTGAAAGTACGGGGTAAACAAACGCGGATCGACAAAAACAGTACTATTGTATAAGCTCACACGCCGATCCCGACTCCAAGACAGTCCAATCAAGACTAGCAGCCAGGTTCTAGCCTGGATGCGTCCAAAATTTAGTCAGGTCCCTTGGAAAGTGGAAGCCTAGAATGTGTTACATTTCACCCCGGTCAAGGGTTTCCCCATAACGGAATGATCGGCTGTCAAACTCTCGTCCCTGGCATTAGGCGCCCTATAATATGACACAAGGCAAAGGGAGTGATTATTGCTCACCTTTCTTTTTCCACTTCTCCAAAGGCATACAGTCAGTGGACATCAGTTTCTAGCCCCACCTGACTCACCGCTAGTTGGTCTGTACAACCCAAGTTTCGGGCGAGATATCCAACCCGGACCCGGACCTAACCCTGGGCCTAGGCTAGAGCCGCAATGGGGCTCTAGCAGAACTTAAATTTACACAAATCCAACCTCTTGGCGTTTCTAACGCTAATAATCAATATATATAGTCTGAGCACTTTTTTACTATTCCAAATCGAAACGATAGAAACTCATATATTAGACATCACTGTTACACAAATCCATATAATCGAGTCTTGTTGAATATATATTTTGGTAAATAAGTATACAAGTATCAATATAATAACTACCCAAGTAGTTAATATTGAGATAGTCTAATAAGCAGAAATATATAACCAAGTCAAAATCATATCGTCTAGTAACCGTAAAAAGTGTAGGTAACATTTTAATATACAAACAAGCTTAAACCTCGGCATTACTAGCGCAAGAAAAGCTGTTGCTGGACGCGTCATCATGAATAGCCTTACCGGAAACGTAAAGGCCAAGACCACACATACAACCACCAATCAGAATAATGCACACGTTCACAATAGTGAGTGCAATCTTCCGAGGGGAAGAGAACCATTTACCCTTGTTGATGTGCAACCAGTACACACCACCAAGACCGTAACTGAACCAACTAGCGAACAACGAGCTAATCAGACTCAGCAGATCGCTGAAGACAGGAACGGCGTCGGCGATAATCCAGGCAATAACCCAGCAACCAAAAGCAATTCCGACCCAGGAGCCGATCGCGACCCAGTCACGCTTCTGCATACGGTCAGTGCCACGGAACAGACGGACGTAGATGTACTTAAGACCAATGTGGCCGTTGACGACACCAGCGCCAATAATCTGTGAAACATGTCAGGAGCTGAATATATCACAAAACAAGTGAATAGGAAACGAACCGTAGGAATGGCAATTCCGTAAGCTACTTTTTTCAGGATAGGACCAGCCGATCCAAGAGCAGGAGAGGTGACCTCCTGGCCCACGTAGTAGTAGATCACCACGGCAGCAACGGTGTAGAAGCAAATCTCGAAAGTCTGCAGCATAATCAGGGCCTTGGGGAAATCCCTGGGTTCCTCCATCTCAGCGAGCAGACCGAAGAAAGCCACGTGAGCGCAGTAGGCAAAGACGATGTTGGTGACAGCGCTGAAGGCTTGGAACAGATTTGTGTCGACAGTAGCCTTAAGGTTCTGGCCACCCTGATTCTGGACACCGACTGCGATCATAGTGATGATGACAGCAGTGAGGATACTAGCGAAGGCTGTCATGTGATAATTAGCGATGGAAACCCGGAGAGTTGAATTTGGTACATACACATGCACGAGATATAGGTCATGTTCTTCATGGTCCGGGGCAGAGAACAGACGAAACAGATGACGAATCCAACAGCGGTGAAAACCATTGTACAGGTTCCGTGTTCAGTGACAGTGTTCATCATGACACTGAATGTCAAGATGTGACTACCCATAATGAAAATGGAGAAGAGCAGCTGGCCGATGCCGAACAGTTCACGTCCAAATGCACCGAATAAGATCTCGCCGGCGTCAGCCAAGTTCTGGATATGAGGGTATCGGGCGCGGAATTGGTGAATTGTGTATCCGGTATAGGTAGCGAGGATTCCCAGTCCGATGATGAGGATCAAAGCTGGGGCAAGGCCTAGCTGGGCAAGGGTCTTGGGCAGGGATAAGACACCTAGAGAGACGGATTCGGCGATCATGACTAGATGGGAGGTCAGATTGGTTCATAGCGATCAATCAACTGATCATCAGATTTGATTATACGCGTGCTAGCACTTACACATTCCCGTTTGCCTGATCCATGATTAGCCCATGTTCCTTGAGGTATTGCATCATTGCAGGTACTTACCACCACTTCATAGTTTTATACTTGACCTCGGCGCCATCTTCATCTCCAAAAGCATCCTGATATTGCGGCTTCTGATCTCCCAACATCTTCTTTTCATTATATCCCGACTCCGAGTCAGTCGGCTCCTGGTAGGGTGTCACTCCATCGAGAATCATGATGTCGACTATAGACAGGGAGTTGGAGCAGGGGGAATAGAAAGAAAGGAGAATCACTTGTGGGCAAAGAAAAATTCACCGGAAGTTTCCTCCATATCAACCGAGACAACCCCGGCTTACGTTGTATGGAGAGTTGGGGCTCAGAATTCTGGGGCCCGGATCTTCTGGAAGTCTGCTTATCTTGCATTTCTATTGCCTATTCACATTATGTGAATTCTACGATCTCCAGCAAAAAGAAAAGGCTTTGATGGCAACCTTGCGATGATCCATAGAAATTAAGCGTCGAGGGACCCACTTCTGGACAGGACAGTGGAGCTGCCCTGACCCGCCCTGACCCGCTCTTTTGACGAGTGGCCAATCATACTCTCGGCTCGGAGTTCTATTATCTAACAAGAATTGCCGGACTTCGCGTGGCTGGCCGTGGATAGCCGCCTAGTGGACCTATGCTGGAACAATCCCGAGTCCTCAATGGCTCCAGCCTTACAAGCTGTTACTAAATGCCAAGTGCACTGGTTTAATCTAGTTGTGAGCGTAGTTATATGTACGGAGTAGGAAGTACGGAGTAGGAAGTACGAAGTAGGAAGTACGAAGTACATTGCACATACATTGAAGTCCATATAGTCGATTGCACAGTGAAATTCAAATTGTTACTTATAATAGGGAAAATCATTCCAGTGTAAGACCATGGGCTCCAAGTGAAGCGAAGCTTTGCCACCAACAAAATTAGTTTCAGCCAAGCCTTGCCAATTCCGTCTGGGCAAACCTTTACGGTTCGGCTTTTTTTCTGGAACATCCGAAGGTTCAAGTGTCTCTGATAGGTCCTCACCGGCGTGTTCTTTGGGTCTCGGATTTATCCCTTGACCGTGTTCCAATAGGGCTATTAATTCCTAATCGGGACATTGTATCGTAAACAGAGACTGGATCCTGGATATTGTCCCAACCCTGTCCCTAAAATCTCCAAATTGTCTCCAACCCTAGATCGCAACTAATTCAAACGTCAGACTTTAAATGCATATGTATTTCATTCTCCGCACTCAGCTAGTTCTCCAAAGCACTCCACCTTTTACAGTCATCGTGGGGTCCGTGATGTAATTTCATCTTGCCACAATGCTCCGCAAACCCCTGCTTAGTAGGTACAGAACATGCCACTCAACATGACAATCCATGGACCAAGCGTCGGAACTATCCGTGCATGCAATGACCGGCTATCTATACGGGGGAAGCATACCCGCCCGTATCCTGTTTACGTAGGAGAGCAAGGATTATCACAATGACATTCCACTCCTTTAACTCAGGAAATTATGTAGCGTCCTTTGCAGAGGTGGATCGGGTTCGAGGTCGCCACGCAGGCCCATGCTATATTATCTCATGAACAAGCGTCATGATGTCTCTGGGTGCTATGAGGCCACGTTATGTAATACCGTAGGCTTATAAGGGGATTAACCTGACTAGTCAAGATGTGTGAGCATTGAGGTGGGGTTCTATTTGTAGAAGCTACTACCTTCATTTCCGAGGCTAGCTAGTATTTTTTAAGCTAGAAGTGCTACCAAGTGTAGCTTGCTGTGCATTGTGACTAGCACATGAGTATAGGATTCCCGCGACGATGGTTGACGTGAGAAGAAGCCGAGCGCTGCACTGTGCATAATACCCTTCGGGCCAGCACAGAAAGATCACTTTATTTAAGGCTGCACAGCCTACACTGACCTGGATATAATTTCTCAGACTACTGTGAGCCTACTGAGAGCCTACTAAGAGATCAATGAGAGATCAATGAGAGAACCAACATGATAGGCTAAAAAAGTAAAGGTAAGCAAAACCAAGGATAAAACATCATAAAAAGGCCTTCGAACGCGATAAAGGTCATTCATCGGAACGTCTAGTGGCCTGGAAGAGAATGAAGTGCAGTTTCCCTTTGATTTGCTCCGCCAACTGAGTGATTGTTTCATTTTGTAGAAACACCCACTGTGTGGCCTTCCTCCCAGTTGATAATCGCATCACATAACTTTCAGTGATACTCATTTGTATATCATCTTCCGAGATGGCGAAAATGCGGTCGCCGACGCAGCAGATAGGACCTCTCACAAGATCCGCTCGTCCAGGTTTCCAGAGGCGGTCAAATTTCTCATCTGGCTGTACCATACTCCTGCATGTCCAAACATATTCCTTCCACTCAGGAGAAAACCATAGGTCTTCCTGATAGAGGTTGTTGAGGAACTGTCGCGGGACTTGAATGTGAATGATACACGTTTCAGCCTCTGGACATCTTCTAGCTACATACCTTCGATAGTTCTCAGCTGTTTCCTTTTCTGGGGTCCAGTAGTGGGCATTGCAATTCCAATTGAAATCACTACCAGGGGCCGTCACAAGGGCGCTTGGGTTGACAGCTCCATTTTCCCAAATGATGGCACCTCGTTGCTTGAGCTCTGAGTGTGCCTTTCCTTTGTACAAAGAAACGTGGTCATCCATGAGCAAAGGTGAATCAGCCTCAACTCTGACACGTGTATTTGGAAACTTGAAATCGCTTGGTGTCATGCTGATAGTTGCTGTGACAGCTTGGCCCGGAGTTGTGGTTTGGTCGTCTAAGGATTGGTCGGAATGACCTCGAGGCCCGTTAGATTTCTCTTTCTGGGCAAGAAGGTGATTTGCATAAGATTCTAGGACTTTCTGTTTCGAGAGCAGAGCAGCATAGTTGATTTCAACGGTATCTTTTGCCCAATAGAACAGTGACTCCGTGCCAAAGATTTGCGAAAATTCTGGGTCTGTAATGGCACCTTGAATTTCTTGATTCAACCCAATATCTCTGAGTGCATCTTTAGGGCTCATATTGTCATATTGGGAAAGTTTGAGTGCGGAAAGATGTCCAGAGACATAAGCTATAAGGTCATCAGGGTTCTGTTCTGAATCGGGCCTCTTGCGGTAGCGGTCATAAATGACACGAGAGACTTCTGGCACGAATCCGATGTATTCAAGGACCTCTCGACTTTCTATTGCGATTGGAATGTCGAAGGTATGAATGACGTCAGGGTTGTATCCTTGAAAGCTCATTGATGCGGAAGCTGTAGACGAGGAAGAAGGGCTTGAACTTGGTTTCGGTGCCCTGAAGGCGGCTGATACTTTTCTTATTGTGGATACTTGAGGGTGCGGTTCTGATAGAAAGATTTTGGCTTCCTCGAGGCAACGTATTTGTGCTGGCGTAAGTACTGTCGGACGAGGGAGAGGGCCTGGAGGCGTAGGGACCGTATCAGTGGACATGGTGAGATTTGAATGAGAATTTGGTAGGCAGAGAGAAGATGAAGACTGATGAGAGTGGTGAGTAAGAAAGAAGAATAGTTTCGATCAAAATATTCATTAGATGCTTATATTGTAGGTCTCACCGAGGTTTGTTCTCCGATTCCCGATTAGGCTCAGTGGTTTATCTTTCTTTCTCAATTTGATAGGGAACTAAGGGTGGACAGTCGCTTATACGGCCTTATGATGTCTTTCTTACGGAGCTTCTCAGAGGTCTTTTCAGAGGTCTTTTCAGCGGGCTTTTTAGGTCTTATAGATAGACTACAGGAAGACGCAGAAAATCATACTTTCTGCAAGCGACTTTTCTATGTATAACCTTTGATAACCTTCGAAGACGTCCGCGGGTCTACCTCAGCACCTGGGCATAAAACAGCAGGGAGTAAGCGTAAAGGGCCATCGATAGGAATGATATTTACAAATGATCGCTACAGCAATTGTGTACAGTATTATGCGCTAAATATTCAATTGTCACTTAAGTATATACATTTTCTGATCTATGAGCTACCTACACTAATGCTGATCGGAGGAGACGCTCCATCTCTCGGAGCGACTCGGGTTTGGAAGTGACACTGGACATGAGATAAAGAACATTGCCGAGGACACGAGAGTGAACATTAAACTGGTCACCGCCAGCAGCCAGTTTCTGCTGCAGTCCCTTTGCAGCATTGGAGGTGTAGCCTGCGAGGTTGTTAGTTTAATCAATGCTAGATTCCAGATCTCAGAAACATACCTCCACCAGCTGCATCACGCAGTGAGATACTAAGCACAGTTCCAATGGCAAACACGCTCTCCACCGAGGCCGTAGAAGACAAGTCCTGCAGTAGACCATGTGACCAGACACTCCACACATCCGGAGTTGAGGCTTCAACAGTCGCAGGCGAGCTGCTACGCCAGTCAGCGCGGTACGCATCCCACGATCCATCAATATCAAGCTTAGCCATGGTTTTCAAGGAGTCAACGGCGACTGTGCATCCAACTGCATGGGCGGTGTAACTGTGACCATGGAGGAGGGCGTCGCTCTTCTCCGGGCTCGAGAAAGCATCGAAAATTTCCTCGCTAGCGACAGTCGTGCAGAGCGGTACCAGCCCGCCCGTGAGGAGTTTGGCGTTGACGGCGACGTCGGGGTGCACGCCCAAGAAGGATGCGGATGTCCGGCGACCGAGACGGTACAGTCCAGTGAAGACTTCGTCGAAGATGACTGGCAGGCCTGACCAGGACGGGGATTGTTTGGGGGCGGGAGCATTGGCGGAGAACAGCTCTGGGTGGTCGCGGACCACATCAGTCAGACATCTTTGGAAGAGGGGATCACTAGGAGATGGTCAGTATATCTATAACTGAATTATTCTGCGCCTAGATTCTTACCAGAAAAGCATTCCACCCGCACCGAGGATAACCGGCTCCAGGATCAATGCTCCAAACTTCACTCCTTGGCGCTGGACCAGATCCTCAATAGTGCGACGAATGTAGTCCTTGTAACGCTGTGCAGTGGCGGACTCAAGACGCTGGCTGAGGTCAAAGACCGACCCCAATGAAGCGAAATCAACATCCTCGCCAAGTTCTGCCTGTAGCTCACCGGGGATCTCAACTTTCCAAGATCCGCCAACCATCTTGACAAGAGGGAAATCGAACCAGTGGCCACGGCCACGGTACCACTCAACCTTCTTATTGTATGTGGAAGGCTCCGAGCAGTCCATCACACCGATGGTGTCACCGTGGTAGCTACCTTTGAGTCCAAGAATACCAATCTGCTCCTGGCTGGCATCCCAGCCGTACCGGTCGCAAGAGGCGCGTAGACCCATCTTCACAGCAACTTCCATCCCCGTGCTTCCATTGTCTGTGTAGAAGACCTTGGTGATTCTCGGGTTCTCGATGGTGTTCAGCAAATCATCTGCAAGCGCCAGGGCTGGCTCATGGACGGCCCCTGCAAACATGACATGTCCATACCGACCGGCGGCATAGGCAGCAGATAGTGACAGCTCGGGGTTACCGTGGCCCAAGCCTTGGGTCCACCAAGACGCAGACCCATCGAATGTCGGGCGTAGTTCACTTTCGGTATCTTTGGACTTGTTGGAACCGAATGTTTGGAAGTAATCATCATACGCTGAGTCGATGACAGTAATGTCCTTGGCCTCCATGCCTTGGTGCTGGGTAAAGGGGTACCATATCAGCTCTTTCGCACGGTCGGCCATCTCTTCGAGACGTTGAACGCGCTCGGTATTGTTGACGGACATGTCTTCGAGTAGCCGGAGGATCTCGGATTCCTTTGCGGCCTTTTGGTAATAGCTGAGCATAGCCTCCTCGTCCCTCAATTGGGAATCGGCATCTAGCTGCGATGGCCGTGCTGGAGGTGCTGGTAGCGACACCAACGGAATACTCTTTTTCTGGAAGTAATCCCGCAGGTATTCGTGGTTTTGGTAGTACTCATCCCGGAACAAAAGAACCGATGAGACATCGTACCCACGGAGGAGCAACGACTCGTAGGCAGAGATCGAAGAAGAAATTCCCCCTAGACGAGAGTCTGCCACCAGCACAATAGGCAAACGGAGTGGTCGATACAAGTCTGCCTGCGAATTGCCATTGGGGCCAGGGGAGTGCACACCCCCAGCAGTCTCAACAAGGGCGAAGTCAATGTCCGACCGCGCCCAGCCGGAGAGCGTGTTATGTATGGATGCGAGGAGATCATCGTCTCGCGGAACCTGTGCAATGAGTTTCATGTCTCGTAAGTAGGTCAATGGGTACTCAATGGGTACTTACAAATTTATCTTTTGCTGCCAAATGCGGGCTCACTGGGTCATCGAATTGGTAGAGACATTTGGTGAGCGTCCCAGCACCGTAACGTTTCAAGTGCCTACGATTGTCAGCAATTGAATTGTAATGAAATCAAAAAATCCAATGTTTACCGATCGTCGGCATCATCCAATGCCCCTGTTGACACGGGCTTGAGGAATGCGGCCTGCTGTTTCTGGCGTTGAACGGCATTACACAACACAGTGGAGATGATTGTCTTCCCCACGTCCGTGTTAGCTCCATAGACTTGATGAGCTCTTAAACTGCGCCAGAGCGCTGCGCCGACTGGAGGCATGATGTGAAGTGAAGTGAGTCACGATCAAGTCCAAGGACCTCGGGACAAGTTGAGTTTCCCACTCGCCGAAATCTCCACATTTCTTGTAATTCACCGATTTCCCCTGTTGGGTCTCAACGACTACTTCTTGGCTTGGAGATCTGTTCCATCTCAACAAGTTTATCATTCGGAAATTAGAAAAATTAAAGTGGATCTGATAACGATCACCCGTCAGGAACAGGAACAGGAACAGGAACAGGAACAAGAACAAGAACAAGGGAATTGACATCAATTGATCATGAAAATCGAGATGACTGCTCTTTCATCGGAGAAATTGACAGCATCCAAAACCCTCATTGACTCCCTTTCCGCCGCATTATCGCACCGGGAAGCCAAATCTGCCCGTCGGAGGCTGACCGTTCTACCCCGGACAGCTGTGGATTTCTCCTCCAACGACTTCCTCTCACTGTCAACGTCTTCTGCATACCGAGAACGCTTTCTGGCTCTTTTGAACAACACCCCGCCATCATTTCCCCTTGCTAGCGGGGGTTCTCGGCTATTAGACGGGAATTCGGCTTACGCGGAAGAGCTCGAGAATTTTGTCGCGACATTCCATCAAGCTCCGACAGCGCTTCTATTCAACTCCGGATACGACGCCAATGTCGGCGTATTATCCAGCCTCCCCCAGCCAGGCGATGTGATTTTGTACGATGAGCTCATCCATGCCAGTGCCCATGAGGGCATGCGTCTGTCGCGGGCCGGTGCTCGGAAGATGTTTGCCCACAGTTCGCCAATTGGCCTGAGAGAGGCTTTGCAGGCTCAGATAGCTGAAGATCCAGCCATTGCGGAAGGAAAACGTAATGTATTTGTCCTTATCGAGTCTATCTACAGCATGGACGGCGACGTTGCTCCCATCAAGGAGTTTATTGCGGTTGTTGATGAGCTGCTGCCTCACGGTAACGGATATTTCTATGTCGATGAAGCGCATGCGACTGGTGTATTTGGACTTCGAGGTGCTGGGGTGGTTCAGGAACTCGGCGTTCAGGATCGCATGTTTATCCGCGTGCATACATTCGGCAAGGCACTAGCGAGTCACGGTGGTATGTTATCTTGTCCAATCCCTTGTTCCTTGGAATAAGCAACTGACCTTTCTCCAGCCATGGTTCTCTGCGGACCAGAGACAAGAGATTACCTGATCAACTATGCCCGGAGTTTGATCTATACCACCGCTTTAGGATTCCCATTCCTGGCATCAATTCGTGCATCATATGAGCTTCTATCATCTGGTGAAACTGAATCAGTGAGTCTATCCTGAATTCCGAACTCTAGTACTCAGCTAACTAGATCACAGTTACAACGCCGGCTTCAGGAATTGATCCGCCATCTCCGACAACGGCTCGATAGCCTCCACACATATCAATCAGTCATGTTCGAAGTCGACCATTACCCCACATCCCCCATTATCTCCCTTCGTACATCGCAGCCACGACAGCTGGCGAGTCTCTGCCAGGAAAATGGATTCATCGTTCGAGCAATCATGCCGCCGACAATCCCCGAAGGAAAAGAGCGGGTGCGAGTGTGCTTGCATGCGGGAAATACCGAGACTGAAATCGATGGCTTGACACGGATAATTCAGTTGTGGCTTGATCAAAGTCACAGAAGTCTGACAAAATTATAGAAGTATGAGGTACTCTTAAAATTCCCATAGGCAATGTTTACTGGTGAAGCTTGGAAGTACTCGACTTCACTTCAGGCCAAGTTCTATTGGACCCATTGTGTTTGAAATTTCTATTTTATATGCGTCTAATCGTATAAATCGCATGAACGAGGACCTGTCTCAGGCCATACAAACGACGTGGAACCTGTTCTCGCGCATGACTCTAGCAAGATAGGGATTGTTCTAAGCATTTTGAAAGCCACCTCGGAGATTCGTATGAATAGAGATGTCTCTGAATAATAAAAGTCATGAATTTCAAAACAAAACTGGTGGTATATGTCTAATGAACAAGTAATCTGTAACAAATGCAGTAGAGGATCTCAAATCACAGAAGCAAACGCACGCTATAGGATAAATGCTCATTAAAAATCAAGACCACCTAAACCATAGATTGCTCCACCTTCATATCACTGCCCTGCGTATCCGAGCGGTCCATGGTAGTGTAGCGACTGAAATCTCTCAGGTTGCGATGCTCACTACCAGGTTGATCACCCCGAGCCGCAGCCTTCCGGTCCTGACGACGGAAGTAAATACGCTTGCACCATTTCCAGGTCTCAATGCCGAGGAAGAAAAGCACCGTCTCAACAAACACAATCCCCCATTCCCAGCTGATGCTGCTATGCATGAAGACGCTGTGGTTGATAACGGGGATGTAGATGATAGGGAATGCAAGAATGAAACCAGTCATGATGCCGAAGAAGAGGAACTTGTTGCGCCAGATATCGTGCATCCATTGGGTATAACGTAACTTTGAGTTGGGCTGCATTTGGAAGAAGCTGCGACGCAAGTGCATCATCTCCCAGGCGAGGAAGAGGGCGAACCAGGTCATGCAAGTGAAGGTAGTGGCGCGGGCGCGGAAAACTGTTTCGCAGTTGTAGGGTTTGTCGGGGTTGTTGTATTCTGTGTTGCAGCCCATGGCGAGATCACCGTCTCCCCACTTGAACATAACGAGAGAGAATGCTGACAGACAGAGACCGGCCATCCAGACTCCGTAGACGAGGGTGTCGATGATGATTTCCCAGGTGAAAATACCTTGTTTCTGTGATTTGTTAGTAAGTTGGACCGCGAGGGAAGTGGTTTAGAAGAACTTACGCTTTGCGGTGGCCGGTCCATCACTTCTGGGGCAGCAATCTCCATTCCCAGGCCCATATCAGGAAGACCAGAGGTAACCATAATAATCCAGATGATCTCAACGGGGGAAATAGGGAAGACAGACTGGTTGCTGTCATCCTTGAAGGCCAATCCAATGAGCAGGGTAATAGCCAAAGCAACATTTTCCGCCAGAAGATGCAGAACGAATTTCTGGATGTTATCGAAAATGCGACGACCTTCCTCAATACCGTTGATGATGGAGGCAAAGTTATCATCAGACAACACTAGCTCGGAAGCATCCTTAGCCACATCAGAGCCATTCTGACCCATGGCAATACCGACATCAGCCCGCTTGAGCGAGGGAGAGTCGTTAACTCCGTCACCGGTCATAGCCACAAAGCGTCCACGGCGATGCAGGGCATCGATCATACGGACTTTTGTGTTAGGCGCGCAGCGAGCGATAACCAATGGAAGAGTGGGGAGCTGGTCAATCTCGTCTTCGGTCAATTTGTCAAACTGGGAAGCGGTCATGACCATAGCATCAGCAACGTCCTTGGCGATCATATCCATGTTTGCAGGAATAATTCCGACTTGCGCTGCGATCGCGCGGGCAGTACCGGGATGATCACCAGTAACCATATGCACGGAGATTCCAGCCTTGTAGCACTGGGCAATAGCCCCAGCCGTCTCCGGACGAGGGGGATCATAGAGACCAATCAAGCCGTAGAAAGACAATTCTTTCTCAACCTCCTCGCGGGGCAGAGGGTCGCCGCCTTCTTTTGCGGGAGAGGTATTCTCGCGACCGGCCATAGCGAGCACACGAAGACCCTCTTTAGCCAAGGCCTCCATGTTCTGCAAGATTTCATCGCGGATTTCATCGTCGATAGGAACAGGGTCTGAATCGGGCTTCCATTTGATAGTGGTGCACGCCTCGAGAACGCGTTCAACAGCGCCTTTGGTAAAGATCATTTCATGGCTCTTCTCTGAGTTTTCGTCACGCTTGGAGAAAATGACAGACATTTTCTTCACACTTGAGTCGAATGGATACTCGGCCTTTTGTGACCAGACCGGCTTTTCGCCTTTAGTCCACCTATCTAGGCCCCAGTTGAATCGAGAGGCGAAGACCTGAATGGCAATGTCGGTGGGTTCACCACGAGCCTGCCATCCCTCAGTGGCACTTTGGTGGAGATGGGCCAGATTTGCCATGGCAGTGACGTTGAGGAAGGCCTTGAGCTCATCGTTGTCTTTCAGCAGGTCATCTGGCGATGCTACATCGCCCGTTTCCTTTCCATCCAATTTGACCGGAGCCTCGGCCATGAAGCTCAGTTCGCCGTCCTGAGGGTTAAGAGGCTCATTCGAGGCGCCGACTAAGTAAGTTCCCGCAGATGGAATCCAAGCCCTCTTTACGACCATACGGCCTTGAGTCAAAGTACCAGTCTTATCTGAGCAGATATTGGTAACAGCGCCGAGAGCCTCCAGAGAATCCAGCTTGCGGACAATGACATGACGCTTAACCATCTGTTTAGTTCCGACAGCCATGGTAATCGTGAGCACAACCACCAAACAAGCCGGAATCATAGCCAGACCAGTCGCGACCGCATAAATGATAACCTCGCTATCACCGCGCCAATCATTCGACGCAGCAACGACAATCGCAAAAACGACAGCGATGGCAAAGAGCAGGAGTGCCAGCTTAGACAGTTTCCGTTGCAAAGGTGTACCAACATTGGTACCCAAGAAGCGGCCAATAGCATCAGTGGTCGTCAATGTCCAAGCCTGGATATACCATCTCTTCTTTGATTCGCCTTCAGGTCCGCGCTTAACAGGGCGACGCTTGGAGTCAGTTCCACGGAGGGCTTGAGCGATAGCTCCAATCTCGGTACTCATACCAGTTCCCACGACGACACCACGAGCACGTCCTCGGGTCACGGTGGAAGAGCTGTACGCGATATTCAATCGGTCGCCTGGGCCAGTGTCGACGTCGAAGGTGGCATTGGCGTCTTTCTGAACCGGGAGAGACTCGCCGGTCAACAATGCTTCATCGGTTTCGAAGTTAAATGCTTCAACGAGTCTGCAAGGGGGTTAACTTGAGGTTCTGGAATTTTATGCGCTGGGGTTGCGGTACATACCTGACATCAGCAGGGACAGTGTCTCCCACTTTTAGTTCGACCATGTCGCCGGGGACGATCTCATTTGCTGGGATAGTTGCCGTCTTTCCATCACGAGATACTACACCCGTGGGTGAGCTGAGCGATCGTAGCGAGTCCATGGTCTTTTCTGCGGCGTAGTCCTGGTAGACACCGACAACGATATTCAGAGCGATGACGGCGGCGATGAAACCTCCTTCAATCCAGGACTTGATACCGAAACTGACGGCCATGGCGATGATAAGAACCTGTAACTTTTTAGCAATAACTCTATAGAAGGTCTCTCCTGCTTTGGACTTACCAGCATCATGGCGTTGGCGATCTGTCGAATGACAATCTTCGCCAAGGAGACGCCCTCGTCTCCTTCAAGCATATTCTGGCCATATTTCTCAACGCGCTGCTTGGCCTCTGTAGACGTTAAACCATCGTCGGAATTGGTTTGAAGTTCGCCGATGACATCATCAAAAGAGAGACTATGGGCGGGCTGGGAGAGAGGTTGTTGTGTGTTATCAGCAGGGCTCTGAGGGCCTGAGCCTTTTTGGGCTTCCTGCGACATTTGGCGAGCGTAGTATGTGTGTGCGTGTGTGTGTGTCTCTAGTTGAGTAGATTGAGTGAACGATAGTACTTCTATGAGGCTCTTAAGGGGGCATCATATAGAAGGTATTTGTAAGAGAATGAAATTCCATCCACCGAATTACTTTGAGTAATAGGTACACTTCTATGAAACAACCTTCTTTTTTTCCTCCGAGGGGGAAATCGCAAGGTATAAATAAGATAAGAATCTGGTCTCGATGGCGAAATATGACCGGCTGTTAACACCGGAAATAATCTGATGGAAATGGCGTCCGACGTCCGGGGAACCAGCTATCATCATGTTCTCACATCCAATCAGCTTCAATTCCCAGATCTCGGTATGAAGCGTATGTTTCTTGGCGAATCATGCTCAGTTTCCCCATTGAGTTGATGACGCAAACAGTCCTGGGCGACGGCCGACATGTCGCCCACGCGACGATTCTCCGATTCTGATTGGTGCGGAGGGGGCTTGGCGCTCTCTTGGCTGGACAGGTCATCGCCCTTTATTGCTCTGATTTATTTCCCACCTCTGGGCGCCTTGGCTCTTGGCATCTTGGAACTTCTTGGCATTTCGGGGCTCGAGAGTTCCTCCGCCTCAAATCTACCCACTTCTCCGGGGACATCCCTCTATTTTCATGAGGCAAAAAAGACGACTAAACTTGTTTTTTTGCCTCAAAGAATGGGCCCTCAATTATTATTGGAAACACGGTGCCTGAATACATGATTGACCCGAATGATCCGATCCAGGTTGCACATTGTCTGACGCTGCGCTATTCCTCTTATCTTTATTGGGTTTATTGGGCGATACTCCAATTCTTTATTTTTATTGTTTTTCTTCTCGTATCTTGCTCGCTTGGACCCAGAACCCATATGATCCTCCACTTATGGACGATTCCATGCCGCGAGAGGAGATAATCGGGGTTGTGATTGGGGCCGTTGCACTGTTTTCCCTGATCAGCATGATTCCGGTGTGAGTACATAGGCCCGATAGTCTTGGCTCCCCCGCTTCATGCATGCGAAATGTTCTCGAAGCTCTGACTTGCCGATCACTGATTTATGATTTTCTACTTAGCATGATCATGTGGCATCACCGACGAAGGGCAGCCATACAAGCAATGGGCCAAACCACAGTCCTCCCCCCGATTTATCAGGTACAGTTGCAGAACGTGTTGGGCCAACCGGTGTCTGGCCAACCGGTGTCTGTGGACCGATGGTTGGCAGAACAAAACGTGCCCACCAGTGCCCAGCAATACGGCCAAGATACTTGGTAAGTGTGACATCTCAGCATTCCAGCGGTCTCCGATTCCGGCCCCCTCCCTCCAGCCTCTTGGCCCTGCGGCTCGATGATGTAGTGCGGGGACACTAGGGCTGGGCTCTGGGTCCCTCCGCCCTATCGGGATCGGCGACTTCTTGTCGAGGCGGGTTCATGTTTCTGGGCACGCCAGTCTCGCCCCCTGATACCCCCCAATGCCAATCCATTTCGTTCCTGGATAAACACATCGTCTTCTGATAACAGACCGTGCACACAATCCTGGACAAATCGTTTTAATCTTTCAGAATCAAGCTAACTCTCGCTAAGCCCCATCTGTCTATCAGCACTATCGTCATCCCCGTACCTCGCCTGTCCCGATCCATCCGTTCTAGCCCACGATCAGTATCACAACCCGACTGCACGGCCAGACGCTTTCTGCATCTGCGGGGCAAAACATTCCCCACCCGGCAGCGAGGTGCTCGTACTGAATCGCTGCAAGCATGCCTTCCATCTAGATTGTCTGAAGTCTTGGTTTGAATACCGTCGGTACAAGTGCCCGATCTGCCAAGCTTCGTATTCGCCAGAGGAAGAAGCACGAGGATGATTTCCGGAAAGAGTGGCTTCCTGCTGCATGCATCATCCTGTGGGGGTTGCAATTTGCATTGATATCATCAGTGGATATACCCTCCATGGTTTGCCCGGCGGGCTCACTACGGCTTCTTGCTTTTGTTCACGACACTTCTTTTCTGCACTTTGCTTTTGCCGGGCTTTTTCTTTTTTTGCGCTGTTTTTGTTCAAGATATCCCTCAACATGACACGAAGCATGTTCATTCAGCTCTTTGATCCACATTCATACATTTTTTGTTCACTTCTCCAAAATGGCCTCCATGGAAGACATTGTTTTAGGTATCCATGCGCAAACATAATAAAGGGAATTATGTTCACTACAGTTGTGATACAATGGAATGTTCACACCGAACGGAGATCTCAATAGTGTAGTTTTACCCCAGGGAGGATCTGCTCAACATTTCCCTCCTAATAGTCTTCCCACACCATCTCCTTACACCAGGATGTATACACTAAAGTATCATTATCGTAGACCCTCATATCCTGCAATGATCAAATTCGAGCAATCGGGCACCGGAATAGGAAATTTCTCTCGGCACCCCCACTATGGAGACAATTTCAAACTACTCCCGTTGTTTTCAAAACATACAGAAATTCCGTGCATATCAGCATTCATATTCAGACCCTCACGATCGGAAACATCCTGATCATATCGCATATACCTCTTTCATAATCAACCATCAAATCCCTCCATCCATCATGGACTTGACTTCTGACGAAATCAAACTTGTCGAGATCGCAAGAACGACAATCAATGCAATCCCTAAATCCGATACCCACAGCGTAGCCAGCGCAGCCTTATCAACCAATGGCCAGGTTTTCACCGGCGTGAACGTCTTTCACTTCACGGGTGGGCCATGTGCCGAGCTCGTGGTGCTCGGTGTAGCCGCGAGTGCCGCGACTCCCGGTCTATCACATATTGTTGCTGTTGGGGAAGACAGCCACAATGGAGTTATTGTCAACCCCTGCGGTCGGTGTCGACAGGTCCTGCATGATTTGCACCCTGAAATTCGGGTTATTGTACGGAAGGGCGGGGAGGTGAAATCTGTCTCCATTGATGAGTTGTTGCCTTATGCTTATGAGCTTAGAGACTGAGCACTATGTACATGATATATATGCACACCTGGGCAAATAACGCAACATGATGCCAACAGTCAGGTCAATATAAAATATATTTCCACAAACTACACCCTAATCTACCTTCACAGTCCATTAATAACTCGAGTCAATCCAACTAGCATGATCGCTTCCCAGGACAGTTTTCTTCGTAACCGCAGCCGAGATCGCAGTCTCATATAGGCGCGCAGAAGTATCCGACCCGGCTCCGGAATTGTTAAATTCATAATAGAATGGTGTGGCACCCTCTGCCATTGTCGCCCATCCCTTGGGATTGATCAAACTACCCAGCTTGGAGTTCTGGTAGATGACGCGAGCAAGTCCTCGCCACGGACGGCCAAGGTACACAGTTCCATCGCTAACCCCCGATGCAGCCTTGATGTTGCAGCTGTCAATTGCATACCAGGCCGTGTCAGTGGCCTTCTCGCGCGAGCTGGCGGTGATATAGCCAGGACCATTGGAGACAATGTCGCAGTTGCCGAACCAGGCGGAGGCATCGCCGAAGATGTAATCCACGGATCCTAGGAACTGTAAGTATAGAAACGTGGGATGGATCCATGTTATAGAAGATAAATCATGACTTACCCTGAATCTTGGAGTTGACATAGTACTGTGTTCCCGACTTGGCATACAAGGTATCCTGGTAACCAAGGAACTGGCACGCATAGAAGCCAAGTTTATCGGCATTGGCAACGAGGCTAGTATAGTCAGTCAATAATTCACATACCAAAACAAATTAATACTCACGCAACAGCCTGTGCACCAGTGCCGTATCCATTCACCACGTTGATGTTGTACATCTTAAACCCAGCAGAGACAACATTCACAGTAGCACTCTTATCCAACGAGCCAGCCTCAGGCGAAGAGATGGTATGAGTGATAGTCACAGTGTTCTCCTTATACGTCTGCGTATCAGCAGTCTGACCATACAAAGTCAGAGCACCGGCATATTTGATAGTAATCTGTTCCTTGTACGTGCCACTTGCGATATAGATACAAGCCGCTGCGGATGACGAGCCGAGAGCAGTCAAGGCATCGCCGATAGTTGAGTATTTTCCACCCGAACCGACAGTCAAGCAGCCTGAGGGGGCACTATTTCTAGTTGCGCGAGTGACTAACTCGGCGGGTGCGCCCAGAACACCCGTCCCGAGGGATAGGGCTGTGAGGAGGAGGTTGTGTAGATGCATTTGGTAGGGATTGTTGTTTTACCGCAGAAAAGGGAATGATTGTCGGACTATATGCGCATTGAGAGACATTATATGCAGTGACTCTGTCATACGGACGTTATTTCAAGGGTGAGGTTCCTCTGTGTCCACCGGAGGTATAGTTGATGAGACATACTATTCTCCACTCCGAGGTATTTCCATAAATGGGAAGCTTTCCTTGGCCATAGCTACCCTTGGTCAGGGGTAAATGTATTTAGGCAATTTATCCAGAGTATATTAATAGTCTCATTCCTCTCAATCCCATACTTATCTCACGGAGTTCCGCGACATTGCGAAACTTGTGGCTTCAGGGGAAGTGTATATGCAGTGTAAATCATATATCCGGGGAAATCAACGCCGAAGATTCACCGGATACCAATTTGAGGAATTACTGCCGAAGAATGAAGAAATGATATTCACTGAAGAAGAAAATATTCCTCGAATGATGGGACTGGCGCTAAAGCGGAGGTGTTTCAGGTTGTCTTAATTCTCCGTTGACAAAACATCGAGGTCGTCCACATGCAAATTGTAAAACATTTGAAACTAAAAGGAGAAGGGAAAAGGAGACTAGAAACGTTGTAAAAAAGAGTATATAAGTTCACTAGATACGCAGTTACTCCCAAGGCATATAGCTGTGATACATTCAATCAACTGCGCCATGTCGATAGCAAGATCCTTGGCAGCCTTTGCGCTGCTCACCTCAACATTCGCCCTACCAGACAGCACAAGAGCTCTCAACACTCGTGCTTCAGCTTGCACACCTGCAGCAGGAGGATCGGCCTCAATCGACGATGTGCCCGCCATCACATCGGCAATTGCCTCTTGCGGCAAGGGAGGCACTATAGTCATTCCCGCCGGCAAAACCTACTACTTAAACAGCGTACTAGATTTTGCGGGATGTGTCGGTTGTGACTTCCAAGTAGAAGGACTCTTGAAGTTCAGCTCATCCACTGATTTCTGGGAGGGAAAGACAGCAATGATCAACATCAAGAATATCGACGGACTCAAGATCCGCTCTTTGACAGGAAGCGGAGTGATTGATGGAAATGGACAAAATGCGTATGTATTTCTTTCTCATCTTTCAACTTTCATTTCAGTCCACTAATATCAAGTATAGGTGGGACCTTTTCGCAGCAGACAGCAGCTACGCCCGCCCAACCCTCCTCTATATCACCGGCGGCTCTAACATCGAAGTCTCGAACCTCCGCCAAAAGAACCCGCCCAACGTCTTCAATTCCGTCAAAGGAAATACCAAGACCGTGATATTTGCCGATCTCAAGATGGACGCCACATCCAAAAGTAAGAATGAGCCGAAGAACACAGACGGCTTCGACATCGGCGCCAGCACGGACGTCGTTATCAGCAATGTGAATGTGAAGAACGATGATGACTGCGTGGCATTCAAGCCCGGCGCGGACGGTGTGACTGTCACAGATATTACCTGCACCGGGAGTCATGGATTGTCGGTGGGATCTCTGGGCAAGAGTTCCGCTGATTCGGTCAGGAACGTGTACGTGTCCGGTGCGACGATGATCGACTCGACTAAAGCCGCGGGAATCAAGACGTATCCCACTGGTGGAGGTCATGGCATGTCGACAGTGAGCAATGTTACTTTCACTGGTGTTGTGGTTGATGGGTGTGACTATGCGATTCAGATTCAGAGTTGCTATGGAGAGGATGCTGATTACTGCGTGGATCATCCTGGAAATGCGGATTTGACGGGTATCGTTTTTGATAAATTTAGCGGGACGACTAGTGGGAAGTATAAGGCTGTTACGGGCAGTCTTGCTTGTGGATCTGGTGGAACTTGTGATGTCAAGGTTGGTGCTTATACTGTCAAGGCGCCGTCTGGGGGAAGTGAGGTGCTGTGTGCTAATACCCCGTCGAATTTGGGGGTGAAATGCACACCTGGGGCCTCGGGCTAAGAATGCAAGGACATTTGTATAGTTATGTTGTGAATAGAAGAATACTGAAGAAACACTGAAAAAGCTCTATACAGTTTTGCGGTATATAAAAGATATGTTCGTCATACAGGCATGATTTCCGGCACAACACACCAGATCAGCCGTTCATTCAGATGTCTACGAGGAGGCAATCACCTTGTCCTTCACGTAGAGGTCGACATACTGGTCGACATCGTAGTTCTCCAGCTGAGAGCGGTTCCAGCCCAGCTCCAGCAGCTCATCAACGCGAGCCTTGTCAAAGTGCGCCTCGATGTGACGCTTGTACTTGGCCAGAATCTCAGGCTTGGCCTCCTCGCGGCGGAGACGGTGGCCCAGAGGAGCCTCGACGACGACCTCGTCGAGGACAGTGCCGTCGTTCAGGGTGACGGTCAGCGCGTTGGGGATGGTGCGCTTGGTGGGGTCGTGGTAGTCGGTGGTGAACTTGGTGTCCTCGACACAGCGGATCTTCTTGCGGAGCTCCTCCAGCAGAGGGGAGGTAGCAGCCTCGGAGCCGTCAGCGTAGTCGCTAGCGGTCAGGCGACCGAAGACGAGCATGGTGGCGACCATGTACTGCACACAGTGGTCACGGTCGGCGAAGTTGTCCATCTCCTTGAACTGCTTGTCGATGATGCGGATGCATGCCTCGTGTGTGCGGTTGGTGATCTCCTTGATGTCCTTGGCACTCTTGCCCATGGACGCAAGCTTAGCGTTGACCTTTTCAGCGGCCTCAATGGCAGTCTGGGAGTGGAACTCGGCTATCAAAACGAGTTAGCTGTTGTCGATTCTTGTACAGTTTTATTTCCTGCGGTATATTTTTGCACTTACCAGGGTAGGAAACCTTGAAGAGCACATTCTCCATGACGTAGCTACCGTAGGGGCGCTGGAACTGGAACTTCTTGCCCTTGAACAGGACATCGTAGAAGCCCCAGGTAGGAGCAGAGAGAACGGTGCGGAGACCACCTTCGCCCTTCTGGACCTTGAGCACCAGATTGACAGCGCGCTGGCAGGCGTCACCGGCAGCCCACGACTTGCGCGACATGGTGTTGGGGGAGTGACGGTAGGTACGGAGAGACTGGCCGTCCACCCAAGCCTGAGTGATAGCATCGGCAGTCTGTTTCTCAGTGAGGCCCAACATCTTGGAGACCACAGCGGCGGTCGCAACCTTGACGAGAACGACGTGGTCGAGGCCAACCTTGTTGTAGGAGTTCTCCAGAGCCAGGACACCCTGGATCTCATGGGCCTTGATCATGGCCTCCAAAACATCATGGATCTTCAGAATTTTGCCATTTCCAAGGTTTCCGCCGGCGCGGTTAGTGCGCGAGATCCAATCGGCCACAGCCAAGATACCACCTAGGTTGTCCGAAGGGTGACCCCACTCGGCAGCGAGCCAGCAGTCGTTGTAGTCGAGCCAGCGAATCATAGCGCCAATGTTGAAAGCTCCATTGACGGGGTCCAGTTGGTAGGGTGTACCGAACACACGGGTACCATTAGGGACAACAGTGCCTTCCACGACGGGACCAAGGAGCTTTGCGCACTCCTTGAATTTCAGAGCCTCCAATCCACAGCCAAGGGTGTCTAAGAACACCAAACGGGCAGTGTCAAACTAAAAAAAAACCAAATTTCGAATTTAGCCGGTGCTCCATGTACCCGAGCCGGGGTAACTTACTGCCAAGTCGGAATCCACCTTATAGTCGTGGATGTAACTAGCCATATCCTGAATTTCAGGATCATAAGACTTATCGGTGTGAACCGCCGGGGCGGCAGACTGACGAGCGGCCATGGTAGAGAAACGGGGAGTGCGAGGGACAGAGATACGGGGGGAGATGGAGAGGGAAGAAGCCAAAGTGGGCAATCTGGAGATGCGGGCCAAAGTGCGGGGAGACGTGTGGGTCAGGCGTCTCACTGCGGGCAGGGACATTGTGAAAGAATTGGGAAGATTGAAGATCCAATGGGCACAATTGAAAAGGGGGAAGATGGGTTATTTAAAACAACAAATGGACGAAAGGAGGAATGTTGGGGAAAAAGGGAGGAAAATGGCCGGGGTTGAGTTCCTAGCTGACTTCATCCTGCCGAGGGTCGGTTACAGTCGGGTATTACTCCATGCTCCTTGTGCACACCTATGGCTTTAGGATCAACTACCTGGTCTATAGATTGACAGGTCAATAATTACATTTACTTTCTCAATTGGTCTTAGTGCTACATTACCGTCTGTTAAGCTCACCGGGAGAAACCCGAAGTTCGGATGTAAACAACAGACCAACAGACAAGAGCTGCACGATGCAGCGAAAATCGGAATATACGCGGTCCGAATGTACAAGAAAGGGCAAACTAATACGGAGTCAAGAGCAGAGTTCTTTGTTATCACATAGAGGGGGCGAGGGAGCTCTGTGTGAGCTCCCCTTCGCCCTCGGTTGATCTGCACGTGAGGCAGATCATCAGCCATCCTCAATCCCCAATTCCCCCTGTCTCTTCCTATTCATCTCCCTTTCACTTATCATCTTTCTCGCCATCACTCTCCTTGATAATCAGTGAAAGTTTCCCATGGCCTCCTCTGTATCGGTCTGACGCAGAGACTTGACGATCTCTCCATAGATAGCTTTTGCGAAAAGCGGGGGCACGGCATTCCCAATCTGCTTGCGCATGAATCTACCAGTAAACTGGAAGTCCAATGGGAATGTCTGCAAGAGCGCCATCTCACGATTTGTATAGGGCCGGGTGCCCGAGGGGTGATAGTTGTATTCGCCTCCCCCGCAAGTAATGGTCCTAGCCAGAGAGTTACGATCAAAGGAGGGCCGGTAGCTCAGAGCCCACCGCGCAAGAGCTCCGTCGACATTGTGGTCATCGGCATCGGGAGGAATATTGTCAATGGTGGATGAAATTGTTGCCCGAGGAAGTAAGCCATGACCAGGCATACCGTGAGTGGGTTGGGCGTAATGTGGAAGAGCTTCACCGGGTCTAAGGGCACGTGGTTAGATACATCAAAATGGAAATATCAAAAGCTTCGTTTTTCATTTCACTTACCCCGCAGCAATAAGAAGCAGTCTCTTCCGCTCTTGTGGCACTCCATATTCGTCACACCCCAGTACCGACCAGCGAACAGAATATCCAAATTCAACCATGTCCAGGACAACTCGGTTGAAGATCACGGGAAATCGTTGTGGCAACCCCATGGTTTCCTCCATGGTCAACACTCGGGGCCGTGACTCTCGAATCAAACTTCCAGCCGAAAAGACGCACGCGGAGTTGGCGTCATCGCGAGGACAGGGCACAGTATGAGCAGGAGACCAGGTTTGGCACGGGGGTGAGCAGTGTGCAATATCGACTCGCAGGAATTTTGGATCATTGGTAAGGAAACTGAAGAAATCGGAATGCTCGACCTCCACGTCGTTGAAATTCAGCTGATATGTTTCCAGCGCATGCTTGTCAATATCAACGGCCCATTGGAGTTTCACGCCGGCCTGTTTAGCTCCGCAAGACACACCACCAGCACCACAGTACGCATCCCCAAAGGTGTATGCACGGTCAGGGGTAGTTAGATCGATCACGCCTTGTCGTTCAAGATCCATGGCCAAGGAAGATGCACTAGCCTCGCCGAAAGGCACAGTCTGGTCTCTCCATTCACGTCGCAACAGGTTTGCGGGCTTACCATATCCTGGGTCAGACTCAGAGAAGGTCAGCCATTCAATGGCACATTGCTCTGCACTCAAAGGTGCATGGCCAGGGAGAATCACGACTCCGCTCTGGCGAATTGTGAGCTTCAGTCGACAAGTCAGTTCTCCTCCCGGTGTATTGAAGTCTGTCCGAAAGTTGGTGAAGCAAATGGGCACAACTCGTCTAACTCTCTTGATGCTCACGTGGTCGGTGTTTTGAGTGAGCCAGACCAGTTCGTGGTTTAGTTTTGGCAGATATGTCTTGGCTTCGGGGTGAGTTGTGCGGTAAAGACGCCGGCCGAAGAAGCGCAGGTCATGAGGCTGAGGAATCACGTCCTCGACACGCATGAAAGACCCATCATCAAGCTCTAGGGATATTCCGGCTTTGAATACAATGCCCCCAATATTTATTTCTTGCTGAGTTCTCTCTGGCGTTGCGCTGGAGCTGGCGGACTGGTTGCTGATGACAGATGAGTTACCAGAGGACCGGCCGCTTGCTGAGTCGTCGCCGGTGGGGGTAATGGATGATGCCGCAACGTGTGCCATGTCAGAGGTCAGTTCTTCAATGGCTTGGTCAGTCTCGTCGTCGCAAGTGAGGTCAATCACGACCTCCATGTTCTCGGTGGGGCGGAAGGTGTGGCCGGCCTCCTGCATGGGCGAAGTGTCAGCGGTCGTCAACGGATCTATCATGATTATATCGTCGTCGGGCATTGTTGGCTCATAAGTTACTGCTCGAAACTCCGCAGTGCTGACATGGATTGGGTCTCCAAAGGGAGACACCGAAATACGGGATCGATCATTGACATCAGCCATTGGTGTGATGGTTGAGCGATAAAAGTCTTCCATGCTCAGTATGTGTGAGGAAAGAAAGGCTAGCTCTAAAATCAAGGTAAAAAAAGAGAGTGCGTGCCTTTATCAAGCCGATGGATGATCTTGGGACCTGATAGAGTCTCAAGTTCGGATGACTTCAGAAACACTTATATTGCTATAGTCGGGTGTTCGAAACTAGCCTCTCGCGAATGAATACTTGGCTGAGATGACAGTCTATTCTGAAGAGAAGTGGTAGCAGGCTTTGCCAGATTCTCTACACATAACGAATTCCAACTGAAGCAATTCATACGGATGTCTATGTATTTCTAGTTGTCAACAAAGCAGAGGAGATACTGTTGTGTGCAGCATGAAAGACTGGTATAAAGGCATGGTATCTCATTTGTTAACCCATTGAAGGTGTGTACGATCCTTCTAAGCTGGTTTGCATATGCATCTATTTGAGGTTGTATGTATCAACATCATATAGACGCTTAGCCTGTTCGGGACAGTACCTAGGGCAAAGGTACCAGGTGCCCAGGGCAGACCGCTTACTCATGATATGAGTCAGCTTCCCCCGGGTCGTCTCCCCGAAGTCGGCCCGGGCGGAGGAGCGAGAAATTTTCATTCTGTGGGGCACAACCACCGAAGAAACACAACTGCCATGGAATATTTCTCTCCTTCTCTCTGTCTTGGGGTGGTGTTCATTTCTAGTGATGACCATTCTCTGAACTTCCCTCATTCTTTTACGTGATTTGGTTTTGGTAAGTGGCATGGTTTTACTATTTTTGGCTTTCAGCTTTATTCAAGCTACTCACCCCCCCCTGTCTCTTATGATGATCTATGGTTTTTTTATAGATGTTAGACTTCCTAAACAATTGTTGCGGATAAACACCTGAACTGATTTGAGACACTGCAATCTTGCTATATATTGTGAATGCAATGGGTGAATACTGGTACTAATCCTCTTCGTCCATCCAGAAAGCCTACCCTCCGTCAGGATGTGTGGTATCATTGCGTTGATCCAGGCGAACCCCTCATCTGCGGCCGCCGTGGATTTGCACGAGGCACTTTACCTTCTCCAACGTGAGTTCCGGCCAGAATCTATACACCTGCGACCGCGAGACTAAAGGTTTTGGTATCACAGATCGTGGTCAGGATGCAGCCGGTATTGCAACATGTGCTTCTGGAGGTCGCATTTACCAACTCAAGGCCAACGGCATGGCTGCCAAGGTCTTCCAGGAAGGTGCTAAGGTGACCAACCTGCCTGGCTCCATGGGTATTGGTCACCTGCGGTATCCGACCGCAGGATCCAGTGCTAACGCCGAGGCCCAGCCGTTCTACGTGAACAGCCCCTACGGTATCTGCTTTGCACACAACGGTAACTTGATTAATGCCGGGGACCTCAAGAAGCACCTTGACCTTGAAGCCCACCGTCATATCAATACCGACAGCGACAGCGAGCTGATGCTCAACGTCTTTGCTGATGAGCTGAGCGAGACCAAGAAGGCCCGTGTCAACCACGAGGACCTCTTTGCCAGCTTGACTCGCATGTACAAACGTTGCGAGGGTGGATGGGCCTGCACTGCTATGCTTGCTGGTAAGTTATCAATCATGCATGATGTCCTCTAGTCCGGAGTACTAACTCGCCATCTAGGCTTTGGTATCTTGGGTTTCCGTGACTCATACGGTATCCGCCCCCTTATTTTGGGGTCCCGTCAGTCCGCGGATGGACCTGGCATGGATTACATGATGTCTTCCGAATCAGTCGCTCTGGACCAGCTGGGTTTCAGCAACCACCGTGACATTCAGCCTGGTGAGGCGGTCATCATCGCCAAGGGTGGCGAGCCGGTCTTCCGCCAAGTCGCCCCCAAGAAGGCTTACGCCCCAGACATCTTCGAGTATGTCTACTTTGCTCGTCCTGACTCTGTCATGGATGGCATCAGTGTGTACCGTAGCCGGCAACGCATGGGCGACCGTCTCGGTGCACGCGTCCTCGATGTCCTGGGTCCCGAGGTTGTCAAGGACATCGACGTGGTTATCCCCATTCCTGAAACGGCGACTGTGTCCGCGACCAATGTCGCACAATACCTTAAGAAGCCTTTTTGCCACGGTTTTGTCAAGAACCGTTACGTCTTCCGCACTTTCATCATGCCGGAGCAAAAGACACGGCAAAGGGGTGTCCGCCGTAAGCTCAACGCCATGAAGGCTGAGTTTAAGGACCGCAACGTCCTGCTGGTTGACGACAGTATTGTTCGTGGTACTACTAGTCGTGAAATAGTCAACATGGCCCGGGAAGCCGGCGCCAAGAAGGTCTACCTTGCCAGCTGCGCACCGGAGATCACACATGCCCACATCTACGGTATCGATCTTGCCTCCCCTCAAGAGTTGGTTGCGCACAATCGGAACTCAGAGGCCATTGCTAAGCACATTGGTGCAGAGGCTGTTGTCTTCCAAACTCTGCCTGATCTGAAGGACGCCTGTGCCGAGGTTGCCCGTGAGAATGGCCAGCAGGAGCCCACAAACTTCGAGGTCGGTGTGTTCTGTGGTAGCTACATTACCCCCGTTTCATCCGGTTACTTCGAACATCTGGAGTCCGTCCGTGGTGAAGGTCGCAAGGTCAAGGCTCTTGACAAGGCCAAAGAGGCTGTCACTAATGGCTTTGCCAACATGACCGACTTCCAGATTGCTGCCCATGGAGTCACTATGGACACCAACGGCAAAATCATTCCTGCTATAGACAACGAGTCGACAGCGATTGGCGCCGACAAGCAGGCCAACCACGCTGAAGACAAAACAAACCCGAAGGTCTCGGACCGCATGGACATTAGCATCCATAACCAGGCTGACCACGAGGCATGATTACGAGCAATCTGAATCTTTTTTTTTTCTCCACCATTTCGCAAATTTGCATTGGGTGTCTGGGCGTTTGTTTGAGGGAGCATATGTGGCTGATATGCCGCTAAATGATGTGGAAATGTTGAAATGTGGAAATGCATTGAAAATACCAATACCCGGTCTCTTGAGATATACTTGTCAATAATCCTTAATGAAATTAAAATCAATATCATCTTTCCCTTGAAGTCCTGCTGTTTCTCTTTCTGAATTTTAAAGTTTGAGATACCCAAAGAGGAAAGTCACGTGTATGCGCCATTGCCCAGTAACATCATCTCATTCCCTCCACATTTTTAACCTAGGTATACAATCATCCTGAACACCAGGCTTCACCTTTGCCTACTCGTTGATGGCTAAAACAAATTGATATACCTCAGCATATCTTGTATCAATTATCAGTTCTTAGGCACGTTGCTATTCCTACAACATCGAACGAAATCGACACTTGCTGCAGGCTCCCTAACCGGAGCTTCTCAATCATGGAACGCCGCATTACTCGTTCAACAGCACGGGCTGTAGCTTCTTTGATTGCAGGAGAAGAAAATACCCCTTCGGTTACTCAAGCATCCAACACTACTAAAGTGAACAAACGAAAACGCCTCAATCCAACTGACACGCCCAATGTCTCCAATCCCCTGACTACACCCAAAAATAACACAATCACTGATGTAAAATCGCCTACTGACCAGAAAATCAAGCAAGAGAAGCCAGTGCTGGGCCCAGCGCTGTTTGATGAACTCCCTCACAACCTAGGATCTTTGCCAGCCTCATTGTCTGTAGCAACAGAACTTTCGGCACCAATTGCTGGATTTGACAAGGAAAACCAAACTTTGAAGGACGAACAAGTTGACAATGTGGTCACTGAGCTACAATCCACTGTGAACAAGGCTACAACCCAATTGAAGAAGGAACCTAAAATTCCAATTACCACAACCGGCCGCAAGCCAAAGAAGAATACTTATGGCCTGACGCCCGGTATCTCTCCTTTTCCCGAACTGGCTCGACCAACCGCCGAGGAGTGCGAAGTTGTCAATCGGCTGTTGTCCAGCATTCATGGTGTAGTCACTGCCCCGGCAACCATCCCTGAGCCCTCCCTGACAGTCACCGGATGTGGTGAGGTCCCATCTGTTCTGGATGCCTTGATTCGTACTCTTCTCAGCGGTGCCACCACAGGCAACAATGCTGCCAGGGCTTTTGGTGGGCTTGTGCAACGATTTGGCACTCTTTCAGAGGGCATCGGCAAGGGAAGCGTGAATTGGGATGCCGTACGACAGGCTACTGTGAAAGATGTGTTTGAAGCCATCAAAAGTGGTGGCTTGGCCGACATCAAAAGCAAGAATCTCAAGGCGATTCTTGACATAGTCCACGAGGACAACCAGGTGCGCCGGGCTATCTTGTTAGATTCTGAGTCGAAGAACGACTCATTGTCTAAGCTGGTTCCTGAAAAGGCCGAAAAGGACAAACAATACGAGATTGCCTGTGCAGACCAGAACGTCCTCTCCCTCAATCACCTCCACAATCTCACCAGTGAAGAAGCCATGGCCGATCTGATCAAGTACCCCGGAATCGGACCCAAGACAGCCGCCTGTGTGATCCTGTTCTGCCTCCAGCGGCCCTGTTTCGCCGTTGACACGCACATTTTTCGGATCTGCCGCTGGCTCGGATGGATTCCTGTCCGTGCAAACGAAGTAAGCGCCTTTAGCCACCTGGAAGTGCGCATCCCCGACCACTTGAAGTATTCTCTCCACCAACTGTTCATCCGGCATGGGAAGACCTGTCCCCGGTGCCGAGCTGCTACCGGCGAGTCCAGTGCTGGTTGGGAGGACGACTGTGTCATTGATCACTTGTTGACCCGCGATGGGAAGCGCAAGGGCAATGGCCCGTCTGTGGTTTCTAAGAAGCAAGCAGCTGCTAAGGGCGTGGCTGGTAAGCGCAAGAAAGTGAACAAGGACTCCGAGGACGAGACTGAGGAAAGCGAGAGTTCATTTTCTGACGTAACAAGTGACGAATGAACGCATTTATGACAACGAAATTATTTGAAATGAAGGTGGATTGTTTGCCAGATGAGGATTGATCGTATGAATCTATGAGGATGGATGGCTTTGAGCCTAATATATGTATTCCATATCTTTATTTACCATTTTTCACTCTCAATACAAATGTATCATTATTGCTATACACAATCATCAGTTTCCTAAATAAGTCTTGGGATACTCCTAGATGATCGCCACGTCCATGTTGTATGGCACGACTGGACATTTCGGTTATCGCCTTATCGCAACCACAAAAAGTCTCCAGGAACCCGCGTTACTTAGTCTCCCAACACATCCCAATCGTACGATTGCACCGGTTCCCGCCATGGATTATCTGGCTTCCCACATTCCGCCAGCGCTACGCAGTCTTCTGGAGGCCTACGCTCCTCCCGGGTCGGCAGAGTACGCCCCGTACATCGGAGCCGCGTTGACCTCCCTTGTCGCCGTGTACGTGGGGTACCTCTACCTCCAGAGCTGGAGAGAGGCAGCAATTGTTTTCAATGTTCCTATTCCATCCGAAGTGCGCAACGGCGGGTCGATCAGAACATGGGATGACGTTCAGGGGCAGCAGAAAATGGTGTTGCAGGATCAAGCTCGGGGAGTAAGTTGACTAACCTAGTCTTTGACTCAGAATCCTTTCCAATCCTGTGACTTTTTTTTCTTATCTTTGAGCTAACTGCTGTCCTTCTAAACAGAAATGGAACCACCAATTGATTATGAGCTACTGTCCTGCCGATGGGAGGGTGCTCGGTAACGGAATCAAGCCCGCCACGGTCGAAGATGTCAACAATGTCGTTCGGGCTGCGAAAGCTGCTCAGCCGGAGTGGGCACAAACTACCTTTGCTGAGCGTAGAAAGGTTCTCCGGACACTGTTGAAGTATGTGGATTGGCAAATTTGCTCCGCCCTCTGAGACCATTGCGCTTTGCCTACGGCACCTTCGTAATGCTTGTCTAACTAACATCTTGCAGATACGTCCTAGACCACCAAGATGACCTCATTACCACATGCTGTCTCGATTCGGGTAAAACAAAAGTCGACGGCTCATTCGGCGAGATCCTTGTGACAGTGGAGAAGCTCCAGTGGACGATTGATCATGGTGAGAAGGCACTACTACCAGAGCAGCGGCCGACCAACTTCCTGATGATGTACAAGAAGAACATGGTCACATACGAACCACTGGGCGTGGTGGGTGCCTGTGTGGCTTGGAACTATGCGTTACACAACGTCATTGGTCCGATCATCAGCGCGCTGTTTACCGGTAACGCAGTCGTTGTTAAGCCTTCTGAGCAAACCGCATGGTCTGCAATGTACTTCCTCGAGATGGTGCGCGGCGCGCTCTCCAGCTGTGGTCATTCGCGCGACTTGGTCCAGATGCTAGTCTGTCTACCCAATGTTGCCAATGCATTCACTTCGCACCCTGATATCGCACATCTAACCTTCATTGGATCTCGGCCCGTCGCCCACCACGTCTGCGCATCAGCAGCCAAGTCACTCATCCCCGTATGTGTCGAGCTAGGCGGCAAAGACCCCGCCGTTATCCTGGATGACTCCCGCACTCTCCGCAATTTACCCTCCATCGCATCTCTCCTCATGCGCGGTGTCTTCCAGTCATCAGGCCAGAACTGCATCGGCGTCGAGCGTATCATCGCCCTTCCCAGTGCATACGACAAACTCATCGAGATCGTAACCCCCCGCATTCGAAATCTCCATCTCGGCTCCGTCCTCCTCGACACTGAAACCCCAGACGTTGGTGCAATGATCTCACCTGTCTCCTTCGCAAACCTCGAGACACTCATCAACGAAGCCGTGCAACAAGGTGCACGACTCCTCGCCGGTGGCACCGAATACAAACACCCAGTCCACCAACATGGCCATTACTTCACACCAACCCTCCTAGTGGACGTGACACGCGACATGCGGATCGCCCAAACAGAGCTCTTTGCCCCAGTCTTCCTCATGATGCGCGCCGAGTCCGTATCCGACGCAATCGCCATCTCAAACTCAACATCGTACGCACTAGGCGCCAGCGTCTTCGGGCACCGACAAAAGGACGTGCAAGCGTGCGTGTCAAAAATCTCCGCCGGAATGGTAGCAGTCAACGACTTCGGTACCTTTTACGCTGTACAGTTGCCGTTTGGTGGCGTCCGCGGCTCTGGATATGGTCGGTTCGCGGGCGAGGAGGGACTGCGCGGTCTGTGCAATATCAAGGCTGTTTGTGTTGATCGATTCCCTACTTTGATTGGAACTGGTATTCCACCGCGCCTGGATTATCCTATCCAAAACCGGAAGAACGCGGCAGACGCGAAAGGTGGAATTGCAGCTTGGGAGATGTGCAAGGGTATTGTTGAGACGGGATATCAGTTGACGCTTGGTGGGCGCATTGCTGGTATTCTGCGGTTGTTGAGCAACATGTAATGGGTTTGCTCTTTGGGAAACCATTTCAAAATTCTTGTTTCATATCAATATTGTACTCTACATAGTCCACCTTGTTATGGGTAATACCTCTGGCCGTGGGAACATTTAATTCAAAGTAAATTATTCTTTCGGATCTATATATGGTATTCTATATTAATTCACAAGAAATCTAAGACTCCGGGTATAACGCTAACAACATCCTCGTAAGACTACGCAGGATAATCTCATGGAGGAAGAGGAGGGCCAAACTTTTTAACCCAGTAATCCTCAGTCCGGAATGAACTCTCCATCAACCAATTCCCCAATGGTTCACGGGATGGTTTAAGAACCTCATCAACAAAGCGTTGGCCCTCAATATCCAAGGTATCTAACTGACCACAACAAAACAGCTGACCACTCGGGAAACCACTGGCATACTCAACCTGCGCAGGGAGACGAAGCAGGAAATTCGACAACCAGCGCGCAAATTTACCATTGATCTGATTGTAAGTACTCGGGTCCTTTTTCGCGAGTTCCATATTATCGACGGTCCACGTTGTGATCTCCGAGGACCAGCTAGGTAAAGACTCCGCACTAGCACGGAGGAGAGCCTCGAAGAAAGCCAAATTGAGATGTGGCTTATCGCGGCCGGTGCGAGTAACAGCGATGAAGTGTTCAGGCGGTATCGTATAAAAACCACCGCGGCCGTGCTTCTCTGCTTTGTAGCGGAAGATAAACTCATCAATTTTGAGGAGAGAGAGCATGGCGTTGAAGTTCTGGTGACGGATTGCGTTCTGGATTCCTTCGTTCAGGGCTTTGCGGTCGACTTTGGTCAGGGTCGAGGGTGACAAGGAGCTCTTTCCGGGGGTCCAATTGCACGAGGTTATCCGCAGCATCTCTAGGAAGGCAACGTCTTCTGGAAGGAAACCATTGCTGCGGCCTCGTAGGAGATGGGACGGGAATCTGCACAGATCGAGTGCAGGGAGATTGACCGTCAATCTCACATCCACACATTGCAGCTCGGTAGTAACCATGGGGATTATATTAAGCTCGTATTCGTGAGGGCCTTTCAGCGCATGCGGGGCCATCTGGAAGAACTCTGGGGGCAAGCTAGCGAGTTCTTTCATTGGTTCTCCCTTCCCATGGAATACGCGGACGCTATCATCCTTACGCGCTAGGAACTTTTCAAAGGCAGCCTGTTCGTCTTCCTTCGTCACGATACCGGCGTTGATCCAGCGACGGTAGATAGTCAGTATCTGCATTGTCGGGATCTGCTCACGCACGCGGTCCATGGTACACCACCTGCACTTGAAGATGGTTTCCTGTAAGCGGGCGCGCTCATCCAATTTGAGAGGAACGTAGTCCAGCGGCACCAGCATGCGCTCGACGGCCTTGCTACGGGGGTAGTCGGGCGAATCATTCCAGAATGCAAGCAGAATGAGGGCGCGATAGATGTGTTCACCGGAGAGGGCGCGCGATAGGAACGGCGAAGACCGGGGGAAATTTAGATTGAGCGAATATAGGAAGATCTGCTCGATAATCTCGACGGGGAGGGCCTCAAGAATGGACAACATCCTATGGGGAGTAAGCGGGCGCGAGATTATGGGTCTGGGCGAATTCGACGGGCGATCGTAGGGGCTAGACCGGGTAGACCGCGAGGACCGAGAGGACCGAGCTGAGCTGCTCCGAATCGGGTTCTTGAAGGTGCGACCTGGTCGGCGCTTCGACTTGGGGATAGCGGGAGCATTCGAGCTGCTCGCGGGCTCAGGCGGAGCAAGCTTCGACCGCGTCACGATTGCATCTTCGCATTTTGGTGGGCTCATGGAGCAATCGGACTTTCTCGTTATGAGTAAATCAATATGTACGCCCGAATCATTTCAGATTTATGACAATTCAATGTAGTATGTTGTACGGAGTAGGTCGCATATCAACGGAAGTATACACCTGAACGCTACAGGCAAAGTCCGAGGCCTAACCTCGTTCTGATTGGCGGGAAAGAACCCGACAGGAAATGGCTTGGCATTTAGGGCTTGGCACTGGAGGGCTGAAAAGTCACATGCTGGCACGTGAGATGCCCCGCCTTGATGCTCAATCTGGTTTAGCTTGTTATCAAATGACGTCAGGGATTGTCAGTAGAAAAAGCTGTCAGAACGGAAATAACAAGGAGAATATCGCCGGAGTCCACGAGTTCAATATGGATAAATTTGAAATTAGAACTGGAGCTAATCCTAAATTCTAGACTCGCGCAGGATCCAATTGTCTCACCATCCCTATAGTATAAAATTAGATTATGTACTTCTGGTGCTTTTGAACCTGAAATCAAGGAATGGCCGAAATGACGGAATGATCAGTTGGACGACACCCCCTGGTACCTTGTGTTCCATTAAGGATTGGGCTCCATCATAAAATTCTCTTCTCTCTCATTCTTCATCAAACCTTGGAAATTCTGTCATAGCTCCTACAACGACGTCACTGGCGCCTGCACCTTGTGATTTCTGACGCTTTGCAAGACAAGCTTCACTACAACATACACGAACGTGTCTATCAATCGCCTGTTTCGGACACCACTTACGTATCTGAGCAGGAAATTTCTGTCCCTATCTCAGACGATCATTCATCGCCAGTCTTTATTTAAACCTTTCCCTCTACTTCATCATCTTCAATATGCACCCTTTCAGTGATACAACTATCCACACACACGCTTCCTCCAGCTCGGAGCCTACTCTCACCAAACCGAAATAAACAAAACACATCAATACAAAACCACCAAGAAAAGCTCTTCATCGTCAATATGGGTGCCGTCGTCTCTTGCGTATGTGAAACCTCCATCTGCTCTCTGAGAGAAGACTCAACTAACATATCTGCCTCTAGATCCAAAGCGTCTTCCGCGCCATCGGTAGCTGCCTCATGGCCATTGTTAATGCCATCGGCTCCGTCTGCCATGCCATCATCAGTGGTGTGGTCACAGTGATCGATGCTATCATCTCCTGTCTGACCTGCGGCTCCTGTGGAAAACGTAGGCGTGGGCGTCGATCAGCAGTCTGATGGGAAACAAACCGTCCTGTCTACACACACCCATTGAGCCTATGAGGATAGAAGGACTGGTTATGGGTTCTACGATTGTTATGCCGGCGCGAATTTTCTTTTGTCATTACACCTGCTTGGAGTACATACCCCGTGGCGCAGTTTTTAATTGAGGATCATGATACAAATTTTGTGATATGGAATTTTTATATTGTTTTTCTTCTTTAGATCGTAGATATGCATTGTAGGGGTGTATATATACATGGTAAGCGTTTGATATATAGACATGGAGTAGTATGTATAGACTGATCATACAATGCTAAGTGTGAATCCTGTTCAAGAGAAAAGCATGTTAATGTCCATCCTTCAACGAAGACGACTCGACATATCGCAACAAATCCTGCTTGGCGTCTGCGGGCATATCATGCCAACGCCCATTCAGAATAACATTTGCAAACGGATCCCCAGGTCCACTCCCACACCGCCGAACAAGGGAATAATGTAAATACTGTAGCGGCCAGCGAGCAAGAACACGACAATTTCCGGCGCGAAAAAATAGATTCAGCAAGCGACGAAAAGGCTCAATCTCGCGCGCTCTAATCAGACGACAGGTGATCTCAGAGGAGCGATCTGGCCTAGCTTCATCTTCATCCAGGTAGAAGTCCGAAGAGAGCAGCTGCAAGAACTCAAACTGCGCATCTGACCAGGGCGAGCGCAAGATTTTGTCTGGGATGCGGCCCGGTCCAATAGGCACTGAGCACGGCAGCCGGAAGAGGTCGTTCTCATGGTATATCTCGCTTGGTTTACGGATTTGGACAGCACCAAAATGGAACCATATTGCGACCTTGCGGTCAACAGCGTGGCGCGAGCTTTCCTGCAACTGCGCCGGTATAATCAGATCCCCTTTCCCACGCCGGCCGAGTACGGCCCAGTCGCAGTCTTCTAGGTGTTCAAAGCGTGGGTCCAGATTTGAGAGCAGTGCTTGGTCGTCCGGATGGAAGAGCAGGCCAACACATTTCTGTCGGATTGCGTGGGCAACGTACTCACGTTGGCATTTCCGGAACAGAGGAAATGTGCACCACCGACATGCCAGTATGTTAGTCTGTAATTGTTGGCGGTCTTTCCAGGATAATGCCCAGAAATCCAAAGGTGGGGGTAGGAAATCCGGGGTAAAGAAGCCCTCTCGGGAGCCTGAATTGGGACTGCTGAATGCAAGCCGAATGAGCCATGTATAGAGCAATTGATTTGACAATGCTTGGCTGAGACGTGGTGAGGCACGAGGGAGATTCACTTCAAGACTGTGAAGAAAGATCAACTGGAGTATTTCCACGGGCAGTGACTCAAGGCGCGAGCACGGGGGTTCGGCCAACGGATCGGAAGGGCCTGGGCCCATTTGCAACAGTGCGTCTAGAGGTGTTCTTATATAGTTTGCTCGCAGCAAGACGTCCACTTGCAAATCACACGGTGTGTTTATATATGTAAATGGCCAGAGAGCAGGGACAGCAGAGACGGGTATGGTTTATCTCAATGGAAACACAGTCCATACGACATTGACTGCAAGCTTCGCATAATGACGTCCCTGTTGCTCCTTGTGATCTGTCGAAAGGCACTTGACAGCACTTCCAGTGCAATCTCCAATGAAAAGAATTGAAAAGGAAAAAGAGCCCGGCCTATTACTGAGGGGTAGGGGAAGTGGGTAAACTGAGGTGATTTACGTGTCTTGGCAAGGCCAGCTTGAGAGCTCCTCAGCATTATGTATGTGGCTTGATAGTCTATACGTCTGAAGAATCTGCATATTCCTGCTTGGTATTTGCTGGGGTGTCAGAGAGCCGATCTTCGGGTGATATTCGCTCTATATCTTGACTCGATCCACGCGGAGAGAGCTTGCTTGGATATATATATCGGACATGTCAGATCCTGATTGACCTCATTTTTCGAACTACCGATTTCTCACCCATTTACCCATTATGAGAATATTGATACAGCTACGAACATATGAATTTACAGTAGAATCCATTAATGAACGCAGAAACGACTAATGTATTGTTTCTATACACATCCCAGCTACCCCACCACACTATCGGAGGTATCTGACCACACATTGGCTGAATAGCCATCTTCTTGGCTCCAAAAGTCATGATCACGTAGTGTGATGGAGCGAGGAATAAAAATGCGGATTTGAGGCCACAAGAGTCCACGCTTAAACGGCGGACAGATCGCCGAAGCGCTCCTACAAAAGGGAAAGGTATAAGCATCAAAACGGATGCATTGTTTTCAGCAAGACAGTAGACACATACCTTGTAGCCAGGGGGCATCCACTTGCCCTTGGAGACAAGGGAAGCGGTCTTCTCGTCGATCTCGGGCTGGGCGGCAGCAACCTCGTCCTAAGAAAGCAGACATGTAAGTAATCATTATAAGTCGGCGGTATGCGGCAACTAATACGTACGACAGTGAGGTCCTCGAAGGGACGGGCGGTCTCGATGTTCTGCAGGGTCTTCTGCAAGTTCTGCAGCTCGGCCTCAACCTTACCCTTGGTAGCCTCGGCGTTCTGGACAGCCTGGGCCTCAAAGGCGTCAATGGCCTTCAGCTGGCGGTTGACATCGTAGGTAGCGGGCTTGAAAGACTTGAAGTGGTTCTCGAGCTCGTCGACGATGGCCTTGTTCTTCAGGATGCCGCGGTAGTGGCTGAAGTCAACGGTCTGGGGCTGCTCGGACAGAACCTGGACCTTGCGGCGAGCCTCGTCATTGCGCTTCTTGAAAGCCTGGAGGGAAACGGCGGTCTGGCCGCGGAGGCCGAGGGAGGTCGACACCTGGGCCCAGTCGATCTTGAGAGCGGCGCTGCGCTGTTTTCGGGTGAAGGGAGTTAGCGGGAGTCATCCGGATAGATTGACGAGGGTCTCTCTTGTCGAGAAGTAGGAGCAGAACATACAGCAGCCATTGTGACGGGTATGATAGAGGTTGGGGGTGGGGAAAAGAGAGGGGAGTTCAATGTGCAGGGAGGTGCCGAACGAGGAGCGACCCGGAAGGTTTGGATTGTTCGGGTCACGTGATGCCAATTCCGAAATCCACCGTGTATTATACAGACAAGACAAACTATAAAGAGATTTTTGTTCATGATTGTAAATAACAAATAACTTACAAATAGGATTTATTTTCATGATTACAGGTATATAGAATGATTGGTTGACTCAACCATGGGTTCAATTGTTTTTTGGGCTAAATTGTGTACACTATGGGCGACAGCATACTAGACATCTTCCATCCAGCATTATAACCCAAGTCCCTCATAGAACCTTAAATACAATCACTCATTATATGCTGAGGGCCATGATGGAGTTAACGATATCGTTGTCGTTCTCACGGAGAGCCTTGACGGCCTTCTTGCGGGAAACGTTTGCTTGTGCCATGACGAGCTCGATATCCTTGGACTCAAGGTTGGACTCATCAACCTCCTCACCATCATCCTCCTCATCCTCCTTCTTATCATCGGCCTCGGGGGCCTTGGCCTTGCCGAGAATCTCCTCGTGGTCGTGACCGGCGTGGTCGCCAGCGGCCTCGGAGGCAGCGAGCTGCTGAGCGGCGGAAGCCTGGGCCTGGGAGTTCAGGTCCTCAATCTTGGCCTCACCGAAGATGCTAGAAGAGTATCAGTAAGCCTCATTCAGACATGAATTGACTCCAATTGGTATCCACATACATCCAGCAGTTGCTGTTGGGGGAACGGTAAACCTCGGGCTGGTTGACAACGAAGAGGATCTTTAATTCCATTAGTTAGCATCTCCGCATTGGGAACGATCGAAATATTTCATATTGGTGACCAGTGTTGCGGTTGGTAATCGCAATCACATTGTACCGGGTGGGGTAGACATTCTCATGACGGTCGCATCGGGATTCACATACGTTCTTGGGGCGGCGGAGAGTGACACGGGTGATGCCAGGGACGAGCTTCAAGCCGAGCTTGCCAATGGCCTTGCGAGCCTTCTTCTCGCCACGGGAGTGAACAGCGACGGAGGCACCGGCGGGAATGTTGGGCTCATCGCCAGCCTCGGAGCCAGACTCAGAGGAGCTATCCTCAACGGTCTTGGAGACCTCGTCATCGTGGATTTCTTCAACGCGGGGATCAGCCATTTTTGCGGTGTAAAGAGGCCTAAGAAGAATGCGAAAAAAGAGTTGGTTAGTTGGGTTGTTTCGTTCGCAATGGTGTTAAGGCTGGTTGAATGGTGTGAGAGCGGGCATGGTGGGAGAGATTGGAGGAGATTGGTCACCCCCCCCACGAATCGCACAACACTCGGAAAAGGGCGGAATTTGATATTGAAAAGGCGAGAATTCAGTCGAGTAAATAGTCATACATACCTGAAACGTAAATATCAAGCTGTTGTGAATGGGGGTGGATTTTGTTGAAGTTGAAGGTGCGTAGCTGTGCGCCAGACCGAACCCGAAAATCATTAGCGAGACCCCAGACTGCCCGCCCTGCACACATTGCCCTATATGGAACTACATCACCAATTCTAAACTAGATTGGCTAATAATTTATAGATCTCATCTAGATCAAGATAAATATATAATACAGTTTCCAGGTCATTTATGTATTTACGCATCTGCTCGTTCTATTTTTTTGGTAGAGCCAGATATTTCCCGTAAATTTGGGGATATAAAATGAGTCCAGAGCCACGAGGAAAACCAAATAACAAAAGGCCCCTTTGCCGGGATATCAAGGATTTTGAATCATTTTTGCTGTTCATTGATAATGCATACAGCGATTTTGCCAGAGTATTACCAGCAATGGAAACCCTTCCAGGACACCTCCTTCAAACCCATGCACCGAAACCTCGTAATCATCTATGACTTGTTGGCAGCGCGAGCCTTGGCGTGGGACTTCTGGACCTCGTAGCGAGCCTGGGATTATGTTAGTTGATTTGTTCGTAATCCCCCAGATTATCCGATCGGGTGGAGTCAGGCGCATCATGTGCCAGAATCATTCCCCCATTCGGTATTTCCACGTACCTGCTTGCGGAGGCGGAGAACCTTGAAGCGCTCGAAGTCGGACAGGTTCTTGCGGCGCTCGGCGCGGTCGGTGCGCTGAGCGAAAGAGCTCTTGGCCCACTTGCCATCAATCTCGTTCTTAGCCCAGAGCTTCTTGACGGGACCGGTACCGGCAGCACGGGGAAGCTGGGGAATGGTGAAGTGGGTGAGAGTGGCGTGAGCGAGGGGGAGAACGTGACGGGGCACGATCTTCTTCTCCTCGGAGGAGGGACCGTCGACCAGGACCTGAAGAAAATCGCAAGTCAATACACAATTTCCAACTCAAATCTCCGAAAATCCGATTCTCCAAATTTGTAACGATTTCCGGATTCAAAGGGCGATTCCACATACACGGCGGTGGTCCACGATCTCCACGATGGCAGCGAGCTTGCCTTCGAAGGGGCCGCTGCGGATCAGCACTAGGCGGCCAACCTCAACCAGCTTCCACGAAGCGACCTTGACATCGATATCGGCCATGGCGAAATTCTGCGAGATGAAAAATTCAGCGTCGCGGTTCTGGAATATTTGTAGATAGCACACTCACGGTCGACAGGGGGTATGAGTCGAGAAGGGGTTGTCGAAAGAGTTCAATTGTCCAAGAGTTGTCTCGAAATTCGGATGTGCCCACACTCGCAACATTCTCGCTTAACCGGCCACTTGCAGGTCTAGGGCTCTGCTTATCTCAGCACCCGCAATAACCTTTATCCGAGCCCGTGCATTTTATCTCGTTTTTTTTGGCCGACAACTTTGCTTATTCCCTTCAAGCTATCCAGCTTTAGAAGCTCAAGACTTTGATGATGAGTCTTGCTTCGGTTTCACTCTCGCCACTCGCTCATATGTAGCCTTTCACTCAGGTATGCTCATCTTCCCTTTTTTACCGCCGATTTCCCCCTCATTCCTCATATGATGCCGTAATTTGCGATTGACCCAGTGTCTGTGAGGCCCTCGCCGGGGCTCTCTATACAGCACTGTCGTATGATATTCAATTTTCTTACATATTCTGATATGGATTATAACTACTCTGTTATATGTTGTCAATGCTTTTGAGAGACATCGCGCTGACAATTCCAAGATTATAGGACCTTACTTGATACTCAAAGACCGGACTTCTCGGCCACATCGCAGCTTCCATCTTTCACAGGGTACGTTGACACATCCACGCAATCCTCAGCAACACCCCCAGGTCCGATGATTAGAAACTTTTATCACGCCTAGATAGTAATTGAGCTTCTCGCTATGAAATTACCTAACTACCAAGATCTCTGAGAACCTTAGCCCCTTGCATAAGATTGCTTGTTATGATGGTTGTGACTTGTCGCTAACCCTCAAAAAGAATATAGGATCACCTGTTTTAGACTGGCAGTTCGCTTTCTCAGATACTAAGGGAAATACAATTCATTTTTGCAAAACCAAATCCTCCTTCAGTAGCTTAGATTTATAGCCTTGATATCTTTGAACTTAACTTAGCCCATCTTGGTCACCTACATGGTTCATATTTACTACATTCATGTACAAATGCAAATAAGTTTTGATTACAATAAGTCGTGCTATATCGTTACCTCGGCCGTGCAATGCCCAAAGACCCAGAGCAAGCCACTTGTCCTTCCATGCTATGCCTTCCTACTAACCCAGTCTATCTCTTCCAAATAGCAAAGAGCAAATCCTTGCTTGCCCTTTCTGCGTACCTGATTATGACGACGCAGAGCCGGCAGATGCCGCAGAGGATGGTCCCTCGCGACTGAGAACCCACATGAAAACGAGCTGAACCGCATAGGAGTATACGAACAAGAACTGACCGCGTCGGTTGCGCTGGGACCGAGCCACGGCCTGCATCGAACCGGCATGCATGGCGGAGTCAGTCGAATCAGGGAGCAACACATATTTCAGCGAGCGAAGCTAGAGTATATATGTTAGGAATTGCGGAACGCACGGGAAGTTAGATCAAATCTGTCACTTACCAGGAAGAACGCATTGGCCAAAAAGGTGTACGCAAATACCGTCCAGCCAACCCAACCCCTAGTCCCTTGTCCAGGATTGAAGATCTCGGACGCCACCATAGTAACAATGATTCCAACGAACTTGTAGCCCGAGTATGCTACCAGATCTAGCAGCTGCGAGTCATTGTTGATGCTCAAGATGTATGTCGCAAGCTTCATGCATAGGATTTCGAAGGCGATCACTGCAATGGCCGTGGTGGTAATCGACCCCAGAAGTTCTGGATGGAAATCACCCCGGAATCCAGCCAATAATACCGACAGCAGAATATATGTGACCAGAGCCATGACGGGAATATACATGTCTGGCGAATTCAGGTCGTCGCGAGGAGGCAGGAACATGGACGAATATTGTTGCTGCATGATTTGACCACTTGGTCCGGGGGTTGGTGCCATTCGGGCCTGCTGTCGAGACCAGGGTTTGTGTCGCCAGGGGAAGAGGACAAGAACCAGTTTCTTCAGGACGTAGGAGTTGGAGACATTGAAGTAGTGCTTGAGAGCGGGTATAGAGACATAGCGATTGAACTGCAAATTATCTCCAGGTTAGCTATATGTGGAAAATAGACATCTGTCAATGATGCCTACATTATTTTCCATATACTCCTGCCCAGCCGCCATTGCGCTCTTGCCGACCTGGAAGCCCATCTGCGCTGTGGGCTCGTTCATGAACCCACCGAATCCCGGAGCACCAGGGGCATAGCTTCCACTGCCACCCTGAACGGGCGATGGTTGATATGGGTTACCACCATATCCAGCACTTGCGGGTTGCTGGGGAGCTGGTGGTGGAGGTGAGCGCATCATAGGGACGGTCGAGACATGTTGCGGGACGGGGTGGTGAAGGGGCGGCGATTGCGCGGGCGGCGGAGCGAAAGAGCCCCGATACATAATGTACCGAAGTAAGGAAAGGAGGATAGAGGGATAAGGAGGGTGAAAATTCAGTGGCGAACGTATCGTCCTGATCGTCTGACGGGAGTTTGGGGAAGAAGCGAGGTTGATAGCGGAGGAAAGTGTTTATACGTGGCTGAAGATCCAATCCGCTTCCGAGCTCCCCCCCAACTTCGCCCCAATTCCGCCACAAGTCACACCGGGCCTTTTCCCCCTCCCACATTAATTATCTTTCTTTCAAATTTGGCGAACGACTACCGGAGACACCCAGAATGTTAGAGGCTTTTGAGATTTTGACGACTTCGGGCGTGGTGCTCTGGTCTAAGGCATACGCTCCAGTGGGCGCACATGTTATCAACAGCCTGATCAACGATGTCTTTATCGAGGAGAAGGTCGTGCCACAGATTACGACAGTTAGTGGGGTCTCGCCGGCATACAAGAAGGAGAAATACACATTGAAATGGAAGAGAGTGAAGGAATTTGATTTAATCTTCGTGGTGCGTCTGTCGCATGCGCATGCGCGTCGCTCTTCGACTAACTCCTGACCTTATGCAGGCCGTCTACCAATCGCTACTCCATCTTGGATGGATCGACAGACTTCTTGAGAACATTTCGACAATCTTCATTGATCTCTACAAGGACCAGGTGAAGGGAGACCGCGCCAGAATCCAAACCTATCGGTTCGACCAATACTTTGAACAGCAAGTTCGGGAGCTTGAAGACAACACTGGTGGCTTCGTAGAGGAGATCGTGCCAGAGACGGGCGAAAGGAAAGACCCGCTTGTTTCGTCGGACAATGGAGGTCCACCACCGCCACCGGTACCTGGCCTGGTGAAAGGTATGGAATGACAACACTCTCGGTTTCAAGCACATGCTGACCATCCCAAAGCGCAGCCTAGAGCTGCGCTAGCCGGGGCGACCTCTGACGAGGGTACGCCACCAGCTACACCAGAAATTTCTAGATCTTCGACCCCCCAGGGTCATCTTCTTACGGCCAAGACCGGACCTGGAGGTCGTGGGTCCCGACGAGCTCGCAAGGCTGCCAATTCGAGCGCCAACACATCGTCTGGTGATGAAGCTCGGAAGGGAAAGCCCGTCAAGACCCCCGTGAAGAAGATGCGCAGATGGGATGCCAGTGGGATGGCAGATGAGGATGATGGAGAGATCCTTGATTATTCTGCCCCCGCGGAGGAAGGAGAGTCTGCCGTTCCAGCGGTGGAGGCGGTCTCCGAGGAGGATTGGGGTCGCCGAACTGGCAAGGGCCAATTCGTGTTGAAGGAGTTAGGCGAGGAAGTTCAATCCATTCTGGACCAAGCTGACGCGGAAAAGTCCAAGGGCACTGCTTCGTCGGGTGTCGTCGGTTCCGGGTTCAACGCAATTGGTGGCTTCTTCCGTAACATTGTTGGCGGAAAAGTTCTGACAGAATCTGATCTCGAGAAGCCTCTCAAGGCAATGGAAGAACATCTTTTGAAAAAGAATGTTGCCCGCGAAGCTGCTGTCCGGCTTTGTGAGGGAGTTAAGCGTGAGATGATCGGCAAGAAGACTGGAAACTTCCAGAGCACAGATGCCGCATTACACGTGGCCATGGAATCCTCGCTGAGGAAGATCCTGACGCCTACTTCTTCTTTGGATTTGCTGCGCGAGATTAACGCCGTGGTTGCTCCTACCAGTAAGCAGCAGGCGCCTCGCCCGTACGTTATGTCTATCGTCGGTGTCAACGGCGTTGGAAAGTCGACCAATCTGAGCAAGATCTGCTACTTCTTGCTCCAAAACAAGTACCGTGTTCTTATTGCAGCTTGCGATACTTTCCGTTCCGGTGCCGTGGAGCAGCTCCGTGTGCACGCTGACCGTTTGAAGGAACTGAGCGTCCGCGAGAATGCAGGCGACGTGGAGATCTACCAAAAGGGTTACGGCAAGGACGCGGCTAACGTTGCCAAGGATGCAGTTGACTACGCAGCGGCCAATAAGTTTGATGTCGTCCTGATCGACACTGCCGGCCGTCGGCATAACGACCAGCGACTGATGTCCTCACTTGAGAAGTTCGCCAAGTTTGCTAACCCAGACAAGATTTTCATGGTTGGCGAGGCACTAGTCGGCACAGATAGTGTCATGCAGGCTCGCAACTTCAACCAGGCATTTGGCACCGGCAGGAATTTGGATGGCTTCATTATCAGCAAATGTGACACCGTCGGTGACATGGTGGGAACTCTGGTCAGCATGGTCCATGCTACGGGAATCCCCATTGTATTCCTGGGCGTTGGACAACATTATGGGGATTTGCGAGGACTCAGTGTCCCCTGGGCTGTTAGTCTACTGATGAAGTAGAGACGACTTGATATCCTATTCTGATATTTTTTAGCCGTGTACATTTCATATAAATTCTTTGCTTTCCACTTTTTTACGGCTAGGTTGCCATAATTCGATATAATGAATTCCTTGTCCAACCTGGAATCCCATTCATCCAGCCACGCACACCCTTTATTGGCACAGCGATATCTCCGACGCTCAGGCTCGAGACTACTGGAACCTCTCTATCGTGATTTCTTGTGCTACCCGGTAAACTATCTGCATACATCATTAAACAAGATACCCAAAGATCAAACAGCAAATAGACAACATTTATGCCAGGATACTACACCCACCCGTTTTAGGGGCGTCTGTTGAATGTGTGATGGGTGTAAGGCGGTGAACCCCCAACATTTGAAGCTTAGCAAAACCAGATGGGCCAGCTGCATTCCTATGAGGGAAGTCTTCTGAGAACTTGAGATGATCCCAGAAGCAACTAGAAGAACTAGAGCAACCCATTCAAAGGTTCGCTCGGGCTGCCAAACGTGCAAGTGAGTAAGCTGATACGCCAACAAGATCCTCAACTCATATATCAAACTCCAGAATTCGCCGCAAAAAGTGCGATGAAACCCACCCATCATGTTTGAGATGCACCGATACGGGTCGAGTATGCGAATACGTGGAGACTCTGGACCGGCGTGAACGCGCCGTGCGAGACATGCGGACCGTCGCCCCGGCCCCCGACCCGACCCCTAATAATTTCGTTGCACGACGAATACTAGATCCAAGCCAAGTGGGTCTTTCATTCGTGGAACGGTGGTATCTTGATTTATTCAAGACGCATACTTCTAGAAAATGTACTGGGTATATGGTCGATGACTTCTGGCAGCGGCTCGTTCACCAGGTCGCCGAGGAGGAACCTGCTGTGCGGCATGCAGCTATTGCTTTGAGTTCTATGCATTTGAGATTTATGCAAGATATCGATTCTTTGAAATCAAAGCCCCTGTCTATGGCTACGCTTAGTGTGAATAAAAATCCATCTTTCACTCTGGCGCAGTGCACGAAGGTCCTTGTTTCTTTGCGGGAGAGACTAACGAAGGGAGATACCTATACGACAAGCAGCGCACATAGAGAGGCAGTTCTTGTTTCATGTATTATGTTAGTGTCGCTGTCTCTCTTCCAGGGCGATGCTACGGCCGTGACCTCGCATTTACGGTCCGGTTATAGTGTGCTTATGGAATGGCAGAAGGTCAATTTCGACGGGAATCCCTCGGGGCTGGTCCTAATGCGCACGTTTTCGGAACTACAGCTACACCGGGCTACATTCTCCCAACCACAGCGGGATCAAGAATCAGAAGCGGACAGTTTACCGCTCTGGCGGGCGATCACCGTATGCCGGCCTGTATATGGATGCCCGGAAGAGTTTGAAAGTGGTTTTTCCTTTGTCCTTGGAGCAGTTATCACAGCGAATTATCCACAGGGATTGGAACTCCGCGTAGGATCAAGTCAAGAGAGGCTGAAAACTGCTCTTGCCGATCTACTCTATCAGAACAGCGTGGAAAAGACGCTTGTGGAAAGGTTAATGAACTGGCAGAGCGAGTTCCATGCTTTCATTTCAGTACATAGGGATACATTACCGCCACAAGACCGCGGCCCTATGATATTGCTCGAGCTATGGACTTTGGCCAGTGATATCATACTTGCTTCTCTCGAGAGGCCGCTGGAAGAGATGTCCTATGACTCCTCTTTGCTCGTATTCCAGCGAATGAACGAGTTGGCGGCGCTTTACTTGAGCTTGGCGGAGCAAGCTTCCATGTTCTCCACTAAACCTATGATTCTACAAATCCTCCATTTCAACGCCATTAAATGCCGTGACTGGCATACACGTCGGGAGACATTACGCCTGGTGCGTACCTTCCCACGGCGAGAAGGTTTCTGGACATCTGATCATCTTGCCGCTTTGTTAGAATACGTTATCCAACAGGAGTCTACTGGTTTAACGCCAAATGATGTGGTTCCGTGCACAGCTCGTATTGACATGCTGCATCTCAGCCCTTTGGATCAGAAAAAGTTCAGTGTATGGTATCATCGATTTTGCACTCCCGAGGAGATTACAGGTTGTGCTGATATCTATGGAAACTGGACCAATGTGGTGCTATCAGCTTAATGGCACCAACAAGCAGAAAAATATCAGAAAGATACGAACCAAGCAACTAGAAAAGGGGTTCAGCTGAAACTATGGCTTTTTGTTGGCCAGAGAAGTGGTTATGAGCAACAAGGGCTATGACATGAAACTCTCTGGTCGGTTGATCGTCCGCTTTGCTCGGATTGCAGTGAGTTGCGTCACGCTGTTCGGTCGTGACTGGGATGATGATGGTTAAGGTCTTAGTGTACTTCAAGCGAGAAGGGGTGAGCACTAGGAAAGTGAAAGCCAAGATTTGCCAAACGTGATCCCGCATACGTAAAGTTCCTTCAACCCAATCCAGCGCTTCTCGTGGATAGTATCTTTAAACCTGCGCCGGCATTCCACACATACATGAGCATAATGAAAATGACCTATGGTTCTAATTATGTTTTTACTAGTAACTCTGAAACCCACTAACATCGGCACTTCTTAACCTACGAAGCACACGCAGATCACTTTACTATCTATACCTACTCCTACTACTACTTACTACCATTCGTTAGGTTACGACTTCAATGGAGCAAAAAGAAACAGGGAGCAAAAGTTAATTGACCGACGCAGGGATCGAACCTGCAATCTCTTGATTCGTAGTCAAGCGCCTTGCCATTGGGCCAGCCGGCCTTGAAGAATTTGGCCCAGTTTTGATATATGGGGCAGCGGACCTTTTAGGGCTAGACCCCACTTAAATGTTCACAGGATTTTCATGTATTCAGAGGCCATTATTTCTACCAGCTATGGGTATATCAGATGGCTTAGAGCAGTTTCGTGTAATTTCAAGTCAAATCAATGTGATAGGCCAAAAAAAAGAGAAAAAGAAATACCCAGATGAGCAAAGCAGGTTCAAAAAGAAATCTCTCCCTCGGGGAATCGAACCCCGGTCTCCCGCGCTTATCGGTTTTAATGACAAGCGGAAATCATCACCACTAGACCAAGGAAGATGTGGACGAGTTACTGCTCGGCCATTGGAATGGTTGATGTAAGTCATGGTCAGCTTTAACATGATATTCAATTTCTTAAATATCGTTTATCGTTCTCGATTCTTCATGCAGTGTTTTCCTTTGCAAGCCTCAGTATCTCTTTTTTTTTTTTTTTACAACCCCCGCGCTTAGATTCTACCAATTCAACGTTTACACGGCTGTGTAGGCATTGTGTTAGCTCAGTGAGTAGCATGAATGATTGTCATGATTAAGCCGACGGTGGCAGGACAACGACCAGCCAAGGGATGTGATGTAAGCGCGGTATCTGTCTAGAATCTTATTAATGGAGAATAATGTTAGGCCTAGAAAACTAGTATATGTGGATGTATTATATCACAGCCAAATAGGCCGAATCGAGGAGTTGTTGTTCGCCCCTTTGCGCCACGTTCTTTAGTCCCATTCAAACGTCCGTGGGTGGTAGGCCATGCTGTAGTATGATATGCCGTTCCAGTAAATATGTATGATAAAGCAGGGGAAATCATGTCGCGAGTTATAGTGGTTTATGTTGTGAGTAGACTCTCGACGATATATATGTGCATCGGTAGTAGAACAATTGTACAAAAGACACCGAAGAGAGATACGTACTTTGAATAAGTCAATCAAATGAATTCCTAGGGTTCTGTGTATCAGACTTAGATATTGGGCGAGATCGTATCCTTTAATTGAACATTCCACTAGCGAACGAAATATCCTGGCGTGTCGATTAGACCTATCTCGACGTGGATGGCTCCCCAGAAGCATCCCTGAGTAGGTATCAGCTTTGGATATTGAGATGATTCTTCGATGGTCAACTAACATATGCGCAAAGGGTTAAGCCTATGGAATGACTAGAATTTAGTAAGATATTGACAGTATAAGAGCCCGAACAATAATTTCTTCAATTTGCACCTTCCCTAATAACCATATGCGGGTATAGGCGCGTATAAAAAGGCATATAGTAGCAATAGCAGCGCATGCCGATAGTACCCCGATGGCGAGACCATTGTTGTTTGGTGAGTTATCCAAGTTTGGAATAACGCCCTCTGGCGGAGCAAGGGCTGAGCCGCTCAGATCCATTGCAACTGCTGATTGTCTTTTGGAGTCGGTGGAACGTCCACCTGGTCTTGAAAGACCAGTGAGGTTTTATAAATGAAGCAACGGGTTGGACACGGCCCACTCTACCTTTGCCTAGGTGAGAACCCAAGAACCCTTATTGCGATCTTCAGGAGTATCGGAAAAACAACGGGTTTGTATCTCTTAGGACAGAGCTTGGACACTGGTAACCCGTGGTAAAGGTCTTGCAGGGATTCAATTCCTGTTGTAGCCATTTTACCGGTCTCAGACAGGGATATGTATTATTGTCAATAATACTGCTAATGAGAAAAACGAACAAGAATGAGGATACAATAGGCTACTGAAGACGAGAGTGGACTCACTAAATACAATTATAGTATAGGGTATAGTCGGGTCCAATCATTCCATGGGGCCTTAGCATTGTTCGGGAGGGGCCAGAAACCCGAGAAAAGAAACATGTGAGGATCGACCAGTACAATTTCCCCCTGTAATTTTTATTTCATGGTATGATTCTATTCCGATTCTAAGGAGAATGTGATTTTAACAGCTATAGAGCAAAAAGTCAACCCGAGAGTGTCTCAAACATGTGGTTTCTTATATTATTCTATTTGCCTCGGAAGACCGAATAAGATTCACAACGGTTGGAACTAACAAAGGCAGTGCGAAGATATCTATGGAGTACCCTGCAACCAAGTGGCTTGGATTCTATCATTGGGAGATTGCCTGCTTTATGTGGATCAAGCGAGATATACGGAGTACCGGGAGAAAATGGGGCTAAAAGAAAGGAATTGCTCCCCCGAGGCCACATGTTTCACAATCCCTGCATTTTTACAAAGTGTTGGGTCCGTGTCTACCTTTTTCGTATGATGATCTTTAGCCCTGGATGTCACAGTGGGGTTATCCGCCGTTGACGGCAAGTCCCTATAAAGATTGAAGTTGCATGCGCACGAATGTTGAGCTCTCTTTGTATACCCTGTGCCTATCATTGTTGAATAATAAACCGCTATGCCCAAGCAAGAAGTTCTTCATCTTCACCCTTTCGGTTGGGAAAATGATCCGGAGGAGGAGCGGTTCAAAATGTCAACGCTCGACTACTTGACCGCTTGTACCTACAATAACTATGCCCTCTTCTTTCGCGTGGATGATGCAGACAAGGCACGAGTCGTCGATGTGCTGAAGACTGGTCTTGAACGTACCTTGAGCCAAGTTCGGCACATCTGCGGTACAATCGAGAAAGACCCTTCCGGTGACCACTCGTTTGTCAAGAAGAAGGATAGCACTGTACAATTTGTGGTCCAATGGTTGGATTCACCAGAAGACAGCGACAACTACCCATCCTTTGACGAGATTGCTGAGAAAAATTTCTGTACTTCAGCACTAGGTGATCTCAAACGCTGGAGTGTCCCCCCGATGACATACGGCGAAAAGCCCGAGGCTCATCCTGATAACAGCCCGGTGGTTGCCGCATATAAGTTGAACTTCATTCGGGGTGGACTTGTCTTCATTATGCATCATCACCATTACTCTAACGATGTTATGGGCTGGGCCGGCCTCGTCCACCAGCTGGCGGAAAACTGCTATGCAACGGTCAACCAGACACCCTTCCCTTCATGGGATCCTGCATGTCTGGATCTCTCACGTCTCACAAAGCCCATTGTGCCAGAAGATTCTAAGATCGATGGTCCCCCTGCCCCCGAGCGTCATCCTGGTCATATCGAGGCCGAAATGCTGCTCTTTCACCTGCCAAAGAGCAAGGCAGCGGAGCTAAAGAAACTCGCGTCGCCAACATTAACGGACGGATCTTGGATCTCTACATATGACGCGTTCTCCGCCTTCTTATGGCGCACTGTTACTCGACTTCGAGCACCTGTCTTTAAGCCAGATCTATCAGCCCCCTTATTGTGGATGGAAGCTGTTGATATGCGGCGACGAATGCACAGCCCCAAGGTCCCGGCACGGATCCAACACAACGTTATGAGCGGAGTTCTCTCATCTACTGCCCCAATCACTGCACCTACAGCCGCGGAGGTCATTTCCGAGTGGCCGCTATCAAAGATAGCTTCTTATGTCCGCCAAATGACCGACAGCATCACACAGGATGCTCTAGATCAGATGTTAGATGTAGTAGCCACAGTGCGTGACAAGACAGTGCTGAACATTCGCATTGATGCGCATCCGCCCATGTCACTTCTTCAGACAGACCATCGCGATGCCAATATCACGAGCGCCGATTTTGGGTTTGCAAAGCCCTCTACGTATCGACATCTCATTGACCGGTTGACTCAGGGTGTAGTCATCATCTACCCGTCGCGTGATCTGTTCCCTGAATCAGACGAGGGCCCTGAATTTTCGATCTCTTATGAAACGAGCCTGAAGCAGGCCCTGATTGAGGATCCAGAGTGGAACAAGTTTTTCGAATACCGTGGTGTCGATGCAATCGATGCGCCCCAGTAAGATCACCAGGGGTCCAATGAAGGCCGATAGGGATAATTCTGCTCATACTGGCCTGCTGTCTAAACTCCTCCCTACATCTTTAGTATAGACTTCGCAATATATAAAGCTCAATGAACATTATTTGGCCGACTTGAATACACTGGAAGATCATTTGTGATGGTATCACGATATAAAAGGATTCAAAAGAGAACATCAAGCGAATACTGTTCTGGTTGAGCTGGAAGCGCAGCGATGCCATCTGCCTTGTGACCGGCCGTACTAATGGTGTTCTGAATTAGTTTATCATCTCACCTAGAGTAGTGAAAGGCCAGTCCGATATTAAAGACCAAGCCAATGGCCACCGCATGATGCTACATACTTTCATCTTCACCCAAGGTCTAAACATCTACAAAGCCCACAAACACCGCAAAGCCCAAGGTCTACCACCTTTTCGCCTCGCTGCCTGGTATGTCGGACGGCAATATGTCAGAACTTCTGTATCTGTCGTTTGATGAATCCCTCACCTTTGCTAGGAATTGATAGGCTCTCGGTTTGCATCTATTCTGCTACTCTTGGGAGACTAGGTACTCTTCCGACAACCACCGAGACCCCTGCCTCACCTATATCATCTCGAAGATGATGCCCGAGGGGTTGAAGGCGAGACATGGCTCCACGATGCAAGCGACAATATACTAAGGAAAATTCCCAACTCCAGCTTTTCCAAGAAGCATCGGGCGTCTACACTCCAGACCCCGGCCGAGGTGAAATCTACCAACAATGAGTCAGGCACCATACGTGGCACAATTTTGGACTGCCCTCCGCATGTCAAGTTCCCATCTTTGGATCTGATTGTCGAATATGGAGCAGACACAACGGCGACAGAGGCAGAAGCATTCTAATAAAATGATTTCCATTAAGCATGAAGGTGACAGTCTATTTATAGATAGTAGGGTAACTTAGATTCTCTACTATAAACCACCTATACAGCTTTTACCTGAAGGTAGTTGTACCCAAGTAAGCCTACTGTAGTAGTAAGCGAGCCCTATGTACTCTGTACGGAGTATGTCATATGATTTAACAGAGGAATGAATGCCCTAATATAGTCAGGGAGTCCAATTGGGCGTCCTCAGTCTTACCGAGCAAAACGCGGCAAGGGGCATTTAACAAAAGGGAAAGCCAAGGCTTGCCAGACATTACCTGATACGAATGTATTTTTACTGCAGTACTATGGTGTATAAACACACCCCTTGAGCGAGACTATTAGAAGCTAAGGATCATTAGATGGGCGCCATCGAGGTTAAACGCTACATACCATTGGCTATACGAGATATATATTTTGATCATTCACCAGCTCTACAAATAAAATCAGTATGATGCCTGCATATTTCTGGTCACTTGTTGAGCCTCAGCACACAACATATTGTAGTACGAGATCGACATATGCAAGGGCTATCTCCCCAAGCCAATAAGAAATAAGTAAAACAAGTGCCATGCAGATGTTCAGGTGCTCCAAAGCTCTCCAGGGCTCCACGGCTGACCCTGCAGGTGGGGCTAGAGCAACCTGACTCAGCATCTACAAGCTTACATCATCATTGTGTTCCCTGATCCGGGTTGCGGTCTTGCAGTCAACTTCATCCTAAGCTTCTCGACACCTTTTTTTGTCTCGAGCATCCAATTATACTTGCATATACACCTTATTCTATCGACTAGACTGTTAGTTTATCAGTGCACGTCAACCGGACCAACAAGCTCTCCCACCACAGCACTGCGTCTACAACCAAGCTTTCCGCACGACCCCAATCGCATGGTCAATTCTGAGAAGATCTCATTCAGTTTTGATCCTGCTGGCGTGTCGCCAGAATGACGGGTCCAGACCGGGCTTTGCTCAATCGCCGCTCCTCCACGCAGCATTACCAGACTTTCGATACCCCACCGCCCAAGTCGCGTGGGCGACCTAACTCGGGCCAGTCCGAGTCCTCCGCAGACGCCTCACACGATCCCCACAATGACACCGCTGATTCCCCTGGAACGTCATCACCGCTACCGAAGAGGCAGATGGCAGTGCTAGCGATAATTGCCCTCGCGGAGCAAACAGCGTTGAACTCGATCAGTCCTTACCTCCCACACATGGCATCCACATTCCCCGAAGTGGAACCGAACCAGGTGGGTGTATATGTGGGTAGCATTGCATCGGCCTTTGCGCTAGCTCAGTTCAGCACAAATTATTTTTGGGGCTGGCTGTCGGATCGTGTTGGTCGAAAGCCGGTGATCCTGCTTGGCACATTTCTGACTGCACTGTGTTTCGTTGCATTCGGATTCTGCAGGAATCTTGTACAAGCTATAACTGTTCAGGCGTTGATGGGTGTGGTAAATGGCAACCAGGGCTTGGTGTCCACCTGTCTCGGAGAAATCACCGACCGAAGCAACCAGTCGCGGGCTTTTACCTACCTCCCGGTACTATACGGGATTGGAGGTATAACAGGACCCCTCCTAGGAGGTCTTCTCGTTTTTGAGACGAACCCTTTCACTGGCAATGCAAACCCATACCCCTACCTTGCGCCAAACATACTGTCTGCTGTTGTCCTTCTGGTCGACTTTGTTGTGACGGCTATCTTCCTGGAAGAGAGTCTCGAGGACGCTGAAAGCCTACCAAAGATTGGCAAAAAAGTGCGCAGCTTATTCGCATGGCTGTGGCAGTTCACCGGCAATTCTCGCCATCCGACCTACGTGGAGATTTCGCAAGCAGTGCCATATCACCACGGTCATCCCGATATAGAGACTGAGGATCACGACAGTGATCTAGACTCTGCGTCGGAGGTATCAAGCACCCTTAGCCACCACGAGGAACTCACTTGGGGTGAGATCTTCGCCCGAGATACCATTCTACTTCTGTTGACATACCTGATCTTTGCTTTCTGCAATGTTTCCTTCAACTCGCTGTTCCCAATCTTCGCCCAAGCTAGGCCTCCTGCTGGGCGGTCCCTCAGCCCGTCCGAGATCGGCCTTGCTCAAGGGTTTGCTGGATTTGTGACGATCATTTTCCAAATCTGTATCTTCAACCGTCTGCGAGACAAGATGGGCAATCGGTGGTCTTACCGCGCAGGCCTGTTTGGCTTTGTCGTCTCGTTCATCTTGATGCCTTTCATTGGGTACAAGAGCAAGACTAGCAACGGCCTGACCGGCAAGTCGGCTCTCATGGCTATCGAGCTTTGCCTCGTGTTGCTGATCAAGACCATCGCCTCTGTGGGCGGTCTGACCAGTGCTTTGCTTCTGGTAAGAATTCTCAAAAGTCTCTTTATATAATATACACCGAAACTAATACTTCCTCCAGATCACAAACTCGGCACCTAATCATGCCGTCCTTGGCGCTCTGAATGGTCTTGCTCAGACTCTTTCCGCAGCGGGACGTGCAGTGGGTCCATTCCTCTCTGGAGGCCTGTTCTCCCTCACGGCCAAGATCCAGCCTAAAGGAGAGGCACTGGCATTCGGGGTCTTCGCCGCGGTCTCCTTCATTGGCTTCATCATGAGCTTCGGCATCCGTGGTCGTTCACTCGAATCAGAGGGTTGGGGTGAAGATAGTGACGGAGACAAGTCGGACGAGGACGAGCCGAACGATGTTTGATCAAAATACATGGATCTATAAGATATGCCTACATGACGATGTGACGAGTTTCTGCCTGCGTTCTAGCCCCTTTTTTTTTGCATTGAACATATTTTAGCCCCGTTCATTCGAGATGAATCATTGCTGTTATATCCTTTGCTGAGACAATAGACTCGATCAGATGTTCCATTCAATCTTGAGCTTAATAAATTTGTGGAAGGTAGAGTTGTTAGTATGCCTGAGAAAGAATACTATGCAACTATTGTGAGTTCTCGAGGATTGAACATGTGTAAGGAATTCTATGACAAGGCTAAAGCCAAGTGAAAAGGTCCAATTCTCACATCTCCTTTAGCTTTTCGTGCCATTGTACAACTACGTGGGGATCAGACATCTGATAAAGCGTTTGTATAGATTCCTGACACGAGGCACACGGCAAGAGAAGTGATTAAGTGGAGTGAGTTTGCGTTCATATTGTATCATAAAGATTGCAACATACTGGATGAACATGCTGCATGTATTAAGAACAGCCCAGGATTAGAATATGCAATAAGCACAGCCATAACTCGATAGAGAGGCATGAAATGGAGCGTGAAAGCGAAACGTGATGTATCAAAATGATTCAAAATCCAATAAAAACTCGGAATTCCGATATAAATAGCAAGGGTATATAACACATAATGATCGTGACAGTGAATCATGGATGAATGACGGTAAGGAAACAGAGACTGAATGCAGACCAAAAAAATAGCAAAAAAGAAAAGAAAAAACAAAATTATTACAATATCATCAAGCCCAGCGCCAGCCCAATTCTTGTGACTTTTGACGCTTAATAACATCTGCGAGTAGGGTATTGCCTTGGCCAAAGGGATTGTTCTTGTTCTTTTTCCGTTGATGCTGAAGCAACTGCACAGCAGCATGAGCATCGATCCCCTCACCAGTATCCGTAATCTTAAGAGCCCACTTAGCGTCTTGCGTAGTAAAACCAAGTTCATTGACCATCATATCAATAGCGCGGTCGACAGGGTCGAGAACCTGCGGCCGAAGAGGCAGAGGAACCATAGCCGGTGGCGGTGGTGTATGTGATGGAGTAAGGACATTGACAGAGTCGGACGGGTGAGTCGGGGTTTGGGGAGCCGTCCCAGAAGTTGAAGTTGAGGACCTGTCAAGAATGAGGGCGGGCACAGATGGAATAGGGCGGTGATCTCGAAGCGATCCGTTGAGATTATGGACAATAGTGCTAAACTCCGACATAGGGCGTTCAGCAGAGAAGGAAAAGCGGCCGTTGGGGTCGGGCTCGAAACCGTGTTCACGGCGGCGGCGAAGCTCATAGGCGAATCCGGCTTGGCGCTCACGGATCTCGCGGTCGCTTTCATTAGGGCTTGTTTTTTGCGGGCTAATTTCGGTCGGGGTGTTAAGTGCGCGTTCCTCGAGTTCGTAGGCGCGTGAGACTGCTTCTTTTAGGAATGACGATCGTCTTGTTTCGGTCTCGGTTGCTTCCCATTTCGTGAGGCCGATTGATTGCGCCTTGAGGAATGTGGCGGCGGTAGTGTCGGCCGGACAGACAGCGCTGAGTGTTAGCACTGCGCCCAGACCGAGAGTAAGAATGTATGAGGTCCATTCCTCTATAAGTCTGAATTAGCTGAGATCAAATAGACATGGTGCGCTGTTTCACTTACCGAGAACGGTCTCTTCGAGAGCCAGTTCACCATCTGGGACGTCCAAGGTATCAAAGATGCCGACTTTGCGAGCTTCAATGCACTTTCCATGCAATGGCTGCAACAGAACACCCATGCAAGTCCAGATCTCCGTTAGATCGTACATCTGCTTCTGCGATAGACCGGAAAGATTCCCACGACCAAATCCCTCGGGTGGTTCAAATAGAACATTATTCATACCGAAAGGTTGTGTCATCGTTGAAGACGAGGTGAAGTGACTCTCTGCTTGGACACCACCCTTCAACCAGTCCATTTGACCAGCAATATCATTCTCTCGCCCCTTACCGCATCCAAAGATCCGACAGAAGGTCCAGAGCCGCCAGAACGCATCGTCCACTTCCTCAGCGCGGGTGTTGTCCACGCCCGCCAGACCACGGATGGTATCGCGACGCAGGAACGGAGCGCACCGCGCTAGGACCAATGCCTTCAGCTTGGCGAGAGTGTAGATATCCTGCGCGTATCTCTGAAGATACAGCGTGGGCGTATATTCTGGAACCTGGGAGTCGGGATCTACAAGGAGTTGCCACTCCATTTCCCATGGCGGACTCATCTCGCGTAGTTCCCAAGCAGGCGGTGACATTTTGAACAATGCATTTTTCAGCATGGCCAGCTCGCGACCTTTGAAAGTAGTATAAATCTTTTTGTTGACAAGGGCGAAGTTGAAAAGGTCATCTAGAGAGTCGATGTTCTGCATGATTGACAGAAGCAAATCCGCCGGCATATCTTCGGGGAGGGTGGCATTAAATGGAACATGGCGCTTGATCTGCGGAGGGACCACGGTTGAAGGCGACGGGGGAGTAGCGGGAAGTTCATATATCTGTTCGGTGAATTGAACCCTGCTCGCCTGGGCAGTCGAGACCATCGCCCAGCTCTGACGAAGTTTCGAGCCTACGGGCTTCACTACTTCCAAGCCCTCCATGGCGACCTGGCCGGGGCTACCCGATAACACTGCTTTTTCCGCGATGTGATCGAAGGGATTCTCGTGATCATTAGTTTGCAGATCATTAGTTTGCAGACGAGGTAATTGAAGTAGCAGGCTGTCCCGCGTGGGGGCCTGAGCAGGGAGATTGGGAGAACGCGATTCCAATGTCATGTGGATGGAATCCTCCGACCGTGAGCCGACGCTAGCTGCATCTCGCAGCGCTTGGCCTTGCTTGCGAAAGCCCAGGAATGATTTCTTGGGTTTTTCCTTTTTGATGGTTGGCATTGATGCCAGGACTTTTGCCTCGGCCTCCCTCTCATCCAAGTCCCTCTCCCTATCTTTGCCCGATCGGCGAGGCTTATCTTTCGTCTCCTTCTTGACTTTAACACTTTTTTCTTTGGATACACTTGAGCCTATTGATTTGATCGTGTTGACTCGACTGTTCTTCAGTGTCGATTTTCCTTGCGGTGTTTGTGAGTGAGGCTTCGTGGAAGGGGGAGGGGTGCGGGCCGGGTAGCAATCAAGTCCCCATTATGGCGACTGATCTGCAGTGGCCCGTCGAGGATCAGCAGCGTTTTATGAGACAGATCTTGACCAGCAAGGTCCGCCAGGGCGTCTTCGAGTTCCTCGGCAGCCTGCGATAATGTTGGGATATGGCGGGCTCGATGACCAGCGACCACCAGATCTGACCGTTGTCGACCTTGACGCTGTGGGCGGCGCTGACGCTGGTGCTGACTGTGTCCGCATGTATGGCAGGGATGCTGGGGTTGTCGGTGAGTATCCAAGCGGTGTAACAAGGGCTCCTTCCAGTCACCCTGGCTCATTGTGGTCGAGTGTTGCAACGAGATCAGGGAGTCTCTATTGGAACATCGCGTTGATCGCTGTGGCTTCAAGTGTGGTGAAACCACCGAAAGGGGGGGACTCGCTGCGGTAGCTTGGGGCTGAACTATCACCGAAGGATGGTTCCAGTGGCAAGGGCTTATTTTTGAGGTCGTTCATGGATACCTTTTTGGAGATTGGAGTCGGGAAGGCGGGTTTTGACACGTGCAGGTGGCATGGGGCCACTGCCGAGGACGGCTGCGAGGAACAGATGGAACTGGCGTCATCGAAGACACCGGCCGCAACGGGGGAGAAGATCGAATATGCATCGGCCGTCTTGTAAGGATATCGTCCATCATCTCCCCAGAACGTGGTTCCAACACTGGTCACCGATGTGCGACGACTATAGCACGATGAAGCACAATCCAAAGTCTCCTCAGACCCAGAAGACAGGCGGGGAATCTCCAGAGGATCAGTAGGGCTGTGTGAATCGGGAGAGCCATGTGCATCGACAGAGCCATGTGTATCAGGAGGGTTATAGAGATCAGGAGCCACGTCTGCAGAGCTTTGATATAAATTCTGCACCCGTTCTTCTAGTTCCCGCTCGAAAACCGAGGGCCCCGTCGGACGGTCCATCTTGCAATCTGCACTGACCGGGGAGACAACGGAGAAGTGCGAAGATAGCTCTGGGAAAAAGCGGGCCAAACGGGAGGCTGTACGCAATGGAGGAAGATGGTCCGACAGTGGAGAAATTTCAGACTCAGCTTCAGAAGAAGGTGATTCCAAGTCAATCATAGTGCCCAAAAATTTCTGCGGGGAGGAAGGCTGAATATCCCCGACCTCCCCGCTTGCGATCTCTTCTTTGTGACTTGAGTGGTTTGATTGGTCTTCAGGCTCTTTAGTCTCGGTTGCCATGTGGTTAGCAGGGGGCTCTGGGGTCGTTCCAGACGGGCCATGGGTGGTGTCCGCGATCTGCGCTGGCATTGTCGGCAGGTCTTTCGGCAGGTCTTTCGGCAGGTCTTTCGGTATGTCCTTTGGTAGGTCTTTATCAATTGTGGGACTCGATGGAGTTGAAACACTACCCCGAACAGCTGTGACTTTTGCTTCTATACCAAAGGGTTTCATTCGAAGCTTGAGCGACGGAGGACGAAAAAGTGATTTTCTCTGCTTCGAAGACTTCGTCTTCTGGATTGAAGGATCACGAGATTCAGGAGGAGCCATTAGTAACCAGTAGCTCATATCTCGGCTGTGCTGGATTTTTATTGATGGAGCATTGTTGTCCCCAAAAGGCTGCTCTTGCACTTTGTTAGCGTGACGTTGAACAAAGAGCTCCTTTTTGACTTTAATTAGAACATACCGTCAATGTAGACTCGAGGAGGCGAAGTGTAGAGGCTTCTTTGTACAAGAAAATACTTCGTTCCGGTTGTGGCTGCAGAGAACAAAGACCAACAAACCCACCTATTCTCTCTCTTTTTTTTTGCAAGTATAGAGGGTTACAAAGATGAAGCGGAAAAGAAGCTTGGAATGCGAACTATTTCAGGTAGATCTAACATCGCACAGCATTAGGCAACCGGTCGATATCGCCCTTTTTAGGCCCCCGAAATCAGCAGGTGGTCTTCCAAGGTTTCTGTAAAGACTATGGCGTTTTTCAAAGTAATTTCCAAGCCCAATAGTCAGACCAGAATTGATTATTCTGTATTACTTGGGGTTAGTGGCCTGCAGCTAAACAGCGATCCTCCGGGGCCAAAAGGATCAACACCCCAAATTCCCAATTGAGCAAGTCGTGAACTTTTGAGATACAGAACAGACTGATGGAAGATTCCCAAGTCTACTACGGAATACTGGACTGACTGTCTCTATTATAATTTTACCTTGAGCTTCGTGTTCTCTCGTACTCGGAAAGGTGCAGGGAATGTTATTCTTCTCGTGTTGACACAAGTTGCCGTCAAGGGAAGTGACCTGCAGGGTTACAATATGGCGACGAATAACCGAATTCGGCCAATGATATACGCTAGCAAATTAATCCTACATTATGTACGGAGTACTCCGTATGCAGTACAAAATATATAAATACAGATGCATGGCCTTTACCACAATTTCCGCCCCATTGCGCCCATCGCCGCCCCCAACTATATGACTGTGAACAACCTTGGACTTGGACATTTGTACATTCGCCCCATGGAAACCCTGCTGATAGTCTTCTGCCCCCTAGAAACTCTGCTGATAGTGAGAGTATGTTGTACTCCGGATTGCTCATTAGGTAGTGAATTTCGTCAGCTATTCATTAATATCAACATACTCAGAAGTGGGTAGTGTGGCCTCTTGTGCCTGGCTGAACATATCGCTCGTAAATACTCCGTACTCCGTACTCCGTTGTATATTGCATATATTCGTGAATCTTCATGAATCATGCGGATGGATATATCCCTCTCTTAATAATGTCTTGAAAACTTGGAAGCAAATTGCCTTTTCCCTAGAATCCACTGTGGATATCTTGGATGTCTCTAGACCATTGGCCCGATTCGGAAGGAGGATAACATTCATGAATCCAAAAGAGCACTTACTCTGTTAGTCCAACTAGAATGCACGTGTTCTTTGTACTCGTTAACGATAGCGGCTATGGTAGCACGGCTCATATGCAAAGGAAACGGCGGGGGCGCAAAGGCCCGTCGTTCTCGGAGATTTTCCTTGAACGCCACGTGTGGATGAGACTGGTCTTGATACTCCATTGATAATGGTCTGGCTCCACGTCCAAGCTTCCAATGTTTGTTTTCATTGGCCCCTTCATTGGCCTCCAAAGCTGTCATTGGATACCCACTGCAGGAGCTATCAGCGGAAGAGACAGATGATAAACCTCAATGAAAAGACAACATAGCCCAAAGAGGAAGATAGAGTGAAAGAAAGACAGAAAGAGGGATGGTCAAGATGTGACATCTAGAAGTAACTGAAAAGAACAGAGGACCTCCGTCAGCAAAAGAAGAAGGGTTTCTGCCTGACGATAACAATTCCGATTGATGCCAAGAAATGTCTCTGCCTCAAGCGCTTATATCAATTTCATCTACGAAGTAACCTCTGTGTACTCCGTACGTGTATCTTACCTAACTTACATCAGTCGCTGTTTAAAATCCCAAAGTGCTATACTGTCATATCAAAGCGAAATCTTAAGAGCCTGTTTATAGTCCGTTAGTGCTGTACTTATCTGAGACATCCCTGGGGATGCATTGATGTTTCGCTCCGAAGGATACCTTATCATATATGATCGTACTGGACTATTTATTTGAAATATGTGGTCACTTCAAAGTAGATGACAATTCGTGTCTTGCGTGGAATATTCGCTCCGTATTGCGATAGTGCATAGCTGGAGGTCGCGTTTCTTTGGTAGCCGAGGATTTCAATCCACAGTACAAACATTGAGCGAAGACTTGCTTCTAGATAGCTAGTAAGAAACGCATTACGGTGGGAAGAGGGCTCACAAGTATCAGGATTAACACAGTATTTTACCCCTAGACCGTAGCAAAAGCCAAGGTATTTATCTGTTTATGGCCAAGTTAGCCATGCTATACTTGCCTGACACATCCTTGATGTACTCTGTCTGCAACCGACTACTCCGTATCATGAGATCACTTGCTTATAACAGTAATCATATCGGTTATCAAACTTTGCGCTCAGAAAAACTCGAGAACATGTAACAATGTGCAGGGTTACGGAGAACCTCTTGACCAACGGGTGGCGATAACAAGATGATCTACAGGGGGTCATATATTACACTCTCCAAATTACATGCCAATCCCAGTAACATGATCCAATGAGAGTTGTCATCTCATTGAGAGTGGACTATCAGAAGTACTTTGTATGTTATAGATGAACCCATCCTTTATCGGTCACCGCAGATGCCTTGCCTCACTTCTTGTTTGAGCAACTCCTCTCGTCTTTTCATGCCTCACTGAGAGAAGATCAATCGAGTTGATGAGCAACTAAACATCCTTTGCTTTTCCTTGACAGACGCTCGGATTTGTACCGAAGCTCAGGTTTATGTGTATAAAAAGCCCCAACCGACGATAGTGTAAGTAGTCAAACATACAGCCACCAATCCTACTCTATATCGTTTTCCCCCGTGCCTTCCCCTATCATGTTTAACAAGCTCCCAACCATCGCAGCCTTGCTGGCACTTGGCCTGAGCGCCCAGGCAAGCCTGATCTTCAAAAACTCCGGCACAACCTCTGGCTGGGATAAAACGAACCAAGAACACCGCGGCACCGTGAAGCAAGTGACAGATGAGGCGTATGAGGGCAAAACCGCCCTTAAAATGACCCAAATCTACGATGAAGACTACTCCGGCCGGTACCACTCGGAAGTGGTGAAGAACGACGTGTATAAGCGTGGCGACACGGGCGCATACGGATTCTCCTTCCGACTTCAAGACGACTGGCAATTTTCTCCCGTACAATCCTACGGCATCGCACAATTCATCGCCGACTTCACAGACAGCGGCTGTGAGGACTGGATGCCAACAACTATGATCGCGTTGAAGGGCAACAAACTCTACTCGCGTGTCAAAGATGGCTCGGTCTGCAAGCAGGAGGTTCATGGTTTCAACGACCTAGCCACTATGACTGCTGGTGAATGGCACCGAATTGAGATTGAGGCAAAGTGGGAGTCGGATGGGACGGGGCATTACGTGTTCTACTATGATGGGGAGAAAGTGTTGGATAAGCAGAATATTAGCACTACCATTGACGATGATCGTGCTTTCCAGTTCCGGGTTGGTCTTTATGCAAATGGCTGGCATGATGACAAGCAAATGAAGGGCTCTCAGGGGACTAGGTCAATTTGGTATGATGCGATTGCTGCTGGCACTAAGCTTTCTGATATCTCGTCTGAGGCTGAGATCGATGCCGGTGATTGTTGATTTGGGTGATTTCGAACATTTTGAATTTATTCAGGGATAGTATTGACAGCCTAGATAGCGACAGTATTGGCTTCAATTCATGTGTCTAGCTAGGATCGGAACAGAGTCATGGCTATGGCTTGATTCTCTCGAATATGAGTATGCCCATCTCACGTCTATGGCGTGTAACCGAAATTCTATTCGACACATTGTTATCATTTCTCATTCCTAAACTTGCCATGATCAGCACGGCTTATGCGGATATTAAATTGAAATGAACGGTCCGTGTCAGTCCAAACGGTATTCTACTACTTCGTAGTGCCGTACATAATGTTGAGATCACCTCTGATCTGGGCCAAAAGTTTGGAAATGACATCAATTCTACCGAATTATCTCGAATACCTTTTGATGTGCATTAGTACATTCTTTTTATGTGTACAAACACATTGTGATATAGTTTTGGCCCCCTGGTTTGCCCAGATGGAGACCCTCGTGTGGCGCGTGGGGTCCAATTTAGAATTGACATCATTTTGCCATGATGTTTTGATCTACATATACTTATTCGTATGATCGTCATATAATACTTTGTAATGCGGTGTAATATACGGGGTAGGATGATGGATGTTCTCTACAGGGCTACCAAGAAACAAATGTAGTTCTTTTTCACCACCTATCAACTAAATTACATACCACCCTACGCAGGGGCATAGTGGCCAGGGTTATTTTCGGTGTTAATGCACACAATAGTGCCTTAATGCCTTAATTGGGTATGGCAGAAAATTTAAGATACCTGAAGTATGATTATAATCGTCTTCCCATCCCCACCCTAGAGAGGCAGAGTGTCTTAGTGTTTCATGAGGTAGGTACAGTAGAATGTGGACATAGCTTACAGTAGTGAAATCGCTTGTAACAATGGTGCCCTACATCCTTACGTAGCTTCAAAGGAAAAAAACTAAGACTTGCTGCTGCTTTTAGATGTTATCTATACAGGTTATGTAGCTATCGTCATACCTCTTTATAGTATTTACACTGAAACAAAAAGTCAAGTCCACAGGGTTTCCGATATGTACGTTGAATTTAACAGTTCCATTGAAGAGTTGTTTCTCGCGGCTTATCCGAAATTACCTATTTTGAATTCTATACAAACTGCACGAAGAGACAAGCAGGATCGGGAAATTGATCACCATGGAGGGTTGTTCGTAGACCAGGACTACTCGGTATGCCGACACACGGGGAAAAGGCAGACAGGGTAAGAGCGGATCAGAGCCTGAACTTCAGTCATTTCAAATGCCGCTTCGGGTAGTGACGAAAACAACGGAACCGAAACAAATCGCAGAAAAGATTGAAATGAAAAGGGGACTTCTGCCCCAAGTGGCTCAAGGGGGAAATACGAATTTCCATGCAGCGTTAGGGTCTTCATAGCGGAGGGAATCCTCTTGGAGCATACTTGTGATTGTATGCACGGAATTTCAAGACTTGTGGGTCAGCTTGTGGTATTTGAAGCCATTCAGGCTTGGGAAGCTTTTGGTAGCATATAGCCTGGCGACGTCACCGGCTCCAACATTGTTATATGGATTGCTGCCCCTGAAACTCCATAAAACACCCTAGAGCAATTAAGTCGGTGTGGAAACTCCGAAGTGACCCGGGATCTGAACGATATCTATCCTCCTCTCCCACATAGTTATCTATATTATCTCCATTGATAATGGAACCAGTAAGGTCACATAGCTTCAGAAACAAGTCATCGGCAACAAGGAAGCTTCTTGGTCCAAACCATCATGCACCACACCATGGCCGTGGATAAAAGCGATAGCATCGATAGCTTGCTTGACTCAACGGGCTCGAATGCTTTCTGAGACCTGATGATGCCGCAAATAGGTGCGAAGGTCTCCGTTTCGGTGATATGGAAAATAGAGCCCTTGCCCAGTGATTCCGATGCAATCGCGAATGTTCCGATTCTTCGACAGCGTCTGATTGATCAGCTTTCCACGAGCGATGCATAAATATCCAAACATACACGTAGTGGTAGATTGGTGATAGTTGCCCTTTCGGCTCAGCCGCTAGGCATAAAAGAATTGAGTATGTGTATGGTCCATGCCCTTGGCCAAATATACATCGATGACGCGGTAACTGGCCGAAATGAGGAGCTGAAGGCACGTCTCTCTAAGTCGACCGTGGCTGGACCCCGACTGGAACTACTATTTCTGCTAGGAACAAGCTTATCAGCCTCAAGTTCAAACCCCGAGAAAACCTTATATATATAATTGGCAATCAGTTTCTGTTACTCATCAACTGTTCAAGGCTACAGCTGAGCAGCTCAACCACGTTGCCCCAAGGATCAGCCGCGTATAGTGCCTTTTCACCAAATACCCCAGCGGTCTCGCCAAATTGCCTTCCCCCATTTTCGATACACTTCTTGACTGCTTCCGGATCTGCAACTGTTATTGCGATATGAAAGAAGCCGCCACGCGTATATTCGAATTCACTCGTTTTCCTGATCGCTGGCAGTGTGGTTTTAGGTTCCATGAATTGATAGATCTCAATGCCAACCCCATTACCGCACTGCCAGGCAAGTCTAGAAGAGCGCTATAAATAAAATACTTAATATTATAAGTAAAAAATGTATTAACTATATAGTTCTATACTAGAAGTCTGTTTATCTAGTACTATATTAGGGCCCTAATAGGTTACCTAATAGGTTTTGGGTTATGAGCTATAACCCAAAACCTATCGTTAGGTCGAAGCAATGGACCTAAAACCCATTTTGGGTTGGGTTAGGTTGGGTTGGGTCCGGGTTAGAGTGGGTTGTGCCGAAGTCTACCAGCGAGGCGGCGTTATAAAGTTAAGCGGGGGACTTCGAATCGGCGTACCACTTCACGAATAGTAGTGATTTCTTTATTTTTAAAGGCCTAAATAGCTAGTAAGATCCTCCCCTCTTACTCAGCTACATTGCTAGAGGATTGAGAGCGAATTCGTGGCATAGTGGGTGGTTGAATTAACTAGGTGCTAAATCATGGACGCGTTTTGGGTTGGGTGGCCCACTCGCTTGTGTGGCCCACTCGCTTGTGAAATACGTTACCCATGCTTAGTATTACCTAAACCCATCCTTAACTAGAACCCACTGACAAATTTCCGATTCTTCGCGGGTCAGCCTTCGTTCTTATGGCTATGGATACCTTAGTCTCGCAGTTCCCATATCAGTATGCTTGTCTATATTCCTATTCAGAGTTACGTTCGCACTGCATGCTGCGATAACAGCCGAGTCCGGCACCATTGGTATAGGCTTCGACCTTAAGGGCATCTCGCAATAGTATGACTTGAGTTCTGAAATCTAACCGATCCTTGCGCTCCGCAATGCGTTCTCTCCTACTAGCTGACCGTCACATAGTTGATTACTTCTGATCATCTTATATTTTGTTTTCCGTCAACGTCGTGCAGCCTTCCATGCAAGGTATTTAGCTCGCCAGAATCAATCTGTGCAAGTAATTCATATCTTTGTGCATCACCGGTCTCATGCCGATAGAGAAATAGTAAAGGCAATGGATCATTCCTCCACTTGGGCACTCGCGTCTGCCGTGTCTTCCAGAAAGTCCCTACCAGCGCGATGGCCCCGAGTATCCAAACAAGTGCGGGTAATACAATCCATTGCCAGTGAATCGAGACATGTGTCACACTGGCCAGAACATGACCTGGTGTCATGTTCGCGTTTTCCAGCTTCGAACCTGCCTGGATGTACCTGGTATCTCGAAAGGTTTTGGAGATTGCTGCTGCAATGTTTTCCATGGCGCATCTCAACCTGATCGCTGACTCGCTACCACATCCAACAATACCCTCCCGTCCAAGGGCCTGAAGGATGTCGGATGCGGCGTACATCACTGTGTTACTTGTCGCGCTATATGCTTGATGTGTTGGATTGTGCGAGAACCCGCCACTCAAAATGTTCTTCAAAAAGCTGCTGATAGCACTTTCTGCTTCCCTCTCAAGTATAAAGGTTTGATTAGGTTGCACACCCATGTCATATCCCCAGGGTGGATTAAAGAGCCATCCTGTCTCGTTATTGGGAGGGGTTGCAGTATTCCAGATCGCTAGTGTGTCATCGGTGAAGACATTGTTCCGGACAGAGGGCCTAGAAAGGCGTACGACAGGCTCAATGACGCATTCCGTTGCCTCCCATGCGTCGGCAATCAATGACAATTTTTGGTTCATAAACTGATCCGCAAGTACTGAGATATTTGCGAGTCGGGGAGTAATGAACTGTATTGGATACATTGTCGCATTGGTAAATACTAAGGCTGCATCCCGAGCAACTGCAGAGCTAACGAATGCCATGAATATGGGAGTTATCGACTTGGGAGTAATAGGTGTGTCCCCCTGAAAGGATGCTTTTACGTTGCTTTTGGGGAGGGTGACATTGCAGGTCGTTTCTGATAAGCCAAATTTACTGATAGTCACTTCACATGACTTGGCGAGATGCTCAGTGATGTTTGCGCAGAGCGCACGAGTTTCCAACGATGCAACAGGACCCCATGTACAATTTGCTGAGCTGCAGGAGTACTGAGGAATGGCCCAAGGTCTCTTTTCGTCGCGGTTCAAAAGAGAACTGTATACATTCGATTTTAGTTCAGAATCGACCATTTTTCTATCTGTCATATCGTCAATCCAAGCTGCAGGTAATATGTGTCTTTTGTTTTGACCTACCTGCATTACCTGTGAGCGCATATTGAAATCCATAAGCGTTGTATGTGGATGAATTTGCCACAAATGCAGTTTTTGATGAATCCACAACCATTATTTGTCGATAGTGAACTAAATTCTGTACAAATGGATCATATCCCAACGCCAGGATAACAGCCAAGCAGCTCCAGACCGCAAAATGCCTGTCCATGGTGTTAGCCTAAAAGAATCTCTAACCTAATGAGCATAGCCAACCTAGCACGTAATCTCCATATCAGCTGGATAGCGCCATAAAATCCTCGACTCGCCGTGTCAAATTGACGAAGATCTGGTAGGGGTCGCGATGCCTGCGTGAACCATGTCCACTTCAACTGGCCTAGCACCTCGCTGATGGCAGATATAAGGCAACCCTTTGAGACGGTGCTCAACCAGGAAATCAACGAGTTGAGAGACATGTACTTCCACTTCGGTTCAGGCGTGTTGTCGAGCAACGCAAGGATGACGACTGTGGCAACTAGAATACCACCCGATATCGCGACTCCCAGGAGTTCCCAGACAAACCAGTCACTGTCAACCGATTTCTGTAACTCTTCCTCCGCTCCTTCGTCATGTTGTTTCGATGTTGCAGAAATAGGAGACCCTTTAAACGTCGGCGTTTCGGCGTTCAGGTCCGGGTTATATTGATCATCGTCTGACCTCCTAATCGGCTCATAGATAGGGTTTGCCGACTCTGGACTTCGAGACATCTTGAGAAGTAGATTGAACTTGCCTTATGGAACGGAGCATGGAATCTCTCCTCTCCTGTGTATTGCCAAGAACGGAAGCACGGCTGACATGCCTGCAGGGCTTTACCTAGGGGTTAGTTTTGAACAGGGGTTCACATGATTGCAGGTTCTCACCGCTGTGCTCCCAAGTGGGTTGCAGGGGTGATTACCTACACACCAGGGGGACCCCCTGGCCTTCCAGGGTGATGGTAGAATCAAGTGGTATGTTGAAATGTATGGGTCCAACCAATGGTGTTGAATTCTCTACATTACAGTATCCACTTTCCTATAGGCTGCGGATTGCTATTATAGATGAAAAGTATAGAATATTCGATATTGATGATATTCTCTATCTAAAAACAAGAATGGAGAGAAAGAGTACGGCAGCCGGAATGGGCCAAACTTGACAATGGGGTTTCTGCCATGCAGAAACTAGTAATCGGCGCTGATGGAACCAGTACGATACCTAGAAAATTATATAGTACAGTTTTACTATATGTGGTCTATTTACGGCAGCCGATTCATCGCCAATTAACGTCGTGTTGTAATTTTTTATCTCTTTGTCGAAATTGGAGTCGGGCAATGTGCTTTGAACTTTGATAGCGAACTTCATCCTTGTACGATTGAGTATCTAGACTCTGGATGTCTCTGTTATAATCTTTTACCCGCGGTGCAGCAGTTGATCATTGATTAGCTGAACTAATAGATAGACTTCGCTCCATAGATATCACAACAAATTTCCCTTTAATTAGAAATCAGAGATAACCAGATTTTCCGGCATAGTTCCCAAGTTGTGAAAGAGACTCTTTGTTCTCAAAGTGAACCCGGCCAAAGCTCAAAGGTACTTTACCCACATTTCATCAGGACCTCGACTCACTTTAGTGGCAATAATGTATGATCGGGCTATTGATTGTTCTGGAATGCTGTGTCTTGGACAATAGAATTCCACCTCTTAATGTTGACTCGAGGGAAATCAACGTTAGGAACCATCGTCCTTCAACCTATAGAATTGATTCATGTTAGTCACAAGCTTCACTACCAGAACGAGCTGAATTTTTTCCTCCAAGTACCCTTTTCTGCTACACCATTTCAGACGAAAGCTTCAATTGACGACTCTTTGTTCATTGGTGCTCTTAGAATCATCCTCTACCTTTTGAGGACGAATGCATGTTGCTTTTCGTCCAATGACTGCAACCGAATCTATATTTATCACCTTGGTTCCTTTGTTCAAATGAAAGTGCGGAGACTTGTTATAATGACTCTTAGAGAAGTGCTGGGGCGATGAAAAGATATAAACTAGCTGTGTTACAGACGGAGGCTAGTTGAAATTATCACGAAAATCACGACGTTGCAGGATCAACCCCTAGAGTTCATTCACCATGTTTCGTTTTGATGAGGAAATTCTAGAATCTTGGGGTCCAGCCGTTTGGGGAGTTATCTTTGACAGGTTGCAAAGTGGAAACGTCAAAGGTGGAATACTTCAGGTTGCCTGGCCAAGCAATGTCGACAAGAAAACAGCAGCCCAGCAGATTCAATGGGCCACCAAGTTGCCTTTTCCCCAGCTCCCCCAGAAGGCTCTTGAGACAATATATGATAGAATGGTTGGTTTCTCGTTGGGAGTTCGATATATGGACGAAAAGAAGATTCACGCTGTGCATGGACTCGTAAAAGAGAATGGCCCCCTCAAAGCGAGTGTGGAAAGATGGCTCAGGCGTCCTGGTACCGTCGCAAAGTGGAGAGAATTGATTCGATCCTACAAGAATTATGAAGATGCGATGGGAAATCTGTCGGACTGCACTACATTCCCAAGAGAGACGGATAACCACCCATTCAAGACCAACCCTGCATACGATTCCGCGTTGCAATGCTCTTCCTGCTTAGAATTCATGGTTCATTTCGGGATTGCCACAACTAATGGCTATGACTTATCAGGAAGAAACTGGATTGAGGCAGGATTAAATGGTCCCAATTTGGATTTGCTCACCTTCATGGTCAGCAATGCGGATCCTCACCATCTGATAAAACCCAGAGATATCCGAGAAACCCGCGAAAACCACATTCTTCTCTCGCTCGTTGGTGTTGGTGCTTTCTCTCAATTCGTGATTGCCTTGAACAGGCTACGCCAGGCAAACCTCGTGCCAGTCGAAGAACTCCGCACAATTTTCCACGAAGCAGCGAAACATGAGTTCTGCGCTGTTGCACCAGTCGCCGTGGCCGAAGCCCTCTACCAGCACGGTGTCAATATCGGAAATGTCGAGCACCAATATCACGAACTTGGGGGACAGTTAGAAACCTCCTGGCATATCGCAGCAGCCTTCAACCCCGCCGGAGGCGAGTTCATGGCCTGGCTCGATAAATTCTCCATGCTCAACGCAGAAGTCCGAAACTCGGAAAACATGAACCCGCTCATGTACGCCGCGTGCTTTGACGAGCCAGCTGCAATCGACTGGCTGTGCAAGAAATGCGATCCCATGCAGCCCAGATTAGACGAAGGCCCACAGGGGTACGCCTTGATCTGCGCGGCTCGAAGCTCATATCTTCACAGCGGCGAAATATTCTCCATTATCCTCTCACATCTACCAGATTCGCTATTTACTAACCAATACGGCAAGATCTTCGGCACTGAGATTGCTGAAGGCGTCGCATCGCACAGGCGCAAGCTCGCCGACGGCCGAGCCAGCGAGCCCACGCAGTCAGTGATGGACCTTCTTGGAGTGCGTAAGATGCACGCTCTCGTCCGCCGTCTATCAAGTGACTGGGTCGGCAGCGAATGGCACTTGGCACTGGATGCGTTTCTTAGCAATAATGATCTGGGTCCTCTCCAACTCAGTATCGGTACAGGGACGCGGCTGCTTCGGAGCACCAAATCGCGGGAGACCTCACCCCGCGGTCACCCAGACCATCCCAGGAGCCCTAAGTTCCGCAAGTCTGATGTACACGAAGTACTAGTGATGTATGATGGCAGCGGGGCGCTAACTGGTCGTGCGGATACTATCAGAAGAAATAGGCCAACTCATATTACTGCTCGCAGTGGTGGAAGACAGACTCTTGGTCCTATCAGAGATCCTAGCAGTATGGTAACAAAGTCTGCGCGTAAGGGACCAAATCGCCGAAGTTGAGAGGTCATGTCTCGGCCTGTCACTGGCCTGTCATTGGTAGGGAGATCGGCGTTGCTTGTATGAAGCATGGGAATATGCTTCCTGCTTATGATGTTTTGTTTATCCACCATATCCCTGGTGGCTTTACCATGTTCCAGTTTTTTCCCCATTTTTTATGTTTATATTTCGGAAATTTACGGACAATCTTTTCTCATGCTCTTGAAATAGATTCATTAACCACTCTGCCTAACATCGTTTACCCCATTTAGTCTGCCTCCAGCTATCGATTCAAGTATCAAATAAAATTGTTGAATGAAACCCAGGGAGGGAGTAGTTTGAACAGATCTACCAGTCAAGTGTACTCGACAAAGCGCCGCTCTGCAATCCACCACTCACGCAGTCTAGCTCTTTGCACACTGCTCTCAGTTAGTAGGTACTGAACTCAGCAGAGAAATTCAGGCACTCACATTGGTCCGCCTTTTGGAACAGAGTGCTGCCTTCTGGCTTGTGCATAGCCGGGAGGATTTGACTTCCTTCAATCCGTTCAAGCTTTGCGTGCTCCTGGAGTCGACTCAAAACTTGATGAATATCTGCTTATTTAAATCAGGTCATTGAATAAAATCTCACATCCAAGGACAGTACCTGTATTATTGAAATCGCCGGAAGACCTAGTCAAAGGATTAGCAACAATTATTGTCGGGCAAAAGATATCTCATAGTACTCACCCTTGCTTAGTCGAGATAGATCGATACTCAAGCTCAATATCTGCAGTCAAACTTTTTGTTATGCTCTGTAGTAGCTCAGACATTGAGCGAATTCCAGCTTCATTCACAGCGGTCAGGGCGAAGAGGTCGTAGCGAATATGTGTCTTCGACTCAGAGGTGGGAAAGAAGGAAATGGTAAGACATAAACCGGCGTCTTGAAATGAATACATAAGTGTAACAGGAAATAAAACACACTCTTCAATGGCGTTCTTTCGTGTAATAGATCTGACAAGTTTCGCGATGGGATCTGGCCTCACTATTTCAGACATTTTGCGATGTAGCCCACCGATATATGCATCGAGCTGACGAGATCGTGCTACCAGAAATGTTAGCCATTATGTCCAAGAATCTTTTACATCAGTTACCTACCCCCAATCTTCCAGTTGAAGTCCCCCGACAAAGTCTGACCTACGACCCAGGTGGATTTCCCTTCCAACCCGGTAAATCTGCTCAAACTTGAAGAAACTCCACTGTCAAATGCAGCCGGCTCCCCAGAGTTGAGATTCACAAAAATCAAGCCTAGGTCAGTGGCATGCGTATGAACCTCGAACAGACTATTTTGCGACCTGTCAAACCCAGGGACATCATCGAATTGAGGAGCCTTCACCAGTCGACCAGTGGTATCATAGCTCCAACCATGATACCGACACCCGAGAATAGTCGAGGCACCAGTCTCTCTTCTTGTTATAGTATAGGCACGGTGGCGACACACATTATGGAAGGCGCGGATCTTGTCGTCCTTGCCGCGAATGAGAAAGACCGGGAATCCGGCCACGTCGAAAGATTGATATGAGCCAGGCTTCTCGAACTGGGAGCTGTGGGCAAGGTAGAGCCATGTCTAGAGTTATCTGTTAGCTATGCTATGAAGCCACATGTGACTGGCATTTATATTACTTGACTGAAGAGTGCGCGTCGCTCGAGCTCGAAGACTTCCCGACCGCTCCACCATCCGTCTGGGATTTCGGGCTCTTTGGAGACTGTCAAGTCTGAGTTTTTGGTGGCGGACTTTTCAATGGAATCAAAGATTTTTTCGGCTTTAGGCTGAAATAAATGAGGCCATGTTCGGTGGAGTAGAAAGATAATTGTCACCAACGCCACGAGGATGGAGGCTGGAGAGAACCAGAAATCTGCATCGGTAGACTCCATGATAAATAGACTGTTGCTCTTTTGGATGACAGAAAATGGATGGCATCTGCCACTGATATACTTGTGCTGTCACCCCTCCACATTATACTCGCCACATCTAGCGCAGATACCTCCGCTGCCTCCCTATATTACCCGATTGGGTTGGAATTTCCTGGCTGTATCACTCGGCTGACCGTCACTTCTAATTTTTAGCATGTAGTCTAGAGTTATGTTGATCATACGGTGAGTACTATAGAAGGCTTTCGATAACGTTGTATTCACATTCATATCAAAGACTAATCACTATCTTCCTATGGATGAATACTACGCTGCCATTTGAGCCATAGAGGCCACAGCATGCTGCTCCATTCCAGAGTCATCCGCTATCTTAGTGGTCCTGTCTAATTCATGCTGTTCACAGACCATATCGAATACTCGTCTCTGGTAGTCTGAGGCAAACACGAGTATTAGCAATATCGCATCAACCAACTTTAGACCTAACTCACAAGACACGCCATTCTCCTTGTTTGGGTTCAGGATTCCCTCATGATAAACCCCCTTGGCTAGATTACTCTGGGCTTTCTCGCAAAGCTCAAAGTCTTCCATGGCAACCTGACGCACAAATTTAAAATATTCTTCAAACTTGTCCCCAGATTCAAGATGAAAGTAATCAAATTCCATGCGGGTGACATGCGGATCAGCGGTTGGACATACTCTGAAAGAGGACATGCCACCACCATAGACGTTCAGTGTGCAGTTGGGAAAAAAGTAGAGGAAGAGACCATCCTCAGGCTTGTTCGGGTCTGCGATATGTTGCGAGAAATTGTGATTGTTGCGTACGGTGTAGAACGTTGGCGGGTAGTATTTGGAGAATGACGGGTGGGTGTATTGGCAGTGCAGACACTCTTGATATCCGTCGACCCTGATAAAAGTTAATGACGACCTAATAGAGAACAACAAGAGAGAAGTTTACATTGTCTTCCAATTGAATCGGCCTTCATAGCTGATGCTACGACGGTATGGTAGCTTAGTGAAGTCGACTTTGCCGAGCAGCTCCTCAAGCTCTGGGAAAAATTCATGGAAGCTAGGAGCATCATCGGAGATAGTTGAGAAAAGCAGCCCGGTTGGGGTCAGATGGCTGCGCAATTCCTTGCCCTGGAGATACATGATCATCAGAACGAACTTCATATTTCACCCGGACTACACATACCGTTTTCGCGCAGACAACCTTAAGCTCCTCAGCGACGGGGTTCAGGGCTTCCCCCGAGGTACGAACAGCAGAGACAGGCTGTTGGGCAACCTCATACGGAACAATCTCGCCAACAACCTGGAATCGAGTGACTGGACCGAGCAAATACCAGGACTGGAGGACGTTAGCGCCCCTCATCTGCCAGAAGACTACGTTACATACCTTGAGAAAGACCGCCCGCCGCTCCATCTGATACAGAGGCTGACTGCAATACCAAGAAGCAGGCAAAGTACGAGTGAGCTCAGACATTGTGTCAATAAAATTAGCAAGTAAATCTAAGCATCGAACAGACACGGTTGAGGTTAGCATTCAACTGCGACCGCAACAGCGAAAGAGCATTTTTATATCACCGCAGGTTGCCTTAGATGTCAACGGGTGTCTCTTGAGCTCAGTTGCTAGAAATGGATTTCTTAGTGGCAATAAGCTTGTCTAACCTTGAGTGCGCTGGAAATTTGGAAAGGTGCGGTATATTGTTTCCCAAATGAGTTATCGAGTCCCGTTGATGTCACGGCCAATCACGCGGTTAACTTACAGGCCGGAGATGTTCTAGCCATGAAAAAGGCCCGGAGGTAGACCGCATATCTCTAGGGCTGATCACTTGGGACTTTTATGGGCTGAGTCAAAAGAGAATGACGCCAATGAAAGGGAAATCTATGAGGCCGACATACCTAAGTAGGCATTTTTAGCCAGTCTATGCTTGAGCTACCTCTAGAGGATGAAAGAGATTGAGAGGACTATGATTACAATGTACGATAGCAATATCTGCTCCAATCATTTGCTGTGAATCGACTGTGGTCTTCCCATGATGATCTAAAATCCAACAGGTGGGTTGTACATCTCATCGCGCCCACCAAGCCCCCAACATACCTCCGGTGTTTTGATGCGCCCCGGAGGATGAGAAGTAGTAGGCAAGTCATTTTCAGTCTGTGAGAATTTCTGCATATTGAATACTCTGATACTCTGAACAAATCGTGGCGTTAGATCGGTTGAGCTATGCTCATATTGTATATGTGTTGAGCGCTTGGCACGATGAGATGTATGTAAGGAGTACCATAACCATATAAAAGAAATGAGATCAGGAACGAAATATATCCGCAACACACATCTACCACAGCGATAGAAATTCAGGCTTGTTCGATCTACCTCTATGTTGAAGTTCATGAATTTGGCTGCCTGGAGGATGGGGAGTGGCGACCGGAGGCGAAGAGCAAAATGGAAGAGGAGAGAGCTGTAATTTGTATCCAAGATCCCCGATTTGAGAAACACACGAACATCCAAAGATTCAAACGGTTCAAAAGAAAGGAAAGTGTGAAAGGAAAGACATACGTTGAAAGCGCCGTGAAGGAATCAGACGATCCATATCTTATCGGGCAAATTACGCCGTCTTCAACTTCCAACTTTCCAACCTCCTGCTAAAGGTTGAACCTACAACTAAAAGTACTCAAATTTCTATCATGGGCCCGGTCAAATATACTCCTCCGCCTACACCTTCACCTCCAGCATCTTGTTACGCTATGAGTGACGACGAAGAAGATGAATACAACACTATCGCCCAGGCTGCCTCGAGTAGAGGGGTGAAGCTGCTCTTCTCCAAAAGCAAAGTGAGACAGTTTTCATCAAATAGAAAGGCGCAGCTAACAAGAAACCCAGGTCTATGTTCATCCAACTTCCTCCTCCAAAGATAATATCCCTGGCTTTATCGCTCTCATCCAGCAAAAACCTCTCCCCGCATCACATGCATCCGCGTCTCAATCCAAAAATCCCGATACACCCTCATATCTCCTCGCATGGGTCCCAGAGTCATCCCTTGGAGAAGCCTATGACACATATGTGAAAGTAGATCTTTCCGAAGGAGACTCTCCGCCGCGTCAGACGTACCTCGTTCCGCCGCTTCCGACCACCACCACCTACAAAGACCCCATTGGGTTATATTCTTTTGCGGTTCCGCTATCGGAGATATATTCGCTATTAGTACGACCACCGAGCTTGGGATGGTGGTTTGGGAGCTTAGTGATCAACACCCGAGCGGGCGATGGCTTCCCCGCATTATTTTTCCATGATGACGAATGCGAATCAACCATCCTACAAAGGAAGAAGAGGGTGAAAGAAAACTTTGATCCATTTGGCAAAGAAGGAAGTTTGTTTTGGGGCGGCGATGAGATACTCCGCTGGTTGCGGAGGTATGCGGATGTGCAGCGCTCCGCGGTGGACCGCAACGTCTATCTTATCAACCCGTCGGATGAGGACCAGCTGTCTTTCGGCCAACCAGTGCGCCACGGCGATAAATCCATGTCATCAAAGGCGCAGCCCGAAGCTGCGGCTGCTGGATCCCGAGCCCAAGCGCCGGATGCCAGCATGGATCCATTGATGAAAACTCTCAAGGAAACACGGTGGAAAGTGTTGGAGCAGCTGAGCAAGATCACCACATTTACCCGACGGACTGCCAATGAGATCGCAGAGAACCCTCGCATACCGCCTCAGATGCGCCGTCTCATGAAGAACCCGGAGATCCAAACGTTGCAAGATGAATTCGACAGTGCCAGAGTCTATCTGGCTCGTTGGGCGATGAGTGTTGCTGAGCAGAGCGACAAAGAGCGAAATCAGCGTATATGGACCGCACAGGATATGCTAGAAATGGAGAACAGCTCGGTTGGCGACTTCGAGATTTTAGAGTTAGAGACCGGGAACCTGGCTATTCAGGAACGGCGCCGTGTCCTCCAACTGCAAGAATGGGAGGGCTTCTTCGACTCGACTTCGGGTAGACTCCAGGTAACGGTGGAGGAAGTTAAAGAGCGGATCTTCCATGGCGGCTTGGATCCCAATGATGGGGTCAGAAAGGAAGCTTGGCTCTTCCTTCTCGGTGTCTATTCGTGGGATAGCAGCCGTGAGGAGCGCCAGGCCGTGATGAACTCCAAGCGCGATGAGTATATCCGGCTAAAGGCAGGATGGTGGGAGCGAATGGTTGAGGGCAACTCAACGATTGAACAGTTTGATCACTGGAAAGAGCAGAAAAATCGGATAGGTGAGATTATACACTCTATTTGACAGGGTGGCCACTAACACAACAATGTAGAGAAGGATGTTCACCGCACCGACCGTACAATTCCTTTGTTCGCGGGCGAGGACATTCCTCATCCGGATCCTGATTCTCCATTTGCCGAGACGGGCACTAATGTGCACTTGGAGCAGATGAAAGATATGCTCCTGACATACAATGAATACAACCCAGACCTCGGATACGTTCAAGGAATGAGTGATCTCTTGGCGCCAATCTACGCTGTGATGCAAGATGACGCCGTCGCTTTTTGGGCATTTGTCGGTTTCATGGATCGAATGGTATGTTTTTCTCGCTGCATAAATAGCGCAGTCTAACTGATGCGAATTGACAGGAACAAAATTTCCTTCGAGACCAGTCTGGAATGCGTGGCCAGCTGTTAGCCCTGGATAACCTCGTCCAACTCATGGACCCACAGCTCTACTTGCATCTGCAGTCTGCCGACAGTACCAATTTCTTCTTCTTCTTCCGCATGCTGTTAGTGTGGTACAAACGGGAGTTTGACTGGAGCGATATCCTACGTCTATGGGAGACGCTATGGACCGATTATCTGTCCAGCAGTTTCCACCTGTTCATTGCGCTCGCCATACTCGAGAAGCACAGAGATGTGATCATGGATCATCTCAAGCACTTTGACGAGGTTTTGAAATACAGTATGTCAAAATCCCCACATAATATGTATTGGTGTCAAATTACTCACGTTTCAATCTCCAGTCAACGAGCTCTCGAACACAATGGATCTCGTACCAATTCTCACCCGCGCGGAATCTCTCTTCCACCGTTTCCAGCGTTCTGTGCAAGCCATTGACAAGAAAGACAACTTCCCCGCTGCACCAACCGCCCACCAGCGCCGCCCAGGCACAACCGGCCAAGATTCACCTTCAGGCAGTAATGGAAAGTCACCCCAGCCTACTGTTGGATCGAGCAGCGGAGTTAACGCCGGTCCTTCAAACCTTCAAAAGGCAATCGACGCCAGCAAGCCAAAAGTCATTTCTCCAGAGTTACGCCAATTACTACGGAAAGACATTCCCTGGAAACGCGAGACCTCATGATTGGCATTAGTTGCTAACTATCATGTTTGGTTTTGTTGTCCTGCTTGACACGCATGTAATTGTTTTCCTTTCACCGTTTTCGAATTTCATGGCTATTCACGATTCACGATTGCCTCATGTACATTTTTGCTTGATTTTTTTCGACTCAATTTTACGGAGTAAAGGGACACGGATCAGGGAGTTTTGCCATATCGCAGCTTTGTTTTGGAATAAATTAACGCAACGTCTTCATACACCCGCATCTAAGTGCAATGAATTATTTCTATCCACTTTGCCTACGCTAACAGCGATCGACATCTACACTATCCAGAGTTTGTATACTCACTTGCTCCAAGGTATTTGAGCATCCACGGAGAGGTTAGGACAGGAAAAGAAATAGGAAACGCCATTTTGACCATTTCAGCACATGAGAGATCAATCGAAAGAGACAATTTCCACAAGCTCAAGTTGAGAACTTCGATTTTGATACGGCGACACACATCCCCAGATCATTCTCACAAATGTAGCTTCTCCCGAGGTATAATCATTATTAGACATTACATCACCCAGGATACTAGGTACCCCTAGACCTAGGTACGTAGGATAGGGGAAATGAGCGGTTGAAACTTATCTGTATAATCATCTACCTGTAGCAAGATGATCTGACTGATAATTATGTGAGTCTTTCGGTCCTAACTTGATCTTTTGTCAGACCATCAGCTGTCAGGCTATACAGGACGGTGACTTTGTCTTGAATTTATCAGATGTGAGTAGCAACTGAGAGATATCAGCCTTTCAAATGAGCGAAATCTAAACCCCAAGCTCGCCTAGACTCGGACATTCGTTATATATAATCATCTGTTTTCCTTCTGACTTCTAAGGTTCTTTGCTTCCTCTTCTCTTTTTCACGATTCGTCGAGTTGCTTCAACCATCTACCAGAACCGCCAGAGCTATGACTGCCATGATTATTTAGAACATTCTCAATACCCCCAATATGTCTTAGAGTGAGTATACAAAAATTATTCACTGCTGTATAATTGGCGTATGTAGAACGACGATTCCACTCGCAGTATGGCGAGGGCAAATCGTGCCCCAATCACGGCCTCCGCAGTCGCAGTCATCGAAGCGGAAGCTGGTTGTCTGGCGACGTGGGCACAATATCGTCGGGGTCGGACATGTCTTCATCGACGTCAGCTTCGGCGGAGTTGAGGTCTATAGCCATTGGGTCGGTCTCCTGGCACGTGGCCTTGCGGGGGTGATGGGTTCTATTGCCATGTTCGTCGATCTCGGTGGTGGTGCGCACAGCCCAGGTATTGTAGGACGAGATGACCACAGCGCGGGCTGAGGAGGCTTGGTCGGTGGGGCAGGAGCGTAAATACGCTTCAACCTCCTTAGTTGTCTCGAGCAGAATGAGCTTGCGCTCGGAGTCGCCTGCCGTTGAAGTAGTTGTGACAGCAGAGCGAGTCATCGCCCAAGCACGGGCTTTGCTCATACGGATTAATCTGAAGCCACAGATGAGCGATTCAGATATCACACATCAACCCGTGGTGGATTTGGAAATTACTCGGAAATGAATAGCGTAGAAAATGCAATATATATGAGACTATCGGTAAATGCAAAGATTTTTCTATCAACCAGATAACTGTAGGGTATTGTTGAGCTCTAACACCACACCAAATCCCGAATCAAACACAAAACCAAGTGAGAACAGATTCGCCACGCTGATGCAAGTAGAAGAGAAAATAAAAACCCGAGATGTGAAAGAACGGTGTCAAACATGTACTGCCAATGACCATATGTCCGAGAGCCCGTGGCTCAGGATGCGAATAAAAATGACTGCAGGACCCATCCACGATAGGTCCAGCGGGGAAATAGAAACAGGGGAAAATATGGCTATCAAAAAAATCAGATTTTATATGCGACGGATTACATCTGTCGAAGTTCACGGCCTGCGAGATCCAAGACCTCTAAGTACGACCCGCCTGCTTGTACCGATAGACCCAATATCGCCAATGCTGCGGACTTTAGGTAAGGAGTGCCCAATTGCGCCGCCGTCGACGATAGCAAATCGGTCATCGGAATCGTGGTCTGGTGGCATGCTCAGTGCGAACTGGGGTGGGTTGTGGGAGCTGGAGCGGCGGGTCTTTTGGAGGACATCTGCAACCCAGGCTTCACCCTCTGGGCTCATGGATTCGTACCGAGCACGTGGCTTAGGACCAGCTAAGCCCAGCGGGGTGGAGCGGGATTCGTTGACTGTGGAGGCAGCAGCGGTGTTGCCGGGGGAGTGGGCGTCCCCGACGGAATGGCCAGATGACACTGAAAGGCGTCTCCCGGTTGAGGAAGGTAAAGAGGCGACAGCAGGTGGGGGCGAGGTGAAGGAGGATATCTGGCCTGTCGTCACTGCTCTGGTGCCCTTCGCATCGGATGCGGTTGAGCCTCGTCGTTTTTTATGTACAGTAAGAGATGAAGGTGGCCGAGCACTGACCACCGATGATGGCCGGGAGGGAGTAGCCCGGCCGGAAGTGAGATAGGTGGTAGCCGGGGTCAGCATAGTACTTGGAGAAGTGTAAGACGGCGAAGAACGTGATTTTATGCCCTGCACCTCCACACGGGGGGTTTCAGACACCTTGCGGCGACCATGATGAATGACATATTCACGAAGGTATTCGCCAAGGTCGGCCCATCCACCGCCAACTCGAACCATCACTCGCTGTCCCTCTTCACCAACGGTGCGAACAAACAGTTTTGTCGGTGCGGACTGGCCCCCGTGATGGAGGTGGTACAGTTTGACACAGCTATCCTCTGTCTTGAAGGCATGAGAGTGTCGTCTTCGGCCAGCAGGTCTCAACGTCAGAGAAGGTGCGGGAGTGCTGCTGCGAGTTGGACCAGTAGGGGACTCGGATCGGTGCCGCATTCGTCGGTCCAAGGATGACGACGACGAGGATGTCTCTACTTCGTGGTTGGAATCCACCATATGAATATGACCGGGCAACGAATTGAGAATCGAATTGATCTTTTCGTCGAGCTGGTCTCGCGGTTGCTTGCCGAGTTTCGTTGGCGACGAAGGGCGTAATCGGAAATCGGTGAGCTCGGATTCATGCTCTTCTACATAGGACAACTCTTGTCTCTTCACGCCCAGACTTTCGAGACTTGGATGAGCAGTCAGTCGCTGCCGCCATCGGAGAGACTTGGGCTGGAGGAGGTGCTCCATGGCTCTTCGAGCGGAATTCATCCCGAATGTCTTTTTGTTTCGTTCCGCAATTTTTGCCATCTCATTTTGAGATTTCAAGTCAGTTGCAGACTTTCCTCGGGACAGTTGGTGATGGCGAGTAGGGAGACGCGGGGCCGGTGGAATTGATGCAGCTGAAGTATCCTGGAATGTGATTTTGGTTCGAGTCTAAAATAATCAATTAGTGGTGAGCATAAAAGTAAATGCAACATCGGTTCACAAACCTTTGGAGGTTTGGGGAAGTCGGCAGATGTGACAGAGCGTGTTCTCGTCCTTGATGGGTTCACACTAGCCACACCTGGCGCCGACTCACTTCCCAGGCCCAATTCCAAGCGTTCATTGATAAACCGCTCGAGGGGTAGGCTGACCGTGCGATTCTGCTGGAAAGAGATCTGTGGGTCAGGCTTTTGATTTTCTAAGCGACGGAGGCGATCTTCCCTCAGGGTATAATCCCCGTGTGAAGGAGGACGTATAGATTTATGGCGAGACAATTTTCCGACGGGTGTCGCATGAGAGGAAGCGGTGCGCGGCTCAAGTACATCAGGACTCGAGATGAGAGAAGAATGATCTGAAAGCAAAGAGGTCACAGATCCAGTAGATGTCCGACGACGATGCGTAATTTTGTGCGCCACTTTGCCATCTTTCTCGATATCAACTTTCCCTGTGCGAGATTTGGAAAGTTTAATAGGGCTCTGTAGTGGCTTGCGAACAGTTGGTTGACAAGTTTCTACTTTCCCTTCGTTGAGCGGGATTTGAGACTTGATGGGCGTGTGATTTGAGCCCGACTTGGGTGATGCCACAGCCATGGGTATTTGGGAAATTCTGCGAGACGGTCTAGATTTCGGCACTCGGATGTCCGATCTGCTAGGTGTGAGTACCGGGGAGATCGTTGCTGCCACCGGGGTATCAAACTGATTCCGTTCACCCGCCCTGATCGGTGACTTAGGACTTTGGTCAATAGAAGAACTGGTGGGTGTAGGCTCAGGATTGAGCTCGAGGGATTTGGGGTGTGGAGAAAGTTGCTTTTCCTCGTCATCTGAGTTCTTCTTGCTTTCATTTGCTACAGCCTCACAAGGTAAGTCTTGAGGACCAGCAGAAGCATGGAGCGTAACCGCGGCGGGTAGACCAGCAGAGACAGCAAGCTCAGGAAGTTGGACCTCGCTTTCAAACGCAGCGGTATTTTGAAGCAAAATTTCCTCGGCCGGAGCACCTTGCTCAGACAATGGATGTGATTTTGTAGACGCCTGGCTGGGTGGTGACAGATCTACGTCTATCTGTTGGAAGTCAGGCGGCGGAATGTTTTCCTTATTTTCCAAGGTGCGATCATCCGCGCAAGGCGTATGCGCAGGAGCTGAAAGTAGCTGTCGGCTAATCGCAGGAGCTGGCGGAAAGTCGGACTGTGTTGGTGTCTCTAGGTCCTCTGCCACAGCTACAGGGGTCAGGTCTTCTTGCTTCTCTTCGATTGGAGACTTTGAGAGAGATATTGAAAGTTTTAGGTTTGGCGAAACATTTCCTTCGGCGCAGTCTGCAGGAAATGGCGTCTCCTCAAGTGACGTCGCTGATTGTTGAACAGTTTGCGGGCTGGTTGCCCTTGCATCACCGGACGGGAGTTGAAGGCCACGCTGGGGCTCGGGCTCATGTTCGATAACCTGGTCCAGAGGGAGATGGAGAACATCTGAAGGTTCTGATACAGTTGTGTTGGATGCCGGATCCTGCCCTGTTTCCTTCAATGACTCTGCGCGCTGAAGGTCAACTGCTCGCATCTCGGCCAATTGAGCCTCGGCTTTTGACCGCACCCACTCGTTCTGAACCTTGCATCTATCAGCCTCCACCACCCATGTGGCGAAGTCGGATTCGATGGCTTCCAGGTCGTCAATCCACTGTTCAGGCAAAGAATCTGGGCGACCCTCCAACGCGTCGAGAATTCGGTCCATTCGCCTCCCCACAGCCACGACTGCGGACTCCAGTTTGACATGCTCGACAGCTAGGGAGGCATCGGAGAATTTGTTGGAATTTGGGGTAAAGGAGTGTGGGGTTTTTAAGGCCTGGAGTGAAGAGTCAAGGGCAGAGTGGGTCAAGCTGAGCTCTCGCAGCAGACCAGGAATTTGGCGTAAGACAAAAAGGCGAACTTCCCAGGTAGCAAGTAACGCGCTCAGTCGCGATAAATATGGAAGAGCTCGCAGGATAGTCGCGGTAATGACAGCTGTAAAGTCACTCAGCTGTACATAGCTGAGCGGCGGAGGTACGGACACGCAGCTTGTGGCGGATGAGGGCCGAGACCTCGATGGAATGTGGGCATTCAAAACGTGTTCCTTTAATTCTTCCACGTTAAGATCGTCCATTCCATCGCGAATTTCATCGGCTCTCTTCTCATATCGCTCAACCACGCTAGCTAACAAGCTCCCGTAGTAGTTTTCCTGGGTGTTGCTAGGGGGAGCCGAAAAGCCCGATGGGAGGGAATTTCCGTCAGAGTGCGACTCAGAAGGAGGAATGAAACCCATCCCAAGCTTCGCATCGCACTGATTTGGCCAATCCCATGATAAAACCTCTTTGTGCCACAGATTCAGGTTTTGGGCAGCTACTGCCGCGCGTATCCCTAGGGCGCGTTCCGACGGCGACACCTGGGAGATGCTTCGCGAGAGGATATCATGGGCGGCTTGTTCATTCAAAGGGACTGCGTCGGTCGATGTGAGGGCATGTAGAGTTGATTCGGGAGAGAGATTGCTGAGGAGAGGGTCGAGTTGCTGGTAGATGGAGCTAGGGATTCTTTCAAATGAGGCTGAACGCGAGGTATTTCGGGTGTGGGAGGGGGAAAGACGGATGGAAGGGCGATCCGGGTCTATTCGACTGGTTGCCATGCCGAATAGTTGTTCAGCCTAAGTCGGGAATGTAAAGTCACAGAGAGCCTCGACTGGCTCGAGGATGGCATGTAAGTGACGGACGTCGGAACGAGGGCGGGAAAGAGGACTGTCGAGCCCGCATGCTGAGACGCGCGTAATAAAAGTGCAGAACTTGGCAAGCAACAAGCTCAAGTTGGAGATTGAACAGATAAAGAAATAAACAAATAGAAAAATGATTGAAAGTCGAGATGTCGAGGGTGCAAAGATGCGAAGTGAGGGACTGCGGAGAGAGTGACTGCGAATTGGGCACAAATGAGCGACAAGGAGAGAAAGACCGGCTTTCTGATCACAGAAAAAATCAAAACAATCGGAAGATTTTCTGATGGGATTATTTTGACAATTTGAAGTGGATATCTGATCAGGGGAGTGCTAAGGTCCTAGTGGAGTTGCCGACACGAACCATTGCCGGAAGATCCGCCTTACTATGGGGGAAAAAATACTACTTGGTATTTTCTTCATATTTTTACATAGGACTATATCATATCGATTGCGAAAAATACAAAAAAAAAACACAATTCTCCTTGTTTAAACGGTGAGGAAGCAGTGTGAACAAAATTTCCCAAAAGGGAAAACAAGGCTATTTGAAAATAGCTTCAAGCATAGATGCAAGGGGAACGATTGAATATTCACCCAATTATTTCCTATATGCTCGGAACTCTTCATATCAGATATTGATACCGAAAAACCTAAACAAATTACCTATTAGATCTATTTCTACGATCACTATGCGGTCATGATGGCGTTCTCGGAACTGATGGCGCACATCCTGGCCCAGAATAGTGGGAATATCCCCGAGATCCCCGAGATTCTCCAGAGTTACTGAATTGCGGAATTGCAGAAGTATATTCTATCAACCCATCATGCAAGGGCTTCGTTACCGCCCAGATCTTCTCAAGGGTGTTGCCGAAGAGCTCACTAATGAACTCGAGAAATACGAAGGATGGTTTTTGCTCGAGCCCCCAAAGTTGAAAATGATCTCGGATCACTTTGCTCAAGAGCTAGAGAAAGGTCTTACCCTTGGGGGTGGGTCTATTGTTAGTATCAATTGACCCAGGATGATTTGATCGAGTAGATGCTGACTGGAATATCGGCGTGATGAAGCCTATGAACGTCACATGGATCATGAAATACCCAACAGGCCAAGAGAAAGGACGCATTCTCACAGTTGATCTGGGAGGAACAAATATCCGCGTATGTGATGTCTGTCTTTCCGTGGGGAAGCGAGAGTTCGAGCAACGTCAACGAAAGTACAAGCTTCCGGAAGAAGTCAAGACCAGCACAAAAGAGGTATTGTGGGGGTTTATTGCGGACAGAGTTGAAACGTTCCTCGGTGAAAGCCACAGTGATATCAATGCTTCAAACCCACTGCCAATGGCGTTCACATTCTCATTCCCAGTGGAGCAAAGGTCCATCCGCAGTGGGATTCTGCAGCGCTGGACCAAGAACTTTTGTGTTTCCGGTGTAGTAGGGCATGACGTAGTACCACAGCTGGAAGAAGCACTTGCGAAGAAGGTAAGATTACGTTAATTACCAAGGGAATCGGAGCTGATCGAACTAGAACATCCCAGTGAAGGTAGTCGCCCTCATCAATGACACGGCGGGGACCCTTATCGCATCACATTACAGAGACCCACAGGTAAAGATTGGTAGCATTTTCAGTACTGGCTGTAATGCAGCATATATGGAGGAGTGCCGGAATATCCCTAAGCTGCGTGATGCAGGCCTGCCCGAAGATGCAACTGTAGTCATCAACACCGAGTACGGCGCCTTTGATAACGAGGGCAAGGTACTACCCTTGACTCCCTTTGACCGTCAAATTGACGCAGAATCCGCCCATCCAGGCACGCAGATTTATGAAAAGATGGTGGCTGGTTTGTACATAGGAGAGATGTTGCGTCTGGTGATGCTGAGAATGCACGAGAAAGGTATACTCTTCAAGGGCCAAGATGTCTCGCGTCTTCGGACCGCGAATTCACTGGAGACATCATTTCTGTCCAGTGTCGAGATGGACATTTCAGAGGGCCTCACTGACATGAAAGAGGAGTTCAAGGAGAACCTCAACCTGGAACTCTCGCTGGACGAGCTGAAGGCGTGTCGTCATCTTATCGGCGTTATCGCGATGCGCGCAGCGCGTCTCTACGCGTGTGGAATTGCGGCCATCTGCAAGAAAAAGAGTATTCGTCAGTGCCACGTTGGGGTGGATGGCTCAGTGTTCAGTAAATATAGTATGTTGAAGGGACGGGCAGTCCAGGGCCTTCGTGATATTTTTGATTGGGAGCCAGACAGATTGGACTTGATTGCTCTTAACTCGGCCGAGGATGGGTCTGGAGTAGGAGCAGCATTAGTTGCAAGTTTGTCTCTTGACCCAAGCGAATTGGCAAACTGTAACACGGAGGAATATATGTAAAACTAAATGCCATCAAGTCGGGAGCAAGTTATGAGAAGAGACCTCGGGATGTCGTAGCTGTGAAATCGCCCATAGACGATAGCGATAAGCACTTTAGTTAAAGTCGACCCTCCTCCCTCCATCATCAACTCACACAATGCGGTTCCGAACACAATTAAGAGACAGCAGGACTTTCTCCAGTAAGCCAAATGGTTAAAAAAAAAGTTTGGAGCTGACCAAATCAGAGCTCACCGCGTCACTGTCCTCGCTGGGCAAGGTATGTTGGATGCGCCTGGAGTACGAGGTAATCCGCTTTACCATCATACCCGACCAAGGCACACAAGTGTGGGCATCAATACCCGTTGTATGCATAATAATAATCAAGCCTATCAGTCGTATGATCTCCCTGTTGACCGCTTGCCAGGGAACTATCTTCGATGAGACAACCTACGAGCTAGAATCCAATTCCGACGCTATCAACATCGAAGTCAACATCAGTGTTCTAAACCGAGCCCTACGCTCCGCCTGGGGCTCGACACACACACAGCTCCGCTTAACTAAAAAAGACAGAACGCCTCTCTTGGCATTAACAGTCCTCTCATCAGAATGGACAGATGGAAACATGGCCTTGGCCACCAACAATGATGCTGATGGCTCTGGCAGTAACCCAAACTCAGCGGCTCCAGCCGACACGACCGGCGATCGAGGACCACGCGAACGCCAAACGTGGATCACGCAAGAAATCCCCATCAAGATCCTCCACGAGTCAGCAGTTGAAGGCCTACACGAGCCGCACTGCCCAGACCCCGAAGTACACATTATCCTACCCAATCTAGCGCAGTTAAAGAGCATCTCCGATCGTTTCACGAAATTGGCATCCACAGATAGCAAAAGCCGTCTACCAGGTGTCATGGCGCCCGATGCGCCGGGGATGCAGTCTGTTTCTTTCAGCACAGCGGGCGCTAGCACAGCTGCCACGGCACTGTCCACCAACTCGTCTCCCAAACTTGAACTATCTGCTAATATGCATGGCTCGCTACGGCTTTCTATTGCTACGGATGAGCTGCGCATCGCGAGTGTCTGGTCTGATCTCGTGAATCCGCCGTTGGACCCTGCGCAGATGAGTCAGGAGCAAATGAGGCAACTTCCCAGTGAGCTTAATCGGAAGCGGGCAGCGAGTGAGGGATCTGAATCTGGTTGGGCAAAGGTGCGAATCGATGGAAAGGATTGGAGTCGCGTGCTCAGTATTGGAAGACTCAGTCCCAAGGTTGTCGCCTGTAAGCTTTTTTTTCATGATGATACTTGGAGTTGCCGACCAGGTGCAAATGCTGACTCGATTCTCCTTTCGTCATGGATAGGCTTCGTCAATGAAATGGCACTGGTCCTTTACGTTTATCTGCCAAGTGATTCGGGAGGGGAGGAATCTTGTATAACGGTGAGTTGATATTGCCGCAGGAATATATTCCATCAACCAAGCCTACTAACATTCGCGTTCTAGTATTATATAAATTCATTCACTACATGATACTGTGGATACTGTGGTACAACATGAGCTATGATCTTCATCTTTTTCAAGGTCCAGGCGTTCAAAAGTCGGAATGAATTATTAAAAATCATTATTAAAACAGATGTGTCAGGAACCATGCAAAAAGGGACCTCCAGATCCAGAAGTTCCGGCAAGCAACAAAATACTAGGCCAGGATAGAATAGTAGGGGGAGGGTGATATACACAATGCCAGGAGTACGAGCCCTTGACTCCATGGATGAGGTCGCGCCAAAGAACAGCAAAGATCAAGCTATGTGCAAAAGCAAGGATTCGAATGACGTTCAGTGAGCGGGAATGCAGAGAGATACAGTGTTTGTCGGGCAAAAGACAAGACACATGCAGTGTGCTGGCGTAATGACAAATCAGATAGTGACAGGGGGTTAGATTATTCAAGGGTAGGGGGGTGCAGTTCATTAAAGAAACCATGTGAGATAAGATCAAAGGCATAACGAAAAAAACAAACATAATGGAACAAAAGAAAGAGACATTATAGTACTTAGGTAGTCGGGAGACTGGTAAGTACCATGTCATCGGTCATTGAAATAATGTCCGATGGTTATTGGGCCATCACGTCAACGTAACGGCCCTTCTTCTTGCCGCGGACGGTGTTGCCCTTGCGCGCCTGAGGCGCACCAATCAAATCGTCGATTGAGCTAGCATGAGTCAACGATGAAGAGGGCCGCGGCGGGCCGCTAGAACTACCAGGTGGTGTTGGCATAGCCGCTCCCGTAGAAACGGACCGAGGCGCAAGACCGGGGAAGCCCGGGCTAGGTGACAAGAAAGGCGGAGCGGCGGTTGAGGAGGATTGAGGGCGGCTGCCAGAGGTCGGCATTGGGGGCATCGCAGGCATCGGAGACGCACCGTTTGGTGGCATGCTGCCCGAGCTCGCAGTCCGGCTAGGGGGAGCAGATCCTCGAGGAGGAGGTGGAGTGGCACGGACCGGAGCGCTACTGTTGGGATCTTTCTTGTTGACCCATTTCTTCAAATCTTTGTCGTAGTAAAATGAGCTCTCTTCGCCAAGTTTGGCTCTGATAGGGCCGCCACCGGAATTGTTTTCCTCTTTCTTGGCTCCACCGAACCAACCACCAAACCAGCCCTTCTTGCCAGATTGTTGGGCATCCTTCTTAGCTGTAGCAAAAGTCAGATTAGCAAGTAGTTTCAGCGATAGGGGTTTTTGATACATACCATCTTCCTCGGCAGCTTTCGCAAACGCTTCATTTGCCTTGCGATCATTCTCCGCCTTTTGGATAGCCGCTGCTCGGGCCGCAAGGTCGTCATCATCATCATCCATAATCGACTGCTTCTTTGGCTGCTCTGCAGTAGGTGGCAGAATGTCCTCCTGGGAAACATGGCCTGTATCTACACCAGCCGCGACTGGCTCGTAAGAAACCGGCTCGTAGGAGGAACTGGCAACAGGAGGTGCGTACGAGGACTCTGAGTCTGGTATACCAGCTGGCATACCAGGAGGGCCTTGGTAATAAGGAGACTCGCTGGATGTGGCAGTCTGTCCTGGAGGCTGGTAAAAGAGTCCATTGACCACAGGCTGTGCAGCTGGGGGAGCCTCAGCGGGTGACATAGCTTCTTCTACCGGAGCTAGAGGGATGTAAGAGGACTGGGGTGGTGTTGCTTGATAACCACCGGCGTTTGGTGACCCATAAATTGGAGGTCCATACGACATCTGTTGATCAATCGAGGGCGATAGTTCTTGTGAGCTCCGACGCTGTCCAACGGGCGGAAAGTAGGAAGCAGATCTCTGAGAATCCATTGAAGATCGGCCCTTAAATTGCTCGGGCGAGGCATTGGGCGCATATTGGCTCGACGGGTGATACTTGGACGGGCCGCCGGTAGCAATAGGCAGCGCTCCTGCTGCTGCTCCAGGATAAGAACCGTAAATGTCAGATACAGAAGGTGAGCGACTGATTGTTGGGGTACCAGCGACGTTTGCAAAAGGACCAAATTCCGCTTGCTCGCCACCCTTCCCGGATCCAGTCGACCCAGCGTCACTTTCATCGCCTGCCACAAAGCTATTGAAACGAGCCCACATAGACCCAGAAACTTTCTCCATGCTTGGCCTCGAGATCCAGGAGCCAGTATCGCTGGTTGTTTGGCGCAAACGTGCAGACAGCTCTTCAACTTCCGCAAAGAGGTGTTGGTGATAGTGCGGCGAGGGACGAGTGGTTGCTTTCAATGCCGATGCCACGGCGTCGCAATAGGCTTGCGCCTCTAGATTACGACCCTGGTCTACAAGGAACCTTGCGTTCAACATCTTAAAGGCCAACAAGTGTGGCAGGTTGGCTGTTGGGGAGTTCCCAAGAACAGAAGTGGCATACTCATAAGCCTCGGTCAACAATATAGCGTCCTGATCCATCAAAGAAGAAGGGCAACGCTGATGGTCAGCACCAAGGAGAACAATGTTGGCCTGTGGATCATCGGGACCACCGAAAACAGCAGCCCGCGAGAAGATGTAACAGAGGTGAGCCGCCTCTGTCCGTCCATAAGAAGTAAGCAGGCGGCCAAGGGAAAGTAGGGCCTGATGATCCTCAGAGCTTCGGTTACTCAAAACCAGCCCCAAGGTTTCCTTCCACTTGTCTAAACCATCGAGGGCATTCTTGGTAGTGCCCTGGCCATTGGCCTTGCTAATCAGCTGCAGACCTGCTCGGGCAGACGGGGGCACGAGTTCGTCAATGCTTTCTTCAATATTGCCAGCGAAAATCTCGTAGAGAGCTGCAAGTGATTCAGTGTTTGCGGCTTTTGATCTGACCTCGCGGCGGACAAACTCCTGCGTGACTTGCTTCGAGATCGATCTGTCCATGGTGGATGAAATGATCATCGCATGTCCCCAAAGACGTCGGTCGACAGCGCTCCATACGGCCTTCTCCCGATCACCACGGGCCAAGTGTAAGCGAAGCTCTTCCAGCCACTGTGCGTCAACAGCATCAGGCTGCGAGGTCATTTCCGAACCGGTATACCCCCCGGGGGCAGCTAAGCTGCTGGTATATGATCCGTCTGCGTCGGGGTCAGGTAAGTTGGGGAAGATGAGGTGGCGGAGAGACTTCTGAATCTCAGGGGAACCCTCCAGATTACCATCATTTTCCACCAGGAGCTTCACAACCTTCCATAGGAGGGTTTTTTCATCCTGGCGTTTGTGCATATCAGACTGAAGTTTCTCGTAACTCGGAAGGTCCGAATTTTCGAAGGCCGCAATCTTGCTAGAAAGCCAAGCAATCAAGTCCTTTTTCTTCGACTTTGCCTTGAGAGGCCCAGGGTGCTGGACAATGGTGTCGACGGGGGTAGCCATTCGCTCAGCTGGGATATCCTTGGTTCACCGAGAGTGGGTTGAATCATTGGCGCAACTTGGCCAACGGAGTAGCGAGGAATGTGCCTGGGGAAGCAAGATACAATGGATCCACCGAACCCGAACTTGAAGATCGGAGCACCCTTCCATCGCTCCAGGGGATCATGCTCCTGACCGTCGTTGGGGGCGATGAATTCCAGGTGCTGGGTGGGAGGCCGGGTTTGAGAAGCAGCCTGCATAGGAGCATACGGATTCACAGTTTTGGTCGGCGAGCCAGAAGCTTGCACCGAAGCAGGCCGTTGGAGGGTATCAATGTTCTGTCCATAGGAACGTGGACTCGTCAAGTCCCGGGCAGGCGATTGGGTCTGGGACCTGCGCGGAGGACCCATCTGCATATCGCTAGGTGGTGGAGACATGTACACATTCGTCGCGGGAGCAGGGGGGCAGATTCTGGAGCCGGCGCAAGACGGTGGGCGAATTCATCCAGATATTCCTGAGGGGCATAGCGACTCTGAGGCGGAGATGACTGCACAAGTGAGCCCGCACTTTCTCTCCGCGGTAGGCTGGCCGGGCCACTGATATATTGTGAAGCACTAGGTGGAATTTGGCCGAAGCCAGCTCCTTGCACGTGCGGTGGGGAAAGGTTGATCGCAGGCTCAAGAGATGGTGGCTTGTGTGATGGATCGGGTTGGTAAGAAACCTTTTCATGGTGTGCAAGCGGACTTGACGTCCGGGGCTGGAAAGGCAAAGTTTGGCCGGGAACATTGAGTGGCTGTGAGGCATAACGACTGCGACCCGAAGAGATGGGAGGGGGTGCAGGGGAATATCTCGGCAATGAAGGTGGCTTCGAGGGTCCTTGCGGGCCAGGAGGTTGAGGAGAGTACCTTGCTACGGCAGGAGGTCCGGCCGGGGCGCTCGACGCTAGGCTAGCATACGGATCCAACTGTTCAGGTGGCCGAAGTGTGGACTGGATTGGGACCCCGACAGGCTGTGGGGCCGGTGGGGAGGCAACACCATATTGACTCTGGGAAGAAAGGGGTGACCCGATCATGGTCGGCGCCGCCTGTGGATTAGGGGTGTATCGACCTGAGCTGGCAGGTCTGGACCGTGGTGGCGCCAGAGGAAGTTCTTCGTAGAAATTCTTGGGCGCAGGGGGAGCAGCAACAGCTGGGGTGGGAGGTGCCGGAGCTGGGAAGCCAGCTGCAGCAGTAATCGGTACGCCAGAAGCACCTGGGGGAGGAGGTGGAGGCATACTGGTTACTGCTGGAGGGATAGGCTTTTGGGCAACGACCGGCTTTCGCGGTCGGATATCATCTGGAAGGTCATAAGGCGATTTGTAACCCTCTTTTGATCGCTCAGCAAAACTCTCCCCCTGGTTGCGACGGGGTTTTGCGGTGGCTGCGAGAAGTAGGATGACATCGCAGCGGTGGCTGGCGGCGCAGTCCCGGGTAGAGAAACACCCTGCAATAGATCACCAGTGGACGGTTGATGAGGTGTGTATATGCTAGGAACAGGTCTTGGCTGAGAAAAGGCCTGAGTGGTCTGGAACGGACTATTCAAACCAGCCGACACACCATTGTGGGTAGGTTGGACGGGGGTTTGACGAATGTCATCCTGTGCAGGGACAGGCTGAGCAACTTCGGTCTCCAGCAGTAAATCGTCGTCATCCAATGCCGCCTCCCAGCGAGCAGCCAGATCATCATCTGGTGAATCACCTAGCTCAGCCTCCCACCTTGCCGCTAGCTCTTCTTCCGAGGGATCGGCTGTTGTCTGGGGTTGCCGCGACGCCGCCTTCAGGGCATCATCGAACTGCGCTGCAGCCGAAGTGTCGCTTACAGGGGAGTCAAGCGGAAATCCAGCCGATTTCAAGGTCTGAGACGTGCTCTTTGGGGTAAGATGAACGGCGGGATGATTTTCACTCTCTTCCTTTGTGGAAGAGCCGAAGAACTCGTCATCTTCATTCTTTCCCTCTGGCTGTGGAGTAGAGCTGAAGAAGCCATCTGCGTCGTCCGCATCATTGGAAAACACACTGTCGATAGATTTCTCTTCCTTCTGTTGGTACTGAGGCGAAGCCGGTGTAGATTCATCTAACAACGGAACGCCTTCCTCGAACCTGGACTCGGCTTCCGCAAAGATAGGCTTAGTCTGGGTGTTGAGTTGGTTAAAGAAGTCGTCCTCGTCAGAGTCCACTTCGCCACTCGGCTCATTTTCCCAGAAAGGTTGATCTTGAGTTGTTGTATCCACCTTGGCTGCGGTCTGATTTAGATGACCGTCGTCGGTCGGTGCAGAGGCCTCTCCAATAGGAGGGGTATTATCGGATTCCACCTTTCCCGAGCGAGACACGGGATCAAGTTGCTCATTCTCAGTCGGAGTGATAGCCTCTTCGGTGGAGTTGAAAACACCAGTACTCTCCTCGTCAAATGTCGCACCCGTAGATGCCGTTTCCTCAGGCGATGGACGTACATCCTCTTCAACTAACTTCGGCTCATCGCTGTCTTGGGTTTGAGTAGATGTTGAGGGAATCTCTAGGGTAGTATGGGAAGTTTTGCTAGGAGGTAGAGCCTCTTCGGCGGAGGGCAGAGTATTGCCAATGTCCTTCTCAAAGTTAACCCAAGGATCCTCCGTATCGGCATTCACCTCGTCTTCTTGTGGAAAGTGTACTTCGGTAGGGGCGGACTGAGTGGTATATTCATGTTGAGAAGTGTCCAAGGTGGCTTCGGGTGCTATTGTTTGTTCTTCCTCGGATGGTATAGTCTCTTTCAAAAATGCCGACTCAGAGGGGGCTCCTTGTTCACGTGGGACAGCGGAAGCAGCGCTGTCTATAGTAACCGGAAAACTAAGACTACACCCCACATCGGACTGGACTGGAGCTGGTTCGTTCTGAACTGGCTGCGCGGCCTGAGTCTCTCGCAGGGACGGCTTGGGGACGGTATCTGTAGTCTCGATAGATGGCGCGATAGGTATATGAGCCTCCTCGATCGGCTCTTCGGGGATTTGGCTGATCTTATCAACGGAATCAATGTCTGGGCAAACCGCCTGGTCTACCGCTGGTGATGCATTGTTCGCTCGCGTGTCCAAGCTCGTGTGTTGAGGCTGATTCGCGTCTACCTCATCGGTTATATCCCATGCAGAGAAATCCTCACTTTGTGTAGATATAGCGTCCGCGAGGTCCTTTGGTTCATTCGCCGCAATCGGCTCACCCGATCCACCCTCGTCCGAGCTCATGATAACAGGAGTGTGATTGTTCTCGGGCCGTGATGCCGGATTCCACGACTCCGAGTCATTGTCGGTCGCTTGGTGCGCCATATGTGCAAAGTTGCTCTCGATTGCCAACGTGACTGTCGATGGGGCGCGCAGTCCGGAGGGGCCAACCTGACACGTCTCCAATGACGCCTCAGCTGATCAACAATCTTTAAGAAAAACGGGGGTCGAAGATGTCAACTTAAAAATCCATTAGACGATGTTAATATCAAACAAGGCAAAAACTCAAAGAAACAAATTGATCATGAATGCATCAGTTGGTGGCGCAAGAAAAACCAAGTTGTCGGATTGTCCTGGAACACTGCGACAGCCAAAAGGCGATTTCAGCCTATCATACCCCAGCCAAACCTTCGAAGTCGCTGAGTCATCGGGATACTAGCCCCGGGGAGCTCCTAAATAGGAAAAACACAAACCCGTGATTCGGATTAACTTATGGTCCGGCTGGTTTATGCCTACAATAAGCAACTTTAAAAGTGCAGTATTACGTCAACAAGTTATGCACTGTGATTGCGTGTCCCGACAGGCAGTCATCGATTGTTCTTGAAAGAGACATTGACACGGTCCTCCATTTTGTATATTTCTGATATCTCCTGTGACTTTGGTGTTGATCATATTTGACACAAAGAAGCTTTTTGTTTCCCTTTTCGGCCCTCGCAGCGTCCTTCCACTCTTTCATCATCATGCTGCATATGTTTTTCAATCAATACCACCGCACATGACATATACTTGAGATGAACCTTCCTTTGATGCAAGGCCCAAAAGCACCATCTTACAATCAGCATTCGACTTAACTTGAGTCATATCGGATTCCCAAGAATGCCTTCCTCATCCGACTACCTACACCCCCTAGACCATCCCGATGCGCCAGATGCCTTCTCGGACTCGGACGATGACTTGGATCTAGAAGAGCTAGACCCCAGCACGACTTCGCCTCAACAGCCTCATGAGTCTCGGGATTATACTGGCCGCAAAAGAAGCTATGGACCAGGGATCGCGTTGCGCAACTTGCGTGTCGGAGCGGCAAGTCGGTGGAGACGCAGTGCATCTGGACGCGCAGACTTGGAGGATGATGCTGAGGCGTTTTTAGAGAATGAGGAGGAACAAGGGCTGCGAGACTCACATGCAAGTTCCCGGAATTTGGAAGATGATGATGCACCTCTCCTAGATCGCCGAGTCTCAACTCGCGATTTGAACGATGAACCTCCCAATAAAGGCAGCTACTTCCGATTCCCGGTATTCAAAACTCCCACATTCCTGCAGGGCAAATCAATTCAATCTCGACTAAGTGACATCGACTCTGAGAACCAACCTCCCCGTGAGGTACTTGTCGGCCAATACCAGGCTGCTAAGTATCCGGCCAATGTGGTCTCGAACGCAAAATACACACCCTGGAGCTTCCTACCGAGAACGCTTTACAACGAATTCTCCTTTTTTTTCAACATCTACTTTCTACTTGTGGCTTTATCACAGGTTATCCCAGTACTACGAATTGGTTATATGTCATCTTACATTGCGCCTTTAGCCTTTGTGGTTTCAATATCATTGGGCAAAGAGGCACTTGATGATATTGGTCGCCGGCGGCGAGACGCCGAAGCAAATGCGGAAGAATACTGCATTCTAGCACTAGGAAGGTCCAACGCGATGGAGGTCACAAAAAAATCGCGAGACTTGAAAGTTGGTGATGTGCTGAAAGTCCGCAAGAACCAACGCCTTCCTGCCGATGTGGTGATTCTGAAGAGCATTTCAAATGACTCAGGCACTCCTCGTCATTCATTAACGGAAGAATCCGTACCTGAAGCGTCTTCCGACTTGCTCGAACCAGGTGAGGGATCGTCTGAGCCCATGGCCACCACCGCACCGCAGAGTGGTGAAGGTGTCGAGAATTCACCTGCGGGTGATACTTTCATCCGGACTGATCAGTTGGACGGTGAGACTGACTGGAAGCTTCGTTTGCCTTCCGTGTTGTCTCAATCGCTCTCTCTGAATGACTTGGGTCGACTACAGATCACAGCTAGCGCTCCTGATAAGAGAGTAAACGAATTCGTTGGGACTATTGGGCTGGGACCACCCACTGGATTCTACGATGCTCATGTTGACAAGTCATCTGGGCTTCCAAACAACGACGGAACGTCTGGGCCTGTGGAAAGTCAATCAGCTCCCTTGACAATCGACAACACCGCCTGGGCCAACACTGTTCTTGCGTCTAATACCATCACCTATGCCGTCATCATCTATACGGGATCTCAAACCCGGGCTTCGCTTTCGACTTCTGCATCCCGGTCGAAGATCGGCTTGTTAGAACTTGAAATCAACAACCTCACCAAAATTCTCTGCGCTCTCACACTTACTCTCTCCATCATCCTTGTCGGTTTGCAAAGATTCCAACCAACAAACGATAAGAAATGGTACGTTGCGATCATGATCTATCTTATTCTCTTCTCCACAATTATCCCCATGAGTCTTCGGGTCAATCTGGATATGGCCAAGTCGGTATATGGGCGGTTCATCGAACGGGACAAAGACATTCCAGGAACGGTGGTCCGCACCAGCACAATTCCAGAAGATTTAGGAAGGATCGAATATCTCCTCTCTGATAAGACGGGAACGTTGACGCAAAATGAGATGGAGCTCAAAAAGATTCACGTTGGTACGGTATCATACGCCAATGAGGCAATGGACGAAGTCGCCTCATTTATTCGTCAAGCTTTTGCCTTCTCGGACGGTACCTTAATCACTCCTTCGACTGTCTTTGGAACACAGGCCGGCCATGCCACAGCACCTCGGACAAGAAGAGAAATCGGTTCTCGCGTCCGGGATATTATCTTAGCGCTTGCTCTCTGCCATAACGTCACGCCGACCACAGAGGAGGAAGACGGCCGAAAAGTGACGAGCTATCAAGCGTCATCGCCTGATGAGATCGCCATTATCCGATATACCGAAGAAGTCGGATTAAAGCTAGCATATCGAGACAGACAAAGTATTGTCCTGGAATCTACCGACTCGAAGCAGGTTGTGGTCCGGGTTCGCATTCTCGACATCTTCCCATTCACATCTGATTCCAAGAGAATGGGGATTATTGTCCAATTCCAGCACAATGAAAACAATCTTGAAACCGGCAAAGACGATAGTGAAATTTGGTTTTATCAGAAGGGTGCAGACACTGTCATGACGACTATTGTCCAAGCGAATGACTGGCTTGACGAAGAGACTACGAATATGGCTCGTGAAGGGTTGCGAACCCTCGTTGTCGGGCGCAAACAAATCTCTGCACAACAATATGAGGCTTTTTCCGCCAAATACAAACAAGCGTCACTGTCTTTCCAAGGGCGAGATGCTGGCATGGCAAGTGTTGTGAGCGAATACCTTGAACAAGATCTAGAGCTTTCCGGTGTGACTGGTGTAGAAGATCGGCTGCAGCGCGACGTGAAATCCTCTCTCGAGCTGCTACGCAATGCGGGTGTCAAGATCTGGATGCTGACGGGTGACAAAGTGGAGACAGCACGTTGTGTTGCTATTTCTGCCAAACTGGTCTCACGGGGTCAGTACATTCACACAGTTACCAAAGTCACAAACAAGTCGACTGCACAGGAAGCCCTTGACTTTTTGCGCAACAAGACTGATTGCTGCCTTCTGATTGATGGTGAATCCTTGAACCTCATGCTCGGCCAATTCAAATCAGCTTTCATCTCTGTCGCGGTGCTACTGCCCGCCGTGATCGCGTGCCGATGCTCCCCCACTCAGAAGGCTGAGATTGCCGAGTTGATTCGTCAGCACACAAAGAAGCGTGTATGCTGCATCGGAGATGGCGGCAACGATGTCTCGATGATTCAAGCCGCCGACGTTGGAATTGGTATTGTGGGCAAGGAAGGCCGCCAGGCCTCTCTAGCCGCTGATTTTAGTATAACACAGTTCCACCATATCACCAAGCTTCTAGTCTGGCACGGCCGTAACTCTTACAAGCGGTCAGCTAAACTAGCACAGTTTATCATGCACCGCGGGCTGATCATCAGTGTTTGCCAGACGATGTACAGCATTGCCAGCCACTTTGATCCCAAGGGCCTGTTCATCAATTGGCTCATGGTCGGCTACGCGACTGTTTACACCAACGCACCCGTTTTTTCTCTCGCCTTTGATCGGGATGTCGACGAGCATCTCGCCAATCTCTACCCAGAGCTCTACAAAGAGCTCAAGACAGGAAAGAGTCTAAGCTACCGCTCTTTCTTTGGCTGGGTTCTCATTTCTGTCTACCAGGGTGCAGTGATCCAGGGTCTCTCTCAGATATTGTTGGATACCATCACAGGGTCGCGCCTGATTAGTCTGTCCTTCACGGCCCTCGTCCTCAATGAGCTTGGTATGGTTGCCACTGCAATTACAACCTGGCACCCGGTTATGATCGTTTGCCTGATTGGTACGCTGCTTATATATGCAGGCAGTGTTCCCTTCCTGGGCGAGTACTTCGACCTTAGTTATGTGATCACCCTTGACTGGCTTTGGCGAGTTTTCGCTGTGCTGGCTGTGTCTCTGGTTCCGGTCTGGGCTGGTAAAATGATCAAACAGTCCTGGCACCCGCCAAGTTACCGAAAAGTTCGCGGATAGAGTTGGTGCTTGTCATGGTTTCATTGTATGATAGATTCCCTCGCTTAGATTTTTCATCTTTCTCTTCTTTCATTGCCCTACCACCGATCTAGTATTGTGTGCCTCTCTGTATATTCATCTCAAGCTCTTTTTTTTTCTTGAGCGCATCTAGCATCGGGCTCCTTCCGGGTCCATCTTATCAGATCAATGAATCACTTTGATTCCATCCTTAGATGGTTCATCCTCTACGCAGTACTCGGTATCAGGTTTATTGGTTCTTGTGAGTACCTTCGTTTCGCATCGGGAGGGGGTGCTGCGGTTATCGTTGGAAGGTGCGTCCTCTGGTTCTGATCTTCTAAAATGCCTATAAGACAGTCATAGACCACAGATAGTTCATATGCATTGCAATATCTATATATAGTGGCTATGCTACTTATAACGAATTCCAGAAATCCTCAATGAGGCAAGCAACATCCGACACCTTCTCTCTAACGACACCATGACCAACCTGCGGAACAACAGAAACGTTCTGCATCCCAACTGCAGCTAAATCCTGCGCAATACACAAATCATCCAACTCCCCCAGGATACACAGATTCGGGATTCCCTTCTTCGCTGCTTCAGCAAAAACTGCATTTCGATCGAACACTCCCCCATCCCGAACAATCCCAACCACACTGGCTACATGGCCGCCATGCTCTCTGGCCTCCCAGTCCCGCACTGCCTCCGCAACAACCTCTCCCTTCTCAACCCTCTCTTTCCAATCCCCAGGAACAACCAATTTTCCTCCCTCCAACCACTCGAAAACCCACTCCCGTGCCTGATCCTCCAATCCCTGCCCGCCCCGCAGATAGCTCCTCTGCAATTCTCCCAATTGCGCCGAACAAACCAGACCCGCCGGTGCGACTAGCACTATCGACTTAACACGCTCGCTATGCTTAGCCGTAAACGATGCTGTCGTCGACCCGCCAAACGAGTACCCCACAAAGTGCGCATCAGCCCACTCCAGTCGGTCCATCAGGGCTAAGAGCAAATCATGGAACAACTCAGGCGTGTGCGCTAGAATAGGTGTGTCGCTTAGTCCGTGACCCCATAAATCAACTAGTACGCAGTGCGCAGATGGGAAACGCGTTGATAGAGTCGTGGCTAGTGGCTGGAGGCCAATTGCGGATGTTTGTACACCATGTACGAATAGTACGCGTTGGACGGAGCTCCCTGATTCTGGACCTGAAGCTGAGGCAGAGGCCGGTGGTAGAGAGTAATATGCTGCTCGCCCGTTTGGAGTCTCTAGGTATGACGCCTTTGGTAGAAGATTGCCGAATGTTGAGGTGAAAAGAGCCTCGGATGGAGCTTTAATTGGCTTTTGGGTGTCACCGAGACTTTTGGTCCCTGGACGAGGGAGTACGAGGGAATTTTGCGCCATCTTGTTCGTAGGCTGCAGTTTGAAAGGATGGGAATTTTGATGCGCATCGGCTCAAGCCATATCCACTGCTGTAAAGGGTTTAGCGTGTTACTCTGATCGGAGGGAAAAGATTCGCCAAAGGCTTCAAGTTCCATACTCTAGAGCTGCTATCACGATTTGTTTCCGAGGTCTCTCAAATTTATTTATAGATGCAATGTGCGATGTGTTGAAAAAAATATTTGCTAAGGCGAAAATCAGATATAGTGTTGTATTTATATATAAGTAGAGATATATATCTTGGATCTCTGTTGTTACAGATGAGAGTTCCAAAGCTATCAAGTTTGAGTATATTCGCTTTAATTTCCTATGTCCTGTTTCCTTTATCCAGCACGAGTGAATCTACGCTGTATCGACATAGTGGGCGTCTATTTCATGGGCACTCGCAATATTTCTCCTATTTTCGCAAGAGCCTCATGACTAACAATTACCGGCACATGTTCTTTGTTATCACCTCCAATGAGCCTCGCATGGAACACCGCAGCCACACAATCGCCATTCTAGCCAAGAATGTAGCATTCGTTACTGCAAAGGGGTGCAAATTGCGAGTCAACGCTACTGCGCGCACGTGCCGATAGTTCTACAACACTCAAGGGGTAGAGCGTACGGAGTATATCGTTCAAAAGTGTCGAATGAAGAATATCCCGCCATTGTTCCGGGGCTATTCTTCAGAAATGCCGAAAGAAAAATCGAGAGTAACACGAATATGGTTAGCCTACTGATTATGGTGCATCGCTGATCTTGCAGGAACAAAACGGCCCCCAGAGCTGACCCGGCAGCTCACGTCAGCCTCAACCAGCCCTCGAGGCATCATTTCTCATCTAGTTAGAGAATGTTTGAGTTTGTTATCTCAAAATGGAACACGGGAAGTTCCAAGCTTATCCTGGAGAGCGTGGACTAGACTGTGATGACAATCTACGGCGAAGGATTGGAAGGCTGGAGATGTATAAGATGCTCAAGATGCTTGCGGAAGATGTACAACCCAGGTTCAGCCTAAGACAGGAAAAACAAGATGGTCATCAATCACACAGGCGGCGAGAACTATTCCCTCCCCGGGCCACTTCAGGAGGAGCCAGTTGCCAAAACCACATACCGGCAAGATCCAATCGCGGTAGTTGGGCTAGCGAACCGTTTGCCGGGCCATAGCACAAGTCCAAGCAAGCTCTGGGAGTTCCTCGAGCGTGGAGGTGTTGCCGCAAATGACCCTCCCGCTTCACGATGGAGTCTCCAAGGCCATTACGACCGGTCGGGAAAGCCCCATACCGTTCGAACACCGGGTGCCATGTTCGTCGAAGACGTTGACCCGGCCGACTTTGACCCGGGCTTCTTCAACATATCGACTGCTGATGCCATCGCTATTGACCCACAGCAACGGCAGCTACTCGAAGTGGTCTACGAGGCGATGGAGAACGCCGGATTGTCATTAGAATCTCTGAACGGAGCACCCTACGGCTGCTTTGTGGGATCATATGCAGTTGATTATCAAGATATGCAAATGCGTGATCCTGAGGACCGAGTCGATGGGATGACGATCGGAGTAGGCCGTGCAATTTTGAGTAACCGCATCAGTCACTTCCTGAACCTCAGTGGAGCTAGTATGACTATCGACACCGCATGCTCGGGTAGTCTAGTCAGCGTTGATGTTGCCTGTCGATATATTCAAACTGGCCAGGTTGAAGGCGCAATTGTGGCCGGAGCGAACCTCTACCTCAGCCCCGACCAAAATCAAGATATGGGAGCTATGCGTGCCGCCTCGTCAGCTAGCGGCCGCTGTCATACATTTGACGCAAAGGCAGATGGATACTGTAAAGGCGAGGCAATCAACGCCGTCATTCTCAAGAGACTCGATGCAGCACTGCGGGATGGTGATCCTATCCGCGCCGTCATCCGCGGAACTGCGACAAATAGCGATGGCTGGACGCCGGGAATTGCCAGTCCAAATGGAGAGGCTCAAGTCTCGGCCATGCGTGCCGCATTCGCTGCCGCAAGCATCACTAATATGAACGAGGTGGGATATCTGGAAGCACACGGAACAGGTACCTTAGCAGGTAAGAGTTGATATCCCCTGTTTTTTATTCTGAGGCCTTCTGCTGATACACACAAAGGTGACCCAATCGAGGTCGCGGCTGCCGCTGCAGTCTTCGCTCCCACTCGGCCAGCAAACCAACCTTTGATCATTGGATCAATCAAGAGTAATATCGGACACTCTGAGCCTGCCGCTGGTGTATCCGGATTGATCAAAGCTGTGCTGGCAGTGGAAAAGGGTGTTATTCCAGGAAATCCCACATTCATCGACCCAAACCCAAAGATCGATTTTGAGGGTCTCAAGGTCAAAGCGTCTCGTGTGAGTCTGCCCTGGCCGAAGGCTTTCGCTTCTCGAATTGCTTCCGTAAATTCTTTTGGTTATGGCGGTTCCAATGCACATGTTGTGATTCAAGATGCCGCTTCCTTCTTGGGTCATAAGCAGACTCCGCATGTGTCCTCCTTTGCCAAGGTCGATTCCTTCTTCGACGATGAGGTGGATCTGCCAAACACACGACCCCAGTTACTCACCTTTTCTGCAAATGATGACATTTCGTTGAAGAAATACATTGCCGACCTTCAACGCCACCTCCTCGACCCCAGAGTCAAAGTTCAGTTATCGGATCTGGCTCATACATTGGCCCAGAGAAGTAGTCTCTTCACTCGTGGCTTCCTGCTCACCGAGAACTCCCAACTGAATGATTCCTCTCTGGTAACCGGAAAGAAAAGCCCCGAGAGGCCTCGTATTGGCTTTGTGTTCACAGGTCAGGGTGCTCAATGGTCTCAAATGGGCAAAGGCATAGTGGACCTATTCCCACAAGCTAAGCAGGTTCTTGAGGCCTTGGACTCAGCACTACAGGGGTTGCCCCAGGCACCGACCTGGTCACTGCTAAAAGAGCTGGTGGAACCCAGAAGCCCAGAGCATCTACGTCAACCTGAATTTTCTCAGCCACTTGTGACTGCACTACAGCTGGTCTTGGTTAGTCTTCTTAAATCCTGGGGCATTAAACCCGAAAGTGTCGTCGGCCATTCCTCCGGAGAGATTGCCGCGGCATGCGCCGCGGGTCTCTTGACTCCTGAAGATGCGATAAAGATTGCCTTCTTCCGAGGCCAGGCTGCCAAAGAATTGGCTGGAACGCAAACAGTTGAAGCAGGCGTCGGAATGATGGCTGTGGGTCTAGGCGCAGAAGATGCCATCAAATACATCGGTTCGAACTCCGACACTGTGCAAATCGCCTGCTTTAATAGCGGCTCTAGCGTGACGCTCTCCGGAAAGGTTGAGCACCTCAATCAGATCAAAGACCGACTCGAAAAAGATGGCCATTTTGCTCGTCTGCTACAGGTCAATTTAGCCTATCATTCCAAGTATATGGCTGAGATCGGTGATCGATACATCTCTTTGCTACAGGCCCATTGCGGGAAACCACTTACTGGCCCATTCGCGGTGAAAATGTTCTCGTCCGTCCTTGGCTCGCCGATGTTGGGAGAGGCTGACCCAGAGTACTGGAAGACCAACATGGTCTCTCCGGTGCGTTTCAACGAAGCATGTAGCTCCATGCTGTCGACTGGAGCAGCGGACTTCTTGATTGAACTCGGTCCCAGCGGTGCTTTAGCGGGCCCCATTTCACAAATCAAAAAGTCACTAACAGGTGACGCTAGCAATGCCACCTACGTTGCAGCGTCAAAGCGTGGTCCAACCTCGGCTCTGTCTTTGTTTGATGTAGCTGGCCGGCTTTTCATTGCCGGCGGCCCGTTAGACCTCATTGCAGTCAACAAAAATCCATTTGACGCTCAGCGTCCGGCTCTGATTGTTGATTTGCCAAACTACGCGTGGAATCACCAGACAAAGTACTGGTATGAGTCTGAGGCCTCAAAGGAATGGCGATATCGCCCGTTCCCTCACCATGATTTGCTCGGAAGTAAGATTCTCAACTCGCCATGGAGTGCACCCACCTTCCGCAAAACACTCGACCTCAGTGATCTTCCGTGGCTTCTGGACCACAAGATGGGCACCGATATCGTCTTCCCTGCTGCTGGATTCTGTGCCATGGCTATCGAGGCTATCTATCAATGCACGCAGATGACCCAGCCAGTTGAGGGAGTCACTAGGGCAGACCAATTACGTTATCGACTTCGAAATGTTAGGTTCGACAAAGCACTTGTTCTCGAGGAGGGGGTGCCAGCGAAACTCACTCTTACACTCTCCCCTCATCCTGGAGCCAAGGATTCCTGGTACGACTTCCGTGTTGCCTCGTCCAAGGACGGCAATCGTATTGAACACAGTCACGGCCTTATCCGCACTGAGTCACACCCGACTGAGATAGGATCCGCTTCTGATATCCAACCCCTCCAGCATCCTACCAAGGCATCAATTTGGTACAAGGCCCAAGAAGATGCAGGATATGGCTTTGGCTCATCTTTCCAGACTCACCAAGAGATTGAGTCGGTAGTTGGTCAGCGCCAGAGTCGTTCCCATGTGTCTCTCGAGTATCCACCCTCGAAATGGAGCCCCCAATCTTTGTATCCTTTGCACCCAGCTAGCATTGATGGATGCTTCCAGACAGTTACACCGGCACTGGTTGCAGGCAAGCGCACAGCACTGGATGCCGTACTGGTGCCTGCTATCATTGATGACCTTATCATCAATCCCAATGAGCAAGCTCCAAAGGTTGGTTTGGCCAATGCGACCTCAGAATACACAGGCAAAGGTCGTCGCGAAGAGAACAAGAACTACTTCGCTTCTTCCTCGGTTTACGATCCAAAGACCGGTGCTTTGCTGCTAAAACTGACTGGACTACATTTCCACCGACTTGAAGCCAACCAGACTGTGCCTACTCAGACCTACATTCGGTCGGCCTGGAAGCCTGACATAACTTTCCTGACTTCTGCGCAATTACAAGAAGTTCACTTGAAACAGGCTGCAACACGAATTGAGTCCATCATCGACCTGGCCTCTCACAAGAAACCCACATTGAGCGTGCTGGAGGTAAACTTAGCCCGAGATGACGTTTCAAGCTGGTGGCTTCAGAGCCCCAATCTCTCGGAGCGGGCAGCTTATCGCCAATATCTCTTCGCTTCATCCGATCCCAACTCCTTGGTTGCGGTGCAAGAGCAGTATCAATCTGCAAAGTCCACATCATTTGACCTGCTTGACCTCACGCGAGATGACCTTCCCCCACGGGATGATCGGTTCGATTTGATCTTGGTGAAACATGACGTAATTTACCCTGAAGTTTTGGCCACGATCTCACGCAATGCGAAAGCACTACTTGCATCAGCAGGACAAGCTTTGATCGTAGAGACTTTCCCGGTACGGGAAGCCCAGAACCTTGGTGCTATCAATGGACACACATCCATTGAGCAGATCCCGACTATTTTACGCGAGGCAGGCTTCCAGACTGTTGTCCCCATCCCCAGTGGGTCTATTCAATGGGCATATCTCTGTCAGAATTATGAGGCTTCGACTGAACCCACTAGCCAAACGGTCCACTTGATCCAATTAGGGCCCGAGGACCAGACTGCAGGTGTCTATGGCCCCATTACAGACGCCCTTGCGGGTCGGGGCTGGAAGGTTGTTGAGCACGGATCCTCTCTTCACAATCTACCATCGGGAGCCACAACAATCGTTCTTGACGAACTAGTCTCACCCGTATTGACAACTGTTCAATCGGAGCAGTGGGATGCTATCAAGGAGCTTGTTCTCAGCAAACGGACTCCCCTTCTGTGGGTTACCAAAGGCTCTCAATTTGAGGTCACTCAACCTGACAATGCTCTGGTCCATGGTTTGTTCCGTACAATTCGTGCTGAAGACCCAAGCGTGCGCTTAACAACTCTTGACGTTGAAACGGCCGGGAGCTCCGCCACTTTTGCAGCCATTCATCAAGTTCTTGGCCGCGTCAGTTCACCAGAAGCTGACTCTCCTTTGGACAGCGAATACGCAGAGCGTGGTGGAGTTCTCTATGTCAGTCGACTTTTTGCAGATGATAAGGTGAATGCAGTGCAGGTTGCCAAGAGCAGTGGTGCTGAGTTGCAGGTGAAGTCTCTTCATGATCTACCCACGACTACTAGGCTACGCGCTGAACGCCTGGGTACATTGGATGCGCTTCACTATGGCCAAGTCGTTGCAGCAGAGCAACCTGTGCGCGATGGCTGCGTTGAAGTCGAGATTTATGCTGCGGGTCTGAACTTCAAAGACGTGGCCGTCACCATGGGCATCGTTCCTGAGAATGAGCACTTGCTGGGACTGGAAGGTGCAGGTGTTGTCCGCCGCGTGGGTAAAAATGTGCAATTCAAGGTTGGTGATCGAGTTGTGGTCTTCGAGAAAGGCTGTTTTGCCAATCGCATCGAGGTGACCAAAGAACGCACCCATCTGCTCCCTGATTCCTTGTCATTTGAGGACGCAGCCAGTTTGACTGGTGTCTACCTGACATCGCTCTACTGTCTGTATCACCTCGCTCATCTACAGAGGGGGCAGAGCGTTTTGATCCACTCTGCGGCGGGAGGTATTGGTATCTCAAGCATTGAACTGGCCCAGTATAAGGGGGCAGAGATTTACGTCACTGTCGGCACGGAGGACAAGCGCAATTTCCTTCATGAAAAGTTCGGAATCCCATACGAACGCATGTTCTCCTCGCGGACTACCCAATTTTCCCGCGAGATCCTAGCAGCCACTAACGGCAAGGGTATCGATGTTATTCTGAACTCACTGACCGGGGATCTTCTGGATGAGTCCTGGCGCATCTGCGCAGACGGCGGCATTATGGTTGAAATTGGCAAGAAAGACGTTCTTGATCGAAACAAGTTATCAATGGAGCCTTTCGATCGAAATTGTTCTTTCCGCGCCCTGGACTTTTCACACAAATCGATTTCAGATGATTTGATTGCCAAGTGAGTTACGTTGGAATCGTTATGCTAGTTCTTGCTAACCTATCTAGTCTCCTACATGAGATCTTCGTCCTTTATGATGGAGGCCATATCCATCCAGTTCATCCCATCAAATCATTCCCCTTCGACAACATCCCTGCTGCTTTTGCATACATGCGAAGTGGTCGGCACATCGGAAAGATTGTGATCTCCAGCAGTGAAACCGATAAGGTCGAGGTTCCGGTGCGACCTGTGGCCCCGTCACTTCAGCTCAACCCCTCAGTCTCCTACCTGATTGTCGGAGGGCTGCGAGGTCTTTGCGGCAGTCTTGCAATCCATATGGCTGCTCATGGCGCGAAACATATTATCGCATTGTCCCGCAGTGGTATTGCCGACGAGCGTTCTCAGTCTATTGTCAAGAGCTGTGCTGCGCTTGGATGTAATGTTTCCGGCGTCGCAGCTGATGTTTCAGACACCGACGCTGTACTGAAAGTGTTCCAAACGGCCTCTGTCCCTATAGGTGGAATTATTCAAGGTGCTATGCTGCTCAGGGTAAGTTAATCATGACACACTCATTGACACTCGCTAACCATGGGTAATAAACAGGATAAACCATACGAGATCATGACAGTTAAGGAATACCATGAGACAATTTCCAGCAAGGTCCAGGGAACCTGGAACCTCCACCATGCAGCCCTGCAATTGCAGCTTCCTCTTGAGTTTTTCACGTTACTTTCGAGTATCTCGGGAGTGGTTGGCCAGAAAGGCCAAGCCAACTACGCTGCGGCCAATGCATTCCTCGATGCATTTGCATTGTATCGCCGAGCCCAGGGCCTACCTGCAAACTCAACCAACCTCGGTGTCATTGAAGACGTCGGTTATGTGGCAGAGCAGGGTGGCATGCAACAGCACTTCGACAAGACTCTCTGGACGGGAATCAACGAACGCACTCTGCATGAAATTCTTGATCTCTCCATCTGGCAACAGCAGACTCCGGCTTTGAATCCTGCCAGTGCAGCACAGCTTGTAACTGGAATTGCAGTTCCGTTACCACAGGATGCCGATCTAACACGAGATGCCCGATTCTCTTCCCTCCTCATCCAGGCCGACGGAGAGACCCGTGATAACGGTGCCGGAAATGACACCAATAAGGCCCTGCAGGCATTCTTCCTTCTGTTGAAGTCTGGGGCTGATGCGGCAGCGCTCCGCGCCACCTGTGTGGAGGTAGTGAATGAGCGATTTACGAAGATGTTGCGCCTCAGTGAGCCGATGGAGCCGGGCAAGTCCCTCAGTGCCTACGGGCTAGATTCCCTATCTGCGGTCGAGTTTAGAAACTGGCTCCGTAGTGAGCTGGGTGCTGAACTCTCAACCCTTGAGGTGACCAGCGCCAGTTCCCTGTTTGCTCTCTGTGATAAGATCATCGCCAAACTCACCAAGTCTTGATTAGGGGGTTTCTTCAGTTTAGATTTTGTTATTTAGAAATAAATTGTCATCTTTTCATTCCTTGGTTACCTTCGTGTCAATAAGAATTCATAGTTGATAGAACTCAACTTCTTATACGGTGGCTATTGTGAGCTACTTGTATTAGACAATGACAGCAGGTACTAAAGGAAAAATGCCCTCGAGGCCATGCTTTTCTGAGATGTCACCTTGGTGTGTTAAGATGCATAATCCGCGATACTTGACAACGATAATATACCACCCATTGCCTTGAACCCAGAGACCTCGTACTTTATGGCTCATTTTTCTTGTTTTCATACTTAGGTTGGTGGTATCCATCATGGTGTCTCATTTACCGCTCTAGCTACAACACAGTAGTGCTTTGGCTTTGCTCTAGCGATGAAGATACATCTATTGTGAAGAAAGGCATAATTCAAAGAGCATGACCATCTCACAGTGTAACATTGGAGTCTCATCAAAAGATTACCTGTCAATTTACACACATTTATCTCATAAATTCACCTTCCCAGACTTTGTATCATCTATGCTGCCATTTTAACAAGCACCCGCACACCCTTACTCTCCAGCCGGGCATGAGGGACCAGCCAATCGTAGTAAAATTCCACATCCTCGCGACTCGTCTCGAACAACTCCAAATCGAACCGGCGAATCAAACTCGCAATCATCAGATACATCGCCGCATAAGCCAATTGCATTCCCAAACACATCCTCCCCCCACGACCAAATGCGACATTATACCTACTGAGCTGTTTCACACCATCCGGGCCCCGTGGATTTCCCAACCACCGCTCCGGACGATAAACATCCGGATCCGGAAAGATATGCTCGTTGGTGTGCATATGATAAGTATCTTCCGAAACAGGCGTGCCAGGCGGGATGGTATACTTGCCGTATGTGAACGGCGTTGGAGAAATGCGGGGACTTCTTTGCACCGTACCGAAGCCAATACGCAGTCCCTCTTCAATACAAGCAGTAAGATAGGGTAACTGTTGCAGCTGAGCCCAGGTAGGAATCTGCGATGGGTCGGGGATGGCCGTGTGTAGCTCATCGCGTAGTTTGCGATAGGTTTCCGGGTTGGCCAGAACGTGATACGCGATTGTCGAGAGCATCTCACGCGTTGTATCGAATCCTGCTCCGACTATACTCACAGATTCGTGTTGCAGGCGCGTTTCGGTGAGCTCCTCGGGCGGTAGGGAGGAGGTGAGCAAGACCTCGAATAGGGTCGCGTTCTCACCAGTTGAGTTTTTGATTTCCTGTGCCTTTGCGTGTGGGCTGAAAAGACGTGCGATTCGCGCATTGAGAGACTAAATATTGACGTTAGTGGGATTATTCTGTTTCCATTGATATCTGGAATATACAGGGTCTCACCTGGCGGAATTGCACCACTGGTCCAAAAGATCGTGTTTTCAATAATATCCACTCTGGAATCGCATTTGCTACCGAGACCATAAAAGGAAACTGACTGTTCAAGTGGGTGGACTTCACCAGAGCATCCATGGCTTCCACGAAAGGTGTCTGCCATGTGGGAGTATCAATGAAAGTAGGCTCATCGCCGAAAGCCAGCGACAAGATGGAATCCGCAGAGAAGCAAGCAAAGACATGGTTCAGGACAAGAGGTGTCTGCTGCTTGACATTTTCCGATTCCAGACGATCGCAGACCTTATCAATGAGCTGCTGCAGAAAGGGGGCGCGCGCCTGAATTCGACCTTTGGTGAAGAACGGGCTTAGGGCTGCTCGACGTTTCTTGTGCACCGCATGAGCAGCTGTCGAGAAGGCTGCTGATGGAATGCCGAAACGGTTTTCATACACAGCTAACTTGTCGAATGGAGCGGACGAGGGATAAATGGTTTCGTAGAATTCCGGGTCATCGATGTGGAGTTCCCAGGGATTGATCCGTACAATTGGACCATATTGTTCATGCAGCTCCTTGATGTGTCGGGTAAACATGCCCCCTCCGCGGTACCACATCTCGTAGTATGTCTCGTACCATTGTGTCGCAGCGGCCAATTTGGGACCGGGGAAATGCCGCAGTGGACTGAGATACACTCGATAGATGGCCAGACCCAGGAGATAAAGTCCGCCAGCGACCGCGGCGTAACTAAAAGGGAAACCGGACAGGGATATCGACATAGTTTGTAATCAATGGATGTGTATAGAGAGTCGATAGTTTCGGACACTGCATTTATTTATCTTAGTTCGTCATCATGCTACATTCTGTTCTATATTATCTACTGTGCGCACTTCACGATCGAACATCGCGATGGCTCATTGGTGGCTTGTGTGCAGTAGCGTGATTATCTTGCAGATGACATTGCAGTAGCGCCATTCATAATTCGGTCATGATATTGTCAAGACCTTGCTATCCCCGACTTTGACAGTAAGAAGGGATGACATGCGAGAGATTACCAAGATACTGTTGCCAATGTTGCATCCATATTACCAATGCTCTCAAATCAGAATAATACAAAATCCAAGTCTAACCATTTATTGAGCCCCTTTCAGAAGATATATATCCGACAGGTTGCAACATTACCGCAGTTCATCTTCTTAAACACAACACAAAGCACAACATGTCTACTATCTTGATCTCCGGTGCCAACAAAGGTGGGCCAGACTCACATCCCAACTCTACCTACCTTCAATGTACTAATTCTGTCAGGAATTGGTCGCGGTCTTGTCTCCAAGTACCTGGCTCGTGATGATGTGACTGTCATCGCAGCCGTCCGCAACCCAACCTCCTCAGAGGCAACTTCTCTCGCTGACTTCCCCACCGGGAAGAATAGTCGGTTAATCATTGTCAAGATCGACGCTCGCTCCGACACCGACGCCAAGGCTGCAGTAGAGTCATTGGCTAGTCAGGGCGTGTCGGCTCTAGACATCGTCATCGCTAATGCGGGAGTCTTCGACACAGCCGCTTTCACCACCGTCGCCGATTCCACTATTGCGCAGATCCAAACCCATCTGGATGTGAACACTGTTGGTCCTGTACGACTCTTCCAGGCCACACTTCCTCTCCTGGAGAAGTCTTCCTCTGCTCGTTTCATCCTAAACAGTAGCTTCATGGGAACGATTGGAGGAATTAAAGACATCCCACTCAAGATTGCGCCATACGGCGCTAGCAAGGCTGCTGCGAACTTCTTTGTCCGGAAAATCAATTTCGAGCATGACAATATTGCGACTTTGGCTATCCACCCGGGGTATGTAGCTACTTTTTTGACTCTTTCTCTTACGTGGGGTATTGATTAATATTTTACTATAGAGCCGTCAAAACTGAGGCTGGAAATGATGCCGCCCGGGCTGCAGGATACCCCAGCGCTTTCGTCGAAGTTGAGGACAGCGTGAACGCCATTGTCGCCAAAATCGATGGCTTGACCAAGGATAACGGAGCAGGAGAGTTCTGGAACATTGATGATACCATCATCGGCTGGTAGATACAGGTGATCGTGAATCGGCAGGTATTTGAGATAGGCGCCTGTATCAGGCCAGGGAGTTCTGAGAGGTTGTTTCTTCTCCTATGATCTAGCCAGTTCCCTGTCTTTTTGACCCCTTTGTCTGATGGACTTAACACAGAGTTATATAGAAGCATTCAAATGGTCTAGAATACACGAGACATCAGAAAGTGAAATGAACTTTGCTTCTTCCGTTTCCATTGATATACTTTTGCCACGGGAAGACATGGATTTGGATCTATGCTAGTTTTATTGATTCTACGAGGGTACGGTGCTACGATCGCGATTCAGTTCTCTGGCAAGTAAATGTACTGTACTCCGTACAGCAAGCGACCTGTTCCAATTTTTGGAGAGATAATAGGATCGAATTCTCATACGTTGATTGGTCAAGAATAGGGTAATATATCACCATGAAAGCGCCTACGAGAAGCCGATCATCCCCCATAAGTCACAACCCACAGGTTATCTTAGGACACCCGACATAATGCTCCGTTTTTCTCCGCCCACTGGTCAGCTCCAACGCTCAGTGGAGCATAGAAGACGCCCTTGGGGTCCCAAGTTCGCTGAATACTGTTGAGTCGATCCCAATTGCTCCCAAAGAATGCTTCTTGCCAGTTTTTCTGACGGTAATTAGCCTCATTACGGTATGTGCCACTACCAGGAGTCAACTTCTCAAGTGTAGGGACGATTTCGTTTGTGAGGCGGTCGGACCGGGCATCCATCTCCGTCTGGGAGCTCCAGTCCCATGCCGAATAGACGAGGAAGTGCGCAATGGATTCACGCCAGGCCGGGTGAACCGATCTATCAGCAACACTGGTCTGATTGACATTGAAAAGCTCGACAGCAACTGTGTATGTTTGGTTTGGAGTGATGGATTGAAGCAAATTCTGTAATCCCTGTGTGCTTTCGACCGATTGGAAAAAGTTTCTTGGAAGCAGACGGCTTCCAACCAAATGGGTGACTGGGTAGATACCATTTGGCAGTGGTCCAAAATAGCGCGAGAAGAAGTCAAAGTATGAGGGATCAGTTTGTGCTGTGAGGGAGTAAGCGATCCCCGTTTGGTTCAGATGGTCGGTTATATAGGACAGCTGTGTATTCAACGTAGGTACGGTTACACTCGGGGCTGCAATGGTGACCTGGAAGGTCGTGTTGGTAATTTGTGAAAGCAAAAATGAGCCCGTATCTACCAGCGGTGTAGCACCAGTGAAGAAGACCGAAATAGAGTCCCAGAAGGCGTTGGCAGAGGGTGCAGCATCGAGCTCGAACGCCAACGAAGCTCCCGTCGTCGGGGCATCAACAAAAACTCGGGAGGTCATGGAAACCACCACACCGAATGTACCTCCAGCGCCACCAGCCAGTGCCCAGAAGAGATCACTGTTATTGCTCGGCGACGCATGCACGACGTTGCCGCTGGCGGTCACTACCTCCCACTCCAGAACATTGTCGGCTCCTAAGCCGTTGATTGAGCTGAGAGCACCAAGCCCGCCTCCTTGGGTAAAGCCACCGGCCAAACCAACGGTTGGACAGCTGCCACCCATCGCTCGGTAGCCATTTTCATGAGCTGCCATGTATGCTGCGGCCGCCTGAACTCCTGCCCCAATTCGCATAGCTGGTCCATGGTACTCCTTGCTACGGAAGTTCTTGATGACGGTGATCTTGTCGAGATTGTGTGTCCAAAGACCTAAGGCGCCAGCAGACGTGCTGCGACCAAGGAAGTCATGGCCAGTGTTCTTGATGACCAATCGCAAATTGTTGCGTGCAGCGAAGCGTACTGCCTCCTGCACGTGAGCCGTTGTCGTTGCATTGACGCTGAACTGAACCAGGTTCCCAAGATCACAGGGGTCGGACCGGGGATGAAAAGGGTCGCATGTACCATTTTGGAATACAGGCATCATAATTGAAGAAGGATTGCTTGCATGAATGGGGGCGTAGTCCCATTCGCTTGTCAAAGTCGAGCATTGCTCGCCATTGTAGCTGGGGTCATGACACGGGCTCCCAAGGGGCACTGTCGTGATCAGGTTCCCATCAATTGTTTTGTTGAAGGAGTTCCAGTCGGCAAGTGCTGGCCAACAGGTGTCTTTCACGGTACATTTGCAATGAAGCTTACCCTGCAAGGGGGTTGCCTCAACTCTGCCCAGAATGGCGAGCGACAGGAAGATGATTTCGGAAACCCGCATGGCAACGAAATGTCGATAAGCATAGGTACGACATCATTTTCAACCTCTGACATGCTTTATACGGAAACACAGTCCAAGCCCCTGAGGTCGACGGCCCCCAAACTAGATGCTGTTGGAGCCTAAGAGTGCGAATGATGAAAAGTCACTTCATGTCCAAGCCGCCATCTTACGGTCTCCGGAATACGAAATATCGTCATCTGCAAAGTCATCCTATCGCCCTAATGCCGAGTAAGCAGAATATACCTTCACACCTATTTAGGTTCTAATAAGATCCACCTTATGCAGGGGTATAGCTATTATAAATCAAACGTTTGGCTGAGAAATCCGTATGAACATAGCTGACATTTGCACTAGACTTGACCAGGGTGCTAGCTGAAATAGCATGAAAGTACTGAAAACCCGCCCCCAATCCTAAATCTGTGGCCCTTTTCTATGAATTGCAATTTTCGATAAAAGTTCTCTGATTATTAGTCCACCATGGTGGAAGCTAATGAAAGTCCAGCGAGTGAGAAGGCCTTGACCACTGTACAGGGGCTGGACTATCCGTCTGGTATCCGGTTGGCCGTCATTATAGTGGCCTTAGTGCTTACAATGTTTATGGTGGCTTTGGATATGGTCAGCAAACTCGAACCTTCTCATATTGAGAGATTTGCACTAATTCTGAACAATAGACAATTGTTGCGACAGCGATCCCACGTATTACCGATGAATTTCACAGCCTCGACCAAGTGGGCTGGTACGGTTCCGCTTTCTTCCTGACATTGGCCACTTTTCAATCAACGTGGGGCAAGCTATACAAGTTCTGGGATCTGAAGTTCGCCTTTCTTGCGGCAGGAGCGTTGTTTGAAATCGGTAGTTTGATTTGTGGTGTTGCTCCAAATAGCACGGCTTTGATAGTGGGCCGTGCTATTGCGGGCTGGGGCGCCGCCGGCCTAGTTGGGGGCTGCTACACCGTGATTGCGTTTGTGGCACCGCCTTCCAAGGCTCCAAGATACACTGGACTGATTGGGACTTCCTATGCTACGGCCAGTGTGGCCGGGCCGTTACTGGGAGGAGCATTTACCGATGGCGCCACTTGGCGATGGTGGTAAGCCGGCCTAAGAGCAACGCTCGCCATACACCATTTCTGCATGATCATAAGCTAATTCCGGCTTCGGCATAGCTTCTACATCAACTTGCCTATCGGGGGAATTTCACTAGCAATTCTGGCGTTTTTCTTCCGCCCTCCGTCCCATGCACGGCCTGTCGCTGCGCCCTTGCGAGAAAAACTCCAACAGCTTGACCTGATTGGGGCAGCATTGACCATCGGTGCTCTTGTCTGCTTTTTACTGGTCATGCAATGGGGCGGAATAACTATGCCATGGAACTCTGCGAATGTTATTGGTCTTTTAGTAGGCTTCGGTCTACTAACTCTAGCTCTTGTGGCCAGCCAATTTCTTCAAGGAGAGCGAGCAGCCTTGGCTCCACGTTTGATACGCCCTCGAGTGATTTATGGTGTCTGTGTGTTTGTATTTTTCCAATCTGGCGCCAACTTTCTTTTCACGTATTACCTCCCGATTTACTTCCAGGCTATTGATGGAATGAGCGCAGCGGCAAGTGGTACACGTAACTTGCCATTTATCGTGCTTTCCGGTAAGTTGGGTGTTTCTTGCATCATTTGCTACATTATCTCCGACATCAGATCAGATTCTAATTGGATCACAGCGATATTTGCCGCAGTAGCTGGTATTGCTATTACACGCGTTGGATACTTCACGGCTTTTCTGGCTCTTGGTAGTGCAGTGTTTCTAATAGGCTCTGGTCTTATCTATACACTTGACATTGGCAGCTCTGCTTCAAAGTACATCGGATATCAGGTGCTCCTGGGTCTAGGACAGGGATTGGCTATTCAAATTCCGGTCATTGTCGGACAGGCCTTCTCCATGATGGACGATATTGCGCCTGTGACTGCGATTGTTTTGTGTAAGTTGTCACTCCCAACTTCATTGAGTATGCCTAACTTTGGATTTAGTTTTCCAAATGATGGGAGGAGCAGTATTTATATCAGCTGCTGAGTCTGTATTTTCTAACCGATTGTTACCTGCCCTTGCAGAGTATGCCCCGACTGTCGATGCTGCACGAGTGCTTTCCATCGGTGCTACTGGACTTCGCAGCGAATTCTCAACGGGTGATTTACCCGGTATTCTTCAGGCCTACATGGTAGCTCTTCAAGATGTATTTCTTTTCGGGACAGTGACTGCCGCGTGTGCATTTGTAGCCAGCTGGCTGGCACCTCCCCGAAGCATTCTACACGGAAATCGAGGATCTACGACGATTATTGCAGCATAAAAAGCAAATAGAGATTTTCAAGCATTCTTCCATATTCTAATTCAAGGAACACGAGCAAAATGCTTTTGCTTCATCCTTCTCTCCCCGCATGAACTAACTGCTCTATAAGGTCGCACACGTCTTCCACTTCACTGCGGGGAACCTCATGTCCACCACCATGCTCGAAGCGGTAGACCTTTCCCTCACACAACTGGATCATAGCAAGACTCTGTTGGCGCCACAAGATATCGCGGCGTCCATAGATATGTGCTGTTGGAATTCTGATCCGGACTGTGTCCACATCCGCATGAAAAAGATTGTAATAAACAGGCCGATTGGGATCAAGTATCTTTTCCGTCTGCAGGAAATACTTGTGTCGGACAACGAGCGATTCATCCGGCAATACTTTTGGTCGCCCCGTCGGGGGCCCTGTAATCCCAAAGTAATCACGAACATCAATTCCGTATTCTGGAGAACAGGTAGAAGGTAGCGTGGAGCAAATCAACATAGCCGCTTTGAAAGGCGATGGTTGTCCAGCGAGCTCAGAATGCAGCATTAAAGAAGCTGCGAGTGCTGCCCCCTGACTAAATCCAATGACAAGATCAATGGGATCAGACAGGTACTTCTGCAGGTATGTGTGGGCATGTACCACTTGCTCGGTGAACGGAGTGCGGATCCACGCAAGGTATGGGCCTTCGTGGATATTGGCTACTCCGGGGAAAGGATCACAAGTCCAGGGGGCATTGGGAAAGATGAAATCGCATTCTGTGGGCAGCAGGTCTAATATTGGCTTCAGCTGGGCTCGAAGTATGGCCGCATTAGTGCCCATTCCATGGAGACAGAGCACACGAATTGGCATTGCGAATATGGTAAATGGTCAAGGTGGGCTATTGTAATGTGTAGTGAATACACCGTGGCTCCTAGAGGACCAGAGGGGACAGGCTCTTTATATATCCGGTTTGGCGGTTTAATAATCTTCCCTCACTCAGACTAATCACCTGGAGGGTGGGAATGGGCAATTCAATTGCAGATTTACATAAGCTGATATGTATTCCAAGATTTATTCCGGTAGACTTCCCACGGTGTTATTCTGACATTGCGACCAGGATCTAATATCTAAGCCAAAGAATCTATCTGCACATATGGATCAACACCTGCTAGTCCTGCAGGAACTCGATCTGTACCTGCATCAACCGGGCGAACGACTCTCCTGCAAAGATATTCATGTGACCCTTCTCCGGTTCAAAATGCTGATGCTTTTTCACATTTGCCCCGATTGAATCAAACAGTTTCGTTTGATCTTCGGCCGTAGAGATAATGTCGTCCTGGGGTGTAAGAAGTAGAACTGACGCGGAATCCAACTGAGAGACCAAGCCGAGAGGATTCCACCCCGCTATCTTATAGTAGGTCTGCAGGGTAGTTCTATTCTCATATGTGGGCGCATTCCGAAAAGCGTCCATGATGAGCCGGTAGTTGTTCGCGTCAGCCGCTCCACCGAATCCCGCAGGGTTCAACCCTTCCTCAGTCAGAACAGGGAGCGAAAATGGCGGATTTCCTTTGATGATAGATTCTCGATCGCGCATTGTTCGAGCCAAGACACGAGCTCGCTTACCATCAAAGGTAAAATTGGTCAATGGACAGCAAGCAACCACCCATCGCACCCTCGAGTCCAAGGTTGCGGCGCTCAGTGCGACGATTCCACCAAAGGAAAAGCCCCAGAATCCAATGCGGCTTGGGTCAACTCCTGGCTGACTGGCCAGAAAGGTGAGTGCATCGCTATAGTCCGAGACCTGTTTATGAGGGTCAAGCTCTTGGCGAGGTTCACCCTCGCTGGCCCCAGTGCAACGTGGGTCGTAGGTCAACGCGGTTATACCGGCGTGTTGAAAGTGAGCCGCAATGTCTGGGACAAACATCTCCTTCACCGTGGCGAACTGGACTCGATGTTAGTAATGAGCGCCAGGCTACTATACACGTAAGACCGACTCCACCAGTGAGAATAATGGCACGGCCAGAGACCGGGCCGCTTCCGGGGTAGAGCCTTCCACTGAGTGTAAGACCATCAATCGTCTTAAATTGGACCTCTTGGGAAGTCATGGTGAACTTCGATTGAAGTATGCGAGTAAACAAAGGTTGAGATTCTTCAGAAGCTCAGGTGTCAGACAATCCAGGTTTCAGAAGTTCATAGCACTTGTATTTCAATTCTTAGACATTTCTATAGATGGCTTCTCCGAGGTTCTGATCATTGCTGACAATATGCCAATTCATCGGAAAGATTTATCACGCCAAGGCTTATGCAGAGTCATCATCTTCCCTTTCGTTTAATATTGATATATATTATCTACAATATGTACGCGTATTTGCAGGATCTTGACAGCTTATCTCCGGCTCAGCTGGAACTTCTGTCAGATCCCCTGTCAGATTCTAAGCCTAGTCCGAATGGCGGCAATAATCAATAAATCAACGTAAGATAGCGTGATTGAGGTTACATTTCCGTGATTTGGAGGTAATTTGGAGGGTAATTGTGTCTGTTACATAGTATATAGCTTTCTTTTCATCAGAGCTATTCTCGACATGACTGTCTTGGTTTTGTGTTGTTTTTATATAGTCATACTTTTTGGTCAATACCCACACTTTTATAATTTTGATGAAAGGTTCTTGAAACCCTTCAAATGGATCTTTCACTCTCTATCCACGGTCAATATCCCAGCCAAGTTCCCCTAGTGGAGCTATGCTTTCCAAATGAACGATATGAGCGTCGGAAATTACAAAATCGTCGCTCCCAGCGAACACATCGTAGTACGAACACCCCTATTCGAATGCGTTAAAGTGCATAGATCAATAAGAATGCATTAGCAGGCACTGACTAAAATTGATAGATCGGCGAGTGGGGAAAACTTCAGGTCAAACCACCGGGAAAGACGACTTAATTTTCCCATCCAGTCAGTCAGACTTTCTCGTCACAGAGATCCAATCGAGCAATTTTCCTCAAGCAAATTCCAGACTGGAACCGCCCTTTTCCCATGATTGCTCTTACAATTCGCCACCAATGTCGAACAATTCTAAGACGGATGCTGGATTGATGTCATCTCTGAATGATTTTGATTTGGGGAACCTCTCCGGGGCGCAAAGTATCAGTTCACACTCTGGGTTCTCACTTCATTCGGGAGAGCAAAACAATTACATCAATCCAATCCCTCCAGTGGAGATAACTAGCCCCGTACAAAGTGAGCAAATGACTAGAATGACTCAAGAAAAAGTGAATACAGATATGGATTGGTCATTCAATAATGTTCCAATGTCAGAGGAGCTGCGACAGCACTATACATGGGCACCGGACTTGCCAACGTCGACCCATGGCGAGCAAATGACGCAGCTACCAGGTCAATCCGGCATGGAGCCAGCACCATTCTACTCCCTTCCTCCCCCACAGTCTCTCCCATCCCGATGTGCTTCCCTCCCGTCACCTAGTGATCCCAGGACGCAGACCAAGGAGCATTCTCAAGACTGGCACCTGCCTCTGCATATAGCAGTGGAACAAGGGCACGAATTAATCATTCGCGAGCTTCTGCGAGCCTCGGTGGGCATCAATGAGAGCGACAGCGCGGGTCGGACTGCAGTTCACATAGCCGTTCACCAAAAGCAAGAAGGCATACTAAGAATCCTGCTGGAACATGGTCCTGATGTCAATGCGGTAGATAAAATGGGCTGGACTCCTGTTCATCACGCGGCTCAAAATGGCTTTACGTCGGGACTGAAGCTTTTACTTGAACACGGGAGCAATCTGGCATTGCGAGCACCAAAAAGATCCCCGTGATTTGCGCTAAGGTCATAATCGGAACACTGAAGATGTCAGGATTAATCTGGTGGGTATTTCAGTGCAACCTTGGACAAAGTGAAGTAGGTGGCTAGAACTGATAAAACTCTTGACGGCAGCCTAGAGTATATAGAATGTATTTAGTATCAAAAATGAATGACCACATTTGCCGTTCGTTCTAATATATTCACCATGGCTCTACATAGTTACTTCAGATATGTGGTTGTTACCTGTGAATTTACTACGGAGAGATAGTCGTTAGATGGCTTGGAAGGCCCCGGGGTGGTCCCTCCAGGGCTTCCCGAGGTCCAATGACGTTGCGCGGAATCGATAAGAAGGCACGTGACTGGCCTACTCAAGAAGGCGGTCAGCGCATATCGAATCTTTTTTTTTTCTTCGGGGTCAAACATCTGCTGCGTAGACTCCAGGACCAACCACTTTTTCGGTTGTCAATTCCTCACTCATCATGTCTGACGAAATTGTCTGGCAGGTTATCAACCAGCAGTTCTGCTCCTACAAACTCAAGTTAGTACTAATCTTCACTCGCTGGCTCTTCAGTCCGCAGATTTAACTCCATTATGCATGGACGGAAAAACAAGAACTTTCCACTAACCGTTCTAACTTTCTCTAGAACAACAAAAGACCAAAACTTCTGTCGCAATGAATACAACGTCAGCGGTCTCTGCAATCGCCAGTCCTGTCCACTGGCCAACTCGCGGTATGCGACGGTGCGAAGCGATCCCGAAACCGGCGTCATGTACCTGTACATGAAGACCATCGAACGAGCCCACATGCCCAGCAAATGGTGGGAGCGCGTGCGCCTATCTTCCAACTACGCCAAGGCTCTCGAGCAAGTCGATGAGCGCCTGATCTACTGGCCCAAGTTCTTGACCCACAAGTGCAAGCAGCGTCTTACTCGCCTGACGCAGGTCAACATCCGCATGAAGAACATCGCCAAGGAGGACGAGCGTCTCGGAGAGCGGGTTGTGCCCAAGTTGGCGCCGAAGGTCCGCCGTCGTGAGGAAACCCGTGAGCGTAAGGCCGAGTCTGCCGCTAGGGTCGAGAGAGCCATTGAGCGTGAGCTTATTGAGCGTCTGCGCAGCGGCGCTTACGGTGATAGACCACTCAATGTCGAGGAGGGTATCTGGAAGAAGGTCCTCCGCGGTCTTGAGCGGGCTGGTGACGGTCAGCGTGATGTGGACATGGATGACGGCGAGGAGATTGAGGAGGAGGAAGAAGAGGGTGTTGGTGAGGTCGAGTATGTCAGCGATCTTGATGAGGAGGAGGACCTTGAGGATATGGAGGACTGGCTGGGCGTCGACTCGGCTGACTCTAGCGACTACGATGACGATGAGAGTGACGATGATGACAGCGAGGACGATGAGGAGGCTAGCGAGGATGAGAAGAAGCCCAAGCCCAGTGCCAAGCGGAAGCATGTTGCTCCTCAGGCGAAGCCTCGCAAGAAGGGACCTCGCATCGAGATCGAATACGAGACCGAGGGTGCTGGCAAGGACCAGGTCATGGCATGATTTTGTCGATGTTAAGAGGATTTGGGAAAAGTTTACCTGATCTTGCATGGCGTTCGGGCTGTCAATTCTTTTGTTTTATATTCTTATTCTGTGCTAGTGATTGGGCATCATACCCTGCTATATTGCATCCACTACAACTCACGATCTTAGATCTTCCAATTTCTGTTTTTATCTTCAGCTGCACGCCTCGACATGTCTATTATTCCTGAAATGCCTGGATATAATTTATTCGAGACAAGATCTGGCTGTTGCTTTATTTAGGTGAAACACGTGATCACGTGTAGACTATCGCCCAATGAATGTCCACTTGTCGCCTTTTCATTTTCCTTTGAAAGACTTCACCTCACCCCAGGAGCCGGTTCTTCTGTTAATATTCCCATTAATAACCCATTGCGATCATCCTCATCTCTTGTTCAACTCTCCGACCCTGAAGCTCTTACATTGGGCCCTCACAAGTAAAGCTCCAGCTCCAGCTCCAGCTCCGCGCCAACCCACCCCGCACCGAAGCTGCCATTTTCGAGACTGCGCATAACCCAACCACACCAACCCGGCTGCTGCACGATGAGCTCATACTTCTCATCCTTGACCACTTCTTCGGCCATCTCTGGCCTGGGCTCACGACTCACCAACCTTCGTCGTGCAATTACCCTAGGCGACGAGGGAGACGACCCCGACAACGAGGACTGCTCCCACATCTCCAACGCCCTTCGAGCTTACTATACCGAAAAGGGCCGACCATTCCCACCATGGCTCCCACAAGATCCCAAGGCTCCATCTCCGACACCCTCCCGCCAAATTGCGACTTCGCAGTTACCCCCCGGTAGCTACAACCAAGGGTCCGCCAACTCCAGCCGGAGCGGGGGGCTGGGTGATCTATGGGGCGATTCTCCCACATCTCAAACACCTATCCCTCAGACAGCCAGTCTTCGTCGCGGACGTGGTGGCACAGCACCACCGCTCGCCTCCGCCAACAGCGCACCGCCGGGCCCCTCCCCCTCGCCCGGTTCCCCCCTTACACATTCTCAGTCCTATTCGCCTGCTGGATCGGGCTCTCCCCACCCATCTGGAGCGCGGCCATTGCCCAGTCAGCGAGCTGGATCGCAACAGCCTTCCCGTCCAAATCTCGACCGAGTCGGGTCGGGTGGTGGTTCAGCCCAGGACCGACTGCGGGCCAGATTACAGGGAGGAAGATCTCCTAGTCCCAATGTTGACCCCAGTATTCGGAAGCCTGTTGGAGCGCCTGGAAGACGGTGAAAGCGTAGAGGCTTACATTGCATGGTAGAGAGCATGGCGCCGGGAGTTATCTTATGTTCAATGTTTACTGAGTACGTGGATCTTAAATGACAATGCTCATTTCATCATGGTCGGATGATTCGTAAATATGTACCAAATATACTATAATGCAGTATAATATCGTAGCACGTTCCAGGAATCCACGCAGATGTGCTCACTTCACCTTTTCCTCCGCGCTATGGGAATATATTAGGCTAGGTTCACACTTAGACTTACCACCTATGAGGCAAAGATATCACTCTGTCCATCCAACGAGCCAATACATGCGATCGTCTCCATAATTGGCCCTTATGACCCGGGATTTTTGGCTATCCAGGCCAAGCAACAGTCGACGAATGACCATCTCGGCTTGCGCTGGGGAAAATCCCCCACTTTACCCGACCCCGGAGCCATTCCGTTCATTGAAGGTTGTTTATGCTCCGACCATACGCCTTAGCCCAGATTGAGGCTAAACTAACCAAAAGGTTTCATGATATCTCGTCCTGATATCTCTCGTTTTAATCGAGATGTCGCCGATATATCGCAGTTCTCCACGGGGACCCCAACCCTAGTTTGATACCGAGTCCCAGCGTCTTTCAGGTCCCGGATTATTAACAAGATATGGCCCTCGATGAAATTTTTCTTGTCGGCTCTAGATATGTTCAACTGCCAGTGTCGATATTATCTTCTTGCGCCGGATTCACTCCCTCCAAAATACCCGTGGGCGCGTGATACCGTGATATATGCCAACACAGCAGGAAGCCGGGAAGATTCCAGAAGTATGGGACTACCGTTGGCGCATGTTCTAGAGGAAATCTGGGGATTTATTATACTGATCGTCCGTTGTATGCCCAGGAATGGTCGACATAAGCTTTGATCGCACACGATTCGTCCAAAGTCCCGATGTCTTGAATTCCCCCATGTCTCTCCACATTCCAATCCCTGCTGTTCACTTACGGTACACTGCATATCCCAGCTTAAATCCTGATTTTGTCTCCCGGTGGGCCCGTGGTTATGTCTTCCCATTTTTGAATCTGGTCACCCCAGACTGGCCTAATCCCCCACCTCTCTCTACACACATGGGAGACCGCAGAGTGCATACTTGAGATCGAGTCTGAGTGACAATCTGGCCAATCTCTACAGCGTGGCGCATGTCCGGGCCGCTTTTTTATTTTGTTTTTGGTTGGATCCTACATTAAGCCTTTGACGTGCTTAATGTCAAACAACCTTGGCCATGATCGTCGTCAGGACGGCCTCGAATAGTCTTCCGTTTCCCCCCTTCGCTCTGTCAGCTGGTGTGATCGCTTATTTAATATTTTGCCTCCATTTTTATAAATCGATACCTGCCCCAGTATGGCCTGAATTGACACCTCCACTCTTCTGACATACTTTATATCCTTTGGTAGACTCACAGTCCATCTCCTGGGGAGGTCTCATCCATCATGGCCGACCCTAAAGATGTTGAGGCTCCCCAAAATGTGCACAGTGAGAATAAGAGCGGCGTCGCCTTCGATATGGACGATGTAACGAACCAAAGGCTTCAAAGCGGGCTGAGTGAGGCCGCTATGAATGCGGAGCTGCTGCAGCTTGAAGAGCAGGTGTACATGCTCCGTAAATCCCGCTTCGGGGTGGCTTCTTCCAATCCTGCTACCTTCACCTACGTCCTCGTCGCTTTCGCGTCCATGGGAGGTATGCTGTCTGGTCTTGACCAGTCGCTTATCAGTGGTGCAAACCTCTACCTCCCTGTTGATCTGGGCCTTTCTTCTGCGGACAACAGTCTAGTCAACGCCGGCATGCCGCTTGGAGCCGTTGCCGGTGCTCTTATTCTTTCTCCAGCAAATGAGTACCTTGGTCGTCGCATGGCCATCATCGTCTCCTGCGTCCTGTACACTATCGGCGCCGCCCTGGAGGCTGGCGCTATCAACTTTGGAATGGTCTTCGCTGGCCGATTCATTCTCGGCACCGGTGTCGGCTTAGAGGGTGGTACCGTTCCGGTCTATGTCGCAGAGTGTGGTATGTGTGTTGTCACGCCAAACCTAATTGTATACCCAATTCTAACTGCAATGTTCGATAGTCCCTCGCAGACTTCGCGGTAACCTCGTATCCTTATATCAACTTAACATTGCCCTGGGCGAGGTCCTAGGCTACGCCGTCGCCGCAATGTTCGTCAGTGTCGAAGGAAACTGGCGTTATATCCTAGGCTCTTCACTGGTTTTCTCGACAATCTTGTTCGTGGGCATGCTCTTCCTACCGGAAAGCCCCCGGTTCCTAATGCACAAGGGACGTGAGGTCGAAGCGTATGCAGTATGGAAGCAGATTCGTGGGTTCGACGATCTCGAAGCCAAAGACGAGTTCCTCGGCATGCGGCAGGCCGTCTCAGCCGAAAATCAACAGCAAGCCCAGACGAAGAAGTACCCTTGGATGGATTTCTTCACTGTGCCGCGTGCACGTCGTGCAATAGTCTACGCCAATATCATGATCTTCCTTGGACAATTCACAGGCGTCAATGCAGTGATGTACTACATGTCGACGCTAATGCAGGCAATCGGCTTCGGCGACAAGGACGCCGTCTTCATGTCTCTTGTCGGCGGTGGATCGCTGCTGATTGGGACTATCCCAGCCGTGCTGTACATGGAGCGATTTGGTCGTCGGTACTGGGCAAACACGATGCTTCCCGGATTCTTTATCGGCCTTGTTCTCGTCGGAGTTGGTTACACCATCGATGCTGAAAAATATCCGGCCGCAGCGCAGGGAGTCTACCTCACCGGTATTGTGCTGTACATGGGTTTCTTCGGCTCATACGCTTGCTTGACGTGGGTCGTTCCTTCCGAAGTCTTCCCTACGTACCTGCGTTCATATGGAATGACCACTGCCGACGCTAACCTGTTCCTGTGCTCGTTTATTGTTACATACAACTTCACGCGCATGATGGAGTCTATGCAGCGGATTGGCCTGACGCTTGGGTTCTATGGTGGTATTGCTGTCCTCGGCTGGGTTTATCAGATTATCTTCATGCCGGAGACTAAGAACAAATCCCTTGAGGAGATAGATGAACTTTTCTCACTTCCTACTGCTGTTATTGTTAAGCGGAACTTGAAGCAGACTGCGCAGGTCATTCGGGACTTGTCGCACTTCCGTCTCAAGAAGGTGTTTTCTCCTGAGCCGTACAACTAGACTGGTTGTTGATCTTTCTTTGCGAGGTGGATGAGAATGCGTAGTGAATTTCTGTTTGCAGATGGCTCATGTCTCATTAAATATGATCTAATGTGGTGTTTGGTTGATCCGCTATTGTATATCCCCGACTAATACCAGGCAAGAAGCATGAATCTATAGGCTTCATACCCCTGCCGACACTATCCATAGATCACACATATATAAGATAAAATTTATAATGGCAACGTGGGCAAGATAGGAGATGGATGGGATCCGCCAGAGCACGTTGGGGGGTATTAACGCAATCCAATTTGGGATCCAATTCTTCGATGCAAGCTGGATGCAGGTCATATGTAGGAACGGGTGACGAGACTGTCAAACTGCATCAAGGCCGCTAATCTCGATTCCGTAGGAGGTCAAGACCTTGGGATTAGACGATACGTATTTAACGATGAGTCAGTCCCAATGGGGTTAATTGCTAAAAGTTAAATGGGGTTCTCGACAATATATATTTTGATCGCGTTCTATTGATAGCTTTGTGTCTAGTAAATGAAAGCTGCCAGCAACGATATCCTACGCCCCCCCAACCGACTCGAGTGCAGCACATTGTATGTTTGTTGAATTCCTTGTCCGTTAGGGTTTTACAGAGCCATCTAGCTGGCTTGAATGCTTCACTTGGCCAAGTAGGGCTACACCGGTGTTGTTTGAGCCTCAGAATACTAAATAAGCTGGCTTTGAATATAAGATGGGGCGATAGCTCAGTTGGGAGTAGCGTACGATTGAAGTTCGTAAGGTCGCCGGTTCAATCCCGGCTCGCCCCATTTTTTTGTATTTTTTATGTTCTGTCGTCTGTCTCTGTACTGTATGTACGGAGTAGGCTTTGCCTCGGGGACTTGATATGCAAACAAGTCAAAATAATGATTTAGTAAGTTGATTGGGATCGATAGTGTCATACTTTTTTTTTTCCCCTGGTGTTTGTTTGTCCTTTCTTAGTTTCATTCTTAATTACCGACATTGCATTTCAATCCTAACATAGTAACGTGAGCATTGATTGATTAGCTTACCTACTACAAACAGTATATAAATGTTAGGGGTATAAAACAAAATAAGCAGCCCATCAACATCAAATGGGGCGATAGCTCAGTTGGGAGTAGCGTACGATTGAAGTTCGTAAGGTCGCCGGTTCAATCCCGGCTCGCCCCATTTCTTTTTGTATTTTTTTCGCCCTCTACATCTCACCATATCCACATCACAATGCTCACCGTGTGCCGGACATCCATAGCCTTTTCCTTTTTCCGGGCAATGGTAGAAGATAATGACTTCCTATCGTTCAGTTCGCAACAACTAGTTCCTCGGAAAAACAGCGATATCTAATGACTACGTAGACTCAAAAGGTTAGCACCTGGGGTCTTTAATATCTTATATCTCATCTCATAAGCTATTTCTTCATTCGATTTAGCGACTTTGCTTCAAGGCGGATACCCATTCTTACATCTCAGCCAAAGTAGAGTGTTCAAGCCACCGTTAGGATAAAGCAACGTAAATACGATCGGAAGGAATGAGCTTGCGTAAATGATAATATAATAGGCACGTTTCGGCTAGCATATTCAAGGCATAAATAATCTGCTGCTCTACCCGGGAAAAGAGGGGCACAGTGGTCACAGCTCAACCACCAGCTTCGTAGCACTGACACCCGCCTTGGACTTTTTCAGCGCAGACTGAATATGCTCTAAACCCTTTCCAACAACCAGCGGAGCTGGGAGACACTGGAGTTTTCCAGACTGCAGCGCAGGAGTAGCATACTCCTCCCAGACAGGCGTGGCAACATCATTGACAGCAAATATCATACCGGCATTGACATTCGCGGGGAGATCAGTAGCAGGGGGAGGAGGATGCACGCTAGCAAGGTGTCCTCCACCCAGCCGATCGAGAATGGTAATATCGTGGGCGTAAGTCTCGGGAGTTCCTACAGCATCAAAGATGCCAACGAACTCGCCACCAGTACTTTGAACTGCGTCGATAACTTTGTCGACAAGTGAAGCATCACTGCGATCGAATACTTCAGCTGCACCGCACCGCTTGCTGAATTCGAAATTGTGCGCTCCGGCAATGGCGATGACATGAATTCCAGTTGCTGCGGCAAGCTGAGTCGTCATTGAGCCAACGGAGGAAGAGCCGCCATATATCACGAGCGTCTTGCCAGCGGGTGGCACCTCCTGCAGCGAGGGATATGGGAGGCCCAGGGCTGGTGTATTCACACCAGGCATAGCGAAGCCGGGCTCCTTGAGGGAAAGCACGCAGACAGCCGCCTCCAATGCAAACGGAACCACCACACCATCTGTGAAAGATATTTCATCTGGGAGTATGGCTGCTTTGTTTGCAGGAATCACCGTGTACAGAGCGAATGCGCCATCCTTGGAGCGCCCGCTTATCAAATTAACAGCATGTCTGTTGAGGAAAGGCAACATTAGCTAAGGATGATTTTGTATCGATATGCTGTGAAAAAACATACCCAATTACACGGCTTCCTCTCTTGAAGCGCTCAACATCCTTTCCCACTTCATGCACCTCACCGGCGATATCGCAGCCGAAGATGGCCGGCCATTCCTTAACAAAAACCCCAGAGTCTTGCATATGGCAGTCGAGAGGATTAATCGCAATGGCAGCGTTCTTGATAACGAGTTCTCCTGGCCCAGCTGTGGGCAGTGGAGCATCATCCACTTGTAGAGGAGAGCCAGGCTTGATGAGCCATGCAGCTAGGTTCTTCGGGGTAGACATTTTGATGAAAGAACGAGAGAAGGTAGATTTGACTTGGAAATGATGAAAAGAGTAGAGTGATGCTTGACAGATGTTTCACTTGAGCAGATGCTTTGATAGGAAGTAAAAAGCAAATTTGGACGGAAGCTGCCGAGCTATAAGTACTCCATGGTTTTCGCATATCTGATGATAGAAGCCCAGGGAACCTTCAGAATCACAGACCCAAAGCACCATTCTTTCAAAGCAGGTAGGTAGTAAATATTACAAAGTATACAAAATGCCAGAACCGCATATGCCGTTCCCTCCTTGAGAACCATATATGCTGTTCCCTTAAATCCGAATTAACGCCGCCCTAGTTGATGCTTGTAAATTACCACTAGAACCGAAGAAGTAAGCCGCTGGGGGTTGGTATTGGTATTTATACAGAATAGACAGATAGACTTGGAGACGGCCATTCGGTGACAGTCCCTTGCCACACACGAGACTTTACTGACCGATTGTTGACAAATTATCCAACTTGATCACCACCTAATGCTTCTGTCAAGTTGACAAGAGGATGAGCCCAGAACACGTAAACGGCAGCACATGGCTTCTCAGCCCCGCGTTATCTACTCCGTACATTTCAGTCACAATCTTCCAGCGTCCCAGCCACCCTGAAAAGCAGCGTTACTATTTAAAATGCGACTGGGTCCACGAGAAATGCTCGAGTATAATGCAGAATACAAAGTGTTGATCTGCCGAGAGTGCCACTACGCCATACAGAAAAATGCCTTGGGGAGCCATCTACTCCGCCACAAAATTTACAGAGAAGAAAGGGTTCAATTACTGTCCACCATCCATCAGCTCGACATCGTTGAACCGGGTGATATTCCACTGCCTAGCCCAAATGCACGATCGATTGATGCTCTCCCCATACTATCTGGATATTCCTGTACCATGACCAGGTGTGGACATCTCTGTGCAAGCTCTAAACGCATGAGACGCCACTGGAGTGATGTCCACGGTATTAGTGGATCAAATGACTTTGCCTCTCATGCACGCTCAGTGAACCTTCAGACATTCTTTCGCGGTACAAAACTCAAGTATTTCGAGGTATCTGTGGAAAGTAGAGCCCCAGGGTCACAGAGTCTCGATGAAGGGGCTGGGTGTAACAGAATGGAACCTGCTGTGCACGATGTTCCGTCACAAGCACAATCAATGTCACTATCTGGGTCGTCTCCTGTGGTGGACCTAGAAACATTAACCTACTTTCATCATTTCACAACTACAACGTGTCTGACCCTTCCCAAGATTGATGATTCTCTACCTGCGTCAAAATACTGGGGGACATACATTGTTTCGTTGGCTCTACAACAACACTGGCTGATGTGCGGATTGCTAGCCGTTTCCGCGTACCACTCAGCAACGCTCGACGGAGAGAAAACAGCACAGGAAAAGCACTATGGGCGGGCAACAAATCTTCGTTCCGAATTCGGTGTCGGGTTTAAGAAAATAATGAGCAACACTCTAAACAATTTTCCCACTGAGACTTTCCAGAAAACGAGAACGGTAGCAATTCAAGTAAGGAGTATCATGAGCTGCGCGCGATGGCTCCCAACTGGACTCGCTGCGAATCAAGAAGTTGTCCTGGATTCTACTACAGGCCTATCTCAGCTACAATATTTACTGTGCGATATTCGAGATTTTGCGTCCTCTGAACTAGGGAAATCTCTAGAAATTGAGCAGAGCATGGGCGATGATCCTCAAACGTCTTTCGGTACGAACAGCCTACAAGTTACCGTCACAGCACTGGCGGTGCTATTAAACCGTCTTCAAATGCTCCCTTATCGCATGGCCGAGATATTCGGGAAACCGGATCATGAGCAAGATGCCCCGGCTATTCTACTCAGCATTGGAGCCTTGATACGATGCTGTAGCAGCATCTGTAATTGCAATGATCTACCAAGGGCATGGCAAAGTATAAGCACATGGTTGAATAAGACTACGAACCACTTCAATCATATGATTTCACTTCATCATACAGCCGCACTTATCGTGCTCGCCCACTGGGCGGCAATTTTGGTTAAATGGACTGAAGTTTACGAATGCTGGCTCATACAAGGCTTTTCAAGGACAATTGTTTTGCTTATCTCCGAGCATCTTTCCATGCATGATGGAGCTCGAGGTTTGGTTGAAGGCTTGCTGGAGTGAATGAGTTCATTATGTTCCGTTAAGCTACTTCTAGGTCCCTGTGTTAATTAAGTGAACGGTTCTTGGAGTACCTTGTCAAGTACACTTAGGTATAAGGTGGAAGTTTATTAGCTAGATGCGAGGGTGTGTGTGTTTCAAGTCTCAATAGGATGAATTCGCTTCGGTTTGCTAAACTGAAGATAAGAAAAATCGAGGCCGGGATCACTTCGCCTCTGTCACTCCTCCGTAAGTTTCATGATTAACTGTATACTCAGTATCATTACGAGCATCCCGAGAGCGACTAACGAAATCAGCCCTACAGAGAGCCACCCTAACGCCATCGCCACGCCTCCCACATGGCCCGAGACAGCGCCATAAGTAAGCATTTCGGTCATTGTCGCTGTAGCACTGCTATTGATGTGCTGCCACAGTATCGAGATAAGACCAAATCCAAATCCAGTAACCATGATCAGTGAACAAGCCCACGTCACCGGTCTGCTAGGAAATGGTTTCACCGCACGCATTGAGCCCTCGTCATCAACTTCCTCATGCCATCCTGGGAATGTCGATAGGAGCAGAATACAAATAAAAGTCAAGGCCACCACAATATATCTATATATAAGGGCCATGAGTGTGTTACCTCGAGATACTCCAGCCAGAGGGGAAGACTTACATCAGCCCATCGAATACAATCTTCTCCTTGAACTCGTTCGCAATCATGATCAAATTGAGCGGATCTGGTATCGTTTCTGTGCTGGTATTCCCATTTTTGACATACTTCTGCGTCTGGATCAAATTTGCCAACACCTGTGCGTTGGAAGAGCAGATACGTCCTGTGTGGCTCTGCGTCACACAGATGCCCATATATCCCACTCGCACTTCAAAAGTCTCTCCGTTGCGAGCTTGCGACACATTGTGAACCGCATGCGCAATAGCTGAGCTCACTTGTCCGGGCGCTTTAGATAATGGATAATCTTTCTTATACTCCAACGACAATAAGTATACCTTGCTGAGACTATTGGAAGCAGAACAGCCTGCAAGTAGAATGGCTGGAGGAACATGTTAATGAATCGATCCCACATATGTATAGAGATATTTCTCACATAGCAAAATAATTGTTATGACTGATAGGATCATCAAGACATGATGGTAACCGATCATAGGCATCCATTGACCTTTTTGCGTTAGCACATATGCTCATTCCCATTTTCGAGAAGCATACCTATTTTGGTTTTGATCCTTGAGGCCATTGTAGCCAAGGTGTGCCCTAGGTAGGCGTGAGAGGGGTAAATGAGGAAAGACGAGCTGAATCACTAAGCCTCTTAAGGCACTAATCGCCATCGGTCATATCTCCACGCACCTGTCGTTAATACCCAAGGGGGTATATATAAGTGAAGTTTTCTCCCGAGGTCTGAACCCTTGAAATTGTCAGCCTTGGAAGATTGTCATGTTGATCAACACAAATGAAAATCCCTCTATCAATCTATACATGCTCTACCGTATAGTCTCGTAGCTCTATTGTATACGTCTCCCGTGGATGTTTCCACGTCGATCTCTTGGCTCGAGACTATCGCTACTTACGATAGATGTTCTTGTCTTCTTCCTCTCCTCGCTTCTTCTCTTTTGAGCATACCAGGCACAATCCAGATTTAATTTTAAATGTGTCTCAATGTTGACTGTCTTTGATTTTCCTTTTGAAATCTTGCAGTTTGGACTAAACAGCGCACACTTGATTTTCCTAAAATCAAGACAAAATGGCTTGGAAATCAGCCGTGCACGATGTGGAGCTTGAGCACATGGACTAGTGATAGTCTAAGGCACCTTAAAGTCCGTCGGCAAGTATTACCTTGGACACTCTAACACACTGGAAAACTTGGAAGATATTAGCGAGCAGGATAAATATCACAGCGCCCCTGAATTTGAAGTTGACTTGATCACCTCTGACTTCGCACATTGTGCTTCTACACTCGTTTAACTATCAATATGGGACGGTGGGGAGAACTTCTTTTGCCTGCTCTGGCAGTCCTGGCTCCTTTGTCCAGCGCCATGGAGATCACTAGTACATTTACGACGGTCTACCCAACCACCGCCGTTGTCACTTCCTCATCAGCGATCGCGGGCTGCAGCGTTGCGCCTTCCATGCAGATCGCTTGCCAAGATGGATACTATAGCACGTGGGGAGCAGTCTGGCAGGAGACCTGCGCAGCCTCGTACACTGGTGGCAACGCCATCCTCAGCAGCTCGGCCCTTTCGCTGCGAGCTTGTACATCGGCCTGTGCTGTCCGGTCTGCCTGTAGCGCAGCCTTGTATATTGGAAATGTGTGTTACCTACTCCAGGGCAACGTGAAAATTACACCTGGAGGACCGTACCAAGCAGCAATCCGTTATGCGCCCGATGCTAGTCCTTGCACTTCGACCTGGCTGGTCACGGAAACGTACACGGTCACTTCCACGGCGGAGGTGATTTATACTGTAACGTCAAGCTCAACCACGTCTGTTACGGTGGCTCCGTCTACCACCCGGGCGTCGCCATCCTCTGCCCCTGTGACGCCTACTTCGACGCCTACTTCGACCCTGTCCACGCCATTGACGACACCATCGGGTAGCTCTTCGTCGACACCACTCATTCGGCCATCGACCGTCAGTTCTTCTACTAGATCCAACCCGGTGTCTTCTCCTATACGGTCGTCGTCGACTCGGTTGATCTCCACTCCGGTTATATCTTCCGCCTCTGCAGGCTCTTCTTCGATCATTTCTGCTAGCTCTTCTTCTATTCCCCTTTTCACTCCTTCTGTCTCATCCACTCGTTCTTCTGTGACTTCCTCTGCTTCCTCTGCTTCCTCTGCTTCCTCTTTAGCCATTTCTTCCGGCCCTTCTTCTATCTTATCTTCTGGACTCCCTATCACTTCGTCTGCTACCTCCTTTTCGTCCACTTCTTCTCCTTCGTCTTTGCCATCTTCTTCGGACTCTGCATTTACCGACTCATCTCGGGGCAGTTCATCAACTGCTTCCAGCCAATCTTATTTCTCGCTATCGACCTCCCCAGGTCCCTTTGTTCCTTCAACCTCATCCAGTGAGTCTGGTCCAACCACAATTGCAACACAGTCCACCGCCAGCTCAACATCACTTGCTGCTACAGTTGTGGTGCCAGGTGAATCATCTTCTTTAATTCAGTCCTCGGAGGAATCAAGCGGGGGCACTCCAAGTACTACAACCTATACCGTCACGGCAACTGAAGTCCACACAATCACTTCTTGTGCTGCTACAGTCACCAATTGCCCCTTACATCAACAGACAACCTACGTGACCACCGAGACAATCACCTATGTCACGACAATTTGTCCCGAGGGTGCTCAAACCACGGTTACTCAAGCTACAAGCTCTGCGACAACTATTCCTCACACTAGCGTGATCCAGACCGCCAACTCCCAGTACACTGCCACGCAGACTGCCAGTGCTTCTTCAGCTCAGGGCACAGAGACTAGCGCACCTACTCTGCATATGACTGTTTCAACTATCTATGCTACCGTGATTGATGTAGTCACCGCCTGCCCATCTTCCGTCCAAAATTGTCCCGTCGGGCAGCAGAGCACCTACACTACGAGCAGGACCGTTGCTGCCTATACGACAACATACTTGGTCGCAGTCACGGATTCTGCACAAGCCTCTCAGCCTACGAACGCCCCTCTGCAGCCCGTGGCAGTCCCCATTGTCTCAGTCGCGCATCCGCATATCCCCGGCCACGGGCCAACCGGTGCCACTGATTACATTCTTTCGCACGCTCCATCGTCTAGCGCCTGGAAAACTGGAGTGGCATCTTCTGGTTCCCCCCAAGCAGCTATGCAAGCCCCAACGATAAACACGATTTCCGGGCAAACAAGCTCCGCTGTGACGAGCGCCCCTGGCAGCCAATTTACCGGAGACGCTCCCAAGAGGGGGGGTTTCTCTTCCCTATTGGCTGTGATGGCTATGCTGTCCACTCTCTTTTTCTTTTAAAAGAGGTCGCTTGGTGCTCATGGGATCTAGTGCATTGTATGATATGATACCGTATATATAATCTAAAGTAATATACTAGTGACAGCAGAATGCCACCGAAATCTGACTCTACGATCTATCTATCAGGACCATCAGCCTATGTACACATTTTTCCAGATCTCAATTCAAAGCCCTCGTGTGAAAGGGCTGCTATCTCTGAAAACGCGTCCATCGATATGGTCCAGAAGTACTTAAAAGAACAAAGACTAGCATAATTATAATCACCGTCGTCAAAATACCCACGGTCAGCCCGCTCTTGATACCAATAGCTAGTGGGCGTGTCCAAATGAGTGCCAAAGGCACCACAATGAATGTCGTAGTCAAGATCACATACATCAGGGCCATTTTAACCTGCCAAGGTGCCCGACGTACCATCTTCATGATCAGCTTTGGTAAAGCGTTTCGAAACTCCGGCTCAGATCTCATCCAAAAAGGAATTCCCACGGTAGCTATAACAAGGAAAACAATAGCGATGCTGACAGCAGCCCGGGTATTTGACTCAAGCTCGCGGGTCCAAAGCACCCCGATTGGTATGGCCGATGCACCCGCATTCAACAAAACAAAGCTGATTATGAAGCCGAACACACCCCAGAACCTTTCAGCTAGTAAACGGGTCCTTTGCACGACCCATTTACAGATACTGGAAATGATGGTACCTAGTCGACTTGCTATTGACCGAAAGACCAGAAGCATCGGAAGCGCTCGAGGTTGCACAGGTTGACCATTCCTCGCCGCATAATCCCTGACATCTTTTTTCACGGCTGTCTTCAGAGCAATCAACCAATGGCTGCGCATAGTCATACGCATCGCATAAGCAAATGATGTTACGACAATAGCCACAACAAAAAAGTTACTGAGAGGCACTGGATTGGCAAATGGTTCGATTTGCATGCCAAAAATAGAGGCAGCAAAAGACATCGGGATAAAAATGAAGGCGAGCTCGGTGAGTCTTGCCACGGCATGAGCCTCGTCGATCGAACGTCGACTCTCCAGAAGACCCATATTGGAAGTCACAGATGCTGATGTTTTTGAAAGTCGAAGAATGATTTGATCGATATCCTTCCCAAGTTCGTGCATATCTTGCCTAGCCTCTAGTCCCGTGGCTGCAACCTCTAGGGGAGAGCTTGGAGGGTGAAGTTTTATGAGGAACTCAATAAAAGGCTCCATGGAATCTTTCAGCTCTGGAAGCTCTCGCTGAGCACGATTGATGATCTGTCGCCATAAACTCAATCTATCCTCCATCTTGATGTCGTCTAATATCTCGATATCGATTTCGTCAAGAACCTGTCGCAGCTGGTTGATCAGGGTCAGGGTGTCTTGTCGGATGATTCGGATCAACGGCCTGACTAGACTAATTGGCCCCTGGTGCATTTCGAGTGCATCACAGATTTCCGTCTTGGTTGACTTGGTCTCCTGGAGTTTTTTCTGCAGATCCGCCATTGACTGCGATGATTGAAATATGCGGTCTAGGTCAGCTGAGACTGTTTGGCGAGGAGCTATCTGCTCAATGATCACTTTATTCCTTGTGTCGCGCCTCCTCTTCTTCTCAACGGGGTTTGCATTCAGTACTTCACGCTTCATTCCAGGTCTGTAGTTTCTTCGTCTTTCTCTGCCAAGAATCCAGCCCAACGCCTGAGCGAACGACTTTTCATCCCTGACACGTTGTGGTTGCTCTTCATCAATGATGAAATCTTCAATATACATCCTCTGTTCGGTAGAGGAGTAGTGCGACACATCATCATCACCATAATTCTCACTATTCCCTTCCTGGGAACTGATTGATTGCTGGCGTCTATTCCGTTCCACGAAGGATTGATGTGGCGTATCATCACCATCATTTTGGCCATTCTCTTCCCAAGAACCAGTTGACTCCCAGTATCTACTCGGCTCCACGAAGGAGTGATACGAGGCATCATACTGACTATCATTTTGGCCATTCGTTCTTTGAGAAATGGGTGGTGTCCAGTATTGACCCTGTTCCGTAGAGGAGTGGTGTGGCGTATCATCACCACGATGATACTCACCACTCTGTTTTCGGGAACTAGTTGATTCCCGGTATATACTCCGTTCCACAGAGGACGAATGTGGCGTACTATCATCACAATAATACTCACCACTCCGTCCTCGAGAACTAGTTGGTTCCCGGTATGTACTCCGTTCCACAGAGGATGGATGTGGCGTATAACCACTATCCTTCCCGACATTCCCTCTCTGAGAACTAGATGGTGTTAAGTGCTGACGGCTTTCAATGGAGGGGCTACGCGACGAATCATCATCGTCGGTGCTATCATCCTTCTCCTTCATCCTCTTCTTCTTTCTTTTCTTCTCTTTCTTCTTCTCCTTTTGGTCCTTATTCTCGTCATTTTCCAGCTGAGAAGCACTTGACGTCCAGTAGTGGTGTTCTTCAGATATTTCCGGCAAAGGATCAAGAAGAACAATCACTGCATGGTCTGTCATTATCTCGTGCTGGGTTTTTACTTCAGGGATATCACTTACCAATCTCAGTCTCTTGATCAATAAGTTTCTTTCTCCAAATTGAAACTCTCTCCTCTAACCCACACACTCTTTTCATCATCGCTGTCGTTGTGGGGTTTGTCCATAGGGCCCAGTCCAGCCGGAATATGTTGGTGAGGATTTCCGTTGTAACAGACTTCTCCCGTGTGAAATGTGTGACGCTGCTCTGAAGCAGATCTTCAAGATCACCACTTGAGAAGTACGTTGGAAGTCGATAAACCGGTCGAATCCACCTGAATGATAGGTAAGATTTCTCAAATGATGCTGTGCTCCAGTTTCGAGCTGGTGGACTGTCATATTTTCCGCCAGCGTAGCCAGAATTCAGTAAATGCTCTTCGAAGAACTCGGGATTTATGCCGAAGTTTTCACCCAGTTGGTCTATCATGGGGTTGGAAAGATCTTCCACAAGTATAAGCCTTTGCTGTACATCTTTTGGAACATGGCCCAGGGCTGCGATGGTCCCTGACTGATAAATGTGTGTTGGATCGGATCTGAGATGGTCACGATAGTCGTAGTATGTGATTGAAGTCCCCACGTGACGGGAAGATAGCCCTACACTTCCATTTTTGATATGTTCGAGGACCTTTCCCGCATTTTTGATGGTTTTTTTGTATGATTGTGGACGCTTTTCTTCTATTGGGGAAGGAGCCAGGCGTGTTGAATCAACCATTCGGTCCCCTTCGCGTGATCTTTGGGTTGATAGCGTTCTTGATACAGACAGTGAAATGTTAGAAGGCGTTCCGGACACAGGCAACGGGATCTTAGACGGATCAGTTGGAGTCGGTGGTTGCGAGGGCACAGCATGTGTAGATCCATTTTCATCCTCGGCGTCAGTATTGACCGATCCGTCTAGATGCAAATTATCACTGGGTTCTCGGGATGTCACAGTAATCCAGTCGTTTGTTTCTGCAGCGCTGCCATAAATGGAAGGGGCATTGCGCAAAAGATCTTGCAATGAGTTCGTTTCATCTAATACAAGCTGACTTTCAGGATGAGCGGAAGACTCCGATTGTGTGAAGTCGGAGTCATACGGTTGCTCTGCGGACATTTGGACTATTGGACCTGGTCAAATATTTCCTAGTCTCAGTCCAATTGTGTCGTGTATTCGGCAGGTTTCCAGCCTCAGAGGCCCGTGCGTGCGAATAGGCTTACCCCTCTTCCCACTATGCACGCGCGAGTTTGATAGGGCTGGGGTTATACACTCTCATATATAAACGGCCAGGGCGGGCCTTTCTAAGGTGTATTTGTGTGTGTGTGTGTGTGTGTGTGTGTGTGTGTGTGTTGATCGGTGTTTGTATGACGAGAGGATCGAAAGTACAGGAGTTTTCTGTGTTTTAACATGTGTGCAGTGTCACACTAAATTTTACGGCACCTGGGAGTCGAAAATGCGCGAGATGCAGCTAAAGATCAGGCAAATTTTGCGGTTGTGCTCGGTGCGATACTATCGAAGCAAGAGCGAACTTTCTTACTTCTGCGGTAGCAAGGGTGCATAGCCTGCTGCTCCTGCTTCATTTTTGATATGAGTATGCTCACAACGTAGGGACAATGCGCCTTAATAATCAATTATCCTGTACAAGCTTGAGAATACGAGCAAAAGACTCGGGCTCAAACTAGTGTAGCTTCAATCCTTCAAGGCCTCAAAGTCCGCTCGAATCGAAGAACATATACCATCAACCAATGCCAGTTCCTCCTCTACCGGCACATCTAAGGCTCCAATTTGCCAACTCACCGTGCACACCAAGCTACCCCCTTTGACACTGATGACGTTGAACACAAGTGGCGCACTAGTGACATTGCCAGGCTGCGAGAACACCATCTTGACGACTTTGCACTTTTGATCAGCACCGTCGGTCATGTTATCAAACGCAAGCAAATTGCTCAGCTCATACGACGAGTCTCGCTGCTGTCCAATCTTACTCAACGTCCAATTTCTGATGTTGGGCACATATCTCAGCAGACCAACTGCTTGGTCCTGCAGCCTCGCCCCGCAGGCAGCAAGCTTTTGGGTCATCGACCTTGCGGCTTCCCACATATCCTCGGACAAAGCAGGCTCCGTGACATTCAGCACCCGTGGATGTGCTTCGAAAAGCCCAGACACGAAAAGACCCCATGTGAGACCAGGAGTTCCTATAGACGCGCGCATATCGACAGGCGTGCCCGAGACAAAATTGGTTACATCAGGGCTAGAGATAGCCTTGCTGAGCGCCCGAAGAATCATTTGGTGTACCGTTCCCGTGAGCTTCGCTTCATGACTTCTTGACGTCTGAAGGGCCTTTTGGACAAGCGGGGCTTCAATCTCGATGATTCGTACTCTGCTCTGGACGCCGGCGGCCGGATCGAAGAACATGGGTGGTCCAATCCAAGTCCCGGCATCTAGCGTGCTGGCAGATGCGCGCAGCCCAAAAAGCTTGCCTAGGAACTTCGGCAAGTAAACTGCTATCAGCGGCTCGAGGAGGTACATCCAAGATATCGGAAGTCTTTCGGGTGTGTCAAAGGGCGCTGGGAGCGTTCGGCTTGAAGGAGTGACTAAGAAAGAGGCATTTTCCTTCATTTCAGTAGTCTGGCGCCATGCATCTAGGAAAGTGCGATGGAAGGCAACTCCAACCATGCCATCTCCGAGGGTATGAGAGAACGCAAAGGCGATAAAGCATCGCTTCACTTGAGAGTCTTGCGGCGACTCCAGAGGGAGAACCACAATCCGCCAAGGCGGGATATTAGCAGGCCATGGCCGGTCAAGTATGGCTGGCATGATCTTTTCAATGGTTGCTGTCTCGTCCTTGCTACTGGTTTGATCTTCATGAATTACAGACACATGATCGTGGAGATCAATACTCGACACAGCTTCGTATGCTGGCTTGTCGGTATGCTTATCCTTGATAACCACGCTTAATTGCGGGTACTTCCCTATGCAGTGCCTTAAAGGTGCGAGGAATGGCTGGGTGGAATGTAAATCAATATCTTCACCCGGAATCTCGTAAACTCCTGCTATGACAAGCGCGTTGTAAAAGCCGACATCTTCACGACTGATTGTACGGCGCTCATTGGGACCTAGGCTCCGGTTAGCACCACTGATATAATTAAGAAGAAGAGATTCACTCACTTGCAAGTCTCATGAAACTGGTGGGCTTCGACATTTCTGTACATGATACTCCGTACAATATAGAGGAATACCTGCTGTCAATATATAGGGGAAAATGTCGGCATAACTATCTTCCGCATATATTAAATGATATATTTTAGGACACCCACGGATACCCGGAAAGACATTAAAAACAAGACTAACCGGATTTTTTACAAAACTTACAGACCCCCTCATGGGGGGATCACCCATATGAAATTGTACCCTTTACTGGGCAGACCATACAAAAGGTACATACATCAATCCTCATTTTTCTCAATACTTTATATTAGAACCATTTATCTTGAGGACGATACTAATACTCCATAACTTTTATAATACCATCATAGAAATTCAGGCATAGGTTTCAGGGACGCCTTTGTAGTTACATATCTTATATTAGGTGCGTAGTAGTATGAATTTTTAAATCATGACGCTATAAGAAAGCTCTCTAAAAGATAGGCCTAAATTCTATTATAGGACCTAGATAGAAAGAATTCTTAGATAAACTAGTTTAAAACAAAGCTTTATAAGAATTGTAGTACTAAAAGCTATATTTTATAACTTTCGAGTGCCGTCTCGGTTCATAATCAAAACCCGCAACTTTATGTATACTTCCTGAAAAATCTTTTTTTTGGTGACGAGTCTTGGGGTTATCGCACTAAAAATCCATATCGTATTATCAATTGATTCTAGGTGAGTCAGGTGGAGTGGTTGGTGGTTGAAGAGAGGAAGTAGGATTGATGAGAAATCTTTCATATAGGTAATCCCTTTTATATGGGTGGCAGACCCTCCGTAAGGAGAGTCTGTAATTCTTTTTAAAAAAAGTTATAAGGGCCGGTTAATACATACTGCGGTCAGATATTGGATTTCATCCATGAACTAGTATGTGCGAGACTATATGGGCTGACAAATCGAAAGGTTTCAAAATGATGTTTGCCAGAAGAACTCCATTTACTCTGTAGGACTAAGACCGACTAGGACCTTTGCTGTCTAATCTATGCAATAAAATTCTTGAGGTGGATAAGATTCGCCATAAGTGCTCTGACTGGGCTGCCCAGATATACTAGGAGCATGTCTCGCTCACCAGGTACTCTTTGCTGAATGGGTAATCCGAATAACCCACGGGTGACTCAAAGACATAAAAAGTGCCTCTGTCGTACGCATTGAGCGCCAGACCCTTTTGAATCCTGAATATCAGATCCGGATTGGAGATAAAGTGCCGACCAAATACAACGACGATATCCTTGTCTGGATGCTTCTCGTCCACCAATTGACGGGCCTCATTAGATTCATAACCACCAGCAACAAGAAATGGTCTGTCCCATAAATCGTATGCAAAATCCAGTGTGTCACTACCACTGCAATCCTGGGAACCAGACGTTCGCGATTCAACGAGATGAAGATATGCAATATCCGCCTGTCTGGCTTTGGCGATCACATCTGTAAACTGCGGGATTGGATCTTGCATTCTCATGCCCTGAAACGTACTCCAGGGGCTCAGTCGAAGTCCGATACGTTCAGGACCGATGGCATGAGCAACAGCTTTGAGAATCTCGTCAAGAAGTCGAGACCTATTCTCCACATTCCCGCCGTACTCATCGTCCCGATTGTTGCTGACGTCTTGGATAAATTGGTCGAGCAAGTATCCATTCGCACCATGGATCTCAACTCCATCAAACCCGGCCCGGATAGCGTTCTTTGAAGCATCGACATGTTCCTGGATTGTCTGCTTGACCTCATCGGTTGTCATGGCCCTGGGAATCACAGCTCCTTCTTCCATGGGGATAGCACTAGGAGCTACGATCTCGTTGCCTTCTTTCCTGGCTACATCGACATCCGCGGCACGTCCCATGGCAAATATTTGACAGAATATGAAACATCCCTTGCGGTGAACTTCGTCGGTAATGATCTTCCAGGCAGCGACTTGGTCCTCGCGCCAAAGCCCTGGTGCGTGTGAAAATCCGCCACAGGTTGCTGATATGAAGGTTCCCTCGGAGATGATCAAGGTACCGGGCACTGCGGCGCGTTGGCCGTAGTATTCCTTCATGAGGAGTGTTGGCACTCGGTCTTCGGTTGCTCGGAAGCGAGTGAGTGGTGCCATTCCGATTCGATTTTTTACTTCCATGCCACCTATCTTGAGGGGCTCGAAGAGGCGTGATTGGGGCATTGTCGAGAGACTTTGAATAGCTATTCTTCAGTGCAAGAGTTAAGAAGATTTGAATCCATGATTCAATCTTGGGAAGGACGAGGTATTTGTACTTGGACTGCAAGCAAAGACTTTCTACAGCCGTCAGATGAACATGAGAATTTTTTCTCTACAAGTAGGGTAGAGAGATACTTCCCAAAAAGGAAAAAAGATACTTCCCATTAGGGTAAGGCCGACAAACTTGACCATTTGCGGTTAGTCTATTTAGTATCTAACCAATCATCTATCTGTAACTTTAATCTAATGGGGCACAGTATCTGGAGAATTTCTGCTGACTTTCAGCCCTCGAGGTAGGTATTCAACGCTACCTGCCTAGGAATCAATGAAGATGACAAATATAAGAGAGTGTTGTAATACGATCAGTGGACTTTATATGATTTGAAATCAAGGCTTCACCATTGTGGGTGCTCTGGCCCCTAAATGAGCAAATGGAGCCCTCAAAAAGCTAGTCTATAACAAGATTATTTTCTTCCCAAAACGTCTTCACCTGGGACAAAAATGCTTTGTCAGACCATATGAACTGTTTAAGAATCACAAGAAGTTCTGGCCATGATGTATACAACCATCTCAATCTACTGTTATTCAGCTGCAACAGTTGCATGTAGCCTTGCCGTATAGTCCCTGTGGGGGCAAAAGCTCCCCCAATATGTAGGAGCCAAGCCAACAGATCAGGTGAATTATCCCATACTGTATTATTTTTACTCGCTGCTCGTAATGTGCAGAGTAATTGTAGTGAAAGATGGGACTGATGGTGTGTGAAGTTAGCACAGCCCAATGAGAGACTGGGAAACTACATGCAGCCAATGCGATTGACTTACGGGAATGGTTGAGGTCCGCCAGACTTTGCAGCGCAGCATAGTTGAGCATAGATATGCCGCTTGGTGGCAGCATTCAGAAATAGGTGAGTGGATTGGCAAACTCACTAGCCTCGACTGGATAGACGCTTGATGGTTATCTATATGTGCCATCGGCATTACATCTTCTTCGCCGAGGATGGCTGAATCTCGGATACACTGCAATGCAAATACGTCCTTGAGAATTTCAACAAAGTCCTGACCCAGTGTACAGGAGTGTTTCTGAAATCCAGGTGGAAGAATAAAAAAGTCCGGATGTGAAGGGTCTCTTTTCCACCGGAGCTCGTAGAATGTAGTATGATCAACAACTCGGCTTGCGCCTGTCATGACTGACCCATTCAAGTCTGACCTGTCGGCTAGCGTAAGACTTGGCTGTCAAAAGATGCTACATGCTACTTACCAGAAGACCGCACGTTTGATATTGTCACTCAAAAACACGCCCTTTCTGTGACATATGTCCAGAATGTGCTGTATTGCCCCCATATGCAGCTGAACTTGTAACGGCATTCCAAGATGGACCTTAATGAGAGCTTAGCTTTCGATGACAAGTTCAATTCTAAATTTGGTAAACTTGAAGGGAAACATGCACACACCTCTATGCCGGCGAGTAGCAGAATGGCCCCAATCGTAGACTCCGTAGCAACCCGATCCAGAGAGCTCATTCTTTGGCGGATAGCGCTCAAAGCCATGCTCTGGTATTCGAGACACTCCCTGCTAGTCATATCCGCTGTGGCTGTAAAGGAAAATGTGAGCATGACAGCACTTAGAAGAGCGTTATCATCTAGTCCTTTTTGAAGAATGGAGCGAAAATTTTGGAGCACAAGTTCATCAAAAACACTACAGACAGGTTTTATAGCCTGTTGGAATGTTTCTGCATAGCTTTTGCGTAAGCTCTTGTTGCACATTAGGTGATATCCAGGATCTTACGTCGGTTTAGCAATTCCAGTAGTATCGGTGACTCTGCGGCCAACATTTGGAACATATCGGAGGAAGTCGCAGCAGGTGGGGTCTGTGGTGCGATAAAAGCTTTCTGATGTTTCTCTTTGCTCACAGATAGGCAGTGATCGCTTGCTGGACATACAACATGGAAATTTTGGCCCGATATTTGTTGAAGCCGCCTTTTCTTCCGAAGACTGTGCGTTATGGCATGCGACCGGGCTAAGCGCTTCGTTATGCGGTCGTTCGAATTTCTTATTGGAACGAAAAGGAATTGACCACCTGAAAACACACGGTTAGTCATAAGATATGAAATCATCCATAGATGCTCCTGAAACTCTACCCTACCTGAAATGGGCTCATCGTGTCTGGCCATTGAAATAAAACAATATCTGTAGGGGAGAATACTGTCGCCTTCAATCAAAATGTATGCAAACTCGTCATGAAAAGAAAGTACTTTGTGTGATATGCACACACCAGTCCAGGATTATTGATGACTCCCCCGGCCCGGTTGGTGGATTACAAATCAGAGCTATACCTCCCGGGGCCATACTGGTGATGAGGTTTCGGGGGAGATCGCGGCCCGCTCAGCTAACCAAAACGTCAACCACGAAGATGAGACACCCCTGGAGGAAACTTGAAACAAACCCACCTTTTTTAACAGAACTGGCCACATTCTTGGGGGGGATGGACGAACCCTAGTGTTTTGTCTGTAGAAAGACCGAGCAGAGTCAACTGTCATCCAATGTACCCTCAGCCTTCCCAGTCTCATTTTCCTGCATCAACCTACTCTCGTGAGGGAGGGATATGTTTCATTGTCGTCAATATTTGCACAAACAAATATATAGACATTCATAGCTCGTCGAACTCAAGCGATGAGCGACATATACGCAGCATAACAACACATGCGAGCGCCTTTCCTGGTAGGCATACCGCAGTCAACATCGGAGTACTCAGTAGCTTTCCAGACCAACTTTGGGAACTCACGGACGCAGCCAGTACAAGAAAAGACCCAATCTACATTGATCTCAATCACCACTCGAACAAATCCCTATGTACATTAGCCCACTACCAGGCTGCCATACCACCGTCGACCCGAATATCTGCAGCGGTGATATAGCAGCTCTCATCTGAAACAAGAAAGCTAGCCACAGCAACGATATTCGCTGTCTATCCGCTGCGTCAAAGCGTAATCTTCTGTATTACATTTGCGGTCCATGCCAGATCCACAAGCAAAGGCGCACTTTGCAGAGTCTCGATAAGGCCTGGCGAGATCGAACTGGTCCGGATACCGTGGCCACGCCCTTCCATGGTCAACCGGCGGGTCGTAGCAATGACACCACGATTTTCAGCTGTGTTTCTATGCCACAGCTGACGATTTTGGCGCCTTCTTGGGCAAATTTGAGAGCTGCTGCACCTCCCATACTATCGCCTGTACCGGTAATGAGACATATCTTGTTCAGCAGACGCGGTGCCATGACGATTACCTTGGGGCTGGTATATGTCAAAAGAAATGTCTGTAAAGCTGTGATGAAAGACTTTATAGAAAGGAAGAGAGGCCACAAAGGGCAAGAAGAGGGGATGACTGGCTAGCAAGGATGTGGTAGGACTCATATCCCTGATCAGCTAATTATACATCTGATGCTTGCTTTTTCGAGGAATCCAATCAAGAAAGCGCTTGGATCTAGATATTGTTAGTTTCTCCAAATTGATTAATCGCTACATCAGTTATCATATTGGAAAACCAGTACTCCGTACCTAGATGTATATTGTGGCTACTCCGTAGACAGTGCCCGATTGAGAGGACCGATTGAGCGGACGATCATATTCAATAGTGTGGCGCTTTATCTGCCATCACCTTGTAACCGAGACTATGAGGCTTCCACTAGGTAGTAAAATCCATCACCCATCACCCCTCAGTCGACCAATAGGGAGTAAGATAAAACTGCACATACCCCTAGATGACCTGGACATCATTGGATTTCCCCTGAAGTCTCTATGTTAGACAAGCCAATCTGGATGTGGCTTTGCAAAAGTGCTCCGGAACATGTGGCTATCCCCCTGTGACGATGCTGCATGAATTATGTGCATTGATTTAGGGCCAAGCGTGACGAACGGGATTCTGCATTGTTAGATCGGCAAGAAACTTTGACCAACTCGATTATTATTTCCTAAATTGCATTTCATCCTGAGATCTGCATAATTATCCCTTTATACAGACAGATAAATCCTGTCGACATCACAGCGAATTTGCTAACCCTAATCTCAAAAAATACTCGGAAACAGCTTCACTACCCTTTTTCGAACATATCGATCGGCTGAAGCTTGCGGCTTTCTTTCTTTATGAAATCCTTCCTGACTTGTGATGTGATTGATAACTTGCACATTTCGACAAAAAATGTACAAAAAGAAATGGGGCGAGCCGGGATTGAACCGGCGACCTTACGAACTTCAGTCGTACGCTACTCCCAACTGAGCTATCGCCCCATTTGATATTAAGAGGTAGCTTATTTCAATCTATAATTTTATTACCTTGTATGCCGTCGTTCCTGTAGTCAGGACGATAGGCAATGTTGCCAGGTTAGGAGTAGAATCCAATGGAGTAATGGTGCTAGGGGGAAAAGAAAAATAAAAATAAAAAAACTAGGGGAGCCAAAGTATTGTTTCCCTATCAAAGCCAAGCAACTTGTACGTACGTAATGGGTATTGAAGTTAATAAAGTACAAGAGTAGAGAGCCGCTTATGCAGCCTTATGATGTCTTGCAGATCTTTTTAGCGGGCTTCTTAAATATCTTCAAGGTCGCCTTCCCAGTCTTATATAGGTAGACCGCGGAAAAGGGCGGAAAAAGCAGAATTTGTGCAAACGACCTTCATATGTATAATAACTACACAAGTGTAAACGGCCACTTCTGCGGTCCTTTGGTGTCTTTCTTACAGCGCTTTATAGTGGTCTTTTCAGCAGTCTTTTCAATAGCTTTCTCGGTGGGCTTCCCGGTTTTTCTTAGGTATCTATCTATAAGACAGTTCTCCCCTTTCCAGTGTATTCAAGACGGCAGCAAAAGGCGGAAAAGCCATACTCTGTCCACCGAATTTTTTGTGTATAATTTCTGGTGATGATGCATAATACAATGCTAATTTAATTGACTTGACTACTACAAAGATACTATATGATGGAGCAAAATTATAAAAGCTAATGGGGCGAGCCGGGATTGAACCGGCGACCTTACGAACTTCAATCGTACGCTACTCCCAACTGAGCTATCGCCCCATCTGATGTTAGTCAGCGGCATGTTTTATTTTATGAACCTATCATTTATTTACTGTTTACAGGAGGAGACCAGGCTAATCAGTAGTCACGTTACTATATTAGGATTGAAAGTAGAGTTAAATTTCAGCATGACACTAAGCAAGGAGAAAGAAACAGTAGAAGGGAAAAAAAATCAAGAACTTAGTCTTTATCGAAATACTAACTTGACTTGTATGCAGACCAGACCCATGTTAAGTTCCCTAGGTAAGTGAATAAAGGTAAACTACGGAGGTGACAGAAAACAAAAAGACAAAAAACAATGGGGCGAGCCGGGATTGAACCGGCGACCTTACGAACTTCAGTCGTACGCTACTCCCAACTGAGCTATCGCCCCACGTTATGAGGGCCAAGACGACTAATAATCTATATAAACCTAAAAAACTTCAAATATTTAAAAAACGATATATAGATACGTATCTATCGAAATGACTGCTACAAATTTAAGAAATTGTTGTAAAATCCACAGTATGAACTGCTCAGCAACAATGAATAAATTTGGTATGTGTGGTCGTGCAAATTTTCTGGCTTTTATTTCACGAAACTTCACCATTTTCCATATATACTAGTTTCTTCTATACTGTTTTTAGTGCACAGTTAGGGGGGGTTATACTTTGTGTGGCATGCAGGTATACACAATTTTTCATTGTATAGGCTTGGTGGGGATCGAGGTGTAGTCTTGAATATATAAATCGTTAGGGCTAAGATATCATCATCTTCTGAGAGGTATATATCCAAACCTTGCGTGCATACATCTGATTAGCACCCTTGATTGCAGCATCAAAATAGGACTCGGATAAAACTCTATAAACAAATTCCCATAAGCCAGGTAGTCTTATGCGATAAATATCACAGGGCGGGATCGAATTCAATCCCAGATCAACTGCCTGCATGTCGATGCCGGATTCCCGAGGGATCAGCACATACGGCGTGGTTGAACATATCTCGTCTGCTATAGATATCTCAATGAGACAATTTATTTATTCTGACCTCCTGATGTTCAGATGGCAGTCGACAGCCCTAATGTGAGAATCCCAGCATGGATGAATTTACTGATTTGGCCACCGACTGATACCTATGTTCCAGTACCCTTGACACTATTTGGCCAAATCTCATGTACCTTCCTGCATAGACAGCTCCATGTTCCTACCCCCCACTAGGCATGAAGTATAAACATGTCTATCACACCACGAGATCACATTACACGGAGATCCGGGTTTTTCCAGAGACCAAGCATGGCCTGACTAACCTTAGACCCGCAGAGATACTATTTTCTCATCAGCAAAGCATGACAACGTTTCTCATACTTCAGGGTGCGCAGTATTAAAGAACGACTCCTATCTATAACTTCATATATCGGAGGGGTCATAGCTTTCATTCTATCTTCGATCCTCCCCAGTATATAATTCGCATATCACACAGCAATTATAAGTTCCTCGTCACTATCAGCCCGATCAGCCCTGCCGCAAACAGCAGCTGATATTTACGATCATATCTTCAAATAAAGAACCTCTCATCCTAAGATGGGGCGATAGCTCAGTTGGGAGTAGCGTACGATTGAAGTTCGTAAGGTCGCCGGTTCAATCCCGGCTCGCCCCATTTTTTTGTCTGTTTTTTTGTCTATTCCGCAGAGACTCGGCTAGAATTAATTAATATTAGAGAACGATTCCTGTCTATTCTAAAACCTCACATATCGGAACATCCATGCCAAAACAAATATTCCAAGGTTGCGAGCAAACTAACGTGGAGCTCACATCTTTGTTAGATAGAGTGTACGACAGACAACCTTGGCAGTCATTGACCATCTCATTTTCTTCTGCAATCCAAGGCTATTTTATTTGTTTATTTGCCATGTTGGAGACCATTGAAAGATTCAGCATAATTCAAATCCTGGCACTATCCCAGATAACCCACACGAGGAGACCTCATGTATCTAATTAGTTCACGCAGACTTTGCAATTTTAAGCTGCGACGGTCTATTGCATATATATCCATGACATATTTCATAGAAGCCACACCAGCAGCTAGCTTATTGACAAGAATCATCTACCATACATGGAACAGAACAAAGAGCTGGTGTATATCGGCCGTAGAAGACTAGAGCAACTCCGCGCCAACATCAACACTTGGCTTTCGGCAGAAGAGGTTGGTATATTCTGTGTAATCACTAACTGGTGTATGATAAACCCAATCTACTGGGTAATGCCAGTAACGCATACCACTCAATATAGACACATCAAAGAGCGTTCCCCAAACTCCCTGCCCACTGTTCCATCCTGCAAGAACATGTTCCTCAACCAACATTTCGCAGTATCGACATCCCGAGACCCAAATTTGACTATTACAGAGCCTCGCACAGAAGCAGCAGTCCATGTTTTGACAGACCCACCTGAGCGCAAATCAGTTTGTTCATGAAGCTTTCCATTTGTTTGAATACGTGGCAGACGGGAGAACTCTGCGAGAAAGAATTCACCGAGAGCCCGAAACATTGGGCCTCGAATGACGAGAGTGCCAAAAACGCCAAGAGAATCCATCTCGTTCATATAGTTTTGTTTTGTGGTCGATGTTTCATCCAGAATCAGATTATCTCGGATCAAGAGATTCTTCTTGGTTGCTTTTTCTGGATCAGAAAGCGACCAAATCTCATTCCGACCCTTCCACCCAAAAAACTCCCATGCCTCGCCTCTTGCAGTTCGCCCTTCGGAAACCCAGTCTAGGACTAGTAAATTGGACGAAGAAGGGTGGACATTGAATATCTGACATTGCTCATACGAACTGTCTTTGAATGGTTGTACCGGGTCCGGTAATAGCAAGAGCGCTGCTCCTTCTTCCACTGTGATAGAGAGATTTTGGTATGAACGTATTGACTTGGATGGTGTTTTGTACACCTTTGTGCTTCCTTGCGTAAGAAGGGCTAACCGCGACTTCGGTCGAAGTCTGATATTCAGGTCTACACGATCGCCGGCGACCAGCCCGCCACCATAACTCATCATAAAGACGAGGACAGCATGATCGGTTGGTCTGGATGGTGGCGACACGAGTTTCAGAGGGTATGTGGATGAAAGCGCAGAAATGGAAGAAGAGCCGCAAAAGGCTTGAACTTCAAGTTGGCCAGTACCTGGCTCAGGTTTTTGGGGCACGGCCATGACTGTTCGCATGAAGTACCCAGCTCTGGGGACACAGTCACGTTGAAGTTTTCATTTTGACTCGCAAATAGTGGACTGCTGGAATCACTCTGGGGTTTGAAATTGGCGACAGTGGAACCAATAGAGTTCGGCGAAAGAGACCTGACAAACTGCTATTTAGTCCTGAAGATACGAATAATTTGTGGAGGCCTTAGAGTCCTGCAAGAAATCTGCCGCTTGCGGATGGCCGATAGGTTGCATTTTGAATTTCGGCCTCCAGCTTTTGGCCGGGCGGCAATCAAACCGGCGATGACCTATTCATTACCCACTCATTAAAAGGTCAAAGCACCTTAATATGCAGGGCCGATCGAGTTCATGCGTGATTTGAGACTAAGCCTTCTATCCACTTGAGCCCTTGATTTGAATTCCGACTCGCTACAAGGTACTAGAAGTAAGCCCGCTAGGATCGGCTTGTATCGTCCTTGCAAACAAAGTCGACATTTGATTGCGATGCAGTTGATTGCACGTGAGGTACGAATACATATTTGATCTTTGATTTTGACAGCTGACGTATCTAGTTGGATAAATTGGTTATTGCCCAGGCTGGGCTTTTGGCCCAGCGACGGCTGGCCAGGGGAGTGAAATTAAACTACCCTGAAGCTACGGTACCGGCTATCTTCATCCCTAGGAGCATGTTCCTGGAATGCTCCAACGTTCCCTAGTGATATAACTAACAATAGAGCAGGCATTGATCACAAATGTGCTGCAGGAAGTATGTATTAGTCTCGGAGCCAGCGCAACATCTATCTCTAACTGTCTATAGATGATACGAGATGGCGAGCACAGCGCATCAGAACTCATGTCGATTGGCAAACATATTCTTGGGCGCCGAAATGTGCTTCCGGGCGTAGTCTCAACTCTTACAGTGCTGCAGGTTGAAGGAACGTTCATGACAGGAACACACCTGATTACTGTCGATCAACCCATTAGCAGCGAGGATGGTGATATGGAATTGGCGCTGTATGGCAGTTTTCTGCCCATTCCCGAAGAGAGCTTATTCCCTTCATATCCAGAATCCGAGTATGAGCCTTTGAAGGCCCCTGGAGCCATATCACCTGGGGAAGGAAGGATTGAGCTTAATCCGGGTAGAAAGCGAACTCAATTGAAGGTTACGAACAAGGGCGACCGACCAATTCAGGTATTCGTGATATGCTCACATACACCTCGGTGAGACGTATTAACATGCTTCTGCTTGTAGGTTGGCTCTCATTTCCACTTCATTGAATCAAACCCCGAGCTGGATTTCGACCGGATCAAAGCTTATGGCTATCACCTTGACATTCCCGCTGGGACATCAACTCGCTTCGAGCCCGGTGACACCAAGACCGTAAACTTGACGCAGATCAGTGGTCTCAAAACCATCAAGGGCGGAAGCAGTATTGCAACTGGAACTATTGACCTGTCTCACACCAATGCAGTACTGCAACGCATCAAGGAGGAAGGCTTCCGACACACTCCCGAGGAGCTGACCGTTGATATCCAAAACCTAGAGCCTTTCACGATGGATCGACTTTCATATGCCTTGATGTATGGTCCGACTATCGGTGACTCGATCCGTCTGGGCTCGACAGATCTCTGGGTGAAGATTGAAAAGGACTACACAGCACACGGAGACGAGTGTACGTTTGGAGGCGGTAAGACTCTGCGCGATGGAATCGGACAAGCTGCTGGGCGTGCAGACGATGAGTGTGCAGATTTGGTTTTGGTGAATGCGTTAGTCATTGACTGGACTGGAATCTTCAAAGCCGATATTGGAGTCAAAGACGGGGTCATCGTGGGCATTGGAAAAGCTGGTAATCCTGATGTGATGGATGAGGTCAACCCAGCGCTGGTGATTGGATCCAACACAGACATCATTGCCGCAGAAGGGAAAATCATCACTGCTGGTGGCATAGACACCCATGTTCACTTTATCTGTCCGCAGCAAGTTGAAGAGTCCATCTCGTCGGGTATCACAACCATGTTTGGTGGAGGCACTGGACCGAGGTAAGACAAAAAGTACTGATATTGTGGTGTCTCGATCTGAATTCTTGTCTAGTACCGCCTCCGTTGCCGCCAATTGCACCCCGAGCAAGACCTATATTCGAAAAATGATGCAAGCGCTAGACACACTGCCAGTAAATTTCGGTGTCATTGGCAAAGGCAGTGATACTGGCAAGCCGGGACTACTTGATCAGTGCAACGCAGGTGTCGCGGGTCTTAAGCTGCATGAAGATTGGGGATGCACCCCATCCGCAATTGACTCTTGTCTGAGGTAATGGATCTTACGTGCTCCATAGTCGCGGATACTGATAGCCAGTATAGTGTCTGCGAAGAACACGACATTCAATGCCAGATACATAGTGATTCTTTGAACGAGTCCGGGTTCGTTGAGCGAACGGCGGCTGCATTCAAAGGAAGGACGGTACACGCATACCATATCGAAGGGGCTGGTGGCGGACACGCACCCGATATGATTTCCCTTGTGCAACACGCCAACGTCCTCCCTAGCAGTACTAACCCAACGAAGCCATACACTTGCAACACAGTCGACGAGCATCTCGATATGGTCATGTCCTGTCATCATCTATCGAAGAATATTCCCGAAGACATTTCCTTCGCGGATAGCCGAATTCGAGCAGAAACAATTGCCGCAGAAGATGTTCTCCACGATACCGGTGCCATTAGCATGATGTCATCAGATTCTCAAGCAATGGGACGATGTGGAGAGGTTGTTCTTCGCACTTGGAATTTGGCGCACAAAAATAAAGTAGAGCGTGGCCCACTGCCTGAGGATGAGGATACGGGGGCGGATAACCACCGTGTTAAGCGGTATATCAGCAAATACACCATTAACCCAGCGCTGGCCCAGGGGATCAGTCATGTCGTGGGCAGCGTTGAGGTTGGCAAATTGGCCGATCTTGTGATCTGGGAACCTGCAAGCTTTGGTACCAAGCCATTCCAAGTTCTCAAGAAGGGCTTTATTGCTTCGGCTCAAATGGTATGTTCTCCTATCTCTTAGATGAAAGTGAGCTGCTAACAATCGTATAGGGTGATCCAAACGCATCGTAAGAGCCACTCTGCATTCTATACTCTCCGCAGTTCTTTTTCATTGGTACTAACTGTCATAGAATCTCTACCGTTCAGCCGATTATTGCACGGCCGATGTTTGCGGTGAGCTTAATGGAGTCCTTGTTTTATCCCTGAGATATTCCAAGCTGACTAAAATATAGCCCCTTCTACCATCAAGTAGTGTGATCTTCGTTTCCAAGGCCGGCATGGAGAATGGTTCTGTCGCATCCTACGGCCTGAAAAAACAGATCGAAATTGTGAAGAATACTCGCACCGTCACTAAGCTTGACATGAAATTCAACAATGCCACGCCAAAAATGGAGGTCGATGCTGAAGCCTTTGTGAGTAACCCCACCAATGTTCGAAACTATGAAATACAAGGCTAAGTAATCATTTACAGACGGTTAAGGCGGATGGTGTAGAGTGCAAAGCAGAAGCCGCTACCTCGGTTCCGCTTGCGCATCAGTGCTTCATCTACTAGCCGGTCACTTGCAAAGACAAGACAACATCTTGGATTTGCTTTTGTATATTAGGACTTTGGCCACATATTTGGCTTTGTTTGGACACCGTTACGGGTTGAACAGTGTGGGACCACTGGGATATCCGGCACTATCGCCGTGATTCTGTTGTGAAATAAATATCTGGACAAGGACATGAGCATATTACATGCAAACACTTGTCTCATTCATTCAGTCGGCGCTTGTGCTGGAGTTAGTAGTCAAGCCTAGAACCTCCAAATCGTGGATACGATAAAAAGAAAGAGTATCGATATACATAGTACAAACACCTGAAAACAGTGAAACTTGTATTTCCCAAGATAAATATGGAAAGAATAATTCGACTCAAGCTAAAAGCCGGGCACAAAAAAAAACAAAAACAGCAGTGAGATTGACTACATAACCAAACAGAAAAACCACAGTGGGTATAGAAAGCGCTTTCATTGATCTCATTGCCTCTCAAGACAGGGATCTCACGACCACCCCTCCATTGGCAGCGGCACGCCCTCCCATTCACTGCCCTGCTGCATCATAGGAGCACTGACTTCCTCCTCGCAAGTCCCAGCAAGCATCTCATCAGCAGTACCCCAGCCCATAGACTCGAGTTCTCGAACGAAGAAATCACGTTCTTCCTCCATCATAGACGCACCCTCCTCACCGCCCATGACATCCTTGTACTGACGCAGATGCCACCAGTGGGTAAGACCACGAAGCGCCTGTTCCAACGGCAAAGCCTCCTCAACCTCAGCGTCAACGTCAGAACCCGCAAGCCAGTCGTCGCGCAGCTCGGGGCGACAGTACAGGTAGATAGCAGTGATCACGCGCATGTTGCTCTGGCGCCATTTGCGGCCGCAGTAGGGGACTTGGGATTTGAAAAGTTTGAGGGTGTAGAAGCGGAGGTGTGGGTCTGGGATCTTGAGGCCCTTGCGGAGGATGTTGCTTGATTTATACTGCACTAGTAGGAGGCAGCGGTGGGCTTTGTTGCGAGTGATCTTTTGCATGACGTGTAGGTAGTTGATGGCGGAGAAGAAGTTGCGGAAGGAGAATACTTTGATAGGCTCTTTGGGAAGGGGCGCGGTTGGGTAGCCTAATTCGTCGACTTCGGGGCGTGCCGGTCCGTTGAAGATATCGGTGAGGGATTCCTCCTCAGGAAATCCTGGCATGCTGCCGTTTGCTGTTGGATCCAGGCGATGACGGGCGATTGGGGGTGGCATGGCTTCATCTTCGCTTTCGGTGTCACCGCAGGAGTCCTCTTCGGTTTCCGGGGGTACATCGGTGTTGCTTTTACAGAAGTGGAAGAAGCTGGTTATAGTATCAGTGGGTGAGCTGGCTTAACGAATTAGGTTGAGTCACATACGACAAGTCTTCGCGGTCATTCTTATGTGCCACCGTTTGATCAACATCTTGATGTGCAAACATCTTGAGAATCAAGGGGATGTAGTTTGAGTCAAGCAATAGCTGTGTCATATATTCAAATTTCAAGATATCTTCATGGGTAAGCGACATACAATTCATATTTCGGTATGGGAGTGAACTCACGAGATCGTTTAAACCACTTAAGCAGAAGCAACAGAATTCCAGACACGGCTTTCCCGGTGATCTCGCGGAGTCGAATGTTGTCTAACTCATCGATGGATGCATCAGAAAGTAGGTTGTGAGAGGAGCCATTCATGGAGTGACTGTTACTGAAACTTGTGTTAGCAGGCAATCGTTTTTATCTGAAGTGTCTGAGCTCACCTCATGCCCTGCGTAGTCTGACTAGTAGCCTGACTGACCACTGCGCTGACATTTGTGAGGATGATTTTCAAAAATACGATGGTGATGGACTGAAGGTGAGATAGAGTATGGGTCTGGTAAACAGTCAGCGAATATCGAATCTGAGGATTGATGGCATGCACTCACATAAAACGAGTCAACCGCATCTAGGCGCCGCTGAATATCAGGATCATCTGTTTCTTTCTCTGCTGGCTTGGGCTTAGGCTCGGCCTTCTCGTCACTCGACAAGTCCAGATCTTCAAAATCATCTGGTAGGTCATCTGAGATATTATCAGGGAAGTGAGCAGCGTCCTCGGAATTCCAGCCACGGTCGTACTGCATAAAATGTTCACGTTCCTGCCAAAGTTGTCGCATCGCACGGGTCATTTTCACATGCGTCGAAAAGAGCTTTCCGGCTTCAATGATTGACGCAGGGACATCGCTGCCTTCCCATTTCTTTCCAACCAAGGTGTCCTGGCGTTCAGTTGTACCCTTCCCGCCAATGCGGTTGCTAGAATCATCTAGGGGAGGGTACATGAATGGGAAATTTTGATTGGTCTGATAGTTCTGCTTTTTCCCAGCTTTCCCTCCTGGGCCAGCGGGGGATGGCGGTGGAGATGGGGCCGGGGTTGCAATATGAACAGCTTGTTGAAGGATAGAGCCATTTCCACCGGAGATCGATGGGGCAACACCGCAAAAGATACCACTGGACGCATTCATCCTGGCCACATTATGTGGAAGAGGGGGTAGAATTGAATTGTTTTCCAATTCCAGTGGAACGACGAGTGGCGGAGGATTGTAAGCTGGGTATTTGGAAGTGATTTCCTGACGAAAGAGATGGTAGTCCAGAGGGGAGGCGTGTAAAAATGGGGTCCTGCGTTTCGAATCATCCTTCTCAGGGGAAGCAGCAGGCTCTAGTATTTCCTTTGCACGTTTTAAATCATCAGTCCCGCCAAAGACGAGCAGGAGTGACTTCCACAACAACAGTAGGATTCTAGTAAGTGGAATATTGGCAGATTCGTCCCAGCGCAATCGGGCAATGATTTCGACAATGGAGACCAATAGACTGGGGTTTGAGCTAGTCAGTGCATCGCGTATCGAGCTGCACTGAGGGTCGCGCGCCTGTTGTCTGCGACCCACTTCCACGGCAAAGTATAAAATTGTAAGAATTAAGTTGGCCTCACGCTCCGGTGCCGCGATATCACCAGGGTTAATCCGCTCGTAATCAACGTCATTGGAGTCCGATCCGAGTGCCGAGCGGGTCTTATCAAAAAGGCGGCACATGTACTGCACCAATGCGGTAACGCCCGAGCATTCCTGGAGAAGAGAAACATTCTGCTCGATGCACTGAATTTGCATTGACTTGAGCAGTGGCGTTTCGGTTGCTGACTCTGAATTTCCCCCCTCATGATAGTCAGGCGCTACACTCCCACCGCTGAGACCCCATACACCAGTGACGACATAGCAAATGGTTTCAAGGGCTTCCAATCGCGCGGAGACTTCAGCAAGCTGCAAATCTTCAAGCACCCGAGAGACAAACGATCGACGTAAGTCCTTGGATGCGTCAAGCCAAGACAACCCGGGTGTGTCTCGTTGGCGTTGCTGGCAAAACGTAGGCCATTTCTGGTTAAAAGTTGCTTTTGTCCCCGTCAACATGACACGATCAAAGGCGTTATACTGGAACCACTCATCGAGCTCATCAGGGAACGATTGGGCGTCGGCATATTCAAAGGCATAGGCTGGTTGCTCAATCTTGGGCATTTCACCCACAAGCTTCCGCAAGTCCGATAAGCTCAGGGAGCTTGCACCCCGATCCGTAGTCTCCTGGGCGGGAGCTGGAGGGGGCGGCTGCATCGGGGGGAGGTGGAGCAGAGCCATCACGACGAAGTTCAGGTCGTTTAAAGGATTTTTCGGGCGCAGGGGGCGCCATCTCAGGAGCGGGTGCAGCCTGTGAGGCCTGTTCCTGGCGGAGCCCCTCAGCCACCTCCTCCATGAGTTGGTCGTCTGAAACTGGCGATATATCGGTCCCAGTTTGGTCAACCTCATCTGCCTTGACAATATGATGCTCCTCCATAGTGGCTTCGGATGGATCTGAAGATACGTCCATCATTGAGGACTTGTTGAGTTCTGTGTTCCTGGCAGAAAGTTATTCGGTGGATCACCAAGATATCAACGCTCCATACATCAGGTAAAAGAGTGAAAAAAAGGAGCACAAAAATCAAATGTGACTCATGTAAATAGACCACTACACATTTTTTCTTAAGTCGTCGCAGGACACGAGGGGTGGTTGGTAGCTGCGGTGTTGATGTGGGAGGCCAGCTGACACGTGACTCGACTACAAAGCCATTGTGTGCTGTTTACTTCGAGATTTACGACGATTGAGTAGACAGAGATAAGAATACACTTTATTCCAAGCAATTAAATCAACATGCAGGTGTTCGCTTGCTACTATGATAGGATGTAAAAGTTCAAATGGTGCACCCCCTTACTGCGACTTCTTACTAAGACCGCGACGCTTCAATCTCTGAGACTCCCAACGTTGCCAGCCAGCCTCAGCCAGGTCCTCACTCACGACAAGGTCACGGATTCTGACCAGGCGGGACACGGTAGTCTCCATGGCCCATTCCACCAAGCCAGAGCTTCGAAGTAGGCTGGTGACCACGAACCAGCCACAAGCGCATACAAATCCGGCAGCACAGCCAGCAAGGACTTGTCTCGGGGTATGGTAGTTGAGGTAAACCCGGCTAGCAGCCACACCAGCAGCTCCAATGCAAAGGGCCAGCATGACCAGAACTCGGAGGAGGACGGCAGCATTGGGGTAGGAGCTGGCGGAAGCTTTGCTGTGACGGAAGAGAAGGAAGAAGGTAAGGTAGACGGAGAAGAAGGTCATGAATTGGGCGTGTGAAGAGGGCATTCCATATCCCTTGCCGAACATTTCTATGAATTACACGCGTTAGTTTAGGAAGGTGCCCACGAGACCATCGACATCGACAACTCACCCTTCGGTCGCTCTTCCTTAATGAAACGTTTGAGGACAAAGTTCAAGGCTTCACACCCCATCTGTCCTACAAACATCATGATGACTTCCACCTCTCTTGTTGACCAAATCAAAGTTGCATAGGAGACACATAGTGCCTGTGGGATCAGGGCCAACCATGCTGAAACAAAGGACAGTTGGTCCTCAGGGTTCTGGGAACTTGTCAGTAAGTTAAAAAAAAACAATTACAATGTTGCAACTAACATAATGGACATGAGTCAGAGACAATGATGCTAGTGGAGTGTCCCCCATTGTTGGATCGAAAAGAGTGAATAACAGGAAGTTTCCAAAAGTCCCCTAATTTGGGATATTCAGGGATATCAAGGTCAGGGCTAAGGCCAAGACTGCCAAGACCTGTTATCGCCACGATAAGGACATTGGGCAGCGGGGACTTTTCGACCTGGCAAATTGTTTCCTCCATTTTTAGGCATCCGAGGGGATTTGCCATTTCTTTTTGGATCTGATTTGGACCTTTTTGTGTGTTTTTCTTTCTATTATCACCCATCTACTACTTCAATTTCAAACAATGACGCCGTTGTTCTCTCTTCAAACCCCAGACTCCCTATTGCATCATCTGTTAGACCCCTCCCGACTTTCTGCCGAACATTGGCCTATAGAACGAATACTCGGAACATCTTCATCTTTGGTTGGTCTAATTTTTTTTTTTGGGATCTCAGTCGCAGCGCTGATTCGAAGTGATCTTCCTGCAGGATATCAACCCCCCCTTTTGTGCCCGAACGTCCTTAGTGACAATTCACTTGGGATCGGTCATCATTATTACTATCGGCTATTTTACGATGAGCTAGTGTTGCTGAGATTACTATTTTTTTCTCTTTTTTTTTCGCTGGAGACAACCATTGTCTCTAGATTGCGAGTCACTAGCATTCTATCGGAGACAAATATACAAGTCACCCCCACCTGAGAGAAATCTTCACAAGTGAAGAAACCCGGTCTCATTCCGCCATGACTGAAGTCGACTTCCCGGAGGATGACCGCTCGGTCGAGCTTTCCTCGATTGCCGCGATCTTTCCAGAAATACAAATCGATCCTTCCTCTCCGTTCAAAGCCGTCCTCGATCTTCCAGTCGCACCTTCCGCCCCAACCTCAATATGTTTTCAGCAACCGCTGGAAGTTGTGCCCGCCATCACCCCTCCAACCTCATTAGACGAGTCTAAGGGAGAACTAGACCACCCACCCATCAAAGATGTCCATCTACTCTCACATTTGCCTCCGCTTAATCTCGAGATTGAATTGCCACACGGTTACCCAACCGAAAAGCCGCCTATCGTTCATCTGAGAACGATCCCTTCATGGCTATCCCCCTCGGTCATTGATCAATTATCCAGCGATTGCCGCCGACTCTGGGAAGGATGTGGAAAGGATCTAGTCGTCTTCACCTACATTGATCATCTCCAGCAACTTGCAGAAACAACTTTCAATATCCAAGATCAGTTTGGGGAAGTATGTATATCGCGGGATTTGAAGATCGCATTACTGGACTACAACAAAAAGGCCGAACGGGAAAAGTTTGAGCAGGGGACTTTTGAATGTGGAGTATGTCTAGAACCAAAAAAGGGCACCGTTTGCTATCGATTACTTCGCTGCTCCCATGTGTTCTGCATCCAATGCTTGCAGGATTTCTACAACAGCTGCATCGCAGAGGGTGATGTTGATAGTGTTAGATGCATGGCACCGGATTGTGAATACAACAAGAGACCTACAGCTGCAGCGGGCGACGGCCAGACCCCGCCCCGCAAGAAGCGCGATCGTACCCTGGGACCAAGCGAGCTACTCCAGATTCCTCTGGCTACCGACGTAGTTCAACGATACGCGTTCCTCAAGAGGAAAAAGAAAATTGAAGCCGACAAGACCACAGTCTACTGTCCACGGCAATGGTGCCAGGGAGCTGCACGATCCAAGCGACACCCCAAACCAGACGATCCCATGTCAGATGACTTGGATAGCTCCGACGAAGAAGACGGCTCCGAGCCTCGCACCGAAGCCAATGATGGGGAGCTTCCTCCGATGGCGGAGCGTGTGTCTATCTGCGAAGACTGCAACTACGCCCTTTTGCTGCGTCTGCAAGAAGGGCTGGCATGGCGAATTGGTACGCTGTTTCCCACGCCGCGACGGCGAGCCCACAGAGGAGGAAAAGGCAACCGAAGAATACTTGCGTCTATATACTACTCCTTGCCCGACTTGCAATGTCCCTTGCCAAAAGCAAATGGGATGCAATCACATGCGCTGCTTCCAGTGTGACACACACTTCTGCTACCTTTGCTCTGCCTGGTTATGTGCAGACAATCCATATAGGCATTTCAACGACCCGAGTGGCCAATGCTTCAATCGTCTTTGGGATTTGGAAGGTGGTGATGGCATCAACCCCGACGGAGCCGAAGAACTCCACCGCATCCCAGACGCACTCCTACACTTTGACGATGACCCACCAGTGGTAGCAATTCACGAAGAAACCGACGAAAGCGATGATGACCACCCTGCTTTTGAATTTGATAACGATGAAGATGACCTCCACCGCCGACACCCTCCTCCTCCCGCTCCCGCTCCACCCCAAGTCAACCGTGGTGGCGGCAGACCTGGCCAGCGTGATCACGCAGCTGCCCGTGCAGCAGCAGCTGAACGTCAAGCCCAAGCTCGCGCCATGGCCGAGGTACGAAACCGAAATGCGAGACGACAGGCCAGACATCCTGTCCGATGGGCGGATATTCCTGTCAACCGTGTCCCCCCTCAGGCAGGTGATCCCAGGCGCCCTGCCCGGTGGGCAGAGGTCCCTGAAGACCCATTGGCAGACGAAGACGGTCCCATTCGGTGGGAGGCTATAGCAATCCGACCAGGCAGAGCACAGGCACACCCCGGCCTTCAACGATTTTTGGATTTAGTACAAAACGACCGTGAAGACGAATGGGATAGTGACGAGATGGACGACGATTTCTAGATTGAGCTTCTATGTCTACGACTCAACATTCAGCCGGACATGAATATTTTCGTCTTTTCTTCCCGTTTAAAAAGCGTCTTAATGATATTGATGCATATTACGAACTCATGCTCTTTTCTTTTCCTCTTTGTTTAGCTTCACATTTTCCCCTTGTCGCTTTTCTGATTTGTGATTTCCTCAATTCCCCCTTTTTCTGCTTCTAAACTCCATTTCATTTGATTCTCACTTCGCTCTTGCTTTGTATTCGATTTTTTATCTGCTTTTACCTCACTTTCATGCGTTTATGGCCAAGCGTAGGCAACATCCAACATTCATATATATCTGCCCATATATGTGGCACCTGTTGCCAGCGCCTTTGTCTCTTTGATATCCTGCATTTATTTGATACTTTTATAATTCCAGTGTGGTTGATTGCTTGACTGTCTTTCGTTTTTTGACTGTAAAACAGGAACCTATGAATTAGTGATTTCTTATCATCATTTGACCTCGTTTATACATATACAACAGCTTTGCATCACACATGAGTGTAGATAACTTCTTAGATTATATTACTCATGTTACGAATTTCTTGAGTGCCCAAAAAGTCCTGGACTGATCACTAGAACCCATCGGAAGTACAAGAGACTGCTGAGAATTGACCATTTAAGCTGGTGCAATGTAAAGGCAAATGAAGTCGCAATGATATCATCAAATGTGATGCTTCCCCATTTCTCCCTAGAAAGATTGTGTCTATCCGTACCAGGTAGGGGTGTCCAAGTGGCCTGCTTTCCACCTTTCCACTCATTGATATTCACAAGGAAGACCAGCTTGTCTCTCCAGCACGCGCGTATGCCGGGAGAGTTTGAATCTATTATGATACCATAGTCGCTGATCTTAGGGATCTTAGAGGCCTTGGTGTCACAGGAGATATCCGTCTTTCTGTGGTAGGAATCTCGACTAGCACCCTTTTTTCTCAAACGGCGATTGAGCCGTCTTACACAATTCTTGGGGGAGTGCCGGCGTTATTGGAGGCGATATTTCACGTAGTAGGCATGAGTTGACCGTTGAGTAAATACTGCACCTCTGCTACCATTATAGTTGCGTCTAGTGTGTTTGGAACAAAGTTCATCTTACTATCTTCAATGAGGAATGTAAGGTTACCTAGTGATGAATTTTCGTCAGGAAAGATGTTCTTCAGGTAGTTGGACTCGATATCCTTCCAAGACACAAGTATATCGCCAACGGCGGAGCTAAGTGAGTTCTGAGCTCTAAATTTATCATATAAACTATTATGATCAGCGGGGACATTCACCAAGGGTGTTTCAGCGTCTGGTATAGACATACCTAGGCGCGTTATTTCTGGTGTAGGCTACTGTGATAGTATCGTATGTCATATCGTTGGCATACGCTTGACCATTGAATCCTAAAGGCGATCTAGTCAAGCCTGTTCTGCCCTCTCGTATGTCTTTGATGGGTACTCTTGAATCTTAGGACTAGGAAGAGGGCCTTCCGTGTTAGCTTCGCGATTTCTTGGAATATTAATATGGGTAGTGGTAACTCCCTCGGTTGTCTTCCAAGGATTGTTATATAATATTTAGCTACAGTCTCGTTAGTCTATAACTCAGAGGCTTCCGAATAGAAAGGTGGTATTTATACTCACCGACACTGAAAAACGCCGAAACAGTAAAACCTTTCATCAAGGTCAAACTATCAAAAATTGCTAGGATTATCTTGGTATTGTAAGTTCATGCCAAGTCAACGCCACGCATCTTAGCTCTGATGTGGTGCCCATACTACTATCAAGGGGTTTGACCAGCAACACATAACCGAATTTGTGAAGCAGGCCCCGGGACCACAAGCTTTTTCCGGGAGGACTTTCAAGTAAGAGCAAAAAGAATTGTGGAATCCAGTAGGCTAGATTTGAAACTGCGTTTGATGGTCATATTATCCAGGAGTATCTTACAAGGTTTCCCGAGGTCCCGACACTTTTGGTGGCTAAAATGTCCACGGGTGAATTTAAGGTTATTTTGTGAAACCAATCAGGTTCGCCTCCGTCAGAGCCTCAAGTCACCGCTGGACGATGACATGTTTATATTTAATACTGTTTCTCGACTGCGCTTTTCTTTCATGTAGGATGTGGATGTAAATACTTTCATACTTTGTGTTGTTCAATTAACTTGATTTGACATGCATTTGTACAATTAGATACTGACATGGGCAGATTTGTGGGTTTAGATGAGCATGTTTCTTCAACCCATGATCCAAAAAGCAAAATCAGGTTTGGTGCTAATGATCAGCTTCTCCAGTCATGCCAGAACTCATAGCTCATGACTGTAGAATCACAGTAAAGCAAAAGCAATCTGTAATGCCGTGAAGGGTGATAACCATGCCAGCTTTCATGAGGTTGATAGGTATCCGAAGCATAGGCGTGGGTTTCAGGAATTGTGAGGTCCGGCTCTTCGGTACAAATGTTCGGTTCACAGGGACTAGAGGCCCCGCATTCGGGCGGGTTTGCGACACAGGGCTCAGTTTTATCGGGGTTGAGTAGACGGTGGTTGAATCTAATGCGATCGCTGGGGTTGACATCTCGAGGGATACAGGGGACATCCGGCGGTATCTCAAATCCAGGCATGGGGCTTGCAGCAATACCCATAAGAGGTGGTCTTGGACATTCGTCTTCCCTCTCCTGTGTGGGGAAAGGGAGAAGCCAGTCGAGGCGAAAGGTGTGGCCGATCTCTTCCTGCCATGTAAGAGTGATGATGGCAACTCCACCGGCCTGGGAGGCGACAATAACGATCCCAAGTTCAGGGAGGTATTTGATCAAATTCAAGCGATCACAGGACGAGAACATAGAATCATCTACCAGTGATTGAAGAGGAGACCGAGAGAGCGTCCGTGATCCATGGTCCAATGGATAAGGATCTAACGTGATGTCATTCCCAGAGAAGTGGAGGATCGGGAAGAATCGAGGGTTGCACGCTGAATGGCAGATTAGCATTCCAATCCAATACGCCAAAGCAAACCCCTTACTTACGATGGGAAACAAAGCACCTCAGAGCATCCACATCGACAACACAATCCGCGCCGTTTTGCTCATTTTCTTCTTCAATCAAATTAGTAATACCACGTCTCGCACGGATCGATTGACGGGGTGGAGCCATCTCATGGTCTTGTGGTACTTCGGAGGAGCTTATATCGATGCCGTCACTGGTAGTGGCGGGAGAGAGGGTTTCAGAGGCTTCTGGAGTTGTATCACCATGCCCTGAACTTGATGGGTGCGGTCCAGATTGGGTATGAACAGAACAATCAGAGGACAAGACATCGTCTGGTAAAAGCAAGCTCGAAACTGTTGCATGCTCCTCATCATCGACTTTCTGAGCAGCGAGGGTGGATCTGGCTACGACATCATCAACCGTATCCGAGACGTCAAAAACCATTCGGCCATTCATAATTTTTGGCCGGGGTTCACACCCACAGGCATCATACTTATAGCGGTGTTGCTGAACTCTGCGAGGATGTAAAGGCAAGACGAACCATCCTCTTTGCTCTCGAACATCCCTTGAATGATCATAATTGGATGTTTTGACAGGAGTCAAACAGTCCCAGACTCTCCATACAAAGACTCGGTTGACGATATCGGTGCTGACCATCCATAGACCGTTGGGGTCCAATTCAAAGTTGGCAAATGATACACATGGAATGTTGTCGAAATGCCCCCTATAGCTGAGCCGCAGGTTGCGTGTTCGATGATGGGGCATGTCGGTTTTCAGCTCCTCCATCGATGTTGCACTGTCTATTGATACCCATGTGTTTTCCAATACATCAGAGTCTCCCATGATCGAAGTCTCAGAGAAACCGGGACTGCTATCATCACTCTCAGAACCATCATCCACCAATGCGAAAGCAAAGACCGTGATAACACCCGTGTTCGCGCTCACAGCAATCAACCGAGCAAATTTGTGAGTGGCCAAGCCCCAGGCACTTAAATGAACATGTTCAACAAAGAAAGGTTTGACTTCGTGTGTATCAAATGGTCGATCGCCTCCATATTTGGCGCACCTATTGATTGCCGAGAAGATAGCCTCGACATTGTAGCCAGTGACATTTCCAGAGTCTGTTGCTAACAGCAAAACCTCATCAACTCCCAAATCATCCACAATGATATGATTGATCGTATGAGGCCTGGAACGATCGATATATCCAGGTGCATTGGGTTCCTTCATTACTGGGTGGATAACCATCTCGGGTCGGGAGCCAAGGAGCTGGCGAGGTCCACTGGGAATCCATACGTAAATATTGTCGACATGAGCTGTAAAAAGCAAATTTCGACGTTGTGAGAGAGCCGCCTTTTAAGAGGAAGGTTAGTACTGAAGGAGAATCAGACACTCGAAGCGGCAACTAGCAGCAGGTACTCACCAAGTTACACCTCCAAGCAGACACAGTTGGCCCAGTAACATCTCTACAGCTCGAAAATGATCAGTCACAATGAATTCAGGCTGCGTAAGCATAGGTACCCACCTGGGAAACTAGCAGAAGTCAGTTCATAGTTCTCACGTGAGGTCTCTCTAAAGACAAACATACCCGTTCCTCTTCTGTTTCCACATTCAAGATTTGTACCTGGGGCCTATATCCTGAAATTTCCCTTTCAGTTTCCGTAGAGCCAGTCTCCTCGGTAAGAGGAGAAGACATTGCCGCCAGCTAAGGGTGCTTGTTTCCAATTGCGGAGCGCAGAGAAGAGTACTTCCTTGGATCTGAGCAGAAAGAGTGGTGAATAGTAAGAGGAGAGGCTTGTTCTGTCATTTCCAAGGGCAGGAAGTTCAAGCCACAAGAGACAAAAGGGTGAGAACTTTGTAAACAGATCATGATCAAGCTGGTCTAAAACACCTCCATGGCTGCGGGGAGGTGCAATGTTCGGATGATGGAATGGCTGACCGCCCGCGCACGGACCGTCATTGAGTACGTACAGCTACTAATGTGCTGGCTTCCTCCTTTCTACAACATAATTTTCCTCCACAGTCCTCTCTCACGATGGATTTGGTTGCCAGTGTACGCAAAGAAGGGAGCCGGTAAGTTGATCTGCTGATTTTATCCTCGGTTTACTCAGGTTGAAGGTCGCTAAATTTTGTCTCAGCGGCGGCCGCAATGAGTTCAAATGGTCCGACGTCCAAAGCTCCGCCCACCGCGAGAACTACCTGGGCCACTCAGTGATGGCCCCGGTTGGCAGATGGCAGCAAAATCGTGATCTCGGCTGGTATGCCAAGGGAGACGAAGATGAAGAAGAACGAAACCGCAAAGAGCGAGAGGAGCTTCAACGTGTGAAGGAGGCTGAGGAGGAAGCAATGGCTATCGCTCTGGGCCTCCCGGTGCCCCCCAAAGCATCTGCGAATGCCAACATGGTTCCTCTAGGAGGTTCCAGTAGTGCAGAGATGGTGTCAAAAGAAGAAGATATGCCAGATGCTGCTACAAGGGAAAAGGACCACCGCTCGAGTCACCGACACAGACGTGAGCGAACCCGAAGCCCACGACGGGACAGACGACATGATAGAGGAGATGACCATGCACGTGAGAAGGATCGGAGGCGCCACAGGCATCATGACGATAGAGAGCGCCACCATCGCAGCTATCGTCACAGATCACGATCTCGCGGTCGAGACCACCACAGACGGCGCTCTGTCTCCCGTTCTAGGAGTCGACCTAATCGCAAAGATGAGGAACACCAGAAACGACGACGAATGGAGCGCAGCTACTCACCGGCTGAGCGCCGGCGACACCCCGAACGCAGACGAGACCGAGACGACCATGATCACCGCCATTGAGCTACAAATCAGGGATATGAATTGATATATTAGCTTGGCGTTGGGGGGATCGATTCAAATGTCGGATAAATGATTGCGTACAACTATCAGAATGACCACTATGTAATATACTTGACGAACCTTTTCACATCAAGCTCCAATAGCTTACAACTCGTCATGAGTGGTCTTTCCGGGCCCGGCTAAATCTGGCATGGACATCATGTTCACCACCATACTGGTCCAGCCGGTAAAGTGCTGTGTCCGCTGGCCATTACCCGAGTCAGGGTTGTACTGTTCCCAAGCGAACCCAGTCTTCTTCCACTCGCGGAAGACATTCTCGACCAGATTCTTCCGCAAGTCAGAGTACATCTCCCGTGCCTGCTCCTGATGGGGACCAGAAACCGTGGCAGTGTCCTATACAGGTGCTGTCAGATTTTGCGGGTAAGTAAATCAAAAGATGGAAGCACTTACATAGAGATTCTTCAACACCAAGTAGTTGATGTTAATCCAAATAGGGCTTCTCCAATAGTTCTCATCCGTCTCGTAGAACTTATCCTTCTTGCTCAAACTGCGGATACCATAATCACTCCACAACTCCTGAGGATTACCGATCAAGTCCAACACAGCCTTGAGGCGCGGGCTGTCAGGACCGAGCATACCAGTCAGGAAGGGGAAGATGGAGATGTAACCCTTGTGGCAGACGTGGACGCTCTCTTCGTATTCATCAATGGTCGCATCGCAGAAGGTTTGCTCCTTCTCATCCCAATGCAAGTCATCAATGTTACGAGTGATAGCGTTTTCGTATGAGGCGAATTGCTCGACATCTTCTTCCTCACCGAGGTTCTCGGCAATGCGACGCATAGTGCGAGTCATCATGCCCATCCAACTGATCAGATCAACATGCAGCTCACCGGGGTGCGGCGGCTGAGCTCTGGGATAGTCATCGATGCCAGAAGTGAGGATATGCTGGACGGAACGTCCGCGCCAGCGGTAACCTTCCTTGGTTGAGAATGCTTCACGGTCATACGAAGTGATATCACCGCGCTGAGTTTTTCTGTACCAGTTGTAGTGCTTCTTCAGAAGCGGGTAGAATGAACGAAGGTATGCCTCAGAAAGTTCCGGGTATCGGACAGTGGCAGAGCGCAGGCTTGCGGTCGCATCTTGAGTGTCCAGGGATTCGAAGTCTGTACTCTTGTTGGTGCTAGTCTTGACTTTGTCCATAAATGCTTCCAGGGCCATGAACAGAGTAGGCGGGTTTGCGTAATGGGGATATTGGACTGTAAACTCCGGGGGAACCTTGTTGCGTGCCTCTTGACCTAGGATCTGCTCACGGGCTATCCATCCATCCTCGTCCATCAGGTGGAACCAGCTTTTGATAATCTCGAGCCTGTATCAAAGTCAGTATGTCAACCAAAACCTAACAAAGTGGGTGCAAACATACGCAAGATCGGTGTCGTATTCGATCACGGGAATCAAATGGAAGCCTTCGTCCCAAAGGAACCCTCTGGGAAAGAAAGGCCTGGAGGGAACGCAAGTGAAGAGCTCCTTTGGGCCTTCGATAGCAGGCTGCACGGCAGCCCTGGCCTCAGCGGTCTCTTCCCAGAAGCCTTCATTCTCCTCTTCGTATGCAGGGTTTGCGGACCGATCCACGAGATCATCACCGTGGAAGAATCCAATGCCACCAACGAGGTTGGACAGCATTGCCTTGGAGAAGCTTGAGTACTTTGGCGAGTCGAATGGCGCTTGTGGCGGGAGAAGCTGCTCAAATGTTTCAGAGAATGCAGCAGAAGCATCATCAATTTCCTTGGTGAGAGTCTCCGAGGTCAACGATTCGGGCGCAGAGCCAGAGGAGAACAGGACATCAAACTCGAATGCACCCGTGAAGACCTTCTGGACAAGATGAGCATTGCCCTGGCCAGGCTTATGCTTGATAGTAAACAACTGGGCCGGGGGCGGAACGTTCTCTTTTCCATACTCTTCAAGGGCATCGTCAACCTCCGCTTTCAGTTGAGTAAAGAAAATTCCCTTTGCTTGCCAAAGCTGCTCCTCTGGGAAGGCCACACTAGCCACAATGCTGCGATCCAATGGCTTGTCTGTGGAGCTAGGATGATTGTAGCGGGGATGCGAGTTGGTTTCCGGTCCAGTGGTGACATCGATAGTGAAATCACCAAGTTCTGTGGTATATCCTTCGAGCTTGACATTGCCTTCCACGCCAGTGGATCCAGAGGATTCAGAGTCAGCTCCCAAATGGCCTAAGCCCTCGAGAGTGGAATAGAAGATCATTGTGATGGGCTGATCGGGATCTGCCCCCTCCCTAGGCGTGCCTTTGACTCGGAATCCCCAACTACCTCCGTGCTGGCCACCAGGAACTTTGATGAAATCAATTGTCAAGTCTAAGCTGTTCCCAGCATCATGAATAGTCTCCCGTCCACCCTTTCGGATATCGTACTCATCCCAGCCATACCCGGTCATTCCTTCGTTTTGTTCACATGTGTGTCTAAAGTCTTAAGCGGATGTTAGCTTTATATTTCACCAATGCAACGGTCTACCATGATGAGCATACTTTGTTGAGCACCGGCATAATCGTCCACCTTTCCCCAGATCAATCCCGCTGTGAGACTCTTCGGAATGCGAGGCCGCACTCCAAAGTAGAGGTTGGACTTGTAGGGACCCCAGAGCAGGGATTGGTTGCTGGCGCGTCCGGCCTCTCGAATCAAGACGGATACATCATTGGGATCTTCACTTGCAATAATCCCAATTGCATAAAGTAGCGACGTCAATAACACTGAAAATCTGAGGTGACGCATGATGTAGCCTCAGTCAATTAACTGCTGTCCTCTCCGCGGGATAAGCTATAGGTGGATGTACCTCAACTCACCGCCTACTAAATTAATACTAGCTTCATAGGTGTGCCTGACAATGTCCACGGACGTCATCCGCCTTTCCCTTTCCGGCTTAGTGCTTCTATACTATGTCCCATGAACCGACATGCGTTCAACCTCAAAAAAAGCCTGCTATATTGCTGCTAAAGTGATTGTGGTATCAAGTACGTATTCAAATGAACCCGCGTGGATCTAACGATCCAATGTTCGCGCTCTTCGCCTTACCATCAAATACAAACTCACTCATGAGCTTCCCTGTACCCGGCGCATTCTGAATACCCCAGCAGGTATGGCCGGCTGCAAGATACAGTCCTTTCACGTCAGTTAGACCGACTAGTGGCCCGGAGCCAGAATCGCAGTTGGGGAGATAGCAAGCCTGGCGAGTGCGAACCTCTCCGTCGCGCAGCTCGTCAGAAATACTACCCACGTGGTCTATAATTTCCTGGCAGCGTTCCTGGTCAACCTCGACATCTGCAGAGGTTTTTGGAAGAGGGACTGTTCTATCACCATCGCCACACGCATAGACAGTTGCATCAGGACGGGCGTAGATCTCCGGCGCAGCGACAGTTGGCCGTGACTGCTTCTCCGGGTTGAAGTTGGCTGGGATTTCGATATTTGTAAACAAGCAGTATGCACTGACTGGTTTCTTTGGCTGGATGACTACACTGTGGGCCCGCATGGCTGAGATCGGAACTTCAGGGAGGATAGTTTTCGTCCAGGGGCCAGCGGCAACGAGCACATCGGTAGCGGCAATGGTTTGTGTTTCACCCGATGCTTTATCGGTATATGTCACTGACTCGACAGAGCTCTTGGACCGTGCAATATTTGTAACCTGACCAAGGATGATATTTGCGCCCTTTTCCTGGGCGAGCTTTGCAATGGAAGTAGTGAAAAGGTATGGGTGCACTTGAGCGGTTTCGCCTGGTCCACTCATACTTTCATAAGCCCGCAGAAGTTCCGGCTCAATCCAATCCAAGTCCTCGGGGACCTTAGCAGACCTCAGCTTAGACATAGCTGCTGTGCTGCGCTTCTGAAGGGATTCCGTTTTTCCAACTCCGGTCTTCCCTGCGGTGTTCTCAGCAAGAACACGACCTCTCACGACGAGTTGGCCGCAATTGACCTCTCTGTATCCCCATCGGTTGATACCATCATGCTCCTTTGCGAGTTCAGCATGCAGCTTGTAGCTGAGACCGACAAGATTGCTGGGGAAAGCCCATTGCGCTAGCATACCACCCGCTTTTCCCGATGCACCGCCCGCGAGTTCAGTGGCCTCGATGAGTGTGATTTTGTGGCGGGCAGGGTCGTAGGATGGATGTCTGGTGAGGTAGTATGCAGAGCAGCATCCAATGATGCCACCACCTGTGAGTATTTTGGTCAGCGAGTTGCGAGTATGTCGCGCGGGGTACCAGGATCGCAAATATTCTATTCTTACCAACAATAACAATCTCACGCCGGTCTCCTGTCGCTGACATCTTAAATTTTGGCGTTATCTTGGGTGCTAATGATCGTAATGAAGCCACTGTGTAGGAGGTTGTAACTGACAATTTTGGATCGCAGGTTTGCTGATATACAGGGAGGCCTACGTCACTGGAGATGTACGTCCAGTCATATGTGGCACCCACAATCAAGTCCACCACGATCGGTCTTGATACAGGTTTGGCTGATGAATCATTTTGATAATTTTTGGGTTCTATAATATTTGAAATAATGGGGTTGGTAGTAAATCTGACAAGGATTGAGTCATTGAATAAGGAGGTAAAATATCAAGCCAACAAAACCATGCTCCGCAAATGCAAATCGTGTCGAACGAAGGCCGAAAAATGTCCAGTGTTTTTGAATACAAAGAAAAAATGGTGCCGTAGGAATACATGCAGTAAAGATTCATCGCGAGGGACTGAGAGGCCGGTTGAAACCGCCCTGGCGGTTCATGTACTGTCGGTACTCGATCTTCTTCTCCTTCCGCACACCGTAGATGTTGTTTCCGGGAATTTTGGTGTTCTTGGTAGTCCGGAACCTGCTGAAACCCATGGTCCTTCGCATTTGTGCTTCGAGTTCGTCCTCGTCCGCGTCTTCGTTGAAGTCTATGTCCATCGCGTCCTCGTGACGTTCTTGTCCTGGTCGTACGCCTGTCGACTTCCGCCCATCATCTTGCGGTCGAGGCTCTTTGCGGTCGCCATGGCGGTCACTCCTGGGGCCTCGAGGGGGTGACCGGGCTTTTGCACCATTGCGTTGCGGAGATCGGGAGCGGGAACGTTCGCGAAACTTAACGCTTCTAGGTGGATTACCTGGCATTCCAATGTTAGAAAAGCACAAATACTGCAATGTGTTAAAATATTTCACTAACCTCGTCTATCCTGGTTGCGTTCCCGACTGGTGCTCCTCTTTCGGTCCTGGGCCCCACGCCCTTCTTTGTCTCCGTCTCGTCGGTCTCGGTCGCGGCGATCTCGAGACCAGCTCCGTTCTCGCCTTCCATCTTTGCGTTCTCGTGAGCGAGAGCGATATCGGCCGTCGCGTCGGTCATCTCGTGGGGCTGGTGAACGTCTGCGGTCGCGGTCTGATCCTTGCTCTGATGCACGAGGCGTTTTATCATTGGAATCCCACATGGCTGAGCTATCGGCTCGGCGAGCACGCTTTGCAGGTGGCTCCGCCATTATGAAGAAGGTCTGGTCTGGTCTAGGCGTTGCCCCGTACGGCGTGGGTGTTTGTTACGGTTGAGGACAAATGAGGATGGCTTTGCTCAAATTCGAGAGTTCGAGCAACTAGAGTAAGTTTAGAAGGCGAAAAAGCGAATGCTCATAGATGTAGAAATGTAGAGGGTATCAAGTTGTCGCAATGGGTGCCGGCCTGAATATCTCAGGACCAAAGAGAAGTTTATTCCGGTGTGGGCGAGAGACCAGTTGCGCATTTTGTGACATGGCAGCTGATCTATAGCCCTACGGTTTTATTTACATTGAATTGTAGAGCTTTACATTTCAAATGACTTGTACCATACCAGTTCTAGATTTCTGTTGATACAATGCTTGACAACCACACTCAACAAACGCAGTGAATCCGGGTCAAACCCTGGATATATATATGCGCCTCTATCGTGTATAATACTCTCAACCTCTCCCGTCACATATCTTCTCCCCCACAGGTCCGTCCCCCGTTCCGTACTGAGTAAAGCACAGCCACAGCCCTCCATAGTCTCCATTTTCTAGAGGATATGGATGCAATTCTGCAAAACCATGTGAAAAGGTCAAAGATATCTGGTAACCTCTTATACACACTGTGCCGATACTTGTGTTTTTGCGGACTTTCTTTTGGCACATCTGACACAACTCATGACCGATCAAACCAATATTGTGATACCCTATCTCGTAAAGCTGAAGCCAAAACTCAATTCAAAGTCGGCCAGCGACCGTCTTTCCAAGATCAATTATCGACAGCCAGTTGTCAACATCTCTACTGGAGCATCAGAATCAAGTATTTCATCGGTCTCATTGGACCGAAATATGAAGGGCAAGCTCGACAGAAAGTTCAGCAGCGCGGTGAACTAGGCCGGTGGTGGCATCCTGGGTATCGAGATCGCGTAGAAAGCTGGACTGAAGAATTGAGCAAACCCCAGTTTAGACTGAAACAGTACAGATGAGGCCGCCTGTTTTCAGTGGACGAAGCAAAAGGCATCGATGGGAATGTCCACAATGGGGTTTGGATAGCTAAATGGATGGCTGTGAAGATCTCGAACTTGTGAACATCCACAGTACCGTCAATATTCTCTCTAGGTCTCCAAGACAGAGTCTCCTTGCCCACTTCGGAGGGTATACTGATAGAGCAGGAGCGCCGGTTGAGGTTTCCATGAACCTCTCGAAAGTATCAGCCTTCAGCATTGTTCGATTGAAAGCCTTTAGCTAGGAACTCCAATACCGCATTGTGACAGGTGTGGATCAAGTTTCCGGTTTAATAATTGATGTGTTCCCACATTGGAACCAATTATTATCAGAGGAGATGAGCTGCGTGGATGGAGTTGCTGTTTCCACCTTCTGTGGGTAGATGCAGATGGTAATTCGCAGAATGATTTGCCAAGAATGGATGAAGTTGCTGAAGACAGTCTGCAATTTTGACTGCTCATCCATTCATCACAGTTCCCAGTTGTTGAAGGAGTACACCTGAAAGTCCATGGTTGATCAAGACAATGTCCCGCGGAGCTGCTATATTGACCAAAAAGAAACGATTGTCGCGTGGGAGATTATTATGAGATGTATGTCGGATATTGGGCACCCGGTATAAAGGGTATTAAACTAGCTACTCTAAAGCTATTTTTGATAGTCTCCGATTTAAAAGCCTTAATTTGTGTAAAGGGGTACGCTTTAAGGAAATCAAGTTTGTTAATATGATTTATCCTAACCTATATTTTCGATTTAACTAACCGGCTATACGTACGTTTTAACACCGCAAAATAACTAATATTAAGAGGTTATAAAAGGTAAGATAAATACGCTAGTATATAAATTAGTATTACCTTATTTTCTTCACAAATTTTATCGAACCTTAGGGTTAAATAAGTTCTATGACTATTAAGTATTAAAAGCTAATACCCCCCTTCGTACGCGAAGAAGTAGAGGCTCATCAGCAGCAACTGGACACATTTAGAAGAGTGATAAACATGCCGCCATATTGTTTCAATCCTTTTCACCGTACGTAGCCTTATTGGCCAGGCATGGTCTTGGTGGGCACAGTCCATTTCTCCAATCTCAGGGAAAGTAACTAGAGTATTGGAGAAATGCCTCATCAATTTCTGGTGTTTTAGCACCGATGCGGCTCATCTCCGCATAATTGAAGTTACCGTTCATCCAATCTACAGACGCAGAATCGGAAAGCAATTCAGGGGAAGCCTGTTCAATTGAGCTCTCATTTTGAGGAATGGCGGATATTGATTCTTCACTGACAGAACTCGGAACAATGGGACCAGGTTGGAGGTTTAGATGAACGGTGATAGGGTCTACCATGGAAGGCAGAGTTTGCCCTATTTTGGTAAGCAGCAGTGGAAGAAACCTTCGGCGTCCCCCAGGAAGGTCGTGGATGAGAGAGAAAAAATGCTTGAGATAATCCTGCGGGCCGAGCTTAAAGCCCGAAGAACGGAGCCCAGCCGCCGAGAGACATGTCATAACATCAATTAAGGTGCACGCCACCTCAAATATTTTTTCAATCTTTAATGTGTTAGAATATGCTTGGCCTGCTTGTAAGGGATATCATACGAGACCAATTCCATGGGTTTCCATACCCTGCTTGGATAATTTCCATGTTGCGAAACAGAGGTCTTGAGCAATTAGAAGAGGATAGCGAAAATCCATGCATTCATGAGTAGGCTTTGTCGAAAGAAACCCAGCAGTCATAGATAGCTGCCATATCATGATACGCAGCCATTGCTGAGACACACGCAAGTCTGCCATGAGTATATCAGGCAGGCCGAGGTCCGCCGGGACAGCACTTCGGATGCGCTCCTCAAGGCGAACTAGCGACTCGATCGAGCATGTTGCACTCGTTCCATTCCACTGACTCAAAAATCCTTCATCGAATGGGAGGTAAAGATTCACCAGACACCGAAAGCCAATAGCTGACGCATTTGGGAGCGGATCATCTTCCAATTGAGGGCTTGCGGGGGTGACCTGGAGGGTAATTGGTCTATGTCGACGAATTGCATGAGCTCTGTCCCTGTATTAGTAAAGAACTAACGAATAGCGCGAGAAACTACCTCTCGGACACCACCAAGAGCCAAAATAATTTGCCCGCCAAGGAAGGGTCATCCTCATCCACCTGTGCCGATGATGCTTGACTTTCCAGCGCGCTGGCCGTATAAAGCGTCGTGGATTCGCGAAGAAAGTAATATGCATGCCGTTGATTTCCCAATCCAATATGACACCCGTATAGAAGGAAAGCGATGATAATGCTTTGTCGTACAGGATCCGTGAATGGGTCGATATGCTTTCGGGCTTCGGTGGCTTCCTCAATTAGAGAATTTCGGTATTCTTCAGTACAGAAACCTCGACAGAATTCTGAGGATGAATGCTCCACTGCAAATCCGGTTTGAGTAACCACAAAAGCGCAGAAAGCAGTGACCAAACAATAAGCATGGAGACATGTGTCGGTAAGGTCCACCTGTTTCTGAAAGCTGCCGGGTTGCAAAATGGGCACCGTTCCTCTCATACGCGAGAAAAAATATTCCGCACAGGCATTGACAAGGTCCCGGTTTAGAAGGCCTGGGATTTTTGAGAACTGACATCTCCCCAAGGCTAATAGTGACTGGGGCGTTGGTACAGTATCTCCATGTCTGAGGGCTGCCGATGGCGGAGAAATATTCGCATCCTGCACTAGTGTCTGCTCAATTTCTTTTGCTCTAAGCTCATTGAGAATATTGGCTGTTTGGCCCTGTCGCCCCTTTTTCCGTCGTAGCGAAGAGGTCCGGCAGACCAGGCCAGCAGCCCGACACTGCTCACAGGGTTTTGGGAAAATGCACTTGACTTTACGTCGACGACATGCGTCACATGCTTGCTTGACAGGTGGGTCTGACATTTAGAAAGCCACGTATAAATATACCGATAGGAACAAGCAGCAAAATCCGGGGTTGCGGGGGAAGTCGGGGAGAAGCCGGGTGCAGATCACAGCGGGTGAAGAAATGGCAATTATCGCCTTGTTTGTCAGGCCCAAACATGCCGCACAGGCCCTCGAAATTGTGCCTAAATTTTCAGTGGCCGTTTGATTTGTAAGGAGAATCAGTGGACCTCTTTACTGGCTTTGTGTTTTTATAAGATAAGAAGGCAATAATAGAGGCCAAGTCCTATTGGGGCTCCTAATGAGTTACAGGCCGTAGATTGCTGAGAAACTACGGGATACTAATCTCGGGAATAGCGTCGGCAGCTGAAAGGGGTGCTAGAAAATTGGTAGCTCAATCAATATTCTAGAATAGATCATTGACTGGTGCTTCTGTGGGGATATCTCAAATGTAGACACGTCCTTCGAAGGGCTTCAGGGTTTCTAGCGATGAGTCGGAGTAGTTGTCCACAAGCAACTTCATGTCGACAATTTTCTGAGCCTGTGTGAATGGCTGAGGCTGATCAGTGAAGTTCAGAACGATCAATGCTCGTTTATCATTTCTCGACTTCACAAAGCAAAATGACTCTTGATTTTCATAGTCAAGCACTTCAAATGTACCGTGGATGAACAACTCCCGGTAGTCTTTCCTCAGACGCAGAACATGTTTCCAGAAAGACAATACACTTGAGGTGTCATTCTCCTGCCTCTTTACATTGATCTCACCATAAAGGTCATGAGTTCGCATCCACGGTTTCCCAGTAGTGAAACCAGCGTGTTCTGAGTCATCCCACTGCATTGGCAGCCTGGAATGATCGCGAGCCAGGATTCGGAGACCATCCATGATCTGCTCTTTGCGAGTAGGATCAGCCCCACTCTCACTGCGTTGCTCTGCTTCTCGGTAGTACCCCAATCCTTCAATGTCCTTGTATTCCTCAATGGGCCACTCGCGTGGTGCATTGATCATACCAATCTCCTGTCCCTGATAGATGAACAGAGTCCCAGTCATGGTAACCATCATTAGAGCCAACATTTTGGCAGAGACCTCCCGGAACTCAGGTGCATCGGATCCAAACCGAGAGACAGATCGTCCGTTGTCGTGGTTCTCACAGAAAGCGGTGGTCCAGCCATCCGATCCCTCAATGAAAGACTGCCACTTCTCCACAATGGACTTCATCTTCGTCAACTTCCATGGAGTAAAGATGTACTTCTCCTCCAAAGTAGGTCCCATGCCAATATGACCAATGTCCAAGTGGAAGACCATGCTTAACTCGTTGGCTGATGCTCCTACATATTCGAGGACGTTCCTCGGATTGGGCGTATTGGCTAGTTCGCCCACAGTCATGATATCCCCGTACGGAGCAAGTGACTCCTTATACATTTCGCGTAGAAACTCGTGTATCCGGGGTCCGTTGCACCACATTCCGATGGCGGGTTGGATGTAGCTTGTCGGATCTGTGATGGGAGCATCTGGAAAGTCTGTGTGCTTGCTATACTTGTTCACCGTGTCCACTCGAAAGCCATCAACACCTTTGTCTAGCCAGAACCGCACCGCGCTGTTGTAGATAGCCTCGCGTGTGGCTTTGTTATCCCAATTGAGATCGGGTTGCTCCTTGGCGTAGAGATGCAAGTAGTATTCTTCCGTTTTCTCATCCCACGTCCCTATGTAAAAGTTTCGTCAGTCTAAATATATTGGATACCGTAGAATATTCCAACGTACATGTGCTTCCTGCAAAATAACCCCGATAATTGCTTGGAGGCATCCGATTTCCTGCCTCATCATATCGAGGAGGGCGCCAGAAGTACCAATCGCGCTTGGGATTGTCCTTGCTACTCCGACTCTCCTGGAACCAAGCATGCTGATCACTGGAGTGATTAACGACAAGATCTAGAATCAATTTCATGCCTCGCGAGTGACACGCTTCCACAAGATTCTCCACATCTTGTACGGTTCCATAAGCAGGGAGCACGTTTTCATAGTCGGAAATGTCATAGCCCATATCGTGCATAGGTGAGTCGTACATTGGCGATAGCCACACGACATCCACTCCTAGCGACTGGAGGTAATCGACCTTTTTGACAACGCCCGGGATATCGCCCCAGCCATCTCCGTTGGTGTCATAGAAGGAAGCCGGGTATACCTTTAGACTCGAGCACACAAGGTTAAACTGTATCCAAGAATGCCTGAATATTGTGGCAACTAACCTGATAAACGGTAGCTTCTTTCCACCAGTTATTGGTTCCCGTCGGGACGGCTGTATCCTCTGTCGCATGTGGTGACATAGTGGCTTGATACTTGCATTTTCCTTCGACCACCCCTCTTATAGCTTTTCATCATCGGTCGGCGTCAATTCGGACTGGACAAACGCGGGGATAGCTTCAGAAAACCCTGCATGTCCGTAAAGCTGCCGAGTGGAATGTTGCATGTCCGACTAACGACCGACTTGCCGCCGATGGGGTCCTTTCCGTTCGGCTGATTCGTCAGGGCTACCCCTCTCCACTCGAGCTTCCCCAGTTTTCTCTTTTTCGGCAGCAAGTGACCTCCCATGTGCGTTTTCCCCAGATCCACAATGCTCGTGGATGTATATGTTCTTTTGCTTAAAGATCCTTTGTATAAATCAACCATTGTCCCGAGGTCTACCAGTCTTGATAATGCTTAAGATATTCTTAGCTTTCGATTCTGAGCCTCGACAGACGATTTATCCGCAACTTTTTGTTTAGTCTGCGATATACACTGGGCGCATTAGCTTCAAAGACATAACACAGTTTTAGAATGGGATTCGTCGACGACGCATCCACGAGGATGGATGACAAAGTCTCCCCCGCTCTTGCAGAGGGCAGACAAGCAGCTAGGAAAGAGCAGTCCATGACCCTCTGGCAGGCTTTGCGGTTATACCCGAAAGCCGTTGGCTGGTCAGTCCTTCTTTCGTCCACTCTCATCATGGAGGGGTATGACCTTGCATTACTCAGCTCAATGTACGCATCACCCGTGTTCAATCAAAAGTTCGGAGAACAGACTGCCTCGGGGAAATGGGCTGTTCCGGCATCCTGGCAATCCGGCCTTTCCAATGGTGCACGCTGTGGTGAAGTAATTGGACTTCTGATCAATGGTTTGGTCTCTGAGCGTCTAGGGTACCGCAAAACCATGATCTGTGCCTTGTGCGCCATTACAGCAGTCATTTTTCTGTTTTTCTTCGCAGTCAATGTTCAGATGTTGCTAGCTGCCGAGATTCTCGCTGGTATCCCTTGGGGTATATTTCAGACCTTACCAGCCGCCTATGCCTCCGAGGTTTGTCCGGTAGTCCTGCGACCTTACCTGACAACTTTCATCAACATGTGCTGGGTATTCGGACAGTTTGTGGCCGTTGGCGTGAATCGCGGCTCCATCTCTCGTGACGATCAGTGGGGCTGGCGCATACCTTTCGGTGTACAATGGGTGTGGCCAATCCCAATCATGATAGGTTGTCTTTTCGCACCTGAGTCCCCTTGGTGGCATGTGCGACAAGGCAATGTGCAAGGAGCTCGACGAGCCTTGCTGCGGTTGACTTCGCCGAATGATCCCAACTTTGACCCCGAAGAGACGATTGCTATGATTCAACACACCAATGAGTTGGAAAAATCGCTCTCTAGTGGAACCACATACTGGGACTGCTTCAGGGGAACGAACCTTCGCCGAACCGAGGTAGTTTGCCTTGTGTGGTTAGTGCAAACCCTTTGTGGCCAGAACTTGATGGGTTATTTCGCCTACTTCTGTGTCCAAGCGGGTCTTCCCACGGTAGAATCTTTCAACCTGTCCCTGGGACAATACGGCCTCGGTGTTTTGGGTACAATAGGATCATGGTTCCTGATGTCCTACGCGGGCCGACGAACCATCCACATATCCGGTCTCGCCAGTCTTTTCGTCCTTCTGATAATCACAGGGTCTCTATCTTTTGCACCAGGAGACAACAACGCAGCCAAATGGGCAATCGGCGTGATGCTCATTATCTTCACATTCTGCTATGACATTAGCGTCGGCCCAGTCACATACTCCCTCGTTTCAGAACTGTCCTCCACCCGTCTGAAAGCCAAGACTATTGTCCTTGCCCGGTGCCTATACAACATTAGCAACATTGTTGTTAACGTTCTGACCAACTACCAGCTCAATTCCACGGCCTGGAACTGGGGTGCTCGGTGCGCCTATTTCTGGGCTGGTACCTGTCTAGCCTCGCTGGTCTGGGCATATTTCCGGCTTCCTGAGCCAAAGGGCCGCACATATGAGGAGCTGGATTTACTCTTTGAGCGTGGAGTCTCAGCAAGGAAATTTGCCACCACCACGGTTGATCCGTATGAGGGAGAGGCAACAGAAGTTCATGAGGCACATGCGGGTAAACATTGATAGTTCAGCAGCCTATACATCTCCCTGGATATAATTATTAAAATACTATTCCTTCCGCTCTTCCATCTCAGGCCAATTTGAGCTTGACAGCCCAAAAAGACAACAACCTTTGTCACAGAATTTATTGCACAATTAAAGACTACATGGGAAATATCAACAAGAATTTGCTTAAATGATCACATGCGTAGGTAAATGAATAAATCCACACTGAAAGAACCAGAGTTCATTCGTTCATTATAGTTTGTGTTCAATCAGCAGACAGGCTAAAGCAGCCACCTACCTCGGAAGAATTTAGTATATTCTCTCGATTTGAGCCCATGAGCCTTCATGAGCTTCAATCGGTAGTCTTTGGCTTGCTTTGGTATTACTTATAATATGAGATTACTCTATCTATTTATTTAAAGCTAGTGGAAGGGGTGGTGAAAATATATATTGGTAATTTTTTGTCCTTTATTTATATCTTTTAGATGACAGGCTATTTAGAAGTTACATAATTTCGAATTTTATCGTTGATTGGGAATTATCGTTGATTGGGAATTATCGTTGATTGGGAATTATCGTTGATTGGGAATTATCGTTGACTGGAACTTCTAGCACAGGGTATATGTGTTGGATGCTTGACATGATTTTATAGAATTCAAACACTCCAGGTCAAAATTGTTCACAACGATAGAAAGGTTAGAAGAGCCCGCGGGCCGGCCCGTCGAGCCTCAACTTTAAATTCCACCGCGAAATTTTCGCAGCGCCACCCCACTTCCTGTGTGGTCATCAACCTGCGTCCCCAGAGAGCATTTTGCCTATAGCAGTATCTAATTTCAGCAGAACATGGTGCCTATCAACCTTTCACACAGGCGAACGCACAATTTGCTCTTGATTTCGAAACTCTTGAGCTTGCGGGACACTGCATCGCCCCTCACACTTGTCTTGGATTCTTTGGAGCAACCGGCTACGCCGCTCTTGAAAGAATACATCAGACGTGCAAAGGTATAACGACATAAATTGCTATTATAAGCGACATCCGAGCCACCTGACACAGGTGTGGATAGCCATGCTAACTAGTTCGCTAGCTGTCGAAAGTTCATGTCACGCTCATCGCCTTTGAAACCCTGAAGCAACCCGAGGGAGTCGATGCTTTTGTATCAACACGCCGCAAGAGCCCCGCCGATATAGTTAAAGAAGTGAGCGCGGTTTATCAGCCTATCGCAGCCTCCAATCCCTCACGCAGTAAGCATTATGCACTTACCCCGCTAGTGAACTCATACTTACTGCTTCTTTAGGGCGTCTTATCCTCATTGATTCAATTAACTCTCTTCTGGGCTCAAAAAGAGTTGATCCTGGGTTTCATTTGGCGTCCTTCCTTGGCTCCTTTATTACTCCCACATCGCCATCGGCCAAGGTTGATGCTTCGCTCGTTGTGACATATCACCAAGATGTCCCCGAACTTCCACAGCAAAATCCTTACTCGCCATCACCTATCTCTGTATTGACATACCTCGCTACGAGTATCATTACCCTCCATTCGTTCTCACACGTTCTAGCACAGAAGGCTGCTCGCGACCGAAGCCTGGCCCCCCAGTCTTCGGGCTTGAAGAAGAGCAAGAAGGCGTTCTCCTCGGCCGTTTGGACAGACTGGCCGGCACTGGGAAAGCTGAGGGAATCGTCATCGAGCTGGAGCATAGACGGAAGAGTGGTCGCGGTGTACTGGAATGGTACCTTCTCCCACCTGCCTCACAGTATTCGCCCCAGCATCTAAAAGAGGTTGTGACGTTGCTTGATGATAATGTTTTGTACAACCCTCCCATGGAGCAAGATCCAGGTACCGGCGAGGAGGAGCCAACATCGACCTTTGAGCTGGGTCTCACCGACAGACAGAGGCGCGAGAGAGAAGGTGTTGTACTGCCGTACTTTGACGCACAGCATGGCGATGGCCCAGGCGAAGGTGGCCGGATTCTTTACGACATGGGAGAAGAAGACGATTTTGACGAAGAAGAGGATGAAATTTAGACACCATCAAATACGATACATGTTCAAGCAATTCTCTGCATTCTAGAGTCGGCGGATTGTAACCCGCAATCACCGAGGTATTAACTATGCATACATTCATACAGCGAGGCCTACAAGGACGGCCAAAGAGAGCAAGAAATCAGAAGAATCGCCAGAAGAGAAGAATGCAAACGACAAGCCCGACGCCAGCGAAAGGTCCGTACTATGAGATGGTTAGCCACTCGGTCAGGGGAATCTGGAGCAAGTATAGACCCACCTGTTTCAGCAACAATTCCCAGTTGATGCGTACAGCTGCCTTTCTGTACTTCTTGCTGTCCTCGCGCAGTCGCCCTGAAAGTTCGCCCATTCGCTCCAAGCTATCGCCGCGATACAAGAGGTCCTCGATGTTCTTCGTCATCACCTTCGTGACATCACGGAGCTCATCGTTGAGCTTGTCGAGGTTCTGAGAAGCGCGACTATCTTGGTATAATTTCTTTGTGCGTTGGATGAAGGTATCAAACTCGACAAAAGCGTATGGACGGAGAGTGGGTGAGAGGTATTGTGAGGAGGAATAGGTGGTCGTAAATTCGGAGGCCAGATCAGCAAGATAGGTGAAGGCGAGTTTGCGGGGGTAGGACTTGTCGCAAATGCATAGGAAGCAGATATCATCCTTGATTGTATAACTTCATGTGAAGTGAGAAATTACCCATTGATAATGTTTGCTGAATGGTGAGTGTGACTTACTGTAGAGTGTATTGGCCAGACTCGATACTGGCTTGGGGTGCGGCGTTGCGATTCAAGCGCCGAAAGATCATTTTAGCCTGGCTTTTGATCTCAGAGAGCTCTGTTTCGGCCTACAAATTTCGTAAGCTAACGGCCAGCTTGAATAATCGTTGTCACATACCTGCTCGTCGTCGACCGAAGCTGCCAGCATAAGGCCTATTTCACTTCCACATCAGCTTTCCGCCCCTCTAAACCTCCCAAAGAGTTCCTCACCATCGAGCCTTGCAATCTGCGTTGACCTGACCATTCTGAGAAGTTGTCTTTTTTGTTGTGAAGGACAGCAATCTCTCCTTTGTTTTGCCGTGAGAATGGCTCCGAAGAGGAGGCACACGAAGGCGGTAGCGAGGTCCTGTGTGGCAGAACCACGACGTTCGGGGTAAGCTCCGCAATTACTTTTTATCTTTTTCTTACTGACATCGTATAATAATGCCCTAGTCGTGCTGCTGCTAGTTCTGCCGATGTAGCAGAACAGTCGGGTCTCGCCATGTCGACCCCCAAATCCGAAGCGAGCTCACGAACTAGAACCCCAAGAAAGCCCGCCGCCAAAGGGAAATGGAGCGAGGAGCATTTATTGACGAGCGATAAGTCCCTCCTTATTGACTTTGATCTAGTCGTATGAGCCAATTTTCCATAAATGCAATATGAGATCATCCAAGCTAACAATAAGCTCAAAATATGCAGAAACTGCTGGCACAACCCGAAGCATGGAATTGCCTTGAGGAAAGCGACAAGCGCGAAATCCTTGATCTACTCCCCCCAGATGTTCATCCGGAGGCACAAATTACGTCAGACGATCCAGATGCAAAGATACCACCCATTCCAGACTCTTTTATCCGCTATTCAAACAACTGGCGCGACGGCGTTCGACAGTTCCAACTCGACCTCCAAAACGGCCGCTACGACCCCGGATGGTTGCACCAGGCGCAGGAAGCCAGACAGCAGCGCGAGAATGGCGACTTCGATAACTTCAAGGAACGTGAATATGAGCAGTTCTGGGGACAGAAACAGAAAGTTGACTGGCGTGCACCTGCCGGAGAAAGTGCGCGGGTGAAGATAGGAACTCTTATCGATGAAGGTGTCATCCAGCTGGGCGATATCTGGAAATTTTATTATGTTTATGGCAGGGGTGCGGGCAGAATTGTCATCGAAAAGGAAGTCAGGGTATGTTTTGGTCTATCAACTCCGTATACAGCTCCGTCATTTGCTGACTACTAAACACAGCTTCATGACCGTGTTGGGGCGAAATTGACTTTTGCCATTCCACCTGGTGAACGAGTGTTTCTTCGCAGCAACTTCGACAAAGGAGACTCATTCTTGACACCAGAAAAGAGAGAGGAAGATGCAAAAATCGGTCTACACGCACAGCCACAGCCTGTGGCACCCCCTTGTAACGATGCACATTTGAAAAACGAGGAACTAGAATCACAGGCTACTAATGGTACCTCGAATGGTGACGATATGAAGCTCGACACCGATCACGCGCCACAGGAGACCCCTGCTTCTGGCAATGATTCTGCCAATGACAAGGCAATGAAGCCGAAGAATGGCCAACCACCACATGGAATCCCTGCACCTTCTACTGACGAAATGAATATCGAAACCCACATCACCACAGAGCCAAATATTTCACCGTCAAATGACCAAGGAAGCCAAGAAGAATCACCATTTAGTGTTATTATTCTTAGCCCCGGCGGTACGCGAAATCAAAAGCCCAAGCGCACAATTCCTGAGCCCGAACCCCAGCCCCCAGTGAAACGCAAGCGAGGGCGACCACGTAAGAACCCACCAAAGCAACCGGCGCCGGAGCCGCCTCGAGAACCGGAGGTGTCTAGGGAAATAGAACTCTCTCAGCTTGACGAACCAAAGTCAACTGCTCCTCCTTCTTTCAACCTCAGTCTCGCCGTGGCTGCAAAAATTGAAGAAAACCGCAAAGCTGCAGCAGAATCCTCGCATTTAGAGCCTTCACAGCCTGAACATCCTTTGTCGGCGCTGTCTTCTACCCCTGGACCCCCCGAGATCCCTGCGCCAGGGCTATGTGGGTCAATAGAGCCATCCATCGCCAATGCCAACGTCAAAAATGGTACATCGAAATCATTGGAAGTATCCACGGCTCAGTCTGATGCTCCAATCGACAATATCGAGGCACCCGCTGAAGCTGAGCAGGATGAAGTCAATAATTCCACCACTGAACCGCAGAAAGACCCAATACCAACTTCATCCCAGATGACTACCGGTGAGCCGGAGGATATCATCGTCTCGGGAATCCCGTCACCACAAGCACTCGTTCTCAAGATCTTACAGATCGATGGCCGCATGCCCAACAGTCGTACTGCGAATGCCTGGAAGGAAATACGGTGCTACCGAAACAACCAGGACATGGGCAGCCTCTTTGATGTGCGAGAGGCTTGGTTCCTCCAGCATGGACGACTTGAGTAGATGGCTTCCCCTTCTAACATGGGACTACCAGCACACCGGACCATTTGGTTTTCGCGTACACTACCCTTGCTATCATATGAAGATCCAAATGGAAAACAGTCCGTAAATTGCTTGAGGTAACTAGCTGTCAATGAACAAATGAACTCAAGATCTGGAAAAATGATATAAACAAAGTAAGAAATAGGAGCATAGCATGGATGTAAAGTAATGTATACTGTCCAGCCTCTGGGAAGAAAGGCCTGGGCATGGTACCTTACCGAGAATTCAAGTGTTGAGTGAGTCTATTGGACAAGAGAAGTGTCATCCTTTCCTAAAGTATCCGATTATGTTCGCTACACAAGTCCGCTCAGATGGTATGCACCCACCCGCTTTGGCATAATTGCAACTCACTGAACTTATTTACAGGATTCGTAGATTATTTCTGAGCCGGTCACCCACGACTTGAATTACAGATTATATTCCCGCGGTCCATAATTCATTACTTGATTGTTCACAAAATGAAAGGCACCATAACAGCCAACGCCATCCATGAATCCCAGCTTACCGACAATGACCCGGCCATACCGGGAGCAGTTTCTGGTGATGCTGCACCGGGATTGTCGTCGGCGGTGGATGATTCCGTCGTCGATGACGAGTCAGACGATTCTGAGGATCCAGACGACCCGGATGATTCAGATGAATCAGACGCATCGTCTGATGTATCTCCTCCCGGGCTATACGAAGGAGACGCACTGCTAGTATCTGAGGTGATTGCAGTGGTAGGCTTCGATGAGCTAGAAGGCTGTGGCGTCCTAGAAGGTACCGAGGTACTTGAAAAGTCGGAAGTACTCGTAGGCTCAGACTTAGTATCAGTAATTCGAGCTTCCGTGGTCTCAGTGGGACCGGAATCAATGGAAGAAGTGATTGTAAGACTTGCAGTAGGCGCGGGAAGGAAGTTGGTTGCTTTATGACAAAAGCTGCCACCCAGTGTAGGGCAGAGATATCCAGCATCACAGCAGCCTCCACCGAGACAAGTAGGACCGCCAATATCACAGCCACCTCCGCATCTAGGTTTGCCGGAGATGTACGTACAAGGCGAGCCAGATGGGCAACACCCCCCAGTCCCATCTGAGCACAAAGTTTCTGTTGCTTCAGGGCATGTTTGCTCCTGTCGAGGGAGGAGAGCACCAGTGATAATCGGGGCTGCTTGTATCCTCCATTCGGCGGCATTCGCTAGCTGACAGCCTAGGGCTGCGGCTAAGATAGTTTGCCAAGCATGCATGGTGAAAGGGGTTGGAGACTTGGTGCTGTTGAGATAAGAAGTCAGGAACTGAACCAGCCTTGGTGTTTCTGAAGATGTAGGAAGCACAGAGTAGTAGATTTGACGTGACGACGATCCCAGGGAATCGAGTCCAGTCTTATACTATTGGCCTTGGCTTTGTCAAACCCCTAGCACCTTTTCTTTTGATGGCTATACGGAGAAGCTCGTATTCTACCCCGCTCTCTTGTTGTTTCCCGCTGGGTCTCGTATTGATATGCTTGATCTAGCCCATGTTTAGCTTGGCCCTTCGTATCGTATGTAGGGGTGAGGCTCAAGCAGGCTGCCCCCCGAACTCAAACCAGATAGGGTGACCCGGTTGCATCTCTGGCCATAACCGGTAAGAGGTACGGGGACTTTTGAGGAGAGTTGCATCAATTTAGATATTTGGATAGGCACAATGAGACCACGCTACCTGGCGTGGAACAATCACATCCATTTATGTAAAATAAAATCGAATTGTTAGGCTAAAAGTGCAAGCCAAGGGACATGATAGACTATGGGGAACACAGAGAAGGGAACTCAATGGTATTTCCTCAAAATATTTGACAGCCGGTAGGACCTCCCGTTGAACTATACTCGATCAGGAAGTACCACACTAATGGCGCCCGTTTACCTAGAAATTCGAGATTGAGCTGGCTCAGTTGTACCGGTGAAGCCCAAATGACCCCAGGCAACTATTTCCACTCTCACGAATGTTGTTTTGTCTTATTTGTCAATGGGATGGTGCAGTAGAATGAGCAAGCATGGTTCAACAGCGTAACATCTTGATATATGGAGTGAGGTGTGCCGACGGCGAGATAGAATGAAAATTACATAACAAGACCCCGAGCTCGATGGCAGAGACAGAAATTTGATTGCACGCTGATACCTTTCATTAAGACCCGCCGTTCATTCCAGATACACCAGGCATAGGATCCGAGTCCGCGGCAACATCAACAGCAAAGCTAGCCTGTATAAAGTCCTCAAGCTCTTCACTCACAGTTTTGAGCTTTTCCTTGACACTCGCAACGCCTTCTTGCCCAACGATATGTCGTGAAGGGGGGTTTTCATGGCCCCCAATTGATGTAATGGCATATACTGTCTCAGCAACCAGCACTTCAAGGTGTGCGGAGCTCAATGGCGGGTGCATTGAGACAACCTCTGGTGCGGAGAATGGGCCATTTTCAATGGAGCTAACTCTGGCGTTTTCGTCATGCACTCGACTGGGTGTGACTGGACTATCAGCTGAAATGGGAGCATCGGGAAGTTGGGGAACAAGGTGGTTTAAGATCCCGCGAAAGAGAGGTGCTTGATTGTTGGCGGGTGAGTAAGCGGGAAATATTGGAGGGACACTGGTTACTAGGTTGGTGAGAATGCCAATTTCGATGCTGCATTGGAAGATAGTAAGTTTGACGTTGAATGGGGCAATCTCGTAAGCCAGACTCTGTAAAGCTGGTTATTTCCTGCAATGCGAATCATGTCATTAAGTGCGCATAGAGATACTGACATCACAGAATCCTTCAAGGGCCCAACCTGCTGCGCAGTACATTCCTAGTCCCGGTGTACCGATATGGGCCGCTATATATTATGAGACAAATGCCTAAGGATTGGATGGGATACATTTCTTACTGATCCCTGAGATTATCATCATATGCCCTGCTCGCTCTTTCCTCATATGGGGGAGCGCGGCCTTGATGATATTGAGAGGACCGAAATAGTTGACCTCGAACTGATCGCGTACGAGATTCATGGTTTGAACGGAAGCGGAGAGCTCTTCAACTGTTCCGATAAGGGCTTGGGGGCAGGTCAATGTATTGTTCGAGCGTGCCTTGAGAGAATGGAGGGTTACCTTGACTTGTACAGCATAGAAGTATGTCTACTCTTCCAAATGTTGCGACTGCATTCGCCACAATTGCCTGGCACTCCCCCATCATTCTGCGTTGGAAACCAGTCAGTCATTAAGATCGATGCTCATAATGAATTTGACAGCCTTGATGTAGCGCACCGGATATCCAGCGGAACTGTCTTCATGCGCTGTGGCCAGCCATCGTGTTGCTCCACCTCACCGAGAAAAGCTTCAAATTCATCTCGGCGGCGTTCGTCGCGTTCCAAAGTTGAATGTGCTAGTCCAAGAAATACATAATCTCCATGCGCAAGGACCTGGCGCGCCACTGAGAGGCCAATTGGCGAATCCCCCGCGGTGATCAGCCATACTCGAGGCTCGCTATGCGACGGGAATTGCACGCGGGCATCAAAAGGGGTATTATTTTCCATGGGGATCAACGCCAATGGCCAATGTGCTATCCATCACGCGATTGTAATTTCAAAGCTACTTGATAGCCAACAAGTATAAGAACGGAAGATGCCCGGAGGGTCGGAAGAGCGAACGCCAAGACCGCGCCAGGTCCCGGGCCTCAATCTAATCGCGTGTTAATCGCCCACGTTAGCTGCCCTTCTGGCCTTTTCTCTTTCCTTCCTCATCCACCATGTCGGAACAGAGGCCACGCAGACAGGAGGAGTCCGGTGTAGGTGTTATTGATTCTATGTTGTTGTGTTAGATTTACTGACCTCCTTTAGTCGGGCTTCAAGGGTGCTCTCCAGGGTCTTGGAATCTTCTTGTTGGCCCAATTTGCCATGAACCAGTACATGGGAAATAAGGACAAGACAGATTCTACCAGCGTGAATTCTGGTGGTATTCCCGCTTTTGCCGATCGCCCCGATCCTAGCGAAGTCGCTGAACACAGTGCTCTCCCTGAAAAGATCGCCCCAATCTGGCCCTCCGACAGCGCTGTCGATCTCAGCATCTATGTAACTCCCTCTATCGTTGTGCCCAACTTCAAATCACCGGACAGTACTCTTGTGCTGCATGAGAAGAACTTCACACTTGGAAACTACAGTGACACTCGCGAAATCGACACCACCATCAAGGTTCCAAAGCAGGTCCAACAAAATGGAACTCTCTGGGCTCACTTCTTTTTGGCTCGCACCGGATACCCACTAGACCCCGCTGCTAAGGACTACAACACCGCTGATGCGGTCCACTTCCTCCGACCTCTGAACCAGTACCTTCCCAAGAAGAAGGTCAAGAAGCTGAAGAATCTACTGTCGACCCCCGAGGAGGAACACGATCAGGAGGAAGATAACACCCCGGATGTTTCAACCATGTCATACTATCATCCCAACTTCACACTGTCCCTTATCCCAGACTCCGGAATTGTGAATATGGCCCAGATGAACCCCGCCGCTCGCCAGTATTTGCAGCTGGAACGGACCGGTGCTCGCGATGCTAGTGGAAAGAATGGATGGTACTACCCGATCGCTTTCTTTAACACTTTCTGGCAACTGAAGAGCCACATGACCGAGCTAAACTCCACCGTTGAGACCCTGCCATTGCACATTACTCTCAACAACATGGCCAATTGGAAATTTAACATCATCAGCAGTGTTGATGAAGGTTCCAAGCAAAGTTCTCGCCAGGCCGCCTATGGCAATCCTGTTCCCGGCGGCGGAGATGGTAACGAGTGGGAGATGGTGAAGGAGATTCTCTTGGACACGAACATTTGGCTCCTCTCCATTACCGGTGTCGTCACTGTCCTCCATATGTTGTTTGAGACTTTGGCCTTCAAGAACGATATTGTAAGTGATATCTACCATGAGAAATGTGGTGCCCATTCCGCTGACATTTTCACTTCTAGGCCCACTGGCGTAAGAAGAAGGATGTTGTTGGCACCTCGGTTCGGACAATCCTGGCAAACGTCTTCATGCAGACTGTCATCTTCCTCTACCTCATGGACAATAGCGACAACACCTCTTGGATGATCTTGGCCAGTCAAGGATTTGGTATCCTTCTGGAATTCTGGAAGATCACCAAGACTGTTGACGTTCGCTTGCGCCCGCCGCCAGCCAGCTCGTGGTTTTCATTCTTGCCCTATGTGATTGTCTTTGAGGACAAGCATAAGCTCAGTGAGACTGAGGAAAAGACCAAGGAGTACGATGAAATTGCCTTCCGCTACTTGTACATTTTGGCTGTTCCACTTCTGCTCGCATACGCTGCGTACAGCCTGGTCTACAACACTCACAAGTCCTGGTACTCATACGTTATCCAGACCTTGGTCGGCAGTGTTTACGCCTATGGCTTCCTCATGATGGTCCCCAGTCTCTACATCAACTACCGGTTGAAGTCTGTTGCCCACATGCCCGGCAAGGCATTGACTTACAAGTTCCTGAACACCTTCATCGACGATCTCTTCGCCTTCACCGTCAAGATGCCCTGGCTCCACCGCCTGTCAACTCTTCGCGACGACGTCATCTTCTTCGTCTGGCTCTACCAGGGCTGGAAGTACAAGGTTGACTACAAGCGTGTCAACGAATTCGGCCAGGGAGGTGATAGTGACGAGGAAGAGGAGAAGGAGGAACCTACTCCTGCTATCGAGGGCGACAAGAAAGAAGTGGCTACTCAATCATCTTCCGACGCTGCTTCCAAGTCGTCTACCCGCAAGAGGAAATGAACGACGGTTGAATGCAGGTCTTGTCAGCCAATAGGCCGATGAATCTGGGATCAACACATTTTGAGTAAATAGTAAATCACTCGATTTCGCTACTTTTGGCATGATGCTGGTGAGCATCGAATCATGATTATTGCAATGTTGTAGCAGGCACTGTTTAATTCCGATTCATTTAGTTATGTTTCCTCAAGAAAATCACTTTAGAGTTCTGAACTTACTTATCCAGTAGCATGAAATCAAAAGAGACAAATCTGTGCCATCATCCTAGTATGGTGGTCACCAACAATAATAGGTGACTACAGGTCGGCTCAACGGTAGAGGTAGAGACCGTTGTTATGCTTACCCGATTAGGTTTAAGGCCATTTTTGCATCCTCGCGCTCACTCGTTCTTCTATGTAACTGTCGTTTGATCAGCATCGAAAACATTCATTGCATTAGTCCCAAAACTATCGCATAGAATTGAACTCGATAAAACTTCTTCGTTGCATTTTCGAGACGCGCAGTTGAAGGAAGCGCGACGTCGCCAACTACGCGCCAAATACTACCACTGAAGCACACTACATTCTATCATTCTTGACGACACACCACTCGCGGGAAACTTTGTAATAACAGTCATCTATATGGATATTGATACAGGTAAATTGTGTCTATAATCTTCCAATCGAACAACACTAACAATTCTCCAGGTAGCAGCCAACCAAGCGGCCTGCTTGATGCGGTCGAGCACTTGGAAGCTGGTACGGCCAGGAAGCTCTCCTGAGACGGGAAATATTGTTACTAATGAGATTCGGCAGTTGCATTCGTTCCATCCAAGCAGAGATATACAGATGCCAGTTTACTAGCCAAAACAATCGCTTCAAACGCGTACGAGAGCGGCATTCCGCAACCCGTGCTGGCCCGTCTCCTGAAGATTCTGACCGCAAAAAACCACCTAGATCAGGGCACAACTACAACGCTGATCAAAAATCTTTTCCTCAGGAGAGAATCCCATCGAAGAATGTCACTCAAGTGGTGTGCTGCCTTGGGCCCAGCAAGAACAAACCGAGCCCCGCCACACAGGCTCTGTTACTGCGCTGGTTGATTCTTGTATATGATCTCTTCGAAGAAAGGACGCATCTCGCGAGACTTTATGCTGTTCTTTTCAATTATTTGGATATGATTAGTTTGCGGAAACCACTGTGTCACCTTCTCTCGCTTATCACAAGACGAAAACACGTCAAACCATTCCGCATTCAAGCCTTGATGGAGCTGATCCAGACTGCTGGTGGCGAAGACAGAGAGCTTATCAGTCTCCTGAGAATTTATAAGAATTATTACCCCGAGATCATTCTCGGTGAATTTGCGGGGCCGAGAAGGAATGCTCTCTTCTTCAAACATCCAGACCCCGAGTGGTCAAGCCACGTGAAGGTGCTTCAAGACCAGAATATAGAAAAAGTCAAGGCTGGCCAGGGATCGAGTTTCCAAGTCGTTCATCGGGGAACTGTGAAGAGAAGTAGGATTGAAGTTGTCATTCCGACTCTACAAACTTCACGTGTATCTCAGAAACACACGTCTCTGGAGGAGCTTCGTGATGTTGGCCATTTTGTTGATAAGCTTGACAAAATTGAGCTACCAAACCAGATCATCTCAACTTTGGGGGATGCGATGGCTCAGAAGTACCTTCACCTGGTCCGACCTGATCTTGCACATCATCGTTTAAATGAATGGCTGAGAAGTTTCCTGGGGGATAAATTGGAGACACTGCGCGAGGATCAAGATGATGAGCCCGAAACATTATCATATGTGTTGGAATTTGTTGTAGGATATGCATCATATTCCAAGGTGAGTCTTTCGAATAGATCATTGTCGACTCAGACGCTGACAGAATTTTAGGAACTCCCATCCTCGATACGTTCTTTCTTGAAGTCCTATCTGAAAATATGGAATGGCAAGGATAATTGTGATCACATCTTCCAACTTCTCCAGCACACCTCAATAGAGTCTTTCGAGTCTCTTTGGAGTGAATTATTGTCACCATTGGAGTTGGCTGTGTTAGATCAGAGTCTTCGTTCCAGGACAGGGTTGCTTGGGTTCTATTCAGCATTGATCAACCAATGGAGCGTGAAACTTCGGTCACAGGCAGATAAGACAGAAGAATCAGTCCATCTGAGTCAAATCATCGTGCATGCCGAGCTCTTAGCATCTTCAATTCTGGAGTTTTCGGTGGAGGACGAGGATAAAAAGTCCAAACCAGCTACCATTTCTGTGCTCGACTTCTACAGGACCCTTTCACAACTCTTTTCTCATGCACCCCAAGACGGCCGATTCCGTCTCACACTTCCGCACGCGCAAACCGTATACACACTCGCCTTCACACCCAGTGTTGCTGTGATTTCCACCCTCAACTCCATCCTGGCCATCTACAAATCTGCATTCGAGGCTTCTCTGAATTCACAAGTTCTGCAAGCACAGAACTCCCCGGCTTATGGTACAGAACTTGTTGGTCGGTTCAATGGGTATGTAATGGACATGTGTAATGTGCTATGGCGCAACCGTGCACTTAACACAGAAGACCCGAATGCGCTAGGCTGTCTCGTCCCAGTACCGACCGCCACTGCTCTGGCAAACTATATCAAAGACTTGTCTGAGGCAGCCAGACACTATGACCGTGAAAGTGCATTCCATCTTAATCTTTCGTCGATATTCTCTCTCAGCCACCATGCTGCATTCTGCAACCTGTCTGCGGCTTGCTTTGCAGATCTGGAAGAGGACCAGCAGGTTGCGGACCACCGCCCGAAATTAAGAAAGCCAGTTACGCAGAAAGTGCTACAGGCACTGGAGAAGGATGGTGGCGCTAAGATTACATGGCAGGAATACCGTGTACATATGCTAGATTGGTTGGATGCGATTGGATGCCGGGGTACCGGCATTCTAATGAGAAGCACGATGAAAGCTTTGCGCAAAGAGTAATAACGATAGTCCGGTGAGATTCCACACCAGTTCTAGAAATGAAAATTCTCATCTCATCACGCCGTTTAAATGCTTGGTATCGGTATAATACATATTTGTACATGTTCGGTCCTCGATATGAGGCAGTCTTGGTATCAGACTGGCCACAGCATAGCGTTCAAGGGGTCAGAACTTCTCCATCGAGTTCAGGTATATATCTTGAACACTGGGCTCTTCTCGCAGAGCACTCAGGAGGTCTTCAAGATCTTTCACCTGTTCCTCGTCCTTGACCTCGACCATGCTATCCCTGTTTGGATCCCAGAAGATCTCCAATTCCTCCATGCTGAGACCCGAAAGTTTCGAAAATGCCTCGCCTACAGTTTTCGTCTCTGACGGATCAGTCAAGACCACAAGGCGACCCTTGTCATCGGTGGTGATGTCTGCCGCGCCTGCTTCGATCGCCTGGTCCAAGTAATCATCTACATTCACACCATCTTTCTTTTCCATAACAACCCTACCCTTTCTCTCAAAAAGAAATGTAGTGGGGGTGACGATTCCTCCATTGTCTTTAATCATATACCGAACGTCTTGTAGCACGCGCGCCTTCTGATCCGTTTGACACTCCACAACCGCAGCCACCGAACCAGGCAGCATGGCCTCAATTGTCACGGATTCTAGTGCTTGACCTGACACACTCACTCCTTGTCCGCGAGCAATTGCTGCCTCGATAATGATCTTCGGAATAGAGGCTCGTTTCGCATTCGATAGCGCGAGGGCGAGACGAGGATTGTACTTTGTGTCGGGTCCCCACACTAGAATAGAAGGTTAAGATCTGAGATATGGATAATTGAATGGTCATACATACTCTGTGTAGCATTGGCAATTTCCTTTGCCACTATTTGGCGTTCCTTGCTTTTGGCCTTGTCGTTTCTGGCCTTGTCATGCTTAATCGTCGACCATTTGTTGTGACCAGAGAGAGTGGCCGACGAGGTGCTGAAGTGGCGACACTCATGACAGGCAGAATCAACCCGGGGCTGCCGCAGCAGCCTGCTAAGCCTGAGAGCCATTACGGTTTTGCGTATGTTGTAGATGAAGATCCAATCTCCATTGGGATTCCCTCGGGCGGCTGTTTCTCCGATCTCCGCACACCGTGAGGCCACACGATAAGGAGAACATGGGGTTGACGCTACTGTGAACTAAATACACTCACCTTCTTTTCCCTTTTTCATTCATTCATTCTTATGGGGCTACGCCTGCCCTGAATCTATCTCATGTCTTCCGATATCCCACCCTCTCCTCCACAAAATGTGGCCCCTGAGCTCGACATCCCTAAACTACATGCCCTCCCCTCCGAACAACAGGAACTGTACATGCTTACGTTCACCTCCGACCTCGTACAATACATAAATGGATTGGAAACCGCCGAAGTCACATCACAACAAAAGGATCTCAAAAAGGAATTGTTCAAAATATTGAACCTCCCTTCACCGACCATTACTCGAGTCCTCCGCACCAATCTAGGGCGATGTTTTGGCGCAATACTCAGCAAAGGGGATCGCGGGATTCTCTTCGAAACAATCACCGACCTGCTGGCAATTGTGAATGCTGGCAAAAGCGAAGCCGAATTGAAGACCAAATTCGCTGCGGCGCATTGTCTAGGGGAGGTATTTGCGACAGCTGGCGATAGCGCGTTCATGCAGTCCAATGTTGCGACTTCGGCCGCGCTCAAACTCTTGAAATCGGCGAGCAATCACACCGGTCTCAGGGGGGTTCTCTTTGCAGTAATGCGCAAGATTGTTGTTGGAATTGGGGTTCCAATCGATGAAGGAACTGCCCGCGACATCTGGAAGCAGGCCCGAAATGCTGCTACCAGCGACAAGTCCACTTTCGTCCAAGTCCATGCATGCCGCTGCCTGGAGCAGCTGGTTACCACGACACCATTCTTCGATAATGCACATGACTTTGAACACCTCAAAACCCTTGTATGGAAGGTTATTGACAGCCCAGCTGCACCAGTGCGGCACGCCGTAGCTGCGGTTCTCGGTCGGGCACTGATCAACCTACATGCTACGGATGCGCACATCACGGCTGCCCCGAAACCGAAATCGAAGAAGTCGAAGCGCATGTCAAAGAAACCTGGTGTGGGGCTTGGGGAGGAGGAAGATGCTGAGATGTCAGAATCGTCTGCCCCCAAGAAAACAGACTCGCGCTTGTACTTCCTTCTTCCGGATTTGTTGAGGCAACTTTCGACCCAATATTTGAAGAGTACAACTTCGAATCGCTCTCGCGCTGGGATCTGTATATGCTACAAATATGTTGTGCGCAATCTTGGAGACAAGATTGTCGAGGAGCGTTATGGTCAGATTGCAACCAACCTGCTTGTCGAGTTGTTAAACCATCCAACCGTAACATACAACCGCTTCCGCCTACTTATGACTAGGAAGTTTATCAAGAGTATCCTTGAAGATACTATCGGCCAGGAATTGCTGCGCGAAAACAGTCAACTCAATGCCGCAACATGGCTAATCAACGATATCCTCAAGGACTACCCGCAGGTTATCCAGGAACGTCGTGAGCCCAGCAAGTTTACACTGACGAGTGCGGTCAGCGCTTTGTCCTCGTTGATTTCGTCACTTGGCTCCGCTTTCAGCGTTCAGGCTGATAATTGCCGAGATGCTCTGCTCCAAGTCCTTCCTCACCCTAGCTACACCGTTCAAGTCCACGCTGCGCATTGTCTGCGGAACTTCGTTCTAGCCGCTCCTCATCAATTGTTGTCATGTGTGACAATCTGCATGAACAGTTTGAACAGGGAAATTGGACAGCTAGGCACGCCGCGCCAGTCACCTCGCCGGTGCGTTGGCTATGCCAATGGGCTATCAGCAATGCTCAGCACTTCTCGTTTGCAACCTCTTTATGGAGCAGTGGATGTATTTGCGCGCGTTTTTACCCAGGCGACTGATCTTCTCAAGACGAGCGGCACCTCCGAGCTTCGGGTTGCAAGCATTCAGATCCAGGTGGCATGGATTCTGATTGGAGGTTTAATGCCTCTGGGGCCCAGCTTTGTCAAGACCCATCTGTCTCAACTGATGCTTCTCTGGAAGAATGCACTCCCAAAACACCTTGGAAAGGAGAACGCTGCCCAGCCAAGTACTGTGGAGATCAGTTTCCTGACTCATGTGCGGGAGTGTGCTCTAGGATCGCTGCTGGTGTTCATGGAGTTCAACAGCAAATTGATCACATCAGATGGCGCTAAGAGAACCGCTGCGATGTTACAAAACACAGTCGAATTTTTGGACGAGTTGCCTAAGCCAAAGGCTATGGAAGATCTTTCTCAAAGGCTACACCCATCCCTACAATTGCAAGATTATTCGACCATGGTGCGCCGGCGTGTGTTGCAGTGTTTCTCGAAGCTTGTGCATGTCCATCCACCTAGCCACGGGGACATCATTTCTCAGTCCAGACTCCTCAGCCTGGCTATTTCCTCATTTGCAGACCCAGATTCCCAGTACAAGCAACTGGAGAGTTCCATTTCCGGCTCCGCTGGACAATTCGATGGCCTATGGGAGCTATGTGATAATTATGGATTTGGCGTCACTGGACTCTCGCGAGAATATATTCGTGCTACACTGTCTGGCACCCAGGAAGATGACAAGAGTCCCGCCTGGTCTGCGCTTGATTCGGTGGACCAAGTTGTGGACGACACCTTGACATTCCCTATCTGTGAAGCTAGCGAACACGACGCGATTCTTCTATACAGTTTGCGAGATGGAGATAAGCTTTCTGTTGACCCCCCAACAACAGGAGTTGTCAACTCGGCAATAGATTTATTCTCTGTGGCCCTCGCTCTTCATTCGTCCAAGATCCAAGAAAGCAGTGTGGAACAGATCGCTACGTTCCTCACTTCTCCGGGCCTACAAAGAAACCCCGGCAGGAAAGCAGCACTGGTCGTCAACATCTCGGTCGCCCTTTTACAGACTCTGAAAGTTGCTGTTAAGGAGACAGATTTTGTGCCTGGTAAACTGAATCCGTCCACTGATAAAATTTTGCAAGAGCTTCTCCAGAAGTTTGTCATAGAAGCCGATCCCATTGTTCGTACAATCGGCGCTGAAGCACTTGGAAGACTTTGTGACAGCGCCGGGAACACATGCACCAATACACAGGTCAATTGGCTGGTTGATACTATTGTCGCAAACAGAGAGCCTAACGCTAGAGCTGGCTGTGCTGCTGCCTTAGGATGTATCCATGCCCAGATTGGCGGAATGGCAGCTGGTCTGCACCTCAAAACGATCGTTGGCGTTTTGATGTCTTTGTGTAATGACCCCCACCCTGTTGTCCATTTCTGGGCCCTTGGGGGCTTGGAGAGAGTTGCGAACTCAGCTGGTTTGACATTCTCGCCTTTTGTCTCTGGCTCTTTGGGGATGCTTGCTCAACTCTACATCGCTGATACCCACAACGAAGAGGCAGCCGCGCTGGCGACATCAAACATAGAAATGTCATTCTTGACACCCGTCGTGATCAGTCGATGCGTGGACTCCCTCATCAATGTTCTCGGACCGGACTTGCAAGACATTGCGAAGACCCGAAATCTTATTTTGACACTACTTCGCCAATTCCAGTTGGAGGAAAACCCAGCGTTGGTGACGGAAAGTTCCAAATGTTTGGACCACTTCTCGATGTATGCCTCCAGTTATGTCGACCTTGAGGCGTACGTGAAGCGACTGCAGACCGAGCTTCGTGCAAGCAACTTCCTCATGCGAGATGTGGCAGTCCGTGGACTCAACAACCTCATGAAACGAGACGCGTCGTTTGTGATGCAGACGGCGGGTCAGTCTTTGGAAGATGACATCTGGCTCGCATTCGATGAAGCACCGAACAACACGTCACTCAAGTCAATGATCCAGGACTGGCTACAGCAGACTGCTTTGACGGAAACTGAGGTGTGGATCCAACGTTGTCAAAATATTATGACCAAGACACGCCACAAGGTGGAAGCTCCTAACACAGCTGTACAAGCTGCGGCTGCCGATATTCCCGATGACGAGGTCGCCGGGTTCGCCTCGGCTGCTGGGGAAGGACAAGGTGACACTGCCAACGAAAGCATCTCCGGCCAAGAATTATTGAAGTGGCAGACCCGCAACTTTGCCATGAGCTGTCTTTCCGAACTTCTGGCTACTGTCCAAGAGGCAATCCTCCCAGATTCTGCCATCCCAGCGGAGTTGGCTCTCCAGAAAAACGTCGGAGATATTGTGAGAATGGCCTTCTCGGCATCCACCGCCAATGTCATTGAGCTGCGCGTATGGGGATTGAAGATTATAGATCAAGTTCTTACTATGTTCGGCAAGACACCGGATCCTGACTTTGCTGAGGCCTCCCTCCTTGAGCAATATCAAGCTCAGATTGGGTCTGCACTTACTCCTGCCTTTGCCACTGATTCCTCTGCGGAACTGGCCTCAGAGGCCATTAATGTATCTGCGACTTTCATTGCCACAGGAATCGTAACAAATGTCGACCGCATGGGGAGAATCCTGAGGCTTCTGGTGCTGGGCCTGGAGAACTTCGCGAAGAACCCGGAGACTACCGAAATCGGTGACCTCAAGGGTCTCAACTCAAATGCTCGAGTCATGGTCAAACTCGCTCTGTTTTCGGCCTGGGCCCGGCTCCAGATCGCAAGTATCGACCATGAGTACTTGACCGAGGTGGTCCAGCCTTATATTGCGAAACTAACACCGTTATGGCTTTCGTCACTCCAGGAATATGCTCGATTGCGCTTTGAGCCGGACATATCCGGTAGTTTGGGGACAAGCTCGAGCGGTGACCTGGATGAGGTGTATGCCGCATTGAATCGTGAGACTTTGTTGAAGGTAAGCCCCGATCTGTCTGTTATATCTGGCAGACGCTAATAATATTTTCAGTTTTACCAAGACACATGGTTATACTTGGTTGATGCAATTGCTGGGCTCGTCGAGAAAGACATCGACTTCGTTTTCGATGCCTTGGATGGAAAGTTGCAGCTACCGGAGGAGCCTAGCGGCACCGAGGGTGAGGAGAAACAAGAAAAAGCCACCAAAGAGAAGAAGGACGAAGGAAAAGGGCATGATATCAATTACCGCGAAGAGCCGGTTGCATTCTTCTTTGTCTTGTTCGGACTGGCCTTCGAATCCCTGGTTGATCAAGGAACTTCGGCATCGCAACGTTTGGAGATTCTTCAAGCTCTGAAGCGAATCCTGAGGCCGGTCATCTGTGGAAATGCCATCTACCAAGATGCAATTTTCACGGAGACTATGGACACTTTCGACCGTCTTGTGTTGACAGAAGCTACTCCCATCCAGACCGTCATCGTCGAGATTGCCCAAAACCTGTCCCTTGATCACCCCGCAGCAAAGGGCGATTCGGAACGCAGCGACCATCTTTCCGATGACATCGAGCAACTCTTCGAGCTCACAAGAAGCATCATCCTTGTTCTTGCTGGAATGCTTCCCAACCTCCGCGAATCGACACCACTCGCACGATTTAACGTCACTTCGGATGAGTCCTTGACCCTTATTCGTTTGGCGCTTCATGCTCTCGTTGATGTTGCTTCTGTATTCCCGTCCATCATTCGCAATGATCTCCATGCTTGTATCCTACATATCTTCACTACCATTCTCGCAACTGGGATCTGTCAAGCAGGAGTGGTTCCGCAAGCTCTTCCGATCTTTAGGCAGTTTGTTCACGCTATTACCCATGCAACGGAATCGGAATCACCAGAGGATCTTGAGGTCGTGTCATTCCAGCTTCGAGGCTGTCTCACGCGCTTCCTGACCATTCTCACCATCGCTCAGCGACGAGAATCGGATATCTCTATTCCCTGCGCCAAGAACACGCTCCTCGCTATCACCTTCCTCTTGACTGCCGGTGCACACGTCATCCCGCCCCAGGAGCCAGTTTTGATCCGAGTTCTAGATGAGTTGCTTGACTGTCTTCAAGATGTCGGTCTTGCCACCGTGGCAGCTAGCTGCCTCCGTTCAATCCTTGTCAAGCCAGGTCCTCGCTCCATCACCGACGAAGTGATCAGCAGATACCTCACCCCGCGACTGGTTGCCTTCCTGGTCGCCTGCCCCCTGGACAACGGTGATATCCCCAGCGACCCCGAGAACTCCCGCACAGTAATTGCTCGCACGCTCGTGTCGTGCATCTCCAATGCCACTTTCTGTCCTTCTGAACTGCCCGCCGCTACATCCCTCATCATGTCGGCACTTTTGGCACGCGCTAAGCGTGAAGGCGAGTCTGTGCACCAGGAATCCGCGGGACATCTCCTCGAGCTTGCCAAGGCCGATCAGCTTACTTTCCGGTCGCTGGTTGCCACTATGAAAGCAGATCAGAAGTTACTTTTAGAAGAGGTTCTTCGTAGTGTCGGAGTTGGAGCTGTTACCCCGAAGACTGGCGCTGATTCTGCAGACAATGCTCCGCAGGCTGCGCCGAGTATAGCATTGCGCATGGATTTTTAGAAACTTGATACGGTATAAAAACCAGACGACACCCTTATGATACAGTTAAATGCATACAAAAAATTTTCACATTCAACTTCAGAGAACCGAGGCGAATCGTCCAGCGCAAACTAGCTATATAGACGGCTGTAGAGTGTCAATATCGACTAGGACCGGAGCCTATATTTTTGGTATGTATTAATTAAATTTATCTCAATCCTTCTAATCAATTTGACGATCAGAACAACCGATGTCTCAGTTTCTTTCAATGGGCTACCATTTCTACCATTTGTACCATTTCTGCTAATTTGCCATTCTACCTCATGATGCCTTTGAAGACACCGGAGCAGAGGAAATGCGATACTAGAGAACGCAAATGTCAACTCGTTAAGTAAATCAGCACTTTGTTTTCCAATCAATCCAATCAAAGAGGCAGCCGGGCTCTAATGCCATGCGTTACTTATACCAAAGGCAGCACCCACAAGCCCGAAGGCGAAAGCCCTGATCGCGACCCATCTAAATGGTAAATAAGTCATGCTGTGTCTAACGTCAAAATTATATCTATTCCATTCACGCCGGAAAGGGAATTGTCATTCAGTCACCGCAATGATATGGATCATATTCAGAACCCAATCACAGTAAGCAATGTCTCCAGAGTATCAGAGAAGTGCATAGCTACACAGCGTCCGATTATCATTGTTGCCGCCATATATTCTATGATAGCGAGGAGTCGAAACCCCGACTTTTCTGGAGGAAAGGGAGACAATCATTGCCGCTACAAATCATGGTACTTTTGAATTAATCCTGACTAGTATTACCTTCATCACTGTGACTATCAAAATTCCCCAGAAGTTGATCTTGTGGTATGTTAGGTCAAAATTCATGATGTCACGGTTTGGCTAATACATACGTATATCTTGTGGCGTACCGCGGCATGCTGGGAAACCCTAAGTACTAAGTGTAATTGACTTCGATTTTGCTCACTATAAACTCCCCTTCATCTGAATTGATTTCATTTTCTAAAGATCAGTATTCTTAATCGACGCCATTCCTAATGGAGCAGAATACCATCCGCCGTCGAGGCCTCGGTCTCCACGGCGTTGATGCCGAGCGCGTCTCCCCGGGCTACGTGCTATACGCACCTCTCACTTCCAACACAGCACACCTAGTCTCCACAACAGGTAAAGAAGTGCACCGCTGGAAACTCCCTTATCGCCCTGGCCGACACCCCCGCATCCTAGCGGACGGAAACCTCGCCTACAACGGCGCGCACCCAGACTCCCCTATTTTCTTCCCAAAGTGGGCGAAGTACCGAGGCGGCGTAATGATGCAAGTCAGCCCAGATGGCGAGATCCTTCGCCAATACAGCGACCCGCTAGCACACCACGACCAGCACCACTTCGACGACGGCACAATCCTGTACTCGACGCAGGAGCCACTCACCAGCGCCGAAGCAGCGTGCGTACAAGGCGGGATTCCATCCAGCGAAGCCCCGAATGGCGTCATCTATGGTGACTGCATCAAACTCGTCCAGCCTTGGTCGACAAGCAACATCTCCTCATCTGCAGATTTCGACGGCAGCGGTGGGAAATCAGGCGCCAAGCTCCTCTGGTCATGGCGTGCAATCGACCATCTCGACCCTAATGTCTTTGTAACGCACAAGGACATGAGTCGCGAGCACTGGCCGATGATCAACGGCGTTGCGCTTGACTCGGCTGGGGATATCATTGCTTCGTCGAGGAATACGGCGAGCGTGTTTATTGTCAGTCGTGCTACGGGTGCGGTCAAGCGTCGTATTGCTGCGCCGGTTGTTAACCAGCAGCATTGTCCTCATGAGATTAATGAGGCGGGGGATATTTTACTTCTTGACAATGGTAATTTCAGGCCTAAGACGACGGTTCCGTTTTCGAGGGCAATTATTGTCTCCAAGGAAGGGGTGGTCAAGTGGGAGTATAAGGATTCCTCGACGGGAGGGTTGGGATTCTTCTCTCCATTTATGGGATCTGCACAGAAGTTGGCTGGTGGAAATGTTCTGGTTTGTGAGGCTCCTACTGGGCGAATTATGGAGGTTACTGAAGGGGGTGAGGTTGTTTGGGAGTTTGTTGTGCCACAGATGGAGGATTACAAGGAGGTTATGACGAAAGAGGAGTTGGCGGGCATAAATAATTATGCTACTAATGGGATCTTTAGGGCTTATAAGTATCGCCCCGAGGAGGTGCCTTGGCTCAAGGAATAGTCGAGGATTTATAGGGCCCTGAAAAATGAAAAGTGATCTTGTGATTTGAATCTATTGTACATATATAAGCCGTATAAATGGACATCGCCTTTTGTCTAATAGTTGTTTATACAATGTGCGTGAGAGAGTCTAGTGGAAAGAGATGTATACATGAGTACCGAGCCAAATGAAAGGAAGCAATATGTGGCTGATGTCCATAAGACATGAGGAGTGGAAAGTGTCAGGTAGATACCGAAAAGAGGTGTGTCAGGCGCCTGGTCTATGTTCAAAATCTCAACCAAGAGATTCGCCAAGATGCAGTTCAGCAGACGGAATGTCTGCTTGAATGCCACCATCTTGGGCCACCCGATTTTCGGTAATAATTTCTTTGGTGATGACTGGCTTCTCCACTTGCTTGGCTTTCTTGGGCTCAGGCTCCTTGCGTGTCGAAGCATACTTCAAGAAGACGATGATCATGACTGGTAATCGAGTTAGCTACACGAAACAAGAAATCAGGGGTATATGGGGCACTTGCAAGCACAGATAGCAATTGTCAAAGCGGCGCGTCTGGTCAAAATCCATCGAAGACCCTCGATCTCACTCTTTCCATCGCTGTTCAGCGAGACTGTGATCTTGTAGTTCAATTCCTGAACCGAAGTATCGATGCTGCGCTGCTGCTCTCGTGTGATCATTTTGTGATCATTAAACATGCCCTTGATGTCGTCTTTCATGCCTGAAAGTTCTTGGCTGAGACGCTGCGAGATTATATCGGTTTCATGCTGCAGTTGTGTTCGTGATGAGCGCTGATGCTGTATTTCCGAGTTGCGAGCTGTCTGAAGAGATGACTGAAGCTCAGAGCAGGCTGCCTTGAACAGGTATTCCTCATTCTCGACATCGGATTTGGAAGTGAGAGTCTCCCTGGCCAGGGATAGGTTGCTCTGTAGGATAGCCCGCACAGCCTTCATGATTGTAGTAGACTGTTCTTCACTGTATCCTCCTTTGGAAAGATCCTGGACCAACGAATAAGTATCGAAATGGTGCACATATGGTGCTGGGGACAAATGTGGTGGACGACCGTTGGACGTGGAGGGTTCCCCAGTTGGGGATAGGTAAACGGACGGCGAAGGCATATGGAGGACATTGTCGAACGGGGTTTGACTTGTGAATGAAGAAGTATCTGTACTGTCCTCCGATGGGCCTTCGGAAGGCGGGGTAGGAGACGCCGGAGCCTGTTCCTGCTCAGCACCATCTATATCCGTTGCCTTCTCCTCGTGCGGTTCCCGGTCGGTTGGGGGGTTGTCTTTCTTTGCATCGGCCTCAATTTGCTGATCTAGGGTCGGAGTCGCCGAAGACTCTTCTTTGGCCACATTTGCGGTGTCATGCTCCGCTTCTTGTGGTTGTGTTTCCGACTGTGACTCTTCTGGCGAAGTTCCCTGCTGCTCGGAGGCATTTACAGCCTCATGCCCAGAAGATTGATCCTCTGGCACGTCTTGAACCTGGTCATGTGGGCCCTTTTTCGGACGCAACGAAGGAGAAGTATTCGGTTCGACAGCTGGGCCGTACCGCCGCTGATAGGAATCGCGCTGGTGTTGCTGGCTTGTATGGAAGCGTTGACTCGGCCGGTATGGGATTCGAATTGAGCGGTATGTTCTCGGTTCACATGAGCGCACAGCACGCATCAAATTCGGATACAGGAATGGCAGCCTCGATGTCGCCATGGTGGTAACCGCATATGAAGAAGCTAACTTTCTTTCCCGCGGGGAATCATCAACGTCACCCGTCTCCGGGGGTATATGATTAGTCAGCTCTGCACGTGGGAAGGTGATCTTAGGGAAGTTGGTCATGTTGGTTTGTTTTCTTATTTTATTTGCGCATGTACACATGCGCAGAAGATTAATGGTTTATTCTTTACAACTAGACAACTTTTAATGTGCTTGAATTCCTTGGGATGAGACGAAGTTCATCACAAAGATCCGGACAATGCGCCTCGAGCTTCCCTCGCTGAGCTATCCGAGCTCGGGAAGATCTAGTTGGTTGATTATACTGGGCGAGTATGTACAACATTGAGTATCTCGAACGCATGATCAGTCTTCCGGGCTTTCTTTGTCTCTCGTTGAATGCACCGAACCTCGAAATGCCAGTAACGCGAAGTCAGTCAAAGAACCTGGCCTACCAAAATCCAAGCTCAGCACAGGGCAACACCAAGGATGGCGAGATCTCCATCAAAAGTCTGGAACAAGAACAAACGGTGAGAGGAGCTTCCATTGAATGGCTAGATTGGAATTCTAGAGAGGCGGAAGACATCTACAAAACAACAGTGACAAGGGGTAGTGAAGATAGCGGGGAATGGAAGCTAGCTTCGGATTCATTTGTTGAAGAGCTGAATGCTCTCAGGATGCTTGGGTACGAGGCTTGGCATGCTAAGTTCGAGGAAATCAAGATATTGGTGTAGATCGTGGGAACTAGCGGCGGATTAGTAGCCTACGTGAGATGGGCACCCTTTTACTAGTCTGGAGGATAGCAAGGAATTTTAACCATAGACTACAATGGAAGGTCAGATGACGATGAGATATTTCAAGCAATAACCTTACTACCAACCATAGCTATGAGATATATGAAGATGCCACTGATTTGCGACAGCAGGATATATGAATGTATCACAGACTTTTATCATCGTCACTCATCTCGAGGTCAGTTCCATATTTAATATGATTGATGCTGCGTCCATGGGCTTCGGTCGAGATGGAACGAGGAGCAGCACCATTGGCCGTTCATTTGCCTGCAATAATTCGGGACCAGTCATATTGGGGAAGATACATAGCAGTTCCACACCACGTATGATTGCTTGCATTCATTATTGGCCGAATCATCAGGAGCGGCTAACGCCAGGCTTCCTGTTAAGACGGCACCATATGCGGCCTCCAATTTTTCATTAGAGGGATTGGTGAACTTGATATCCTCTCTTCAAGCCCGAGTGTTAGAAAATTCATTTCAATCATCACTCAGCAGGATAAGGCAGCTTACTCGCCCTGTTTACCATATGCATAGATTCGTGTAGGAATAAAGCTGGCGTCGAAAGTGCCGATTGCATACTGGTACCGTCCGTAATTGATTTGTCATTATATCTCCATGGAGATAACGTGTGTTTTCTACGTGGAAATCTGAACGCCAGAGGGGCCATAGTGACACTGGAGATGTCTTTTCTTGTACAATTGATTTTGATCAAGATCCAATCACGCTGCATCCGATTTCTTCTCCAGAGAAAATTGTCATAACTTAAATGTGGAAATGCTGGATAAATATATGCGCGTGGGCGAAAACACCGATTCCTTGCGAAGGAAACCAAGAATATACTTTACTTATACTAGAACACTGCAAATCAAACTGATCTTTATGAACATAAGTTTGCTGTGTTCAGTCTACGGAGGTCTGTAGCCCTCAACTTTGAGGGTCCTGTGCTACCCTGCCTAGATGCATCACAAGTCTTTAGATTTCTTCTCTCTACTACGTATCATTCTGTGAAAAGATAGCAGATTTGACATTATGATAAGATGTAAGATAACCTGGTCTAACAATTATTTGGTTGGTGAAAATGTGTCTCAAGGACAGTCATCCATAGGTCACTCCAAGCATAACAAAATACGCACTATCATACCTTCTTGGTTGGATTTGATAGCTTTGGGATAGCCCAAGGCATTATATTTTTGTAAGGGAGATTGAACATGAAAGATGTGCCTCTATCAGCATTGCAGCTGTAATGGCCCTGTCCAACGGAGAACTATATCATGCAATATGATACCTATAGCCCAGAAGTTCTGTTACTAAAGATAAAATTATGCGAGACTTCTGAGGACAATAATGGCGAGGACATTCTACTTTCGAATGCTGGCAACCCTGCAATGACAGATCGGTCTGCCTTTTAGGGGGTTTGTCAATACTTCATTCTCCAAAGATGAACTCTTCTCTCTCGCGCGGGAAAGATGAAAAGATAGAATAAGTTCCCGCTATTCTAAGCTAGTGATTTATCTGGGATGGTCGTGAATTTCAAAACACCGATGGAGTCCTGGTTGGGGCTCGATCTATCGACAACGTTCGTGGCTTCGCCTTTCTAGGATTTCTGGGATTAGTATTGTTAAAAGACTGTAAGTTGGAATAGGGGCCCATAGTATCTCTGTCTAAATTACACATAATACAAAGATCACAAGTAATCATATTCATGGGCTATGAAATAGGAGTCTGGTGAGAAATTGACCCAAAGTGAACAGATTCAGATGTCAGACAACCATCCAAAGGCCGATGAATGTCTGCGATGAATGAAACCCGTGGACTTCTAGAAGGAAATAGATCCATGGGTCTACGGATTCACGTTCCATGGATGTTTGTGTTTGTTTGGGACAAAGAGAGCTTGTAGGGAAAGAGCGACTGTCTGGTATATCCCCGATTTGGAAGGTATGCGTTTAGACATATGACCCCCCCAACAACTTCTATGCTATTTCTCTATCTCTCCCTTCCTTCCTCCTCTCTTCATCGACTTGTTTACCTCTTCGGTCCACATCTTTGACAACTCAAGCTATCAATTGACAAGACGGCAACGGGCTCATCTTGTCTTGACCATCCTTCCAAAGCTTCCTACTTCATGTTCTAGTTCTGACTACCATAAAATCAACAGAAAGTTAAAAAAAAGAGCGAAACGTGTTTCGCTAGGCGCCAGACGCGTCAACCAATTCCCACCTATATCGACCAACCTCTCAACCGGTAAGCAACAAGCGTTGAGCTTCATCACACCAAAATGGCGTCTTTACAGACACCATGGACCTCAATCCTGCTGCAGGAGAGACCTGGACTGCACGAATACAATCATGCTCTATCAAATGTCGAAAGGTACTACACTCGCTTGCATCGAGCGATGCAAGATGGATCCATCCACGATCAACTAGTTCTCAATCCGGACCAGACACACTCACGCCTGCTGAAATCCTTTGAAATATTGCGAGGCAAGCAGCTGCCAGGCCCTGTTGCCGAGGAGATCTTCAAAACCATGGTCCTCCCGTTTATTCACGACAACATATTCTCACCAACACAAATGATTCAACTCGTTGGAACCGCCCTACCACTCATCACAAAGCAGCATTCTCGATTTTTGCGAGACCTAGTAAACACCCTAATATCATCTCAAGGGTTGTTTGATCACCTGGTTGCAAATGAAGAATACACGGAGGTTTTGAAGGAATGGCTGTTGTCGAAAAGAAACCATCTGCCACTTGCTCTCTCCAGGCAGGTTGGAGACAGACTGATTGCCATGTGCAATGCCTGTGCCGCTGATCATGGAACGAAAGATATCGTGAATGGTTGGGACATTGCCCAAAAACTGATGGAATCCATCAACCTGGTCATTGACACATCCTACCAAGAAGAATTGAAACGGACCAAAATGGAGAATCTACCTCCTCTTGAATCAATGAAAGTATTCAATCGGGACGAGAAAAACGACAAAAGGTTGACACGACTTCAGCAAGTTCCCAAAAGACAATTCAAGGTCTCGGACGAGATGCTCGGCCAGATGAAACACTTCAACATCCCACCACCATTGTCCGCTCGAGGCTTTACCCATGCAGCGGAGTATCTTCAAAATGAGATAATACCGTCACTCATGCGCTCTGCCCTAGAGAGCTTCCCATGCAGAATCTGTTTGGATAGGCTCACTACCGGGAAACTTGCAAGCACTCTGGCCAGCTCGAAAGATGTGTCTTCGGATCGAACTACAGCATTGGGTAATGCCCAAGATATTTTCGGAAGAAGAGTCGGGCTTTGGAAAGTTTTGCTTTCTGACGTCGCTTTCAAAAATGCCAAAAAATTGGTCCGTGGAGGTAAGTCTAGCTAATCTTCTGCTTGCCTTCGGTCTATGCAATCTGGTCGTGTCTAATCATATCTAGGTGACTTTGACGGCGTGGAACAAAAGCTCAGAGATTTAGCAAGCGGTGAATGGAAAGGAAAAGATCTTTCTCGCCGTGTGGGCACCAAACAGCAGAAGAGGAGAATGCATGTTCCTATCTTGGAAGTGTGCGCTTCTGCAACTGTGTCAATCTTGTGGCAAGTCGATGTCGGCTTCTACGATGAGATTCCATGGGTACAGCAGCAAATCGTCAAAGGTAGGCTTTTTTGAAAAAGAAGAAAAAAAAGAAAATCTCAAGACCCGGGAATTTATGCTAACTTTGGCAGTTTGGCAAATTGTGACCTCTGAAGAGGAGGTGTGTTTCTATTTTAAACAATATGAGGCGTCTGCTAACTCGAACTTACAGCTGGAAGCTGCTATCGAGCAAATACTTTTGATTCAAGAATCCTACACCCCGGAACTTGTGCAGCTTTGTTTGGAACGTCCTGTTCAGCAATCTGATGGAACATGGACACCACAGCGGTTTAAAAATGTGAAAGAGACCGGGTCTTATCAGATGAAATCCATTGCTTCTTCCAATGTAACCCCAGCTCTGATTGAGATGTCAAGTATGATTTTATCCCCATCAATCCCGTTCAAATTCCTTGGGGCTTTATACTTACCATGATTTTTCAGACAAGTTCTACAATCTCACTGAGCCGTTTTTGAAATCGATGGTGAGTGAAAGGGACATGGAAGAGTTCCCATTTGATCTCTCCCCCGAAGAACTGGAAATTGTGAAGCACTTCAGCACATCGACCTTGATCCTCGGACGAAGTGGTACAGGAAAGACCACCTGTCTGTTGTTCAAAATGCTTGCCAAGCACAAAGCGAGACAATCAGACTCTGATCAACAGCAAGCTCGACAGGTATATATTCCTCTTCTCACGATTTCGGATGGAAAATTGACCCAAATAGCTTCTCTTGACTCGCTCCTCCTACCTGGCTTCAAAGCTTCAAACATACGCCAGAAGTCTGATAGAAGCTCAGTCCAAAGCTACATCAAACGAAGAGGATGCAGACTCGGATTTGAAGCCGACTTCGTTCTTTGCCTTGAAGAATTGGCATTTTCCAGTTGTCTGCACGTACGACGAGTTTCTTGCGCTTCTGGAGAATACAATTAGGTTTGAGCATCTACGACGCCGAACTTGGAAATATTTCTCTGCTAACTCGAGGTAGAATGGCTGATCGGAAAGACTTTTTAAGAGATGTCAATACCAACAAGACCAAGGGTCTTGACATACAAGGGGGAGACAAGCCACAGGTGGTTGACTTCAGTATTTTCAAGACAGAATATTGGGGCTCTATAAGTGGATTAGCTCCGCCATCCTGCTCCCCAGAGCTCCTCTTCGCTGAAATTATGGGCGTCATTAAAGGCTCCAGCATCACGGCAAAAAGCCTGAAGCCCTTGAATCGTGCAGAATATGTCAAGAAGAGCGCGAAAGCCTCTCCTGCCTTTACCTCCGAGGCAGAGCGTGAAAAGGTCTTTGGTGCATTTGAGCGCTACGAAAAGCAGAAGAAGCTTCGCAAGGAGGTTGACGAGTTGGATCGTGTTAGTGCCTTGCTGAGGTCCCTGAGAGACAACAAAGTTCTAGCAGAGCAGATCCAGCGTTGTTTTGAGGAGATCTATGTTGATGGTGGGTTGATTTTGAGATATTTGAGGGCAAATCACTAACTACATGTTTAGAAATTCAAGACTTGCGTTGTCTCGATATCGTACTACTTTTAGGCTGCCTCAGTGATGCCCGTGGGATTCACCTTGGTAAGATCTTTAAATATCGGCCCAAGAGTTCAATCAACTAATTGAGCCTAGCTGGTGATACTGCCCAGTGCATATCAAAAGATTCGGTTTTCCGATTCCCGGAGATCAAGGCTTTGTTCTACGAACATTACGAAGTCATTGCCAATCAGCTAAATCAGCCGTCATTTGCTAAACCTGTCCAATTCTCTCTGGCTAAGAACTATCGCTCACATCAAGGCATTCTCAGCTTTGCATCGTGGGTGATGCAGTTACTCTGGCATGGTATGAAAAATCTCAATGATCTGGCTTGCTCCTATCTAACTATCTATAGGATTTCCGGAAACTATTGACAAATTGGACCCAGAGATTGGCCAGATTGGTGGACCGAAGCCAATTATCTTTGGTATGTCGCATCACGGATTTACCATTCGATCACTAACACATGTCGAATAGCGGGATTTGACTCCTCAATTCTTTCTGCTAAGATGATAGGCCTGGTCAAGCTCAACGACAAGGTCGCCGATTTCGGGGCCGAGCAAGTCATTCTTGTCCGAGATGATGCATCAAAGGACAAACTGCAAACCCAAATTGGCGAGATTGCCCTCGTTTTGACAATCTTAGAAAGCAAGGGTATGGAGTTTGATGACGTCTTGGTGTATGACTTCTTCGGCAGCAGTGGGCTTGGGAGTAGCTACCGATGCCTTTACATGCTTGCTAAAGCAGCAAGAGCGCAGTTTGATTCCCAGAAGCATGCCGTAAGTATTCCATGACATTACCAGCTCGTTACGCTTACTGACATGTCCCACCTAGGCCTTATGCTCCGAACTCAAGGTACATCTGTCCTTTTATTAATATCATTTCTTGCTAACAAAAATCATCAGTCCCTTTATGTTGCTGTTACTCGAGCCAGAAAGCAACTTTGGTTTATGGAAACCCAAGAGAACAGCATTGATCCCATTATTCACACTCTGTTACAGAGCAACAGCCTCGAGCTCGCTGAAGTTGTGAAACAGAAAGATCCCAACGCAAGTAAAATTTCGACTCAATGGATTATATATGCTGATTCCTCCGCAGGTTGCATCAAAGGTAATGGTTCTGCGGGCCGGTGGTTCAGTGGACCCAGAGAGGTGGCTCAAGAGAGCAGCACATCTTCTCCATCGGAGGAGCTTTGCAGAGGTAATCTACTGTTGCCAACCGGAGGGAAGCTTGTGCTAACGGAAGCTTAACAGGCATTGTTCTGCTACAAGAAGGCCAATGATCCGCGAGGGATGACACACTCGCAGGCGTGCTTGTATGAGCAAGAAGGAAGATCCCACCGAGCAGCCGGAAATACTGAAGAGTTCAACACGTGCTATGAGAAAGCCATCGTTCTTTTTCTCGAAATCGGCCTCATTACCGAAGCAGCAACATGCTATGAGGGACTTGGGCAGTTCGACAAAGTTGCAGGTCTGTTTTCCAATGGCGTCGAGCTTGAGCAATACTGACCTCCGTTCTAGAGATCTGGAAAGGTCGTGAGCAATATCAAAAAGCAGCATCTTTCTACGAGAAAGGCAAGCTCTTCACCGACGCTTCGGAGTGTTATCATTCCTGTGGGCAATACGAGGCGGCAATCGAGGTCCTGCGCCGCGGAGACCAGTTCGATGAACTCGTCACTTATGCTAACAGGTTCTATATAATTTTTCCCCCTGCATCGATTGCAAGATACTGACTCTATATAGGAACCGCGAGTACCTCAGCGAGTCTACCTTGCTTCGTTACTCGAGGCTCTGCAATATATTGTTGAAGCAGGGACGTGTCTCTGCCAGTCTGCGGGCAATAACCATCAACATGCTTGGATCGGATGTGTCCAAGGTTGCATTTTTCAAAGAATTCGAAATGTGGGACCAGCTGCGAGTGCTCTATTCGTCAAAGTCCAGATGGTTCGAGTTTTACGATCTATCAGTGGCTGTTGGTGACATACCTGCGGCGATAAACACACTTCTCGTTCACAAATTGATACCGGTGGTCGAGAAGCCAATTGTTGAAAAGCTGTTCAATTATTCTATGGTCGAAGTGTTGTATGCGCACAGAGACATCATTTCGGGAAACCGTGAGCGTGACGGGATGCTGAAATCAGTCAAATCAACTTATCTCGAAAAGCTTGGGGTTCAGTGGAAGGCGCTCTTGCAGCTGATCGGAGACTTTGATGATGTGGATTCACCCGCCTCAGTCAAAAACCTGGAGAAAGGTCTTCTAAAAGATATCTTTTGCCTTTTTGTATGCTTCCATTCTTGCCACCACTTTAGAGGACTGAGCTAATTATTTTCAGGTGGTCGCTTTCGAGCCCTCAGTGTTCACGAAGCAGAAAGTCGAACACCTTCCGATGGATATTATCATCCGAGTTGGAAAGCTGCTGCAGGACGTTCATGCTCGGAACCTTTATTCTTCTACTTGCTTAGCAATGACTTGTGGCATTTTTACCAACCCAAAACAAGAGAACCAGACGATATTACTTCACTGGTCTCCGCTCAGGACTATCAAAGAGACAGCTGCTGACGAATCTTCCTTCGAGAACCTGCTTGATATGGCGAAACACTTTATCCAAGAGAGGTTTACCGCAGCAATTACTCAGTTCCATGAAAACGCATGCAGCCTCATGAAGATAGATTTTCCGTCGACATGTTTCCAACAGCTTTACAAAGGTAAGCAATATCCGTCGATTGCCTCGTTTCAAAATGTTTTAACAGTTTGAACCAGGACATTGTTCAAGGTTTAAATCCAATGAATGTTTCTGGGGTCATGATAAGCCTACTCCCGAGTTCGCTATTGCGAAGTTGAATGTGGGTTAAATACCGAGAAAATATATGAGATCAACTAACAATTAACCCCTGCAGTGTCTTCTCACCGTTGCTGAGGTTTTCGCACGGCTGACACCTATTTACTATCAAAGGATTATGGGCGAGGCTTTCAGCAAGCCATTTCTGGGTCGTAGTAAGTACTCGGTCCAATCTCGCCGTACGTTCTAGTTCTGACACACCATAGGGAGAACTTGGATGCAACATATCCAGGAAGAACTGGTGATTGTCACTTCACTGGAGCAGTCCTCTACCGCAATTGCAAATTTACGTGCCAATTTACAGAGCAATCCAGAGTTTGCTGCAACCGCATACTGCCTCGAAGAGTTGCTTTTCTATCGCATGGACAAAGAATGGGGCTCGATGAGTAGTCTGAGCTCCTCTCTGGAGAAAGTGCAAGAAGCTCAAGTTCTTGGTACTATGAACTCCTTCCGAAATACTGAAGACTGGCTCTAATAATCAATCTAAATCCGCAGGCCCTCACCCAGCCACGCGTTTCCAGCGAGCACTTGTTTTGAACATGGATCGCAGTATGCCACCACGCCCTAGAAGATCTGGCCATCCGCTTGCACTGCCTCTGACAACCTTGAATGCCACCGAAAGAATTCGGTCGGCGGTGGCAGGACGCCGCGGTCTAGCATTTGTGAGACATTAATCAATTCACATTGCTTATCGAGTTATACTAACCTTTTTATAGCACAACGGCGTAAACGCCTTCCTCCAATGTCTCGAGAAAACCCCCAAATCCTCCCTTGAGTCTCTGCATGCTGTTTTGTCTGTGCTTGAGTTTGCAGCTACATACATTGTATGTTTCCAAATCTTGTTGACGATAAAACAAGTTGCTAATGATGTGTAGCTTTGTATCGCCAATCCGGGAAAGGGCATCGTGATTCCGTGGTCCTGGGCCCTACAGCATCTTTCGACAATTATGCAATCTCCCGCTAAAGACCACACGTTCAAGGAAAGAGAGATCCGAGTGCACACGACCGACTTGATGAACATTGTTGTCAGCTTCTGCACCCTCATGGAACAGGTTGAAAATGCCATTAGCAGCGGCATTCTCAGGTTTCAGGGAATGGGAGGCAATGGTCTTCCAATTCCTATTATCAAACGGCGCTGCACTGAGCTTCTGACGACCGTGATTCTCAACCTGAATCATTGGCCCAAACAGCCACTTGGCTTTAAAGATATGGAGAAAATGGTCAACAAGGTATGTGTCTTTGCTTTTGTGGATGATTTATAAAACAAACCTGACTGGGTGTATAAAAAACAACAGGCCCTTCGATCCCTTGTTCCACCGGGAATGGCACTGGAATTTTCAAACAGCGAGAGGTTCCGGCAAAGTTGCATCCGGGAGTATACAGCTTACAACCACAAAGACGAGCTGTGTGTCATTGCGCTTGACGACAGAAAGTCCGCCCCTCTCTTCCTGCGGTCTTTCACACAAAGCAACGCGAAATTCGCACAGCTAAGTGATATCTTACAGGCCTCGCGTATTGCCGAGAACCCCCTTTCTATGGGTCTGGGAGAGGACTGGCAGGTTGACGAATACACCGGCTACGAGCTCGACATGATCATGAATCTTCAGCGACGCTGGCGACAGGTGATAAATCACCTCGAGAAGAACCGCCGCAGGGCACAAACCCGCGAGTGGAAACTTATCCAGCACTTCCATGAAATGTGCACGATACGGATGGGCTCTCTATCCACGACCACTTGGTCGACTCGTGACAAAATACACATGCGCAAGGTAATCTTTACCGACTGTATGAAGATCGCTATGTCTCTCAATGGTGTTTTGGCCAGCTTCCGACAACTGAAGGACCGGTGGAGGCAGCAATTCGACAGCAATTGGTCCACCGCAAAGCTAGAGGAGCTCTCTGTCATCCGCGGACGGATTCTTCCTATCGACAGCCAGCTTGAGTACATCGTTGAGCACTGGTCTCCTAAAGGAATCGAGGAAGGTATGATGACCGTTCAAGCCGAAGACCTCGGTATTTCGGCCCGCGAGGCCCAGCGCGCTCTCTGGGCTGTTCAGCGCGAGATTGAAATCATCCAATCTCAGGTTGACATCATTGCGAAAAGTGCTAACCGGTAAGGGGATTTTCCCTTCCATTATTGATCAGCAAAGGTTCAACAACAAAAAGCTTCAAAAACATTTGAAAATGAAAAATATCGGCAAAAAAGAGTTAATCGGGGATGATCTCTGTGGAACGAGGAAAATTTCTTAACATCTGGCTTTGGATCATTTTATGTTTAGACGAGATATGATTGTATGAAGTGAAATGTATGAGATATTGTTTACATCCGCTGTAATAGATCCTTGCCTGCGTACTATGTAACAATGTATTCTTTGTCCGAAGATAAATCCACATACATTGTGTATTTACTACTCCTTAAAAGACTCATGTAAAGCATATATGGGTATTCGGCAAAACGCAGCATGTTCCTAGGAAACCACTTAGTGTCTTGCCAAGAGACCAAACAGCAGCTCTGTCCGAGTCCAATATTCAGTTGCAAGCTTGTTGATGGTCTTGACAGTCTCCGCACTAGACCCAGAGCTCTGTTGAGCACGCTTGACGACACCAGACAGCTGATTCCGCTCGCCGAGCATCTGAGACAGGTACAGAGAATCGAAGAAAAGCTGAACCTTCCAGTCGCGCAGACCGTCAACTTGATCTGGACCTGGGTTTTGTGTCTCTGATTTCTCCGAAACCTCGTCTTCCTTGTCCGTATCTCCGTTGGTAGTGGCTTGTTCATCCTTGGTCTCAGCCTTGCTAGCAGAATCTTCACTATCGAGATCATCTAGAGCAGATGAGATATTTGCCTCAAGTTTCAGTTTCAATTCCTGCTTCAATGCCTGCACCGTGGATGGATCCCACAAGTCCAATCCGCAGGTATCCATCGCGGAAGTGAGACGGCGCAGAAGCTTGAAGCTCGACGCCGAGGGCTGAACCGGTATAGCAGGCTCGCCCTCCCAGAGCGATCTTCCGGGTACGATCTTAACCTTGCCTGTTTGGGGGTTGCTCTTCGGTGATGGGATCAAGCTCAACGACCCAACCTTGGCAACTACTTCTGCTGCAAGCAGCTTCTGTAGATCAGGGACGATTTCGCTCGAGAAGGTAAAATCTCCAGATACAAAGCCGGAGGGGATGTCCCGCCGGACGAGTCGTATGAGCCTCAGTAGAAAAGTGGCTTTTTCGCTCGAGTGCAAGGAGTCAAATGACTTGAACGCGCTGCTAAATGATGTCTGGAGACTGGTGAATGCGTCGCAAACGGCGGAGTGGAGAGAATCGGATAGGTATCGGGGGTCATCCTCATTGAGCCGGGGTGTGATGTCGATATCTTCATCTTCGACTTCGCCTCCGACGAGAACGTCGGTCCATCGCGTGCGGCGCAGAGAGTCGATGGATTCGTTGACTTCTTGGACTGAGCTAAGCCATGCTTGATACTTCATAAGAACGGTAGAGATGTCTTCGTCACGACCCAATAATCTGTCTGCGACGGTTTTTTTGAATGTCTGTGCGCCGTTCGAGTATTCGGCGGTAATCAGATCGGCATCCCACAGAGATCCAACGGGGTTATGTTCGGTCTTCTCCCAGTTCGATATTATGGATAAAACTTGAGTGCCGACTTCGCCAAGGCTTTGTGCTTTCACCTTCAGGATCCTGGCAAGCTGGTCATTGAAGATATTTCGGAGACTTTCGAGGACATCCACTGAGCTGTGGATAATGGTCGAGCCCCAGGATGATAGCCACAATTCTACAGTCTCTGAACGGAGCGAGACAAGTTCGGAGAATTCGGTGCTCTGGGCCAAGCTCTTTTGGCAACCTTCGGAGAACTTCCTGAAAGCTTGGAGTGACCATTCCTTGGTTGATTCCACACCCTCGGTTCTGTTCAGCTCGCTGAGCTTGATCCAAGGAGTGAAATTTTTGACCTCGGGAGCTACCCAGCGGCCAAGAACCTCAACCTCCAGCCCGTCTAGACCCTGGATCTCTGGGTCGGCGAGGAGAGGTCGAGCTTTAAGCTTCAAGAGCACATCTGGAAATTGACGAGATCGCAAAGCCTTTGATGCCTGAAGTGTCCGGACAAACAGCTGGAGGGCTCTGGGGATGTTCTCAGGAGACACATCCAACTGGCTGACAATGACGTCTAAGCGCACCTGGTGAAAATGATCAATCGCATCATCTGAAGAAGAGCTCGTTGCGAGGCAATAGGCGGCCAGAGAGTCAATGATATTATCTTCTGTGGCGTTGGTTGATGCAAGGCGTTTATCAATTCGTTTGCGGAGTGTTCGCCGGAGAGAGGCTAATTGATTCCAGAGATCATCAATGAATGGGGGAAGTGGCTCGTGTCGCGATAATGTATTGTGTAGTGACCGGGAAACAACGAGAATCTTTGCAACCAAGAGGAGCGAGCTGCGACGTCGCAAAAGCCGGCTTATAGAGGTAGTACAGCGGTGGAGGAGAGAAAGCTGTGCTCCAAACGCATGCTTCTCTGCATCTATGCTCACAACATCAGCTATAGATCCCCAGTTTCCCCCAGAATTGGATGGCGTACCCTTCTCAGCATCACCTATCTTTATCTGCCGGACATGAACATGTTTCCTTTCTATAAGTCGGGGGTTGCACCGGCGTCCAACATCGGCCAGAATGGATTCCACATCTTGAATGTCTCTGTTCATGGCCACGATTGTCTCGGCGGTTCCGACTAAGTCACGATATCGGGTACTATGATCAAATAATATCAGTTTCTAGCAAAAAAACAGCTACTATGGCGAATCGATTACCTACCCCACGAGAGCTCGGAGCTTCTCCTTATTGCTCATTATGTCCCGACGCAGCTCCTGCTCCACACGGCGCACCGTAGGAATTGGGTATTGGAATGCATCCTCCCATGACTTCAAGCTTTGAGGATCAGGCGCCTCAGGGGCCATGCTGGCGGGGTATGTGATGAGACTGTTGGCTTATAGAGAACAAGTAATCCACGAGACGGGCGGATGCCTGAGCGCCTTAGACCCCTGGATCCTCAAGCTTATCGTTATCGGCACGTGATGGCAGAAAAAGTTCCCCGCCACCGAGGGGAAATCGGTGTCTGGACATCGTTAACGTTCCTACACTTTACACAAACGATATTCAATATGCCGTTACTTGAGTCAGACGCTGCTATGGCAGAGTCCTCATCTAACGATCTCCCGGATCGACTCCCTTTTCCGCCCACCACCTACTCCCATATCTTGCATTGCTCTTATCATGACTGGCACGCGCGGTAAGCTTCCATATATGACTCAACATCAAACATATCTGACCGAAGTTCTAGGTACCGCACACTTGCTCCCAAGTCGCGCGTTATTCCCCTGAGCCCTGCCTTTGTTGAATACCTCCGCTCCGACGGCATCGTTCTTCCACCTGAGACCGTCGCCCCAACCGATGATGATAATCTGGACACATTCTCCGATTCGGGCGAGGAGGAAGCCGATCCATCTACAGAGTGGCAGGAGATTCACACTCAGATCAAGAATACCATCTCTGATCTCGGCGGCATTGTCACGCCCAAATTAAATTGGAGTGCTCCCAAAGATGCAACATTCATGGCCGCCACAAACGACCTCCAATGCCGTTCCCCGAATGACATCTACCTCCTCTTGAAAAGCAGCGACTTCATCACCCATGACTTAGACCATCCATTTGAAGACTGTGTGCCGGATGCGACCACCGACGAACCTACACCATCCACCGTTGATTCACCGCTACCAGATGTGCCGTATTCCCTGGTTCTCCGCAAATACGTCAACTTCAACCCTTCACTCGAGTTCCGTTGCTTTGTTCGCAACCGCGTCCTGCTATGCATCACCCAGCGCGATCAGAACCATTTCGACTTCCTCTTTCCCATGCGTGATATGCTCCGGTCTTGGATCCAATCATTCTTCGATGAAAAGCTCAAAGACACATTCCCCGAATCCAACTTCGTATTCGATGTATACATCCCCGCGCCACACCAGCGTGTCTGGTTGATTGATATCAATCCGTGGGCGCAGCGTACCGACCCGTTGACGTACAGTTGGTTGGAGATTCTGCGGATGAAAGATCCGATTGGTGTGCAAGAGGAAGAAGATGATGGGCCGGAAGAGTTTGTCAGAATATCACTCCATGATGGTAGAATCATCTCTACCGGCACGGCGGAAGAGCTCGAAAAAGAGGATGATCTAGATTCGTCCGACTCGGAAGAACATGAGGCCGCCGAAGGAGATGACGAACAAGCCCCCTTCCTCCCGGAATTCCGTCTCATCAAAAAGGATGATCCTGAAGCGTACGCATTCAGCTCTACTCAGTACTCGGCCCACAAGGTGCCGAAGGAGCTAGTCGATGCTTCGCTCGAGGGACCTGGTGGCATGAGTGAATTCATGGGCCAGTGGCATGATATCCTGAAGAAGCAGGAGCAAGAGGATCGGGCTGCTGGCAGTGACTCTGAATAAAAAATAATCTCGGCTCAAAGCGCTGAGTGGGATAAAAGCATGGATTGTTGGTCTAATGGCGTTTAACTAAAGCAGGTAAATGAATTTATGAGAATTCCAAGGTTGCATTGTGCATTACAAATCGATATACGCAGTATTGATGGATAGAAATCAATACATTTATCGCCCTCGGTCTGCAGCAGTCACAATTATCTGTCTCGGCAGAATCTCGAGCATTTGTAGGGCATCAAGGTTGTATACTATATCGTATCAACCAAAGTAAGGCGGTAGAAGAGGCAGCCGCAGCCTCTGATAACTATATCCGAAAATACCATCTAGCAACTAAAGCTTGTGTCTTTTCTCCCCAGATGCCAACTTCCGGAACTCTTCCTGCGGAACTCCCAACAAAAAGCGCTCGAGACCCATAAACGCCTCAAGGCTATTCTGGCGATCCAAAATCTCCCTCTCCGGCCGTCTTATAAGTTCCTTAATCTTCAAAAGACTAGTCTGGTTCAAATGTGTACCAAGACGTTCATCAACCTCCTCAAGCACCTTTTTCAAGAACCCATCAGAGTCATCATTCTTCCCAGACTCCGATGTGATGACCTTATTCACAAAGCCAGTAGAAACAAGTTCATCACATGTAATCCGTTTGCTCATAATGAGCGCCTCGTTTGCTTTTGCAATTCCGAGACGCTCGACAAAGGCACGACTAGCGCCACCTTCTGCGACAAGTCCGAGCGAGGAGAAGGGGGTCAAGATGAATGTGTGGGGAGCAGCGTAAATGAAATCAGCGTGAGCAACCAATGCGGCCGAAAGACCGACAGCGGGCCCGTTCAGGGCTACGACCAAGATCTTAGAGTGGTTGTAGAAGGTGCGGGTGACGTCGACGTTATTTGCGACGAAGCCCTTGACTAGATCGCGGCGCACGTCTGAGCTGAGATCGCCGTTGCCAGGACGTGTGGTTGTTACGTCGGCTCCGCTGTGGAGAAGACACGAGTGTTAGATATAGTAAATATATTGACAAGTTTCCTTTTTTGGGATACAGCTGCGGGATCTCGAGGAGTTGGCTGTGAAAGTAGATGACTTACGCAGAGAAGAAGCGACCTGTGCCGGTCAGAACAGTAATGAAGATATCTTCTCGTGAGTCGATTTCGCGTAGACGCTCGGCTAGAAAGTAGTACAGGTCGCCATTGAGAGCGTTTAGCTTATCGGGTCGGTTGAGTGTCACGATCGCTATGTGACCTTGGTAGGTAACAGTAATGAGTTGCTCGTTTGACATTTTTACTGTATGTGAAATGAAGCCGTTCAGAATACAAAATTCAACTGGGATTAGTAGGCAGCGTATATCAAGTCAATTCATAACCTCGGTCCGTACCCCACAGCCAAGGTCCACCTTAGTAAGCTCTGGATTCCCGAGGTCCACACTCTTACGTCGATAACCTTGGAGCCTCGGAGATATATTGGTACTTTGTATGTTGTACGGAGTACTAGAAGGCCAGAGTCCCCTTTAGCCGAACAGATCTAGAACAATTATGAATAACTCCCAGGAGTGAAAGCGAGGGAGCATGGTAGTCACGAAGTATACTCACGAGGCAGGGGCATAGGGTTAAAGATCTCTCAAAGCGCACAACAGCCATGAATTTAAAGACTCCCGTCTAAGCTAACATTGATAATCATCACGGTGTCGGATGTGTGAGGCTACAAGAATAACACTTATACGCAGCCACTACATTGTTCATGTAGATTTCGATAACGTGATGTTCGTACGAGCTAACGCTTGAGGTAACTATAGGTAAGTGCCAGACTGACTACATGCGCCATAAATGGAGCAGTAACAGTAATAGCAATGAAATTCGAAGCCAAGGCATATTGAGTTCAAAACAGGCAAAGTTTTACTGGTTATACCGTGGAATCAGCCCTAGAGGTCCGAATCCATTTGGACTATTTCCAAATTAGGTGTCGGAGCTTCAAGTCAACCATAAAAGCATCTTGCAAAGCACAATCCCTCCAATTCCTTACCACTTCGCAAAGAGATCTCAAGCATCAGAAACTAGACATTAATCATCAAACACCAAACACCAAACACCAAACACCAAACACCAAACACCAAACACCAAACACCAAACACCAAACACCAAACACCAAACACCAAACACCAAACACCAAACACCAAACATCAAACATCAAACATGCCATCATCCTCACTCCACCGGACCGCGCCTACTAATCAGGCAGCACATCACAACCCCATGGCTATGGTGATGGGTGGCGAGAAGACCGAAACTGAGATCAAGCTGGAAAGAGATGGAAATATCAACGCCCTCCAGCGATATCGATACCTGACTTGGCGCAAGAATGCCGTACATCCTGAAGTTTCATACGAACTTCTTGACACAGAAGAAAGCCTCCGAGAGGTCGTTCAAGAAGAGATCTCTATCCTTGAAGGAGAAACTACCCCCGAAGTTAATGCCGAAGAAAGACTCCAGGCCTTGAACAAGAGATACTGGCTCTTGTCTCAGAGGTGGTGGTACTGTCGTTCCGATCTAGAAGACCTTCAATTGAGGGGCTTTAACCTTTGGCGATCACACCCTCAGTGGTATATGCATCGCATGCTCATCGAGGAATGCGTGGGTCGGCAAGGATGCTGCGCTCGTGGATGTGGCTGCTGTCGAAACCAAAAAATGCTTCCCTCAAGGAGTCTTGGTGTTGGAAATTGTACGCTCGAATGTGCATGTTGTCGGAGAGCGAGAGGCTTTGAGATCTCTCCCACTGATAAGAAACTCTTGAAGGAACAATTCAAGAACACCATTCCGGAGGGAAGCTACCGTATAACCAGATATCGGCAAGTTTCGATCTGGGGCCTTGTCGGTGATAGCCGGGAGGACCCCTTTAGTATGATTGATGCCCCGCCAAGCTATGATGAGATTGAGAGGAAAGGAAAGAAGGGACTGCTTGACTGGGTTCAGACCAAGTTTTGAGGTTGAAGGCTCGAGTGGCCATTGATGTTGTTGCGGTTTCTGTGGTTTCTATTTTTATTGTGGTTTCTATTTTTATTGTGGTTTCTACTTTTTATTGTGGTTTCTACTTTTTATTGTGGTTTCTATTGTTATTGTGGTTTCTATGGTTATTGTGCTGATTGTGCTGATTGTGCTTATGAGTTCACATGAGACTCTTATACTGTATTGTTAAAGAAAGATCGGTCAATCAATTTGAGCAAATATATCCTTGCGAGGTCTGGGGTTCTCTAGAAAACTGTGTTGTTGCGTGAGGAAGCAAACTAGTAGCTACGCTATAGAACTACTTAGTACTCCGCAAAGCCCATGGATAGGCCAGACCCCCAGGCCCAAAGCTCATTAGTGGGGGCTCATAAGGCCCCCATTAAAGCCTATCTCAGCGCTAACAAATCGGCCTCTGTAATCGCTGTATTACGACATTCCACCTTGGGCCCATTAGCCCATAGTGGGCTTCTACCTTCGGGCCATAGCCCCTCGGTGGGCCAGGGTTGGGCTTTGGACCTTGTGGGCTCTACGGAGGCCTATTGCTAGGTAATGATTACTTGGTACTGATTGCTACCTATGTTAATTGCTAGGTATAAAATAGAGTTACTTTGGTGCCTTAGGCCGCTATGCGAGGATTATATCTGTGTCTACAACGAATGCAGCACAAGTGTAGACTGCTTCTGCGGCCCTATGATGTCTTTCTTAACGGGCTTTTTAGTGGTCTTTTCAGCAGTCTTTTCAGCAGTCTTTTCAATAGCTTTCTCGGTGGGCTTCCCAGTTTTTCTTAGATATCTTTCAGATACTTTCCCCTTTCCAGTGTAATCTAGACGGCGGGAACAGGTGGACAAAGCATACTCTGTGCAAGCGACTTTTCTATGTATAACTTCTGAATGACGTTGTCGGGTGCAGGTTAGTTTGCGGGGAGCCGAGGCCGCTAAGCTGCAGATGTCGGGGTAAAATACAGCCTATTTTACCACTAGACCATAACAAAAACTACGGTTCCTGTTGATAGCCTCCACACCAGGTGCCCAGGTGGGCTCATACTGCTTTGTCAGCAAATTGGCGCCTGAGGCAGTAGAGACTGTTTGTCTTGTTTGCTCAGATCCAAGTCATCACGGCTGTGACTGGTCCACAGGCCATGGCACCATTCGGCGATTGAAGATCAACCTACACAATTGTTATCGCTGCTCTCTGTCTGCTGGAATCGAGCGATATTACCATTTGATCTTCCTAGCAATTAAATTCCACCTCGACACACACTCTGAACAATACTCGAAGCCAAAACCCCGAGGAAAAAAAAAGCAACGCATCAAACCCATACAATGTCACAAATCTTCCGCAAGTTGCAGGGAGGCAACCTCGAGGTCTTCAAGGTACGTAGCTGACTAGAAAGTCTCTTGAATTACCAATTCCATGTTTCGCTTTCCATTGCCTGTTCTTAGGACTAACGAAGTCCATGTAGTTTGGGATGTACGTCCTCTTCCCCATCGGCTGGATGTACTATTTCGGTACCAACCTCGACGACCGCTTCGCCACAAAGGACTTCTGGCCCACTGCTGAGCAGTCGCACAAGATCCCGCTGGATAAGGCCGAGATCGACGAGGAATTGGCGCGTATGCGCATGGTAGATGCCATTAAGCGGGAGCGGAGACAGGCGGCGGAGGCACAGGCTCAAGCGCAAGCACAGGCACAGGCACAGCTCCAGGCAACACAGAGTGAGCAATGAGGCTGCAGCTAGCGAAGCTGACTGAGGGGGCTGGTCGCATAGTCTGGAATACGACATGCGCTTGTCTAAGTCTTCGCGGGGGTGGTGGGAGGACACGGGCATGTGAAAGGAGGTCCCGGCGTTGCTTTCCTTCTTTGGGAGAGATTTATATTTTCCGAGGACAAGATTGGCATCGCCCCGGGGAGTTACACATGTGCTGATGATGGGTTTACTTGTACAACACTCTGCTCTGGGCATCGAGGGCGTTCTGGGGGTTTCATTTCCAAGGTTTACATGTTGCATTATTCAACATCATATTGCTTTTTTCTACCATATCATCTACATTTCCTGTATATCTTTTGTGGACAAGTGGTGCAAATATCAACTTCATGATCTCGTTCCAATGATAACATACACTGGTATCAATCAACCACATAACTTTGCCGAATAGGGGGCATATCTATACACATTGTGGTGCGAATGACCCAAAGAAAAAAAAACACAAGAATTAAAAATAGTGTAGTGTGCCGCACTGCGACAATGCAAGTCATAGGAATGTCGCAACTTCCCATAACACAAGAACGCCGGCCGACAGAAAGAGTGGAGGATCACCTTGGGCACAAAAAATAAAACTCCAAAGGTACTAGACAGTTCCTCTCTCTTGACAATAGAGAATGCAAATGCAACCATTATGCGTATCGGGCTTTTATTCACAGTTCGGCCATGCGCTCAGTCGAAGTGGCAGCGGCATTCTTTGCCGTCTCGTACATCATGTCCCCGATTTGTGTGGCCACGCCATTTTCGCCAAAGACAGAGCTGATTGACAACCGACTGGAGCTGAATAAACGCTCGCCGGCCCAGTAGTAGTAGAGACGACCGTAGATGGAGCGGAGGTGATCCGGGAGATAGATATAAGTTCCCATGGCGATCATACCGACGAGACCAAGGAGCAGGGTATCTGAATGGGGAGTTAAAACGTTAGCATGCCGTACTAAGAGTATTTCGGACGGGAGACAGGCGCAACATACTGAATATGAACTTCTCGATCGGAGTAAGCATGTAGAGGGAGAAGGTCACCTCGTACTGGTAGACCTTCAATCGCATCCAGCGGAAGAGGCTAGAAACGGCCCAGATGATGAAGTCCATGGTCGCGGGGTATTCAGAGGATTGTAGAATGCTTCGGTCGTTGCTTCGTGTCACTTGCGGTGCCGTTCGTCGAATTTCTTGCTTTTCAATGAATTGCCGCCGATCACAAACGAGAGGGGCAAATTGGGAAGAAGGTCGTATGAATCACGGGCACGTGTATGTACACCCGGATTGTGGTGTTGTGCAGGGGAAAGGTGAGCGATGGTGTTGCAAATCAATACGGGTTGGAAAGTATTGAGGTGAGATCGGCGGGTATCGCGAGGACGTAAGCGATGGAGGGATGTTAGTTACAATTAGAAAGAGCGTATTCAGGAGAGGTTGAGGTTAACTGGCGATAGGAGTGTAAGGAAGAGAGAGCGGATAAGCGTTCGTCAAGCCGGGGGCACTGCAAAACCCTTCCCCTTTCCGTGTTTGCCCCCGAAAGTTTGTACCCAGTACACACATTTACCTGCTCTTCACACCTAAGTTACAAGTACTCGATACTTTGCGTTTCAAATTTGACAATTTCCACTTAGAAGTACTCGATAGTACATTTCTATTGCATCTGTATCTTTATCCTTTAGATCGCCTCGATACATGTACCCATTTGAGTTATTGGTCTCATTTATACATACTCACTATGTCATGTCTTTGCTGGCTACAATACTGAACCGAATTGTACTAGACTGGTGTAGAAATCGAAGCAAGAATCACATCCAATGATCCAGAATTTCCATTGACCTGAACTTCCAACCTCGTCATCTTAAGTCAGAGCACAGCTCAAAAGAGAAAAAAAATAATAATCCGAGGCTGCCCACATGAGCTTATCTTATCAAAAACCTCGGCGGCAATAACCTCAACCTTCAACAAACCACAGCTCAAACAAAAAAGCAATGCTCTCTCGCCTACACTGGGGGACATCGTCCCGAATAATAGCATCTCCAGTTCGACTCTTCAGCCAAACCCCCACCGTTCCCGCAAAAGCCCTTCCCCCACGGCTCAAGATCAACGATGCCGACATATCAATAGCCTACCTGAAAGGCACCGGGCCTGGCGGACAGAAGATTGTATGTTCCAACTCCCAATCGCATGTCCAGGCCATACCCTACCTCTCCCCTCCCTCTTCAGAGCCGCTGCTATCCTTATCCTCAACCAGTAGACCGGAACTAACAAAACCCAGAATAAAACCAACTCCGCCGTCCAAATCATCCACAAGCCCAGCGGTGTGGTAGTAAAATGCCAAGCGACGCGCTCGCAGTCACAAAACGAGAAAATTGCACGCTCGTTGCTTGCCGATAGAGTCGAGGCGCAGGAGAAGGGAGACAAAAGTCGAGTTGCGATTAAGGCTGCAGCGGCGAAGAAGAAGAAGGCTAGTAAGATGAAGAAGACGAGGAGGAAGTATCGGGAGCTTGAGGCGGGGAAGGAGGGGGAAATTATTGAGGAAGAGGACGAGATTGAAATTATATGGGACGAGGATGTAAAGGAAGAGGGAGAAAGTAAGGAGAATACATCGGAGGTGGAAGGTAAATCTCAACCCTCTGGAGAGTCTGGGAAAGGGATAGAGAGTACACCGGAGGTTGGACATGAGTCTAAATCCTCTGGGGAACCCGGAAAAGGTGTATGATCTTAGATGTACGTTGTCGCATGTGTTTCGGGATTTTGTACAGTACGACTACTGCATTGGTGTTTTAGCGTTTACTTTGAGAGATCAACAATCTCATGGATGTTCTTCTAATGGAAAATCAAACAAGCATTTATTTCATGGATCTAGTGTCTCATCGCAACATGCATATGGTGTAGTGGGTAATTGGGGGAAATGATTGCATTGCTCTGAAGGAGAAAGCAAACACACATAGGGTGAACTTTTTAGTTTTTTTTGGCACAGAAAGCGGTCATAGCAAAGCAACTAAGAAATGTAACTGGCCAGTACAGTCTTCGACTGGTCATCAAGGCGCTCCTGGGCGAACTGTGAAATGCGGCCATTCTGCTTCTTGTCTGCCTCCTTCAGGTATGAGCCCACCCAAGCCTTGAGGTCGGCACCAGTTTCAGGCCACGGGTCCTTCTGCTGGACACGGATGGTGTTCAGAGGGGTAAATCCAACACCGAAGGACATATCTTCGATGTCTGCATCGTTAATGAGATCATCCCTGCTGGCGGGCAGCGGCGGAAGCTCGAGGAGCTTGAGCAAGGCGGTACAGGTGAAGCCCCATCCCTTCTGGCTGTAGCGAGTGGCAAAGGCCTCTGAGTTAGCAAGGGTCTTGGTGAAGGAGATGATGGCCGTCTTGCGATCCAAAGGTCGGGCAAGCTTCTGGGTTTCAGGCAGGATAACGTTGACATAGATGGGGGTGAAGAGTCTAGGCATAAATTAGCATATAAGCAATTGCCACAGGGAAGATGATACATACCCCTCTTGCACCTTGTCGGTAACCTGGATGACAAAGTCCGCGCTGTAGCCCTTGTTGTCCTGGGCCGAGATGAAGTGGAAGAAGCGAATAAACCGAAGAGTCAGGTTCTCTGTCTTTGAGTTCTGCAGACGTTGAAGAATGATTTGCATGATCATGACAAAGTAATTCTCAAGGGCGGTCCTAGTGGAGGCCGAGTCAGATTATAGTCACTTGAGCGCTTGGAGCATGTGATACGTACGGCGGGAAGCTAGCAACGACTGTCTCCAGGAGATCAAAGCCAAAGCTCTCATTGGTCTTCGTCGAAACCAGTTTTTGGAAGATACCAAGGATAGGCTCGATCTGGTTGTGTTCCATGATGTACTGCGAACCACGGGGAATGATGGAGGATAGTAGTCGGACCAAGGCAGGGATGTTTCCCTTCGAGTCCCACATAACGGGCATCAAGATAGGGCCAATAAGCTCCTGGTAGTAGGAGGGAAGGGTGCCGGATGGATTGGCCTCAAGCAGCGCCGCGAAAAGCTGGAAAACGTAGGGCATGAATTCTAAAATTCGTTAGTGAGGGGTCGTGGTGACAGAAATATCCACTTCGGTTGATTTGACTCACCCTGCACATCATTCTGGAGGACACCTGCGAATGGTGCATAAAGAGCCTGCTCTAGCTTGTCTGGATTGGCGGGAGCGGCAAATCTATCTTGATGTTAGCTTGTAGGACTTCGGCACAAGAGGCAAGCGTGGGAACACACCGAATGAAGGCTCCCATGGCTTCGAAATGGAAGTAGTAGAATCGAGGGTTACTTGGGTTCGCGCTGATGATATTAGTGATGTTGATGAAGCGCTGGAGGACGACATCAGTGAAGGGCACTACGCCCTCCTTTATAACAATCAACACCCGCATCACGCAACGCATCAAGAACTCATTCTCTTGCACCTTTTCAGGAGCAGGATCGCTCTGGATCAACTGGAAGATGTGTTCGAGAAGATCCTTAGCAAGGGGTGTGATTTCAGTGGGTGGAATGACTGGCTGTCCTTGGTTGTCGGTGAGGAAGAGAACTCGCTCCAAGGCAATGGCAGCATAAGTGTAGACAACAAAGTTCGCGGAGGCCAAGTGCTTCACCAGCACGGGGAGCACCTGCTGCCACTGTTCCTTCGTGATGATACTGCGGAAAGTGTACAGATACTTGATAGCATCGACCTTCAGGATAGGGTGGACACCATCCTCGTTGATCAGATCCGCGGCAAGGTTCTGCTGGAAGTAATCCGTGATACTGACCAGCTGGTTGGTGGCAGTGACACCATGCGAGGAGGTCGCGGTGCCCTTGGCGGCGATAGCAGAGTAAAGATACGTTGCTGTGTCCTTGGCCTTCCAATTGGATGAATCCTTGGTATACTCGGCCAAGTAGTGCTGAGTATACTTGAGGACAACCTGAGTCACTGGTTCTTCGAATTTCTCCGCCAGTTTGCGGAGGAAATCAGTGGCAGCTCGGCGTCTAGTCTCGCTGTCAGACCCTTCCAAGTCCCGTCGAATGAACTCAATTGGCTCATCCTCGAAGAGTTCCTCGTCGGACTCGCGTAGGCTCACGTTCGGCAAAATGACCTTTTCGACAATCTGGGCTAGGGTTTCCTCGGCCTGGAAAGAAGCAGCATGCTCGGGCATGCCTGCGACAGATGTCAAGAAGTGCAATGCTCGGCTGACCAAAATGTCATACTTGGTCTCTTGGCCAATGGTTGTGAGGAAGTTCCACGAGCTCCCAATGAACTGTCCCACGTGAGGCTGGAACACATCCATGTACTTCTGCACGTAAAGAGTCAAAGCCTCAAAGATTCCAGCACGAACATATTCTAACGGGCCAGCCTCTGTCTCGTCGTCGGTGTGAAGTAATTGGTTATCATAGGTCAAGTATTTAAGGAAGATTGTGGCGATTCCGGAGATGTTGTCTTCGAACATGGGAGGGAGATCGTGGGAGGAAAGGTCGTAGAACAGCTTGACCATCAGGTTAAGCTGAGTGAACCCCTGCGTCAGGTTCTCTTTGTTGGCCTTGTTTTGTTCAAGATAGGTATCTAGCGCCTGTAATATGTCAGTATTTTTCTCTCCGAAACAAAGATGGGTACAAAATTCAAGATACCTCAAACTGGGCCAGGAACGGAGTACCGAACTTGCCAAGAACGTGGTTGATCTCGGTGTAGAGTGCATCGGACTGGAACAAAGGTCTCCATCTCTTGAAAATTGAGTGTGCAACTTGCAACACACCAATGTTGACGGTGGGGTTACCCGGTGACAGCTTCGAGACGAGGTCCTAGAGAAAACAAATCATCAGAGCAAGCATTACAATTTTTTGTACGTCACAACTTACATCGACCAGAGTATCCCACCGCTCCCAGAAGTCGCTGTCGGCGATCACACTGACAGCCTCACCCAACTGGCTCTGAATCCCTGGCGGAACCGAGATCATCAAGGAGATCAACTCGCGCTTGAGAGTCGTAACTTCATCCTGTTGGAGTTTGTAGTTTCCATCTTCGTCAGTCCAGTTGCGCTTGATGAAGTTTTTGAAGCACAGAGCACTAGCAAGGCGTGTGTTGTAAGGTATGGTCTCCGATGCGGTAATGTGAAGAAGCTGTAGCGAGAAACCGGGCTTCTGTTCTTCCTGACGAAGAGTAATCTCGGCTGGAAAAAGGAAAAGAGCCACATCGGTCAACTCTGCTTCCAGAACTCGAGGTCCAATCTTATAACTCACCTGCCTTGTTTTGCCTAGGATCCAAGCTTGCCTCTAACAAAGCTCCAAGACCCTCCGCCATCTTGTTACGTGGGGTATCAACACAAGTGAGGGGGATCGATGAGAAAAGAGAATGAGAAAAAGACAGGTGGGAACAGAAGGAAATTAAGTATTCAGGAAGCTCAAAGGGGAGCAGGAGCGTTGACAACCAGAGAAGGAAAAAGATAAAAGATCCAAAGCTCAAAGATAATGCGAGCGCTCAATAAATTGTAACAACCCACATAAACACTGCAACCACGCTAAGCCCGATAGGGCTAGTACGTCACATGCTTGAGCCTCTCTCTGCCTCAGGCACCATGACTGATATTCTTAGCGCTTTGGTGATTTTTATGGAAATAAAAGAGAACATGTTTGATTGAAGAGTAGTATTATGTATGTGATAAATATTTTTATTTAAATTCTCTATATTCATATGCTTTTCGTGACAAATATAAACTCCTACGGAACCATCAATTGGATCCATTAATGCTCAGACAATAATGTTGCCAACACCATTAGCCAAGTCCATCTCCTTGGCTTGAGACAAAGCCTTGACCTGGTCGAAGCAGCCAGCTGCGGCAGAAAGGAATCCGAGGAATGGCTTGCTAGGTGCCAACACACGAGAGATATACTCGGGGTGGAATTGAACACCTACGAACCAGGGGTGGTCCTTCAACTCGATAATTTCCATGCGCTCACCCTTATCATCCTTGCCGATGAATTGAAGACCGGCAGCCTGGAGCTGATCGATATACTCAGGGTTAACCTCATAGCGATGGCGGTGGCGCTCATCAATAGAAGTGCGGTCCAATCCGTAGAGAGAACGGAGCTTAGACCATTCGGTATTCTCCTGGAAGAGGGTAGGACGGGAACCAAGACGCATAGTACCACCAAGGTTCACTTGGTCAATCTCGGGCATGTATACCACGATCGGATGGGAGGTAAGCTCGTCAAGTTCAACTGAGTTGGCACCCTCGAGACCACAGACGTTACGAGCGTATTCAATCACAGCGATCTGCATACCCAAGCAAATACCAAGGTAAGGCTTGTTCTTGGTACGGGCGTGGTGGGCAGCGCGCATCATACCATTGGTGCCTCTGGTACCAAAACCTCCTGGGACCAGGATTCCATGAGCAGTGTGGACATCATACCAGGCCTTGTGGTACTCTTTAGAGTTGGTCTCCTCCCACTCGGTTTCGAGGTGAGAGGCGTCAACCCAAATGATGTTGAGCTTTCGGCGGGAAGCCATAGCTGCGTGCTCCAGAGACTTGATGACGGACAAGTAGGAGTCGTGAAGACTGATATACTTGCCAACCAGAGCAATGTTGACGGTCTCAAAGGTGTGCTCCTGTGCAGTTGTAAGGGTCTTCCACTGTTTCCAAGTGGACTGGCCCTTGAGCAACTGAGTCTGAGGGATTGCGAGCTTCTTCATGTTCAGAAGGTCGCCTAGAACACCAAGGAAACCTTGCTCCTCGAGAAGCAGAGGAACGTGATAGGTAGAGCTGACATTGTGCACGCCAATCACCTGCTCTGGCTCGACCTGGCAGAACATAGCGATCTTATCGGTGGTGGCTTTATCAAGGGGTTTCTCGCAACGGCATGCAATGAGATCTGGGCTCAAACCAGCTGAGCGAGCGTCCCGGATAGCCTGCTGGGTAGGCTTGGTCTTCAATTCATCGTGGATGACGGGAACCAGGGAAACGTGCTAGGAAATAGTTAGAATTGTCCGAAATCGAATGGTCTGTTAGTACATACGATCTGGACGAAATTGTCCTTGCCAGCCCGACGACGCAGCTGTCGCAGAGCCTCAACGAAAGGAGCACTTTCAATGTCACCAAGTGTGCCACCAAGCTCGATAACACAGACATCCGGCTCCTCGTTGGTATCGTCGGCGGGGGTTCTAGCCACACGCTCGATCCAATCCTGGATGGCATCTGTCAAGTGCGGCACAATCTGCACCGTGCGTCCAAGGTAGTCGCCACGGCGCTCCTTTTCGATCACATGCTTGTAGACCTTTCCGGTTGTGATGTTGTTATCCCGTCCAAGGGTAACTCCAAGGTAGCTAATCGACAGAATATTAATTAGTCTCGGGTTTTCTGACTCCCAATAAGCCTATGGAGAGAAGAACCTACCGCTCGTAGTTTCCGAGATCAAGATCCGCTTCACCACCGTCGTTCAAGACGAACACCTCTCCGTGCCTAGAAAATCACCATTAGGAACAGCGTTCGAAAATGATGACTTATGAAACACATACTCGGTAGGGGCCATGGTTCCCGCATCGACGTTCATATAAGGGTCGATCTTGATCGAGGTGACTCGGGCACCCTGAGTCTTGAGCAGCAATCCGGTACTCGAGGCTGGAGAAAGTTAGACCGAGCGGACTTTTTTTTCTAGTTCAATTTATAGAGTGTGTACCGATAACGCCCTTTCCGATGCCACTGATGACACCTTTTGTATACAAGTCAGTCACTGCTTATTCATGAGGAATCGACTCGGAATAGATACCTCCAGAAACCACAACGTACTTCATCCTGGCGATGGGGGATGAAAAACCCGACTGGAACAAGATAAGTGAGATTTGATGTTGAATTTAAAAAAGAGTGACCAGTGTAACTAAAGACCCTCGAGGAAAAAAAAAGAAATGTAGGGTGCCGTTCCTGGCTTCTGCCGAGGGGGAAGAAAAGAATAAAATAATTTTTGAAGCTGCAGAAAACCGCCTCTCCGTGGTCACCGCCACCCCACTTTAGTTGACTTTTCTGCCCTCCCGATAACTGTGAGTCATGTGATTTGAGCGACATGGTACTCTGTAGAGAGAGGCCAGATGCTCCAATGGTTTTTATGGGTTTACTCTATAGAGGGTAGAAGAGGGTAGAATATGTAGAAGGTACCATCTTCAAATAATGCATTCTACCGTACTGCGAAAATCTTGCGTTGAGAGTCTCATTGAATTGGAACTTAGGCAAAAGTGTTAGCACCTCTCCTGCCACCGCCTTCCTGATATAATATACCGCCCATTAATCATGGGTCTCATTGGTGGATACAAAGCAGGCAGAATATAGGTAGGATACCTAGGTAGCTCCTTTGTATACATAGTGACTTTACATGCCAAGGCTTTGAACTCCTATGGAATAGAGATTGGCAGCTTCGATGCAGTTTGACAATATCTGCACCCATTTCTACTTATGTATAATCTGCATCCAGGATGCCTTGGAGGATGGGGTTCCAATTCGGACTGCGTTCAAACTCCTTCAACATGCTTCAACATGCATACTCAGGCGGAATCTCTGTCTCCTGTTTCTCTATGATTGCATTCGTGTTGCCCTTACAAATTGTAGTTTATGTATGAGTAATTCACCAAGAGTATCTACAGTAGTATGAAACCCATGATTATATTGAGAGATTAGACAGTTTACAGTTTGTTTTTTGATCATATATGTAGTAAATCGAGTATCTTTGCAAGAATCGATATCCCAAATAGATGCTTTGTGTAGCGTCATACCGTACGTTTCAGCATCCTTGCGTAAATCTTCAAACGTTCCACACTCATCACGATAAGTATGTGATAAAGTACATGGAAGCTGTTGTAACGAGTCTAAACTAACCTCGTCCGTCACCGCCCTTTCTGCCATGAATGCCGGGCGGTGTCTGACATCCGTGCTAAGTACATCAGGTGATTGGGCTGGAATATCTTCATTTCCGACGTGTGATCGATAACCCCCTCAGCCCACATCACATCACTTGCTTGTTGTGTCATCGCTCTGGTGGGGTACTGGTTCCATTGATGTTCATCATCTGACCTTGTGCTCCCGGTCCAATTCACTATCCGCTGCCTATCAGGGTCGTTTTGCGCTCCGATATTGATCATCAACTACGCTCTGTCGGGGCTCGCCAGACATCATATTAGTCCCTGCATGTTCATTTTCTGGCCATAAGACTGCCTATGCAGTGAAAATTTATAGTTTATCACTTCTCAAAGGTAAGCATCATCTTATCTCTCCTTCGACGTTACCTGCCATGGATGATGCAATACGTGTACTAACTTGGCTGTCAAATAGTTCAGACACCACGTCCTTCTGATTCCGATTCTACTCTCTCTCTCTGCCACTAGGCGAATGTCTCCCGATGATGTTCCAGCACTCTCCCCACAAAAACCCTCGTCAACTAGTTTTGCAGATGTCTTCAAAACTCTAGGTGTCGGTCGACCCAAATCGCAATCCCCACTATCTTTACAAGAAACCAGCAGCGACTCCCCCACACAGACGGATAGTCGCGGAAGTACTCGACTCGGATACGGATTCGAATCAATGCATCGTGCCAGTGTCGTGTCGAGTTCCTCGGACACTCCCAGTGGCCTGGATTTCGAGACGTCACTCCACAACCTATCGCAAAGGCAAAACTTAACCCAGGCGATCGAGGAGGCGGAGGGCCTATCAAAAGCCATCTCATGTTTCAGCTCCGAGCAGTCCATGGTGTTATGGGAGGCGGCCGAGTATCTCTTGCATCATGAAAGCTCCTCAGATGCGCAGCAAAGTGGTGCCCGATTATTAGAAGCGATCGCAGCCCGTCAGGATCTGTCCCCGTCAAGTAGGCGCCTGGTTTTTCAATCGATAATTTCTTCAACCGAGCCAGATGTGATTGCTGCGCGCGTGCAGTCGTTGATCTCTCTATCAGATCATGGCAGGAAGTTAGATTTCGCGAGTTCCTCAATTATCCATATAATCTCCTCGTGGATTATTCCTTTTTATGAAACAATAGCATCTGCACGATCGAAAGCGAAAAAGGGAAAATTGGGCAAATCACATGGACCTACTGACGATGAAGTTGTCTTCGGAGATCTCTTCCAATTCGCGGTCGACCTGATCACTTTGCAGCGAAAACAGCCCACCCAGGAGGAAATCGAAATGCTTTTGACAGAAATATTTACAACTTGCAGGAGAACGAGTGTCGCGGCAGATATCAAAAACTCTTTGGCCGTGTTCGACGCTGTCATTATGTATGCTGATGTTCCTGACATAAGCTTCCCAACTCTCCTGGAAGTCCTTTGCAGCATACATGCATCAGTCAAACCGCTCTCTGGGCCCACATCGCGAGCGGTGCGCAGTTTAGCCAAATCACGCAGACAGGCGGAGATGGTAAACACACTCCATGACTTTTTAAGAGATTCGTGTGCCGTTGAAGGAAGTCGCAACTTGAATATTCTCCGTGGTACACTTTATGTGTTCTCAGACTTTGTTCGTGCTTATGGACAAGATGGCATGCCCCGGCTTCCCTTTGATCAACTGATTGAATCTTTGCAAACTATCGCCCAAAAGGACGATGGTAGAGTGGATGCGGACCTATTGGATCTGTGTCTGAACATTCTGGAAGGCGACTATGTTAAAGTCGCGTTAGAACAGGATTGGATGGAATTCGCCAATCTCCTCATACTTTGTTCTCGTAGGGTTGTGGAAGAGTCAACACCATCCCCTACTTCTGCGACTAGTCCTCAACTCAAACCTACGTACGACGAAACCAAATCCTACATTCTGGCCAATCTCATTCGCATTGCTTCTGTGCTTGAATCTCAGTGGGAGCAACTCAACAGAGAGCAAAAACAACATGCGGTCCGATTCCTCATGAAGATACACCAACATATTGAGCCCCCACAGGCTGAACTCATCATCCATTCGATGAGAGAAAACAAACTTTGTCATCCTCCCGACAACTCAAATTGGGCTCGGCATTGCCGTGAGCTGATTGAGGGTTTCGTTCAACCACGAAAACAAAGCTCGGACATCCGCATCCTGGCTTTGGACACGTTGAAAGAAGCCCTTTCTGGTCATGAAGACTTGCTTTTCTCCCATGAGCACGGTCTTCTCAGGCTTCTGCTGAAAAACTTTTCGGCAGAGCATGATCTTCTCTTCCTGGAGTCCCTAGTGTCTTTGTTGACCGACCAGGCGATACAATACAGTGATGATGATACGTTCAAATTGCTAGTAAGCACCATCGGGGCGCCGATACAGCGCGAGCTCACTCGAGAAGAATCACACGACCATCCCCCGAGCCATGGATCTCAACGCCGTACATCCACTACAAGTGTCTTGGAGTTAAGCTTGACAAATGTCTGCGCTGTGGGCCTCGTGAAGATGATGCTGCGTGCCTTGAACCTCTCCTCAATCAAAGCTGTGATAGTTTTCGAAGCACTTCTAGACATCGCTCAATCTCCAAGTCGACCGGTAGACTCTCGTCTGACGGTCTTGAAGCTACTTTTCCGGCTGCGATGTGATTCGGCTGGATCAGTCACGGTCATATCAACATCGGAGAGTGACTTCTTGATGAACGTGCTGGGTCGCAATCTCGACGGTGGCTCTAAACTACAGGCCCCCAGCGATAGCCCTATCCGCGAGGTCCCTCAGCATGATAACTTGCCAGTCTCACCAACCGGAAAACTCCCAATGAGAGAGTCTGCGACGACCCCTATCTCGAGGTCAGCCCCGGGGCGCGGGTCTATCTCTGCCCGTGGATCAAGGCTGACCGCCCCAGTGTGGACATACGCTCTACCACAAGTGCTTCCGGAGCAACCACCTGGAGAGTCTAGTCCTGTCGTGTTTGCGTACGCCCACCCGGAGGAACCTGCCCCTACCGAGTCAGCAGCAACAGAAATAAGAATTACGGGGCTGTTGAAGGTCAAAATGTGGCTCGAAGTTGTAATCACCTTGTTACAACGAGAGACCGACTGGGATGTCTACAGCTACATTCTTACTCACATCGGGCCTCAACTTGGCAATAAAGACTTTTTCAGAGATGCCATTCCTCAGATCACCCTCCTTCGCAGCATTTTGTGTGATCAGGTCAAAAATGGAACTTTCCACGAGCCTCCTGAGACTACCGGTCTCAAAAAGAGCGATGTAGCTGCTTGTATCTTCGATGCGCTTTGCATGCTTGTCAGCTATCATGAACATTTTGCCAAGAGCGAAGAGGATGATCTTGTCCGAGCTTTCATGCAGGGTATCATCGGATCATGGGGTGGCACATCCCGTGGGTGCATTCAAGCGCTGTCGCTCTGTTGCTATGAGATCCCTATGTCAGTTACGAAATCGTTGAACAGCATTCTTGACAGGATGTCAAAGGTGATCACCATGTCAAACATTGCTGTCCATATCTTGGAATTCCTAGCTTTACTTGCGCGATTGCCCGATGTTTACGTGAACTTGCGTGAGGAAGAGATCCGCACTGTGTTCGGCATCTGCATTCGATTTTTGCAGACATCTCGAGAGCATCGGTATAAAGCTGCTGAATTGGCTGCAAGGGCTTCTGTGTCAGCCCAATCTCCTCAGTCTAAACTTAGTGCCGGGGCAAAGGAAATATCTGCGCATGCAGCTGAAGCTATCGAGGCCTCCCAAGACGGAATGTCCAAGTATATCTCGAATCTCACCTACCATGTCATGGTCTTCTGGTTCTTGTCTCTGAAGCTCCAGGATCGACCCAAACATGTAAATTGGATCACCAGCAGGCTCATATATCACGATGAACATGGAAAAGAGGTGGTAGAAGAACAAAGTCAAGTTTTCATTGATTTGATGCAGCGAGTTGCTTATTCGGATCTCGGAGAGACCATCCCCTTCGAAACCTTTCCCCCTTCCTCTGAGGATGGCCCAGTTGCAAAAAAGTCCTGGATTGTTGGCATGAGTATCGTCACCGTCGAGAGCGCCATAGTATCCGGGTTGTCTCAGATTACGAAGCGCCAGGCATCGGGTACCACGTACTCTGTCTATCAACAGCGAACGGCCCCAGTTTTGCCACATCAAGCCCCTCCAACTCCAGATGCCCATTTGCATTCCGATTCCGTGCGCACAGCAGTCCTCCCGAGTCACATTATGCTTCAGTTGACCGCCACTGCCTTCCCTACACCCACGGTGATGCAGCCCATCCCGGTTCCTGAAGACGATATCACTCGACGTGCAATCAGTAACTTTGACCGCACCGACATTGTGGATGGTCACCGAATCGGTGTTGTTTATGTTGACAATGGCCAGACACAGGAGGCTGATATTTTAGCCAACACTGGTGGCTCTGCGGATTATGAAAACCTGCTGTCTGGATTGGGAACCAAAGTGTCACTTCGAAACCCTCAATTCAATCCGCAAGGTTTGTATGCTGATACAGACGGAGAGTACACATACGCTTGGCGGGATCGTGTGACTGAAATCGTTTATCATGTTGCAACAATGATGCCTACGGACTTTGACCGTGACCCGGCCTGCATCAACAAGAAACGAAACCTCGGCAATAACCATGTCACAATTGTGTTCAATCGATCCAACTTGCCCTTTAACTTTGACACCATTCCATCCGAGTTCAACTCTATCAATATTGTCATCACCCCGTCATCTCGGATTGCCTACGACGAGAGTGGCAATTATAATGGACAGACAGACCCACAAAAGCTCTACTACAGCGTGCAGGTGATGAGTAAGCCCGGATTTCCAGACGTCTCGCCTGCCGCGACACCAAAGGTCATATCTGGCAAGAATCTGGCGGCATTTGTTCGCATTCTTGCCCTCAATGCGTCCGTCTTTTCGCTTGTATGGAACAACAAGGGTGGTGAGCACACCTCGTCCTGGACTACCCGTCTGCGGGAAATCAAGAGAGTCCGCGAGCGTGCTCTCACGGCCCAAAGCCAAGGCTCTGAGGCTGCTGAAGGTGCTTATCCAGGTCTACGGCGGAACACGAAAGCCAACATCTTCTCGGAGGAACTCCCTTCTCGTGCCCCTCAAGTACAGACCGATTTCGCTGCGGAATGGAATGCCGCGGCAGACACGAACATTGTCCAGAATTTGGACTTTTCACGCTGGGCACGCTGATCTAACTTCCTTACCAGTAGCCTTAATGGTGGCAATCTTGAGTCAGATGAACTGTGTCTCGTGTTCTTCTCCTTTGACTGCCTGATCTACAAGACACCCATTCTCTCCACTCGCTTACCCACATTCTTTCTCTCCTTGTCCACACCACCTCTGCCCTAAAGACAAATAATCGGATCCTTTTCCCTCTCGATGACCAATGACCCCCAGAAACGACTTCATGTACATCATCTTGTGTTTTTTTTTTTTCGTGATGCAAGACAATTGTCGCATTTGTGAATACCCCCTTCCTGCCCCAAAAGTTTTTTCCCCTCGATTTTGTCTTGCCTGCCAGCGACTGTCGTGATTAGGAATAAGGATCTATTTAGTGAAATAAATCAGTGTTTTTCTCTGAACTTCATTAGATGACATTTCTTTTTGCCTATTCCAGGCCAATGGGTAACCCTTTAGCCTAGATATTCGGCGTTGTTCATTACTATAACCTCAAGTCCTAGACAGTGGTGTGCAGACCACTATCAACGGTCAAGATAATAGTGCATGACATAGCTACAGCCTATTAACACATATTCTGCATCGATTGATTGCGAAAAACAAACGGTGTTTCTATCTTCTAGCGGTATGTATGATATGAAAGAAAGTGGCTCCGCGTTATATATGATCAATCCAGTTGATTTCGTACACCGTCAAGGTATCTTTCTCCGCATGCTGGCTTATTTGCACTTTCCGAAGGGCTCGTTAGCCAGTTGCTGTTGTAGACCGGAATTAGCATCTTCTTGCTTTGACAGAATATCATGTTAAGGACCATACCACGCAGAGCTTAGATTCACAGTTACCCAAGCTTCCATCCTGCTTGCACTGTCCTCCGGAGGGGATCTATCATTGAATTAGATTAGCTCAACAGGATTTGATCGGTCTGGACGGATTCGTACCGAGTTAGCCATGGAAAGGCCAACGAGGGCGAAAGCAGTGAGGATGGTGAAACGCATGATGGAGGATTTGGTGGTGAATGAGGAGTCTTCAAGATTGTAGGAGGCTTGTTTATTGCGATGTGTCAATCTAAGAGCATGATGGCCTACTTATACCTCTTTCTCGGGGATTATCTATACCCGAGATCTTCTGGTGTATTACTTTGTTTGGTATGCAACGTGCTCATCCCGATTAATTATAGTCGGTCAATTTGGGGATTTATGGGTCTGCAGGAACATGACGTCGATCAATGACAAGGTTGGATCCATGAATTGCTTTTCGTCTCTAATTAACAGTTTGTGGATAAGTGTGGCCTCACGATGTCTCTTCGGTGTCTTGCTAGTGGTCTTTACAGATCTTCTGTTTGGGCGTCTCTAGTATACTTTTCGTCATTCCCAAATTTATGGGCAGACAGCAGAAAGAAAGCAGCAAAAGACTTAATTTATGACGACTGTTCTACGCGGAAATTTGAATCTTTGACGTGCCCTATATGTGCTGTTTGGGGTCATCTATTCTTGAACTTGATGGGTGTCAGCGGCTGAGATATACATTTCAAGATTGCACAATACATTCCGATTGATCTGTTCCAAGGTATTTAGATGCTCCTATGTAGTCACTTAGGTGTAAGACCTCAGCAGCAATGAGGTCCCTGTTCTAGGTTCCAGCGCTCCATTTATCTTCTTCAATGTCTTCTGTCCTGCAATATTTACAGATGCTTACAGTGGTTCTAGATCAATCTTCCAGCTACACTCACATCCCGGACCGGCTTTAATGCAGTTGCCTGATATAAACTGTTTAAAATCTACAAAACACGTTGCATTACAGTTTCTAAAAACGAGCCATATCCCCGAAGACCTAAGGACCTAATAATAGGCCACTGTACCTGATGGGCCATAGGGCTGTACACATGCCAAGACACGAGCCATCCGAAGCGAACCGTCAGGGGCTTAGCACAGTGACATGCGTATAAAACTACAAATTGGCATCCAAAATCATCCAAAAATAGAAATAAAGAAGAGCTTAGCGCATACTTGTCCAACCAAAACGCATTCAGCAGCAGAGCCCCCTTCGAGCCCCATTAAGCATCAGACAAAAACTCCACTGGAAATGAAGTGGAACCATCAGCTTCTGCAACATCAAGCTTGCAAGGGTTCATACTCAGCTTAACATAGCAATCCATATGAGTATAGGAATTACAGAGTGGTTTACGCCTCAGTATATATTGTACCCTCCACTTCGAAGCAAAGAATGGCAACAACCTTTTTTTTCGCTACGCTTCAATATCCCAGGGCACATTTGCTGTACATTTATCCTTTTACTCGCGCTGGCTATCAAAATGTCAGCGGAGCGAATATGTAAAGAGCAGGCTAAACCTCCTCCGGTGGTACGTGTGTTTCATAATCGTCGCGCGAATAATGCTAATTGCTTCAAACCCTACTCCAGTGTGACTTGTGTTTCTCTCGAAAGGTGTGGAATTGAGCTTCATGAAATCAAATTGTATGGGAAGTTCCAATGCTGTACTAATCAAAAACAGGTCCGCTGTGACAGAGGCAACCCATGTGGTAACTGCCAGGATACTAATACTACATGTTCTCGTCAGCGAGTCATAAAACGAACCAGAAACCCCATGCAGCTGGCGGTAATGGAAAATAGAGGTCGAACACGCCAGAAGTCACCTCAACCACCCTCAAAATCTCAAGTTTCGCAAAGTTCGTCATCCGGACTGCATGATTATTCTGCAGCCACCTCCAACAGATATCCCAGACTGGACTATCAACAGTCTCGTGGGTCATCTCTGGGTCCCGATAAACCTCTGTCGCTCCATGATGCTCATGCCACCATTCAGCATCATCTAGACCATCTAGAATGGCTTGCCATTGACCGCCGCCAGATCTTGGAATCAGGGTTGAGCCTGGCTTCTCAACTCTCAGACAGTTTTGAGGACCCCGTGCACGTTGCCGGTGATATCACTGTGGATGAAGAGCAAATAGAGCCCCCTTCTGCTGAATTATTGACCTGGATGTTAAAAGGTACCTATATTATCTCTTACTACTTGGTAGTGCTCAATCAGTGAAAATGGCTGATCCGGATATCTTTTCAATAGACCTCAAGGAATCGAGACTTGGCTCCTTTGTACAAGATTACTTCAGACATATATCCGAAGCAACACTCGAGAACATGGGACTCACTCTCATTCATAGGACTGGATCACCTCATGACTTGCTTATCAACACTGTTTGTGTCAATGCCATTGCCTCTAAGTTTCTGAGTGCCATCAGCAACGCTGGAATTGACAGTGAATTGATCCACGAACTGACACACAGTGCGGTACAATTCCAGCTGGCAGCAAAGGTAGCTCTTCAGGGCATCTCTCTCTTGACGAGTCCTTCGCTCAGACTCTTACAGGCACTTCTTTCTGGTGTAAGTATTCCCAATACTGAGAACAATGTATTTGATCTAATGAAAGTCAGATATTTCTCCATCAAGGATCCGGGGACATCACTACATGTTGGGAACTTACCAAAGCTGCCTGCAGAGTGTGTATAAGTCTGGGTCTTGACACTGTCATAAAGGTAGGAGGCGCTTTGAGTGTAGAGCAGTATTACTGTGTCGCTTGGTGCTATATACTGGATAAGAACTTTGCTTTCAAAATGGGAAGATCCAAAACTTTGCTTGAGATTGAACTTCCACACCTCATTTCCGACCTACCTGGCCGTCAACACACTACTTCAGACCTTTTTCAAATTTACATGGGTCTTGCAAGGGCACAGGCTGCTCTCGTGCCGTACCTCAGGGGGCGTTCATCGATGTCGACAGGAGGTGGCTTATTATCTTCCCATGAAGTCGGGAAACATTGGTTGGTGAATATGCAGCAAATTCAAGAGAGAATAGAGCATGTAAGAAAGTTCCTTGGACACATGCGTACTTGCACCACTGACTCGTTACTTAGATTTCACGTCCATACCCAGCTTGGAAAGGGCTGGATGCTCAATCTGAGATAGCAGCTCTTCAATTCGCCCATCATTCGGTTATGGTCACCATCTTCCATATCATTGATGATGTAGGAACCCAGTCAGTTGTACGGAAGCAGGGTTTGCTAGCAGCGCACCAAGGCATATCTTCTCTAGTGTCGATATGTATATCTGCCGAAAAGCAAAGCACCTTGGCATTGTTACACTGGTAAGTCATGTTCTATACATGAATATTGGAATGAGGCCTGACTAGATATTTAGGACACTTCTCGTCCACCCCATCACCGCATACTTCGTGCTATTCTGCAATGTCGTCGTAACATCAGATATAGATGACTTCAAACTTATGAAAACGATTGTCGATTGCTTGACCCGCATTGAGACAACAAGCCGTCCGATCATTCAAGTACGAACAATCTTCCTCCACTTTCTATCTCTCGCTGGAGGAGTTTTCAACGATGATGCACACTCAATGGTGGTAGCTCAAGGTCATCAAGTACAGCCAGTACAGTCTCAGTCAAATGCTCTGCAACATTGGGTGCCCGACAGGCTATTTCTATCCTCGGGAGCTGACACTGTTCCTCCTTTTAGCCCGTCTCTACTAGATGGAATGGGGAATTTCTCGGAGATGCCTCTTTGTCCAGAAAATGAGATTTTGATGCCCTTTAGCGATCACTTTTCTGGGCTCGGAAATGATCCTAACATCTGATCCACTTTTCTTCAGTCTCGTCTCGCACATAGGTTCTCGAACATAATGTATAATATGTCTGCCTAGAACTTGGCATGTTGGAACACAATGCACGCACTTTGATAAATATAGAGCCCAAGTAAAATTGCCTATTACCTTTTCTTTTTGGGTGGACATGGCCTATAGCTCAGATGCTGGTTAACCCACAGAGCAAGACTCCAGGAGGCAGTGTGGCTTATTAGACCCTTAAATCTGGCCAAGAGGCTTAGCTGATGCAGTTAATTTATTCGAGGTCTCAATAATACATTGACATTCGTGAGAAAATACATAGCCAAGCTCCATCGGGCATTTATGCCGACTAAAAATAACCGGTAGCAAAGAACGTGTCTCAATTCGTGGGACTAGATATGAGATAGATTCGTTTATATGATAGATTGCAATATGTAGCCAACATATTTAATTACCTTCTATTCTCATTCCCTTCTCTTCAGGCTTGTTACACTGTCTTTTCTGAAAACTACCTGTCACTACTCTTATTTGCAAACCTCGCCAACCGTTCGTTTCTATCCGTTCTCTTCATCATTTATTCAAATATTTACATTCCTATATCAATCTGATATCTAGAATGTTGTGCTACTTGAAGTATGCCGCTGTAGGCTTTGCCGCTGCGACTCTGGTCTCAGGCCAAACGTACAGCGAGTGCAATCCAATGAAAAGTATTTCACAACGAGGAATTCAAAACACAGCACCTTCTGACATGTTGTAGAAACTTGCCCGGCCAATGTTGGCACAACCGAGTCAAGACACACTTTCGACTTCACCAAGAGCTCTGGCCTAGATCAGTGGACGACTACTGCCGGCACCGTCAAGACAGGCCCGAACGGCGCCGAGTTTACTGTCAGCAAACAAGGCGATGCTCCCACCATTCGGACCGACTTTCATATCTTCTTCGGCGAAGTATCGGTCACCATGAAATCGGCCCCTGGCACTGGCATCGTCAGCAGTATCGTACTTCAATCGGATGATCTTGACGAGATTGACTGGGTAAATCACTAGACGCCCAATCTTTCCAACACTTCTTGTATCTAACCTCAATTCCTATTCCAGGAAGCCGTTGGTGGCGACAAAACCCAAATCCAGACGAACTACTTCGGAAAAGGAGATACCACGACCTACGACCGCGCAACCTGGGAGTCCGTTTCGACCCCCCAGGAGGTATTCCACACCTACAAAGTAGTCTGGACCAAAGAAGCCACCACCTGGTCCGTTGACGACAAGGTCATCCGCACCCTCTCCTCCGACGATGCCCAATCCGGCACCAGATATCCCCAGACCCCCCATGAACGTGCGCATCGGCATTTGGGCCGGCGGTGACCCAACCAATGCAGAGGGCACAATCCAATGGGCCGGCGGCCTGACTGACTACAGCAAGGTCCCTTACACCATGTATATCAAGGACGTCACTATCGTGAACTACAACCCCGCCGAGTCTTACACCTGGTCTGATCAGAGCGGCTCGGCTGAGAGCATTAAGTTCACTGGTTCTACTAACTCGACTTCCTCGACTGCCTCGAAGCCTTCAGTTGTTGGGTCAGTTCTTACACCCTCCTCGTCTGGTGTTATTATAGCTAACATTCCTGAGCCGTATAGAAGCCTTATTACAGCTGCTAGCACTGCTAGACCGTCTAGCTCTGGTTCAGTTTCGGGTCCTAGTGTCCCCTCCTCTTCTCCAGTTTTTAATGCAGCTTCGAACTTGAGCGCTGGTAGCTTGGGCTTCTTGTCCGTTCTTGCGGTTGTGTCTGGGTTTCTTCTCTTGTAGATTGGTTAGCTGGTATTGAGTTGAATCCATATCTTGTCTACCGATGTTGGTTTGTGTTCTCTTCTCGATTGTAACTATTTCTGCCAAAACAAGTGGATCCTGTTTATCACGTCACTGCGTGGTTGCTCTTTCCTTGCGGTCTCTGGCTCCTTCCACTTTTTCACTTCTTTTCTTTTCTTTTCTTCTCCTTCTCCTTCTCCTTCTCCTTCTCCTTCTCTTCTCTTCTCTTCTCTTCTTCGTAGCCTCTCATACAGAGATTTTACATTCTCCTCATCTTCCTTTTTGGCAAATCTCTCAAGGTCAGTAGACAGAGTCACACATATTCCAAAGCTGAGTGACTATCATGGCTGTCTAGCTTGATGCTAACCCAGCTAAAGCCACCGTCACACTTCCAACCTAACAATGGCTAAAGCGTAAATCGCAAGCTTAGCCATACTTCTCTTGGGGATGACAACTGACTCAGAGAAGTGACTATCACTAATGAGCTCTGTTTGAATTTGACCAAAAGCCACCCATACCAGTCAACTATCAGCTCTCACTTCATTTCTCGACTTTGTCATCCTCATCGGATCCGAATTTCTACACCCGGAAATATCCTCAAAGGCTTCATTTGAGCCCTGGCATAGCAAATGGGCGGTTTACGCCAAATGCTAGTTACCACAAAGCGCGCATCTCATACAAGGCTGTGCAAATCGCCCGTGGTGTGGGCTCAGTTCTGTTACTATCGTTTGAAGTATGCTAATATGATACTCTAGAATGGCACGGTGAAACACCAAAGACAATAGGTAAATGAGAGTAGCTCGGATAAGGGTTGGGTCTCCCTCGAGCAGATCGGAATCTCACACCTGGAACTCCCTATTTCAAACATTGAAAGACTCGACGTTTCTCTCAGCTTCATATCGAATAAAGAGATGACGGTCAAGCAGCACATTTCCGCAAGAAGTAGCCACCAATGTTGGCCTTTTGATCTCATGCTTGACTTGGACGCAATGCAGCGGTCATAAAAACCCGAGCTTGTTAGAAAGAACACAGATCGTTTATTCCAGTGAGACACATATTCAAGCAGCGACGATCTATGAGATATATCAGTGGCGTTGCTAGAGAATAGCATCAGTCTGGCAAGGCGCTCCAAAAAGGAACACCGAACGAAACCTGGAGATCAGATGGGTTCCAAATCCTGGCTGGAATATTTTATTTTACACCTGCAAGTAAGCCAAGCGTATTGGTTCGACACCAGGTAAAAAGACCTGGAAGGAACATGACTGGGCGACAACGATCATGCATGACCTACAAAAAGGTGATTGGGGCGTACCAGTCGTATGGATTTCAGACCGGGATAAGCGCTTCGTCCAAGGATTCTGGAAAAACATGTTCACAGCCCTACATACGAAGCTCCTATACACTGCGGCCTACCACCCGTCGGCGGACGGCCAGTCTGAAAGATCGAATCAAACCGCGGAGATCTGGCTGCGACATTGGCAAAACTTACATCAAGACCCTGATTGGGACGAAGGGTTAGCCCCAATTCAGGCCTCCTTAAACGCCTCAGTTAACGTATCTCTCTGATGCCAAGGGTCCTACGAACCACTTGGCTACTAGCTGAGAGCTATCAAATCTGAGCTCGGTATATCTCCTTGGCTGACATCCCAGCTAGGGACATGCGCAACCCCCGCATGTCCATCGGCAAGGTTAATCAGACCGCTGCCCTTCAAACCTGCGATTAAGGGCAAGCGTCAAAATTCAAGCTCCTTGAGACGCTCGCCCACCTCACAACAATGGCAAAATACCGAAAACCATGGCGCCTCAAGCCATCATGCTGTAGCCCGAGATCCCTCGTCAGGCTGCGGACAAGGGCAATATCACTATCAACCTTCAGACGGTCTGTTTAAATCATGAGGACTGTCAACACCTTGGGGTACAGCCCTCCTCGTACCTCTTTGCTTGTTTTAAATGTTTATGAAAATCATCGAATGAAAGAAGCAATGAAGACCTGTGGGGATGATTATTTTGTTCCCCTTGTTTGTTCCAGCCAGTTACCAAGACAAGATGGGATGGTGGATCAATGTCTAAAGCAATGACCATGTCTGAATACATATCTTCTAAGGAACTTATGATCCATCACATGCCTTTGCATTGTTCTTGGTCACTATCACCATTTGAAGGTCAGAATCCATCGATTCCGACCTGAATCCTTGATCCAACTCAGAAATGTGGGAGAGAGCCCTGCCACGGTCAGACGAACGGAGACCCACTCGAATGGCATCTGATGTCGAGGCAAAAACGTCATTCTTATCGACTCTCGTTCATTCAGTGACGGACGCAGGGTATGGCCGTCACAGCCTACTAATCATGCACATAGTGGCTGTCTATCCTGAGTCTGCGATGGGAGCATGGATATTCTCGTGTGGACCCGTTTGATATATATTTGATTTGTTTGGTGATAGCTGCCATGTCGCCGTCGCTCTTAGACACAGAGAATGATTGTTTATCCCAGCATAAAGTTAATCGTATTCGATCAACCCTTGAGCCGTAGTGCCGGTACCTAGCGTTGACATGTTGCAGCAAGATTTACATGTAGCTTGCGTTTTTGATAGACCGTGGTCACAATTATAATAAAGTACCTATATAACTACCAACACATATAGTCGAACCAAAAAGAAAGAGGAAAGAGAAAAGAGGGAAATGTGACAGGGAGCCCATGTACAAGTGAGAGAGCCAAGCGATGCGGAGAAGGGGAAGAAGGATGTGCGAGGTTTGTTCTGTACAAGGCTATCGCCAGTGGGAGAAAGTTGAGATAAGTGTGCGAGGGAAACAGAGATCTGGGGACAAAGCTTCGCATATCCAAACATGCAAGTTCTGTGTCTAACATAAGAGTGGGACCTATATTCCCCAGACCACGAATCCTTTCCGAAACGCCATCACCAACCAAAGATCTCACCAACACTGAGAGTACTCCAGCGCACACCGCCAACAGCAACGATCATCAAGACAACATCAACAACAGCCAGTACCACTGATCCCATCATGAAACGAGGGCTGAAGATACGGTAGAGCATGAGATGGCGTCGGAGATGGCCGGCCCACATAGTTGTAGCGAGATTAATCGTTGCCAAGTAGAGGATATGTGTCCCAGCAGCCTGTACGACATCGGAGAGGATGCGTGTGGCGGGGTTCTTGTTTGGGTTTGAGGCGGGGACACGGTCGTGAGTCTGGAGGGGACGTTTCCAGAGGACGGTGAGGGGGACGGCGATGGCGGCCAGGATTTGGGCGCCGAAGGTATTGAGGATGACGAATATTGGGGACCAGGGGTATTGGATTGTTGCGAGGGGGATGAAGGCTGTTTCCCACTGGATGCTGGAGAGGGTGGCCTGGTGGCCTGTTTTGAAGTAGTAAAAAGAGCCAAGGACGCCGAGGATGACGGGGCCGATGGAGGAGTTTGTCATGGTTAGGCTGTTTGTGTCGAGGATTTCGAGGAGGGAGAGGATCTGCCAAAGCAGGAGGGCAATGGCACCTTGGCCCATTGGTTTCTGCATGAGGATAATGGCGAGGGCGATGTTAAGGAGTAGGAAGCAGAAGTGCGTTCCATAGACGTTGCCGAAGCCGAGGATTGTGACTGTTGTTCGTGGGCCTTGTTGCTGGCCGGTGACTATAGGGGCTGGTGGGCTGTTGGGATCTTCGGTGGGTTTGCTCACGTTGATGCTGACGCAGGGCTTGGCATAGAAGTATGCTGTAGTGCCTGCTGCGAATGCGAGGGCAAGGACGAATTGGGCTAGGAAGACGCGGACGAACTTGAGCGTTTCTTTGCTTACAGGTAGCCACTCGCCGTCGTCGGCGCCTTCGAGGATCCAGAATAGGAAGGTGACGAAGAGACCGAAGCGGAAGGCAAACCCAATCCATAACGATGCGGTGCCTTCATAGGACTTGGAGCCGGCGTAGAAGGACCGTACGACGCTGGGCAGGAACAGAGTGACCAGGAAAGGAATTGCAAGCTGCCAGGGAGCGGAGGTGGAAGAAGCCGATGAAGCATAGTACGTGGAGCGGCAGAAGGGCATCTGTTCTTCACGGCAGAGGCGGGAGAATGACGCGATTCGACCGAGGATCACGAACAGAATAGAGTGGTATACACCCAAGACACGGTCCGTGGTCTGCTTCTGTCGCATGGACGAAATACCCGCGCATACGCCGAATGTAGTGAGGAAGAACAAAAGGATCTCATCTTCCCAGATGGTGTACGAGTTCGAGGCAAATCCAATAGACTGAGAAACGGTAAAGAAAAGCGCAAGCCATCCCCACATGCCGGTCGGAAGAGGCAGAGTCAGGTTTGCAGGCTTCTTGACGAGAGCCGGTGTGGCTCCAAGAATGCTTCCAGCAGCAGACAGCAGCACAGCTCCATCGACCATAGACATGTCAGTCAGGTCAGTCAAGCCAAATGCAAAACCAGCCACGGCACCAACACCAGCACCTACGCTTGCTAATTGAAGCAAACGAGACGTGAGTTGGGTTCGGTCTGTCTTCAGGCCTCGGGCATAGATGACTAGCAATACAATACTAGTAAGAAGAATCACAACACCTTGAATCATGCTGGGCACATCAAATTGAGCCCACAATCCGCGGCATATATCAAGAGTGTGACGCTGGTACTTGCGGAAAAGCTCATTGCTAGCACGAGCAGCGGTTGACTTGGACGAGAAGCCCTTGGAAGCAGATTTCCATTCCTCTTCTGCAGCAGTCCAAAGCAAAGCCGACTCTTCGTCATCACCAGCACCTCTAGCAAGCGCATATTGGTGCTGGTACCTCTTGACCTGAGCTGCAGTCAACCGGTTGACGGTCGCCAGGTTTGCCCAGTTGTTTCCACGTGTGCCAGAGAAAGCCTCCTCAATAGGCGAGCCTAGGTTATTGAATGGGATGGGCATTCCAAGGAGCAAGGACAGCGTCGGAACAAGGTCGATCTGAGGCACGGGCCTGTCGCGCGCAAACTGGGGCGGGAGAAGCGTATCTTTGCTTGTGCGTCCGAAGATGCCACGCTTAGAATACATCCACAACGCGGCCTCAACCTCGTCATCAGACTCACCGCCGTGGTCGCCCTTGATGTCCATTCCATGATCTCCCATGACGACCAGAAGGGTATTATCATCGAGAGCATTAATGATATCACGAATAACTCGGTCCATTTCCTGGAGTTTGGAAGCCATGGCAGCATGGTTAGGACCATATCGATGACCTGCATGATCTACACCAAGATAATGACCAAATATGACATCCCATTTCTTGCTGTTCTCCGGCCGAAGGAGCGGGAACAGATGCTCCGTGACGCCATTATCAACGGTGTGCAAGTCCCAGACGTTGAACGAGTCATACGCATGCGTGAGGTTGGTATCAAAGTAGCCCGGGAACAGCGCCTGCCAGGTATCATCGCCGAGGTGAACCAGGTTCTTCCCGGCGCTATGCAACTGTGCGACGAGATTATCCTCATCGATAGCGGTTCCGGCGAAGTTAGAGCCTGCTTCCAGGAACGTGGGCAGGGTTCCGGTAGTCAGACCTTTCAGGCGGTTCAGAGTGGTTGTCGGGGGTCTGCGATGAATGGCAGAAGGAAGGCATTGGCGGGGTTTTTCACTGCAGTCTCGTAGAGGACAGGGATGTTGTTGTGGAAGAGGTGGACTGTGTCACTCTCTCCTTTCGAGGCAAATGGCACAGTGAAGTCATAGCGCAGGGCGTCGATTATTATGACAACGGCCTTGTCAAAGGTTTTCTCGTGCCAGCAGCCTTTCTGCTGTTTACTCCCCAAGGCTGTGGTGTGCGGTTGGGCCAAAATGTCCTCGAATGGCAGTACGTCGCATGTTGACTTGTCCTCGAGGACCATGCGCGTGAGGAGGAACCCTTTTGTGAACAGATAGATACCGGCGACATGCAAGAGTCTGTCATTTATCCAGCGTCAGTTCAAATTTATTTTACAACACGTCAATTCTGCAGCGGGCCTTGAACCTCAGGCTCTGCTAAGTCTGAGAAGTGGTCACTCACAATATCCACGCCAGTACACCCATCACACCAAAGTGCTTGGCCTTGAACTCATTCTCGAGCTCCTGCGACTTCTTCTCCGCGAGAGCGGCTTGCTTCCGCTTGGACTGCCCGTCAGAAGGCTGATCGGAGCTGCGAGGATTGGCGGCGGAAAGACCGCTTTTAGGGCCATTGGGGTTCGGACTAGTCCCCGTAGTCCCTGCAGATGGTGTGACTACCATATCCACAGTCTATTCTATAGTCTCAGGTCGGGGTCGGGGGTAGCTGGCGCGCCAGGTCGCAGATCTGGCTGCTAGAGGCCAAAGTGGCACTGGAGGGACCGCGGATGATGAACACGGTGTGTTATTCAGGGGTAGGGAAGCCGGGAGCAAGCACAATTGAGCCGGTTAAGCCGGTTCAAGCGAGATCCATCGAAGTCGGAGAAAACGTATAGGCGGGGCGGAGGAAGTTGCGGAGGTCTGTACCCCTTTCTGTGCTATGTCGAACGGCTTCCCTATATATCAAGAAGCTAGAGCATGCACATTGTTTGAAAGAACAATGTGTACAAATCCCAATTAGGGGGTAGGCTGTTTAAGAAAAGAAATTAATTCGAATTTATGTGACAGTCGCGGAATCCACGGGTTGGGGAGCTCGGCATCGGTGTTTCTGATTGGCCGACCGTGGGTACCCATGTTCTTCCAGATAGGTGAGATGCTGTGATATTGATCGCTACTCAATGTCATCCTTAAAATAAAGGGAATTGGTATACGACTAACTGGCCAGAATGAACAGAAATTTGTTAGGTCCAGGACCTTTTTTTCGTCATTTTTGATAGCTCACGTGGCTATATATATCCTGAATGTTGTACTCCATGACACTTATATTCCCCTATCTATCTTCATGCGAAACAACGCCCTTAGTCTCGTAAATACCTCATAGGTCCGGAACCGTTGGGTGCAGATAAACTCCTTTAGTGGAGTTCGGAAGTCTTTTTATACGCCATCATACTCACCTGAGCGATCATGATTCCATAATCACTGTAATATCGCTCATCTGTCGTAAAATCGGAGCTGTCTCGATGAAGCGCCATAATCCCGATCATGTCTATAGTCGTTCAGTATACCCGACACCGCTGACAGTGAGCACCTGCTTGAAGTCGATATGTGCCATTACACGCTCAGTGATGTCAGCCAGTATCACGTACGCCGTCTCCTGTAGGGAAAAGCAGTTGTCGACGCGAGTATGCCCAAAATCGGGATTCTGATCAGCCTCTCCACTGTTTATCATCATAGCATGTCTCTGACCTTCTCTTCTCTGTTCAAGCCAGGAGAGACCGATGGCGCATCAATCCAACTACAATATCATAGAACAGCCCACGCGTTTAACCACATATGGGAGATTAGAAAGCCAACGCCCTGCGGGTCTTTTGCGAGCTGTTCAATAGTGTACACCGGGAACAGATTTATTAGGAATATGAAGCATGCGTGCAAATCAGACGATTCCCACCAGCGATATCCAATGTCTCACAAAAGACACAGTATATTTTATCACATACGTTCTTCTGTCGGGAACATATAGGACAACAGGATTTTCAGCGCCGATGCTCAGACAGCCCATTTCAATATCTAAATTGCCGAATGATATAAATCACTTTGCACACCGGGGTATTCAAACAACATTCGAGTAAGATATTCTATAACCGTTCGAGGGGTTTCAGAAGTACCTCCAACACAACGATTCACTATAACTAATGGTTTATCTCAAAGTAAACTCATTATCCGCGTGGCAATAGCTATGCTCTGCTGTAGGGTACCCATCTCAAGATCTTCAGTGAAGCATATACAGTCCACATTCCATGATAGCAAGCTTACTTCTTGAAGGGCTACTTCCGCCATCTGTACAAAGCCGGTGGCGGCGCACCATATCAATAGGTAGGAAAGCTCACCCGGTGAGGCATTGTAGGTGTGTGGAAACATTCACGAGAAGCAGTGGTGTGCTACTCTGTTGGATGTAAAATGACGCCTATTGCCACCTTGTTGGTGGGTCGTTCCATTCCAATGGCAATCATGACGAATGCTCAAGGAGTAGTTGACTAGAATGTTGTTTTATACCAGATGTCAGTTGTAAGTTTAGCGTTACCAACTAGGATGTTTCATTGTTCGGTCTAGCAAATTATGGAGATTACTTATGCTGTAGGGTGTGATCGGCCCTAGACTTCTACTCAAGTGAGCAAAAAGCGGCAAGAGAGAAGCACTCAAAGGGAACGAAGCCAAGGATTGCTTGGTATCCCTACATAGGCACACCGCCTCGTATACGCATAGAATGAGAAACAAAGAAAAAATCATTTGAGGAAAAGATAGATTCGAGATTTACGTAAATGAACATAGGAGGACTAAGTACATACATTATCCAGCTGCCGAGTACCGGGAAAAAGGCACATAAGAAGGGAAGAAAATAGGGAGGGTCCCAATAAAACGTAAAAAATGGGACCTCATAAATGGGGATGAAGAAGAGAAAATCGAAAGCAGGAATGAAATCACATGCAAGTCAGACCCTAGGAACGTAGCAGGGACGAGAGAGGCATGAGAAACCAGGCTTAAGAAATCAAACGCCAGAAAGCAGATAGAGAAAAATCGGCAGGCCCTCGCTATGAATGATCCAGCTTTGATGAATATTGGAATTTAAGCAGTGTGAAGTACCAATGAGTCTGAGCAGAAACCGGGTAAACCAACAATATGTATGCTTTAGAGACCACAATAGAAACTGGGAGGCATATGTGCAAGCCACGAAGGCCGAATCAGGAAGGAAGGGTATGTAAATGGTAGAATCGCAAGAGATATTTGACAGGGTACTCGTCATGTTGTGAGAAGTCGTCGAAAGTTGAAGAGAAGATTGAGCGCTATGCGGGCGGTATATGCGTTCGGTCATTCAGGCAGGTTTGACAACGTGCTTTAATGATATGTCTTCCTCTCGTCTTTCTCCTTCAACCCACCCATCCGGTCCATGTCCAGGGACTGGAAGCGACCGGTATCGGTGGTTTGGTAGGGAGGAAGCTCCTCATGACAGGGTTCCAGGCCAACGCTGCCAGCGTCACTGATTCGGACGATAACCATGCGGCCAGAAGTACGTTTTCCGCTGGCATCTTCTTCCTCTGGGAAGGTAATGCGGATCTCGGGCACAGGGCTAGGTGGTGGGCTGTCGGAGTGATCCATCAGGCTGCGTTTCTCATCATAGACAAGAATGGAGTCTGATTTGTTCGTGGAGATGGTTAGACGGCGTCTGTTGGGGGACTCTCCATTGTGGACTGGGAGCAAGTTTTGTTTACGCTGACGCTTGCGGCGGAGGACGAGCAGACCGCCAACCAGGGCAAGGGAGAACAAAACGAGTACGAGGAGAGCAATGAGTAGGTCGACCATGGTATTTGAGAGTCCACTATCGCTGTCATCGTCGCGAGCAACGATGCGGGGAAATAGGCTGTTCATCTTGTTGCTTGTCGGTTGTCGACGGTTAGGTTTTCGATACCGCGTTTGAGAGTTGTCTGGTCGGAAATCGAAAGGTATGTGATCGACGATTTCGGATTCCAAGGATGGTCACAGAATGAATCCGGGGAAGTAAACAGTCAAATGTGATGGAATGTGCGTGCGAATTCTCGGTCACGGGTGTGTCGGAAAAAAGCCAAGGGTGGAAAACGAGAGTGAGTAGATTAGAGAAAGAATGGACACAAGGCTGCTGAAAGAGTGAAGCTGGCACCTGCGATGGAAAGAATGGAGGAGATGTGATGAGAATGAAGGGAAAATAGAAAAGGGAGGAAGGGGAGAAGAGGAGAGTGTAAGCCTAGAACGCTTCGCTATTGTTAGTGTAGAGCTAAGCTGTTCACAGTTTAGCGTTGCTCCTTGGGTTGCTCGGAGCCTCTTGGCAACAGGGGCTGACCAATCACAGTCCTTTAGTGCCTGGAGAACGGACCCTCTGGAGGCTATTCATGGCCTCTCACTGGTTAGGCTCCACTGAACTATGCCTGTTTATTTGGGTTCCCCTGAGATCCTAAGTTCGCATGAATCTATGAGTACAACATACAGCATTATATGTTATATATACGAAGTGTGTTGTATATAGATTTATATTATCTTCAAGGGTAATTTCTTTGTATCAGTCATCATAGTGTCAAGGTGTGGTCGCACAAGCGTGAATCACTCGGATTTAAGTTGATAGTGCAATCAAAGGCTACATCTACATAGTAACATGATTTGTGCTCTCTCGAGACCGGTGCTCGCCCAAACATAAGCAGGAAATGAATGTTTCAAAAAGAATATGTGGGGGGAGATTAGATCTCATGCACCTGATCCTCAACACATATAAACAAAGCCCTAGTACGCGTCAACCAGGAACAACAACTCTAGGTAGCAACCATTGTTTGTTGGGACATGCACTAAAGAATAAGCAAGGAACAAATCGATGACTTGAGAATAGTTGAGCCATTGTACTATCATATACCCCCCCGTAGGTCAAGATGACTAATTGTTGGACCATCCATAGTTACCTACCTAGTGGCGAGGTCTAATGAGGCTGAAGATCCAATACATCGTACATTTTTTGAGAGGTTCTTCATATAGAAACTATGTTCCAAGTTAAATATTCTTATTTGATTAAATCAAGATAAAGCAATGTGACAGGCACTCTGATGTCTTCCTAGGTGGAGATTTAGAATGTATTTCTTTCATAAATATATATCGTGCATCATAAGAGTAGTCTTTTCAGCGGGCTTCTTATATACTCTAAATATACTCCCAACGAGCAGTCTGATAGTTAGACTTCCATTCGACGATCCACATTCGACATCAGAAAAGGGCCGAAAAAGCATACTTTGTGCAAGAGTTTTCAATGTATAATCCTAGACATTGGAATAGGCTATATTAAAAAAACATCTAGTACTCCACCCCCCGTACAAAGAAAGGAAACACAAGCCAGAATATGGAGTAAATATCCATACACTCAATATGCAAGATCATTATATGTAGCCACTGTTTGCCACATGCTGGATGTGTCAATCGCCTGAGCTGCATGTATCCCTCTTGCATGGATTTTACCGCCATATCGGGGACACGCAGAAAAAGGGCACGCGGTCCTGGTGTTACAAATTGAGTGTCTGGTTCCAATACAATTCCATCTGGTGCGTGGCCTTTGGTTCTTTGTGAACTTGGTTACTGGCAGGTGTGGCTGAGAGCGCGATTTCTTCATTGTATACTCTGTACGGAGCATAATGTGTGCCTTTGAATCTGCCTTTGGGCGTACAGCCTCCATATTCGGGTATCAATTCCACCTTCCAAGTTTCCTCAATCAATATTGTATGCTCATTTGCAAAATATAATCTGACAAGTTGTCTGTACTTTAAGTTCTTATGTGGGGGCATTTGATTATTGCGTTGACACATGAGAGACATCAATGGAAGTACATATCGGGCTCTAGCAGCGATGTCGACTAAACCTCTTAAGCCACGTCCCCGAGGTGAAGAAATCCCCCATCAATCCCCACAGCTAGGGACCTAGTGTCAGGATCTAGAGCAGGCTCAATGCTCTACAGTAAAGCCAACCCCGGCCTTCTTTCAATACTGCCAAGACCCGACACTCGAGATGAAGAATACAACTAGCACAAGGTCACTATCAAAATTTGTGTCAACTTCACTGACTGATATGTCCTAGGTACATTCTAAGATTATCTTGGCATACATGTTAGTTGACAGACTCTGCATCTTTCATCATACGGTCAGGGGGCGGCCAACACACAATTCGATAGCTCACAAAGTCGGAGAAAGGTCGATCACAAGAAAAGCAACAACCCAGTCCCCGGAAACTAGTAACACGGCCAACGCCCGATAGTCACTGCAAGCGAGCGGTCATCGCGCTCGGGTCCACTGAGTGTTCCTAAGGCTATGGGCGTTGGACGCAAGGTGAGCAATGCCCCTCAGAGATCAGATCCGGGGAAGATTTCTGCGAGTGATGGCCTGACACTTGACCTGTGAAACCCCTGTGCAAGGACCCAGAGGCGAGTATCCTTGTCGGCCTGCAAGCTGTATGACTCTCCCTTTGCCAGTCGATGTCTCGGCCTTTTTTCAATCTCGCCGGGAGTGATTACACCGCGATGACCGGACACCGCAACGTTGACGGCAAATGTTCACCAACACATGCTAGATGACGACCCTTATTTTTGTTTTGTTTTCATTCAATGGGCTTCTATGGGCTTCTGACCCAGGTAATCAGCAGTTGATTCTCGTCAGTCATCATTCACGCGGATACATCCCACCCTTTCACCCACAGATCCAAGGGTCAGTGTGACGATGTGCCGAAGCAAGGGGCTGGCCGAGTCTATGAAAGTCTACTCAAGCCGCGAACCTGTTTTTCGTTGGATAATTCTTCTAGATCTAGCCCTCATGGCCCGAAGCGTACTTCGATCGGTGATCGCGCGCGAGACTATTGCATCTCGCAGTCGGGGTTTGACTTGCTCTATCTAAGAGAATCAAGGGAGAGAGGGCAATGCCAATACCGGCGCACGGCCGGGCAAAAATAAAACCCCCCCAAAACACCGACAGAACATAAAAAGAAAAAAACAAAAAAGCCCAAAACACAAGAGCGAAACAAATGCCCCCCTCGGCCCATTGAGTTCCTGACCAAGCGGAGGGAGTAAGCCAACGCCTTGCCAATCCTGGAATGGCAGGTCCTAACCCACTAGAAAGGTGGCTCTTTCAAGAATGTTTCCGGATCCAACCGGAAGTTAGACAAGTTGAAAGAGATCTAGCCCTGATTATATCCTTTCAGGGTATATACCTATGTCGGCAGTAGGTGTGTATATATATAGGGTACCTTACTTGAGGTTTAAGGCTAAAAGTGGGAGGGGCCTAGTGGGCCCCGATCGGGAGAAAACCTTTAATCTTCAAGATAAGCTGCCGAGGAATTATATTAAAAGCTTCATTCAGTAACCTATATAGAACCTCGGCTTGAAAAGATGAATCTTTTTTCCCGAGTCTTTCTTTGCGACAAAGCTTATGTGTATGTCAGGCACCGGCTCCATTCGGGAGTAGGCTATAGGGGTTCCAAGGTCCATGGTCAATATGAGTTGGAGTGGATAGGAAATGTTGACCGAAGTATTAAATCTCTCTGATGACTTCAGGTTTGCTCGTTCAACTATTCTACCCATTTACTGTTTCAGGATTTATCTTTAGCTGGACCATGGGATATGTGACTAGTGAACTATTAGAACATGAGAAAGAGAAAGAGCATAGAGAATGGAAGTTCGATAGACAGATGTATATATGATATATGTTAAGTGAAAACAAGACAAAGAGATGGGGCCAGGCTAAAAAAGAAGCGCCGGGAGTTAGATCGCGGTGACAGTCAGATACGTACGCCATCAACAGATGGCTGAAAAAGATACCTGGGCTCACGGCTAAACTCTAACCTAAATCCAAGTACCACTCTGTCCCAGCCAGGATCGACTTGTTCACATGGTCATGGTATTACGCGGCAATACAGCGGCTGATCTGCCTGAGAAATCATCTTTCTTCTTGTTATCTATCCAATTGCCTCTGTTCTGTTCATTTTTTCTTCTTTTCTTTTCCTTCTTCGTGTGACGCTTTTTTTAATTGTCCTTTCTTTTGAACCTCCTCCTCTTTTTTTTTTCCTTCTTCCTTGATATTTTCCTTTTTCCCTTCATCACCGCCTCACCAAAACATACCCCCCAATAAACAGCCACACAAAAAAAAAACCCTTGGGCTGTCATGCTGGCGTCTGTGTGACAGCTGTGGACTACATTAATGCCGTGCCTTGTCTCTCGTCCACATTCCCTTTTATCAACTGAATCCCGAATTCTTATCCTTCTTGCGCCAGCGCATTCCATTATCCTTTCTTAGTCCGCTCGAAAATCTTCCCTCAAGACATCCAACACCCCTTGCCTATCAATCAATCTAGGGTCCCCCAACGTTCTAATTGCCATTCTCGGGGATCGTCTTTCCACAAGGCACATGAGGACGATCTGCAACTGGGAGATTCCTGGAGCATGCACGGAGCAGAGTAACGTCGCGGCGCCTCCTCAATTCTGAACCCTCCGGCTACCAACTCTGAAAACCCCACAGCTGCAGCAAACGAAAGGGTGATAATAATCGTTCCAATTCTTTGTCACCTTGCATCTTCTATCGCTGTCAAGCTCGATCGACCTTCCTGCCACAGTCAGCATTTCTCGCTTCATTCAGAGCTCGTCGCTCTTCCTCCCTTTCGTCTCCCTTCCTCTTTTGCTGTATAATCTGTACATGTCCTGAGTTCGCCTCTGAGTACTACAGAAGACAACATTCATTTTCTTCATTTCGCTCTTTCTTGTGATCCCTTCTATCCCCTCCTTTGGTAAGTCTTTCCCTTCAAGACACTTGGACACCCTAGGTACCCTTGTACCTGTTTCCGAACCTGGCTTCCCAACCCGACATCCCAATATGGCTCAA